GTCCAGCACGGGGAGGATATATCTCTATTCCAACAGGCTTAATTCACCTCCCAAATTCTCCAAAGGCGCCGCAAATAGCATGTCAAGAGGGAACTCACCAAGAAAAACTTAATATCTATCTCAGGAACAGATAAACGAACAAATTTCCAAAGCTCTCAATACCTCCCCGCAATGAAGGGAGACGATCCAACCATGTCACCAAGATCCTTATCTGCTTATCAGACCACGCTAAACCTAAAAGGGCAACCGTCTCCCGAATTTTCTGCACCCTCGCGAGCAATGTCTAACAGTCAGGAGCATCCGCTCGACCAGCTTCAATTCTGAAGCCACCTCTCTTGATCGCCAAATTGCAGGCCCATTGGCTATCAGATACACCTACAAAATGGGCTTCAAACGGCGCCGCGAGCACTACAATGTCGACACAAAACTTGTCGAAATCTATGAGGACCTCGCCAACGAAAAGGATGAGATCCGCCTGAAGGCTGCACAGGGCTTGGTGTCACAATTCACACCCGACAAGGAACCCTCAGATGAACAAATCAAGAAGGTCTTGGTGCGACTCTTCCGTGGACTTTGCAGTCCCCGCAAGGCTGCGCGCATTGGGTTCTCGATCGCTTTGACGGAGGTCCTCACGCAGATATTCTCGGTCAAGCGCGAGGACTCGGAAATCACAATTGAGAGAGTGCTCAGTCTATGGGAGAGGCAGACTAACGCCACTGCCGGGGAGTCGGGCCAGGTATGCCGCGACAATATCCAAGGAAGCTGTGAAGTCTTGCTAACTGAGTACGCGAAAAGGAACAACGCGACCACCATTTCGGCCGTCTCTTCGGTGCTGAAGCGATTATCAAGTCCAACGTCCTCTTCAACCCTTCTCTACCGTTTGAACACTGGACCAAGGTCATCGAAGTGGTCTTTGAACTCGCCCAGAAAAAGCCCTGGCTCCGCGAGGAGTGCGGCTGGATTATCTACCGCTGTGTTTATGATCTGTCTGCGCGCGAAATGGATGCCAAGTTCGTGGAGGCTGCCCTGGCCCGTCTGTGCGAGTACAGTTTGGCCGCGACCCCAGAGGGCGTTGCTATCTGGCTGGCCGCCAAGGACATGTTCCCCAAGGCCAACTTCCCAAGCAAAACCTGGAAGCATGATGATCCGCTGGATCCTAAGGAGCGCGGAAGTCTGTCCAAGATTATGAAAGAGTCTTCTTCCGAGCAGGAGGAAGGCAAGGCCAAGTCATCAGGAGTGTGGAATTCTAAGCTCCACTTTGCCTGGGATGCTGTTCTGTCGCGTACCAGCGATGGAAGCTCCAAGTCCAAGGACAAGCATGCTCGCTTGAGTTTTGCTGATTTCTGGCTTGAGGTCGTGGACAATGGACTCTTCGCTTCTGCCTCGTCTGATGAGCGCAAGTACTGGGGTTTCCTTCTCTTCAACAAAATTCTCAATGAAGGCACTCCCGAACAAGCTTCTCAGGTTTTCACCAAGAACCTGGTCCGCTGTCTCATGAATCAACTCGCTGTTGAAGACCGCTATCTTCACCGCATGGCCGTCAAGGCCTCCAAGGCAATTCCTGCCCGCGTGTCTAGGGAGCCCAGCTTCGCTGCCTCCGCCGTCCGTGGCTTGATCCAGACCAGCGGCACGCTCAACTTCGACCAGGCTACTAAAACAAAAACTGTTGAAAAGATTGTGTCCGAGGCCAATCGCGAAGCCCTACAAGAGATCGTCCCCATGCTCGAGCAGTTCCTTAGCCGACCTGGCACGACCGACGAGAAGTTCGCTTCATCTAACCGTAACTTCGTTGCTCATCTTCTTCTATCAATTGTGCGCTCGAAGGCCACCTCTGGGGACAAGGATTCCGAGGAAGACTGTCAATCCGTTCTCGAGCAAATTCTGTCCACTTTCGTGCGTTTCGCCTACTTCAAGGGTGATGGTGCCCGCGAGCTGGTTCCGGAGCCAGCCTTCACCCAAGCGACACAAGAACTTCTGCGGAACCGAATCAACTCGTCCCTGAACAGTCTTCTTGCGTCTCAGAAGTATGCCTCAACTATCCCCTACGCCGTTGTGCGCCAGATCCGTGATGGAGCCAAGTCCGGAGAGTACGGCAAGTTCATCATCAGCATCGATGATAAGCTGCAGGCCTCGGTGAAGACCGCATTCAAGGCCTTGAAGAAGCTTTCCAGCAAGGAGAAGAAAGGCGAGGCTTCCAGTCTTTCTGCCTTCAAGCTTCTGTATTCCATGACCGTGCTGCAAGTGTACAGCGGTGACGCCGATGCCGTGTCTATGCTGGATGAGCTGGAATTCTGTTACACCAAATTTTTGGGTGACGAGAGCTCCAAGAAGGAGGATACTTCTGATGCCTCCGATGCGTTAGTTGAGATCTTGTTGTCCTTTGCTTCGAAGCAGTCGGCATTATTCCGCCGAATGAGCGAGCAGGTGTTCGGTGCCTTCGCCGACCAGGTCACCGAGAACGGATTAGAATCATTGATCTCGGTATGTATCTGTGATTTGACTGACGGCAGCGTTCCTTTCTAACATAGTTCTAGATCTTGGAAGCCAAGGAGAGCTTGGCTGGCCAGCAAGAAATGTTCGACCAGGATGACGATGAAGATGTCGAGGAAGATGATGAGGAGCATGACCATGAAAATGACAAAGACGAGGATATGCTTGACGTTGACGAAATGGACAGCGACGTCGAGGTTGTCGAGGCAGACGAAGGTTCCGATTCCGAGTCGGAGTCCGACTCCGATGGTGATGAAGAAGAAGAAGAAGACAACGAGGAAGATGCCGCCGAAGTCGCCGCTTTTGAAGCCAAACTGGCCGCCGCCCTGGGCACTCACCGCGCAGACGATGACGCTGCTGAATCCGAATCGGACGCTGACATGAACGACGACGAGATGGAACAGGTGGACGAGTCTTTAGCCAACGTGTTCCGAGCCCGCAAACAAGCCGCCGATCAAATCAAAGACAAGAAGGACGCTCGCGAGAACATGATCAACTTCAAGAACCGCGTGCTCGACCTGATTGAGATCTACGTGAAGAAGTGCCACTCCAGCCTTCTTGCCCTGGATCTACTCCTGCCCCTTCTTCGCCTTGCTCGCCGCTCATCCGTCAAGCAGATCGCCAGCAAGGCGAACAGCGTGCTCCGCGAGTACACCAAGCTGTGCAAGGGCAGTGCTGTGCCCAAGATCAACGGCGAAGCCGAGCCTGTCTGGGAGCTTCTTCGCGCGATCCATAAAGAAGCCTGTCACAGCGGACCGCCACCCCACGCCATTGCCTCTAGCCAGGCCTCGCTGCTCGTTGTCAAAGTCCTGGTTGCCGACGACAAGGCTGCCATCTCAGACGTGGTGGACGTATACGCCTCAACTAGAAAAGAGCAGCTACGCAGCACCAAGTGCCATGTCCAGCCATCCTTCTTCACAGAATGGAACAACTGGTGTGTATCAGCGAGTAAGCAGCTGAAGAATTAGAGGAGCTCAGAAAGTACATAGACCTGAACAATAGCCTATACTCCAAAAAAAGCCAAGTCAGTTGAAGCATCACAGAAACATCAAAATCCATCCTTAGAACCTAGTCCACTGCCAATGCCATCATCTCGATATGAGAAATTCCATCTTGAAAAGCATATCTGGGCTTCAGTGAACAAATCCAACATCACGTGCCAAAGATCGAAATACAACAAGATCGTGTCGAAAGGAAATACGTGAAAGACGGCCTCTGACAATTCAAAATATCTGCCTTTGCACCCTCTCTCTCTTCCTCGCCTCCTTATTATCTCCCCTCAAAGTCAGCTGATCGTCCGATGTCGCATTCACCTGAAGATCTCCTCCCATTTTTCATCACAAAAGGAAGGCATTCTCCATTCTTCATGCTCAAGGGTGCAAGACTTTCGTCTTCTCTCAAGCTTACTAAAAGATGGGAGCGCTCAGATCACAACAGAGATCTATACATCGGTAATCCCTGGCTCACTGAAGGCGAGGAAAGCCCATTGGTGTTCGGAAGCATCATCCATCGAGTGGAGACGACTTCATAGTGCAGAGCGGACAAAGCTTAGCCTACGTACGCTTTCGGGAAAAAAAAAAGACGGTCGGAGCCCGAGTCTTGGGCGATGAGTATTGGTATAGCACGTTCATCACTACATTTTCTCCGGTCACTAGGCCATGCCCACGAGACTCCATGCAAACAAGCTGCATGAAGGCATCGGAAATGCGGGGAAAGCGGTCGAGCTTCGGACAGCCCGAGAGTACGAATCGACATGCGTAGCGAGTCGCATAAAGCTAGGAAAACGAACGAATCGCAAGTTGTGGCTTACGACAGCACATTCGCTACAGCTGATACTCTTGCTTCGGGTCAAGATACCTAGAGAGATGAAGACGAATCACTTCGCCCTTGTGACTGTCACAAAAGCCATGGCGGCGAGACCGAGCTCTGGCTCACTGCATACGCGAGAAAACGTCCAGATATCATCTTACTCAAAACACACTGGTGTGAAGGGCTGTGAAGCGCCACAGTAACCGACCATTGTCGGCAAGGCCGAGACCAGTTCTCTACAGACATCGAGGAATCTGACAAATCTCCTAATGATTTAAGTCATTTACAAGGGGCCATACGCGTTTCACGAGATCACCTGAATATTGAGTTCGGAAATTCGAGGCGAGGAGTGTTTGCAGCCGACGCTAGTGCCTTCTTCAGCTCCCCACCTCTGCAGGAACGGAGTTGACGAAGTCTCAGGGCAGTTTCCAGTTCACAGAAGCCGACACATAGTGGGGCGGCCCGTCCCGAACCACTCAGATGTGCGAACGCCCATGCAACAAGTGTAGATAGCAGGTAGAACAGCCTACCAGGTGAATTCAGCGGTTGTGCGACGAGAGTAATTGTTGCCGGGGAGAAAATTGTCATCAAGGACATCCTTGGGCTTAAATAGAGGGCTTAGTTCCCACCAAAGCCGTATAGAAAGCAACAACAACCACAAAAGCCCCTTCCAAATCATTCCACTAGACAGAAGCATCACAATGGCCCCTTCCAAAGACACTACAATGTCAGCCTCTTCTCCTTTACCCAGGAAGCGAAAGGGTCGTGCTGACTCTCCCAGCAGCTCCAATGAAACTGCCAGTATTCCGGCACCAACCAAGACCGTCCAGGCGACCAACGGTACCAACGGGAATGGTGTTTCGGTTTTGAAGGCAAGCAACGGCACCAAGGACCTTGTCACCAGCCAAACTGTCTTGACTGCCAAGTACGATGTGTTTAAGACGAAAGAGTCTGTGACCGTGGCTCGCAACTTCGACTGCGTGAAGCATGCTCGACCAGCTGAATTCCCCGAGTACCTCGGTGCCCTACCATTCCCTCGCGAACTCAAGGGCTTGGTTGCCTGGACTGATGCCTTTGTCGAGCGACTCGGTTGGGTGGCCTTGCAGGAACAAGAGGTGAGGAGTGTCCGAGCATCCAACGACACCATCGCCCATGCTAACGAAGATTCACAGGAAACTGCTCGTCGAGAGCGCTCCCTTGGTCGTGCCAACCGAGACATTGAGATTCTAAACCTCCGCATCACGGAACTTCAGACGAAGCTACATGCTTCCACCGACGAAAATCACACACTGAAGGGCAACAATGCCAAGCTCAATAGCCGCAACAAGTTTCTTGAGGGACAATGCAAGCGAGACCATGATCATATCAAGGCCCTCACGGAGGATATCTCAGCCAAGGGAACAACCATCTGTACTCTGACCAAGGAGAATGAGAGGCTGAGAACCAGCGTGAAGAGTCTCGAGATCAAGATCCAAGAGCTCATCGATCAGCACACGGGAGATGAGGCCTCGCGCAAGGCTTTGGTGCAAGGCTTTGCGGAGTGGAAACGACTTGACAAGATCCATGATGACAAGGTCCTTGCGCAAGTCACTGACCTGCAGAAGGAGCTTCACTCCGAGAGAGCGGCCAAAACCAAGGCCCAAGACGATCTGAAAGACGCTTTGGCAAGACAGGCCAAGCTCGAGGGCGAGAACGCTCACCTGGAAACCTTGCGCGCAGAGCTTGATGCAGTCGTGAAGACCATCCGCGACCAGCTCCAACGGCTCGAGGCAGATCTCGCAGCTTCGGAAGGAGAGAAGGCGACACTTGAGGCGCTCCTGCGCGAGCTGACGAAGAAAGAAGAGAGCGCTCAGATCGAGATCGAGAGCCTCCATCGCAAACTGGACGATGCCAAGCTCAGCGTGGAGGCTGCCAAGGAACAAGTTCACGCCGCAAATGAACATGCCAAGCTTCACTGGGAAATGCTTGAGGCTATTCGTATGGATGGCCACTGGCTGCGGACCGACAAGACGGATGCTTGTGATACGGTTATGAAGGCTCCTTTCATTTGCCGCCTTCCTGTCTCGGAGCCTGTGGTTGCGCCGATGAAGACTGTGATCAGCCGCCTGCCAGAGTCCGAGCCCACTGCGGATATTGAGAATCCCTTTAACTGAATGAGACTATCAATGGGGGGGGTTGTACCCTGGCTGGGGGCGTTTCTGGCGAGTATGCTAAATCCCTTTCTTTCTTTTTTTTTTATTTCTTGATCATGTCATTTTCTTTTCATCTTTTTTATTATTATTTCTTTATCGACTCGAACCATGTGCTATGAGTAAGAAGTATATCTGAATCATGTCAAACTATATTGTTCCGTTCTGGGTCTGTAGCTACATCTCTGTCTCTTAAGTAGGCGAGTGACACTATCATGCTATCAATGATCAGGAACTAAATTGATCCTTGTAGTACTATATAAGCCAGCCAGAGTATGGGTACCGAAATTAATCAGTCTCGCGCGTTCACTTCCAAATTTAGGAAGAATGTTCTTGCATACAGCCACCATCAAAAAATATATCTTGCTACCCGTTTCTGCCGGTCGGCGCTTAGACTTTTTGAGTAGTGACGAGAGAATTATTCAGTCGAATTACTGAAGATAATGAAGATGACGATTTAAGCTTTCATCGTCATATTAGGCGAGTAAACATGTGAGTTAAACATTCACGGCCAGAAGTCTAGAGAAAAAAAAAAGGGGACCCTGAGCCTCGAAGCGCCACTGGTGGCTGTGGTCGAAGTAGGCTCAGAGGCAGACTGAGCCGATGCGGTAGAGGTCATCGCAGTAGTTGGTGCTGAGGTCGTAGAATCAGCCACCTTGGTGCTCACCGAGCTAGTGGAAGACGAAATGTCAACGACATCGGTCTTTGTCGAGCTTGCGCTCGAGCTAACGGAGCTCGTGTCGCTTCCACCATCGCCGCATTTAACGACAGTTTTCCAACCACCAGCAAAGGTGTCATCCCAATATGATGATTGGGTAGTCAAATCAAAGTAATCAAAGAAATATGCCGAGCCAGGTTGTTCGTGTGCGTTTTGGTAAAACTTAACAGCACATTCGTCACTGCATGGGAAGTCGGTTCTGGCCCAATCCTCGCTGGCGGGATAAGTCAAGAAGCAGTAATCAGATCTGCGAAGATATAAGCCTCTGTACCTGACAACCAGAACACAATTAAACCGAACTCACCCGTTCTGGGCACAAGCTTCGCCGTATTTGTACTGGAACACTTCGCCCACGGTGGCTACAGAAGCCTGATAAAGATTCTTATTGCCGTAGCCAACTCCGGCTAGATCGCCATCCTGATCGCATGCAGATTTGACGTTCTCGATGTACTGGGACAATGAGTCACTGCATGTTGTGGTGCACATAGCCTGCAGGTCCGAAGATTGCGGGTCGAAGTCGGGATCCATAGACGCCACAATCTTGAGGAGGGTTTCATCGCAGTTGATATTGGCGCTGAAGGCATCCTTGCAAGCCTGGGATGTCGTGTCTTTCAAGTCCTTGGTCGTGTAGTCCCAACTAGGACCGGAAATGTTGAGACTGAAAGAAGCAGTCGCTTGGCCCAGAGCAGCGGTTAACGCGAAGAAGCGAACGATCGTGGTGGCGGAGGCCATTTTGTTGGGTATATTGAATATCGAAAAGGGCGACAAGAACGGTTCAAAAGTCACTTTATTCCCTCAAGTAAGAAATGAGAGACGAAAGGTGAGAATTGGGGGTGTGGCTTTGGACGGAAAGAAAAAACAGCTTCCGGACGAGAGAGTAAACTGGGGTAGCTCGCGACCTATAAATACTCAGACTTATTTACATTCGAACTTTCCAGGGTCCAAGTCCGAGTTCACGGCCGAGTTTTTTTTTTCCGGGAACCGGTCGCTATTAGCGAGGTTTTAGTCTCAATATGGAGCCGCCATCCGGTGGCCCCCAAATTGTTCAGGGGCAGAATCCAAAATTTGAGCCTCAAGACCCGCAGCATTAAACATTCAATTGGGGCCAATTGATTATGGAAGTGTGAATCGATTCTTAGAGACGACAATAACTTATAGACAAAGCGTTGACGCTCTAACCTTGAACCGATTCAAGAGCCAGCGTACCGACTCCAAGAATATTGGGGGTCTGGAGGACTGTTTGATCGGTCGCCGCTAACTAGATCTTTACTAGTCAAGGGGCCACTGACCGATGGACCATCGAGAGCCGACCACTCCCGGAAGCGGTGTCAGCTCCAGATCACTTTGGATAACCTATGACCTAAGCACACCCCATAGGCATCGACCTAAGAAAGTCGATGCTTTCCTTGAAACAACGGAAGAGTCTCAATCCCGAGGATCGAGACACTGGAAAGGGATAGTCGCTGCCTACATTCAGACTCTGATTATGGACGGAATATGTAGAAAGAGGCCGGAAGTTTACTGTAGTCACTCGGCATAGCCCGCCTAAGTCAATAGTGATCATAGAGCGTGCCTAGTTTGGATTCTACATTGTTAGGTTACACTTCTCCTGTCTCAGCTTTCGTGAATAATGTCAAGGTACTCCTTGTAGGTATAAGGTAGAGCATCGGAGAGCTTCAAAAACTTCACATTCGCGTAATGGTGCAGAAAAACCTGATACAACCAGGGTCAAGCCACCCCAAGGCGGAGCTATGAAATCATCTTGAAACATGCAACAGACGGCGTTCAACCGAACACGTAGAGAACGGAATTTTGCCACACATATCTCCGAGATCATCCATATCATAACTATCTAGGTCTCTGAAAAAACAAGAGATAGTTCGGCTTCACCATAATTGTCGTCGCCATCTTTCTTCATATTCAATACGATTTGATCATCCGACACTTTTCCCTCGAACCTAAGTAAAAAAAAAAATGAGTCAGCCTGTCGAAAGAATATGATGATGCATGACAAGCATTCAAAGAGGGAGAAGAAACAGGACTAACCAATAATACTGATCTTCGTCCACGAAGATCTCAATTTGATCATCTTCCAGTTTGGTGATGGTACCAGCCCGAGAGTAATTCTTCTTTGATACACCGGTATAGGAGACAGTCCATTGACCGGTGATCACAGCGGTTGACCCTTGTCGGAAGCCACCATTAGTCACGAGAGTGATAGTCTCATCTTTCGTGGCGTAGCTGGTGTTGGTGTTCAATTTGCCTTGGTAAACGCGCATCGTGAAGCGGGAAGGAAGTTGTCCTGAAAGGATGATTTGGTCAAGAGGAATTTGAGATGAAGACTTGAGTCGATGGAGGGAGTACCTTGATATGGAAAGAGTACACAAGAAAGACAAATCTCCTTTTTTATACCTTTATGAGACATAATGAGTAGGGTACCCCGCCTGGTGGCGAGCTGAACCTCATGCACTTACAGTGGGGTATTTCAGCTGGAATTCTCAAATTACATACGAATGTCATTGATGGTGACACAAGTTATGTCCACCTGCAGAATTTGCCCAAGCAACATGCGGGGAATATTGCTTATAATGTGTGATAGCTCCAATTGATGTCACACCGTCACTGTTGACCTGCAGAATACCCACAGGCAATACGTAAGATGCCCTAGGCGAGTTTACCTGGTCATAGAAACTTGTAAAGGGCTGAGGAATTCAAGTTGAGTAACACAGCGTGTGAATGCTACAAGTTGTTAATTGGGTTCAATAGGTATTCGGGTTGACAATTAAGAGCCGCCTATTTTCTGAAGCTACTATCGAGCCAAGCCAGTGGAGATAAAGAGATGAGGCAGTGATAGCTGTCAATCGTAGTCCTCAGCTGCGCCATTAGACCAAGTCCGGCTCCATAGATATGCCTCGGCGGACCCTTCGATCACTACGGGACAGGAAGATCCACCAATGGATGAGGTCATATGAAGATGTTGACTTACTGCAATCGACACATCAAAGTCAATGGCTCTGCAGCGTTCCACCTTCCCCGTGCCATCAATCGTCGTCTCCTCTTTCGCGCCTCCCAGTCGGTGAGGCTCACGGCCGGTCAGAGGATGATGGAAACAGATGGGCCACCTCGACACCAATGATGTTAGTTTTTCCTAGGCTGAGCATAACATCATTCGAAGTCTGCCACTATCTAGTATCTTGTGTCACTCGAGTAACAGACCCAGATTGAGCAAGACGTCTTTACTAGTCTGATCTGATAGTCAAAATCTCACCATTAGATTTAAGATAATCGACTAGGTGTTGATGGTAAAGTATTCATCAATGAACTTGCACTCGCCGCATCACTCGACCGAGGACCGGGCCTCGAAAGCTCATTGCCCCGGTGCTTTTCCTCTCTCTTCACCTTTCGTTTCCGACTAATCTCAGTAAAAAGCTTATTGATGGCCGGAATACACGTGCATATCAATCCCAATCCACCTTCCGCGTTACTACTGTCAGTCAGCAACGAAACAAAAATCTCAGAGGCACAGACGCAGAACCAAAAAAAAAAGGAGAAGACACTTACTCGCAGAGCAGAACCTTCATGAATCCATTGACTTCAACAGCAGTGCCCAACTCCATAATAGCCAGCGCCAGACGATATATACTGAAAACGACAGCGATACTACCCGCTCCAAGGATAGAGATGACATGCAACTTCTTAGAAAAAGATATATGCATATTCCAAGTCAGAAATATAGGAAAAATCAAAATAGCCAGATCGGTCACGACGCTGACGACGGAATGCGTGATAATAATGGCGGATCGGTTTAAGCATGTACCGTCGTGCCGACCGATCTCCCAGTACAGGCGAATGGGATTGCAGGTGAAGATCTTGACGAACAGAACGATCATGTAGTATAGTATGATGGAGATCAAGAAAACGTAGACTGAAATGACCTTTCCGCGATATGGGCTCCAGAGCCGAATGAAGATGTAAATCAAGGATATTTTGACGCATAGGACCATTAAAACGTAGAAAATAGTCGCTATGTAGAAGATCTAGTGCCGAATATCAGTTTGAGTCTCGACAGGGTCCGGCTGGAGGCACTTTGGTTTTTTCCGAAATAGAGGAATCCGTGCTACCGGAGTATGTGTCTGGATTATGAGCTATAAGCAATTGTTCTTGAAACAGGGAAGGCGACTGTACAGAATAGAGTGCAAATACAATGGCCCACAAAGAGGAACTGCGTTTGTCAGTGACACGTATATTGAGATGTAAAGGTAGTCAAACCCGTGCGATATAACAAGTTACTTTTGGAGTTAGTAGATATATCGATAACATAGAACAGCACATACCATCTTCAATACCGACCGGGTGACGCAAATAGAACGCAGAGAAAGCGCGCAGCGCTACAAAAGGCGAGACAATAGCGAAGGATAGAATCTGCGTTGCCAAACTGATTTTGTCCAGGTGAGTGCTCATCTGTACTGAGCTGTTCATGATCGGAATGCGCCGGAATCATTGTTCTATCGGGTCGCCATGGAGCACAAAATCCGATCATCAAGTATGTGAGCACCCTGACTGTGTTGAAGATGATACTTTCGTCATGAAAAAGATAGTGGCGATCGTCGAGGCCAAGACTAAGACCGCGGTCGGACACTTTGAGAGCCGCCAGGAGTAATGATGTCATCCAATGTTTCCCGAGGGGTCGTCGGAAACATAACAGGCCTTTATCTACTGGATCAAGTTCAAGAGCAATTGAGTGGAAAATACTACAAATAGAAGTGAGTCGGGGCTTTCGGTGCCTGGCCTAGTGGGAAAGGTGTGGTGGCCGGTGGTGCCGAAGCTATCCATTCAATATGGGAATTCGGAGAAACAACCGGATCTGCACACTGCACCCAATCTATGTTTTAAATCGCATTTCCCGTATAATAAAAGTATGCTCAATATGCTTCTTCCATGAATCAAGAATGCAGCCAAGGTGCCGACAAAGCCCAAAACAGGATCTTCGAACCCAATTGCTTCTCCGCGAAGTCCAGGAACTCATCCTTGGTGAATGGCTTGTTGGATTTCGGATTAATCGCCGCCAGATCCGGCTCCTGCACCGCAACCACGTTAATTGGCACCTGATCTCGATACTGAGACATATAGGGATAGGCATTATTCTCCATCGTCTGTTTATAGGGGATATCATCAGGCCCACCAACACCGACACCATTCGCTGCAAAGAAGGCGAACGAATCCGACAGGTAGTTGTGCTCATTTGCCCAGCCACAAGGCCAGAAATTCACATACTGCACGACGTAGGAACGATTGAAAACACTGGCCGCGTAGCGGGCATTGTCGAGGGTACCCTCAAAGTATTTCTGGCATGTGTAGCCAGATGCATTGTGGGATTGGACGTCGATTGCAGTTTCGGGGAGATTGAAGCCGTAGACCTTGTCATCGAAGGTATCAGCCAGAGCCTGAAGCAGGCGCTGAAATCACTCGCGCACGTGAGGATTCCATTGTGCGGTTGCCCAGCCACCCGGAACGAAGTTATTATCGCAGTCATCTCCGTCGCACTGAGGTACGCTGCCATTGTTGTAGAGTGGTCTGTGTAGATAGTTTGGGACTGGATTATTGGCGTTGCTGAAGGTGCGGTCTTGAATTTGGACCCAAAGATGCTTGCCTCGGGATTGGGTGCGGTTGAGGTCGTTGGCGATGGCAGAGAAGTCGTATTGGTCTCGCTGAGGTTCAAGGGATTTCCAAGTGTAAAGGCTTTGGATTCCTTGAATCTCAGGACGCTCCAAGAGAGTGAGAGCCTCATCGTCAATGTCGCTGGTGTAAAGCCATTGGGCGATTGAGTAGTTAGAGGTGGATCGGGCTGAGACGCTGTTGGACAGCAGACTTGCTAGAGGAAGACCGATTCCCAGCTTCATGATCGTGGTCTTGGATGGTGGCTTTTTTATGAATATCGACCTGGAATGAGATTTCTTCAATCTGAGGTATAGCCAGTCTATGTATGACTGAAGAAACAAGACTATTGTGACGGACCCTGAAAATTTCCCGATGTAACTTGGGCCCACACTACACTTTGAAATGTCAATCCACGGCTCGAGGTCCATCATCACCAATCTGATTGAGAAGATTCTGAAACATACGAATCCCAATCCACCTGAATGTCAGACACTCCCCACATCGTCAGGAAGGTCAATAGAGAACCGAACTATGAAGAGTTGTGCTCACTCTCTGCATAAAAGCGGTGGCGTGAGTCAAGTATCTCCAAGCTGCCGTCCATAATCCATCAAAGTCTAGAAGGAGCCCAAATCATCCAGCCTAACAATCCACAAAAGGTCATTCCCAAACTCATCAACTACTCCCCCAAATGTCCGCGCGACCAACCCAAATTTCTTCATCACCATCCTCATCGGCAGATTCTCAGAATAACTCCCAATTCTAATTTCTGCAAGCCCTAGCTCACACAACCCATACTCGAACACTAGCTTCAAAGCCTCATACGCGAACCCTTTGCCCCTCGCAAATGGCTGAAGCACAATACCCGCAGCACCAGCACGCGGTCCATCAGGTTGAGTGTCATCACAAGGCCCTATCCATCCGAATCCCGTAATCCCGATCGGAGTATGACCGTTCCAGATGAGAAAATGGAGGTGTGTCAGAGGGTGCGAGATTGTTGTCCAGCGGTGAGCAATGCTTTCGAGTTCGTGGGTGCTGGCGTCGGAGATGGATTTATCGAATTTGGAGTTTTCTTGGTTACCTAGAATGTCTAGTAGGGTTGTGGTTTCAATGAGTGTAGGGATGCGGAGAGTGATGTCTTTTGTGGTGGATTGGATTTTGAAGGAACGGTCGCCTGGGTGGCTAGACAGTTTGTATGAGCCGGTTGGGACTTTCATGGTTTCCAAATGGTGAAAAAATGAGTGGTATTGTCGGCTGCTGTGTGTCTTATTTGAGGGTGCCACTCCGAGATTACTGGGAGCACATGGAGGATTTAGGTTGACTTAGGTCCAGTGACCTTGTGGCCGATGCGATCGAGCCGAAAGATTGTAAAGATCGGGGTTGACTCAACCTGACTCGACTTGCGAGCGCAGATCTAGATGGGGCCAAGGCATGACATGTGACGGGGCTATGTAAATTAATGGTTTATCCAATGAGTGTACACAATTACACAACCAATCAAGTATGACTGATCGTGAGATATGGTACATTGTCCTCTCTGCCTCTCTAGGAAGGCGGATATGACCTAGTGGGTTCGAGGGTTTCGAATTGCGCGAAACATTTTGATCGTAGATTTCTTGGCGGAAGAGCTATTTTGACTTTTAAAATAATCAAGGGCTTCAAGACAGGAGCCCTCCTAGATTAGAACGGTGTTTCACAAGACACATACTTTATGACTCTTGAAGCTTCTTTGTTGGGACCTGCAGCATGTTCCCTAGTTGGTCCCTTATCGGCTACGCTGGTCCATGCTTGGTCAGTAACGGGTTTTATGTATCGAGATGCACGTTGCCAATAGCTGCTCGGGATAATTCGGTACCCTGGATGGCAAGCGAGAATCGGTGAACGAGAGCGAGGCACCCCCACTATCATCCTACGTCTGGGATCGTCGTTTGGTGAAAGAAGATGGAAGCATATTGATGGTATGCCGTATGATTATGCTTTGTTTTTTACCTCTTTTTGATCAAGGAACAAAACCCGAGGTGATAAATACTGTCATCCTTCCACTCCCATTTCATGGCTCGGGGTCAATCTCAAGTTGAGTTTGAAGCGCCCAATGACAACCTGAGAAAGCCCCAGCAAGATCAGGGCCCCCGGAAACATGGGAAAATACGTTGACCAATTTCAATGAATTTTTGTAAAACTTCAAAAGCCCGTGATATACCGATGCTCATTTGTCTCCTCAAGCACCTCCAGCCTCATGCCCACCTCGACAACCCCTTCACTGCGCGGCGCACTCAACATTCCAAAACATGGCTTGTACTTGATCCCCTCATCAATCCTCCGATAACTTACAAGTGTATCCCACGGCTGTTTCTTATGCTTCACCGCAGAATCCGGATCCACATTCGGCACCTGACACCTCGCACACCTCGCCACAATATCCAGATCCAGCGGTTTGCCATCCCCGCTAATCCGAACGGTCTTCCACGAATCCTCGCTCCAAGGCGTCTGGCCTCTAACAACGATATTAGGTCTGAAACGTTCAACGGTTATAGGGTCAACGCCTTTGCGACGAAGACGGGAGTTTAATTCGGCGAGAGATGCCTCGGAGGCAATTAGAATGGGAAAAACGTCTGGAAAGCCGGTCGATTGAATCCGGCCCAGAAGACTAGGGGCCCCATTTCCTTTCAGAATGCGGGGGGGTTGGGCCTTTGTAAACCAGTGCTACTGGGCGGCCTAGAAACGCGGAGAAGGGGGCATTGATAGACTCGTTGTAGATGTGACCGTCTGTATCATTGTCCCAGATCTTGACTGGTGCGATGGTCGTGTTATTATTTAACCAGTCCAAACTCGGATGGCAAGGTATGCGCACAGTTGTCATGGTCTCAGAACCAATATCTGGGATCGTAACAATCAGATCGAGGCCCTCGTCGCTAAGAGCTGTGCCAATGCGCGTCATGTTGGGGATCTGACGAATCGTCAAGAACTCATTTGTCTTGGCGTCGACGAGCATCCAGCGGCGGTCGAGATCGAGGCCATGTTCTTTGAGAAGAGTTTTCTGGACCTCGAAGCCACGGCATGACTTAATTGGGTACATGCGCAGTGAGATAATCTCGCTAGACTGCCGGGGACGCCAGAGGCGTAGGCCTAAGCGTGGAAGGATTGTGGACTGCGCTGTGTGAGTCCATCCTTGTACTTTGGAGAATAGAAGGATGGGAAGAATGATGAGGAAACCCAGGACTAGGATTGAGATGGGGGTTGCCTCGAGCATTCTGGCTGCTGGGAGGAAGAAAGAGTGAGGTTAATGTACGTATTGATCGGAGGTAAAGTTCTAGTTCGGTCTCGGTTGATAAGCGTTTTGCCGTGGTTGGCCGCCTCCGAAAGCTGGAGAAGTTGGGGTTGATGTCATAACGGGTATAGTTGGGAGACGGGCTACTAGCTTCATCGGTACACGATATACAATTTTATGGTAAAAGTCATTCATACTGCGATGTCGAAGCGGATTGTATCAACATAAAGGCTTATATTGGATATTAAAAGACAGGGAATTGAGATATGTACTAGACGCGCATGAAGACGTGGAGAGATTGACAAGAAAATGCTAACTGCACCAATGAATGCATCAAAACGCAAAAGTATTAAACGAAACCAGAACAATACCTAGCCCACTTACGAAGAACGATTCTCATCGATCCAGCAAGTTACCAACGTCTTAATTAAAGCCATCGCAATATTCCGTCCCAGGTCGATGTCAGCATCCTGCGAGGCCGCAGGAACATGCAGGAACACCACATTCCGATCCTGCCCCTCCATCAGAGCCAGCGACAAACTGGTATAAAAGATAAAGTCACATAGATAATGACCCGGGTCCTCGGAAATGCGCAGATCCGTCTCCGGCGGAGCATGTGATCTCCAGGTCTCTAGGAAATGGTCATCCGGCGGGTATGGGCCTTCCTTACCAGACTCAGATCCAGGGGTGAGGGTAGGCGGCAGGCCTAACTCTTTCCAGCGCCTCTCGCCATCCTCGAATCCAGTACGGCCCTGGATATCGGTGATAAAATAACCATCTCGATGCGCGAGCGACTCTACAGAGTAGTATGGCCTCGGCGACGCAATACCAATATGGAGCACGATATCAGGTCTACCGCCATGCTGCGCAGCGTACTCCTTCAAAATATTTGGAAGAGCTTCGCGAACAGTCGCATAAGCGACTGAAATCGGGGTTGGGTGGACATGGAGAGAGACGCGGCGGTTCGCGCCCTTGGGGGAAGAAAAGTCGAAAGAAGACGGAAGGGAGGATGCGATCAAATAAGAAGCGTTGACAAGGTTGGTCTTGAAGGGCTATTGACACGGGTCAGTGGAATTCAACTTGAAGGTTGAGGGCTCGGAATCGGATTCGACCTGGATCCGGACGATCACTGGGGTCACTAACGCCGAACCCTGTTATCAGCACTGAAATCTCGCTGGGTATGGGCTGGGGCTGGGCTGGGCTGTCCACCGGGGTCGAGTGGACTGAGGGTGCTGCGGGGCCGTAGTCTCCCATTTTGTTATGTTAGGTTATAAAGGTCGAAGTGTTTCAATGTCGAGAGGTCAGTTGCCTCCGTGCGGAGGTGACTGAATGCGGGGGGTCTTGGCGCTGCATGATCCATGGCTTGATTGTTCCTTTCCGGTTGTGATTCGTGGTTGGAATGCATGGTCTAGTTTCGATGTGGCCGGCGCTTGGTCGAATAGCTATCTAGCTGCATTGACCTAGATGATGAGTGATAGTGTGTATGGCCAGGGTGGCCCTGCTGTATGTGGTTCAAGAACTCGGGATGTATATATTTCCCTGTGGCCTCGTCACACCGGCTGCGTTCGAAGACACTTCCGTGCCACTTTCATTTCGAGTCTTGCCGGAGGACTTAAAATTGACTAGCCCACTTCAATTATTCACACTACAGCAAAACAGGAAGTCCAGGGATCCTGGGCGTCGGTCGGAGACGAAAACTCTCGAGATGCCTATTGGAGCAATTCTCTTAAGATCGGCCCTCGTTTTCGCATTCGACGAATTCGAACCGTACAGATTAACTTCTGTTCATGCAGATGTCAAACCAGACTCGGAGACTCCAATTCCGGGCTCACAGACCTTTCCCAATTGACTCTACTAGGGCCCGGAAAGCCTAGCTTCCGATCGTCGTCCGTAGTTGTGCGCCAGGTATCCGCTCCGGCTGGGCCACACCCGAGTAATCTACAAAAGGAGTGGCCTGAGTGGCTCATGTTGTATGCTTCGTCTAACACCTCTCACATCTTTATTGTTGCTTCATTTGGTTTTTTTGTTTTGTTCAGCATGGCTGTGCTCCTGGAGTTTCTCGATACCCCCTACCTACAGGGTGTTTGCATCGCTCTTGTGCTCGTCTTCGCATCCAGCTTCTGGGAGGATTTTTCCGATGAAATCCCATACGGACGTCTGCCACTGGTGGGCAAATCTGGATGGGATCTAAGCAACCGGAAGGCCAGATCTCAGTTCACCAGTTCTGCACGAGCACTGATTGCTGAGGGGTTCGCCAAAGTACGACAAATGGTGCGATCCGAAGAGTAAAGGCTGATCATCATCCGTGGATGACAGGGCATGAGTGTGTTCCAAGTGATGGGCTCTACCAGACCATTGATCGTTCTGCATCCAAAGTATATCGATGAGATCAAAAGTCACCCGCACCTCAACTTCGAGGGCGCCACGAGAAAGGTTAATTGCATGATCCGCATTCTCGGAACTGGGTTGATTTCCAACAGAACTTTTTCGAGGATCGAATTCCCGGGTTCGAACCGTTTCACTCAGCGGGTGCTGGTAAAGTCCTTATTGACACGGTTCGGATCAAGTTGACCCGGGCACTCGGTGGGGTAATCCCGACTTCATTGGGGCTCCAAAGTTGGGAGATTCTAATGCATCCCAGGCTCTTTGACGATTCCACTTACTAGAGAGACAGCTGCGACAGTGAAAGATGCCTTCCCTCCTTCAAAAGGTATTGCCGAAGAAGCCTCATCACCTATCTATACTGACTCGCTTCAGAATGGAAGACATAACTTCTCGCAAAAGGTTCCCTATATGGTAGCACGGATGTCAACACTGATCTTTATGGGAGAGAAGGACTGCCGGGATGAGGAATGGATCAATGTCTCGGTCAACTACACTATCGATGCCTTCATGGCAGCCCGCGAGCTGCGTCAGTGGCCATCTATCCTGCGTCCGCTGGTGCATTGGTTCATCCCGGCAGCCCAGAAGCTGCGCAAGCCCCAAGCCGTCGCCCGTTCTATCGTTAATCGAGAGATCGAGAAGCGCGACATGATCCGTGCCGGCAAGCTGCCAGATGACTCGCCTCGGACCCGTGCCGACGCCCTCGACTGGTTTGAAGAGCTGTCAGCGGCGTCCAACCTACCGTATGACCGATCTCAAGGCCAAGTGGGATTGTCCATGGCGGCCATCCACACAACCTCGAATCTACTGACTAACGTCATGTATGACTTGACGGCGCACCCCGAATATATCCAGTCACTTCGCGATGAGATCCGCACTGTTGCCATCGAGGATGGAGTCTTCAAGAAGACCAGCCTGCTCAAGTTGAAGTTGATGGATAGCGTGATGAAGGAGTCGCAGCGTGTCCACCCGTGAGCATGAGTAAGTGCACCATCCATACCCGATAGTCTGTTCAAAGTAGTCACTCCCAAGACCAGCCTCCCTGAATCGACTTGCTACTAACGATATTGCCCTTTCCGACGGCACCGTGATCCCCACTGGCGCGACCATTGTGGTCTCCGCACACGTCAATGAAGACGAATCCACCTACCCACACGCACACATCTACGACGGCTATCGCTTCTACAAGAAGCGACAAGAACCCGGCAATGAGCACCGCTTCCAGCTGGTTACAACGACGCGTGAGAGTTTCGGCTTCGGCCACGGCCTGCACGCGTGTCCGGGCCGATTCTTCGCAGCCAACGAGTCCAAGATCCTGCTCATGCACCTGTTGCTCAAGTACGACTGGAAGTTCAAAGAGGACCACGGGAAGCCGAAGAACTTTGAAAATGGCACCGAATCTATTCCTGACCCAACTGTTGAGCTGTTCCGTTCCCGTAAGCCGGAGGTTGACCTAGGTGTACTCGGAGAGTGAGGCGTCACTGGGGCGCGGATCGTTGGTACAACTGGATCCCGGCCCGCTTGTGCCCTTTTTCCCTTGAATTCCGCGGTATCGGTATCGGTAGCGGTATCAAAGCAGGCACGTGCTTATTTATCAACTTCTGAGCTTCGGATCAAGGGCATAGTGTAGATATATAGCACATTGGATCGATGATTTATGATTGAATTGGTTTGTATCTTTTCTGACTCCATTGATGCATTCTGAGGAGGTTCGCTTAGTCCATAATAAGTGAGATGGGTAATCACGGCAGACACGGCGTCCTCTGTTTCAGATTCACGCAAACGCATGACTCGAGGTAATTCAAATTTGAGGACGTTTTTGGCATTCAAGAGAGTACGAATTCAAGGTCCCAAGCACCAATTCCCAAGCACCAAGCCCAGAGTAGAGAGTACCGAGGACCACGTTGACAATAGCTCGTGCGTAAATACGGTGTACCGGTACCACGCGTGCCCGACGCGACTCGACGCGACGGTGGAGTCACTTTTCCCAAAGAAGTAGAATTGAACTCGAATCGCGGCGTTCACGAATGACGAGGCGGTCGAGCCGGCTCGAGCTTCACCGCACAATGGTCAAAATTCGGTTCCTTGATCTACTCCTATTCTTGCAGTGAAAGAATAGAGCTACAAAGCTATAGAAGCTCAGAAAGCTATAGTGTATCCATTATGGGCTGCCTTGGACACAAATAATCGAGAACATGATTCCGCCACCTTAACCGCTGTATGCAAAGGCCATCACCGGCGCAGTATCTCGGGAGGATCAGCCCTTACAGTTGACTCGGGACTTCTGCTTGTACGGTAGGGGCGTTAACCGAGCCCACGATCGATGGGAGCTCCATCGCGATCAGCGATCCAATGGGCACTGGACCCCGTTGGATCCCCTCTCTGGGTCTTGCGGGATCTCTGGGTTCCCAGCCTCCCGCTCCAGTACCGTAAAGTCTCCAACCTTGGGCGTTCTCATGGTGCTGTTCCCCATCCGTTGTGCCCTTTGCAGCGTGCATCAAGTAAGGTCCAGTATGCAGCCACGCTCACTAGGAAGGACTCGGAGAAGATCTAAACAATAATAGAGCATTTCCGGTAGACGAAGAAGAGGAACCGGGTTTTAGTTTCGCGAGTAGCGCAAAGTCGCGGTGTCCACTTCTTACCTAGCAAAAGTGTACAACTGGAAAAAAAAAGTACAGTGGAAGTCGCAGGTACACCGCGAGTGCCCGCATCCCCCCCTAAAATACAGGTACCAGTGACCCCAACGCCTCACTCGACGCCCAACCTCTCCTCCTCTCTTCCTCTTCCACCTTCCTTCTCACTTTCCCTTCTCAACCCCCTCCCCACTTCCACCACTGCGAGCGTTCGCAGTCGTGTTTTCTTTTCTTTTGTGTTTTTGCCCGGTGATGACGACTTTCTCCATTCCCTCTTAGCTGGGGTGGAGCCGATGTGATCTGGTGATATTCCGATTATCTCTCAGTTCGCGCATTCCGCGCATCTGATCACACGCCAACGCCCGTTTCCTTCACCATCCGCTTTTGCTCTCGTTCGATTTCCTTCTTTAACTCACGACTCACGACCAATTTAAAACGACCCACGCACTTTGATTTTTCAAAGCTGCAGCCAACCCAACCACGTTTCCCCCCCCCGGCCCCGGGGTCAGCCTTCCGCCGATATCTCTCACGATATCGAATTGACCAACGCTCCAACTTTGCGAGCGCTAGATCGCGAGCCCGCTACCATGGCTCAACGTCAGCTGTCGCGTACGCTCCCCAAAAACTTTACTTTTCCCTCTCTCAATGCCGACGGGCCCAAGACCCCCGATCGTCCCTCCGCCTCGATCGACGTTCCTCCCCCGCCGCGTCATTCCATCTCCAGCTGCCGCCTGCCTCGCGTTCGCGTTCGTTCCGGCACTGATGTCTGCGCACGGATGGATCTGGATATCTTCCGCTTCCAAGGAAATCAGGACGTCGCTCTGCCTTCCATCGAAGTGAACAACCAGAGCGTCGCGCTTGACGCGTCCTTTTCCGATGAACCCACCAGCGACAAGCGCTTCCTTGCACCTCCGCGCCAGCGCATGGTCTTCAAGACGCCTCCTGCGCAGATTGCCCGCGCGGAACACGACGGCGGCGACACCGAAAGCCAGTGGCCCTCGTGGGATCAGACACCCGCCGCCTGCAACATCCCCCGTCCCGACTCCGCTTGTTCAAACCACTCCGACTCATCCATCGAGTCAATTGAAACTTTTGCCTCGCGACCTTCAGTAGGAGGAAGCTGTACGAGTGCTGAGAGCGACTTTGACTCTTATTTCCCTCTTGAGTTCCCTAAAGAGCCCGAGATGAGTTCTCCTACCCTGCCCAAGAAGCATCGGGTGATGCGCTCCCAGACGAAGGATAAGTCATGGAGTCGCGAAATGGACAACCACTTGTGGAACACGTATCAAATGTACCTGCAGGATCCTACCATGACTCCTTTCAAGATGACCCCGGGCAGTATCCCGCCGCTGGGCGTTACATCTCGAGTCTCTCGCCGCGCCAAGAAGACATGGGAGAAGAACCATCGCATCATCAAGTCTTATTCCATGCATTCTACTGACCGCAGCGGGAGCTCCACTCCAAAAGCAGTCGAGGGTACCACTCAGACTATTTGGCCCAAGTCTGATGCTAAGACGCGCCGACGACTGAAGCTGCTTTGTCGCCGCAAGTTCTGCATCATGCCTCATTACCAGCGCATGATGCAGTCTCGCAGCCCAGAGCCTGCTGCAGACATGCTCGGCGCGAACACGGAATCGCATATTCGTGATTTCGCAGACAACAGCACTGCAGCTTACGGCACTCGGGACCTCGGCGTTTCCCTTATCTCCACATATGATCCTACTCCGCTAGCGCAGCTCGCTGAGGCTCCTTTGCCCGAAGAGCCCAACACGGAATGGTTCAACAACCCGGTTCAAACCCCCTCTACCAATCACATGCCTCCACCCGTCAACCAGCACCTTAATGTTCATTCTACTCACAATATTCCGCGCCTGGGATCGCCCTTTGTATACAACACGTGGGGACCTGGAGGCTCGGGCCGCCAAGTCCAAGATCTCCCTCCCCGGCCCGGACAATGCATGTGCCTAGTCGTCGTACCCGCCGCAATACTCATTTGGTGGAGAGGACCCCTCGGGATTCCGATGATGTATTCTCCAGCGACGTTTGTGAGGATATGGAACCCTCCGATGCAGAAGTACAGAACCGGTTGGAGCATTATATGCGCGACAACAAGCTCCAAAGCATGGGCCACGGTCGAGTCCGTGTTCGCAATCGAGGTGCTACTACCAGTGGTGCTGTTGGCCCGCGGGATGTTGACCAACTTTTTTCACCTCCTTCATCCCTGAACTCATCGCAAGCGGAAGAGACCACACCCGTCGCCAAGCCGCCCCACCCATTGCTGAGCCTCCAGCAGGGCGAGAACATCAAACGCCTGGGCTCACCCTTCAAATTGGATGGCGGATTTAGGCGTCGTGATGCCCCTCGCCGTTTCGTCCGACATGCACCTTCGCTGTCGGACCCTTACCTGACTAGTGGAATCCCGCCATATCGAGGCACAGTGGCTAATCCATCTCCCATGGAGCAGGACAAGCCTACTGGTCCATCACTGCAGGATCCCTTCGAGGAGGGACTCTCCGATGCCGAGCGCATCCGCCGGCAAATCCTAAACATGCCATTCGTGCGCTAATAGAGGCGCATTTCTGCTGTCAATTCGTTTTTGCGAGATTTCCCAATTGCATAATGACCTCAACGACCGAGATGGGCGCTTTATTTCTGTGCCTGCCCTTCTTGCAGCCTCTTATTTATGACAGCCACGGCCTTTGACGACTGTAATGATACGCTTGATGGCCCGGTTACCAGATCCAGTCTGGTACTTGGGCAACTCTGAAAATTTGCTTTTTCCACGACCTTCACCCTCCGAAGAGAAAATTGTGATGGGCCTGTCCTCCTGATTTTGTCGTTCTCCACATCCGATGATCATCCTAAATTGCAACTTGAGTCTTTCAGCGCTTTGATCATGATCACCGATGGACAGTCGATCTTATTGGGACTTACTCTCGTTATCGCCTTTATTCACCGCATCTTGCCATCACTGCAGCTATGCATTGATCACCACGGTGCAACGTCACTCCCTTTCAATACTCGACAGAATTGTTTTTCCTTTCCATCTTCGACTACGGGGCACCAGCCATAGCCTCAAGGTCAACAAAGAAAATCACCAAATCACAAAAACAACAGAAACAACCAAAAACCACATACGAAATCACCAATGTTCCGCTTCTTCCGCCATTGCGCGATCCACTCCCTATATTTCCTTTTTGCATCTTCATCAACCACTCCACTCGTCATTTCAACTCACAATGACAAACGAGTGGAACGAAACCGCCACTATTTTCTCTTCGGCCCCCAGAACCCTGAGACACTCCCAATTTTGAGATGAGACTCTTGATTCCATTCCCAAATTCGAAAAGTCACGCTCCTAAAAGAATGTGCAAGACGAATATATACGCAACCCCCACATAGACGAACCGCCACGAAACGACCGCCCATGAAGTTGGCACACGACACATCATCCACATTCCTGAACGCAAGCGAGGTGTTAGGGTCCGATTCTTCGTCGTTATTTCCTGCCTTCCAATCATTCGATTTCATCTTTCGTTTTGATTATCATTCAATTTCTGATCTGCATTTCCCTCCACATATCCATCATCGTTTTGCTTAATTGAAAGATTGGAGAATTCGATATGAGATGCCATTTTATTGTTGCTTCTCATGGATTTGTGGTTGGAACTGTTCTTGATTTTTACTGGCTCTGATTTTGATTTTTGATTCGTGTTTCTGACGGGTCTTTTATCTTTCATACTCTTTATCTTTACATTTCTACTTGCGCTCTGGCTGTCTTTTGTTTTACTCAATGTGGGTTTGACTTTCAAGCATTTAGTCGCGTTGAGCTTGGGTGTATGAACCTTTGAGATTGCCCAATTCATTACTTTCATTGATATTCTAATTGAGGTGTCGATTATAGATTGTAATTGTAAATGCAGGGCCTCTTCTCCTGTTTTCAAGCACCCAGACGCTAGCAACGGGCCCACCTGGGCGCAGATCGGGCGAGCCTGGGGAAAGTGGGTATGGAGATTAGAGTGACGATGACGGGGGCGCAAAAGCGTAGTGAGTTTCAATTAGGTTCGGAAGCACACTTTGGGATGCGAGTCTGAGATTTGTTCAATAATTAGACTGTATAGGGACAAGGAGCAGTAGAAAGATTAAATAAAATGAATCCAGGAAGAAACAGAATAGCACTGAGGGGGGTATAAGATCATAACAAGAAACAACCGGAAAAGAAAAAAACCGAAAACAAATCTGATCAAGAACGCTCCATCTTCTTCTTCCTCTCGGAAAGCAACGCCTCAATCTTTCTCAACTGCAACGCAAGCCCCTTCTTCTCCGCGTGAAGCACAAGCCAATCTTCCATGGCCTCGCGCACCTTCCGCATAGAGTGCAAAACCGGCAACGCAAACCCATTGAAGTTTTCCCCCTCAGCGTCCATTTCCACAGAGACCCACTTCTCAGAACCAGGATTGAGAAGTAAATCAAAAACGTCAGCCCACAGCTCGCGGTCCCAGTATCGTTTCAACGATTCTCGGATGCGGTATGTACTTGATGTGCCGGAACTGCTACGGACGGCGGCGGATTCGATGTATTTACCAAAGAGAAGGACGTGAATGACACCGGCAATTCCGTACAAGTCGATTTGGTGGGTCCAGGGACGCATTTCACGGATTTCGTTGCATTCGTGAGTACCCGTTTCCCAGTCTGCGATGAATTGGACGCTGGGACTGAATGCGTTCATGTCGATCCCACGACCGAAGTCGATGAGGGCGAGACCCTTGTTTCGCCAGCCCAGAGCTCCGCTTGGGGAGTAGTAAATGCTGTCGCGGGGATCTTGGGTTGATCCGTCGGTGCCAAGATCGAGCAGGGAGAAGGCATTTCTGGGTGGGTCTTCTTCGTCGAGGCGGACGAGACAGTTGTCTGCTTTGATATCGCCGTGGAGGATGCCGTTGGCATGGAGGGCTTCGACTGTACGGAAGAGTTCGACGGAGAAGAACATGGCAAGGGATTCTTCGAGGCCACCTTCGCTGTTGTGGGTTGAGGAGATGGGTTCATTGCGGAGAATGTTGACAAGGTCTAACAGGGTGCCTTGGCCACGATAATCCTCAACAAGGAAGCTTTCGCGCTGGTGGACGTGGAGTTCATGCGCGCGGACAATGCTATCTGTGGCGCGCGCGTGGCCGGGGGATTTGCGAAGACGTTCATGGGCGGTGCGGATCATGTAAAATTCCCAGGCGCTTGAAGGTCCGTTCTCGACCTTGACGGCTTCAAATGGGTGCCGGGCGGTGTCGCAGAGGTTGGATTTCTTGGTCAAGGTATTTTTACCACTGAAAGACATGTTTTCGTCACCAGAATCGGAGTTATAGGACTCGAGACTGTCAACGCTTTCGGCCAGACAGACCGGGCATAGGCGCCTGCACCGAGCTCACGACGGATGATGTAGCTTCGCTCTGCACCGGGAAATTCAAGAATTGGCATGTCGTATGCTTCATCATCGCCACTCTTAGATCGTCTGCTATGAGTCTTCACAAACTTTTGAATCATGGAAGAATAGTTGCTGGCTTGAGAATGGCCATGATAGCCTGCATATGTCGCTAGCGGAGGTTCTAAGGAATTCAAGATCGTGTTGCGAATGCCTTTGTCTGTCGGATTGCATTGTGCCTCCTTGATAATGACCTCTCGTCGACGCTGCTTGGGAGCAAGGGCTTTGAACGCAGTGGGACTGAATGGAACATCGGCTGTGGAGTTCACGGTGTGGTCTCCGTGATATGGCGTAGCACCTCCCAATGGACTGGACAGCAAAAGGTCACCCATTTGCGGGACACCAGAAGGTGTTCGAGGCCTTGATGGTGTTTTAGCATTGGAAAGAGCATTCCGAGCAGCAGTCATAGAGATAGAAGACTCAGTGCGCTCCACAATCGGAGTCATGAAGGGCAAACGGTTCTGGGCCATGATCGCAGGATCTCTATATGTCCCACAAGGCGGAGCATAATCTTCTGGCATCTGAGGCATGAAGCCCCTTCTTTCAGGAGTCCCGTGTGGTGAATCTTCAGGTACACCTTCGCTAATGACCGAATGAGACGTTGCATCTGCCGATTCGGCGCCAGGGACATCTCGACTGACGCTGAACTCAGTCCAATCGTCTCCGACAACACTTTCGGGGTGAGTAGTATCGCCTTCACCGTATTCCGTATCATCCAGCGACTTATGAAATGTCTGGGTCTCGTCGTCACCAAAGTCACTTGAAGTCGCAGAGATATGACCAGTAGTATCTGCAGTGCTAGCGCAATCATCATCGTCGTAGTCGCTGCCGAAACAACTATCGGCTGCATCTTCCTCTTCAGCTTTCAAAGGTTGATTGAATATGCTGTAGATTTCATCCGTAGCAGCTCGCGTGTGCATGGTCATTGTCGGCTCTCTGGTGCTCTTCCGACGAACCTTGGAGTTTGTAGGAGAGTCAAACTTCATTTTGACTGCAACATAATTAGCATCGGGTTTAGAGAAAGAGTGGTGAATGTTAAAATTACCAGTTTGAGTCTGCGAGTCCCCATGGACCTTGAACCTCCTCGCTTTACCAGATTTGCCTTCCAAAGATTCATCTTGTGCCTGCGTTGGGGACTTCTCATCAATGGCCAACTTCTGGTCGAATTGGTCTGGCAAATTTTCATCAAAGCCCGGTGCTTCGGGTTGTGTCAATTGCAATTCACTGGCGGAGTTGCCTGAAATTTGCTTCAGAGGCTCCTTCTGCGTCCGCCAATTCTTGCTCATCCATCCCCGCTTGATCGCCCTCAGTTCCTCAAAGCTGACCTCGTGCGCAGGGTTCTTGTAGTCGGGGTATACCGATTCCAGGTCGACAAACACGCGTTCTCGTCGGCCAGTTCGTGGATTTACCGCTTCTCTTACATGGTGTTCCGGAATATGCCGGGGGGCACAAACTTCTTCTTGAGGAGGATTTGGATTTGACTGTATACACAGAATCGAAGCACATAGGTCCCAGCAATTAGTCCTGCGATCGTAAATATGAGGAAGGTCTAAAGGGGATGAGCAATGTAAATTGCAACTTACCTCGTCCCTGAAAATGGCCATTTTTTCCTTCGGCGCCGATTTCTTTCCTGCCTTCAATGTCTCTCCAACCCACGGCTTTGCCTCGACCTCGTTTTCCTTCTTTCGATCTCGCATGGATCCGATGCTATCCCAGCCCTTCGTGACGCCGCTAGCAGCCGGTTGTTCGGTAGAAATCGCGTCAGCATCGGAGAAAATAGCCATCTTTGCCTTTCCAGACTTCGTCTTCGCACCAGCAGCCTGAGGTGATGGCCGGGAGGCCTGCTGGTCTCCAGAGGGATCTGTCAGGGAAAATGGGTCCATCTTCGCGGCCAGTGCGGGGCGAACAGCTGGCAGAGCTGGCGAGGATGGCCCCGCGTCCTGCGGCCGCGCCTCGTATCGATGTTGGAATTCGCTGTATTTTCGTAACAATCGTTCAGCTGGACGTGCTTCGCGATCCACGCCGAGCCTGAATACCTCGTCGGCCTGAGACCAGCGTCCGGCACCTTCTAACCACGCAGCAAATTCTTCGTAAAACAAGGCCAATCCCTCACCTATATGATGGCGTGCAAGGAATGCAAAGGTTTCGCGAGGCGCATCAGAGAATAGCCTAATGTAGTGAAGCCACAATTTGAGGTAGCGCGGGTCGTTTTTGTAGTGGGTTGACGATAGGAAAGATTTAGTCGCACGCTCCAGCAGCGGGAGGAGGCCGGACTCGGCAGTCGCTTGAGCAGAGGGGTATGCATTTAAAGTCCATTTCACATAGCGGTCGTAAACATCGAGCGGATCGTCAGATTCTCCTATGGCTTGTAATTCATTTTCGTATTCTTGGCGGATGGCTCCATTGAGTGTTCGTGTATCGTTAGGCGAGGGGGTCGCGAGGCTGTCACTGTTGCTGCCACCAGAGAAAATGCGGGCGAGTTCTCTGGCTGAACGGCCACCGGGGAGCGATTGAACGTTTTCCTTCTGCGCTTCAATAATATTGAAGTCGATGAGGTCCTCGGAGGCAGCCATTTTGCCTGAGTCGTCGATGCACGTCAAAGTTGTCGAGGGGTTCGGACTTTCTTGTTTGGTTATCGATAAACATCACATGACTGTTGCCCCGGCGATCTCCACGTGACATCAAAGTAGATGCAAGGCTCTTCACGACATTTGTCTTCAGTGATATAGTGATCAGAAATCTGTTAGATTGAAAGAAACTTGCCCAATTAAACTCGACCTTTCGACAATTTTCTGGGTGCGGACGATTTATGCTTGTCGGGGCCTCCGAGATTCCTTGTCCACACCCAATCAAATCGCAGACTCATTAGCTTCGGGACCGCAAGTATCGCATAGCTTTGCAAACTCCGCTGTGGCATCAACCACAGGACGCCATCCAGTTCTAGAGTACGATGTCCGGCTCCACAAATAACGAGGTCTCCATGCAATCACCAATAAAGGTCCCTACAGAGCCCAAGGCCAGCCACAAACGAAATCTGAGCAATGGGACAACGGGCGGCTCTCCAATTCGAAGATCCAAACGGCAAAGATCAAATATCAATTTAAAGGAAGCTTCATCATCAGAAGAGCCAGAAGAAGTGGTCGACAAGGACTTCGAGCCCAAAGAGGAGACGCCTGCTAAGTCCACGCCAAAGAGTGCTCGGGCCAAGAGAATCCGACCCATTTCTGTTAAGAAGGTGGCCCTTGAGGATACAGAAACAGTTTCCGTCGTCGAGAAAGACGAGGCCGAACTTGCTATCAAGACAGAAGAGGACGTCCATGTGAAGGCTGAAAGCAAGGCCGCCGCCCCGCAGAAGAAAGCCGCTCCTGCCAAGCGGACCAGGAAGACTAAAGAAGAGAAGGAAGCCGAAGCCATGCCGCTGGCTCCGCGAACTACGGGATTGAAAATGTTTGTCGGCGCTCATGTAAGTGCCGCAAAGGGTGTTTTCAATTCCATAAACAACAGCGAGCACATCGGGTGAGTCTCTCTACCTCCGAATGTGACAGTGAGACTAACCGTATATCGAGTGGAAACGCGATTGCTCTATTCCTCAAGTCTCAGAGAAAATGGGACAACCCACCTCTACAAGATGATGTTCGAGATCAATTCCGCAAGCTATGCATCGAAAAGAACTACGATGCATCCAAGTACGTTCTCCCCCGCCTCCGACCAAATTCTCTCTAACCAGATACCAGACACATCCTTCCTCACGGCTCATACCTTGTCAATTTAGCCCAGAATGACAAAGCTAAGTCAGATCAAGCTTACAATTCCTTCCTGGAGGATCTTCGCCGCTGCGAGGCTCTCGGCATAACCCTCTACAACTTTCAGTAAGTCCTCCTCCTCCCACTAAAATCCAGACCTTAATCCCGCATAGCCCAGGAAGTACCAATCAAAGTCCCCTCCCGGAAGCCCTTGGCCGGCTCGCCTCAACCCTCACAAAAGCTTTAACAGAGACCACAACCGTAGTTCCAGTCCTTGAAACGATGTGCGGCCACGGTAACACAATCGGCGGCCAACTCTCTGAATTTCGCGATCTATTTGCCCTAATCCCAAAAGAACACCACTCCCGCATCGGGATCTGCATAGATACATGCCACAGTTTCGCCGCGGGCTATGACCTCGCTACGCCGGAGGGATTCAAAGCTTTCATGACTGAATTCGACGAGCTCATCGGGATTAAGTACCTCCGCGCTCTACATCTAAATGACTCTAAGGCTCCGCGAGGAAGTAAGCGTGATTTACATGCCAATATCGGGACTGGATTCCTCGGGCTGCGGGCGTTTCATAATGTGATGAATGAGCCGCGGTTCGAGGGGTTGCCGATGGTCCTGGAGACGCCGATCGATCGCGAAGCTGAGGCCGAGAGTGAGGGCGAGGGAAAGAAGAAAAAGGGACCGAAGAGGCCGGCAGGCGCTGCGCCGCCTGCTGTTCCTGATCCAGGTGTTTGGGCTAGGGAAATCAAGTTACTTGAGTCACTTATTGGGATGGATCCTGAAGGGCAGGAGTTCAAGGCTCTTGAAAAGAAGCTTGCGGAGGAAGGGCGCGAGATGCGCGAGAAGGGAATGGAACAGTTTGAGCGGAAGATGGAGGCGGAGAAGAAGAAGGGGGCTAAAGGGAAGGGAAAGCAGAAGAGTCTTGTTGAAATGATTAAGGTTGATAAAGATGAGGAAGGGTGTTGTTGATACTGGCGTTATCTCGGGTCATGTCAACCACTGGGTCAGACAAAATGATGTTACTAAGGCTACCATATCAACTCGAGAGGTCCGTATATTGAAATGAACAGGCTATGAAAGCCCCAAGAAAGAATTTGAATCGGTGGTATCAATCAACCCGATGGCAACGAATACAAGTGCCTTCATGCAAATAAGATAAGACAAATTCGCATCTACTATGAACCCAATACAGTCGTTGCTCCATTAAAACTAAGGCAGCGTTACATCTGTGGTAATATGCCATGCCCAAGCTCAGACAGGCGAGTCGCAGACTCTAGACTTCCCAAAGAGGTCGAGTAGACGTATTGCCGTACAGACGACCATTATCAGATATCTTATAGATAGCCACAGAGAGGGTGATCAAAAGAGAGATGAGGTTAGTGAGGGCCCGGCATTTGGTGGCGGACGGGTGACATGAAAGCGGTGGATTGGACACCTGGAGAATTTTCTCGTTGAAATGCATCAAGATGTGGGAAACCCCCGGCCTGCGCCATCGATGTGACTGTCGGCGGGGCCGACTTGATAGGAGAAGAAGGCCCATCGTCTTCGGGAATAGTGGAGGTGGAAATGCTGAGTCCGCGCCTGGCACCGTTGGCCCGGACGCGGAATGATCGCCGTTGGCCACCCGCGGAAGAAACATGCAAGTCGTCGTTGAGATGTTCAGCGGGTACGGGGCTGACAAGGTCTGAATCTTGGCCGGCAACTCGGTTGTACTCACCGAACTCGCCGCCGCTAGGTTCATCGTCCTCGCTGTCAGATTCAGGAGTTCCCTCACGACTCGAATATTCCGCGGCTTCGCTGCGCATGCGAGAGATTTTCATGTAGTTGTAGCAAGCGATGCTGCCGATGGTGACGACCAAACCGGTGATGTTGACAGGAGTGAGTTTGTCGTGGAAAATGATACCCGCAGCGCTAATTGTAACGACTTCCTTGAAAATACCGCAGATACTCAAAGTGACAACAGAAGAGCGCTTCAAAAGTGCGAATTCGGAGGAAATCATGCAGAAAGCAAGAACACCGGGGAAAATAAGCAAACCAGCACCGACACCGGTGCCGTGCTTTTCGGCGAGCTTCAGGAATCCTTGGTGAATATCGTTAGGGCCCTCAACAGCGAGGGCGATGAAAATCAAAGAAAGAAACATGACTGGTGTAAGGAGAAATAGTGTCGAAAAAGGGTTCGACGTAGCGGGATGCCGCAGTAAGAGGATCTGAGTCAGACCCCATCGGAAACCTGAGAAGAAGGCAGATGCGATGACCAGCGTAAATCCAAGTGCGTTGAAAGCAGTCTCTCCAGCAACCATCATCACCACACCGATCGTCATTGTGGCGATGATAATGATCAACTTGACAGACGGCGTTTCCAGGCGGAATAGGAACGCAAAGAGAAGGACAAAAGCGAGGGCAGAGGATTTGCACATTGTGAGAAAGGTAAGAGAGATGAACTTGAGGGACATATTGCCAAGTCCGACATCGAGGGATGTAGCAGCACCGCAAGGTACGAGACGTGTGAGGTAGAAAAGCTTGGTGAGGACGGGCCCGTTGGCTTCGGAGACTACCACTGGCGAGCTCGAGGGTGACGGCGGTGGGTGGCGCGGGCGTAATGACGGGAATATCCATAGTAAAAGAGCGGCGAAGGTGAATTGGACAAGCATGTGCAAGCTAGTTGTGAAGAGAGGGAAAGGGAAAACGATGTCGCTTTCGGAAAACATCCATTTGTTGTACTGTAGAGACATGATCGGGTTAACTCTGTGTGTCATGTCAAAATGGGGCAAAGGTCACTCACAATCGATATGGACAGAGAGAAAAAATACCACATGAGGATCAGCCCGCCATTGACAGAAAGCCTCTTGGCGACATTGCGATCTGCCAAACCTAAGTGAAAGATCGATCGAGTCGACTTGACATCTGCGATACGGGCATCCAGCTTTTTGCGTTGCCGGCGCCGGCGCCGGCGTTGACGTTTCTGACTAGCTGTTAGGCCAGTCTCCTCATCATACTGGTCATCGTCCGAGCTCATTTCGATGTCTTGATTGTTATCGACGATTGATGCTGATAGATCCGACGCATCTGTGTCCTCGGCAGTCAGAGGCTCCTCGTCCCACTTCGTTGCTTCGCCTGGTCGCAGGCTTTCATCCCTCCGATCCGAGGAAGCCGCATGTGAGGATCTTGCCGCGCCCGTGAGCATTGAGCTCCGCCGACGATGATGACCACCTGTAACCCCCATTATGGAATGTTTGCGATGGGGCTAGACACGGTCCGAAAAGGAGGGAAGGGGGAAGACGATAAGTGCCTGCCCCATGAGGGTGCGACCGGGAGTTGTTTCACGGCGGTGCACCCTTGGGGAGGATGTGGATCGGTAGATGGATAGAAAGAAAGGGAGCAGGAGAGAGAGAGAGAGATAGAGAACGTCAAATTGGAAAGGAGTGGCGGTCACGAAGATGAAGAAACACGAGACATTTCTCCTCGCGAAGGCGGTGTTTTCTCACTCCGCTCTTCTCCATCTCTGACTGGCCCGCCACCGATCCACTTATAGTCGATCCACAGTCCGGTCGATCCGGGGTCCAAGGGAAATCGTACTGCGTCGGGTTCGTGGTTCTCCCGTTCAACTGGTGGATTTCAAGTTCCGGAAGAAGCTGTCGAAATTGGGGAATCGAACGAGGATGGGGTGATGGGGATGGGAACACTCAATGAGGCTTTGATCTATTCAGGAATCAGTGCCCGAGGTCTCGTGTCGAATTGCTTGAGCTCGCTTGGGACCCTTAGCAAATGGACCGAGTCTCTTCGTCTGTTCGTGAATCTCATCAGGGAGTCCAGCAGGACACTTCCTGACCTAGTTCAGCCTCGCTAGGAGTCAACATAATGATGATGTGCCCCCCAAGTTGAACAGAGCACATGCCTTCTGTACTATCATTGGGGGAGCTATCGGGATACCATCTCCCCAGAGCATCGAAATGACCTCAGAAAGAGCCTACCCTCATCATCATGTCGTCCTTCTTTGTGCTTCTGGCGTAGATCCTTATATGGCGGGTCTGTACGGTCGAAACCGCGACTTTAGCGTGTGATCCTCTTTGCTTCTTCACAGCTCGACTGGGAATTGAAGCTGCTCGCTGACCCGCCTGCTATCGTCTTCCATCGAATAAAACACTCACGCGTTGATCGTGCTTTTCACTGGCCCAGTTCGTGACTTCTGTCGTCAATATGGGGGACCCAGGATATATTGCCATTGAAGACTATGGACTGATCGGAGACATGCATACCTGTGCTTTGGTGAGCAAGGCTGGTAGCTTGGACTATATGTGCTGGCCAGTCTTCGACTCGCCTTCGGTCTTTTGTCGTCTACTGGACTCCAAGAAAGGCGGTTTCTTCGCCGTTGGGCCCCAAGACTGTGTGTACGATCCTCACAGCAAGCAACGATACTTGCCATATTCGAACCTCCTGGAAACCCGATGGACCAACCAAGATGGTGTCGTGACGATGCTGGACTACTTCCCAGTGAGCCCCAAGAAGGGTGGTCATCCGAGTCGCGTGCTATCGGGCTATTGTCCATGCACCGAGCCCGAAGCAAACCGCTTCAAGTCAGGCCTGCAGCACTCGGGCTTGATCAGAAAGCTGGAGTGTGGCCGTGGCAAAATGGAGCTCAAGGTGGAGATGTTTCCGGCATTCAATTACGCCCGAGACTCGCACATAGCTCGCGCGAAACTAGAGGACGACATGGGTAAAAACCAGCTTCAGACGGCTCATTTTGAGAGCGATTCAGAGCGTCTACAACTTGAAATCTTCGCTGATTCGAAAGAGCCCGATAAGCTTGGATACCCCAAGGCGAAGTTCAGCATGGAGGACCGGCCAAATTTGAAGGGTCGCGGACTAGTGGCTTTGATCACCTTGTCGGAGGGACAGACGGTACACTTGGTACTGCACAGTCCCGAAAAAGCGGTTCCCAGCTCGGCAATGATGAACGCGTACCTAGCAAAAATGGAGGAAGAAACCTTTGACTATTGGACGGACTGGACTCGCAAATGCGTCTTCCGTGGTCACTACCGAGAGACAGTCGAGCGTAGTCTTCTGATTTTGAAGCTACTCACCTACAAGCCCACAGGTGCCATCGTTGCAGCACCTACGTTTGCCCTCCCCGAGGAAGTGGGCGGTTCCCGTAACTGGGACTACCGATTTTCCTGGGTGCGCGACACGGCTTTCACCCTGTACGTCTTCCTGAAAATGGGCTACAGCTGCGAGGCGGAGGCTTACGTCAATTTTATCTTCGAACGGATCCTCCCGCACGCTCTCCAGGAAGCCGACGCAGGAAGTACGCGACCTTTCCTGCCGCTCATGTTCACCATCCGCGGCGGTTGTGACATCCCCGAAGTGGAATTGGAGCATCTTGATGGATACAGAGGAAGCAAGCCCGTGCGCATTGGGAACGCAGCGGTCTTCCATACCCAATTGGATATCTATGGCGAACTCCTGGACAGCATCTACTTATACAACAAGTATGGCAATCCTATTACCTACGACCAGTGGTCTGCAATTCGGCGCATGGTGAACTACTGCGTAAGCGCGCGGCACCAGAAAGACATGTCCATTTGGGAGTCTCGTGGCCAGATCCAGAACTTCATTTACTCCAAGGTTATGTTGTGGGTAGCTCTGGACCGTGGTGTCCGCCTAGCAGAGAAACGCTCCAGTCTCCCCTGCCCCGATCGCTTCCAGTGGATCAACATCCGCGACGAACTATACGACGAGATCATGGAGAAAGGATATAATGCAGACCGGGGCCATTTCTGCCAGAGCTATGAAAGCCGAGAAGTGCTGGATGCATCCATCTTGATTGCGCCGCTGGTGTTCTTTGTTGCGCCGAACGACCCACGTTTCATCAGCACTCTGAAGCAGATTCTCAAATCTCCAGAGAAGGAGGGTCTGTCCAGTGCCAAGATGGTCTTCCGTTACGACCATGTGAAAGCGAATGATGGTGTGCTAGCCCCATTCTAAAAATCCCGTTCATCTCCCGGGTAGTCACTGATATTGTGTTCCACAGGAATGACCGGAGGCGAGGGTGCCTTTATCATGGTAACCTTCTGGCTAGTTGAAGCCATGGCTCGAGTGGGTATTCTTTCTGCAATTTCAACACATCTTATCACTAATCAAGCCACTCTGAACGTGTAGGCTGCCAGGTACGACGTACCGATTCCCCAGCTTTGGAAACTCGCCCTATCTCACTTCGACAACATCCTGTCCTATTCCAACCACCTGGGCATGTTCTCTGAAGAAGTGGCCATTTCTGGTGAGCAAATGGGCAATACTCCCCAAGCGTTCAGTCATCTGGCGTGTATCAGTGCTGCTATGAATCTAGATAAGTTTGGCACAGAGTGATGGTTTAGAATGTACTGGGCTAGGCCCACCCTGAAAACTAACTTTATGCAATCCTGCGTTCTAAAAAGATAGAATCCATCCTTATGATTTCCCTTCTTTTCTTTTCCTTCCAATACACGCTATCCTCCAGCTAGTATGGCTCCTCCAGATACCGAACAAAGTGCCTTGGCGAGTGCCAGATTGTCTCACTGGAGAATAGATCAAGTCCAGCAAGTGCTTTCTAGCTAGCGGGAGATATTGTCCTAAAAGCTAATCTTCCTTACTACAGTACAAGTACTGGCAGTGGGCTTGATGAAGGAGTGAATGATCCTCCCATATATGTGGCCTACTAATATTCCATGGCCTGGGTGTCGAGCATGTTCACAGAGGCTATCATAGGACTACGGGAGACAATTCTGAAGTTGTTGATTTCGGCACTGTCTTTTGGACCCCGATCTATGACGAGCATCTCCTTACGTAACCCGTATCGGGCGCAGGTGATCCACGGGGCGTCGGCGCGATCCGCTTGCACTCCACTTAGTTTGTTGCTTCCCCAGTTCATTTCCTTTTGAACGGCAATGTCTCCCTTCCCTTCGGAAATTTGACATGTCTGTGCATGGAAAGTTTCGCTCTGACTTCGTGATCTTGTATTAGACATCTTACCATCTCATGGCAGACGCCGGTTTGGACTGGGCCGATCGCCCAGGATCCAACCGCGCGTCATCATCAGATGAGGACTTCGTCTCCAGCCAAAGCACTGCCTCTGCAGAAACCGACGCGATCACTAAGCATCATCTACCGACTGCACTCGGCCATCTCCATTTGCAGCATACAGCTTCAAGCCCTAGCTCTGATGAACATAATCCCACTCAGACATCGACGCCTGGCACCGCAGCTTCGATGGAGATCCTATCGGACACGGAAGCAGGTACGAAACGAATGCAGCTTCTGGATCTGCCGTTGGATGTTCTCAAAGACATTATCAAGGAGGTGAGCAACTTTCCGTCGCGCTGGGCTCAATTGAATGCCACACATGATAATGGAAGCTAATAGGTACGACATGTGACAGGTTACGCATACTAACGACCTCACTTCGCTTGCTTTGACATGCTCTGCGCTCCATGCCTTGACAATTCCGCACATGTACTCACGCTTCGACATCGTCTGGCCGGAATCGCTGAATCCCACCACCGAGGACTACTCTGGAGTGGATGCCTTGTCATACGGGTTATCAACGCTAGTGATGGGGGAGGACGTCTTTAATCGCCCGTCACCTCCTAGGTACGACAAACCGGTCTGCGCATGTTCAAACTGCGGCTGTGACGACTATGGACATCAATCGTCGCAGACGCGTGGATCTGAATTTGGGTTTCAACCGCGACGAGGGAACTATTACGCTCAGTACACTCGCACATTCTCCATCGGAAATGGTCCAGTGAGCTGGGTTCAGGAGTACTCCGTGAACAGAGAGGTGGGCAAGATGCTGGGTACACTCGTTGCGTTGGCTGTCGCGCGGATGGTCAACCTCGAGGCCTTTGTCTGGGACATGCCGACGGGCGTTGTTCGTGAGATATGGCTAGCACTCGCTTCACTTGCAGACCGACCGGGTCGTCGTTGTCGTCTAGAGCGCATCTGGGTGCGTTGGCACGATAATTCGGAGAACCTTCTGCGCATGTCGAACGTGACTCCTGGCGGTCGCTCACTTCAAAAATACCGGCATGTGGAACATCCATCTCTATCTGTATTGCCGCCGCTCAAGAGTGTTGCGGTTCTCGACATCGACGAACCGGCATACGTGGAAGAGTTGGGTGTTCTTATTGAACGATCCCGTCGTGGTCTAGTAGAGCTGCGCATTGGCATTTCCATCAAGGCACATTTGGCTAATTGGGTAACTTGCAAAAAGGAGAACCGATACGTTGTGGGAGTCCTCGATGGGCTGGCCGAAGACTGGGGGAGTTCTTACTGTTCTTTCAAGACGTGAACCCGAGACTCAGACAGACGACGATGCCACGACTTCCTCGGATGGTGGCCTCGTCCCCTCGGATTCTTCAGCATCATTGCCTAAAGATCAACACAAAAATGGGACCTCCACTCAAACTGCAAGCGTATCAACTGGTCTCAATCAGCCCAGCGGGGAGTCACATTCTGCATCCCCTCATCGCCCAGCTCGTTTACCAGACCTCTTCGCTCGGTCAAGTGATGAACAGTTGAACCTTGAGGTTCTTGAACTGGAGCGTGTCCCTCTCTCTATAGCAACACTCTTGCCAACTTTGGACTGGACTCGTCTAACTACTCTTACGCTGATGCGATGCCACGATCACGAGAATCTGTGGAGAGCTCTTCGTCGTAAATACGCTCCGCCTGCACTTCCACCAAAGCGATCGCATAACACTAACCAGGGTCAATCAAGCTATGATGCACCAGGTGCCCCAGAGTACTCGCTGAATATCAAGAATCTGCGAACAGACACCGTTTCTTCGTATCTCATGCTCTTCATCAAAGATACTTTGGCCCCAAATACCTTGGAGAGTGTGTACTTGAATGAAGGAGCGGGCTATGAATCATCTGTTCATATTGATGCCATCTACAAACACATCCTTCGAAAGCATCGACTGAGCCTGCGAAAGGTATCAATAGATGCTTCCGAAAGATTCGGGATATCAGACAATCGACATGGGAATGTTGACGCAATGAGTCATCGCTGGCACAAATGGATGTTCAATCACGAAATGATCTCATTCGTGACAAGCGGGCGAATGCCGCAGCTAAGAGAGCTAGGAATGGCGATGCATTACCGGGACTGGGTAAGCAAACAATCTGACCCGTCATCATGTATCCCGAAAATAATACCTCCAGCACTATTTCCTCCAACGACTCCCCCACATGGCTCAGCTCCGCGCATTATACCTCCTCAACATAAGTCACAGTCTCCACCGCGACCTCAAAGAACTCGCACTCCAAGTCCTCGACATAGTCAGCATCCGCCCCGACCTCAAAATCACATACATCGGACTAGAGACCAAATGCTATCAAATCCTGGAAGCAACGTCCGCTGGCGACTTTGAAACCCCCCAAGCAAACAACACCTCTGCGGGGAGTGACGACTTCGTCTTCGACCCCGCTGCCATAACAGACGAAGACAACGAGGACGAGTCAGCGCAGCAAGACCCTGATCTCATGTCCAGCAATTCCTCGGAAGACGACTATGACGCAGACCTCGACGAAAGCATATCACACGTGAGGTTCACGTTACAAGAGATTCTTTTTTATGATGATAAGGTATCCATATTTAAAGCACGGCATGGTGTTATTTGATTTGATTTGTACTCTCTTACTGCCTAAGCATACAGGGCATTGCAATCTACGGAGTTGTGGTCTTGGAGATCACTTAATGATACCCGGTTGATGTTAGTTAGGGAAGGGTATTTCACGGTGATGGCCGCAATTGAAACACTTGAACCGCTATCGGACGATCTTTTCCCAGACATCACACCCATCCTGCTTTGTAGTTGCATCAAATTCCTTTTTGCTGTAGATCTTACAGGACAGGTATAGGCTGGTAGGGCAAGCAAAAGCCATGGACCAAACACTTCATGACTGATACATATGGCCTCACTGATGACGATCTGCGCGTTACCAGGATAAGAAAAGCTTTCGCGATGTACATGCTGATTTGAGGTGAGTTCCTCGACGTTGGCGAGAGTGACCCACTTGTCGGTTCCATACACACGGTATGTTTCGATATATCTCACTTTGCAGTGCCATCACGCTGCAATCGCAAGAGTAAGTTTACAAATCGGTAGACCGCTATTGATCGCTTTTCGACATGGCGCAGATTTGAATAACGACACGCCTGGCGCTTCTTACCCAAGATTTCATATATTTTCTCGAAACTTTGCACGCATATGCCCTAATCCTTATGTTGGATTATGTTTCCGTTGTCTGCTCTGAAAATTTGCTCCCATCGCAGTGCATAAACGAAACCTTCGAAATGCCTCACTTGAAGACTACGCCCTTCACCAAGCAAAACACGATAGATAAAACTCTTCATTCATCCGGGTATACAAGCTACGACCTAACGCCAAACCATGCACCCCCATTGACATTGAACCTAATGAACAAGCTTATAATTCCCCCCACTCACGATCTCAACCTTCCCCTTCGAAACCATCCCAGCAAGGAACTCCCTCAGCTCCTCGTTACTAAACGGAAAGCCGCCCGGCACCACAATCTTCAACATCATAACAATCCTCTGCAAAGGCATAGCACCCTGATTGGTAAGCATGCCTACGATGAATTGCCAGTACAGATTCATCTTCTCCATCGCCACAGCTTCAGCTGTTTCTTTTCGCAGCAGCAGCAGCAGCGGCTTCAGCCGCTGCGGCAGCGTTGGCTGTATCTGTAGATTGACTGGGCACGTCTGCTGAGTCTTCCTGTGTTTCTGTTTCAGTGGGTAGGTATTCGAGGACGCGGAATGTGTCGCGAGATGTTTCCATGAGAATACGCTTGCTCACCCAGAACAGACAAGCAGAGAGGACAAGGGCAGGAGCCATGTCTAATTCGGAGGCGAGATCGGTGACTGATCTGGTGGTTTCCTCGTCGTCAGATTGAAAGGCGTAGATGACTGTTGCTTGCCAGGTTGAGACTTCGTCTACGAAGGTTCGATCGCCTAGTTCCAGTTCGACGGTTACTTGGCCGAGACCATTACGCCAGGTGAGCTTGCGGGATTGTTTCAGGCTTTCAAAGCCGGTCGAATAGCGGTGTTGGAGGTAGGCGATCTCGTCAGGTACTTTGAATTCTTGGTCTTGAATTTCTGGCCAGAAGAAGCGCGAGAGGATCTTGGCGTGTAATTCAGGCATGTGTACAGTCGGTCTTTTGGTGTTCATGCGGCTCGGGGGTTTAGAGAGGCCTTGGTCTTTGCGGACGCTGGTGTCGACGCGGCGAGAGTCGGATATGTCCTTTAGCATGACCTCGCAGGCTTGAAGTGCTGAGTCGCCGAATCGGACCTTCAAGAGCTCCAGAACGGAGATTTCTTGATCGAAGTCTTCGCGCTTCTGTAGGAGACGGTCACCAAGGAGAGATTGTAGTTCCTTGACGAATGTTTCTTTGGAATCAAACAAACTGATTAGACTGTCAATGACGTCGGAGCTCTTCGACTTTCGGTAGTCAGGCGCAGCATCGACCGGGTCTGGTACCCAATTCATATCATCCCAGTCCAGGTCAATTGTGTTGTTCTGCATAGAGAGTTGGTGTGCCTTTGCCAACTCTGTGGACAGCTCGACCAATGTGTCACCACTGGAAGGCAGAGCTTGCTTGTTTGCGGCCAGTGGTTCAGCGAGCAAGCCACTAACGATCACCTTGACAGTATCATCGCGATCTCTCAGATATCGTCGAATTGGTCGAGCAATCCGGTCCAGGAGAACACCTTTCGGGTCCAGGAGGTGGAAGGCCCGAATGATTGAAATATACAACTGCAGTATCTCAACGGTCGAGGCACCAGGGTGCAGCAGACGCTGATTCAAAGTTGCAATAAATGACTGCGTGACATAGGCCCTTGCCGCCGGATGCGTTGTGAAGTGTCGCAAATCTTCAGCGGCGCCACTACTCGCAGGCCAATCGACGATCACATCGAATAGCTCACTGGTACGTAGAGCTCCTAGACGAGCAATGCCAATCTCCTGCCACTTTTCCACATCCCCAAAGCTTACATCCAGAGAGTTAGACGCTTGGTTGCCAGACGGTGGCGTGTGGATTATAGCCAGCACCTGCACGGCGAGTCGCGCAAACACATTCTCAATCCAGTGTTTTAGATGTTGAACAGCAGAGGTCGGAGATGCCCACTTTCCAGTATACGCTGCGCGAACAAACTCGGTGATCATGATGTTCATTACGCCGGCAAAGATTTTTTGGGCTTTGTCACCACCAAGGCCGACGAGCTGCAACCCATTTAGAATCGCCAGAAGACGATCTCGAGCAACTGTGACGTTTTCTTGCTCGCCCTCCGTCATCATGTGTGCTCGAGATTCTGTACTCTCCTGCTTCCATGCTTCATACGAAACGGAGAATTGCCGGTCCATTTCCATGCCATCCTGGCTGTCATCGTCGCTGTTTGATTCCTCAAATAATGTATCGATTCCCAGGATGACCAGAGATTCTTGGGCGAGGTCCTCAGCTAAGAGTTTCGAAATTTGAGCCCACGGAAGAGAGTATGAGACAACTGCGTGGAAGCCTCGTTGTAATTGAGTCAACACTCGTCCTTGCTCGGTCGCCGGTAGTAAGGGTAATAGATAGTGCACGATAGGCGCTAAGTAAATTCGACGAACAAGTTGTAAGCAGTCGACAATTGTTCGTAAAAGACCATCTGTCTTGGGGTTTTGCGAAAGCTGAACGACAAATTAGGCACGGAATTCCCTGCAACACTATTCTTAATAAATACCTCATACAGCCCACCACGAATGTTGATCAAAAAGTGTCTCCGAATTTCACCTCCATACCAGCTAACCAGGTCCTGCGGCTTAGTCGCGCCTGACGTGATCTTCGCATTCTGAGCCGCAGCTGTCAAATACGCGAGCGCTTCGCCAGTCTCTTTCGACGGAGGACTGAGTCTGTTCCAGTCCTTCAAAGCTTCACTGCCGTCGGTGTCTTTGTATTCATGAATGGATGCAAATCCGCGGTCGGGGACAGATAGAAAGGCTGTCGCCGCAGACCACGCTTGGTCCCAGGCTTGTCGGTCCTCGAGTGGGTCATGGGCGGACGAGATGGCAGTCGCTTGGGATGCGGTTTTCACGGTCGACGAGGAGTCGTCAGACTGGAATGAGGTGAGCGGGGTCTGATGGAGATTGAAAGTAGATGTGAACGGTGGTCGAGCCTCGAGCGACGCGGGGGAGAAGACGGAGCCAAACACGCGTTTGCGTCCCACATTGAGGGGGACGGTGGATAGCATTATGGTCAGGAAGACCTAGTCATCGCGACACCGGGACTTTGTTGCTCGACCGTCAAGCTTGTGGTAAGAAGCCTGTTGACGAACGGTGTTTAGATTAGACATCAACGTCGGCGCGTGGTCACGTGCGCTCAAGTATGAATGATGTGGCTATCTGTGCCTCTTTATAGCGCCCCCCGCCTGGCGGTGAGGGTGTGCAGCACCGATAGGACAACTCTTAGCGGTAGTGTAAGTCTCCCATAATGTGTCGTTTTTGAAGCTATTCCTACTCCCTACGATACCTATAAAACCTAATATACCTAAATCTCGTGTATTTGAGGCCTACGAAGCCGCCCGTGCCTAGAAAAAGCCTATTTACCAATAAATGCTGACATAACTTCTTGCTAACTCACCTAAGGCATTTCCTGGACGCGACCCGACCGACCGCGTAAAGAAGGCCATAATACCTATAAAGCTCTGCCTTCTCATCCACCGCAAACTATAAGACAAGCTGGATCATCGAAGCCCTTTTTCTACAATACTGAAGATGGCCGAACGTTGTGACTTGTTCGAGTACACATCCGGGCGATGGATGTACGTTGCGGACTAGCACATCGACCATGTTGTATTGCTTGACTGATTTGCGACTAGCTATAATGATGCCTTGAGACACCGGGTGAGGAGACGTCCTTTCAATCCCCCTGAACTCCAGCGCCTACGACATCGTCGGGTTCAAGAAGCTTGCCGAGGGAGGATTCGTACGAGACGGCTTCCAATTTGTTGCACGCATTCCATACCCGGTCACCGAGCCAAACTACCTAGTGGTCGCAAGTGAAGTTGCAACGATGGACTTTCTCCGTTCTCATAGTGTCCCAGTTCCCAAGATTTTTGTGTACTCTGTCGTTGCGGATAATTCGCAGGTACAGAACATATTCATGGAATTTGCAAGGAAAGAATCTGGGTGATATCTGGTATACTTTGTCTGGACAGGAGAGAAGTATTATTGTTTCAAAACTTGTGCAGCTTGAATTCGTCTGTTCGGCTTGCGATTCCTAGCAAGTGGAAGTTTATACTACCGCGATGATTTGCCCAAGAATGGCCGCCGAGTTCTTGTTCCAAGCCCAGGATCAGCCCGTACTTTCTGCATTGGCCCCGATACTTCGCTTACTTTATGGTACGGGAAAAGGCTCGACTTGTCTGTCGAGCGTGGACCATGTGAGTGTTTCGGATTGGCGATTTGAACGTTGGAAGTTGCTGACAGTGGATCGTGAGAAGACCAAGATTCTTTAGCAGTCCTCACTGCTGGCGCCACAAATAAGATTACATATCTGAAAAGATTCGGACGAGCTCTTCAGCCGTTTCAGCGTCTTTTCAGGGAGGTATACAATTACCAGGCTCAATCGCACCTAGAACATATCATGAACCTTGAGAAATATCTCCAAATTGCGCCCCACCTCGTACCGCATGATTGCCCAGCCCTTCATCGCCCAATCTTACGACATCCTGATCTTCAACCGAACAACATTTTTCTTTCCGACGACTTAGAGATTAACGGTTTAATTGATTGGCAACACAGTACCGTTCTTCCATTGTTGCTACAATGCGGTATTCCAAAAAGTCTACAGAACTATGGTGACGCAATCTCGGAATCATTGCAAATTCCTAGTCTGCCAAGCAACTTCGATGAATTGGAAGAAATGCAAAGATTCCAGCAAGCGGAACTATTCCGCAGACGTCAACTTCACTATTTCTATGTTAAGATGACGGCGGACATGAACTTTGAGCATTACGATGCCTTGACGTACGATTTCAGTACACTAAGGCGGCGGCTTTTTCACCATGCCAGTGACCCTTGGGGGGGGGGGTGACAATATCACCTTGAAAGCCGATTTGGTTACACTCACAAGGAAATGGAGAGAGTTTAGTCATGACTGGAAAGAACCTTGTCCAATTCTGTTTGCAGATGACGAATCGACTGAGTGTATGCGACTAGCATGCGCACAATCTGAAGCATATGAACAACTACAGGCTTGCCAGGATGCGGTTGGAGTTGGACATGAAGGTTGGTTGCCTATCGCACAATACGATGAGGCAAAAGCGCGCGAAAGAAAATTGAAAGCGGACGCTCTCGATGCAGCTGAAACAGACGAAGAGAGGAAGACTATAAGTGAGTTGAGGAAAAGTTCAGCTTGATCTTCGCGGAAACTAAGCGACGACAACCATGGCTATGAGATGTTGAATCGACAGGATGGGTCAGGAAAAACAGGCAGCGATCTTGGTTTGAAGAACTGGAATTGCTCGAGAATCAAATGAACCCAGGCTCATATGTTAAGCTCAAGTGCCGAGTCAGTCATCGTGTCTTCCACATTATGTAAAATGCGATGACCTGATCGCAGTAGTCTACTGCAAATCATGTCATCCATCGAGTGTGGCTGACGCTCATCCAAAGACAATTCATCTCCAACCAGCCTGCCTGCGGCTGCGTTCCTTCACCCTGTTCTTCTCCGGTCTTCCAATTTGGCCCTTCAGTTGGCGGTCAGGACAGTGCACACACTATCTTCCACCGGCCTATCTAATAGCCTTGTGCGCTTCCCTCCGCGCTTTGGCAACCCACAACGTCTCCGAGAGCCCCGACTCCTACGCGATCGCATGAATCACTGCTCTTCCCATCGAGCGGGCCGCTGCAGAAGCGATGCTGAATAAGACACATGCAGTTCCAACCGGCTTCATTAGAACACTAAACCGACGCGATCGTCTATCCGTGGGGTCGCGTGGGGAAGCACAATATTGTTATTGCCTCTCTGGCCTCCGGAGTCTACGGAACTGCCTCGGCCGCGACCACGGCCTCGAGCCTCATTGTCTCTCTGCTATCCATTCGTGTTAGACTTTTGGTCAGTATAGGCGGCGGCATCGCTCGACCGGACGAAGAACATGATATCTAGCTAGGTGACGTTACCGTGAGCCAGCTCTATGGAACCACGGGCGGCGTCTGTTAGTACGACTTAATCAAGGCAAAGTCTGGTGATAAGCGTGAGCGCAAAGGCTTCCTCGGATGGCCTCCGCCGGTCCTCAATGCACTTACTAGCATCTAGCCCCGCGGAAAGGCCCGACCCATCTCGTTGTTAGCGACGCTTGGAACGGCACGACGCTCTAACATTTGATCTCTCGCCACAAATCAGTTCGGGTTCTGGCTCCATGCAAGTTCTTGGATAACTCTTCGAAGTCTCCCTGAACAACAGTCTTCGAACCAAGGCGACTTCCGTGAAGAGAAGAGTCGGTGTTAGGAAAGAATGACCTATTAATTAAAACCTACTTATATATTGTACAATTGAAGCAAAATTTAGAATACTGAGGTGTTAATATACAATGAAAAGGGGACGGCTCGATGGCTGTCTGACAATGCAGACTGGACGATACACACACACAACACTCCCTGCAGGCGTAAAGATCGGTTTGAATGATGCCGTACGGATATCCTGACGAGGCGGAGGTTCCTAATATTGGACCCGCGGGGCGGGTGAGTGCTAGGTCTACTCGTCTCATAGACTAGAACTTTCCCGATCAACCTTAATAATTCGTTTAATAGCCTCCATCATAGTGCCCAGCTATTGCCTAACTTCAGGCCCTATCACTCTTGTTCCTTCGCAGACATTTAGTGTTGAGTTAAATTTATGACAATCTGCGAATACTGCTACGTCTCGGCGGCGGTTTAAACCAAGTTGCATTGAAATCCCATCTGTATACGGAAATTCACCAGAGCTCTTCAATACGTTTTCTAAACAAATAGTAGATCCCCGTATCCTAAGCTATCAGGCCACCTAGGTTGACCTATGTTCAGTCCACCTGTCGTTGATAGTGTCTAGACACTAAGCACTCCTTTGGCCTAAGGCGACATCAGAGTTAGCCTCGCTATTAATCTCGTCAATCATAAGTTGAAGTTCGATGAGATGTCTACAGTAAGTGCTAAGAGACCGCGGTTTCCGCAAGCTCGAGGTGAACTAATAATGCTGTATCTGGAGCTTAGGTGAGAGGGTCAGTGCAATATTCGGGCGACCGAGGGTAAATCTCACCCAGATCTCACCCAAAATCTCACCCTGTCTATTGCGCACTCACCCTTCTCACCCTTGGTCCAGCCACGCTAAAGCAGCCGTCAATTAGTTACTTTCAGTAATGTTAAGAGATTGTATTTTACTCTAGTCAAGTTCCAAATACATACGACCATAGGGTGTGGAGAACAGGGCTTCCCGTCCGCTCAGCCGTACTTAAGCCACACGCCGGCAGGTTAGTAGTTGGGTGGGTGACCACCAGCGAATCCCTGCTGTTGTATGTTTTTGCTTTTTAATTTATCATTCACACAGATCTTGCAGTCTTGTCTTTTGAAAACTTCTTCATCAGATCGAACTATGTAGTCGGCACAAAACGAGCTAATGCGTGCCAGAGTAGAAGATAATTTTGAAGACAAAGAGTGCTAGTCAAACAGCTCTCTCTTTTGCCGCATGGTCTAAATTATGTGGATTCGAGTCGAGCTGCCAAAGATCCTTGCATTGCAACCTAGGCAAAATCTGAGCAAGATCTATGCACTGTATCCTCCTTTTTTCATACAGTACGAGAGAGTCTTTTCCCTCCTACCCGTAGAGTAGAGAGGAACAAGCATTTGCGCCACATTCGTATGACCATTGACTCTCGCACAGTTTAACGCAGTCCGACCCTTCCTATCAACAATCAAAGCATCCGTCACAGGAAGAAGCAGGCGCGTAACCTCTTCATATCCGTTTTCCGCCGAATAGTGCAAAGGTGTCTGCCCAAAATAATCAAGAGTATTGGGATCACTCCCTCTTTCAAGCAACATGACAACGCGGTCTTTCTGGTTCCTCTCTGCTGCCCAGTGGAGTGCAATTTTATCAAAATGCTTCCCGCGTCCGTTTATATCGAGGCCTTTATCGATCAAAGAACCGAGATCACAGTGCTTATGTACATTGGCGTGATCAGCTAGTGTGGCATTATCAGGTAAAATATCTTGGTGGCCGCCGGCATGTGATACTGTAAACTTTTCCATGAGTCGTTGAAACTCGCGTTCTTCCCGCGAGTCTCTGGCTAGGCCAAAACCTCGATTTGGAATACCCTTGCCGACATCCACGTCGGTGAGAGAAGGCTCATACTGCCGAAGATTGGCGAGGAGATCCTGGCAATGGAGATGCTCTGCTGTGCGTATGGCTTCGATGTAGACATCTCTTCCGGCACTGTCTACGCTGAAGCCATCTTGCAGCAGCTCCATTATCACAGATTTGAAATTCAATTGAAGAGTTTTCTTGTTGAATGGGAGGTGCTGCTGAACACGTGCTCCTCTCTTTACAAGTAGCATAGCGATTTCGCGATGATTCTTATCAAGCGCGATCCCTAATGCGGTCGTATGGTTTAACGACGGTAGCTTTATTTTCGAAATTGTGTTGATGTTGGCACCATGCTCAACGAGGAGAGAGACAATCTCTATCTTCCCCATCAGAGCCGCGTTCATCAGCGGAAGAATTTTGGCCTGTACGATGGTTTGGAAGATCTTTTGAAGCATAAGTGCTCCGGTAATTTTCATTGCCTCTGCGAGTACGCACACGTGTAATGTCGAGAAGAGTTCCTGACCTTTGGAATGATATATTAACGCAGAGACCTTCCGTGCCAGACTGTTCTGATGGAACGAGCGAGAAGAGATGTTTCCATCGGGGGATGCACCTTTTTTTAAGAGTTGTCTTCCAAAACTGATGTTATCGCAATATAATGCCATCCGCAATGCATAATTGAGAATCTCTTGCTTCTCTTTTTCGGACTTGGGAGGATTTTGCTCTTTATTCATTGCGACCCAAAAGACTTCTTGTCTATTGTGGGCTACAGCTGCATCAATGACTTGATCAAAAATTGGATGGAAGATGGTGTTGTTTGCAGCGAGAAGCTTCATAGCTTCTACGAACCCAAGCATGGAAACAGTGGTGAGAGTGAATTGAAGAATGTCGGTAAAGGATTGGTCCTGTGGGTAATTCTTGTTTTCAGTGTACTCTTCGAGATCCAAAAGTGTTTCGAGTATGGTGTTATGGCCGTGAACAGATGATACCAAAATAGCGAGTCCGCAAAGTTCACTTCCAAGTTGGACCTTTTCGCGATCTAAAAGAAGCTTGACTACTTCTAGATGACCTGCTCGTATGGATGCCATGATAGGATCCAGTTGGTCTGAGCCAAGGCTCCACTCAAGGCTGGTTGATGTAGTGCGCTCTCGTTGAGGAAGCATCAACTCCACGCAATGTGAGTGGCCCAGAAGACAAGCGATAGTCAGCGAGGTCGGTCGGCTATCCAATTTAAGCCACTTCAGATGAGCTCGGTGGTAGACATCAAACCACATGCTAGAGCCACTTTCGGCGGCTTTGTACAGGCGAAGCGCGTGGGACTGGAGTGAACGCTGTCTCGAGCTCGACGAATTCAGAAAGTAGTCACCCCAGTACATTGCAGAGTATCTGAACAACACTTGAACTTGGCCGCGGTCTCCGTGGACCGTAATCAGAACATTGGACTCAAAGTCAAGAATCAATAAACATGAGGTTGTAATGCGTGCCCACAAAGAATTGTATAGTGAAGAGTGAATGGATGCTTTCCAGCATTTCGCATTCGCGCTTTGAACAGTGTCTTGTTCTTTCATAAGAACATCGGAAAGATTCTCAATGTGGGTGTTTCTGTTTAGCAGAAAGTCTTTGGCTGTCTGGTGAATGAGATAGATTCGATTGTCGACGATAGTCACAAAAAGGCCGCAAAGGGCTCGAATCCTCGTCACAAGCCGATCTCCGTCGAGGAATTCACGGTCAATTTCATACACCAAAGTATCTTCTGGGCTTTCCAGAGCTAGATTGAAGGCCACGTCCATCTCCTTCACAGTCAAGGGTCTTTTTGCCCCAACGATAAGGTGGAGCAGGAGCAGAGCGTCACGGCGGCTACGGAAGTCGCTTGTGTGCCGATCAAGTAGCTTCTCATAGGCTGCCTCGACGGTCAAAGGCAGCTGCTCGAGATTTCGAGCCCGGAGCTTCTCCCCTCGCTTGACTCGGTATTCCAAATCATCCATGAAGAGGTTAATCCAAAGGTATGTTCGGTTTTCCATGGAGAGAACTTTTGTTTCAATGCTACCTCTGATCTCCTCGTCAAGCCCCAATTTCTCCATCAGAGCCCGCATCTTCGATTTGATCACAACATCGATTTCAGCTTTGACTTGATTGCTTTCCGCTTCTCCGGCGAGATGAATTGCTGGCAAGTGAATCTCTTTTTTGAATTCACTTTCGATATCGAAGTACGGTCGACTAGTCAAAAAAAATTTCAAATTGGCCTTCCGCGGAGTTTCTTGTATAGCCTTAGAGTAGAAGGCTTTGAGACGCCTTATAAGTTGCTGTCTACCCTTTTCCGAGCATTCGTCCAGGGCGTCGAAGACAACCACAACATTACCAGCTCCCAAGTCGGTTGCGGCTTTGATAAAAAGTGACCAAAGTTCATCAGGGTCTTTCTTGAGTGTTTCTTTCCTCTGCTGCCAGATGGGAACAGCATGAGACAAAAGTTGCGGGATCTGGCTAAAGAGTTGGTGTAGGAGGCAACAGAGTGACATGGAGATATCCTCTTGGTGCTCGTTGTCTTTGAAGAAGAAATAGCAAATTGTGAAATCTCTTGGGATGACTTCGTCCACAAGAGCTTTAGCTAGCACAGATTTGCCACATCCTGGATCTGCAGAGATCCATAGCAGGTTGTCTTGCGAGGAAGAGATCCAATCGTTGTATCGAGGATGATCAAACACCCACCGACAGGTCTGTGCTTCTCTGTCCGGATTGACGTTCTTGTATGTTTGATAGGGAAGAACGTCAAAGAATTGATGGCACTTTGTTCTCTGGTCATTTTCGCGATTGGCTTCCATCATATCCCTGGTCTTCTTGCTCTCGATTTCGATTAGTTCAGTGATTGTCTGCTGTTTGAACACAGTTGCCGGAGTAATATACCCAAGCAGTGTTTTGGCGCATGCTGCCGCCGTAGCTGCAGCGTACCTCTGCCATCGATCATTTTTGTGTGAGTCTGAATAGTCACTCACACCTCGGATGACAATGGAAGGGAAATCGAACAGGCCTGCCGCTTCCATTTCAAAGCACAAGACGCCGAGATCATCTCGAAGCCGATCCCTCGTAATAGCATCCTTCATCACCGTATTGCTTGAACCAATAGTACCGAAGAATACCCAAGGCTCAGAAGAGCCCCGTGTTCCTCGCGAAACCTGTTTGGAGATTTCACATGATTCGCACGTTCTTTCGAGCTTGGGATGTACGTATTCTGCATCGTACAAGACATCGTTTTCGGCACCGGGGTATCCATATCGCTTTTCCATAGCAGGTCGCTTCTCAAACATGGCGGACAAAGAGTCTGTGATTCCACACTCCCCAAGCTCCTGATCGGCTTCTAGCCTGCTGAGGGCAGTGAGTAAAGCGTATGGAGGGGATGGTAGACTGCCTTTCAGGACAAGTCCATCTTCTTGAGTGGTTTTGCCATAGTCGAACTGTACAACACCCCCGTAGGTCCCTGTGGGTTTGCTAACCACCACGTCGCCGAGACGAATATCTTGTTCTTCTGAGCTAGGCACGGGGGCAGCACCTCCAATGCCAACCATCAGTCCGAATCTCAAATTCTTGAATGTTCGCTTCATGTCCGTTGCCACCACGGCCGCAGAGTTGGTACCGTATACTCCGGAACCAAGACTTGCTATGGCAACTTTGTGATGGTTTAGGCGACCATACCGATAAGAATTATGGTCATTTTGGTCTTGTTCAATCATGTCATTGTAGACTTCGTCTAGCATTGCGACGACGGCTGTCGCCTCAAGCGCGAGGGCGCAGATGATACCCACGGTATACTGCTCGCTCATTTCGACGAGACGCTGGTTGACGAATGTGGCATGTCCCAGCCTGACGCCTTGAGGCTGAGACGAGGAAGCCCCGCTCTTTAGATCGACACATGGGAAGGCGGTGTGCAATCAGAATCGAGGGCTCGCCAAGTGGAAAGGTGAGTTGCCCAAAAAGCTCTACAAGAGTCATTGGCAATTTTGGTCGAGTAGTCTTTAAGATGACAGAAACAATCGGCTAACGCTACCGTACGCATTTATCAGCATGAAAAGCCTAAAGACCCAAAAGAAGTGGATTTGTGTATGATCGTATCGTTTCTTTGTCTACCCCTATATGAGTCATTTATCAAGGAGTCAGATAACATCAGTTTCTCTTACCACCAATCAGGCATGGCCTTCGTTTCAGACAGCTTCCCTGAACAAGACACAATTATCACAACGGTAAGCCGTAGTATACGTAACTGAAACATACCGGCTTATATTACTAAGCACAATTCTACTTGAAGGTATACTAGCCAGACCATACACTGAATACTAAGGGTTAACTAGATACGACTGGGCCTGAATAAAACGGAGGATATAGGAGGACATACGAGGGTACTTTGTATATACCACCAAAGGGAATTCCTAGAGAGGTCCGCTTTTGTCTATCTGCCCGCCAACATCGGCCATTGGAGATGGTGGACTATAGGACAGGAGAACACGAAGGCGTATTTTGGAAGGCCAAGTGTGTCTATATTAGTACGCTACACGATATTTTTATTTATCACAAAGTGCTGAATCATCCGACTGCCCGCCATTGCGATACGTATTTTATTTCTTTGCGATCAAATTTAGGTAAGCCCATGCGTTATATTATTCCCAGAGAAGTAACTCAAAATTAGTCTTTCTGGACTCCCGCACTCAGAACGACCAGATGAAAAAGGTTCAGGTGAGTGTGAACCCCGGGTTTACCTGAAGACGCGTCTACTAGGACGGCGAATCGCCCACGGCGGGTCTGAACGACTGCAATTATAGATGCACGGTTCCTTTTCCTCCTTTAGCGTGTTCTTATGGGCCAAATGGCCACGCTTTGAAACCCTCAATTATTCACTTGCAATGCCCAGCAGGTCCATGAAGCACTTGACGTGTCCACTCGGCTACAACTGCCCTTTCCCTCGAATTTTTAGTTTCTGTGGCTTGTGGCCTCTGTCTAACCCTTTGGAGGCTAGAGCTGAATAATGAATAAGATTGACATCTTGTTTTCGCGACGGGCAACACCTCATTTGATCTTCTTTAAGGTCCCAAGAGACGCAAGATGGATCGACTTCGGTTTCACTACCTTAGTCCCGTGGAATCTTTCTCGATCCTTGTTCGGAGATTCACTATTCTAGCCCAAATTTTTCACACGTGATAGACAGTTCGATGAATCTCATATCTTGGTACTGTCGCCGACAAATCCTGGCATCGTAGCAGTGACGGATATGTGGTTACAACTGCACGATTCGGCCACCTATATCTTAACAGGTAGAAGGGCTGGACCTTTCTGCACGTTTTTATCTGACTGAGGGAAACGGAGGATCATTGTTCATGTGGAATACTACGGTAGGATACTTTCCAGTGATATTATCATGACATGTAGCTACCTAGGTCGGTATAGCCGTCTGGTTCGCAGTCACTTAATTACTTCCCAGTTGAAGGGATGATAGTTTCACAAATCCTTCACAATAAATTGGTCTCTCTCATTAATACGCCGTTAATTGGCAATTTGAAATCACAAAGATTACAAGTGCAGAGGTTTCCTCCCATGGACGGCGACTCTGCTCACAGTTAGCACGAATACTCAGGCGATTCAAGGCGGTGGGGTAAATCAACTGTACGTTTGAACATAGGCATGCAACTTTTTATCCCGCAGCTCCTGCTTGACCACAGCATTATGAATCTTAGCCATATCCGGACTCCAGCCCAGCACCTGTGTGTACAAGCGCAGCGAATAAGAGTCTATGGCTTGCTGCAACTGCACTGCCTGGTATTTCCCCAGGGCCTTCAGATGGGGATCGCGCGGCCAGGGCGAGAACGGCAGCACGTAGACCGACAAGCTGACATCCTCAAATCCGGCTTCAATCATCCAGCCCTTTAGCTTATGGTATATGTTGAGCTCCCGACCAGTCTTGGTGCCGGCGACATTTATAGCCTGCTGCCATTCCATGAGCGCGGAATCTTGCTTGAGGGAGCCATCGTCGCTCCAGGCCCACACGGCACTCTCGTGCGATTCAAAGTAGCCGCCTGGTTTGACGTGGTCGTAGATTCGGCGAATAAACGCGGGCCAGTCGGCCACGCATCTACTTAGTCTGTTAGAGTGTCACTTCCGTGGAGACAGGGGACCAGTGGCAGGAACGTACCCTGCCAGGCATCGTGCATGGATAAAGTCAAAATAGTCTCGTTCATACTGCCACTCGCTTTCGAAATCTTCTATGATAAATTCGATGTTCGGTGCTACCCAAGTGGGCTGGATGGGGCTGATGTCGTTCCCAATAACATGCGCGCTGGGGAATTTCCTATCATCAGGATTAGAGTCTTGCTAGTATAGAAGATTGGAGTATGATGAATTTCACGTACTCGGCAATGTCCAGAGCCCAGATGCCTGTTCCTGTTCCCAGGTCAAGAATGTTCTGTGGTGACGATGTGATAGGGGCATTGTAGAGCTCTCCCCCAGCAGCATCAGCCATCTGCACTCTCTCCGGTTAGCCACACTTATTCATCAAGTATATGTTAGTTCACAAACATGTGGTGTGTCTCAGCAAAAGTCAGTATGTCAATCAAGACAGTCACTAGGGTTAAGGTCTTACGAGATCCATACGATCCTGCTCGTCCTCATCATTCGGCATCCTTAACTTGGTTAGTATCCCCCAACAGGAGCTTCTTAAAGACAATGTGAAAATACATATAATTTCCCAGTTTGAGGTGAGTTAATTGTTAAAGCTAAGCACCAATAGTATAGGTTGGGCAAGTCCACTTACTGAGCGGTTACTGCAATACCGCCGACCATTTTCATACTCAAACTCGAGCACGCTCGACGACAGGGAGGTGAGATCGGACAGCTCATTACTGAATTCACTGTCGATGTCCTTGAAGACTTTAATTTTCGGGCCACACTGAGCCAGACACTTGAGTTTACATACCTCTCCGAAACTGTCGATCGCAATTGGACCGGGCGCGTTGACAGGGTTTTCCGCGCTGGCTAGTTCGGAACGCGCTTCGGGCGCTTCGTGGGGAGAGGAAGACATTTGTGATGGAAGGAGTACAACAACAGAAACTTTTCTTGGTGGGGAAGGAAGGGGGAAAAGGCCGAATAAATGAATGTATTCCCCAGCTCAACACAAAAGGAGGGGCTTAGATTCGTATTCAAACTGCCGGGATCGAGTGAGAGTGGAGTTTCGGATCTATCGTGCATTGCTCCCGCTTCTTGATTCCGTAGTTGCCAATGATACTTGCCGAAATTGGCCGGAAACAAATTCCACGCCACTTGTTTTGCTAAGTCTTTACGGGTCTTTCCTGGGATTAAAAACGCTCATCATCCCTACAGCCAGGTCGAGAGGACCTGTGACGATTGGTCGCGAAACCGAAGGACCAGTCTTCAATGATGCCTTCGCTGGAGCAACGTGAGACTCGCCCTGGCCGCCAAGGACCCGGCCTATCACCAAGCTGGGGTCAAAAGTTTTCCACACGTCCGTGAAGCGGTATGCTGCGATTGAGAAAGTGTCGGTCGCGTGAGAACGCTTGAGTCAATACAGAGCTAGGCGATGCCAGTCGCTGTGAAGGGTACGTGCCGTAATTAGTTGGCTTTGTCCTAAGTTAGGTCTCAGTCAAGAGAATTTGTGCATTGATCAAGCCACCATTACTATTGAAAGGAGGGTTGTCATTTCCCCGACCCCTCGCCAACGGAAGCGGTATACAGGCTGAGACTACTTTGTAGCTACATGATAATAGATTTCCTGACATTGGTCCAAATTTCCTTAACCGTGAATTTTGAGCCTCATCAGGTAAGGCTTGTCGTGGCCTATGGCCGTTTGTGGAGTTAGACCGCCATTATGGCGTCGCTATAATGAGCTCCCGGATCAGGCGGTCAAGATTTGTCCCGGCTGAATGCACCTATAATAGGGGATGCTGAAAATAATAACCCGATGAGAGATTATGTGGCAGACATTATTGTTGCGAGACGATGGGCCAAGAGTTCACTGGTTTCTTTGTGAAGCTTGAATGGCGATGTTCGTTATGGGAACGAAATTCGAGTCTTCGACAGTGAAAGTTGTTCCAAAGAAGGCGGAAATTGGTGAATTATTTGGTAAATTCTGGGGTTCGATGGCGATAGTGAAGATTTGGATCGTTGTAGAACTGGTGCATAGGAAGGTTGTGCGCACCGCAAGGAGGTAGTAGGGAATGGTTAGTGGATGTGCCGTGGAAAATGAGATGTCTCAGAAGAAGAGGTCAGTTGAAGACGTCGCGGTTCTGATCCGATCATTATAGATGATTCTTCATCGGCTGATTCAATATCATATGGCTGATTTTTTCATAAGCAGAGTGGACGCGAGAGTTGCTCCGAAAGACGGTCGGTGTGGCCATGAGGATGCGGTGCTTGAGTGGTTGAGAATCTCTGGGATTTCAATAATAGGGGTCAGCTCATGACATGATCCGCTATCTACGGTGGGCGAAAGTGCTGCATCTCTCACATGGGATCTTGGTGGTGAGCGTGCAAGACCTGAGCTATCTTGCAAGCAGAATAGCTTGCTGTTCTCCCAAGACCTGTGAGAGATGTCTTATAAAAGCTACTTTGGGCCAGTGTACAAGGGATGACGCCGTTAAGCCTTTTGGCCACGAAATGAGAGAGCTTCAGCAGCGATTGTGGAGTAGGTGGAGAGTCCTGTTGCGATGTGGGGGTAGTTCGGTCGGGTGGAGGAGCGGAGTTGCCGGTCCTGAGGAGTGAGGAAGGATGGCGACGTGGAAGTTGTCTACCTTCCCACAGAGGACCGGTTAATGTCTGTCTATAACGATGGCCTCTATCAATAGACTCATCACAGAGGTCAGGGGACACACAATCGATTCGTACCTTAGTGACGCAAAAGGTTAAACGCAATCGGCCTTCCGAAAGTCCGAGAAGTCATCAGTCCTTGACCCCTTGACAGAAATGGAAAGCAACATGTACTGAGGAAGCTGACCGCAATTTCCGTGATTGAACCACCGAGCATTCACTCTCCTGTCATTCGCATACACATACCAAGTACCTTGTATCGCGACGAAGAGAGACTGCGTAGGTGATATCGATAGTTCTTATGAAGAAAGTACCAAGCGTCACTCATCATCACAACAAGGAAGAATCGTGCGGACGATACAGGCAACTGCACATAAGGCTTTCGGGTTCACTGAATTATGCAGGTTATGGAACTTAATTTGGCTCTTGTACGGGCTTGCATGAGCAAGACGCCTTCTTTTTCAATATCATATCTCGTCGGTGTTGGGATCGAAATCATGAAGAGTGTGGATATCATACGTACGTATCAGGATTCATAATGAGATACGCTAAAGCGTATGACTCAACTACGATGCCTTCTTACTCAAGTTCATGAAGTGCTCTTCTTAACATCGAGCTTTTCCAACGCAGCATGCTTTCCCATTCTTTTCAACCAAATTCTCAGGTCAAAGGCTCCCTCGCTCAAATCCCTGAAATTTCCATTGAACTTGAATGTATATCCGACGTCTTCCACTGGCTCCTTTTCATCAGTATAATGGATACGACAAGGACCAGCGTGGTAGTTGTGTGTTTCATAATTCGCGAACCTTCTCCATGTTCAACCGTTGTAACATGATACACCACGCCCTCAACAACACAGTCTGCGGCCTCCAACAGGGCAGGATATTGCCCCCACAATTTGCACTCATAGCCCAATAAAAGTGCAGGGCGTAGCTCGGGCTTAATATCTAGCCCTAAAACTTCACTGATCATGAACAAGTCCATCAAAGGACCATAAAAGAAATAGGGCCCAGTAGGTGCGTTGGATTCTTCCACGCACTGGAGTGGATTTTTTGCTTGGAAGTAGAAGTCTGGAGGGATGGTTTTGAGTTTTAAGACGTGGCTGGAGATTTTCGAGCCAGGAACTTCGGGGGGTGGTGGCGGTAGGGGTGGACTAGTGATATTGATCTGTTCTTTTGTAGAATTCGACATGATCGAAGTTGGCCGCAACAATTGGTACCACTTCAGGCACAAAGATAGAGGGGTACAGTCGAGCACAAGAGAAGGTGCAGAGGGAATTGTGTCGAGAACGAAACTAGCTGCTACCCGTTCTGATGCCCCTGACATTTTACTTTGGTCAGCACTGTCGGGTCTCCCTTGACTCAACCCGCCACCTATTCACATGGAGGCCTGGGCAATCCGCAATGCACTCGGGGCTAACAAGTAAAGTAACAAGGACACTTACGACCTGATTACATGAAAAAAAAACATACAACAGCAGGGATTCGCTGGTGGTCACCCACCCAACTACTAACCTGCCGGCGTGTGGCTTAAGTACGGCTGAGCGGACGGGAAGCCCTGTTCTCCACACCCTATGGTCGTATGTACTTGACAAATCGTACCTGATGAATATGTATTACTTCATGAGTTTTCGAATAAGTTTGAGCTTTTAGCTATGCCCACCCCTACTTGCTGGATCGTTAAAACCGAGGAATGGTGCGGTGACCAACAGGCCGAGGACTGCCATCTTCGCAGGGAAGGAAGCCGATATCGACCACGTACCGTGTGCTTTTGTCCATTTGATTGAACACAGTGGGCCACCCCACTTGAGGAGGGCTCGTGAACTGCCCCATATTTGCTTCGAACCAATCCAACACGGGTAAGAAAGGATGGTCCATGGCATTTTTCTCGACTTCGACCCTCAACGTTGCCATTTACTCGCTGTGACCCACGGTCTTGATCAGTCGACCACTTCGCCAACTGAGAATGCTGCACAAGCTCTCGATCGACACCCCATCGTGGCAATCCACTGCGTGTTTACCTTGCGGTCTCAAAACACTGTTCACCACAAGGGAAGCCATTTGGTCGACCCCGGCCACCGGAAGATGTGCTTTCTGCAGATCATCGCTCACTGCTCCAAGAGACAGAATGCTGTAAGCAAGGCGCCACAGGAAGTCTTCGGGATGGGCGATTCCTTCCCATCTCGTACCTGTCAGAAACCCCGGCTGTACCACTCGTGCCCGCGAGACGAATGAATATGGCCTTTGATCAAGCTGGCGATTGTATCTCTCTACCATCATCCGTGACAGAAACTTGGTTTGATCATATCCACATGCATGAGCGAGATTATTCAAAACTTGCTCTCGAGTTTCTGTTGGCGATGGGAGATATCCCCCGCAAACGTATGTGAATGGACACGGTGTTGGCATAGTGGACAGGGCATCCAGCAGAGTGAGAGTGCTGTCGACATTGGTGGGCTTCAGCGTCGAGAAATCATCTAGCCAGTTGACTCGGGCACCGTTGTGGATGATTCCATCGATGCGCATCTGACCCGTAAGTTCCGTCCAACGCGCATCGTCAAGCCCCAACCTTGGAAGACTCAAGTCCCCAAGCCATACTTCAATTTGAGAGTCAAACTCATCACGCCACCATTGTCCAAGTTGAGCATGAGCTCGTATCTTGTCTCGGGCTTCTGTTTCACTTCCCGAACGCACTAAGCCCACAATGCGGCCCACAATGCGGCCCACACTGGGGTCCTCAAGCAATACCCGAAGCACCTGGCTGCCTAGAAATCCAGTCATTGATGTTGCAAAGATTGTCTTCGCATTTTGAGCGTGAATAGGCACAGGAAGATCGATCAAATTCAATTCACCGAGGAGATCTCTTGGGGCGCTTGTCTCTGGCCAGCCATTAGATACGCTCCTCACCCGCCTGGAAAATAGTTGATCGATCTGACAAACTGTGATCCCAGGCTGCTGCAATTGTTGAATCTGAGTGGCCATCCTTAACCGGCGGCGGATCTCCCTGGAGAGATATGCAATTTGGATGGAATCCAAACCCACACTGGTCAATGGAAAGTCCCAGCCGCGTAAACATTCCCCAGCGCATGGCTGTTTCGTTTCGAGAAGATCCGCAATAATGTTACTGAGTTCAATTGCCCGTGAGTGAGCAGGATCGATTCGGAATCATGTATGACTGGGGGGTACCTCCAGGCCGAAGTGCCATGGTCTCGGATGGTGTCATGCTTGCCCAATCTGAAATCAATTGTTGCCGGAGAATCTTTTTCGATTCAGTCAGCGGCATGGCTCGGACAGGCACGAAGGCGCTGGGAACCATGTAGGATGGCAAGATCTTCTGTAAGTCTGCGCTGATCTGATCTGCTAACAATGAAGATCGCCCATCATGTTGTTCCACAAAACCACCAGCTCCGGGCTATTAAGGCCTGTTTCGTCCCTGGCCAGAGTTACTGCAGCCTGTCTACCACTGGGAAGGCAGTCACGAATAGCATTTTCAATCTCGCCAAGCTCGACACGGAGCCCTCGAATCTTGACAAACCCGGCCCGACGACCTGTGAAGATCATTTTCCCGTCAGGTTGCCACCGAGCTAGATCTCCCGTTCGGTAGCAACGCGCTGGGAAAGGCCCAGTGAGGGTCGAAAATGATTCCGGTAGAGAAAGAAAAGCTTTGTTGTTCTGCGCAGTATCGTCCAGGAATTTATGCGCGAGGTAGGGGCTCTGAAGCAACACCTCACCTTCCACTCCAATCGGTTGCAATCTGTGAATATTATCTGGATCGACAATCCAGCAGATTGAACCGATCCCACGCCCAATAGTCTTAGGATTGTCAGTAGGCTGCAGATTCAAATCGACTGTATCCCAGACTCCACCTTCGGTGAGTCCGCAGATATTGCTCAGTCTAACCTTATCAGCCCAGGTGCTCACGATCGCTGCTGTGGGAGCTTCACCCCCAATATACAAATGTTTCAAGGTGGGTAGGGCTTCCGGTCTTAAAGACGCCGCAATGGCTGGTGTGAGAGATGCATCGGTCACGCTGAGTCTCTGCATGACCCCCTCAAGGTCCTCAATGCGCTCCTCTTCGGAGGGGATGCACACAGTACCACCGGCAACCAACGGTGCGAATAGCTCACATATGCTAGCGTCGAACGAGAAGGAAGCGAACTGCAGTATCATGAATTCGCTGAGCCATTTTCTTTTTCTTGAGCAGTCAAATATTTAGTATTTTTTGAGTGCAAAGAGCTAATGGTCACGTTGCTCTCGACGAAAGAAATATTGGAAAATGAATCGAAGATGAGAGTTTCAATCCTTTGTTGATATGATAAAAAACCGTACGACGAAGAGGATGTCTTATATAAGAACCGAGCGCATGCCTCAAAGTGGCGCGTACTGGACGGTGGATCCTTTGTAGCCTGGTAGCGAGAGCAAAATCAAGGCAATTGTTACCTCCCTTGCCTTGACGTCTTTACACATCACAACTTGTTGTAGGCGGCGTTACACGGTAGTCAATGTAGAAGACCACAGCTGAAGAAATCCCCACCGCCCGACAAAGTTTAGAAAAGAAAAAAGAATTCGGCTGCCCAAACTTTCACATACACGTTTTAAAACATGATCAATATTGAAGTTGATTACAAGCTTGTCTGCGGGCACTTCTTTACGCAGGATAAATGCTGCAGGAAGCTTCTCTGTCAATTTGTCTTTGGCATATTTTCCTTCCATGTAACAAAATGTTTATCGTATTCAAACATCAAAAAACTATATAGAGGAGATCCAGGTATGCCTCCGGCATGTCTGCGGCATATCTGCGCGATAGATCCATGGGTCTGGGAAACAAGGCACACCTGAAACCTTACTTTGTTTTTGCATTTTCTGCATTTTGTACCCCATGTGAAGGATTCCTACGTAAGTGAAGTTACTTCCGAGGCTAGCTGAGCGAAGCTAATCATACATTCCCTGTAAGTACCACCTGGACATCATGCCCTTACTTGAACAGTTGATGCAATGCTGATATCAAGAAAATGTGCCACTTGATGGCTGCTTGCAGAATGTATGACCTCTCAATAATCAGTTCTGATCTGGAGATTGACGCGTTGATTGAAGGTTAGTCTATATTTGGGACCGAGTATCCCTTGATCTAAATAAAGTTTGCCGGCTTTACTCGGTGAAAATTGCGGTAAACGTCGATTGAGAAGTTTGTGGTCCGATTGAAAAGTCGGCTACGTACACAATGCGTTATGCGGTTTCTTGGACCCCATAATGGTGTCAACATTATTTGGTGGTCTTTTCGACTGAATTCGGAGGGTTGGGTTGGAAGCTGTCAGCTATTCGTTCAAGCTCCTGGAATGGGCCGGTTCAGGCCATAAGATGAATCTATTTGTCGCTTTGCTCAAGATACAGGAAAGTGTGCAGTGACATGTTTTCAGCTAACACCTAGCTAAGCAAATAATTTGTCTGCATAAATCGATCATGAAACATCCTTGAGTAAAACATATCAACTTAAACGCTTTCATTGATTGCGTGTGTAGATTCGAAACAAATGATCACTGCTGACATCATAATAGCATCCTGATGAATCAAAAGCATTGGGGTCACAAGACAGAGAAAAAGTCTAGAGGCCTTCTCCAATTCAGCTCCCGCTTCCATATAATAGATTGTAGATCCATATCACAACGTGTTAAAAGCATAAATTGACTCCCAAATTTTTACTCCCAATATCCCTCGGCACACTGAGCATAAGTTCGACAAGGTCGCCATTTTCACGAAAAGGCCGCTACCACAACGGACCCTCGTGATAGATCTATTGGTACCGGTTTCGTCGAATATTCCGTAGCATATAAAAACAAAAGCAAGTCATTTCCACTCCAAAAACAACAACGGTGGGCCAGAACACCAACCCACCATTTCACGCGAAAGGGCCGGTGTGGTGCATGTGAACTCCCGATCCCAAAGCAAGCACTATAGGAGCAAGGAAATTCACCCATCCCATGACCTTCGGAAATAGCGGGTCAGCGCTGCGGTCGGCGAATATCGCCCAGGCAATGGTCCAGAATTGCATCCAAAAGATTGGCCAGTTTAGGAGGAGGGACATCCACATGGCATCATTGAGGAATTGTATCAATTCAGCACTGTAGTCACGGAAGCTCAAAAGTGACATGAAAATGGCTGATATCATCCAAAACCAAACACCGGCTGTGGCGCTGGTGAGCTGGAGATCGGCAATGGCTGGATTGAGGCCAGGAATGAGTCGAATCTGACTTGTGATTGCAGCGGAGTAAGGGAGAAAGAGGGCCCCGGACACGAAGAGGAACAAAATCGCAGCTTGAGTGCCTTTCCGGTATGTAGTATAATGAGCCTTGACGGTCTCGGCATCCCACCATGGTCTTGTCTGGGGGATATTTCTCGATGCAGCGAGACTGACTATGAGAAAAACAGCCGAGAGACAGCCGCAAACACTGAGGCAGCATAGCCATCTTTTGTTTGTGAGGCGGCTTCCAAATTTCCTGTCATTGGTGGTGGGAAGCGTCATGGTATTAATTTGTAATGTAATAGAATGATATCAAATATTCAAGTGCCTCATGTTCCGGCTCGAACAAGCCTTCTTAATGATTAGGAGCGCAAAGCTTTCTAAACATTTGTACTTCACAATCCGTTGAGCCCGTCATGCATGAACTCTCTGAAATGGCAAAAGAAATCTAGGAGCTATTGCGAGCAGTACACATCGAACTAGAAGCCAGCTGATATGCGCCAAGGGTCTGTTGGGACGGGACCGAGAAGTGCTATCATTGGTTTGGAAATATGTTATCCGTCACCTCACTTACGGCTGAAGTTGGGGAGAGATCTGAGGGTGAAATAAACTTCGGAAAAAACGCATCCGTCCAATAGAACCAAGTTGAAAGACCCTTTACAGGGGCATTCTCCGATCAAATTCGCACGTAGAGCCCTACGCATATGCCTGCAGTGAACGGTAATCTTCTCTCTATTTGAATCATGTGGGTCTAACTAGGTAAATCGAGTTTGCAGCGAAATAATCAGGTGAGGTGCGTAACTACGGTCCCTAAAAACTCGTTGCATGCATAGTGTGATCTGCGACATGCGTCACCTTAGCGCGAAACCTAAAATCATGAATCGTCCGATCGAGATCTGTGTAACTTAAAATGACATTTGCGACATCCCCTGCTCAATGTACAAAATTATGGTGTATCTCAGATGGCCCACATCATCAATTGGGTTCATGAAGAGAACGAGGTTCTTTACGAGCGGTGAATGTTGTTTCCTGGTACTGGAGAGAGGCTATGCGGTCTAGATACTCCCTTGCGTGGTCAAGAGTGTCGCTTTGTTCGAACGTAAAAGCAATAGACTGCAACTTGACAAAAGCTAATCTTCGCAGCTCGCCCTACTAGCGAGACAAACAATCCACAAATAGAAAGCTGAGGAACAGTAGCCGTTCCCGCTCCTTCCGGGAGCCTTCAATTTCAACAGGCACAGTTATCTTCACAAGGATGTGTATGTTTAATTCTTATACTTCTAATTTGTACTTGAAAGAGTAGTCATTATGAAAAATTCAAATTGAAAATAGAACGCTCTCTAGTCTTTGATTCTTAATCTTTCCGGACCTGCACCGGCAAGAGTCCAGTCCTTTCTGTTCTGTAGACGAGGCAAGGCCTCTGTTGGTAGAAGAAAAATGAACCGTCATATTGACAGAGTAGCGATGAATAGCATGAAATCTAGTTGATACGATTGAATTCAAGAGTCCAAAACAAAAACTTACCAAGGATACACATTGGTACTCACTTGTCTCAGTGCCTTTAGCTTTGCAATTTGGATACTAATATTCCACCAGCCTTATCTGAATCCCTCAGCTTTTTCAAAAACTACTAGAACATACATGCTTTTGTAAGTGCAAACTATTAAAGAGACATTACACACTCTTATCGATTGTTGTCTTTTTTGCTCTTGTTCTTCTCCTTCTACACTCTAGACTAGATACGTTCTATAATTTGAAACCGAGTCCCAAGATTGGCATTGTGTTTTTGGTCATTGACTAGGTTCAAGATTTTGATCAAATCTCGCTCTAGTCAAATGTGCATGGCAATTTGGTGGATGAATTAAGCAAAAACCGCAAAATTGATTTGGGGAAGAACCAGAAAAAGTTGAGATGACAAGAATCCCTGGCTTTTCCCTTGGCCCCAAACTTGTTGGTAGAGAATACTAATCAAACTTTGGGATAGAGCCGCGAGTCGCTCCAGGGCGTTTACGGATAGCAAGTCCAGTTCCGGCCTCTCCAGAGGACGGAAAAATCTTCCTGAAAGTTTTTCGAACAGAGCAAGTCTTGCCGATGTCTTTGGTGTCGCTCAACACGGGCTCCTAGTTATTGGTCAGCAGGTTTCCCGGTGCAATTGGAATAATAGTACGGACTTGGGCTATGATTGTCGAGTTCGTTGGATCTCCCACTCGATGAGAAGCCATAAAACCAAGAACGGTGTTCATGTTTTTGTTGGCCTGCTCATGAGTCGAGAAATCAAAGAATTCGGTCTTCCTGATCACAAGGCGTTGTTGAACATATGCCGCCTCCAGGAATCGAAGTTTCATGCGTCCAAAAACGGACATTGCAAGTACCTGTAGAGAACACTCGATGATTAGCTCTAGTAATATGTATATTCAAATGATCACACACTTACCGGAATAGCAATACACCGAGGGAATTGCTCCCCTTCGAATCGCGTTATCATGATCGATGTAATAGTCAATAACTCCACCCGCAAAAGATTATCCGAGGGCTCCTCTTCAAGGCTTATTACGACGAAGACATGAGGAGCTGTGTTGGTTGCAGGGGTGAACTGTTTTTCCGCCACATATGTCGCAATTGGGGAGCAGTCTTTTGATGATAAAACATCAGGAAGAAACTTTTTCGCGATCATATCTTCAGGAATTCCGTCCCTATGAAAGTATAACCAGACATATTAGCCCATTACCGCATATCCAGCCTTTCAATATCTTACTTTGAGCGCCACTGAGAGATTATCCTGAGCGAACGCCCATCAGCCCGAGGAGGCTCTTCCAGTCGTGGAAAGTTCACAAACAGCCCCCCTAGGCGACTCCATAAGTTGCCTGTTTGAGAATGCAAATCGAGAGACCTATTTGCCTGTTTATCCTCTCCCCAGCATCGGGAAAGGTAGTCGGCTTGTCGCTGATGCGTGGGGTTTGTAATGTCAAGTGGAGGAACCTTTCTCGGGCGAAAGAATGCGTCGCTGGGTGCTGAGGGTGATTGATCGTCACTATTTTGGTCGATTGGGAAAGTCTTGCACTCGATGCCAAGAGTATTGTGCTGCGTTGGAAGGATATTCATTGGACTAAAATCATGGAGGAGCTTGTGCAGTTGTATCACGCCGGCGATAGCCTCTCCACGAGCCTGAAGGTGTGTCTCCTCACGCTGTTGAGCGCGGCGCGACAAGGAGGTAAACATTTCTAGAGGGTTGTTGATGGAGGAAAGATCATGAAAGGTGGATGTCGGATGGTGAATAGTGGATGGTGGATGGTGGATGGTGGATGATGGATGATGGATAGGTGACGGGGTGATGATAGTCAGGTATGGGACCACTACTAATCGCATTACCAATGATGGAATAACCAAGTAGTAGGCAATCTAAAAAAAAAGCCATTTCCAAGCTCAATGTGTTAAATTCATCACTCTACAGAAATATTGTAGTGTGCAACCCTCTTAAATACCATGATCTCGCACCTACACGGGTCAGAGGGGGCTGCATGTAAGGTATAATTGAGATAAGTAGTGAGGCCGAGGGATCTTACAATATCTAAAGATAGCTATCTGGAGATATCGAAGCATTTTAGACTCGGAAAACCTTGGAAAATGCCTCCCATAGGTCTAAAATGTCTTCCATTAGAGCAACCTTGCTGTCATATTCAACCTCAAAATCTCGTACTGCTTGCCAGAGAGGGGGGGATGAAGGAGGGAGAAAAAAGTGAGCGAAACAATCTTCATTGATAATTCACTTGTGTAAGAAGTAAGATACCCGCGTTCATCTCTCAGAAGGTCACCACAGCCATCCTTACTTTCACCCACAAGGTCGACTTCGCCAACTTTCCCTTTCTTCAAAACTCTCTTCTCACATCTTTTTAACCGCAAGCCTGTCTACCAATCGAAAAGAATGGCTTCGACGAAGTCCATTCCCAAGCGGAAAACTAAGTCGACTGCGATTCAGCTCGGAAAACTCCGTGGATTTCAAATCCCAGATAGCATTGCTGAATGGGAAGAAATTATTTCCCAGAACCCACACCTTAGGAAACTCACAATCAATACTCTCCCGTCCGACTTCATTGCATCTGCATCCAAGGCGTCGGAGTCTCAATATCTTATGCTGCGCTCTTTTAGGGAGTTTACTATGTCTGCACAGGACTTACTTGATGAAGCACCCAAATTTGGGCTCACGCCTGCAATTTTACAATCTGCAGAAGGCATTCTCGAGCGGTCCATGGACTGAGTCGATTTTTGCAACTCGTGGGGACTCCTACATCGATCGACGATATTTCCGAGCATAGTCCGGGATGGCCAGGCTCTTTTGCTGTTGTCCGACGTCTCCATGAAGAAGTCATGAGAATCGATGGAATTAGCGATTATGATCGGAATCACCGCGAGTTGCCGATTGCCGAAGATGAGGCAACAGTGAATACTGCGGCTATTGTCTTTCTGCAGACCATATCGCACTTGGTCAAAGCAACGCCCCTACCTCTACTTTAGAGTGGGTTCATAACCGGGTGCACTTGACTTGCGGTGTAGTGAATGAGTTCGAAGCATTCACAGATGGAGTTCTTCGCTCCAAGAGAGGGGACAACAAGTTCAGCATCGTGGAAACTAAAAAGGCATCTAGCGGCCAAGACCCTAAACGGATCTCCATACAAGAAACTTGCCAATTGGCTTCCTGGCATATGGAAGAATCGTCAAACAAAGAGGCTTGTTTCAATGGACAGTAAGTTGACTGAGATCTCAATATTTCGAGTTTTGTGATATCAAATATTGAACTAACGGTCTCACAGCCTGCTTTTAGTATCTCAAGATCGGCACGAACTGTATCTCACTTTTGCGGAGCTCAACGCGAACTACAATGCGTACTTAAAGAACACAGAAGGAGGTCAAGGATTCCTCAAGATGATTCCCGTTGGCCCTTTCAATATCGACAAACCAGGGACTCTACAACAATTCGGTAAGATAATTGTTGCAGCTACAATTATTGCCAGATCGGTGACCTGAACATTGATGGAGGGTGATCTCTCACCCGCACCCACCCTCCTCACCATTGGTCGGGCTACGCCAAAGCAGCGATGAATGGATTAAGGAATAGCAAAAGAATACAATCCATGTTTGTCCACTTTCGAGTACATACGACCATAGGGTGTGGAGAACAGGGCTTCCCGTCCGCTCAGCCGTACTTAAGCCACACGCCGGCAGGTTAGTAGTTGGGTGGGTGACCACCAGCGAATCCCTGCTGTTGTATGTTTTTAACTGTTTTGATTTTGGATTTGTTTTGCACTCGATGTTCCCTTCATTAACCCCTGTCTTTGATCGACTATTGCCGGCAATGTTTCTGCCTATCGAGATGAGCACATGAGAGATGAAGCTTTATGCCTTAGGCCGCACTAGTACTAAGCCCCACATCAGCTTCTGTCGACGCCAGTACAGTGCGAAGGGAGGATCTGCCGCATCTTCATTCAACATCATAAGTATAAAGATTCATACAACTCTATCTAATCTAGTAGATAGACCAACAAAGAGGGTATTGAACAGGAGTAAATCAAACTCGACAAAGGATCAATAAAGGCGCCGAGAAAAGATCGGGTGCGACCAGACTCGCCGTATGTGACACAGGAGGTAGTGATCGTAAAGCGAAGGAGCTTGTAAGAGAGGCTTGCATCCAACAGTGTCACCTTGGTGTAGATCACGCCTTGTTATCCTCGACTTTCTCCCACTCGCTGTCGGTGCTTCCGTACCCAGAGCTATCGCCGCCAGAGCTGGGCCGCTTCCTGGAATCGCGTTCGATGGGCTGGAGTCCTGACGAAGAGAGGGAGGCGCTACCGGTGGCGACAGCGGAAGGGTTACCGAAGGTTTCGGTCTCTGTGTCGCTGTCACCCTCCACGGAATCCTTATTCCTGTTGAGCGCGGGGTCCTTCTTTTCAGCCTCTTGGGCTAGTTGGGCTGCGCGCACTTCTGCCGCAAACCAGTTGATCGAGTACCATAGGCCTGCGGAGATGGTGGACAAGGCGACGAAGTGCAGGCTGTAGGTTGCGAGGAGGAGACCGAAGAGAACAAGTTGCAGGGCTGCGAAGCTGACGTTGGTCGCGATCAACAGAGTCGGTGTGGGGCCCGGCGTGAAGACGCTGGACCATAGCTCTTCGACGAAGGAAGCCATGGTTGTCGAGGTCAAAGGCAGGGAGATGGGGAGGAGTGACGTCGTTCGGAAACAGGTATCCGTTATACGGGGACTGATCGAAAAGGTCGCGTTTCGGTGAACGGGTTCCGACGCCTGAAATACTCCACCCGAGCGGAGCCTAGTAAAGAGTCGTGGGGAATAGTAGAACGAACACAGTTGGCCCTCCCAAACTCCTCGTGGGGGTAAACTCTTTCTATAGTCTGGTCTACTTGGCTTAGGGAGTCTGCCTGAGTCAGATGGGCATATCACTCTCTCTGGTCGCGGGATGTCATCACCGGTGCTGGGATACTCCGACGACAACCGGCCCGAATGACCGGATATTCAAACATCCTTTGGCCTGTTAGGTCTTGGCCATTGCAAAGAACGGCAATTCTGCCCGTTAAGAATTAGGGCGTCACTCTCGGAGGGACGCCAAAGGCCCGATATTGCCCACCTCACCCCCTGGATTGATGGTGCTTTCACCCAGTGCAGGATACATTACGATTTGAGCAATACGGTCTCAGACTTCTACTTGTACGCTTCTATACTTGCAACATGATCAATGAGATTGTGAAATGCTCAGTTCTTGTTCTCGTCGAGAATCTCAGCATAGCTAGAATCTCTCTAGATTCCCAAAATATCAAGCCCCACGCTGGACCGAGGAAGAGAGTCAAATGAGGTAGGTTGTACCAATAGCCGCCGCTGAAAGTCGAATCTATCGCATGCGATTTCCAAAAACCCCGTGATTTCCCACGTCTCAGGCTTAGCGGCTCATCTTCTCCGTATGTTCCCTGATCTAGTTGCATCCCTCGGGTTCCATAAACCGTGTATTGCCGTCATTTCTGTCTGGGGAAGACCCGCTTCCCCGAGTCGGTCTTTGTCTTAGAGTCCAATCATGGTGTCTTTTGTGATTCAATACCCTATTTTCGGTGCACCAGATGGAAAGAGGGGAATTCAGAGTTTCAATACTGGATGTATAAAGACTACTGGGTAAGCTCCTTGCCGGGTTGTACGGACATTTCTTCAATTCTTTTTTATTCTGAACATGACAGACAAAGCAGCAGTAGCCAAAGAGCTTGCGCCAGATGGCCGCTCTGTGGAAGGCTTCTCTCATCATGCTGAGGATATCACAGTAGACCGTGAGCCCTATGGCCCGCCGGGTCTTCAAGGCTTGATGTCCAATCCGTTCGTCCTCATGTGTGCGGCATGTTCTACGCTTGGTGGCTTGATTTTCGGTTATGATCAAGGTGTCGTGTCTGTGATCTTGGTCATGGACCAGTTCTTGGAAGAGTTTCCGCCCGTCGGAGGCGCTGGGTCTGGGTTCTGGAAGGGTTTACTGACGGCGATGATTGAATTGGGTGCATTGATCGGTGCCCTTACTCAGGGTTGGATTGCAGACATGTCTCTCGTCGTTATTCTATCTTGGGGGCTGTTGGTATCTTCACTGTGGGCTCTGTTCTTCAGACTGTCGCAGTCGAATATGGCATGTTGACCTTTGCCCGCTTTCTTGGCGGCTCTGGAATTGGCATGTTGTCAATGGTCGCACCGTTGTATATTTCTAAAATCAGTACGTGTATTAAACTTGTTCCAGAAAGGCGTTTACTTGTTTTCGTCTCGCTTAGGTCCTCCGGAGTGTCGTGGTACTGCTCTCGTTCTTGAAGAGTGGTGCATCGTGCTAGGAATCGTGATTGCGTACTGGATCACATTTGGCACCAGATACATGGCCGACGAACGGTCTTGGCGACTCCTTTTCCTCCTGCAGATGATTCCCGGCTTCATCCACGTGGCAGGTGTCATCGCTCTCCCTTTCTCCCCGCGCTGGCTTGCCTCGAAGGGTCGCAACGAGGAAGCTTTACAGAGTCTCGCCACACTTCGAAACCTGCCAACCTCCGACAGACGTGTCCGCCAAGAGTACATGGAGATTCAATCAGAGGTTCGAATCTACCAGCGGATGAATGCCGAAACGCATTCGAACTTGCAGGGCGGCGGAACCAAGAATGCCATCCTCCTGGAAATGGCTTCTTGAGGTGATTGTTTCCGCAAGGGCTGCTGGCGCAGGACTCACATTGGTATCATGAATACTTTTTCCAGCAGTTCGTCCTAATCAATGCACTGATATACTAATCTCCCACTCTATTCGGTACCACGGGCTTCGACAATAACATGCAGCTTATCATGTCTGGTGTGACTACCTCCATCTGGACCATGGATACCCTAGGTCGTCGGAAGCTCTTGCTCGGAGGATCAGTCGGCAGGGCGGTGTCCCACATCGTAATCGCCATCCTCATCGCAAAACATAGCTATGACTGGGAATCCCACCAAACAATGGGCTGGGTCAGCGCAGCTTTCCTCTTATTCTACATGGTGGCATTCGGGGCTTCATGGGGACCAATTCCATGGGCCCTCCCAGCCGGTATGTTCTATTGCGTTGAATCCGCTGAGTGATGTCACTAATAATTCCAGAAATCTTCCTTCATCCTTGCTTGCTAAAGGTGTCGCCCTTTCTACCTGCTCGAACTGGCTCAATAACTTCATCATTGGCCTAATCACCCCACCGTTAATCGAGAACACAGGCTACGGAGCTTACGTGTTTTTTGCTGTCTTCTGTGTTCTGTCTGGTATCTGACGTACCTCTTCGTACCGGAGACTAAAGGCCGCACGCTAGAGCAAATGGACCATGTCTTCAAGGATAATTCGAGTGAGCAGGAGCAAGCTCGCAGGCGAGCGATCGAAGTGGAGCTTTTGAATGAGCATTTGGAATACGATGTATGATATTATTGTTTTCTTGATAGGATTGAGACCTTTGAATTTTGCGAGGTTATCGAGCACTTCTTGTCTTTGTACTTTGCATTCCTTATACCACAGAAATCAGGCGGTACTTATGTGAAGATTTACCTCAAACATATAGTCTCGAAAGCATCCCCAGGAACGCTAATACTCGTGCTTACTATATCCGATACCCGCTCGGCTCCTGTATCGATTCTTCAATAACAAAGCGATACACATTGACACGGCATTGGCGAAAGCATTGAACGAGATTGAAAACGACAAGGGAGATCTATTCACTACGTTGTTTTGTGTAGCTTCTCTGCTGACATTTCAAAGCCTATGAGTTGCTCATTGGAAGCCACGGGAGAGCTCACGAGTATATAGGTAACTCAATTCATGATACATGGCTTGTGCCGCCATTATGGAAAAATATGAGCTCGTCACTTTTGTGTTCGTCTTTGCTGTTATGATTGAGTGATGGTAGCAAGATTGAACTTCTTCACTGTTGTCGTCGAGCTCCACCGTCAGTAAGGTGCATGTAACTCTGAGACTAGTGAGCTTCTCTCCTCAAGAGATTGGCGAACGCAAATAGCGGCCTCACGGCGTTGATTGAATCGCGGACATGCTATGTGCTAGTTTCCTTGCCCTATCTTTGCGCCCATGCTCTACATTGACGTCATCGAACAGGTCTTTGCAATCGCTTGAGCAATTTGACAATGAACTGGACCTGGTCGCACGGGAAACGTTGCCAGGGCAAAGACAGCTCAATTGGATGTTGATGCGCTCAGACCTAGAAGTCGAGGACAAAAGGCCTGCGATACCCCACTTGGTGCCACTGACGCCACGTAGGAACTTGGCAGCGGCGTCGAGAGTACGTGCAAGGCGTGGCCAGAGCGCTTTGGGCCACTTTAGCTCCAAGCCCGGGATGACAGGTCGAAGAGGACGGGAGTCAAGCTTGGCAGGCACCCAGCCACTCTATTTTGCAGTCACATTGCGCCCAAACTGGAAGAGTTTTCACGAAGCCAGCCTTTCATCAACATAACAGAATCGCTTGAGAGTTGTAATCGTGTAGTTCAAATTGGAGTTTCCGACAATACAAGTCAACTGGGTTCTTCTGTGATCGTCTTGTCCTAAGAGTAGAATCAAGCCGGGAACACGCGTCCAGGATTGTGTCGGGGAGATTCCCTGCAGATTGCTATACCCAACGTTCCTTGATCAAAGCGACCATGTGGCTATCAGAGCTCGCACTTGGTCCAATCACTAGGGTCGAATTCAACGGGAAAAAAGGCCTAATCGTCTAGTGCGCAATTGCCTTGTTATCATGAACAATACGTACTCCAGGTGGATCACGCCCCATTTTCAGAGCTAAAACCCCCCAATGTCCTCTTCTATTTGAACATCCAGTGTCGCATTTTCTTGCCTTCGTTCAGACAATCTCTCTTGCAAGCGTGCTGCCTTTAATTGTTTTTTTAGGCTTCTTGTTTACCCTTACTCGCTCGCAACCATGAAGAACTTCATTGCTATTGCTGCTTTCGCCGCCGGCACTAACGCCCTCGTTGGCCGCAGTGATAGCTGCTGCTTCAAGATCACTGCCTCTGGCGGCGCTTCCGGCTCTCTTGGCCAGCTGGGTGACGGCCAGGTCCGTGTCGGCGATACCACTTTGTCGGCTGCTACCTTCTGTCTTGAGGATACCGTCATCACCGACAGCGCTGGCCGTGGTTGTGTTGTCACCTGTGAGTTTCACAGCTTTTGATTTTAACCAATTTCGCCTCTCGCTAATATAATATATCCAGCTGAGACCACCCAATTCCAATGTGACGAGGGTGCCACTGGCACTTCCGGCTTCTCTCTTTCCTCTTCGGGCGCTCTCAGCTTCGACGGTAGCTCGAGCTTCATCGCTTGCGCAACTGGCTTGAACGATGGAGACAACATCTACACCACCAACAGCACCTCCGTCACTCAGTGTGTGAGTGTCGAGTTGACCAGTGATTCATGCTACGCCGCTGTCTCATCGTCGGCCGTCGCATCTTCATCCACCACTTTCGTGATCCCTGCCAGTACCCCTCTGGTCTCTAGCTCTTCAGTCCCATCTGGAGTCAGTCCTGTTGGTCCTTCAACCCCGCTCCCAGTCACCTCCACGCCCGTTCCGTCCGGTACTCTTATTCCCGCTTCCAGCACACCGATCGCGACTTCGACACCCCTCGCAAGCACAAGCACTCCGATGACTACTTCCAGCTTTGCAACTAGCACTACTACTGCATCTGGCAGTGAGACCTCGTCCACTGCTTCATCCTCAGCAGCTGCTACTACCGCCCCGTCGAGCTCCGCGACTAAGGTCGACTTGTCCAATTGGACTGTCTCCCTCGTTGCGATGCTGGCCCTCGCTGTTGCCTTTTAGGGTTACATTTGAAGATCGGTCTATGGCTGTCGGCAGCGCATGAAGGCGCCAAGATCTTTTTATCTTCCTAGACGACTAATGTCAACAAATGACGCTTAATGGAATCTAATCACGGATAATGCGGTAGTAACATTGAATGAACATGTAAACAATTTCAGACCAATATTTTCGATAGATATTGTGGAAAAAACGTTGATTGCAGACAATTTCACGGCTCAGCATTGAATGTAAAGGCCTCTGTCTTTACTACTAGCCATTAGTAGTCACGGCATCATTGAGAGGTTATCAGGCGGTGATATTGTTTGATTCTACAAGAACTTTTATGGACGTGGGATGCAGACCTCAGAACATTCAAAAGATAGCATCGTTATCGCTGTTGATCATTGATCATCTCATGGACTGTATACATCTCACTCATGGTTTATGTGGATCCAAAGCCAAAGGGCACAGCGCTCCCGCGGGGTGATGACACTTTCACGGCAAAGATGTGGTTCAAATGCAAAATGCCGACCAATGTTGCCCGCAGCCACAATTGCTCCAAAAGCTGTTGACAGAGAGCTTCGTGGAGAGGGATTTGAAGGCCCAGAAACGGGCGTCACCGTCAATGGGTCTTCTCGGGTTCCCTTGCTCGAAAGCTTCATGCGGAGAGACTCTGTGTTAGATGGTTTCATCAACTCGAGGAACTCCAGCACCTCAAATGCCACCCTTTCGACCGATACGTCATTAATTTTCCCAGGGGCCAAATTGTTTCCCACCGGTTCGTTTCTTTTATCGAGGCAAACAGTCTCACCACAAAGAGCACATTGCGGTCAACCTCGTGTTGCAAGAACTCTTCTAGACATTGATTGTGTGTTACCAGTATAACCATTCAAGAAGTGACCCTCAGTGAAGCGAAATAGAGAGATCGACCACACAGAATTGGTAGCTTGCGAGGCTGGTGTTGTTGTAGAATCCTCAAAATTGCTTCTGTCAAGTGGGCGGATCGGCTCCAAGGGCACCACTTCCCAAGGAGTTTGTCCTTCATGTAGTAGATCCTGTACGAATCTCAAGTCTTCAGATCCAGTAGCAGCAGTAAGGAGTAAGTTCGGACCCGAGGCCTTGTTCTGCTGTTTGAAGCTGCTCACCAGACAGATCAGGCGAGAAAAACTGGCATTGAACGCGATAAACAACCTTGCATAGAAAATCGGAGGAATAATTTTGACTCTCTTTTTGTGCACCAATTAACACCAATGCGTTGTAGAATTTTCACTCCAGATGTGGCCTTTGGGCTCCACGATCTCATTATCAGGACCAACTTGTGCGCTTGATTCTACCGTCTGGATGTTACTGGACAATGTAGCTAGCGTCCTTCAAGACACCCGACGGCACGTCGTATCCGCGATGGTCACGAGCAGCACACAACACGACTGAAAGCATACTGAGAGCAATCTCAATTTACCACCCTACACACCAATTAACCATACTCTCGGCTTGATATTGTGGAGTGTTGGTACCGCGAATTTGAGTTCTGCAAGTAACGATCGAAGTATCCTGGAGGAGACATCAAAGTCAGGCGTACGAGCCGTGTATCCACAATGTAGTCGCGGGCACTGCGGTGGAAAACTTGCACTTCATAGTTGAAATTTTTGTGTACGTCTTTTTCACGGCTGGGCTTTCGGGACATTTTTATCAAGCCCCGAGCGAGGCGATCCAATACACAAGAAGCAAGTTCAAGTCGCACGTTTATTTCACTTTCTGTACATGATAGCATCGGTATTTTGTCAGAAAAACCATTATCTTTAGGGTCTTCGAGCCATGAGTAGATCATTACAGTGGCAAATTTTCGGATTCCACCGATAGGGTAACCTGACATTTTCTACTGGTGGTACCAACGGTTCCGTCCCGCCATTCCGCGACCAAGACGGGCCGGGACGGGACATCCCGCTTCAAGTGTCAACGTTTGTTTTCCATGCGAACACCTCTCATACATTGTCCACACCGCACACGTAGACCGAACTGAACCATGACTACTAGAATCGAAAACTCGAATGCCAGTGTCTCATGCCTCTAAATGCAGCTTCTCCTTCCTGTCTCACAGCGCCAGTCGGTCCTAAATGTCAGCCCCCGAGCGTTGGAACTCTGCCATGCACTGCTCTCGCACCGTCTTGCATCAGAGCACATTTAGCGCGTGTCGAACATTCTGCAACAACGACAGTTCTAGTACGTTCGCCATACGGTCACCAAGAGGCGCATTCAGCTCCAGCACAACGGAGTATGTTAGCTCTTTGTTGCGGAGGTCTTCCGTTACCGCAGCCTTCAGCTGCCTATACTCAGACGACTAACCTTCCCGCTCTGCCGCGGTCAAGACGGGGTAGGATTCTGGCGTGCGGAGCTCCAAGCGGAGATTGATATAGAAGCACCAGCGTCAGATGAGGCGGTCGGTGAAGCCGCCATCAAGCCTAATAGGAAGCTAGACTTAAGGTCAGTCTCACTGTGGGAAAGCGAGTCAAGCCTCTTGCTCACATCAATGAACAATCTGGAGACCATCAAAAAGCTTGCTGGTGGCCTAGACGGAGTCCACCCATGAAAAGCTTCCAAGGGCCCGTAGAACCCATCCTTGCTATGATGAAATTAATAGTTTTTTAAGCCGCAATTAGCTGAAGTCGGACCTCGACTACTGACTGCTGTACGAAGCGATTTTGCTCAGAGTTGGATCGTCCTAGTGTTTTAGCACCCCTACAATCGCATTATATATACGTCATTAGGCTCATTTGGTGAATTATAGCTCAAGGTTATTTCTTGTTAAAGTGAATGCGCGACCCAGATTATGAGAGAGGAGGCCATCGGATTACTAAGTTAGTTTCAGTGATCTGGCTCGCCAAATCATTGAAAGACTACGCCAGACGAACTGATGGACACGATCTGCATCATTTAGTCATTTCAAGGCTGTCCCCAGCAACTATGCACGGTTGATTGAATCAATTCTCTAATATATTGGTGGGGCCGAAGCAATTTTGTCGAAGCTATACACGCTTCATCTTCCTTTATCAAAGGATAACGCGCAATAGGGCACAGATGTATTATGTGTCCATCTCGTCTTTTCATCAATTCCGTCTAAAGACTTTCTGTGCTCGATTTATTATAATACTGTAGTAACCCGGCAATTCCGTAGTATCCAGACCGTCCTTCGAGCAATACTCTGTCGAATTGTACACATCTACACACATTGGTTAATCTGTGGTCATAAGTAATACATTCAATCTTGAGATTCGTCGTAAGAAAAATAGGTATCATTAATACAGAAAACAGAAGACACCTCATCACAACTAGACTTAATTACTCCGCATCAAGCGGTGCTACAGGCGGCTGGTCATCAACCTGAATCCCGCCTCTCTTCTTCTCATTACTATCCCAGAAGGGCAATTTCCAACCACCTTCGTGCTCAGGCGTCGCCAACCAAAGCCGCATCAGATGCCGTCTAGGCACTGGCGGCGCATGGTCCACATATGCAGTCCTAGCATGCAAAATATGCGAATTCGCCAGGAACTGAATATCGCCGACCTCAAGAATCATGTGTAAACTAAGTCTGTTGCAGACCTCCTCGAGAACCTTCAATGCTTCGTTCTGGGCCTCGGACAGGGCGGAATGATTCCGGCGTCGGAAAAGCGGCCCAGAGACCGCACATAGTACGGGTCCCATTTTGTGTAGACGCGGCCATTTCCGCCGCGCTCGAGGTAGACGACGCTCGTGCGGATGAACTCTTCTTGTCCAACACTTGTCTCGCCCTTGCGGTCGACGTACCAAATTGGTTCGGTTAGGGTCTTGAGGACGTCCGGGCGTTCGAGGGCTAGAGTGTTGTAGACATTGTGGGAGGAGACAATGTCTGACTCACCACCTTCGAGGGCGCGGTGGACGCAGAGGAGGCCGACGATGTCGGAGTCATCGGCGTGGAAGAATTGACTGGGGTCTGTTAGTCGGGATTTTTGGAGAACGGATTGGAGTGGGAAACGTACCGAGCGTTCGTGCGATAGATGCGCACTTTGTCAATCTGGGCGGAATCCTCGCCGAGATCCTTGACGTGACCGAGAACGTGGCCGCGGCTGTTCTGGCTGACAAAGTAGCCCAGGTAGGTACCGAGGCCCATGTAGGCGACGGCGGACTTGTGATTACCCCATTTCTCGACGGGGAAGCCCTTGAACAGAATGAAGCCTTTTCCATCAATGAGGTCAAGGCGTAGGGTTTCAAGATAGTCTGCCAACTTGGGAAGGCGGAAGTTGCTCTTTGATGTATCAGCCTGGTGTGCGGAGGTGTTCCGAGACCGTGAAACCCACCTTGGAAATGCCGGTCATAGGGGTCTTGGATGCAAGGAACGCATCTGACGCTGCGCTCAGCTCCTCGATCTGCTCGGGAGTGAACCTATGTGTCCACTTTTCGGGGTGCTCGCGGTAGTCCTCCGCCTTCCATACCGTTGGACCAGTGATCTGACGGGGGAACTTGTCGAAGGGGCGAATCTCTTCGTAGATAGGAGGATGCTGGCCAGTGGTTCTGAGGCCATCAGGGAAGATGTCCAGCGGGGCTGACAACTTGTGAGGTGCCGTTGGCAGAGAGTCTGTGAGAGCGGGCGCCATGATGTGAGAAAGCTGTTTGAGAGACACAACGAGGTGAAGGACACAGGTACGAAGTTAGACGGGGTATCTTAGTCCCTTTATATTTCACAGAAAATGTTTCCCGGCTACGTATAGAGACTAGTTATACTTGTCATCATAGTGAGGAATCAAGTGGGTAAAATGGCGTGCGAGGTCTCTATTTCCCGCTCTGATAGGACGCAGACATCTTTCAAAATTCATGGGTCGGACAGGGTACGTCTTTGAGAATAATAGCTCTGTGCGCGTGTTAGGTTGGCGCTTTTTTTGGTGATGGCGCAATTTGCGGGGGTTGATGTTGTGTGATGACTGCGCCCGATCACGAATCGGCTCGGCGCGGGCGAGGTCCCGATTATCACGACGAAAGAAACCCTATGAACACCTTTTTATTCGGACTATGATCATGAATTCAAGAACATGTGCCTGACAAGGGCTATACTGATCTGGGGTGAGGTGAAATGAGGTCGAATTAGAGATCGCGTGTAGGAACTTCAATTGGATGTGGAACGTGCTTCACGCCAGAGATCGTCTTGTATAGCTACTCGGCCGATAGCTAACCTCCACGGGAATCATCTTTATTGATGTCGTACTAATGGCTTCAAAGTTGATCGTTCTCGCGAAAGTTGCCTTGACTATACAGTCTAGTGGATTTCAGAGGGTCTAGACCTGCGAGCCCCCAGTCGGTGGCATGCTATTCAGTCCGTTCAAGAGCACTAGAAAGTTGCTCCGTGATGTGAAAAGTGTCAAACCGGGATAGTGCCGTGACTGCAAGTTCGACACCACTACTGTCCGAGTCTCAATCTCCAATTCGACAGCCCGTGAGAGCGCACTCATGCTCGACAGAGAACGGGCAGCATGACCCAGGGGTATCTGAGCAATTGCAACAAGCGCGCCCTGTCGGCTACATGCCGACATAGTACACGCGAAAAGGGATTCATAACGGTACTTAGCACTGACTTAAATAGTTCGGACAAGGATTCGATTTCCGCTTTGGGCCGCGCTCTCCACCCCATTACTCACAGAAACCCTTTATCGGGCATGCGGATCCGAATCACTTATCAGCATTGATGGATCTTCTGACAGGCCTTCAACTCCTCCTTCTATTATCATTTGGCTACTGTGAGCTGCTTTTATTTCTTGCTATAGCAACTCAACTTCCTGAGTCCCCGCCTTCTAGCATATGGCCAACCGTATCCATGTCGCCGTGCTAGACGCGGATATTCCTTGCTTATCTGTATACTCCCAGCGAGGCCTGTACAGTTCGCAGTTCCGCGTTCTTCTCCAGAAAGCCGCAGATCGTCTAAACAAAAGTGACTATGTCCAACTGCAGAACGGCCCGCTAGCCGTGCATGTCACAGCTTTTGATGCCGTGAGATGTTCACTGCCGCCTCTTGAAAGCCTGCGCGTTATGCCACCTTCTCCAGAAACCCACGAGGGACCCTTTGGTGCGATTGACGCGATCCTAATCACCGGTTCTGCGCATTCGGCATACGATCCGTATCCGTGGATCGCACAGCTTCAATCTTTCATTCAGACGGTGCATGCCAACTACCCTTTGGTAAAGATCTTCGGCTCCTGTTTCGGCCACCAGCTCATCGCACAGGCTCTACTGTCGACATCTGCACGACCTGCGTCTGCAGCATCGACGTTCCATGTTGAGCATTCGTCTAATGGCTTTGAAATGGGCATCCAACCTATCACTCTGGACCCGTCATTTACGGCATATTTCCCCCTCTGATGTCACAATCCCCCTTCCGCATCCAGTTGATTCACGGCGACCAGGTGATTCCAACTGCCGAAGCGGAAGCTGCAGCTGCAGCTGCATCTGCGGGTGAAGTTTCCCTACCAGCACCATGGATGAACATTGGCAGCAGCGCCGCATGCCCCGTGCAAGGTCTTTACAACCCTGGTCGGGTGCTATCCTACCAAGGTCACTTTGAATTCGACGCATGGACTAACCGCGAACTATGCATCGAATTTGGCCGGCGCGCAAAGTGGTCTCAGGCGACCATAGCAGCGTACCTGGAATGCATCGAGCGTTCTCTCGTCCCGGGAAGTGAGGATAATGACGATTCCAAAGCCGCAGCGGAAGCAGTACTACTGTTCTTCGCCGGTGAAGATCAGCCCAAAACAATTCCAATTGCCAATGGAATGCTTACACCTCCGCTCGACTCCGCAGCAGGTTGGATGGGTGGGATGCATAGCTGAAAGAAGCATGTAAGACCGTGAAGCAATGCTTGTTTCAAGCACATTGTTCCAAAGCAGCCTCGCTGATTGAGACCAGGTGCAAATCAGCGCGCAAGGGCTCCTCGACCGCCGCCCTGAAACATCATTCTCTTCAGCATCCAGACCCCTCGGCAGTGGCAATTAATTAAGTTGCCTGGCTATGAATTAAGACTTTTCTGCGTGGTGTGTGGCGGTGCATCTGGCATGCCGGACCGCAGGGAGAAATCCAAAGATTGTACATCACGCATAGTAAATACCTAGACAGTAGTTAGCAGGCAATCTTACCTATACATATACCTCTCAAGATCATGATCAATACAAGGCAAGGTCCGGGCCCGAGAACGTGATAATACAGCTAGAGAATCCGAATACCACCCTAAGCTCCATCTCCCCCCCCCGCCCGCTTCGGGCCTCCACTCACGATAACGAGAAAACCAGCTTCTCCCTTGAGACTTCTAGAACTCCCAAATCCCACCACGTACCTGGGTTAGGGGGGGCAAAGTCGCATATTAGAAACAGGGTAAATGGCCGCCTCCGGTACCAGAATACAGGTACGCGGGATTCCGGAACAGAATTTTCCTTTTTTTTTTCACCAAGCCGATTCCCCTCCTGCACGGGCATCCACAATCGGGATGGCGCCCTTACAGCAACGGCCGCAGACCAATGGAGAGGCAGGTAATTTGCGAGGTTTGGATCCACTGAGCAATGGTAAAGCCCAATCAGGCTGCTTTGGATGCTCTTCATCGGCATGTGCGTGGAGTCGGTTTTACACTGTACCGTGTGGTATTACGGGTTACGACCGGTTTAAAGTTGGGAGCTGGAGCTCGCTTGGCTTCGGGTTCGAGATTCGATGTTCAAGATTCGAGATTTTCAGGTCAATGCGCCGACTTCCTAGGTTGAATTTAGGTGAGTCAATTATCTTCGAGTATGCCATCTCGTTACAAGGTATTGAGGTCGATATAGGTGGGAGAGGAGCGGCTAGGACATTGACCTGAGCTGAGCTGAGCAGACAACGGGAGCCTCGGTATTTGCCGGCACGCCACCCGAGCGAGTCGTGGGAACTTGGATTTGGGGAATGCGAAATCGAACCCCCCCTTAGGACCCGATTCTCATGCATAAGGCCGCTTAATGATGGACCTGGATCTAACACAGCGTATAGATTTAGAAATATCTATTAGGTAGGAACTAGAGATTGTGGGATTCTTATCGTGTAAATACGGCGTAAAGTAACGTGGCGCTAATGAATTCGCCACCCGGAGCTCCCCTCCTTCGCCCAAGAGCTTCTGGAATTTCGAGCTTTGAGAGCTGGGGAGAGCTTCGGAGGGGCCGCTGATAGCGCTATCGCACCACAATCTATCGCATTATCGCTTTCTATGGAGTAGTGTTCTGGGTCCTTTTAGCCAAGTGCATGCTTCCCTATCTCGACTTGTCTTAGCTGAGAACGAAAAAAAAATCATCCAGCTGATCAGACTCCCGTTCCACCGGGCTTTCCGAGAAGTCTCGAGCGTAAAGGAAAAAAAAAGAAACTTGACCATACGCAGCTCCGAGCTCAAGGTGGATAAGATGGTCAGCTCCATGCATGTGCGTGACTTGACGCATGAACCAACTCAGCTTACCATTGATCTATGCGAAGAGTCTAAGTTAAGGAAACAGGAAACTTTAGGGAAGTAAAGAAAAAAACGAGCCAAAGAACCCCAGCATAGCGCGGGGAGGCGTCCTGTAATTACGGTAATACCCCCGTCTACCTCTCCCACCACGCAGTGAGCGGCGGCGGATCGAGTCCCTCGAAGTACTCGATGACTGTATGAGCCGCTCCTCTTCCTTTTCTCCCTTTTACATCCCCTCCCATGCCAATCCAGGCTCTCTTCAGCCCTTTTCTGAACCGAGACCTTTCCATATCCTTATCGTATTCTCCTTCCCTATCTCCCCTCTAGGGACGTATGCACCATGCCTCCTCGAAGCTCGTTGACGAGCTCATTCTCCGTCACGGACGCCAACAATGAAGTGGTCTGTCCTTTGAAGAATAATGACGGTTCCAATTGTCGCAAGCGATGTCTAGGAGTGAGTCGCCTCTTGCTCTTCTCCCCTTTTCCCCTCTCCTCGAATCCACCCCACTACCCCCAGCCGGCTTTCACAAGCTCGATGGCAAAAATACCTAGAAAAAAAAAATCCACCCCTCACACATCCGTAAAGCTATGCTCTAATCGAAGGCTGCAGGAAAAGCGCTATCGGTCTATGCAGGAGCATATCCGACGCGCGCATCCGAACCACTACATCCCGAAGCTCCCGGCCACCGAAGAGAGCTTCTTACTGATGGTTAACACCCCGCCCGAACAACGTGCCCAGCTGTCTCCGCCAGAGCTCCCGCAGCCACGGCGCCCTCGCGGTCAGTTGATTCCACTGATTTTCTCCGTCTAGGGCCTTTGACGGTCATTGCTGACAGCCATCCACAGATGTGGCGGATCGAGACATCTACGTAGCTGACGCCAGCTCCCCAGCGACCCCGCGAGCTCTTGACGAACCTGGCCCCGCTGCAGCAACAGCAGCCGTCGCTCTGGCGCAATTACACCACCATCGTCTCGCTTCAGACTGGGATACTGATATGGTATGTGGTGCTGTTGTGACCCGGTGGACTGTACTTACCCCAGCTTCCCCAGGACACCCACTCCGACACCGATCTGCACCAGGGCCGTATGCGCTCATCTATTGAATTGCCTTCACTACGCGACCATTTCAAACAAGAACCCCTGCCACCATTCTCCTCGCCTCGCCCGCGGGAACTCCTTCCGTCTATTCTCAATCATTCGCCTCCCGGTCGTTCATCAACTCTTCCCCCGATTCAACGAAGAGATCACAAGCCTCCCCGGCCGCGCAAATCTTCAATTACGCAATCAGCCCGCAAACCAAAGCACGACCGCCCAAAATCTAAGGAGTTTAGCCGGCGCCCGAGTCTCGGCGACCGTAAAGCTCTTTCCGCTGAACCCCAGACTGCAGCATGGGCGCAAGGCAAGCGCTGGGAGGATCTGATCGAAGCAGCGACCTCGGCAACCGAAGCGGACGATGAACCGTACTCTGAAGTGAGTAACACCTTTCATATTTACTCTCGATACATCGGCCTGCTAAACTAACATGGATCCAGGCCGGCCGGTCTCCAACGATCGCCCCGCTCCTCGCTAACGTCACATCTGCACCTGGAACGAAAAATCGATCTTCCCTTCCACCAGCATTCCAATCAGTTCAGAGTCTCCCACCTCTAAACCGCCAGTTCCCACCCCCACTCATATACCGCCTCACCACTGCACAAATCCCTCACCCCGCCACCCTTTGAAGGACCCCGCAGCCGCGACAGCGACCTAGAACCATTCCCCTCCATCGAATCATCACTCGACTCGATGTCCAACGCCTCAGGAAAGAATTTCCCACCTTCATCATCAGGAATGGCACACTCAATAAACTCCGATTCAAGTCCGGTGCTCAATCTCATCCCACCCGTCTCCCAGCGGCAGCATCACCGATTTTCGAACCCGACGCCTGCTTCCTATCACAACAAGGAGATCCAGATCTACTGCGCTCACTGCAAGCGTCCCTGGGCGCTTAACGAGTGTTACGCTTGTACGGAGTGCATCTGCGGCGTCTGTCGTGAATGCGTCGGGATGTTCATGACAAGCCCGCCGGTGCAGTTCAGAAGTCCAGGCAATGGGGCGTTGAATCATATTCCCGGTCCAACGAGTTACCCTGCTATGGCTGCGAGAGGATGTCCGAGATGCAGGACTGTGGGTGGGAAGTGGAAAGCTTTTCAATTGGAGTTTAAGTGATTGTGAGCGCGTGTGCTCATAGTCTCACGGATTTTATGACTTATGCTTGATATTTACGGGTCGTTTGTCTTTTCAACCTTCTTTTATTTTTGTTATTCTTTTATTTTTGTTATTCGTCTCCGACTCACGTTGACGACTACGGCCAGCTCGGCAGGACGATGTCGCGTTCAATTCACAACAACCTCGGTGCTGGGCTCCGATCAAGACGACAAAGCTGGTCTTTTTCCATCTATTTTTTCAACACATCTTTTGGCCTCACGTTCACGTTTACGTTCCATGGTGGAGGGCGTTGGGCGAGCTCCATTTTTTTCCATGTGTTCATATGTTTCTTGGACATGAGTTATGCACTTCAATGTTTGTGAATTTTCATCTTGTACTGCAAGTTTCATGTTTCATGCTCACGGTTCACGCTCTGCACAGTTCGATAGAAAGAGTGCGAGGTATAATGTCATCCTCCAAACTCGCAATATATATTTCAGATATAATCCACGTTTCCGTACTGCAGATCTTGCATTTCCCGTCGCAAAAATTTATGACTTGAAGTCTTCTAGAGGGCTTAATCTAATCCCGATCGAGGCCGCGAGTCATATCTACAATTCGCAAGCAAACTCTGCAATTACGGCGCCAACCATCAATACACAAAGAGCAATGACGTGTGAATCGGAAACTCTCGTCGGGGCAGCGATTGGAATCATATTCGCGACCATATGTTCGAGGTGTTTCAAATTCTGAAGGAGATCCTCACGGAGCGTGCTACCTCGTGAAGTATTTACTCGACTTCGATAGCGCAAGGCCGTACAGGCACCATCTACGGGCTAATCTTTGGACTGCTTCGTACATTGAGCAAGAAGCTGATCCCGCGCTTCACGACAACTGAGATCAATAGCTTTAAACCTCACTTCCACCCTTAGTCAATGGAATGTCTTGTCAACATAACCTAGAATTCAGAAAACAGGAATCAACTTTCAATGCCTTGACTCTCGAGCACAAAGACGATGTCCAAATATCATTCAGTAACTAATAACTTGTCCAAATCGCTAACAAATAGATCAACAATACCCTCAATTCACGCTTCAATTACCCCTGTAACGCTCATTCGTCCCAAATGACACTGCTCAGCCCCTCCGACGAGCCCACCGTTCCAGTCTCCCCAACCTGCAACATAGCAACCTTCTCCCCGAGATCCCCAGTCTGTCGATCTCTGCGCACAATAACGACAGTTGCCGATGCCTGGTCCCCAATAGCAACCAGATCTCCAGCCTTGTTGATAGCGAACGTCCGTGGCACCTTTCCATACGCATCGGTCGTATCGCGCAGACTCACAGACCCATTCTTAGGCGACCGATTCAGTGTGACCATCGAATCATTAGGTTTGAACCCCTGATCACTGCGGACAGAAAGATAAATAGTGTCGCCCTCCATGCGAATCTCAGCCGGCGTCGCGCCCTGCGGCATCTTGCCACCAGGATACGGCACAAACGTCTGGGTCTTCTGGAGATCAAGACACCCAGACCGGTCATACGCGACATCAAAGGCCATTATCGTACCCCCGATCTCATTAGCAATATACAGCATCGTCTTGCCAACGGCTGCGGCCTGGCGTTGGTGGGTGATTGCACCAAACTGTGCCGACTGAGTGATACTGCCGGTTCCATCAGTCCAGAAGACGCCGTGGCGGGGTCCGCTGCCGAATGTCACATTTACGGCGGGACATTCGTGCAATTGACCATCGGAGACGGAGATGGAGTAGATGCGTAGCAGGTCAGCGCCTAGATCGGGCGAGACAAGGAACGAGCCTGTCGGGTCGAGGAAGACTTCGTGCGGGTGGGGGGAGTCTTGCTGGGCTACGGCACCGGGATGGTCCATGTGGAAGTGGAAGGCTTGTTTCACTGGGGCGTTTGCCTTGAGAGGGAGGTCATAGGTTGAGACGGCGGAGCCCTCACTTGAAATTGTCAGTCAATAGTCAATATCATACATGTCACTTCTTGAGAAGATCATTAGAGTGTGCAGATCAGAGGGGAACATACTAGTGTGCAATAGCAAGATACTTCTCTCCATCGTCATTCTCGTAGATCACAGAGTTGACGCCACCTCCAATGGTATCGGTCGTTGCGATCTCTTGCAGCTTACCGTTCGATGCGGCTTTGTATGCCGTCAAGGTACCGTGGGTTGAAGGGTCGGCGGTGCCGTCTTCGTCGGAACAGTACAGCACGCGCGCCTCGGAGTCGAATGTCAACCAACTGGGCATGTTACCGCACGTCTTCATCGTATCGGTAAGCGAAAGGTTCTCGCCATCCAATGACAACGTATAAACATTGCCATTGTAGTGGGTGGCCCAGAGATGAGCCCGGTGGGCGTGCTTGGGCGCCGCGGAGACTAGACCGACCACCCCGAGGAAAGTCGCGTGTGAGAGACGCATATTGAAAACGGTGCGTCGAGTCTTTTTAACCTGGGCAGAGTCCTGCTTGTGGAAGAAATCCGCAGTCAAATGGGTGTCCGGGGTGTATATATGGGTCCTGGTACGACGACGCGAGACACGCGGGACGACCAAGAACGGAGCGCGGAGACATGGTTAAATTCTTGCCTGCAGTGGCTTTACATGACGAGCGCCCAGTCCGCGCTTGCACGGGATAATTGGAATGGATCGACGCGGTCGCTGCGGAGGTGGAGTCGAGGGGGTTGGGTCGTCAAGGGGCAAACATCGTTGATTTCAGGGTAGCAATTGGGCTAGGTACACTACCTGACCACCTTATTCAATGATGAATACAGGGTCAATGTGTGATTCTTGAATCTGTCTTAACAGATCTGCTCAGAGGCTATCTCCTCGGCTTGGTTGTTAATGCTTCACGTCGTTGCAGACTGAGGGGTAAGTAGTATGATCGTCCTGCCGACGTCGGGCTTATTCTGGAGAAAATGTGGATCGACGGATTCTCTTTCCTCGATGAGGAGACCCCCCACGGTCATCGGCAGGGGTAGGATCTTTGTGTGTCTCGGGCATTCTGGGCCAGGCATGGTTATATACTAGGAGCTCCGGGCAGATCCAATTGGCTGGTGTTCAACTAGGTGTAGGCTGGTTGCTTCCTGGCATTCTATAATTAGGGGGGGAATTCTCTCTGACGCAAAAGATGACAGCGTATCGAGTCAGAAGGATTCACGCGAGCTGGGAAAGGGTAAGCTTCGGTAGCGGGGCGTGGGGGGGTCACTTATCTAGCTCACACGTACGACCCATTTATTAACGTTGAATTCCAGTCGATCTAGACATTTTCTTACCCACTAATATTTTCCAACTAGATGGGTTAAAGAAGATATCTGAAGTCCTGATGAGGCCAAGAATCCATATTTCAGGTGTAGAAAGATCACGTTCAGGAAGGTCTCTTCGATTGCGTAGTTATGTCATCCAGGCCACCTGAGAACCTAGTATGGTTGTATAGTGATATCAAAGAGCCGTAGTCTTTACTTCTAAAGTAATTCAGACCTCTGCTATTTTATATCACGCCAGGTATCTCGAAACCCCTCGGTGTTCCATTGTCTTCCTTATTTGACTTTCACATTGTCTGAAAGAAGGTTTTAAACAATTAAGACAGGCAAAAACTCCCAATTAATAACCGGACTGGGGCTCGATCCCAAGGCCTGATCGGTGTTGACGATATATGATCGTTCAGGATGACTGGAGAAAGTCCACAATTGTGCATGGCATATCAAGAATTCGTGCATTCGGTCAGAAAGCCGTAGTCTCTCCACCGTGGGTAGCCTTTGTCCAATGCCTTCGGGCTTCACCATTTTGAGCCTCAGCGTATGAACACACCCTTGCCCCGACTCTACGAGTGGTCATGGACAGAGAAATCTTAGAAACGGGCGGCATTGCCCATGAGCACCCAATGGTAGAATCCATCGTTGTATCGCTTCGCAATTTCACCATCAGCAATGCCCCGCTTTGAGCAGTCATTGATTGGACTCTGCAAAGCGAAAAATGGCCACAATCGGCGATTATCACGAGATTTCAGACGGCCTTGAATTCAGAATTTGAAATGTGACTGAGTCCTTTTGGTCACGCGGTGTTCACTCTGCTGGTTTAAAAAATGAACTCTGACTGTCAGATGAAATAAGACAAACGGTCTAGCCACAATTTTGATTATCACTGGTACGTAGAACTACTGCAATTTATGACTCAATTTACTTGGTTTTATAATTCGAATGCTGCAGGCAGATGTCAGGGGGGATGACCACTGTTTCCAAACATTAACAAAATTCAGTCAGAGAAAGCCGTGTTCTGGTACAGGTCTTCGCTGGACACAAGACGATCTGACTCTCCAACCTGGGCCATGAGACGAGACCTCGACCAGTCCATGATCAAATCCACCGCCTCGTCAATCTGAGCTGCTGTATTGTCTGCATGCATCACAAGCCGGACCCGCTCCTTGCTTGAAGGTACGATAGGATAGAACACTGGGTTCACCTGATACTCCCCGCTCTGTAATCTCTGGGCAAGACTGGCCGCTTGTCCAGGCTCCGTGACGAGAGGGATAATCGGGGTCCTATATGCCAAGCCTTCTCAGTAGGCAGGCTGAGGATACCGCCAAATACAGATTTTGCCCATTCTGGATGTCCTGTGAGTTTCTCATAGAAAAAGCGGATGTTGTTCTGAAGCCGAGTTCGGCGCTAGTCATTTGTCAGAGAGAAGGCCCTTGGTCTATGACCATTTTAATTTTTATGTGGTGATCAACCTTCTTGCCTTCCTTGCTTGCCAGAATGTTGTACCCTTCTTTTACGGCCGCTAGCGATGGAAATGCGGGGGCGGTAGAGAAGATGAGGCTTTTCGCATAGTTGATTAGGTATGAGCGGATGGCGGAGTTGGCAAGCACGGCAGCTATCGATGAGTTAGCAATCAGCCTTCGTTAAAGACTCAGAGAGCTGTTCTGTTGAGACTGACCGCCGTTTGACCCGAGACCTTTTCCACACGTGTGCAGTCGAATGGGAAATTTTTTCTCGAGACCGTAGTAACAAATATAGCCCGATCCATGTTCGCCGACCAGGCCATTCGAATGTGCTTCATCGATTGAGAAGACCGCGTTGCCGTGAGGAAATAGTTCTTTTGTCAGCTCCAGCATTTCATGAACAGGAGCCATGTCAGCATCCATGCTATACATTGATTCGAGAGCAATGAAAACTGATTATTCTCCTTTTGCCACGGCTGGGCTTCTTGAATTACATATGTCCAGGGGACACTCTCGAAGAGATTTGCAGCTATTATGAGAGAACTTTTGAGTCATGGCCCTCCCTCGACGCATGCCTTCATGAATACTAGCATGGATATATTCGTCGTAAATTACAACGTCACCGGGCTGTGGAATCGTTGACCAGATAGCGACATTGGCCTCATAACCAGACGGGAAAAACAGTGCAGAGTCTGCTCGATGAAATTGAGCCATTTGTTTCCCAGATCCAGCAGGTACTGAGTAGTCCCCTCGAAATTCGCGTCGATCGACTACCGACTTCAAAGTCAGGATACTTGGCAATTTCATCAAAGAAGGCTTTGCGCAGGACCCCCTAAGGAGGTGAGGGAAAGGGTATCATTGGATCCAAAATCCACCATCTGGGCGACCAGTTGTGGATTTGCCGGCTCAATGAGTCTTCCTTCCTGGCGACGATTTTCCAGAGTCGCCTGGAGCTTTGTGGTCAGTGGATCTCCAGAGTGCACTAATTGCCAGTCATTGAAGCAATGGGTCGTACTTGGGGTTTGGAAACTTCGTCTTGAGAGCGAAGATAGGGTTTGTCGACGCAGAAACAGAATCTTCTCTGGAGGAACAGAGAGAGAACTTTTGGAGAACATGACGAGGGAGGATTTGGTTGTATTAGACCAGTTGATTTTGAATATACTCAAGCATCCTCTGGAATGGCCAGCAGCAAAGTCTTTTTTATGATTTCTTGTTGGGTATATCCTGAGATTCCATTATCCACGGATTTTGAGATCAAATGCGGACTACCACTGATCCTCAAACTAGAGTCAAAGTCGAATCTGCCGGTGCCCCGATCAGGAGAATTCATGTGTCATGAGGTGCCATAGATGTGTGGATATTTCCCTGTTTGATTCATCATACGAACAAGTTCTCACTTTCTCGTGGAGGCCCGTGAGAAGTTCTTTATCATAGTATCATATGAAAGTTGGAGCAGAATGCACCTTGTATAACGCTTGATACCAGATCTTGACAAATCGATGGAGGCCACTGCACGTGCTTATTCGTGAAATCTGTTTCCCTTTCTTGGAGGAGACAGTTGTTCATGCATGAGATACCCAAAGGAGTACAATTCAGACAATCGACACATCCTATTCCCTCAAGAGACTTTGAAAGATCAAGGATGATGAAAGTTTGTTGACATATTGACAAGGCAGCAGCCCGAAGAAGAGAAGATAGACAGGCGAGGTCTTGAAGTGATGACGTGAATCTCGTATTGCCACGTTTAAGATTGAATTTGCATGATGCCGATTGAAACCTCTTCTAGGATTTACAGAAGAGAGATCTTTTGACGCAGTAAGACTTCAAGAAGTCAAAACAATGGGACCCAGGGAAGAAGAACAGGTTTACAGCTTAGAGAATCCTAAAAGTTCCATTGAGCACAGACAATGACCAACTCAGACAGGAGAATAAACGATAACATACGTCTCTTATGTGCAATCTCTTACCAAGAATTGAGAAGCGAGTCCAGATGATGGAGATGTCAACCTCGGGTTTTGCTGCCATAACACGGGCCTCCACAGCTCAAAGCAGCTTATGCTGAAGATCTACACCACCTCGGTATCCAATCAATGATGACCACGATTGTGAGCTCACGAAAACTTCAATACTTTGGTCAATCTTGATTTCAGCGTTGGTGACAGGGAAGGTCAGTTAGGACGTGAGTTATCATACTCTTGGATCCGACACATAATATGAATCTCGAAAGATGGGAAACGACACCTAGCTTACACATGACAGAGCTAGTCTCTGTAGTCATTTGTGCAAATCTGAATTGATCTTGAGAACACCAAATCAACTGCAAGAACGTCGCATCGCACAGTGGTTGCCGCCTCCTCTTCCCAAATGGACCAATCCATTATTAAAATTGCGCAGTCGTCTCCCAAATCAGTTGCCGTCAGGAAAAATGATAATCAGTTGTCTTACAACGAGTGAGTTTTGGAGTCTCAGGGGCTGGCTAAAACCATTCGTGAGAAGGGTATCGACCTGGAGGAGCCAGTCGGTATTCTTTTCGCACCTGGGATCAACTTGGTGGTCGCTCAACTCGCGATGATCTTCGCTCGGGCCACCTGTGTCGCAGTGGATCCTTCTATGCCCAGAATGAGGCTCTTGGGGATGTTTCACGACATTGGGGTCAAGTATGTGATTGTTGCCGAGCAAGATGAACAGTTTTTGGAAGGCATGAGCTATATTACTCTCTCGCGCAACAAAGAGCGTGACGCTCATAGCCATTTGAATTTGATATGGCGCTTCCTGCCTTGGACTCGGTCTTGGATCCGCAGCACCGCACCCTTATCCTCTTCACCTCAGGCTCTACGGGTAGTAAACTCAAGCCAGTTCAGATCATCGCTCAGAATATTATGCATCTGACCAGCAAGACACCATTCACCCCATTGCTCCCTGATGACAAAGTGGCACATTTCAATAACCCGGGTTTTGACCTCAGTCTCTTTGAGATTTGGGTTGCCCTCCTTTCTGGTGCCACTATCGTTCCCATCAAGAAGGAAGTCGTGACGGACGCTTCCCGTCTTAAAGATTTCCTTGGATCCCAAGGTGTGACAGTTCTGATGCTTTCCGTCGCCTTGATGGAGATTCTGGTGTTCGGTGATCCTTCCATCTTTGAAAATTTGCGCCATGTGCTGAGTGCTGGGGACGTTGCCAGCGTCAAGGCCATGCGTGCGATGTGTAAGCCCCCGAAATATCTCTGGAACACATACGGCCCAACGGAGTGTACTACACTTACGACTGCCATGCTAGTAATTGAGGAAGAATTGAAACGGGACCGGATCAGCATTGGTCGACCGGTGGGTGACATAAAAGTTTTCTTTTGAACCAGGATCTGCAGCCAATTCGGGAAAGCGGCAGCCGAGGAGAGCTCTGCATCTCTGGACCCCAGCTTTCAACGGGCTATCTGGGCATGTCGGCCGAGACTGGAGAGCGGTTCATCTTTATGGATTATAATGCCCTGGGCTCTGAAGAAACCTCGGACAACGGTGAACAAACTATTCGCTTATACCGAACGGGGGACTATGCCGAATGGAGGTCAGACTCAGACTTCCTGAGACTTCTGCGGCCGCTTGGATCGGCAGGTCAAGCATGGAGGCTTTAGAATTGAGCTCCCAGAGGTGGAACGACAATTGCTTTGCCATGAGGATGTCGTCTCGGTAGCGGTGATTCATATTCCATCAACCGCCAAAAACGGAATCCCATTGCTTGTTGCGTTTGTCAAAGCAAACAAGAGGCGAGACCTGACAGCTGAGTCTATTCAGGCATTTGTTCGCGAGCGATCGCCTTCATACATGGTCCCGAATCACATCGAGCTACTCGACGAGCTCCCATTGACCATCAACAGCAAGCTTGATCGACAAGCGCTTAAAGACCGCTATATGGGACAGAAGAAACATCAGGATCACCATGAAACCACACACGAGGATTCCAAGACAAAGGGAGCCTCGAACACAAAGCCTATCATCAAGGAGCTATGGAAGGAGATCCTCCCCCAGTCGCATGCGAATGACCGAAGACGACTTTATCGAGCAAGGGGCCACTTCTTTGCAGAACGGCGCATTGATCTCTCTTATTCAGAAACGTTGCGATTGTCGCATTTCCATGGAGAAGTTCCTGCAGCACACCCGACTACAGAATCTTGTTTCGCCTGTCGAGGGATTGACCTCGACAACTGAGACTGTCGCCCTTTCAATTGACGAGACGGAGGTTTGGATTCGAGATGTAGGACTCGTCGACGATATCGAACTTACCCCGGACTGGACATCTGACGGTGAGGGTCGCGTCTTTTTGACTGGCGCAACTGGATTTGTGGGAGCGAACCTCTTACGCTACCTGCTGGGCTTGCCGACGGTGAAGCAGGTCGCCTGCCTGGCGCGACGCCAGGAATCGATCAGTGGTGCAGCCCGCATCCAGCAGACACTAAAATGGTATGATCTTTGGCCAACCTCATTGACACTGATCCAGAAGACCATGGTCTTAGAGGGCGATATGAAGAAGCCGGATATCGGGTTAGGCGCTGAACGCTTCCTGGCTCACCAACTGGGCATCTGTCGTCTTTCATCTGGGAGCAAAAGTGAATTTCTGCGAGACTTATGCTGCTCACTACTCCTCCAATGTTTTGGGTACCAAGCATGTACTGCGTGTCGCGGCCCTGGGCCGGCAGAAGTCTTTCCACTACATGTCTAGCATCGACGTCTGGGGCCCGACAGGTTTCATCCTAGGCACACCGCGTGTGCTTGAAGATGGACCTCTGTTCCCACACATACAGGCTCTTCGATACGATCTGGGCTACTCAGCAAGTCAATGGACAGAGGAGCAAATGGTGCGGCGCATGCGAGACCGTGGCCTTCCCGTCGCGATCTACCGGCCCGGATACATCATTGGGGACAACAAAACCGGCGCCTTGAACCCGAATGACTTCTTCTCGCGACTCATTGTCGGTAGTATCCAAATCGGCGCTTTCCCAGATCTTCAACAGAACCTAGAATGCTGCACCATTGACTATGTCATCTCGGCCATGGTTCACATTGCCTCGTCCAAAAGTAATCTTGGCCGGTCATACAGTCTTTTATCACCGGACCCTTCGGCATCAATCACTGTTCGCGATACTTGCAAAGTGACAAATGATGCGGGCTACCCGGTGAGATTGATAAAATACTCGCGATGGGGCAAGCGAGGTTATCGCTAAGCAGCTCCCCGATGGGCCTTTGGCTCCCTTGATGCCCATGTTTGAGGAGCGCGTTCGGGGGGGAGTTAACTCGGTGGGAAGCGAGTCAGCATACGCCTATATATGACTCTACCAACACCGCGGACGCCCTTCGGAATCGGTCCGACATTCGGTATCGGCCTCTGGACTCGGAAATTCTCAGTTCAATCATTTCATTTTGGCAAAGGAAAGGGTTTTATCAGGTTTAAATGCGATTGAAATTTTCGATTATTTCTAAGATCTGGATTCGCCATTTCAGCATAAAGTCGACAGGACCCGATCCTATACAGGCGGTGATATCGTGTGGTATGTTGTAATTGTTTCACTGGAGTGGTAGGACATTGATTCGAGAAGAAATTGCGAGGGTGCATGCAATTTCTCTATAACATGTGAGGTTGAGGGTTGGTGGGAAGGAGTTGTTGTCTTTGATGCCACCGAATCGTGAGGTATTAGCATGTCAGAAATTGTCCCAATCTAAAGCCCATCCATATCATTCCAAAATCGCGAGCAAAATAAATGGACCAAAGTAAGAAAATGGAAAAATGCATCCCGTACGGGACGGCAAGAATGAGCAAAAAGAATGACCAGACTGGGGCTCGATCCCAGGACCTTATCGGTGTTAACGATACGTGATAACCAACTACACCATCCGGCCAACTATACAGTACGTTTCATTTTTAAGCTACATGTTTCAATTATGTCTGTCACAGATGTGACTACACGAGTAGCATTTAACGTATTTTAGGGCATTCACCCGGGCCTCTCACGGGCGCCTTTGCAGCCCCGAATTAAACACGTCACAACCCTTGACATCAACCTTAGTTGATTTGTCACTTAGTTGAATACCCAGACTGGGATCTCTGTTATTTTTGACACACTAATATATCTAATTTTGATCTACTTGGTTAAGTGAGGCCCGGTTATAGTCCGGTGTATTTTCTTACGGGTGTATTGAAATGGGGACGGCTCGATGGCTGTCTGGCAATGCAGACTGGGCGACACACACACACACACACACACACACACACACACACACAATGCCTGCAAGGGTAGGCAATCGGCCTGAATGATGCCGTACGGAATCTCCCTAAAGCTTCATCATGAACGGGGAAATGTGGTGGTAACCGGAATTGAATTGGGTAGGTGCCTAGTCTATCTCCAACTTCTGTGTTAAAGACGCACTGCACTGCAGACATTGGATCATGCCTGAGGCCACACATATGCTATTATGTCACCGGTTCTCCCACTACAGTATGTAATTATTGAGCCCCTCACCAAATCTGACCAAAGATACACCAAAGCTATGTGTCGTACAAAATTTTCTTCCAGCCATTCGAGCCTATCTAAAACTTAGTTATAACAAGCTCCCAAAATCCAAAAACATTCCAATAACGGTTTCAATTCGACGGACCACGGACACGGTTGATGAGTTTACCTCGTTGCCCGTGCCAAGACGTTTAATCACGGAGGACGGAGGACGGAGCCATCGAAACAGCCCGCTCCGCGATTATGGCATCCCGTAAAATGGCAGTATATAAAAGCTAGGAAAACAATCAGCTACATTAACAATCAAAATACAAACAAACTTCATCTAACACTCATTGTTCAATACCCTACCAAATGGCTCCCATCCACGTTGGCGCCCTGCTCTTCGACTACCAGACGATCGACATCATTGGACCATGCGATCTACTCAATTCGGCGAGTAAGAGGCTCATGGAGGGCATCAATACCTACACGCCCGTCGATCCAAAACTTCAGGAAAAAGCGCCCGAATTCGTCTTCCATCATATTGGAGAGACCTTGGAGCCGGTGCGCCTGCTTACAAGCTTTGTAACCATGGTGCCTACGGTTGCTGTGGATGACGTCCCCGAATTGGATATCCTCATTGTCGGTGGGGATAGCCCTGCGGAGACAAACCTTTCTCCGAAATTGCAGGACCTCATTCGACGCCATACTGCCTCTGGAAAGCTACTGTTCACAATCTGCACCGGAGCTGCGGTTGTTGCAGCTACCGGCATTCTAGACGGTAGGAGGGCTACAGTCAACAACCTCGAGTATAATTGGGTTAAGAATAGATACCCGAATGTCAAGTGGACAAAGGAGAAGAAGTGGATTATTGACGACAATATCTGGACGGGAAGTGGAGCTGTGGCGGGCATGGACATGGTTGCCCACTGGATCAAAGAGACTTTTGGGCTGGACATTCTTATTCATGCGGGACTATCGCTGGATTATGAACCACGGGATGTTGATGGACTTTTCAACGTGCTGCCCCAGCGATACGATTCGGCCGGAAACAAGGTTTCCACCCATGTCTTTCCTGACGAAATCTGAGGTATTGCTATGCTGAAACTGTAGTTTCGCGAATTTGAGGTCTGGAATTGGCATAATTTGTCAAAGCTCCGTAGATAATGAATCTGTCAAGCCAGAAAATACATCAATCAAAGAAATATCACTCCAAAGTGTCTCGTCTTCAATCCTCTGAACTTCCCTAGCGATAGGATTTTGTGATGTGATTTGGCCCATAGGGTGGACGATGTGGCGGCTCGAGTACCGCAATGCAGGGCAGCGGTGCAGCCCTTGAACAGCTGAGGCTGTATTATTCAAACCCTTAAGCTCATGATGAGCAAGGCGACTATCGTGAACCTGTGCGATATTCTCTTTTGCCAATACATAGGAACTTTTCACACTTCTTATGATCTCAGGCAGCCTTGAAAAGAGGCTCTTGGTGGGGATTTCCCTGTCTGGCGATGGCTCAATGGCCTGTAGTTGATGTAACAGCGTATCAGAGTATTCTTGTAAATCGGCAATTTGCTGTGCAATCTTTATGTTCCACTCAGGTACTTCTGGAAGTCCCACGGACAAACGGTATAGGACAAAAACCGTCAAAATAACCTGGTACCACGCGGAAAATGGCAAGATACCATGCTCCGCAGCGGGAATGGCCAGGAACAGATCGAGATATTCTTTTGTAGAGTTGACGCATTTGACTAAGGTGCTAATGACCATTGGAGGTGCAGATAACATGGTAGAATCTTCCTGCGCTTTTGGAGACGGTGGTCTTCTCCGCCCGTAGCAATATACCACGCCCATTTCTTGAATCCGAATTTTGACGGCATAATAGCTGTTGATCAGAAGTACTAGGGATTGTCAATCAGCTAAATGGGAAACCCAGGGCTTGAGAGGCTCCTACCTGTGTTGCGAAGGTCCGTCGACAGAGACGACCACCATTCCTCTAACCGCGACATGAATCGTTCAGCGTGGATGTGCAGCCGAGGCCCGTTAATGCCTTCTGACCGGTAAGTCTCGCAGACTTCCTCAGAAAACTGCAGCACTTTCGTCACTGGGTATATCAGGAGGTCTGTCTCGAGTTCTGGCTGTTGTTGCAGCAGCATAGCGCATCGAAGCATGCCCTCATGAAATTGGAGATTGTTGGGCTTTCCTGAAGACATTGCTATTCTATTCAAGTCAGCTCAAGCCTCATGGCACCTATACGGGTGGGAAATGGCGTCTGACATGCTAGACATGTAATAGCAACCTAGGTAAGCACGGCATGCTTCCCGGACATTAGTATCACTCAGCTCGGTTTGCTGCTCAAGCAAGTCGGCAACCTCTTGATCGAGGCGAAGGTCAATGACCATGCTGATTGCGATTTGTAAGTACTGGTAGGTTTGTTGACTTCCTGGAACAAAATGAAAATGGAACCTGATTTCGGTCAGCTTGTTGTTGCCTCCAATGCCTCCAGAATAACAGGCAATGTGGGAACTGAGGTCCTACCAGGCAAGGTGGACAAGTAATCCCTGGAGCAGATCTAAATTTTTTTTCGCCAGCCATAACGACCCGCTGACTGAGATATTCTTTGTATTGTATGATCAGAGCATCTTGAAGGTGACAGTACTTCGAGGAAGCAGCAGCAACAGCTGCAAGCAATAAAAAGGGGCGATCTTCAGCCATTGATGCCGCAGTCCAGTCGTATGGAAGGCGTACAAATGGAAAGTAGGAAGCCATGCCGCGGAACCTGCTTAGAAGACTCTCGAGGACAACAGGGCTAAGCCCCAAGTCGGTGATCCACGCGGCGTCTATGGTAGTGGATGCGTCCCACGACATTTCTAGGGCCTCCTTGCTGGTATTCTGATTTCCAGTCGACCTCGAGCCTTCGTCCAATCCAGGACCAGCCCAGTACCCTTGGGTCATCCACTCAGGTGTTAGGTTTAGGCTGTCGCTGAAATGTTCCGGACTTGCAGGTAGTTCTAAATTCGTATCAACGGTGGGTTGCACTCCACGAAGGGGTGCTCTCGAGTGTGAAAGCAGGCCGATGATATTGGTGAGCTTTGACTCAAGATCGACCAGTCTCCTTCATCTCCTCCCTGTCAGTGTATTGGCCTCTCGAGTGAAGCGTGCTCCACGTTTACTTACGGTTTCGCTCTTTGTAAAACTCGAGCTCGCTGTCTCGGTTCTGGGAATACGCATAGAGATTTTGATCTGGCACATCTACTCAAATCAGCCCGAGAGGAAGTATACGCTCAGAGATGTGACACGCACTTGGTACAAGGCTGTCTGTCATCTGCTCGAATACATTTCACCTTGAGGACACGGCATTTTTGGCACGCAGGTGTCGCTTTCTTCGGCTGACGAGATGAGTCCGTGGGAATTGCGTTATCCATCTTCAGTCGCCCATATCTTTCGTGATCTCAATGTTGTGGACTTGAAACCAGACGGGTTTGCACGGGCTAGATTATTTTAAGAGACTGTCCTAGCTGACAAATCCACACACCTTCCTATGGGAGAATGTCTCACATCGGGTCCCAGTCAGCTTAGACGCAGAATATTGTGACTAATCATGGGCCCAAAAATTCGCCTAGGCCGAAAGCGATTAAAATTTATTAGAGATCCGCTCCTTTCAAAATTGACACAAAGGATGACTGTTTTTTTCTCTCGCCCTTTTCACTGCTGCCTATAGAACCACGCGCGGGGACGTACCCGGACGCTAGGCACTAAAATGAAAGAGAGATGACTAGACTCAGTAGCGTGATCCACCGTCATTGCCGGATATCACATGTGATAACCAACTACACCATCCGGCCAAGATATATTGATTAATCAATAACTTATAAGATTTATAAAGCTCACCAAGCACTGACCATCTTAAAAATTCTGTAGAGCGTGATCTTGACCATTCCCATCCCTTCTTTTATTTTTTCCATTCTGTTGATGAGACTTTTGCGGGCAATAAATGCACTTAACAAGGCCCGTTCTTAATAGTTCACGTATGGGATCGATTTTTGAATAAGACTTTGAATATAAAGTAGATAGCGTGGATGGTGTTCTGTGTGCAGGGCAAGCTATAGATAGATACGACAGCAGCTGTAGGCCGGATACGCCGAGGATAGAGGTGGGCTCCAACATAAACAATCTAATCCATGGTGGTAGATATTTTTCAATTCACTATAGATAGGCATAATGTCGATTTGAAGTCAGCCTTGCCAATAAGATTCAACATAAAAGAACGCTCGGATATGGTTTCACTGAGATATATAATAGGACTGCACATGAAAATATAATTTTGCATCCACATTCGCTCAAATTTCATCCTAATCTATTTTTTTCTCCGTCTTCGAGGTTTCAACCACGTCCGTGTTCAGAATTGCGGGAAAATGCCTGAAGGTTGATGGGGAAACACATTCAACTTTTTCAATGAGAAATTTCAAAGAAAAATCTCTCCAAACAAGGTATGGGACTACACTGAACACAGACGTGATGCCGATCCCGTCTCAATGTGGGGGCCCACACACAGAATGCTAGCTTAATGCTAGATCAAGCCCCACGAGCCATGCGTCTATTAATGATCTTGCTCTGCGCATGACTATACGGTTTTTGCCACTTATAAAACTTCCTCATGATACGAACGGAGTTACCATTGGTACTTATCATTTTAATAGAAACAATGGAGTTACGGTCAATAAGCTAGGCAGCCTCGAAGGAAAAGGAAGGGCTGGATTAAGCCAGAGTTACCCGGAAATATCGTAACGCAGTGGAAGCCTGACCCTCTTCCACGTTCTTTTCTTAGTACAATATTCTACAGGAGGTGAAAGCTCTTTGCAGTGCGCCTGTTCGCAAGCTCTTATCTCATGGTGCAATATAGGGTATTGTGGGCAAAGGTAATGCCTGGACGAGTGATGCCTGGTTTAAGCTATTGTGAACTGGGGATCACTGCCATAAGTGCTGTCACATGTATTATACCGTAGGCATGCGATTGTTCACTCACAACACGTTGCCTGAGTAGGTAGTTGCTGTATGGTGCCTGCTTTCTTAGCATGTGATGGAAATGCGTCTTTGAAACCCCGTACAAGCTCCTTTAATCTCACTTGATCTCCCTACATTTCGCTCTTTGGCAAATCTTTCACCATGGCAGCGGTTACCCCGACGGTAAGTCATAGCAAGCTGAATGGCTCACTTTGTAATTCCTGACTGTATTAGTATCATCAAAACAACGCCATCTTGCAAGAACTGAGGCGTCTCAGGCGTGGAGACCACGAGTCAACCATTTACGGAATCTGGAACTCCATTCTCTCCCTTCAATTCCCCATCACACAAGGATACGTGACCCGTCCCCAAGACCGGCACACCGACCAGGCTGGAAAAAAGGGGTTCTCCGATCTGCACGTGTTCCATTATCGCGGCGCTGCCTCAACTGCAACGAAGTTTTTAATCGTGCAGTGCAAGAGAATAGGGGACGAGGGCAAGAAGTCGGTCTGGAAACAGGCCATCGGCCAGCTGAACCGGTATCTGGGAGCCACGCATGGTCGGCGGCCCCGAGCCAACCGTACCGCTGTGTACGGGATCGCCGGTATTGGCAAAGAAATGCGGGTCTTTAAGTACGACGATGTCAAACAGAGAGTATTCGAATGGGCGCCACATGGTTGGCTTAGGGGCTCTAAGTTTCACCTTGAGAATAACCGCGTGAAAGTGCAGCAAATTCTGGATGCGATACTCAACGACCACTAGTCTAAGTCTTTCAAGGAAGATTTCCGAGTTGTCGACAAGCTGAGATGGCGCTGGCCGTTGAAGAGGAGTGAATTTTCATTGAGCGATCGATGGGGACGTTGATCTTACTCTTCGCGTCTCGCAAAAATGGAACATTGCTCGTTCGTTTATTCGTCAACTTGCTATGCATTTTGATATAAGATATGACAATATCAATATCCAATTCTCATATTCAGGAGTTCATAGGATAGATGCTTAGCTCGTCGTGGTCGATCTTACAACAAGCTTCCGGGCCCCGTATCGATCAACTCAAATAGCAACTCTTCTTCAAGCAAAACCTTACAACTCAGGACCTTTCCAAGTAACCCTTCTTGATTTCAACCATAATTCCGAGCACCCTCTCCCGATTTCCCAGACCGCTGGAAACGTACCACTTCCGATTTGCCACAAGACTCATTAAGCCTAGACGTAACACTTGCCAATCCACCGAAGATTTAGTCTTCTTGAGCTCCCCTAGCTCAATGAATAGGTCTTCGTTCAATCTTAGCCGCCAGAAGAAGTCCGGCAACTGCCATTGAAATGTCAACAGCAAATTTTTGATGTCCTTGATATCATTTTCAGTATGATTGATAGGGCAAACACACTCAGAGATAAGAAGAGAAATTTCTAATGGGAAGCTGAAATTCCTGAAGTAAAATTTGGAATGTTCGGCTTCGACTTTGGCAACCTCAATCGCTTTCTGAACCGCGGGTATAATAAGGGGATTTTGGTAAATATCACAGCCCCACTCAAGAGTCGGTAGAAACTGAGTCGGCTCGACCAAATAAATATCATCGTCACTTAACTCCCACGATTCGTTTTTACGCCAATACTTTCGGGAAGTTCGGATAAATTTTGTGAGATTGCGCTTGGTGAGGTTTGTTCCCAGGACCCACTCAAAGAGCACCCAGCAATAGGCATGGACAATATAGCCAATCTTTTTGCGATGTAACTGATGAGACTTTCTTCCGATGCTTGCAGCATAGAATGTCGAGAAACGGCAACTGTCGTATCTCGCATTTTTCTTGCCACCGATTCTCGCCATCGCTGGATCATTGGGAATGTGGAGAGGTCCATTTAACCATCCGTCCTTAATCATAGTAATTCCAGTCAGACGGTAACTACTTTCGGACTCTTTTATGACTGTGATGATTATGGAATATTAGTAAGTTGGTCAAATGTCCGAGTCCCTAAACTCACTTGCTCGACAAAAGCATGACCCTAGCCGAGGGCATTCGCTGAGGTATGCCTCCTCTAACTGTATAGATGGAACCATCACATGCTTTGGAGTACACTTCCAATAATTCTTCCATCGACCTTTTCTGAGTACTTCGGGCTTGGATGAATTTGCTATTCCATAGTGCTCGGGCTCCGGAATGTTGACTCCGCAAAGAAGACATATCGGTAGTGGATTGACCCCCTCGCTGGTAGGTATGAGTGACTTAGGTACTCCCTTGTATTTGGAGGATAACCTAGTCATTATGGCTTTGCTCAAAGAAAAAGCGCAGTTAGCGTGCGTTAGCCGTGGCGTTAGGATAGACAAGGAGAAATCTCGTGAGTAAAAGATATTGATTGATCCTTATATCGGCCGTAATATTACGTCATCATGAGTACTCGATAAGCAAATTAAACACCGCTCAGAAGTCAATACTGCTTGAAACCAACCACTGACTGCCTAACAAACTTCAGTGGTAGACAAATTGTGGCAGAATGATTCTTTTCGGCAGTGTTCCCAGATAGGGATCGGGCATGGACCAGGCCGCTCTGGTGATAGCTATTGATCAGACGAAGGCAGTTTCGCGAGGCATGCAGCTCCCCAGGTCATCGGAGTTTTCACTACTCCCTGACCTGATGACCTGAGGAGCTACATACTCCAGTTCGCGCCATGATTGTGTCATCGATCAAGAAAAATGCCCCTCGCCCCAGAGAATAATCAAATCCACAATAACAATTTTTGCCCGTGTGAGCCCTATAGCGAGCCAGGGTCACCATCTATCTTAATCACCCTGCACCTCGTTCAATACCTCCTCCAACCAGTTTGAGCCCGGGCATCGAGATTGACAACGGTCTACCAGAGTCCATTTAGAAGAAATGGCGTATCAAAATGATATATTAGTATCGACCAGAGCAGATACAAATATAGGGGAGATGAAGGAGAAAGGGAGCTTCAGCTACCTAGATTTATATGTAGTAGTAGATAACTCACCCTTTACCGTGGTACCTGCTAGTTGCGTCATCATCCACGAAACAAAATGTAGAACTGAGAATATACGCAGCTGCTGATGAAGATCAAACGAAAAGTGAATTTGGGATATTTGAATGCTATGAGAGTGGAAAGACTTAGTACCTGTGATATCAAAAACCACGTATACCAGAACCACAATGAAGCTGTTTCATATTGTGGTAAATAAAATGAGATCACACAGATAGGGACAGAGAAATGTTCTCATGTAGACGTTGTACAATCAAGAATTCAGGTAGCAACGCATTGAGATTCAGAACTTTTCTCTATAAAGAGCATACTTGAGATACAAGCATTGAGCTTATTCTGCTAGTCGTTTCATAGCCGAAGGCCATAGGTTAGACATTCAAGTCGGAGCCGATATAGGTGAAAGCAATACTTCTAACGCACACGACACTACGGCGGCAGGAAAACACCCAAAGAAGCGGAACCAATTAAACCACAACTATAAATAACATCTCGGATCACTAGGCAGCGTAGTCGATCATTTTGCAAACGAATATTTACCTTGTGTGGGTCCGGTGACCCAGAAGCTTATCGATTTGGCCCTTAGGCATCCTCCTCCATCTGGCGATCTGTTTTCTATATGACTATTGTGAAAAGAACTATGAATCGAACATCCTAAAGTTGTAACACAATATGAAGCAGAGTCACCATGGAATCCTCGTTTATCGGAAAATCTTAACGCTACCTTTGTGACATGTCTCCGCGTATATTAGAGGCGTCTTGGACCATCTTTTGATCGTGTGATCATAAATCTTTAATATGCAATCTATTCCTTTCTCCTTCAGCCGGTGGACAAGGTAGTAATGCTGTACCATACAGGCTTCCACAGAAACTGTGCGCTAAGAGGGGCATTTGAAACCGATAACGAGATAGGCGTAGAGAGGTCAAGGGATATGAGAGAAAAAAGAAAATAAATTTTTTTCAATGACCAGACTGGGGCTCGATCCCAGGACCTTATCGGTGTTAACGATACGTGATAACCAACTACACCATCCGGCCAGTGTTACACATTGGAAGAGAAAATTGGGTAAATAGCGTTTCGCTGTGTATCCCTTTTGAGAATTGCAAGGGCACCCCCAACTTTGCTAGGGGCAGACTCTTTTATGGTCTTATTAGTTAAGCCACATATCCACTAACTAACTAGCTATACACTGATTTCCGACAGTATTAAAAAAGTCATATGACACTAGCTATAATTGGCTACTAGTGCCATTCCACTATATCTTATCGACATAAACTTCCCAGAATTAGCCGCTTAGACGGTTATGTTAGCATTTTTCATATAGTCCAGGGTAAGATGTACATTTAAGCACTATCTCCAGCTCGAATTCCTATTAACAGCATTCTAGACCTTCTCTATTGCGGAGTCCTAAATCTCCTAGCAATATGAACAACAATTGCCTACTATCTATACGAGTATGCTATAGGCATAACGGCCGGTATAAAAGCCGCCGCTTATTTCTAGATTGTTAGTGCAAGTTTAGCTTAGTGGCGTCCTACTATTACCTTGTCGAGGAGGCCTTTAGCTAGAGCGCTACTCTTCAGTTCTCCCCGGTCTCCGAACTCCTATTGAGAAGAAGCGTCCGCTTCTGGCTCCTAGTCTAGGAGAGCCTCGCGTGAAGTGCGGAATGCCATGTGTAATCTAATTCGTATAGGACGTATTTTTGGTATGCCTAACACGGAAACTTGAGACTTGTCTTGACCGGCTCTACATCCTAAAGTCTGTATATCTCCTGCGGTTATATGAAATTCGTTGTGAACTTGATGTCCATATTCTTGAAGAAAGACGTGGTCCGTGAGTGAGCGATAAGTCCTGAAGCTAGACATATGCTACCTAACATACGATTTAGAACGGGTCTTCTACTGAGTTCTTTAAGCCCTAATAGAACCCGGTCGTTAAATAACTTACGCATGCAAGGCCGTATCCAGCCGCCTCGGCACACATTCTTGTTGTTAGAGCTTTCTATACAGTTTGCCTCGAAACTGGTGCCACCACTTACACTCAGAGATTGTTTTCCGAACCCTAATTGCTAAGACACACTAGTACATATCGGGAGCTTTTCCGAAATGTCCCTGCCAGTGGTTATGACTGTATTGTGTTTTATTACAATGAGTAGCACAGGGCAGTAGCGAGTTGTATTTCCTCGTATTTTAATACACATCTCATGTCCCATGTCCCACTTCGAAAATCATCGTCCCTTGGTACGGAAGATCATCGACTATCACATAATGACAAACCAAAGATGACGCCCAATTTAGCCCCTTCGAGGCACGAGCTTCTTCGTGACATGATCACCAGTGGAGAACTATCTACTGCACCCATAAATTTCCGACCTCACAGAAGTTCCAACCATTGCATGATTAGCATTGGTATGGTGAGCAAAGAAGAATCCCCATTAATTGGCAAGTCTGGAACAAACCATCTCCCGCCAACCCTCTTTGATCTCCCGTTGCATCCACGGTTTGGGGACGGCAGTTTCTGACAACACATTACTACCGGTACTACCCGGTTTTGGGTCGCACTGGACCGTACACCCACGGCCCGCCAGCACTGGATTCCTCAGTCCTGCTGGTCTCCTCAGCTACACCATTTGTGTAGACCCAAGGGGGTGACCTTTAATTTAGATCATTGATCAGCTGAAACCAAGGGGTAGGAACTTAAGATATTAATTCTATCTTCTACATCCTAAGCGCGGTATGCATAATACGGGTTGGTAGCCAATCGTAGTATGTGAGGTGACGTTGAGATTCTATAAGTAGTGAAGTAAGTGATAATCCCCTCTTTTCCGTTCACAATTAAAGTACGTTACACGAGGTATGCAAACAGTAAGGATATATGAGAAGTGATGTAAATAACAACTAATCAATACTAAATGAAACATTTCAAAATAGCTCTCACCTGCCGCTAAGTAGATATATAATGCGCAAACCTGTCCCACACGACAACACTAAGTTCTTCCTCATTTCGTTACCTTACTGTGTCCTACTAGTGTACTATAATTCTTCGATAAATAATAAACGGACATACAACCCGGAATCGGACACGGATGACAACTCACATAGCATCCGGTTCTTCTGGGCTTTCACCATTCTTATACCTGTACAGCCTCGATAATTCCCTTATAGGCATCGAAACAGCTTTCTCCAATCCATCAACAGGCCTCACTCTGACCACTCTCTCCATGAATGTACTCTCCTCCCCAAACATCGGGCCCAAATAGTGCATATTGAACAAATGGCCCGATCCCTGCCGGATGATCACTCTCCCGGAGAAGACACTCGTATTCGAGTATGCACTCGTAGGGGACGTGAATTGCAATACTCCAATATTCGCCACAAAATCCTGAGTGTTGGCGTAATGTTCGATGTGCCGAATTGCGCACTCTCCCTGCGTCTGTCGGCGAGGTGTGTTGCCTTCCGAGCTGGTGTCTTGGACCTTATGCAGAGGAGGATTGCGAAATTGTCTTGCCGCGTTGCCGAATGTGTATATCTCTAACTTTCTCATTTGACATTTGCTCAAGTCTCCATACAGATAGTCAACAATTGAGGAAGCTTCAATTCCACCTTGGGAGTGGACGATCAGAACGACTTTGTTCGTAGCGGACGCGGCGATGGCATGCCGAAGTTGGGCTCGTCCCTGTCGGATGTCGACTGTCTTGTAGTCGAGGTCTCGCTGAATGAGGCATTCTATGAGGTCGAGGATGACACCTTTGCTGGATTGGTTTAGTGATGCACCTCCAGGGAAAGAAAGACGCACGTAGGGTTATGGATGCCCACGATCTCCCGGCCAAACACTTCTGCTAGTGCGGTCAGGTTCGACTGATGCCAGTGTTTCCTATACTAATTAGCGAGAGAAAATTATATTTTGGACTGCAATAGGTACCCAGTGGCGATTCCATTGATGAAAAACCACGGCTCGGTCTCATCGTTTACTGGCGGTCTCGTTCTTGGAATACCGATAAGGGACCTCCTCGTTGGGGCTCCATTCAGGAGTCTGATAATGATCATAGTCAAGAACGTAAAGGCTGCATAGAACACTCCATGAACAGCCAACGGAAAGATCCAGAAGGTCATCAGGGCAACCGGGAGTGATATCAGCAGAGAGATCTGACTGATGATCAAAATAATATGAAGGAAAACATCCCATAGGTTGCGAAGACTAGGATAAAGCTCATCCAACGGCTTAGAGCGCAAGGGAAGGAGGGGGATGAATATGCATGGCAGTAGCTTAACGAGGCGAAATACGGAGCAAATATCCTCCCAAACTAGGCGAAAGGGGTTGGTGTCCATGTCGGAAGGAATGTCGAGGAACGGATTTCCCCGTACTGGGTTATTCGTGTTGATGGATGCCATTTCTCAAAGAGATCGAGCTATTTCGTCGATCTTCATGGAAGAGTAGGATACTTCCTATCAAGTATTGTCAGTGAGTCTTTCAATATATATAGCAAAGAAGCTTTCACATGGTTTTCTAACCCTTAGCTGAACTGCTAAACCTTTCCCGGGTTATATCATTTGGTAATGACTACATCATTATGACCAGCATACTGCATCTGTTACCATCTACAATGTGTGGTATGTCATGTCTCTTTTCCGCAAATGGCCAGGGTGATATCTTAGACATACTCTCAGTTGCTGACTGGATAAGTTAGTGAAAACTAAAGAATTAACAATATGACCTAGCTAAATTTAACTTGTGGACTGGACGAATGTTACAACGCATGATGTAAGGCTTATGATCATACTGACCCTTATCACTTCTGTAAGATTTATATTAGTTTCATGCAGCTAAGACCAGTAGCACCTAAACTACATAATTTAAGTGATAAAGGGACCACAAACTCTGTTATTATAACCCTAGTGTACTTAGTTGAAAGAATCGAATGATGCTTTCATATCTGTTTCTAGTCAGTGTCCATCCAGCTATAGAAACCGAGTGACTCACTCTGAGGAAATGGCACCCAGTCAGATCCATCCTCCCGTAAATACAGCTTGAACGCGCCGTTTACCAACTTGCTCTTCATTTCTCCGGCAGGGCCAGGGACTCGACGGAAATTTTCCAACCGGCCTAGAACTCGCAACAGCGCAGCACCGGCGGTAGTCACAATCGCCCTTCCGAGACAGGCGTGTGGACCCCAGCCATGGTGGATGTAGCTATCAGCCGGACGGTCGAGTCTGATTTCCTCAGGATTTGGAAATTTTGATGAGTCACGACCAGCCGTTATAAAGTCTACGAAGATCGAGTCACCCTCTCGGACCGTGGGGGACGACTTGGCGTCTGCAATGCTGGCCTCGTCGACCGACGTGCGAAGGACACCGAAGGCAGGAGTCGACAGACGGAACCTACTTAGATCAGTAGATCATCAAGGACCCCAAGGTAAGAAACATACCCCTCTAGAGCGTATTTCTTCAGTTTCTCGAATGCCTCGGGTTCGTCCGAGCGTGCCAGTCTTCGGATAGCCGGCCAGTGCGAGGCGTACTTATCCGATAGATAGAGCTCGAGCATTTGCGCCCACTTTCATTATTAGTGAACTCTAGGTATATGCTTCGGTAGTGGAACTTACTCCCTGCGCTTGAGTTGCACACGCTGCGGCAGCTGTAGGAATGATCGTCCACACCACTTCGTCAACACTCTTACCACCTCTCAGTAATCTCTCGACGAGCTGAGGGCCATAGCTGGTTGCGCCGGTTTCAGTTCCCCCAAACGCATGCATGAAACTCCCAAATGCATGCATGAAACGACTCATAAGATTATACTTGGTGCCTGAGACTGCCTTGGCCATAATGGAGCCCATTCGCTGCGATTCTCTTGATGCCACAACCCGATTGCGGAAGGATTCAGTTGGCTCAAGATCCAGAAAGACATAACCGAACAGGTGGGACAGGGCTTCAGAAAGCTCTCTCGGTGTATATGCATCAGATGACGGGCTATGGGAGTCTTTGAGCGGCATATTGAAGAATTGTGCGCAGAAGTGTGCATGTGCGAGGTTCCCAACACTACGCCCGTCAGCATTGCGTATGTAGGCAGAAAATCTTAGACAGACTTACTCTCGGACAATATCAACTTGATAACTGTTCTCGAGCTTCCGGCTATGTCCACGGAGCAGGTCGGTGGTGATCGACTCGTAGAGTTGCCGCACTTCCTCAAGCATAGATTTGGGTTCATAGAGACACTCGTTGACAAATCGCCTTTGTTCTGTGTTTGCAGCCGAGTCTCCACTTAGCATGTAATCATGATGGGTCACTTCGAATGTATGTAGCCCCCCTTTCATACTGTCAGCACGTCCATAATAACATCATATCAAGAACCTACAAGGAACATGGAACCGCTTCTGATCCTCCAGAAGCTTCGTCACGCCCTCCCATGTCGTGACAGGAACAGGTGGAGGGACATTTGACGGTCGATCGAAATCCAAGTCCTTCACTTTCATGTACTTTTCCATGATGTCTCGGCTCTTGCCTGGGGTCACGAATGGATACAGAGCATAGACGCTGTTTGGCTGGTACCATCCTGGGAAGGCTCTCATCAGCAACTTGTACATGACGCCGCCACCAGCAACGTCGAAATCAGAGCTGACTGCATTGAAGCTTTCCAGAGTTAGCTGAAATAACAATAGGGTGGAATGGAGGCTCACCCAAAATTGGTCAAGTTTGCAGGACTATAGTCGACCGTGTAGAAACGATCTCCACGAACGAGAGCAACCGCATCAGACAGAACGGCCACTGAGATGGTGAATCCAGGACATAGTCCGGAGCCTGGGTAGAAGGGCTTCTTGGCTTCTTCCGCCTGAATCCCAACATATAGCTCTATATTGTCTGGGTGGCCGTATAATGCCTCCACTGTAGTTTTCTAGCAATGATCTTCCTTTTTAGATGTCGGACACTTACGTGTGTCTGCAATAGCAGGATCTGGGTTGACCTCGGCTATAGAAGGCTTAAGCGTGTTTACACCTGAAGGCAATTTAGAAGTGCACTTACAGAAAGCCGAATATGGTTCCAGCTTGAAGAACAATCTGAACTCATTCAACGTGGCCAATTCCCACTGTCGCCCCTGCTCGATTCCAAGCATTTCAATGGCCTTCATTACCTTTGGAACGCCTCTGGCGCCAAATGCCCCTGAAAAGGTCATATCTCAATCTTTAGTCAATGATTTAGCAACTTACCCGCAACGTTCTCACACCCTTGAGACAACAGGCTCACAAGCTCACCATCAGTGAAGCTTCCATTATCTTGTCGCTTTAAACCTCCAAACGTCCACGTTTCTGGTTCTCCTGGTTCCTTGTCTTGAAAATACTGCCGAATCCCATTTAGGAATTGATTCACCGACAGTGTGCCTATCAATTATTTGTCAATTCCGTTCAAAACCCATATTGCAGTGGAAACTACGTACTAGCATCAACATCGGATCCGAAAATTTTCTCGAAGAGGCTATTCATCCACGCTTCATCGTGATTACTGATGGCCGCGTGCCATCGGTAAATCATGTTGAACTCAGCGCTGACCTGGTTGCCGACTCCTCGAGGGACACAATCTTTGTCGAAGATTTCCAGGTTCTCTCTTGGGTCAAGTTTCCAGTTTGAGTCTGTGGGATTCTCGTTGAGGTTCAGGATGGCCCGGAGATAGTCGTTGAGGATGATATTGACATATAAGCCACATGTTATCCTAAGCCCGTCAGCACTTGCAGACATAACAGCAGATTCAGACACACAATCTTCCTGTTTGGAATAGATCATTATCCCTCTTGGCCACCGCTTCAGCATACCCAAGATCATCGTGCGTCATCCCAGTGGGCAAACTGAACCTTCCAGCTTCGTTTATAAAAGCCAGCTCTCCCACTAACCAATTGTGAAACCGATTGAAAGCGACTAACAATGCACAGACACCCGGCGGTTGCGTGAGGAGTCTTTTTTCAGGAAAGGTATCAGGTTTAAGACGGCCATCGGTAAAAGTCCTCACTTGATTTTGCTGGTCTTGGTTATGGCCGTATAGCGGGCCGAGGTCAAGATATGAGGAATTCTTCAATCTGGTGCTGTCCTGTTCGTCTGTGTGGAACAAGTCTGGTCTTGAATTAGACCTAATATAGACTAAGGGAAATTTGGCATACCGTGAATGATCACTGTAGCTAGATAGAAGAGATTGCTTGATATCTTGCTTGGATGCTCCTTGGCGGGGCCACTGCGGGCCAGGAGGGCTAGAAGAGTCAGTAGATAGGCATTTTTGAATCATACACAGGAACCATACTGTCAAATATGAGAGACGGGTCAGGAAGAACAGCGGGCCTTGGATGCTGGGGGGGTGACAGTCCGCGCATAATGGCTTCCGGACGCCCCAAGATGGGGATACATAATATTCTAAAATGGTCAGTTCATCAAGCAGCTAGTAAATAGGGAAAAACATACGTTATAGCTTCCATCGGCTGTTCGATACTTGAATTTATCCCCAAGATAGGACAACGGAGGATGCTTCAGGTTGCCCCAGAGGGTGGTGATAAAAGTATCGGTGATTTTATCTCGCACTGCGGAGGTATTGGGCAGGGATGCCGTGGCCTGGATGATATTTTCGATCTGGTCTATGTAAGCTCCTGCTTCCCGGCGTGAAAAGATCAATGCATACCAGATACTTCCTATCGTCAACTAAGCCCCCATTGAAGGATGCCTGGCCCAGTTCACGAATAGTCTGCAAGTCTGGAATAATCCTTCCTGCTTGGCTGACAAGATCCTGATGAACTTCACTGAGTAACTTCCGATTCATGCCATTCCGCCCGGCAGAGTTTGAATCAGTGTTGATAAAAGGAGACATCGCGGAATTTTTGATTTTCGGCTATCCCGTAGAATGATGCTACTCTAGACGGGGCAAGTGGTGAGTGTTAGTATCAGATCCCGCTTCTAAAATTTGGCTTGTATCTAATTGATTTATAGATTTTCTCTATTATCGATGCACCAACAGTCGTGACGAAATGGTGCCAACAACAATTTTGCTGATCGGCTGCTTGAGTACTGGCCGTTGCCTACATCTGATTGGTCTGACGTTAGATGACGTTATGGTACCAGTTCCCGGTAGACGTGAACTGATCTCATAGATTTGGCTAGACTTCTCTAAATAAGGCAAACCGAGATCGTAAAACAAAAAAAAAAATAGCTGCTAAGTTCTAGCCAGTTAATTCTGTTAGCCATCGCTAGAGTTTAATCATGTGGTAATGCGATCCCATCTCTGGAACAATGTAGCCTGGAACAATGCCAGTGTAGTAGTCATAGTTTTTCAATCGTGGGAGCCGATTATCCAACCGACAAGTCTGATGGATGTAGAACCGCAGCAGTGGTTGCTTAGGTTCAATATAGAAGAACGAGATAGTCTGTAGTTCCCTAACTCTCCGCGGAGAGACCTCGGTTGATCATACACTTTCCTAAGCTTCCCTGATTTCTAGTGACTGCAGTAACAGTCATCCAGGTCTTGCCAAAAAGCTGTGGCCAACACTTATACGATAGTGATAAGCAATGTCACGGGTATGCAAGTAAGCGAGGTATCTTGATTGTCGAGTGTTGTGCTATATGGTTCTGACTAAAGCAACAGCTCAGCTTAAGAGGCTTTTATCCACGATATTGCTAACTCTCTTGGGTGCAGCGGACTAATAGCTTCTCTGGTGAACAGCAATGAATCAACACGGCTGCCGGTTCGAACTACAATTGTTGCTGATCACACAGGACGAAGAAGGAAGCCAGGGGATGAGCAGGGCATTGTATTCTACTCTTGATGTCCTGTATCTAATGAAATCGCAAATCAATTTGGTATTGCGATCCCAGAAGATATCTTGCGACTCCCTTAAGCATAAAACAGTACAATAAGCCAACAGAAATTACAGTCATGGGTACAGGAGGGCCGCCGACATCTGGAGGATTCGCCGGCCAAAGGTCGGAAACCGCTAACGGCGTGTCACGTAGTGTATTAGCGATGTATTACCATTTGAAAAAAGCGGTGGCGAGCGCACCGGCCCTGTATCACGTCCTGATTAGGAAATTTGGATCTCAAGGTTGAGACTGGGAGCGGTACCCGATATGGTTAGCCGGTGTATTCTCGCTGTAGCTCGTGTAAAGCACTACGCAACGGCGCCTCGCGGGGAGGGGGGGAGGAGGACGCCTTGTGTTATATCGATTAGATTTACTGCGTTGGTGTCATGGAATGATTCGAATTTGAAGTACTTTATATCTGTTTGGCCAGTATTAGATCTTCCGCGGATACAATTCGTTGCCACTTTTATTTTGTAATTACTAACTTAGTAAGACCCGATGACACCGGATTATAGAAATGGAGAGTGGGTATTGATTTGGTATTGGGCGAAAGAACCTTCTCCACAGAGCCTTAGGCAAAGTTGTACATAAAGATGCATCTCGTTAGTGCTGAGCTTAACGTTAGACAATATCTAAGGCCGAGTAACTTTATAGTAGAAGCTGGGGGCAAGCTCCTTGACTTAGGGAGAAGAACAGTCAGATAGGACCTATAATTCTTCCGAAGTTTCACTCCTGTCATCCGAAGATTGCCTCCTTGGCCATCCACGACGCTTAGCGGACCGAGTATCTGTGTCTGCTGTTCTCTTTCCCTTATGAACATCGTTATCTATTACGTTTCCCTGAGCTCGTTGATTGATATCTTCCCTTCATTTAATTTTTCCTTTTTTTAGGTTGTCTCTTCTACAAAGTTCACGCACCTAGAAGCGCAGGAATAAGTTCGGGTCGTCCGCTCGGTTCCCACTAGGGGAATCGTTAAAAACCATGAGCCTAGAAAGATTGAACGAACTAGAGACGATCGACCTACGACCGCTACCGCCATATCGAGCCGAGCACTTCGCGGAGATTAAGATAGAGCCAGACCGAGATACAGCGAGAGAACGGGCCGAGACTACACGGCCCACGTCCGATATTTTCGTCTACTCAGACAACTCTGGTCGGCATGGCCACTTAGGCGCAGCTATCGTAGCCCTAGACGACAATGTAGACGTCGAATCCGAGCAGGTGCAGATAGGCCTTATAGACCGATGGTTCAGTCTACGTCGCGGAACTAATAGGCAATTTTCACACTATCAGCACAGTGTCTATGATTGCCCACGAACGCTTCAGAACGGTAGACAGTAGATGAACAATAGCGACGATCCTCTACGACAGCAGGTCAGCCCTATAGGCTATTCAACGCGTGAGAAATAAGTCCGGGCAATAGTTCACCTACGCGATCCTCTAGATAGCGGCTGAGGTTCAAGCGGAGAGAACCACGCTCCACCTTTAGTAGATACTGCCACAAGCTAAAACGAAAGGAATCGTGTGCTATACGAACAGTTCGTAACCACTAGCCCGACGGGAATGGCGACACTATTAGCGACGATCGATAGAAGCCTCACTTAACGTATGTATTCTTAATGCAGATTTAATGCAGATTTAGAGCCCCGATCCGTAGGGGTGATCGTCTTGAAAGAGCGAAGGGCGAAAGGCTCTAGATGCACGAAGTACGACAATTCACCGCGACAATTCACCGACCGATCGTTCTATAAGGCGACGAATCTGTAGGCCGGCGCAGCGGACCAAAGGCATAGTTGCCTTATCCCGAGCGTTATGGTGAGAGCTAAGGGAGGAACAGGCCTGGCCGAGCAAAAGCAGCGCAGATTGCACTTGAGGTATCGCGGAGGATGTAAAGGAGGTTGTTTGAGGGCAACATCCTTCCGCTTAGCCAAAAGACCATTTATATCGACCCCTTAAGGTCGACATCCTCAAATCCATATATATATATACCCACACCTGCATATTAAGGAATAACCACATTATTCCTTAACAGAGGAGCTGACGAGTCACGCCAGGCATAAGGGCTGGCGTAGGTCGGTGATCCGGACCAATAGCAATGATGCCTCATCAGCAGAGCACGGACGAATGCGAGGAGTCAGAGAGAAACGGTTGAGCAAGAAGAGCGCGAAGTTGAGGGGTGGTCTTTATAGAAGCCACGCACGGCGACGCCGCGGACTCATGTCGCTAAAGCGGAAGAGACAGCGCTAAACCGCATAGCGTAATTCACCGTGACTACCGGATACGTGATAACCAACTACAGTACACCATCCGGCCACTTGATTGGATGATAGCTTTATCACGGCAATCCGAAATATAAAGTCCTAGAGCTACTGAAATCTCAGAGTACTGTTGGCTGCCAGGACACTTGCTCTTCAGCTTTATATCACCTTGGTTTTTTTTTTTGGTTCAGAGCATTCGAGCAATTAAAGCACTTCATGGTTCACTATTGACGATTCACGCGAGAGACAGTCATTCAAATTAGACTTTCATAGGCGCATAGGCGTGCCCGCTTCTGTCGTGTCTTGTGCGCAGCCTACTTAGCACTTGAAAGGTAGATCTTGTTAATGCTTCGAGTGCTCTGCGGGGTCCAAATGTTGGCTTTTGAAATACCTGTTGACCCAAGATCGAGACCTTTCAGTTCAGATTATTGCAATTAAATGCATCGCATCTTGATGCCGTGTCACGTAGACAACATAGATAGACATGTAGTTGTAAATTTAACGCAGACGATTCGCCGGATCTAGTTAAAGCTTGAGAGACTAGTAGTCACTCACGACTCACAGAAGGATATGGAGAAATTCTCAACTAGGAGTAAATGGCTCCACTCTTCATAACAGCCCGGGTGGTCTAGTGGTATGATTCGCGCTTAGGGTTCGACCTAAGCACTCCTGCGCGAGGTCCCGCGTTCGATCCGCGGCTCGGGCCTGTTCGATTTTTGCCAACTGGATGTACACACTGTGTTTTTAATCAGGGGAGGTGGATGTGTGAAGTGGTGAACGCAAAGAATCTTGAAGTTTGAGAGCCTTGTTGATTTCCATTGGTCGAAAATTCGAAGCATTTGTGGAACTCGCTGGGCTCGAACCATTTTTGGTTCAAACTTAGTTTCTGCGACTGTATATCCCGGAACAACAGAATAAATGCTGACCACATGGGCAAGAGCAAAATGCGTCGCGAAAAACCTGGGAAAGTCTAAATACATTAGTTGATGTAGAAATCTGTTCAGTCATTTTTGTATTTCGAATTCAAGCCCAACATTGAGCGAAGCGTAACTGTCGGTCTTGGCTAGCTGCAGGGTCCGAAAGCTAGTGGCTCTAGCGGCGAAAACCCCTGATTGAACTAGTCGTTTCTGAAATTGCAGCCGGCATCCGTAAAAAAAAAAAAGAAAAAGGAATCAAAAAACGGCCAAATTGACACTCGAGCACACCTATGCTCTAAGTCTAGGAATAGGCAGATAGTAAACATAGGAGCTGCCGATGAACAAGCACTTCGTGTTTGGCGGGGTATGATTTGGGTGCAAACTGCGATGCTCACCTCGCTTCTAGGACTGAGCCAATGACTAACCTCTAGGGCCTTGGTGGCTCTAGGCAAGACTGAAACTGTCTCCGAAGATACGACCCCATAATTTCGTGGCGCTCATGAGGAAGACTTGGCTTGACTCACAAACTTGGATTGGCGCATAAATCCAGGCTTTCTCGTTCATTGCTCGCTCTTATTCAACCCGCAAATTCACTCCCTATCTCACAACCCGATCGTCTTCTATCAAATTTTCAAGCGAACCCACACAATGATCAATACCCTATCCATCGCCGCGTCCCTGCTGACGCTGGCAACAACCGTTCTGGGCAGCTGCGAGACCATCAGCTATACCACCTGCGCCGATAACATTGTGCACTGGTACGACCCAACCAACGGCGAAGTCTGCGATCCCCTCGACTGCGGCGGTGGTCGTGCCCCCGTCAAGTACGACGTCCCCTGCTGTGCGGCATACACTGGCACGGAGCCCTGCGTTTCGACAACCTCTACTCTCTCTTGCTGGAAGCCTTCATCAGTCTTGGCTTCTACGACAGCAGCATCCACCTCGGCCGAGGCCACTGAGGCCACTGTGACCGAGACCGCTGTTACATCTACTTCTACTGGCGCGGCGAAGACTTCCGGAAGTGATTCTAGTAGCACTGCGCCGTTGACCACCACTGCACCGACTACCTCCACTGCTGCGACGACGTCGAAGAGTGAAGTGTCCAGCAGTGGCTCGGTCGCATCGAGTGAATCTGCGACACCCAGTGACTCCACCGAAACAAGCAGCTCCGCTGCGCCGGTCTCTACTAATATGGCGGGCGGCTTTGTTAGCTCCTTGAAGGTTGTTGCGGGTGCTGCGATCGGAGCACTTGTTCTTGTCTGAATGCATTCTGGGGACGCCTTATACCGGTCTAGACGATGAAAGACACAACGGCTGGAACATGTTATCTAAGTTGTGTAATATAATGCAAGGAAATAATCCAACGAATTGCACGAGGTGACCGTCTTTAGTGAATGATTCCCATTCCCGCTTCTACTGAGTGTGGATGTCAACGGCAAAAACTTGACGATTCAAAACACTGGAACAACTGAAAGCTGTGATAGTAAGCTTTTAGTCTTTAAAAGACTTTCATAGTTGTAGCACTATCGGAGTCAGCTGTGCTACTACTCTCTCGAATGATTTCTTGAATCGTAACCCGAAGTCCGTTACTTCAAATGTGATTCTCCCCATTAACACTGCTAGTACTGACTAAGTTGTATTAATAGGTGATGACATATCAACAAATTCTTGCTATAGTACTTGACTCACTTATAGAATTCAGTGCATTACCCTGTATAGCCTGCAATTACTTTCTTCCTTTCCCTGCTAAACAGGGGAAGGGTGAGATACCGTGATAAGGCATGAAAATATGCTCCAGCACGAGATTCTTTTAGTAATCACACTCAACTCACGGACGCATGAGAGTCAACGAAGGTCAACACCGCCTGCACAGAGCCATTTGGGTTCTCTTCTGCAGTCCAGTGGCCTGATTCTTCGCACTATCTCCTCCATCAGCGTCAAAAAGATTAGGAGCTCTAGATTGAGAATCGGGGAACCTACAGCCTGTCTCCATGGAATAAGATGGTCTCATTTCAAATTTCGGTGGTATGTCGTTGCAAGGATGTGTCCTCTTTTGTGTCTCCCAATAACCTTTTACATTGCTATAAGACGACCGTTTCATATAGACATAGAGTTATCTCACTATGTCGAGACCCAGGCTTGGTACTAAATATCCTTGTTCTCCTTGGAAGGAGTGACTCCAAATCTCAAATCATACCAAAGCCCTCCTCTGGAAAACTGAATGTCGAAGCTCGCAGGCCCCCAGTGTCTGTCAAGTTTCACTCGTGTCCCCCAAATCACGCAATTCAGCAGCCTTAGTTTACCTGCAACGTTATGACTTTACGAAGTGATAGAAGAATACTTGATAATCAAGGCCATAGCCGACTTGATAGATTGAAAAACAAAAAAATTGCTCACAGACTCGGCGTAACGCCATGGCTCGTAATCACATCCGGGGGTCACTAAATAGAACCCCTCAACGCTCGCTGAACACAACAGCAGTACAAATGAAATAATAAAAGAGCCCTTGAAAGCTCGAAACCCCAGTAAGGAAATCGCGACAGGTTTCAAACCTGCGCCGCAGAAACAACAAACAAAGGTAACGAAAAATGACAAGTGAACCAGACCAGGACCAGTGACTGACACAGGAATGGTGAAAACAAGACGTTCACGAGGATTGGGTATCAGTGAAATGACGAAACCCGTCCACAGCCAACCCCATTCCCACTCTCCACTTCCAAGGAGAGAAATAAGGAACCAGGGTAAAAGAAAGCCATGATCGCGCGACGAAAGACTCAAGGAAACAAAAGACCATTTTGAATCGTTGATTCGAAGAGTTTTTTTTTTTTCTCAAATCCGCGATCGTAGATCGTACAAACGTAAGACGTGTGAAAAAAAAAATCGTGAAATAATAATACAACGGGACCATCAGGGGTAAGACAACCCTCTGAGCTCAAGCTCAAGCTTAAGCTCAATCTCAAACTCAAACTTGACCTTGATCTCACCGACTGAACGACGTCCAAATGGCGCTCAGCCAACCGGCCGGGATACCGATTTCCGACGGGGCATTGAGTGCCATGGACCATTCGGAACCATCTAGGAAAGCGAGGACGTCGTCGCCGCCGAGACTTGTAGAGAGGAGGGATGAGTCGGGGACTTCGGTTGAGGTTAAGGGTGGGGACGGAGCGAGAGTGACTGAGCCTGGGTGTGGCAGGACGGGGACGCTTGTTGCTGCGTTGATTGGGGGAAGAGATTGAGAGTAAGGGGGTGGAGGGGCTGTCGGGCGAGAAGGGAGCCAGGAAGTTATCGGTTGGAGGCGGTTTGAAGTTGCAGTGAGGTATTGGGAGGGTGACTGGGTTGTGGCAGCGATGGATGGAAGGTTTGGTGGGGAGGAGGTGTACATTGAACCGTCCGGGTGATGTTGTTGGAGGGATGGGAGAGAGTATGGTGATTGTGATGGCATCGGGCGACTATTTGGGAGGGGGAGGCTGGGTCGTCGGTCGCCCTCAAGGCTTGGGGGTGGCAGACCAGGGCTATTGACAGGGACCCAGGACTCGCGACGCCCGCCAGCGCCGTCTAGAGATTGGTCGGTCGGGTCACCGAGATCGCTTTTCACGGCGTTGCTGCCAGCGTCGCTGGGGATGCGTTCGGGGAGCAGGTCTCCGGCGATGACGGTGCTTTCATCTTCTCCGTCAAGGTGGTCTTCAATGGATCCGAAGTCGAGGAAGATTTTCTCCAGGAGCTTGAATTCTTCCAAGCCGCCTCCACCCTCGCGGATCGTGCGAACACCGTTGGTCATACCATGATCAGACACATCGGACATGCTGTCAAGACGGTTGCGAGAGTAACGACGGTAGTCGCGCTTGACCTTGGAAAAGTAGCTGTGCAGACGGTTTAGGGTGCGGAACCAGCCCACAGCCATCTTCAGACGCGGACGCATCTCTCGAAGGATATCCAAAGCCTTCCGAGCCTGCACTGCACCGGGCTGGTGGCTATCATGACTTGCCGGTGGAGGCTTGGAACCCATGAGACCATCAGGGTCCATATGCGAGAAATGCATGCTGTAGACACCGATGAAAGCAGCGTTGTAAATAGCAAATCCGACGAGAGGGTTCTCAACCAGAGCACCGCGGCCTTGGCAGGTCGCCACGAGGTCGATCATCTGTCGAGCCGCCTTGAAGAGCTCACGGGCACTGTCGCGCCAGAACGTCTCGGGCGGGCCGTTGACCTTGTCCGCGGGGAACAAAGGCTCGTCCAGGGGACCGATAGGCTCATTGCAACGAAGTGGCAAGAATGGGATGTAAGCGCGGTGCAAGACAATTACGGACAAGAAGTAGACCACGTGCATCACGGTATACGAGGCCAGCGTAGTCTTGTACATGATATGTGTATCGGTGTTTCGCAAGGAATATTGCAGATTGCGGGACAGACTGTCCTGGAACTCATTCAGTTGCATTCGCAGAGACGCAAAACGCGACTCGGGGTGCCACGGTGGATATTGCTCGGTTCGACGACCGCCAGCACAGGACCATTTGGCGATGCTGCCCCAGATGCGAATGATTCGGATCACGCGGCTGAGCACCGACTCCTCCGCGCCGACTTCCCATCGATCAACATCCTCTTCACTAGAATCTTTTCGGCGCGAGATTGGTGACCATGCCTTGCCATCCGGGGTTCCATTGGTGGCCGGCATCTTCTCATCACCGAATCCACCCAGACTCTGACGAATGCTTGGAATCTGCACACCTTGGGAGCCAAAACTCTGAGGGCGACGCACCGTCGGCTCTTTCAATCGAGCGGTCCGGACACGCTCGCCAAAAGCAAACGCATTGTCGCTCGGAAGTTGAATTTCGAGCTCCTTCACACGAATCATGCGCGGGCGATATTTCCCACTGCTCAAACACCGATCAAGGATGAAGCAAGCCCAGAACGTTCGGCGCTTCGTCTCTTGTGAAATCACATCATCGGAAGTCTGCTCCTTCATTTCGGCCCGTCGCGGCAAGCCGAAGTGATCCTCGGCTTTAATCCCAGGCGATAAACGCGACATCTCGCGAGGCGGAAATTCATTTTCCAACTCGAATGGCAGCCCCATGGCTTGTGCAAGTCGAATCGCCATGCCGACGTAAACCCAGGCACTCTTGCCACGGCACATTCCCCACTCATGCAAAGCGAGCATCAGCAACGCCTGCACTCGCGCGAGGTCCGGTACAGCGAGACTCGCGCCATCGAGGCCGGCCAGCCGGCTGCGCAAAGCCGTCGCGTAGTATTCTGACGCGGAAAGAGGGTTGGAGGAATGGCCAGGCGACGACGGCGAGTGGTATGCGACCAATGGAGGGTGGAAGCGGGCCGTGAGAGCCAATACTCCCAAGGGGATCAGTGACGCTGAGAGGTCTACCTTGGCCGCCAAGCGTGCGGGATCTTGTCCCTCCACCGAGACGGGCGCGGGAGTCGAAAGTTGTCGAATCTGACCGAGAAAGGTAGCCGGATGGAGGAAAGGTAACAGAGTCGCGAAATGCGACTGGAAGAGGTCGAAGACAGCCTCCCAGACCTTTGCCGTCAGGACCGAGGAGTCAAGCGCATCCAAACCTGCCTTGGAACCGGGACCCGCGCCCGCCATGCCTGAGATTTTGCGCGAGCGCACTCGTTTGGGACCGTCCCAGTCGCCATTCCGGTCATCACTGTCCACGAGGGCTTCGAGGTTTCGTTTGGCACCGCTCACGCCGATGGCCGGAGTTGGGTAGACGCATTCACGGCCAGAGGATTCGCAGGCGCGGCAGGTGGTGTCGATTCCGGCGTTGACGCACTTGATCTTGCTGCGACGGCATCGCGCGCAGGCGATGCTGGAGCGCATAGTTGGGAAGAGCAGACGCAATGCCTGCGTTGAATGCGAAAAACGAGACCGCTCAATGTGGACGAAGTTATCCCATGGAGAGAAACCGGGGAAAGGGGAGTTTGACAGGTCTGGGGTAATTAGTATTGTACGGTAACGCGAGGGCCGAGGACAGAATGCAAAAGATGCCGGATCCTGTGCATCCAAGGCAGCAAACAAAAGTACTTACAGAGAGAATCCGGGGAAAGAGGGAGAAAGGAAAGGAGTGTACCTGGGGGAATTAGGAGTGTGGGGGAAAAAAGTCAAGTCGGGGCACTCGGGAATGCGAATAGGTCGGGAGGGAACGGAGTCGAGACCGAACAAGAAATCCGAGAGCCGCTGGGGTGAAATTGCGGAGGCCCAAATGCAAGGGTGGGCCCCTTTCCGGGTGCCGAATGTATACCTATACCCTACTAGATTCCCCTTCTGTCATGGACGGGGACCGCCTCTACACTTCTTACACAGGACAGGACTATACGATGGACCGAGGTCAGTCTATCACGCCTACCTCTTCTCTCGTTTTGGTTTTTTATTTCCCTCATTCCCGTTCCTCTCTCTCTCTCTCTCTCTCTCTCTATCTCTGTCTCGTTTCCCCTTGTGTTCCACATACATCGCCTTCCTGACCGGCCGGTATCCTAATGCTGATCCGGCCATTTTCCGCCCTCCGGGGGGGTTTTTTGGTCTCCTGCAACTAGGATCTCCCCGTCCCTCTCTGCCCGATCGGCAATTGTACTGTCCGGACACAAATCAGATACCGCCCCGTCACGGGAACTCCAGATGGGGTCAAGCGAGCTCGGAGAGTACAGCGATATTAGCAACGGTGGTTGGTGGGTCACTGGGGAAGACCCGAGTATAGGGCTTGTCCACATGGTTGTGGACTGAGGGGGAACCCGAGCGCGACCTCCTCAGTCCGTGATCCCTCGGGTATTCCCATTCCACTTCCAATGGAACGAGCGCCTAAAGCCCCCGGGGCTCCCCGCGGGGAAAGAGAGGGAGACTAGCGAGACTGTGTGATTGATCCTCGTTTCCTACGCGGAAGTTACATCAGGGCCTCTGATTCTCGCGGGCACCTCCGTACCGTGTCACGCCCGTGCTGGCTTTGCCACTGGCTCGGCAGTCTGAATTCCACCGATTGAACGGTAACAAACACAACCCCGAGGCCGACTGCATGGCTCGGTCTGCACTTATACTGTGCGCATCCTACCCCAGACCAACGCCTGACGGCCAGACCACCCACTACATACTTCGTACTCATTATTTATGCCTCTCACCTCATTGCAGCGCGGATAATTCCGTCACCGTGACCAACTGCCAACTGTCAAAGGCATACACCGATCCCCACGGCGTTTCGGCCCCGTCCGAACAGGAGCACATGATTGGCCCCCAGCCTCCGAAGATGAACCCCGGCCAACCCCGCATTTGCGCTCGCATTAGGTAAATCGGCTATGGGCCGAGTTGCTTTTTCTGATTTGGATGTCATAGCACATTGACCTCCCATGTTTCCGCAAGATACGTCCAAGGGATAATCCTCCCGACCCCACAAATCAGCAGCCTCCGAATAACTGCCCAGCTCGTCATGTGGCCTACCTGTGGCCCGGGGACCGGGACGGGATATTCCTTTTGCCTCGTGTCAAGCCCGGTGGAGCAGCTTTGACTTTTCCCCGGTGGATATTCCACAGCCCAGGCACGAAAGGCCCGGTGCGGAGAGGCTCGAACGGGAATTCCAAGCAGTCCCGTTGCACTTGACTTTGTAATGTGGCAGATCCCATTCCGGGATGCTACAGTTCACCTTGACCTCCGCCGTAATTTCCCAGGACACGGTCCCTTTCGCTCCATCTTCGCCTTTTCTTGGCTTGGGGGGCTTTCCCCCCCCAAGACAACGGGGCCAAGCCGAGCCCGACCAATGATCACAGAAATAATACAAAATAAGAAAAAACCTTCCATCTCAGCTGACATAAAAAGAAACTCGACCTGGCGCCCAAAATGCCCCCCCCAATTCCTGTGCCCACCGTAGTGACTCCATACTCGATGCTCCGCACTCAGATCCAGTTCCAGAAAAACATGTTCCAGAGCAGGAACTCCCACCCGAACTTGAACCTAGGTAATTAGGAATTTACCATTCCTTTCCCGAACCAACGGGCTTCCCGTGCCGCGCTCCGGACTACCGAATCGGTCCAGCGTAGGCTCTTCGGCCCCGATGAGCTCATAAATTCACCCTCCCCTGATCCTTCAAACAGGGCAGACACAAGGTCCCTCATGAGCCAGATTGATTCGAGGCCGCTGATCTCTTGAATCCGGATATTTCACGATCGGGCATCTACCCATTTCCAGTCCCTTGGCTCTGACCCTGGTTCCGGCTGGACATAGCCTGAAGGAAAAATATGTACGGGGTCAACCGAATTGAAGCGGCCTGAAACTGTCCCGTCTGGGCGCGGAGCCGTGTCCTACCGAGCTCGAGCTCGAGCTCGAGCTCGAGATCAAAATATTCCGTGAGTTTCCGCCGAATGTGAAATTCTAAATAATAGTCCCGTAGCATACCCACACCGCTTCGGGTGTTGGTCCGCCGGGGCCCAACGCAAATTTGGATCCCAACACACATCTTGAAGCTATTCACACCCATTGTTCCCTCCACACCTATAAATATCCCTTATCAAATTGATATCCAGGCGTCATTGGTATCCTACTTGGTGTCCCCGTATCTTCAACTTGGTCCGTAGCTGAATCAGGGGTTAAAAATAAGCTTGGAGGCGCCACCTTCTTCCCTTTCCGAACACTCGCCGCATGCTCCTTGTCCTTTTTTACTGAAGTCCGTCGTCTCGCATCCTTTGTGGTTATAGCACCGAATTTGCCGACATGCCTCTGTGATTTGCGAGCATTTGAAGGCATAGGCGGCAGCTGGTGCTGAATAGTAGACTTTAGAAGGCTGATCTCCTCTGCCATCTGGATAACATAGCGGGAAAGCCGATCGATCTGCTGGCTGGCATTCGGGTTAATACCCTCACGCTCAGCTATCCTGAGATATCTTCCCTTGTGTGCGGCGTGCCTGGGTTGCAGATATAGGCGGGGAACTGGGTAAACTAGATGATTGTTGCGGCGGTGGAGTATCCCCAGTAGGCCAATGAAGCTCTGGCGTAGGTGATCTTGCAGCCTCGAGGCGTTCAATGACTATAGCTGGATTAAAAGGATAAATGCCACGGTCTGCGAATACCTTCCGAATAGTGCGCGACTTTAATGCCTGCTCCCGTATGCCAGTGATCTCGCGGAAGAAGACGCTAATATCCTTTGCATCCCTACCCCACTGCGCGAGAGCATTATTCTTAGCGCGGAATCTCTCTTTTAAGGCTCGAAATGGGCTTCCATCGAGAGGCTGGACGATATGCGTGGTATGCGGAGGGAAGACGAAGGCGATAATATTCCATTGTTCGCAAAGGTGAAGGAATTCCCATGTAAGATGCGAGCCATGACCATCGAAAAGTAATAACCTCTGACCACCACGGGCGCGGTCATAGGTATGTTGCTGGAAGAAGCGAAGCCAATCAACCGCAAGGATATCATTCGAATATCCAGATGGCGATACTGCAATTCGTGATTCATCTGAGAGGGTTGCGCTATTATACCATCGCTCGAGGTGGACGACACCTGGTGCAATAAAATATGGCTCCATAAGCCATCCATCAGCTGCAACACACTCAATTCCAGTCAGGAGATCACTTCTTTCGCTTGAGAATAGCCTCGTGCGATGCTTATTGCGGCTAATAACCTTTTGAGGCTTTCCCTGACCAAGCTGGAAGCCAGTCTCATCGAAATTATAGATATTCGATGGCGGAATACGCTTCACGAATGGCTCAAGACGATCATACCAGGCTTGTAGGATACTAATATCCTCAGCCTCGACCCTTGCCTTCTCCGCTGGCTTTTGTTTCACCCAATGAAGGCTATCAGGTAGGCGCTTAATAAAGTCATACACCCACGTCTTGTTGACTGGTGCTCCCCCATCTCTCTCGATTATCGCATTCGCACTCGCTTCAACCATACGCGCGGTAGGTGGAACGTGGAGACCATCAAGAGTATTGATCCAGCTAATCAATGCTGCTTCTTGCGAGGGATCAAGACGCTTGGTGGTGATGGTACGCTGAGAGCGAGATGGCCGACCGTGGAGACGTGCCCGCAGCCGGGTCATTGGAACGTCGAATTCGCGCGCCAGCGAGGTGATTTTGGCGTTTTTTCGGCATCTGGCGGCTTCGCAAGCGGCCTGGATACGTTGCTCAATGGCTTTATACGAAGGATCCATAGTGGGTGTGGAACAATGGGTGTGAATAGCTTCAAGATGTGTGTTGGGATCCAAATTTGCGTTGGGCCCCGGCGGACCAACACCCGAAGCGGTGTGGGTATGCTACGGGACTATTAGGCAATATCCCACACCCTGAGTGAGGTACTTTTGACACTTTTAGCCAGAACGAGAACCCAAAACCGGTTAACTAAACCGAACTGACAATGAAAGGGTGGCAAAACGGGAAAAAGGAACTTTCGGCCCGAAATGATTGTAACATGAATCATAGCACACCCGTCATTTGTTCCTCGAATCTCTCACCAAAGAATTAATTCCCCACATCGGTTCGGGTAAAAACAAAATGGAAAAAAGGAGGGCAACACTCGGCCAGATCCCGATTCCGAGTCGGGGTTTCAATTGCCGTGCATGATCGTTTATCCCGACTTCGGCGTGGGGGTGTCATTGGTAATTTTCATAATGTGTGGGTGACCATCGGGATCGTATTCCGTATGCCTCATGCACTATTGTGAGGAGATATGCAAACCTGCACTAAGAAGTGCACGAGGACGTGTACAGCGCCTGAATACCAGAATGCGCCACAAGCCACAATTTCTCTCATTTTAAGAACATTCTTCCACCCGAGGCTCTAGTCCGGCTCGGGGCTACATTCTTTAATTTGGGCTTACGTTCGAATGTGTGGGATTCCTTCTAGCGTATGGGAGGCCCGCAATTTCCCCGGGTCGCGGGACATTCTGAGCTTAGACATAGCAGAAGACAGTAAACGTAAAAAGTACCTGTAGAACCCATAAACTCTAACCGAGCAAGGACTCGACTACTCGACTACTGCTACTACTGCTACTTGCTGCTACTTGCTGCTACTTGCTGCTACTTGCTGCTACTTGCTGCTACTTGCTGCTACTACTTGCTGCTGCCCCTGCTATTACGACTCCGCTGGGACTTTAGCCTGTTTGCTGCATCCCGCGCGGGGAAATTTCATCTCCGGGGATCTTGGGATGGTCACGCGCTAGCCGTAACAGACAGTTAGGCCGATGATGAGCCGAGGATTTTCCTATTTAGCCCTTAGATGGGGATTTAGCCTTGGGGGTTCTTCTGGACGTGGGACGACCAAACTCTTCCTATCAGGGTCGTAGGTGTGGAAATGGGGCTTGGCTGATGCTTGTGCGGTTATATATCGGGCAATTTTGTAACCCACGGCAAGTGGGCAAGTGGGCACAACCGGTGGTTGGATTCGCGCAATGGATAAATATTGAACAAAAGGTTAATAGTGATCCATAGCGTGTGAAATGAAGATATCCGATCGAAGATATTATCCACCTATAGCAATCCTCAGCACCCATGGACACCTGGACATGTCCACTACAGACATTGAGCATTGAATAGACTCACACACCCTAACACCCTTCCCCAACCTTCCCCAAGACGCATTCGTATATCTAGTTCTTCAAAGGGTCGTGGCCCCAGTTCTTCAGCGATTTATAGCTCTTACTGTCCGTATTCTGCTTCGCCTTCTCCTCCTGTGCAAGATGTCTCTTGCAATAAGACACCACCTTTCTCATATGTTCGAGATCCTCATCTCTGTACTTGTTCGGGTCTTTGTCGGGGTTGTGTTCGAGGATGGAGACGATTTTGCGTCCGCTGTAGTTCGCGTTTTGTTAGTGCCGAGTAGATGCGAGGAAAGGGGTGTCGGTGAGGTATGATGCACCTTTCATGACCGACTGTCTCTCCGGACTCAGCGCCCCAACCGGAGGACTGGGACTGTTCTTCTTTTAACCAGTTTCGAAGCTCGTCGGCTGTCATGTTGACGAGGTCGTTGAACTCTCTTTTCGATGGTGTTGGCGCGGGAGATTGTGGCGCTGATTGAGGTGTTTGACTTACTCGATGACTGTTTCGTTATCTTTGACCATGATTGCGATTTGATGATTTGCTCGGTCGATTAATTGAATTGGCTTGTAGTTGGATATGATACAGCCCTTGGATTGAGGGCGCATTTAACATGAGTTGAGACCGGTGAGGTGAACAACTGACGTCATGATCTCAAAACGAATTCAGAGACGCTTTCGTCTGTTGAGCTGTAGTTTCAAGTTTTCGTCTTCTTTAAGCTTCTGGGTTCTTAGATTACATCTTGCATCTGCATCTGAGCTGGTGTCCCTGTTGTTGGACACAGTCCAGTCCTGCTTTATGTCTAGACCTACGTATGTCTCTTGTATATTCTCGATCGATCCGATGAGATCGTCGGGACTTGATGCAATGATTATTGACGGAAACATTGTTAACCAGGAAGGTCAGGTGTACTGTATGATGAAAATGAGTCTTGTGCACAGGCCAATAAGGGCTACATAAGCAGGCAAAAGACTCTGTGAACAATGCGAAAAGACATTACAGCGTGACCATTTTTCAAGAAATGCGATCAAGATATAGTACACGTGGGGAATAGAAAGAAAAAGGGAAAACCCAGAAATGAGTGTGTAATAAGGTAATTTTCCGTCAACTCGCAGAGTCGATCAGTCGATGAACCTGTATCAGAGTTAGCACCCGTTCAACCGGTCGAGCATCCACGATGGGGTGATGATAGGACAACGTACCAAGCAGCCATAGCAATAATCAGATACATCATCATAAGCAAGACACCCTCAAGCCAGTGAGATTTGCCGTCAGCAATAAGATAGTTGACGAGTAAAACAGCGACAAAGAGAACGATGATTTGGAATGCGTCGAAGTTGAGAGTCTAATGTTGGTCAGTATCACGTTAACAAATGCACGAAAGCATTGGTGTAGACTCCGGGGTTCAGAATGTACGTACCATGTCCTCAACACCCATGATCCAACCAATAACAACAATCAAAGGTAGAACCAAAAGCGCAATCTGCATACTCGAGCCTACGGCGACACCGATCGCGAGGTCCATTTTGTCCTTGCAGGCAACAGTCACCGCGGTGGCGTGCTCAGCGGCATTGCCGACAATAGGGAGAAGGATCAGACCGACGAAAGTCTGGCCAATGTTACCAGTTGCCGTAAGTGCATCGATGGAATCAACCATGAACTCAGCACAAACAGCCACAAGCGTAGTCGCAATACCCAGCGTGATCAGTGCAACCGCAATTGTCAGCTGAGGCTCCTCAGGCTCGTCATCTGGATCTTGCATTTGGACCTGTTGCGCATTCTCGCCGCCCATGGATGCAGCCGACATTTTGGCGATCTGGGCAATTCCGCGATTGGCGTCTCCTTCGCCAATCCTTTGGTGGCGTTTCTCGACTTTCGGACTTGGCCGGTTGTACATGTCGACATGGGATTTCAGTTGAAAGAAAAGATAGCAGCCGTAGGTGATTAAGAGAAGGACACTGGTTCCCCGAGAGAGAGGGGCTGTGTTGTCCACGTTGGTAGCGTCAGACCATTTGTGGAAAGCAGTGGGAATGATCAAACTGCCCACAGCAAGCGCGAGCAAACTGGCTGCGGTCTGCGCGACAGTGACGTTGAAATGCTGCTCCACGCGATCGATACCACCAAAGAAGAAACACATGCCCATGACGAGCAGCAGGTTTGAAAGCATACTTCCAATCAGCGAAGTCTGCACGATTAGAACCTCCTTTTTGACCAGCGCGATAATAGCGACAATCAACTCGACCGCGTTTCCAAAGGAGGCATTCAATAATCCTCCAATCGTTTCACCAGTTCGCAGAGCAATTTCCTCAGTCGCATAACTCAGCATCGCAGCGAGCGGAATAATCGCAATGAAGTTGACGACGAAGATCGCAATCGGGTTCGCTTTCACGACATGTAGCGCAATACCGGCCGGCGCTGCCAAGATCAAGACATTGATCCACGAGTTCAAAATCGTCGCGCGTAATTGCGACGCAACGGTGAACTTGGGCGCCTCACCCTTCTCGTCATCGGGCTCCGACGGCGTCTCAGGACGCCCAAACTTGATGAAACCTCGCTTACGCGGCTGCTCAGATTCTTCATTACCGCTCGACACGTTGATCGGCTCCTGGCTTAACGTTGATGGCTCCAGACCGTTGATGTACTGATCGCTGCCCGCAGATTCGGGAGGGAAAGTGCCCGCGTGCTCGGGGCCACCAACGTCGCGCGTGAAATCACGACGGCGATCTGTGTCGTGAGAAAGATCCCCCAGGCTGCGAGAGGTGTGGTTGTTTTGTTGAAGTTCCACGTCGATGGAGCGAGTGCGCCGTGGGCGTGTGCGAAACTTCTTGAATGGATTGTGAGAGGACGGCTCGCCGTCTTCGTCGTACCAGGCTAGATTGCGGGCCTGACGACGATAAATATCTGCCATGATGTGAATATCTCTTGTTACTGCACGTGGGTTGTCGTGTAACGGGGTTTGTTTGTAGGAGACTCACGCATTATGGCAAATTAATTGGGTTGTATTATTGAAATCGAAAGGACGAACTGGATATCCATAAGAATTTGAGACAGAAAGGCAGAGGCAGAGGCAGAGGCAGGGCTCGAGATAGATGTTCTAAAGGCCGAGTCAAAGACAGTAGCCTGATCGGGCCTTCTGCGCTACTCTTGCCTCAAGACAGGGTAGACGCGTGGATCAACAACACTTACGTGGAGTCTGTTCAGTACGCCTGAACCAAATGAGTGGCAATGTGGAGAGTGAGAGAGTAATATGGATGGGCACAGCCTCAAGTGCAGCCACACAAAGCGATGAGGAAGCTTTTAGGGGCAGATGGTGTTCCCTGAATCTCAATGACGGGCCTGTAAACTCAAGGGGGGGGGGAAACCGCGGTGAAACAGGGAGTCAAGGGGCAACAAAGCAACAAAGCAACAAGGCAACAAAGCAACAAGGCAACAAAGCAACAAAGCGAATGGACAGTCCCCGATCAGAATTGAGAGGGGAACCAGAAAGGAGGGTGGAAGAGCGAGAGTGAAGTCACCGGTTTGGCCTGCATATTGTGATCTGTGACACAGCCACACTCGAACAGGGGGCGATCGAGCAATGCTGTGGAGATTGATGCTTGGCGTCTCGCGTTCATCGGGGTTGCTTGCGACGCAACCTGTTTGGCATAGATTACTCCCTTTCATACAAGCCAATTTCTTTTTTACTTGGTTTGGAAACTGTCGCGCTGGCTCCCCTCGCCATGCTCATACACTCTGAAAGAAGGATCGAGAGCGGTGCGCTGGCAACGAGATGAGCCAGCCTCGATAGGGGGAACACGAAACACGCCCAACCAAGGAAACCCCGAAACCAAGAAAACCAAGGCCACGAAGCTTCGACTTGGGTGTTTAGGTTTCTTGGCGATACTCGCCTATGCAATTCCGTGAGGTCACCTCGCATAGACAATCAGGATCACTCTGTCAACTCGGAGACGGTGGCACTGGCGTACTGTGGCACTTCGAAATGGAGGTATCTCATTGGCCACTACCCGTACAATCCGACGAACATAGAATATCCTATTCGCCAGATCAAGGTGAGCGCTTTCAGGCCCATCACATGTTGTGACAGCGCAAATGTCGTAGATGGCGGGATCATTCGTCCCAGAATGGTCGCCATCTGGACGAGAGTCGGGTATTCAAGCCATACGTGGGTGGCTTGGGTCGATGGGTGTGGGACGGGAGTGGCCGATCGCTGCCTCAGGTGCGCCGAAGGGGCGGTGTCCAGCGTCCAGAAGGGGGAATGCGCATCCACGGTCGGTGAGGAAGTCCTTCACGGCAATCTTTCGTGCGACTCTTTCATGCGACACGAGTAATTTGATAGCCTAGACGCCGTATGAATTTCTTCCTGTGGTGGATGAGTAAGTCCTGTGCTAAGCGCCCATCATCAGAGCGCTGCTCTTTCAGAGTCTGTCAGACGTCAAGGCTAGATTGCAAAAGGGCAGCCTGGAAGAAAGAGGAAGAGATTGGGGGGGGGGCCTACCATAGCGCTCGCCTTATAAGGCTGAAAGCCAGAAGCTTGGTCTCCAACGGATTCGACATTGGCCCCCCCCCTGACCTGCGCGCCTTGTTTACCCGGGCTTTGGTGGGTTATTGTTGCTGCCTGCTGCTTCTATATTTAGTGTGGTTATGTCTTTCACCCCTTCCTTGATGCTATCATGCTTCACTTATGCATTTGTTGAGTTTGGACGAAAATAAGGTCTTTGGAATTTTTCTCGATTTTTGGATATACACCAGACCGCTACTTCTGGGCAGCGACCGAGAATGCTCTACCACGGGGAAATACGAGGGACTTGACCAGAGGTTAAATGTAGATTTTTCTCACCGTCCGCGGAGCTTCAAGCTGGAGGAATCTCGGCCACCACCAACGCATGAAAGCGTTGACCGGGGATAACTGTGAACAGTAATGCCTCACTGACACGGGAGCGACGAATTTCTGACATTCCGCTTCTATCGAAGTGATCAGGGCACACCTGAGATGAGTAGACCTTGTTGTTGTCGTGGGATGTGCACTCCTCGAGGCGGCCTCGAGCTTTGGCCTTGCACCAATGCCCATGTGCGAAGATCTTATAGTCTTGTGGCACGCCCGACCACTTTCAGACATCCTCTTGTTCCTATCAGATTCCGATTATTTAATCATTCTCGGCCTTCGTTTCCTTCCATACTTCAACATTCTCACGAGAGCTCCAATTTCACCTTTTCTTGATTCTGTCCAAGATGTCTCACATCTACTCATCTTTTGCTTGTATTTTTGCATTTCTAGCCGTTGACTCATGAGCGCAAATTCCAAACGATATTCTACCTTTACTGGGAAGCGTTTCTGTCGATCAGATTGCCGATCGCGAGAACTGCCATTGGCACGTAGTCTGTTCTGGATCCTGGTCGGTAAAGAGTTGGACCGACAATGAGGTGCAGCCCAATACAAAGCACATGACTCTAGTGTGTCTGTGGTGGGACTTCACTTTTGAAAGTGAACGTTGAAATTTCGTCCGGGGCAACAGAGTAGTGAATGAGCAGACTGATTTGAAGGTTAGTTTGCCCATGGTGATGGTTCAAAGGGAGAATCTGAAGCACCCAGGGCTACATTGCCTTTTGAAACTGTAATAAGCCGTAAAACCACGCAGATGGTAGCCCGAGTATGCTAAACAGTGAAGGAAGCCAAACACGTCGCTCTAGCCAGCTATTGGTGATTTTCATATCTTTGGCTCGAGGGCAGCTGCCGTACATTTGACTTGCACATATAGGTTATTCATAGCTCAATTTGATGGTTGTACTATTGCCTGAATAATATGAGATAATGCATCCTCACAGGGACGTATATATTATAGAATATAGGGCGATCCTTTGATGACGTGATTCTTATGAAGCCCGGTTTGCCAAGATCAGAAAGACGCAGTGGTCATAGAGATATGCCTGTACCGGGAACGAAGGCCTCCAAAACGGAAATCTTCCAAGAGTGAAGGCTCGCAGAGGGAAAGTTCCCAGACTGCAAACACGCCCCTCCCAATTGGGAATAGTAGGGTTCCTCACGTATACACTTCTCTCCCTTCCCTTCTTTCCAATTTTTTTTCTTCCTTCTTTTGTTCTTTCTTTGGGGATTCATCCCCCTCTCCTTTCTCCGTGCATCATTCGGAAGTGGTCCAGCCCTGGCCCCGTTTTGTTACCAACGGAAAAAACCGATCCCCACACTGCTTGCAGTGTTACCAGCTTGTATGCCTACGGCAGATGGTATTGGGTCTTTATCCGCTTTGCCCTACTGCATATCACGTTTACTCGGAAGAAGATGACGGTGCGTGGATCTCGAAAGCCTTTGGGCGACTAGAGACTGTGTTGCTTGACTTCTGGGAGAGTGACGGAAGCTTGATCTCGAAAGTCGGGATTGACTAGTACGAGTATCGGTCCTGCTTGACGAACTCGAATAACGGCGCAGCATGGGAAGGTTGACCAGTTCAGTTTGACCTCTGTACGCAAATGAAGGGGTTTGAGTCTACATACCCGAAGGTCACGGAGAGGAGACATGAGAGTTCCCATGATATTTTTGTCTTCGGAGCTTGACCTCTGGGCTTGCTCACGCCGACTGATTTTATTGGTGTCATATCTGTGGCACTCAGTACTGAATTTCGGTCTGATACGCTTCATTTTTTTTTCATCACTTGGCCGGCTTTGTCTGTCCATTTGGAGAAGAGAATTATGATCTCTAGGTTACGGTTGCTACTTGGGCTGTATCCAGCGACAGAGCCACAAGAAAGCGACTTTGATGCCGAAAATGTAGAGCAGGAAGGATGTCCTAGCGATGCACAGCTAAGAAGCGAGGTGTCTCAGCAAGTGCCAGCAGGTAGATCTGCCAATATCTCCAGAATAGATTTCACGAAAGGAAGTACCACCTGAGCAAACCACCGTGTAGCGCTGCTGGGGGACAATTGTGACGCGTCGATTGGCGGCAAGTGGGCGACAAGAGTCCGTATTACTAAAAATGTAGATAGTCGCTTGGTATATTCAGAGCCATCAGAAGGGGAACGACGATGTGAGGCAGCGGGAGTATCAAGAGATGTGCATCGAGGTGCGGACGTCGGAACGTCTACCGAAGACGACAATGGACGAGGTAAGTGCGGAAAGACTGATATCGATAGCTCACAAAGTATATCTTCGAGAGGGTGCAAGCCACTGCACACAAGTGAAGGGTGCAAATGAGCGCGAGGTGCTTGTTATTGTTGGGTGTTTCCGGATTCAGCAGAAATGACGCTAATCGGAAGTTGAGTGACGAAGCGATGTGAAGTACCAATATAATGTAGTGAGCCAGATTAGCCTTGTAATGCAATAAAATACAAATTGAAGAGCTGAGGGGGTGGAGAATACAGTTGGAATTGATAGTGGGATACCAAGAAGGATGCAGAAGTTGCAGGCGGAGAAGGTCCTCGAAACTTGCCAACAAGACAACTGTTCGGACATAGAATAGACAGCACAATTACCTGCTATCGGAGAGTCATAAATTGCATGAGCAATGGGAGTGCTGTGATCTTGACAGAATTGATCCAAAGTCGTGGCCAGAGGGGCTTTGTGAACTTGTGTCAAGGTCGCATACATTTGTTCAAGGTGTATATTTCGCGAATTAGCGGGAAAAGTCGAGAACATGACCAACCACGAATATCACTTTCTAGGCCCAGGAAAAAAGAGGTGTATTGACGTTTAGTTCGTGTTACTTATTTCTTTCCTGCAGATGGGTTGTCCGAAGCTCTTGTCTGCTAGTCCAAGGCTGGCAACTCCTCATGGCCCACCCCATAACGTCAATAAGGACATAGGTAGAAGCACGTCCATGATAACGCGCATGCGACGTGAACAGAGTACCTACCTTTGAAGAGAGGTGGAGCAGATCTCGCTTTGGACACTGATCTATCACGACCTTACCCACGAATGACTTCCTTCAGCTCCCACTCCATTGAGGGCCGTCGCGAGCATCTCATCCGTCTGTCCTCCATCTCAGCTGCGCAATACCATAGGGTCCTTAGAAGGCGTAAAATTTATCGCCTTGTAGCAACCTTCTAGTTGAGCACTTCAATCGCGAGGGCCGAGCCTTCAAGAGAAAGCCGACTTTTCCACCGTTCGGAGTCACATTTTGACTTGGTCACCCTGTAGCGAAGCGTCTCTGTTTTAAGACCTCTAACGCATCTGTTTCAATTCCCACTCCAGACGTAAGAAGATTATAGATATCACCAAGGCTAAAGATCATACAAGCCAAGGAATTAATTGACCAAGCTTACTGGGCCAAAGCTTGGAATTAAAGCCAAGCATGCTGGCCGAACCTTGGAATGAAGGCCAAGCCTCTAGCCAAGCTTCCACTCAACTTGAATCGACGACATGTATCACATTAATTATGTGTCTTAGTCTCATCGATAGCAGAAGTTGCACGAAAAGTTCTCTCTCAACATATCGAGCTGATATGGATAAGATATGGTTAGTCAAAATTTGTGCCGTTCACACTACTACCATCACCATACCAAAGTAAAGCGCAGTAAAGACCTATTCTTCGCCTCTATATCCTCTAATCCCTGGCGTCATCCCCTATACGTACATCAACCTTTCCATGCAGACAATACGTCATGTACAAAAACCCTACGATGATTCTCTTTTGAAAAAGGGGACATCGAATACATTCCCCTATCTGAACCCACATTCGCCCCCCGATGACTGCCCTCCCGCTCACCTCTGATAATCACTCGCAAGGGCCATCACATTGTAATGAAGAAAGAAAAAGAAGAGTTCCAATATGACAAAGTGTCAGAATATAGCCAGCTTTCACAAACTGATTACATTTGACTGCATGCAAATGAACACTGATGAACCGCACTTGATCATACTTTATCGCCTACATCTGACCATGACTACCACTATTGATTGGAAATATCCTCTGCTGCCTCCATCTCTCCCGCGCTCGTCAAAAAAAAAAAATCTTCCCCACCCCCAAAACAAAACCATAAATAAGCAGGTTGACTTAATTGCTAGTCTCATCGTATTGGATAGAAGTATTTGGACGAGAAGCCTTGATGACATTTTTATAGCTCTTGATCCCCTGTGGTAACATCCATGGACGAGCGCGCTAAAAGCCGTCGGCTTGATACAGCATGTTCCGTGCCATTTCCCACGCCCCAGGCTTCAAACACATGCACTAAAAAGCTTGATCGTAAAACCGGAGCACATCTCTTCCACCTTCAACTTTGTGGCTGTCCGAACCAGAGGGGTTCGTGCTTTGAGTCTCCATCGATATGCGCGACTGCCCCATCCGGCCCGCTTTGATAATCAGGGGTCGTAACACGGGACGGTGATCGTCCAAGGACCACGAATTACGCGAGAGATCGCGTCGACATCGATGGGATAAAATGCTCGCTCCGATCTCATTAAGTGTTATATTCCTCAGAGTGATGGGGTATGCCGGGACTCGAATTGTAATTAATCTGGTGTGCCGTCTTGCGGTTCAGGTCTAGACGTGAGACTGGTCCCGGCCCCACAAGCAATAACTCTCAGGACCAGTTTTGCTTCTCATTTCGATGGTTGTTAGTGGCTGATCAGCGAAAATTCAGGGACGTTTTGTCTTTTTGGGCCGACTAGGACCAAATTACGGGGTTTCGGGGTGGTCAAGAATAGAAAGTGTCTGCCTGTGGGATAAGTTCCGAACTGACGTAGATTGGAATGAGACACGCCACATGATTCGAGCCCGCCCTGGAGAGTGAACAAGCCGGTGGCTAGTCTCTGTAGAAAGGTACGGATAACGGAGCTATGGAAGGTGGCCTAAGCACGGACGCGACACAGGTCTTACTGAGGCGAAAAAGCCAGCTTTTGGTGACAGCTGGGACTGAGGACTGAGTGGGACAAAAATAGGAACCATCAAATAATGCCCGAAATTCCAAACGACATCATGGGCAACACAGATCGCCCTTGGCGAGACAAGCTTTTTGTTGCAGCGAACGGGGATGGAAACGGGACGATCTGATGAGTCTCGTATTGCTAGAGACCAGGCGACCATATTCCTGAGAAACTTTTGTTTTGGTGTACTGTACATTGGTTGTTTTCTCCGCGAGCAACCAAGTGTGGACTCACAGTCCTGGCCAGTCAGGGTCCAGCGTCACTCGCTATCTCCTGCTTGCTGACCATGCGACCCAAGGTGGGGAACACTAGATCCATGGATGGAAAACTAGCAAGCACTAAAGTGGAATCGCTTGTCTCAGGGGGGGACCACTAAAGCCGCTAAAGGGCCGCTAACAAGGAAGGGTCACAGAGGGGTCGAGCAGGCTCATTGGCGCTAGGGACTCCCTGCTCCACAGGGGACCGAAACAGTGGACTCGGTTGGCCCGCGAAGAAACCAATCGATATTGCAACTCGAGTCTCACATTTTGCGCGGGATCGGCTGGGTTGAATTGCCTCTGACGGGACACTCCAGTGATGTACGCACCCACCGGCGCAGCCCGCTTGATGATGTGTCGTTGGGTCGTGCCATTTGAGGTGGTTGGAGAGGAGTGGGCAAAGGGAAAGGGAAAGGGTACATGGCTGTCCAGCGTCATCGCGCGCATCCCCGAAGTACCCGACCCCCCTTTGTAATCTAATCCACTCTTGCTATTATTATTCTCCTGTCCTCCCCAAAACACAGTCTCCCTCTTTTCTTCCTTCATCGCCTTCGATCGTTTATACCAGTCATTCATTCCTTCCATTCGTTTCCTCACGCTCGCTTGAGCCTCATAGCTCACAATGAAATACTCCGTTCTTGCTGGCCTGTCCCTTCTGGGATCGGCTATGGCTACTGTGCCCGCCATCGAAATCAAGGGCAAGAAGTTCTTCTATTCCAACAATGGCACTGAATTCTACATCCGCGGTGTCGCCTACCAGGCCGACTACTCGGGCCGTAACGGTGGCTCCAGCACCCAAGACTACGTCGACCCTCTGGCTGATGTGGAGAGCTGCAAGCGCGACATCCCCTACCTGGTTGGTCTCCGAACCAATGTCGTCCGCACTTACGCCGTGAACCCCAACTCCAGCCACGACGAGTGCATGAACGCACTCGCCGACGCCGGTATCTACGTTATCACTGATCTGTCTTCGCCCTCCGAGTCCATTGTCCAGACCGACCCCTCGTGGAACGCCGACCTGTTCACTCGCTACTCTCAGGTCGTCGATGCCTTCGCCAAGTACCCCAATGTCATCGGTTTCTTCGCCGGTAACGAGGTCGCCAACATGGTCAACAACACCAACTCCATGGCCTACGTCAAGGCCGCCGTCCGTGACATGAAGGCCTACATCAAGCAGAAGAACTACCGTTCTTCCCTCGCAATCGGTTACGCTACCGATGATGATGCCACTGTCCGTGCCAACATCGCTGACTACCTCGTCTGCGACGACGCCAGTGACTCCATCGACATGTTCGGCTACAACATCTACGAGTGGTGCGGTGACTCGTCCTTCAAGACCTCTGGCTACGAAGCGCGCACCGATGAGTTCAGGAACTACCCCGTCCCGGCCTTCTTCTCTGAATACGGCTGCAACCAGCCCAGCCCGCGTAAATTCACCGACGTCCCCGTCCTTTTCGGTCCCCAAATGGACGACGTCTGGTCCGGTGGTATCGTCTACATGTACTTCGACACCTCCAACAACTTCGGCCTTGTCTCCACCTCTGGAAACTCTGTCTCCACCCTCGAGGACTATTCCTACCTCTCCAAGCAGATGGCCTCCGTCAGCCCCTCCGGAGTCAACTCCGCCAGCTACTCCGTCAGCACCACAGTCGGTCAGGCCTGCCCCACTGTCGGTTCCGACTGGCTCGCCGCTAGCAAGCTCCCCCCTGCGCCTAACGCTGACCTTTGCGAGTGCATGTACAACACCCTTGACTGTGTTCCCGTCGACGACATCACCGACAAGCAGTACACCAACACCTTCTCCTACCTCGGAGGCAAGGAGGGTGTCCTTGATGGCATTACTGGAAACGCTACCGAGGGTGTCTACGGCGCTTACTCCATGTGTAACAAGAACCAGCGTCTGGCCTGGGCCATGAACCGCTACTACCAGCTCCAGGGCTCGTCTGACGATGCATGTGGCTTCTCTGGTGCCGGACAGAAGGTCTCTGGTAAGTCCGCTTCTGGCTCTTGCTCTTCCCTGATGAAGGCGGCTGGTACCGCGGGAACTGGTTCCGTTTCTGGTAGCCTTGCGGCTTCCACCGGTGGCTCTTCCGCTGCTACCTCTACTTCCAAGGGAGCTGCTGCGGGTCTTACTGGACCTAAGGCTGTCTTCGTTGGTGGATGGCATGCTGGTGCGTACCTGGTTGCCGCTGTGGCCTCCGGTGCGTTTATGATTATGCTGTAAGCTGGTATAGGGTGTTCTGTACTGGTCAAATTCTTTTTCGTGTATGGTGTCTTAACTTTGGCTTGCTGGAGGCTACCTTGAGTGCTGAAGCGTGCCTTTTTCTTGTATTCGTCCTCTTTGGAACTGGAATTGTTCATATATAATCTTGGTCCTGATCAGCAGGTGTTCTTTTTGTTAAAAGCTTTTCGTTGTAGCTGTAGCAAGTTGTGCTTTTTAGCCCAGTACTGATACAAGAACGACTTGTGCCATTACTTTTTCCGTATTTGTCCAAGAATTTGAGAATATTGTCTTCACATCATTTCCTTCTCAGTGGCTGCTTTCTTTACTTATTGCCTGGTACAAGCTTTTTACTCATGCGCAAGCTAAGCTCATTGAATCCGTAGGCCTTAGACAACACAACCTGGAAACTGGCGTCTTCAGATTACGCAACTTGTCCGCCAAGACTGCGTGTTACATGTGGGCTAGGCTAGATCGTGGCAGGAACGGTGTCCCAATTCACATAGAGAAAGCCGTGATGTCTCTCTTTGAAAGCGTCTCTAGTGCGTGGAGGTAAGCTTCTTGATGTCCCTTGCAAACACAATTCGATGGTCTTTGACAGAAATCACTCGAATAATGAAATTTATTCGGGCAATAATGTATCCATAGGCTTTCGTTGAAACTAAGCCGTTCTCATTTCATGTATACCAAACCTTCTGTTCTCTGAAGCTTCTGTTCCCTGAAGGGGAGTCTGCTTGGATGGAACGTTCTGAAGGCATGGGGCCGTACTTGAGTGGAAATCTCAGGAGATAAAATCGAGCTCTGACATCCAAAGTTTACAGTATTCTTACCATAATTGAATGCTTGGCTATGAGACGGTTTTCTTAGAGAGAAAAATGGGGGACAGAGAAGCCAAAAAAGCGGCGGTATCAAACATGCGGGGTTTCAGCTGCCAAGATGAATGGCCTCCACGAGCTTATATTTAGTCGACTCAGAATATCTGCATTGCCCCTGTCGCATTGAAGGAAGCATTCGAGCTTCATGGTTCAGGCAATGATGATGTGATTAAAATTGAAGTGGTAATATTAATAACGTGTACATGTGCAGCAGTCTGAAGAGCAAACGAATCTACCACTCCTCACTCGATCAGCTTCTCTCCTTCCTCACTGGAAGCCAAGCTAGCGAACTGTATTCTTCGGATAGCATGGCCCTTCCACATAAGAAGCATGACGAAGAAGAAAGAGAACACAGCAAAGAAGGCCATCATACCGTACACCCAGCCCACGTCCACGGCCGCGACCCAGGGGTTGATATAGAAAGTGATGGTCAGCCCGTAGACGATGCGGTATGCACCGATCACGATACCCGCCTCAGCAGGATACTTAGTGAAGGATTCAACAACGTAATTTACAGTGACTGGGACGCTGGACAAAGATCCAATGGTAACAAGGAACACAGCCAATGCGAGGATCATGTAGTGTAGGTGGTACTGCAAGGCTGCGCCAAAGATTCCAAGACCAATTGGGTTGATGATGAGACTTGGGAGCCAGAGGACGTGAAGGCGATACTCGGGCTTCCATGCTCCATTGTTGAACCGTCGCGCCAGAGCGAGCGGAATGCGGTCATTTAATTCGTGCCCGAAGAAGAACGCGATTATGATACCGATCCAATGGCAGAATGTGAATGCGGCGTTTTGCTTGAGCGTGAAGCCATAGCCGCCTTTTGCGGCGGGTTTCTGAAGCCAGACGGGTGTCAAGGCGTTGACGCCGACGTAGAATCCAAATGAGATCAGAGTGAAAATGCCCATGATCATAGTCACTGGACAAATGCCGATGAGGAAAGGTGTCACACCAATCTTGGCCTGGAAGTCATGTTAAAGATGCCTCAATCATAAAGAGGTGAAGACGCACAGTTTCTTTCCAAGTAGTCGGCAACACAACACTGTGTCCGAAGAAGAAAGTCGCAGAACGATTCGCCAAAAGTCCTCGCGGAATCTCGGGATTATTTTCCAGACATCTGCGATCGAAGCCAGTTTCCTCAAGGAGCAAGAAACAGCAAATGAGCGTGAAACCCAGGAGTCCAACGGTCCACCAGAACTCCACGGGAAAGAAAGCATTCGCCGAGATAAAGCCGGAGAAAGTTGGTCCCGCAATAGTGCCGAACAAAAAAGCCATATGCAGAGCCGTGAATGCCCGACCACGCTGATGCAGGAAAAAAAAGATCAGTGACAATGCGCGGGCCAAGCACCGTTGGAACAGCGCCGAAGAAGCCCGCGAATAGTCGCGACATGATATAGGGAATGTAGTCATCCGAGTGGGTCATGACAGCCCCCCAGACTTGGCAGACGAGTGTGCATAGAATACACCAGAAAATGACGGAGCTGCGGCCCAGAAGGTGAGAGATGGGAGCGAAGAAGAATGGACCAGCGGCCATGCCGGCCAAGGCGGCGGAGTTCTATACAGTGTTAGACGTGTTCACACAGGACATTCAGAATCTAAGTCGAAGAGGGGAATTTGACCTCCACGTACAGCGTAGGACTCTTGTATCTTGGATTTGCCGTACAGCTTCTCCTGGTCTGCGAGATTGAGCTGTCCCGACAGCGGCGCAATTGCGCCAGAGAACGATGCTAGACATAGCACAGAGAGAATGACATATTTCCGCCTCAAGGTCCAGTTCTAGTTTAGTAGTTAGTTTTTACTCAGCAAGGCCCATTCTCAAGACTGGGGAGATACCAAGGGGTCTCGAGGGTGAGTACTAGGGTGGGGGATCAAGACGAGGTGATCGTGCTCATCATGTTGAGCAGACGTCTCGGAGTCTGAGCCCTTTTTCACGTCCATGATTACCCGCGTCACTATGCACCGAGCAGCGTGAGCCTAGGGGGAGGGGCGGACTTCATGAGGGTCCATATCCCTTTTTATTTACTGAGGCTAGAATACGAAGAATTCAGGTCTTGGCGGGCTCGCTTTGTTTTGCTGCCGAGCACCTCATTGGACGCGTCAGCTTCAGCTACCACTAGATCGCTTTGTTTCACCCGTTCTTTTTTATTTACGAGGTTTGTCTGGATACGAAGCTTGGCTAAAAATCTTGGCCACGGATGAGGCTGAAAGCTTGTCGAAAATCGTGTTTTATGTTAAAAATTCGTCTACAACGGGAGAGTGTAACATGTGCACGTATGCAAGATCCACGGTTCAGGTTTGCTACCCTTTCTGGTGTGGGGTAGTTAAAGAGCCTAAAGGTATCGTGGTCTAGACTGTCTAGATAGCGCCTGCGGTTATTGAGGCCCAAATCTTCGAGCATGACGCCCTGTGGCCTTTTCAACAACAACTTTTCCGTCAGGAAGTGTTGCCGAGCCAAGAAAACCGATCTTGCTGTCACCGCAACTCCACTACGAAAAAAACCAGACCCACACCCGGTGACAGGTTCAAAAGACCGAGCTGCATGACTCTTTGCATGAAGAGACGATTCAATCGGGCTAGGTCATGATTGATGAGCATCCTTATCTTCCAGGCATGCAACTTGAATCAGAGGAGGAATTGCAAAGCCTTACTTAGCAGCTGAAGGACTATGGAAGCTTCACCGATGGGCTTCTGCTGGAGGCTCATGAACCCGAACCCATCATTCACATAAATCTGGGACCGCCTAGGGAACAGCTCAATAGACTGCGCTTCAACAATCTCAATCACTATACACATCACGAAGCGTCCAATTCGATGTCAACGGCAATCTCCCAGCGGAAGTGGGTCGCTGATAGCATTCGGCAACAGAAACAAGACGCCGAGGGGCCCGAAATACAAGAATGCCCGATCTGCATGAAATTTGTGAAAGTTTCCAATTAACATTCTCAACAAAGGAGAGAAGGACGCCATGATACGTACGACCATATCTTAATTTAAAATATTTTATTATCATGTTATCATCAAACGCAAACCTGGCGCAACCAGACCTCGAATGTCAAAAAGCAGAGCCGCAACTCGACTCTCCCCCCGACTCGGACACAGACTTAGACTCAATTTCACCCACAAAGCCACAGCCACAGCCGCAGCCACAGAACGGCTACGCCCTTCCGACATGGCGCAAATGTCTCATCTTGTTCATCGTGAGCTGGATGACTCTGGCGGTCACATTCTCAAGTACTTCTCTTCTGCCCGCGACCTCCGCGATCGCAACCGATTTCTCGACTTCTAAGGAGATTCTTAATGTCATCAACGCCGGCGTTTTAATTGCAATGGGCCTTTCGTCGTTTATCTGGGGCCCTGTCACAAGTGTCTTCGGGCGCAGAGCTGCGTATAACGCGGCTATTATTGTTCTGTGTGGTTGTTCAGCTGGAACGGCAGCTTCGATCGATTTGAATATGTTTATTGCAATGCGTTTGCTGAGTGGCTTCACGGGGACTTTCTTTATGGTTGCAGGGCAGACTATTATTGCGGATATCTTTAAGCCAGTGAGTGTCTCCTTTGGTTATGATTCGGGTTCAAGAGACTGATATTATGTAGACTGTGCGTGGTACTGCGGTTGGATTCATGATGGTGGGTTCTGTCAGTGGACCGGCTATTGGTATGGTTTTATCTATTGCCATCTAGACGATTTTAAATTGACAGCTTTAGGCCCTTGCATTGGTGGAATCATCGTCACATTTGCCCAATGGCGCATCATCTACTGGCTGCAGTTTGGCATGACTGCCCTCGGCCTAGCACTTTCTTTCTTTTTCCTGCCAACAATCAACAACAAAAAAGAAGTGGAAACAGCAACTCAAACTCGCTCGATCCGGTCGGTCTTGAGCATGTTCAACCCTCTTCGCATTTTCCGGCCCTTAATCTATCCAAACATTTTCCTCTGCGTGAGTTTCCGGCCATGAGGCTACCTTGATGATAATCAAGCTAACGAGAGCAGCATTTAACCTGCGGTCTTCTCGCAACATTCCAATATGCAATCCTCACGTCCGCCAGCTCAATATTCAACCCGCGCTTCAACCTGACCACTCCCCTAGTCAGTGGTCTATTCTACCTTTCCCCAGAATGGGCTTCCTCATCGGAAGTGTTTTGGGCGGTAAACTTTCAGACCGTGCGGTGAAAAAATGGATTATCAGACGACATGGTGTGCGTCTTCCTCAAGATCGCCTAAACAGCGGGCTTATCACTCTATTTGTTGTGCTCCCTGGCGCAACTTTGATCTATGCATGGACACTTGAGGAAGAAGTGGGTGGTATGCCTGTTCCGGTTATCGCTGCTTTCTTCGCTGGTATAGGGTTGTTAGGCACGTTCAATGGGTTGAACACATATTCAGCCGGTAAGTTGCCCCTCATACTTTGCGGGCCTATACATTTGCTGATGATATATAGAGGTGATGCCGCATATCCGTTCCGAGGTGGTCAGCGGCAAATACCTTGTTCAGTATATCTTTGCTGCTGCGGCGACTGCTGCTGTGGAGCCATTGATCAACTCGATTGGCGTTGGTTGGACATTTACGATTTGTGAGTTTTCAAGTTCCTCGCCACCGATTTGATGATCAGACGGCTTCTAACACGGTTTTCAGGTGTTTTCTTCGCCTTGACTGGTGGTGTCTTTGTCTTCATGATTGTAAGATGGGGACTTGATATGCAGCGCTGGGTGGAAGAAAAGTTTGGCATTGATGCAAAAGCCTGATGATCATGACAATACCCTACGTTGAGTGTTGGCTCTCTCCTTTCTATTACCGCATATATGAAGCATCATAGAGTTACAGGACATAGACATGATTGATAATCTGATTTGAACCTTGGTCAATGGTAGTGTATCCTTCAAGCTAAAGTGATATAAAAGTGTGAAGAGTGACTCAACGCAGTGGACGAAGTAACTTGTAGATCAAAGATCTAGAGTCCCTAACGTGGTATCACAATCCTCAAATAAGAACATTAGTCATAAAGAGATCGATATGACTGGTGTAGCCGTGCACCAAATTCTGGTTGGTCAAAACGCCGACGGCGATGCAACATTCGGCCGACTTCGCCGAGCACTCGGCAAGACGTTACGACCGCCGAGCGCTTCTCGAAGGTCTTCAGTTTCCAAATCTCCCCTCACTTCACAACTGACCAATCCAGACAAATGCAGTGACCGTGACACCATGACACGAGGTATAGGGCTGAAGCGTTGTTCTATTTTCTCCGACGACGAAAGCGATCGGCAACAAAGGAGGAAGTTCGTCGCGTGCGTTGCACCTTGTCTCTACGTCTCCACCCCGGGCTGACCCCGAACTACAGCTGCCAAAGATGCCATGCGCATAAGATTAAATGCTCCGGTGACCTACCGTGTAGCAAGTGTCGGTCCGTAGGATGCGCTGATGAGTGCGCTTATGCCCTGAGGGACCGCCAGGTCAAGGTTAGCGAAAAGTATGATCAACCCAGACGCCCTAGCATGCACTTTGAACATGCGCCGGCTCGTCAATAGGAGATCGGCGCTGATATTCTCTAGATATCTCGATCAACTACTTGCAGAGAATCGGCGCTTGAAGGATCAGTCGGTCGCCTCGGCCGACGCGGCCGAAGCCATGGAACCTGCAAATACAGAACGGCATGTCAACATCCTCACATTGAGAAAATTAGGGACTAACAAGACGTACAGAGGTCTATCCCGTGCAGATGCACCAGATGTAACAAGCATCCAAAATCCAATCATCGGTGATCGAGCCTGGTTTCATCGCTACGATGCATCCTCGCCGCCAATCTACATCGGCGAAGCAGCTTGCTCGGCCTTTGCAACACGATTCCGGCGCTTTCTCACTGGGAATAATTCCACGGCTCATATCACTCGAACGCAATGGGAGCGTGAAGAAACTATAGCTGCGGCAGCCAATGAAGCCGATGCTCAGTGGCCTAGCCTGCACCATGCACGCCTACTGGTGCGCATTGCCATCCACCAGATCGGATACTTGTACCACCTCATGATGCGAAAATCAACACTCGAAAAACTTGAAGAAATATACCAAAATGAAGCCTTTGACTGCACAGCCAATAAATGCAAATTCTTCGCCCTCTTCGCCTTCGGACAAGCATACTCCATTCGCTCCGAACCAAGGTCCGGATCCCGCGTGCCAGGAACCGCATACTTCGCTCGAGCAATGAGCCTAGTCCAATTCCTTCCCGAGCGAACAAGCATAACCCACCTAGAAACTCTCCTCCTCCTAGTAAGCTGCCCAACCCGATGATGCTTCACATCCTTACCATTACAGTCCCTCTTCTCTTACTACCTCAACCGGCGCCACTCAGCCTACGTCCTCATCAGCAACGCAATGCGCATGGGCCTAACAATAGGTCTAAACCACAACATCCCAGAAAGCCAACTCATCGACCCCATCGAACGCCAACACCGAATAGAAATCTGGTGGACAATCTACATCTTCGACCGAATGTGGGGCTCAAAAATGGGCCTGCCCATGCAAATCCTAGACGAAGACATTCACGTCGACATGCCAAAAACCATATCTCCAACGTGGCGCCACGACGAAGAACTCTCTGATACAGCGTACATGACCGCCAACATCAAACTAGCCCGCATAGTCGGCGAAACAATCACAAAACTCTACAGCCGGCGCAAATACCAAGAAACATTCCTCCAGCGCGTGCAGAAACTTCTCAAGTCATTAAAGAACTGGGTCGAAACATTACCCGAAAGTCTCCGTCTGAACATGGAAGATCTGGAATCCTCCAAGAAACCAATCGTCTCTCTACATATGGCATTTAATCAATGCGTCATCCTAACAACAAGACCAACCCTTCTCCACCTCCTCATCACGCTTCGCAAAGACCCGAAGAATGTAAGCGTATCCAAGGACTCGGTCTCGAAACCGGTCCTCACGCTAAGCGAAGCTTGTATTCACGCAGCGAGACATTCCCATAGTATGATCCTCACGCGCTGGATCAACGGTACAATGCCTACATTCGGCTACTTCCACGCCCATTACCTCTTTTCATCGGCGCTTATACTCGCAATGTCTTCGTTTGTGCCGATTGGCAATGCATCCGACATGTCCGGGTTTGACTCTGCTTTGGACCTCCTGCGCTCGATGACGGAAAATGGAAATCTCGCTGCGGCGGAATTTTATCATAATCTTGAGCAGGTCAAGGTGTGTTTGGATGCGTATCGGGATGTGAGAAGCAAGGGGAATGAAGTTTCTATTCAGCCTGTGACTTCAGTGCCAGTACCGGTGTCTGGGTCCGGGCTGGGGTCGACGTTGCCGGTGCAGGGGATATTGCCGGTTATGCCGGAGAGTCGTGATGTGATGGGCGGGGGTGGACAGGGCATGGAGTATGCGGTGCAGAAGGAGACGATGGTTGGGTATACGACTGAGATGGCCTTCTTGGAGCCTACGATGCAGGATTTTCTTGCGCAGTCGGATATTGATCTTGGGCTGTTGCATCCTGTTGATACGTTTCTGAACGAGGCGGAGAATCTTTATACGTGTCATGAATTGTAGTTTCGTGTTTGTGAGACGCCAGGGGAGAACGGTTTCATCAAATTTATATTTCATTCTAGGGATCTTGTCATTATTTTTCGCATAATTATTTTATTGCGGGTTCGTGAGTAGATCGTGGCAGGCATTAGTTGGATCGGCATAGCATGAATCATTTGAGTTATTGAAAGGCAGGTGGCCGGATTAGCCTGGTTTACTTTGGGTATCTTTTTGGGGGACAAGATGGTATGGAATCCAAGTTGGCTGAATCGATTAGAAGCTTGGGAAATCCAGGAAATCGAGATAACAGGGTAGACGTGTGGTGAGTCCAAACGAGATTTACCAAGATGTCCGCTGGTGGACGCCGGAGATGAACCTCAGCGTTCAGTCGCAGAAACACCGAAGTGTAAGCAGCAATCCAAGTCGAATGCAAGGAATTGTGAGGCAGCATCCTTGGATGGAAGTATAAGAGAGAAAGGTAAGCAAGGTGATAAATACGATTCAGCACGAAGCATTCGTGTCAGCGAGAACATCAAATAGGCATTTGACGGCGGTCAGCGGACCAAAGGTATGTTAGTAAAGCGATTCAATCAGAAATCAACGTCCATGGCGAATCTGAAGCCATGCGTGGAAATAATATCCCTACAGACTACCCAGGCTCGCTCCGAGGATGCATCTTTGGTAGACATCTCGCGTAGCCACCGAAGAGCCTTCTGGATTTTCTTCGCAAGAGCAACAGCCTCAGAAGTCCCCGGCTGTGTTCGTGTGAAGAGTTCAATCAGAAGAATCGTAGTGGACTGCATGACATAGTGCAAGACACACCACCAAGGTGAGACGCCATAGAGCCAAGATGCATCAACACGGTCGGGAAGAAGATCAAGCATTTGAGAGGCGACTCGCACGCACATGGCAGCCATCTTGTCACAAGTTGATCCCAATGGCCCGCTGGCGGGTACGTTTGTGAGCCGGCGGAGACAAGGCTGGGAGATGACGAGCTTTGTGGTGTAGAATCGGAAGGCAAGACTAGCGCGTTGGCGAATGAAAGGTCGAGAGGCATCTAGTTCGGTGAAGGCGAATTCTGGAGGGAGGTGGGCGAGCCAATTGTCGGCGTGATTGTTGAGGGACATGATCGCCGTTTCCATCTCCAGCCAGGATCGCCTCGCAGCACCGGGGGCGTATAAAGCCTCGATGGCCTGCCGCATGAGGAACGCAAGGTCTACTGCATAGAGGAAGTACAGCGAGACGTTGGGTGTAACTTGCTCTGATCCATGGGTGGCGGGAGTCCGGTCGGTTGAGACGTTGGCGAACCCAGACGAAGTGTCACGCGAGGGTAGAAGTGAGCTCATGAGGTAATTGCGGACGCCCTGGTGGGCGATGAGTTGTACGACTTGCTCGTTCAGGAACTCCTCCTCTTTGTAGGGGAGTGGAAGGGGAGTAGTGCAGAACACCTCGTCGGAGCTGGGCGGACGCCCGGTCATCACGCATAGGACTGTGTCCAACATGAATAACGCCCACCACACACGGTACCGTGTCTCCTTGGATAAGTGAGCAACACTATGGCTGTCATTCCTCAAATTGAGACCCATCGCCACCGCTGATCGAATTGCAATACCAATAATTCGCCATGACCTAGGGGAAAAAAAAAGTCGTTAATCAAATGCTGCGACTGCCGAGTCGAGCTCTTCAAGACATACCGATTGACCTGGCCAGTGGAAAGGAGGTAAAAAGCAGCTAGTCCTTCGACCTGCACCTGCTGCAGATTGGGATGATCCAGCAGGGCCACGTTGCCAAGACTTAATCGCCAAGCTCGCGCGAAGAACAATAGGTCCGCACCAGTATTCACCAGGGGCTGACTATCTGCAAGCAAAGAGTATTTCGACGCGATCGCAAAGATCAAGTTCAGAACTGCCAGCCACCTCTTCCCAGGACGCACATTCGCACTGGAATAGAATGACTGGTATTGGCTTTGGAAAATTGTCTTGCCAACGACGGGAAAGGCAGGATGCACGGCTTCAAAGTAGGTATCAACGAGCGCGTTAGCAAGTTCCTGTGGAGGTCGGTGTGTGGGATCCACGTTGACAAGGCGGAGACTTCGCGGTCGTCTTGGAAGTAGTTCAGGGATGAAATGGATGGTCGATCGGAGGTATCGCTGGCAGGAGTTGCACTGTCTTGGTCGAGGTCTCGCTTGAGTCTGTACAGCCATACCATCTCCGAATGCTCGCCCACGAAACCCATAGCCTGGATCTTTTCATCGCGGTTGAAATCCTCCTCGGTGTGATCAATCGTAATCATGGGATAGCCCGTAGCTCCCAGCTCCGAGCCTGCACAAGTATTCTGATCATTCTTGGGCGTAAAATTAGGGACGAGTTCGGTCAAAATGGGAAGGAATGCTCCTCGGGGACTTAAGAGAAGCATCCGGGGTGTGGACTTACCCTGACTAATGGGCCCCCCTAGTGTCTGATCAACATGTTGGGCCGATGAAGGATCCAACCTCGGGTACAGCTCTCTCAGTAAAGTCTCATATGTGTTGACTTGTGTGGTAAGATCCTCCAACTGCCTAAACGCGGATTAGAGAAGTGGCCAAATTGATCTACGCGACCACGCACTTGAGCAATTTCTCGCGTTTCCGGTCGCCATAGGAGCACGGTATGTCTGCATCCTGGCATCGCTGACAAGCGGGGCGGTGCCCGCTGCATTTAGCCTTTTGTTCTCGACAGTTCTCGCACGCCCGACTAACCCGACCGCTGGTAGGGGTCCAGGAACTCAGGTAGGTGGACCGGGGATAGGAACTTTCGCGTTCCCATGTCGGTTGCCGGTACTTTGAGGATCATCGCGTCCGGGAAATCGATCGGTATTGGCAGGAAGGCCAGGAGATGGGTGTGAATATCCTGAGACAGCCCAGTCGTGGTGGAAGGTCGCCGATTCGTTCTCCGAAAGATCTGAAGCGCCCTCGGGAAGCAACGGGCGGACAGGGAAATTCTCACTCATCGTGCGAACGAACGACCTCGAAGGTACACTTCGTGGGGAAAGACACATGGGGAACGCTTTTCGAGCCTAGCGGATTTGACAAGCCCTAACGAGGGGCTGAAACCGCGCATATCAGGGTTTTTTTTTTTATTTTCAATCCGATCGATGGTGGACGCCGGTATTCCGGGCACGCTGGCGGCATACAGTCCCAGACTCGAACATGCTGCTAGCAACAGGAGTTCGCCCTCCAAAATAGGGTTGGGGCCCGCGGGACGGTGAGCTGTGGTATGCTGGATGTGAGAGCCGCGCTGTTTTGCCACCCCAAATATCTGCCGTTGTCCCCAACACCGAAAAGTGGCATCCACAAATCTCGTATTTTTTGGGTGAGAATTGTCGAGTATTGGCGGGTTTTATGCCCCCCGGCTTCAGAAATACCGCAATACCAGGCAATGTGTCTACACGACCTCGTGCATGTGTCCAGTTGGGGTAACTCTGTGACGAATTGGCCCACCCATCTTGTCTGTATTACAGAGCTATTGATGTAAATGTGTGTTCCTGACCAGGTTATCGTAGTTCTCGGGATTTGTGCGAGGCAGAAGTGGCTCTCCGTAAGGTTTCTCTGCCCACTTGCTTAGAAGAGCTTATTTCCCAGTTTTGTAGCGTTTCTCGTCTGTCTGTGCAGGCCCTCATCATGCATGTGCCGAAGTTGTCGTAGATTCCACAGGCTTGATGTGAGCCGGCTCAGGGCTAGACTTGCCTTGACTCGGATGAGCAGGGTCTCACTGGGCATGATTCTCTTCAACCCACGCGAGGTTTCATGGGAATCCCCCAGTCCGTGAGCACAGCCGATTTCCGGGTGGATCGGTGGTTTGTCTAGCTCCAGGATGGCATGCACAGAGGGAGCTCTGCACTTCCCCTTGGGATTAGGGTGGCCGTAATTTGACACGACAACTCGGACCTTGCTCCTTGGATAAAGGTTCACGATGCTCTGGGGACGTAACAACGTTGGTCTTTTTGGGCTGAATGTCGTCTCATGACCTCCCTCACTCCGCACGCCGAGCCCTCCTGTCCTCTGCAACGATGCGTTTTCGTGGAGGCCCCATCCGAATCACGATGAGCAACCGTTTTCGAGGGACGAACGAAGCCGACACAAGTACCGAATACTGAATGCCATCGATAGTTCAAGCGGCGAGTCTACTCAACAAGCAGACTGGATGGGTTACAGATTTTTTGAGGATACAAACTGGTAATCTGATTAGGAGAGGACAGTGGCACAGCCATCGTACCTAAGCATGTCGAGGCTATGACAGTCGACAGTGCCCAGCGATTCATTTTGGCGACGGTGCTTGATGGCGCAGAGAAGTTTCGACAGCGGCAAGCTTTGAGATCTAGGGACCAGGACACAACACTAGTCGGAACCTCAGCCGGTGACGCGTGTGCTTGAGTCCAATCAGTAAGTCAGCCAAAACCTAGGGTTACTAGTCACCCCTTTGAAACTGATCGATATGGCCTCAAGATCCTCCAACCGTTCATCGACCTCGCATTACGCCCGAGTAGTCACCACAATCTGCACGACGACGGCCAGAAAGACCACCGCACGACGAGCAGCACAAAGGGGGCAGGGCCTTTTCGAGAAGCATACAATTGACACAGTGAATGACCCATTCGCATACTCTGGACGAGTAGAAGCAAGATCGGATGCTTCTTCGGGCCGCTTAGGTCCTCTGGTCAGCGAAATGCAATATCGAAATGCAATATTAAGCATCCTCAACGGCTATCACAAGCACCGAGCCAGCGTCCCATCCGAACCTCCAATCGACCAATACCAAAATATCCGAAGTCGGGGCATCATGACAGCGAAAGAATATGGACGAAATGGGACCTGATGATAGGAGGCGGTGGTGGTCCCCGGGGTTGTAACACCGAGTCTTCACTGAAGGCTACCACAAGGGGTGAACAACAGGCTTTGGCCGATGACGAGCTGCCTCTTTGAATGCAAGTCTCGCGCAATTGAGGCACAATGTCATTACAGCCTCGAATAGTGATGTTTACCAATGCTGCCAAGGCGTGCGTTGCTCACGCAATGCTGCAGACTCCTCCAGTATGCATGACGATCCGGTGAGTCGATTACCTGAGGTGAAAGTCCTGTTGTGACATAATTCGCATAGAATAATGAGAAAGCTGAGCGAGCTGAGGTAGATGGAAAGATGTGCAAAGCCGCTGTGGTTGGAAAATCAAATGCCATGGGACTGCAATCGCAATGCCCAGTTATGATTTGTGAACATATCCACAAATGCTGCATTAGGGTTTTTAGCTGCAATTATTTGCCACTTGAGCCTCATTTGGCAGAAATGGTAGCAAAGCACATTGCCACCGATTGTAGTGGCTTGCTCAATTTTGGTGGCATCTATCCAGGCGTGAGACGTCACAACCAGAACACGATTTCGGAGTGAAAGGAGTAACAACCATACAGAGACGGAAAGATTGAATTTCCTGCGCTTTGGATACCATGGAAGTCGAAATTGTTTTTCATCATGCCGGGTTGGGCCACTCTCTCGCCTCTTCCTACAGATGTGGCGAGATAATTGGCCAATATTCTAGGCAGAGTGGGACGGAGAGCAAAAGCCGCATGTATTGCCTCCCGAGTAGCCATACTCAGGTAGCTGGCAAGCGCCATATTCGCAAACATCCGCAAAAATTTGGCATGATGGCGCTGGGATTCGTCGGCGTCGCAGGAACTTGGCCGTCGATCAGATCGCGCGTTCTTTGCAACTTGACCAAAGGCTCAGCAAAATTCTCCGGCCCTCAAGTCACGAGTTTAAACCACGTCGGCCTCAATGGCTCAAACTTTTGTCCAGATATTCGCCCCGATACATCTCACAAGGCTCATGGGTCACCCTTAACAGGAAAGAGCTCGGTTGAGTGCGACCGGGTGAATCCATAGCTTTAGGTGATACAAAGAGCTCGAATCCTGCGACAAAAGCGCAAACTTGGGACAGCTTGCGAAGGGGAGCAAAGAAGAAGTGTCCACCATGCCCCGCAGAAGACAAGCAACAGAGCAGACGGCAAAGGGAGCGAATTGAGAACGGGAAAGAGAGTGAGTTTCCCAGTGGGCTCCGGGATGTAGTTGGGTCGCCGCCCGGAAAAGGAATCCGATTAACCTTCAGAGGCTCATAGGCTGCTCGCATACCGAGATGCTAGGACTGTCTCTTTGCTGGAGTCCCAAAGAGGAATCCTTTTGTTTTCACCTTGGCATTTAGGGATGTCCGTGGCTCTCGCGCTGTTTTCAAGTATTTCGGGGGAGTGGTGGGGGGGGGGAGGGCAGCGCTGGAAGCTCACTGCGGGTTACTTCGCCCGCCTGTCTTGAGGGGCGCACGGAAGCCCCCTGTGAATTAACAATCCGCAGATATGGAAACATACCTAGGTAGACACCGAGGGTTTCCTCAAGGACCGGGTTCTCTATATTCTGCTAATTCGGGGTCACTTTGCAAGTCTCGAGAGGCAGGAACAATGGATTGGAATGTGTGGTCTCGCTTGCTTCGTCCGCTGGTGGCAACGCGGGCCGCTAGCAGGGGCATAGCCAACAGCTCGCCGTGGTGAAATCCACAGTATGGTCTTGCTATAGTCGAGAGACTGGTGTGTTCCCAAGAATGCCTACTCGATCTCTCGTCAACTAACACTATCACTCGCACTCTGAGTCTCCTAAACCCTAGCCTCGGCCCCCGTCATTCTAGACTGCACATCACCCCGAGGTATCATCCCCGGCCACTCTGGACGCTCTGCGAGTAACATACGCCTCGCCGATTGCACAAATTCCGTCTGGTTAGATTGATTTCCAACCTTGCCCGTCAGCTGTGTCTCTTTCCGTGGTTCTATGCAGGCGAATCTACATGTGCGGCTGCATCTAGCCAAATGCAGAGTAGGCTTAGTTTACGAAATGTTCACCCGTTCCCTGCCCCGAAGATTACCCATCGCTTAAAAGCGGCATGAAGGCATCTTTCGAATCCCTTCTTTTTGTTCTTCTTCTAGGTTGATCAACCCGAAAGATCTTTGAACAATGCAAATTAAAATAAAATTCCTGAAGTTCCATTCTAGATCGCGCACGATGGTGTATGGGTCGTATGTACGTTGAACGTAGCAAAACCGGCGATGCCAAATAGGGTAAACGGTTCCTCTCGTCAAGGTGAATGGTCGCCTGAGGCATAATGCTCTCTGCATATTGCACGTGATTCTTATCTTATCGCTTGCACTGGATCCGTTCCTACTGCGAATGCTCTGAAGAAGCTCTCAACTTCCCTATGTCTATGTACGGAGGCTGAAAGCATGTCTCTGCGCGGGCCCATGCGGCAGTCTCACCTGAGGCAAGTGAGCGCTGCCAGCTTGGAGACCCTTTCGACCATTCGCTCTCTGGACGCATCGCACCGCGAACATGGCCCCACGCCCCATGAACGTCATGTCCGGTTATCCTCCAGCATAGCCCGACATCAATGTACACTGTGGGTTCACGATGAGATGTTTGCACGCGATGAGATTCTCCTGAATCCTGCAGCATTTCGTGAAACTGGAGTGCAGATTGGCGATGTGGTGGAGATACTACCTGTACGGGCGGCTGGAGATGCGGCCCACTCCACGCTGAAATCAGATGCAACTGTTAAGACGAATCGCGACTCACACGGCGATACCAATGGGCCGCCACAATCGGATAGCACCTCCAAATTCAAGACGCCGTTGCAAAATCGTTGTTTGTTCGTGGTCAAGCCGTTGCCGCAGGATGTCAAGACACGTCACCCCAGATTGGAGATCTCCGTGACCAACAGTGTGGCCAACATCTTCGGGTTCAAAAATAGAACACAAGTTTATTTGTCCATCGTTGACCGAGAGCAATGTTCCGCGTCACATGTTGATATTGCGTTCCGCGACCAATACATGGTTCGGTCCGATATGTGGAGGCTTGTCACGACAGAACTTGCCAACAAGATCATTTACAAGGGGCAGAAAATCACTTTCATGGGGAGTGTCAAGGCGACTATCAAAAATATCTTTATTCGAGAGAAAAAGGTTCTGTCGGGGTACTTCTCATCGAATACTATCCCTGTATTCCGAAGTGAGTCGGCCAAATATGTCCTCTTCATTCAAATGTCAAGGGAAATGTGGAATTTTGATTCCGAGGGATCAGGGGACATCCTGTTCAGCCGTGTTATAAACGGATTTCTACCAGAGCTCTTCAAACGATGGGTCAATTCCGATGCAAAGCATTTGATCACGATCGTGCTTTTCACCCGAGTCGAGTACGATGCATCGATTCACACAAATCTGGCCAAGCTCAATGCTGGCACTCAGAATGCCGGGGGCCCGAATAATGTTCCAACACGGGATTTCTATCGCGTGGTAGTAAATGACATGGCGAGTGGTCACTGGACCACGATTCTGGATGAGTTGAAGAAGAATTTCCGAACGTTCCTTCGCGATGTCTCAATTTTGAAGACAGAGGATCTCAATGCTGCAGCTGGCAGTGGAGTCAAGCTTCCTTCAAAACCTCATACCGCGACAATTGCCGGACGACCTAGCACAGCTTTGCGCGGTAATATCCTTGAGGCTATCCACCTGGCTTCTGCCCATCTGGCGTATGATCATATTGACAGAGACATGGTTCACACCGGCACTTCCATCATTGTTATTACCCCCGGCAGCGGCGTTTTCGAAGTTTCCTACGAGTCCCTCGCCTCCACTACAGAAGCACTGGCAAATCGCGGGATAGCCATTGACCTGGTCTGTCTCTCTCCGATGCCCCTTCATTCTGTCCCTTTGTTCAAGTACCGGGAACCCGTGGAACGAAACTTGGGTGGTATGACAAGCAGCTCGAACACATCCATGGGGAACTTGTCACCAGAGGTGCACCATTCAATATCAAGTCTTGTCAGCAGGTCGTCCTATCTGTCTCCTAGCTCTTACCTCTCCGCTACCCGTATGCGAGAACGAGGAAGTTCTCGATCCAGAGAGTGGAGCTACGGTATTCCTCACTGGCTTGACATTTCGTACTGGGACCCCGAGACGTATCGAGAGGCGCGACGAATTCTAAAGAACGATCCCAACGCACCAATACCGCTCACCGTGACCCGGCCATCCAAAGCTTTTACCCCACGTGTTCGTATGTATGAGATTCAGATGATGGGTGTCATGGAAAGTGAGCAATCGAACATCTCCATTCCTTACCTGGTCGAAGGACGCGACATCTCGCGACTTCGTGGATCCTGGCCTGAGCCTAGTTCTGCGGTTCGCGGTCCGCCCAGAACTCGACTCGCGTCTTCGTCTCTCAAAGCACAATACAGCGACAGTCTTCGACCAGAGCCGTTCCTCGAAAATGTCACCGATCACAGCGAACTTCAGGTAAACGGTCAATCAAAGTCATGCAAGTCGGTCTTATCATGGATGGACCAGTATGACGATAATATCTTCACCGTAAGACCGAAGCGCCGTCCCTTACAAAAGCCCAAATATAAACGACTTAGTGAACCCGAGGTTCAAGCTGCTGGTGCACATGAACGGATGTCCGCGCGATCTATCTTACGCCTGCGAGAGCAGGAAACGGGTGGAAATGAGCACAACCAATCTTTCCGTCCACGCAGACTTGATGGTTCTATTTCCATCTCCCAAAGCCCTGCATCAATGGCTCCTATCACCGCCCTCAACAATAAGTCCACATTGAAATCCCCAGCGGCTCCTAAGAGCTCACGAATGTTCTCCAAGACCATCAGTTTTGCGCTGCGTGGCCTGAGCGCTACCGCACCTCGTGCGCAAGCCAGCACAGGTGTCCATGTTGAAAATGCCAGCGCAATGCCGATGTCAAACCAGCGGCCCTCGGGTGGTACCTTCTCTGACACGAAAAGCATCACCTCTCTGAGCCTCTCGGAATCAGCATCCACACTGACTCTCGCTGATCTACCATCGAGGCCGCCCACCCCTCCTAGAGGCGCCTCTGATGCCAAGGTGACGCCATCAAAACCCATCTCAATCAAAGCCCCTTTCAAAAAGCCTGAAATTACAGAACAGCGCGAGCATGGTGGCGGGGCCCAAAACTCGCTTCCTACATCCAAGGCAGAAGCTCCGTTCAATGAAGAAGGGCGTGAAGAGGGAGCAGGCCGACCCAATGACCATAAAAGCGAAATCACATTCAATCATGGGTCCCGCGATACATCTATCAGAAGTTCAGCAAGCAAAGCGCTCTCTCCGTGGGTTCGATCAGTCAACCCTTGTAATACCCCGAAGGATGTATTACGCAATACCAGCTGGTTTGGTCGTTGGCAGCATGCATACCCGCGTCCTCCACATGTCGCTCTGGTCAAATGGAAGAGTCTGAAGTCACCTGCAGTTTTACCGTTGACAACAGAAGAGTTTCCGACCGCTGGAGAGCTGGCCTCTGAATACCTGCAAACACCATATCGTGTGTTTCCAAATGACGATGCGGATGGCTTTGAGGCACCCAAGACACGTGGAATTCTTCTGCGCGAAATGATCTCCCTTCGATTGTCTCATGGATTCCAGATTGTCATTGGGAAGACTGTTGCGGAGGTCTCATCCCAACCCGCTCTTGAATCATTGAATGTCTTTGATACCCGCGGGCTCGAGCGTGATGGTGTTACTGTCTTCCTCTCAAAAGGAAACGCGATTCACCGTCTCATCTGCATACACGGAGGAGAAATTGAGGTGACCCGTTTCACACATCAGACAACCGCTGCGCTCGAGTCTTCCAAGAGAGTCAACTTGACTCTATATCAGCCAGCTATGAGGACAATCCTCAATCCAGAGTACGAGATGAAAGATATTAAGTTGGATCCCACCGCTGAGGAATACAACTGGAACTATGCCGACAATTACGTGGCTGGTCACAGAGACTACCTGCAAAACCCAGCCCAGCAGCTACACTTCTGGCGGGTTCGATATGTGTTGATTCCATTGCAACTTCATCCCAATTCTCGGCGGCATCTGCAGCCCTACAATGAAGACAATGAAGAGGAAATTCATTTGCTGGGTATCAGCCAGTTGACTCACATATGGCAGCGTAACAAATATGTTTCTCCTGAGGAGAAGCGCTTCGATACCTTGACGAACGCGACTTCAAACTCATCCACAAATACCCCTGCGAAGAAGCGAGATCTGAATCCACTCAATATCATGTATCAGACCCGTAATCCATCAGAGGTTGTCGCGGCTGAACTCGATCGGGTGCTACTAACCGACCCGAGGCTTGACAATCCGCCTGCTCAATTGCTGCCCGAGTCCGAGCTTCTTGAGAGGTCCAGTGTCAACTTGACCTCTCTTGCGCAACTGATTCAGGGAGACAAGGGTGTACGGATGATGGATCGTCGTTGGCATTGGAGACTGCATTACAACTGTTTCATTGGCTTTGAGTTCACAACATGGCTTCTGCAAAACTTCCGAGATATTGATACTCGGGATGAGGCTGTTGATTTTGGCAATGAGCTGATGAAGCATGATCTGTTCCAGCACGTCGAAAAAAGACACAATTTCCGTGACGGTAACTACTTCTATCAGATCTGTACTGATTACCGTACCACTCGCCCGGAATCTCGCGGCGGCTGGTTCCCACAGCTCCGAGCAGACAAGTCTATGCCTTCGACTCCAGCACCTGGAAGCGGGAATTTGAAGGATTCCCCTCTGAGTTCCCATACTCGTTCCGATAGTAACGATGAGCGTGTGCCACCAACGCCGACCACTCCGTCCAAGACCAAGAACAAAGTCGCTATTATGCTATCAAAATCTCTCAAGTACGACGTGGACAACAGGAAGCGGTCAAACCGGCCTGAAATCATTGATCTCCATTATGATAGGCTGCACAACCCAGCGAATTGTTTCCACATTGAATTAAGCTGGATGAACACAACTCCCAAACTGATCGAAGACACCGTCCTCTCATGGGCGTCAACGGCAGAGAAATTTGGCCTCAAGCTAGTCCAGGTCCCAATCGCCGAAGCCTCCGCCATCGACAAAACCCAACCATTCCGCAAACCTTACAGAATCAAACTCAAGATCCCGCCACCCAAAGGACCCGTCCACACGGTATTCAACAACGCCTCGTTCGCTCAACCCGGCCCCCCCAGACACACTTTACTACCAGAAGAGCCTCCTCCGAAAGTTCGATTTCGTTCTGGACTTTGAAGCAGCCAACTCCTTCCCAGCGGACGTCGAAGTATCCTTCTCCTGGGGCAAACCAGACTACAAATACCCCCAATTCATCCACCGCACTGGTAGCATCCTGGCCCAGATTACCGACGAAGGCGACTTCCTCTTGCTCGCAAATCGTCTCGTCAGCACCCGCAGTGTCGCAAGCCGCGACGCAGGCCGCTACGATCACAACCGTGAGTACCGCGGTCGTGCAACAACACACGACGCACTGGATAGAATATCTCCTCGTCTCTCCCCTCTCACTCGCCCCCTCCACGACATTGGCAGTCCGCTACCTCCAGGCCCGACCACCGGGCCCACAAACATCGACTCCGTAAATCTCTACCGAGCCCCAGGACACATTCTCACCGGGTTAGTGGACTTCTGTAACGACGCGGCTCAACTTGAGCAATTCTACAGCGAGAACCACGCCCGTACAGCGTCTACAAAGACTGAGCCCGCCACGCATCTCGACATTTCCATCCCATCCCTGGAACTTCCCGCCAGCGTGGTCAGTCACCATATTTCGCCGCCACCGGGCTTGCCGTCTAGGATCACGCGTGAAACCCGGGATCTGAGGGAAGGATTGAGGTCACCGGAGATAGCGAGAGCCAGGGCCAGGGGTGATAGTCTTATTGGGAGTCCAAGGAGTCCTAGGAGTGGGGGATTGCGACCTCTGATTTAATTGGGTTAATATTGCGATTGAAAATACCCTGCGCTGTGTACACAGACTTGTTTTTCACTTAATAGTATGAGATCAATGTTAAAATCCACGATATCAGTGTCGAATTTACCAATTCAGGGTAATATAGATGTGCGCCTGTCCATGTCACTTGTAATGTATTGACCATGGGTTAAATGTCTAGATCACGCCGTCACAAGTACGAGTACCCTCCTTAAGCCATTTACAATCTCTAACATACCTTGTTACTGTAATCCGTGAAAAATTGCAAAATTCTACTTAGCGTTTTCAACACTATCCACTTCAAGTTTGGTTGGTGGAGACGGGTTCCTGCGTCAGCGTTGCTGGTAAGGCAAATTAGAGCGAGTGACGGCAAGCCACATCGATAGCGCGCGATTCTTTAAACATGGTAGCAAGATTTGCGGGCGCTCCGACGTCTTCACAATCAGCTCTCTCGTCCTTTCCGAAGTTTACTATTGAGTGTGCGGGATCTACTCCGGAGAAGTTATTTTCCTTGATGGCTTTTTCGTCGGTCATTTTGTTTGTGGTCGAGGGCGCGTGGGCCTGCGAAGTGGTTGATGATATTGGTCTTCGGCATGTTATTACAGCAAAATGAATGAGAAATGGGACAGAAAGTATGTTAGTGATAGGAACAAAACGAATTGGAAACGTTATCAATGCCATCTGCGATTACTCTCAGAAGATACCCAGATCGATCACCGAATGGATAGTGAGCGCATCAGGCAAACTTGGAAGAGGTGCACTGCACTGCACTGCACTGCAATGCAGGGTAGATCAAGGGTTAAGAACGATATGACAAGTCGGCAGACATCATCAGGGTGCATTTCACATCTTCAATGAAAGATAGAGAGAATTGGGAGATTCTTGTTCATGAAATAAGACAGTCATGTAAAGGTACTTGCAGAGCTTCTTGGTGTGCCCTTGAGAGTCTTTAAGAAAAAAAGAATGATGAATTCGTCGTGTCTGTACTCCTATTGCTATGAGCACGGGTGTACTATCTACTTTTTTTAGAAAAAAAATAATCGAGCCACAATTCGCTCATCAAAAATCCTAAGGGTTGCACTTTCGATCTCTCATCTTGAAGTCATTTACTCCTACTCGGCCCGGACAGCCTCGGCCTGAGGACCCTTCTGGCCCTGGCCAACCTCGAAGGTGACCTTCTGGCCTTCCTTCAGGGTGCGGTAACCCGAACCCTCGATGGCGCGGAAGTGGACGAAGTAGTCCTGGCTAGCACCCTCGGCGCTGATGAAGCCATAACCCTTCTCCTCGTTGAACCACTTGCAGATACCCTGAATACGCTCGGCGTCAGACATTGTAGAAATGCTAATGTTCAGGCGTTTAGTCAGTGGATGAGCTTCAACTTGAGACTGTGGAGTCCTTACAAATTTGAATTGGTAAGTGTTTGAAAGGGCATAAGGTTGATGCTTTGGACTTTCAGGCGTGGGGTAGGAAAGTGATTTGGAGAATATTGCCCCCGCAGTAAATATAGACACGGCTAAGAATTCGTAGGGCCCAAACCCCTCGCGTAATTTTCATTATATCCACTTTGATGTCATGATTTTATTTGATCAGGATTAAAATTTTTCGGAAATTGCCCTCCTCTCTGTGATAGCCCTTCCCGGAGAATTGGACGTCTAGGGGCATGATGGCGACGAGGAAGATGGAGAACCAAGTATGTGATTGATAAGTGCACGGTCCAACAGGGACCACAGTGTGATTTGTAGATTGTTCCAAGCTTGTTTTATGCATATTCTCCACAAGTATTAAATTGTACATTCTAAATAAATCAACGCACCCCGGACCTCCATAGTCTCCTTCCCCAGAAGTAGAAGAGATAGGCCCTTCCTAGCACATGACCGAATGCTAACGGTAATCCAAATCTAAACCAGGTCAAAGGTTGGAAGAGTCTAGCTTCTGGCAATGCTATCAAGTCAACCCTTGCAATTGGAGACCTATCAATCGATTTCTCCATAAAAGCCTCCACAGCCTCCATTATGATCTTCACAGTCGCCTTCGGTTGACTCAAAAACGGGGAATGACTAGTCTGCAGCTCTCGATGCTCCACCTTCCCGCCCAGTTCCCTGGCCAGGCCAACGGTCATTCGCTGCGCTAATACCGGCAACCCCTGATCTTCAGTGGTACCGATATACCAAGAAGGCACATCCTGCCAGCCAGCATATGTATACTCCGCACCCTCGAACAAAGCTTTGAGACTTTGAGTTGTAAGTTGAGAAACCCAATACTCCGCCTCATTCTCAGGCAAATCATGATAAAAGAGCTGGCGAGGTGGAGTAACCAACTCCGCAAACCCGGTCTCGTTATTCACGCGCCACGTAGGAGGTGGATGCCCGAAGAATGGATCCATAAAAGCCATTCCACTGAGGGTGAAGCCAGAAGCTATGAGAATAATGCCGATCACGTATCCCTTTGCGGGTTGAGCTTCGTCCTGGGTGCCGCGAGTGAATCCCTTGACGGCGCTATTGCCGACCATGCCACCGTATGAATGCGCGATGACTACCACATCACGGCCGGTAGCCGTCTCGCGGGATAACACGGATTGTGCAGCGTCGAGATCATCTTTGAAAGTTGCGGCTGGGTCTCCTGCCGTTGAAGGGAGGGAGACTGCGATGCATTTGAACTTTGGTTGGAGGAGTTTGATGACCGGGTCGTAGCATGCAGGTCTATGCCAGGAGCCAGGTATGAAGACGAGAGTTGGAAGATCGGACATTTGGGTATCAATGGGTTTCAGACATTCAATGGCGACTTGAGGGACTTTCTAATATCTTCGCCATCGGATCCGATGCCTTTGCACCGGAGCCGTCGCTCAATCGGGGTTAGCGGCAACCGTGGATTGTAGGACATGATCTTGGATACTCTCAACGGAGCTGGGGTTGACTGAGGTTCTCCTGTCAGAAAATGGAGTTCAAAGGCGGAAATAGAAAGAGAGAAATATGTTATGGTCTAAAGCCAGATTTGCAAATTTGAACCTGTGAACAAAGACGAATGTTCAGGCCTTAGGCTTGGGTTAATCCCCGTAGCAGGTATTATGCAGACAGCCTAATCCAAGTCTTTCTACCAGGCTATCTGAGATATGATTAGCAAATTTGAATTCAGAATGAAGTATAGGTTTTGGATCTTTAATTCAGTATTTTGGCATGACCGATCTTCTGCCCCTCCCCATCCCTCTTGCCTACATTCTAGGGTTTGCATGTAGCTTCATGTAGATCGTTTCTTAATTCGAAGGTGGTTCGCGGATTAATAAATGCACCAATAAGCATTTGTCAGTCCAAGCGATGGGTCACTCACAGGAAGCATACATTATGCGGAGACACGGAGAACACTCCGTGTCCGATTTGGGAAATCCGGGTAGATTGAGGGGAATATTTCAGATAGCTTATTCCAAGCTCTGTTTTTTCCCCTCAGCTTCCAACTCATCTTTACTGGTTCTAATGCGCTATTGCTTTCGACAGTTGCTGTGTACGGTCGCTCTACTACCGAACTGAAACAAGATGAGGTTCACGGATGGAATGTGGCATCTGAAGGTTAGTCAATCGATTGGAAAACATACTCCGCACTCTAACATTTCCAATAGGAGGGTGTTTGCATTGAATGGATGAGCAATGTCGAGCGTCTTCGCATTGAGCAGGAGACGGTAGATCTGCTGCTAAACAAGGTGCAGCGGCATCGGGGTGACACTTTGAACTCGCGTGTGTTCTGATAGCGCACCTCGAGACATAGCAACTGGCTGATGGAGAATAGCTACGATTTCTGCGAAAGTGACTTCCCCTTCAGAAGGGATCATTGGTGTGAAGCTCGTGCATTGGTAGCCTGTCCCCGTGATATACAGTCTACGCATACATTGCTGACACAGCCCAGGGCCGGGGAAATTGACAACGGTCCGCATTACGATATAAGCTCTAGCATGGGACATGCCTCTGCCGTCCACGACAAAGAAAGTAACATACTTACCTATACTAGCGGTCCCCTCGATCTAGCCATAACCACCAGCCCCAACGAGCTAGCTTTCACCTTCCAGGACTCATCTCAGAAAAGATTAACCGGTCACTCATGGCGCTCAATTGGCTACGTCGCCGACCAACGCAGTCCAAGCTACACTCATGAAGATGGCATGTACGCCACAAAACAAGGCTACATGCTTAGCGAGCTCGACCTCGGCGTGAACGAAAAGATCTACGGTCTCGGCGAACGCTTCGGACCTCTCGTCAAGAATGGCCAAACAGTAGACATCTGGAATGAAGATGGTGGTACCAGTTCCGAACTCGCGTACAAGAATATACCCTTCTACATGTCCTCCAGAGGCTATGGCGTCTTCGTCAACCATCCGGGAAAAGTGAGCTTGGAAGTTCAATCCGAGCGGACAACAAGAGTGAATATTTCGGTTCCGGGCGAGGAGATTGAGTATTTTGTGATTTATGGGCCTACGCCGAAGGATGTTCTTCGACGGTACACGGCACTTACGGGACAACCGGGGCTAGTGCCGGCATGGAGTTATAATTTGTGGTTGACTACGAGTTTTACGACGAATTATGATGAGCGGACTGTGAGTGGCTTTTTGGATGGATTCGAAGAAAGGGGGATTCCACTCGGAGTTTTCCACTTTGATTGTTTCTGGATGAAGAGTTACCAGTGGTGCGATTTCGAGTTTGATGAGGAGATGTTTCCAGATGCCGGGGGCTATTTGGCTAGATTGAAGGAGAGGGGGTTGAGAACTAGCGTGTGGATTAATCCTTACGTGGGACAGGCTTCGCCTCTTTTTGAGGAAGGGAAAACGAAAGGCTTCTTTATCAAGGTATGTTTCTATTCTGGGCTCGAGATTCTAGGGATGATACTGATAACCCATAGCGTGTCGATGGCTCGGTCTGGCAATGGGATCTTTGGCAGGCTGGAATGGCCGTTGTCGATTTTACCAACCCAGCAGCTTGTGGCTGGTACAGCAGTCATTTGAAACGACTGATGGAGATGGGCGTCGACAGCTTCAAAACGGACTTTGCAGAGCGGATCCCAGTCAAGGGAATCAAATACCATGACAACTCCTCTCCGGCGCGAATGCACAACTACTACGCCCTTCTGTACAACCGCATCGTTTACAACACGCTCAGCGAAAAAGTTGGCCCAGCTCAAGGGCTTCTCTTCGCGCGCAGTACAGCACCAGGGGGGACAGAAATACCCAGTCCACTGGGGCGGCGACTGCGAAAGTACCTTCGAAGCCATGGCGGAGTCCCTTCGCGGCGGTCTCAGTCTCAGTCTTAGCGGATACATCTTCTGGGCCTCCGATATTGGTGGATTCGAGGGAACGCCGCCACCGGCGTTGTATAAACGTTGGGTGCAATTCGGACTGCTATCGACACATTCGCGTCTGCACGGATCGTCCTCGTTCCGGGTGCCGTGGATCTATGGCGAGGATTGTTCGGCTGTTTTGCGAGATTGTGTTCGACGTAAGATCCTGCTGACGCCGTATATCCTGCAAGAGGCGTGGAGGGGGCACAGAGATGGAACGCCCTTGATGAGAGCGATGTTTTTGGAGTTTCCGGAGGATCTGAATACTTATGCGATAGATACGCAGTATATGTTTGGGTCGAATCTGTTGGTTGCTCCTGTATTTGATAACGAGGAGGTCACTTTCTATGTGCCGAGGTCTGAGGGTGATGGGGCTGGGAAGTGGGTTTCATGGTTCGATCATAGCAAGACTTATGAGTCTGGCCAGTGGTATACGGAGACTCATGGGTTTGATACTTTGCCGCTCTTGATTCGGCCTGCTTCGGTGACGGTGGTCAATCCCAAGTTGAAGGTGCCGGAAGGTGATGCGCTTTCGGGCATTCAGTTGCTGGTCAATGGCACTTTACGTGGGGAAACTACGGTGGAAATTGTGAATCCAGGTCAGACGAACGAGGTGCTCAAGACGCTGAAGGTCTCCCTTACAAATGGGAAAGTGCATTGCGAGGATCATTCAGTCGAGATCGTCTCTATTGGGTGATGGAAGTTTTAGAAAAATCAAAGGCCATTGTGAAGTCTATCAAATTGATGTAAGATGTGAGCGCTATCAGAGATGCGACTTGAACAAAGATTGGGTATCATAATAATAATAAAAAAAAAAAGGCACTGCACTAATGCAGAGAAGAAAAAAAAGTACATGTTAGGAGAGCCAACCCCGTTTGCCCCGAGCAGCTAAATGGTGACATATTAAAAGATCGAATGAACAGTCGAATAAAAATGAAGCTTGGATCATGTTGTATGCATCGAATGAATGGGTCACCAAGCTTCTTCAACATCGAGAAGCCATTTCCGGATGCCTTCACGCAGAGTGTTGTCAGCGCCGGCCATAGCTCTCCTCCGCTCTCGGTCAGCGACACCAAGCTCGCTGTCAACATCATCGCGGCAATGTTCTGCGGTGACGAGGCGGACAACCTCTTCCAAGGCACCAAGTACCATTTTGCGGCACTCACCGCGAGGAACCTCAACTGTGGGCATTTCTTCGCCACGGGGCGTAGTTTGGCCCTTATCTTCCCCACGACGCGCACGGGTGGGAGAGGGAGCACGCGAATGTGCAAGAGACGAATAGCCACTCTGACCGAGGACTCGCTCAACCGCATCGACTAGGATCCCATCAAGGTCCATGACCGGCTCCTCGATGAACCGCTCTTCTACAAAATTCGAATCATGACCGTCAGTGGTCCCATCAGGAAGCTTTCCTGACCCAAAGAAGCCTGAAAACTGGGAGGTAGACCGCGTATGGCTGGAATTAAGGGCACTGGCTGGCGAAGGGGGAGTGTGATTCGCTCCAAACCCATGGTGACCCACAACAATCTTACGTCTCAACCGAAGACGCTTGACAGATGAACTGCGAGTATCTGCGATTAATGTCGTCGCAACATCCACCCATTTCTCAGACCCTTCCGCGTCAGGTGTAGCGGGAATGTAAGGGGAAGGCTCTGCTCGCATCGCGCGTTTGATATCCGCTTCAAGGGCAGCGTAGGGTCGAACTGCTTGCACGGAAAAATCTTCATGGAAGAGTTTCAGCCAACCAGCTACGTGTGTGCTGGGGCCATCATGGTCTTTCATCGCACCATGGAAGCCAGAACCACTACTGTGCGTCGATGCGACTGCATCTACACTGGTCACTGACGTTCGGGTCTTTCTGGGCGAAGCAATGGTTGACTCTCCTGAGGAAGAAAGTGAGAGAAAACCAGGAAGTGGAATGTCAACATCCACCACACCTTCTTCTTCCCGAACAGACAGCTTGAGAGGAGATTCACGGACTTGACTCGTAAGCGATGATGGCTCAGCTGAGTCATCCTCGGAACTGTGAGGTGCCGCAGATGCCGTTGGGATTGAAATATTACCACTGGGTGTGGTCTCCATGCAATGTTCTGCTTCATCCTCGGTGACTTCTCTGACCATCTGACTTAGGGTAGGTGCACCACGTGTGGGCGGGCCAGCCATGGTAGACACAGACCGCTTGCGGGCTGCAGCAGACGCGGAACACATATCACTGCTATCAGTGGATGAATCCTGTCTCGAACTCCAAAGACCGGAGAAAAGGCCACCCCACCGGCCTCCCGCAGATGGAACACTGCCATTCGAACTCAACACTGAACTTTCACTTCTCTGCAAACTCTTCAGCAAGGTCTCAGATGCCAGGCTTTCATTAGCATTGATCGCATTGCGCTCCGAGCCTCCCTGGTCAGAACTAGACTGCTGCGATGTGAAATGGGGGACGGGGACTGTGCTACTTTGAGTCGTCATCGAAGTGGTGGCACCACTCGTGTTCTGAGCGCGCAGGTCTTTGGTTTGAATTGCCGGTCCAAGCGTTCTAATAGAGCGAGCATCCGATCCCCGGCGAGCGGAGATTGGCTGAGACGTAACGGGGTTATCGGTGCCCTCGAATGACCGTTGAGCCGCGTCCTGGGACGAAAGACTCATTGAGCGACGGTGATGTTCATATTCCCCAGTATTCATTCTTTGGGCACGCGACCGCCGTTCAATTGCTCTTCGAAGGGATTCCTGTCGGAGGACAGGCACAGCTGGAGGGCTCTGAGAGATAGCCCGCAACGAAGCCGACGTACCAGGCCTAAGCGGGGAGGGAAGAGGCTCCAGACGCTGTTTGGAAGGAAGGAATGCAGAAAGCAAGAAAATCAACCTACGAGCGGTCATCTTATCAGGACAGACAACAACAGTCCTGTGGGTCAGAATAGGATCTGAGTCTTGCTGGGCCTTTTGCTGTTGATTATGTCGACGACGGTACCACTCTGGACCCAGAGCATTCAACCACTCGGTATGGTTACCCAGAAATGCCGTCAGCAACACGAGAAAAAAGAAATTCTGCTCTTTATCTCCGAGGCCACGAACAATCGATCGTCCTTCCTCCCGCCATACGCCCCACCGACTCTGTCCAGTCACGACATATGGAGTCTGAAGAGCCAAGCTAATTCTGCGGGTGCTGCGAAGCGCTTCTTCCTTCAGTTTAGAGTTCACAGACAAGATGTTGGCGGGGAGGTGCACAATGGTCTGATTTGTTCGCTGCATGTTGGGCGGCTTGGCGGGCTTCGGGTGGGGTCCGGATAAAGAGTCCACCTTTCTGAGGAGGAAAAGAATCTCATTCCGAGCCAGTCTTTCCAAGTGAGATAGAGTTCGGGTTATAACATCCCAGTGGTCAACCAATAGGTCCAGCCGCTCGTCTAGACTCGCTGGAGGGGATGCCGACGATAGGCTATCATCGAACAGTGCCCGGACCATCGGTAGTCCGAGTCCAGCGAGCTAGATAGCCCTGCTCTAGGAGCGTCTGGGCCCAGTGTACTGAATCTTGACACGGGTCGAGGGGCATTGCGTGCCAGCAATGGAATCTGGATAGTAATCGCAACAGCGTACATCGGAGTTTTCTTCTCTTTGATCTTCTTCCGCTGTTTAGCCACATCTGGGAAGGGGAAACCCATGTCGGGTAAAGATTCTTGGTAGAGAGAAGTAGCGTAGTCTTGTCTCTCAGCCGACGCTTCGGCACCTTCAGGAAGGTTGACACTAAACATGCGAGTCACAAGCACCGTTACTTTTGATGGTGGCTTGGAATCCGATTCTCGACCTGTCCCTATAAGGCCCGAGCTCCCGGTAGTGTAGGCCCGAGCCAGTGGGCTGCGGGCAGCGGGGGACATACTGACCACCGCTGAAGGGTCATCATCGGCAGATATAATGTGCATCTTGGTAGACGAGCCACGGTAGCTGAAGGCACTACTGCCGAAGATACAATTGAGAAGACCCGTGTCATTAGAATCGGACGCATGCCGGGATTGGCCGGATTCATGCCATGTTCCAGATGGTGCGAGAGTGGAGCTGCGACCTCGAGCCCGAGAGAAGGCACCGGGGCTTGCAGGTGTCGACCGGCGTGCATCGGCAGCTGCAGAGAGGGGACTGGATTCGACTACCGAGGATTGGGTCAAGAGATTCCGACGAGTGCCACGCGAGAGACTGGATACGGCACGAGCATGTCTCGGGCCCGATTGCTCCCCGTGCGAATCAATTCCAAGGCCTGTCGCAGGAGAATCTGAAGACGCACGGGTGTCGATCAGAACACATGCATCACGATCTCCTAGGGCATTCTGAGCCACAATGACTCGGAAATCCTTCAGTGAATCCAGTTCCATTCCCCCGCGGTCATCATAAGCCCCTGCAGTAGAGGCATTCGGGGAGTGGAATGTTGTTTGTAGTGGGTAGGCATGGGCATTGGATCGGCGGAGGAGGCTGGCATCAGGGAAGAGAAGCCCGGAGGTGTGTTCTTCCTCAGTCACGGATTCGAGAGGGGTGCCGTGGTTCCGAGAAGAGTATGCTGCCGGGTTCAGGCTCGAGGCGGCGGTGCTCAAGAGTCTACCCAACATTGTGAGGGACCTCAGGTTGTTCCCGTTGTTGGAGAGGTGCTCAGGAGTAGCAAAGGTGTAGGCAAAAAGTAATTGATCAATTCAAGGACTGAGATCTCGAGGTGGGTAGCAGACAGCTAGACAGGACTAGGCTGCATCTACCCATTGCTTAATTCCACCGGACAGGAACCATCATTTGGCTTGGAGGGGGCAAATTCGTGATCGAGGGGCTGGAAAGTGGGATGTGCAGCACTTGGTGGGGAATGAAGACGACAATTGGAAGTTCAGCGGAGTCAACCCCACAGGAATGGAAGAACAAAAAAGAAGAATGTTGAAGAAGAGCAGTGGGGAGTGGGATGAGTAAAGGGTGGAGAGAGGAAAGGGCGGTGAAGAAGAACAACGAGACAGCAGCACGAGGACACATGATCTCAGCCTCAGATGTGACCTTTAGACTTGACTCTTCTGAATTAACGTCTTTACGGCTTCTGACTGGTTGAAATGGGAATTTATATGCATCATATCATAGTACTTGTTACACCGAACTGACCCCATCAAGCTCATGCTCATGCTCATGCTCATGCCTTCGACTGGCGCTTGACCTTGTCCACCAACCGCTTGAGATCTTCGCTTCCGGCCTCTTTAGATGCCTTCTTCTGCTTCTTATTGCGATCCCGGGTTTCAGGTTTGACCTCGGTTTCACCGTCATCACGGGTGCGTCGGCGCTTACGGCCCTCATCGAGCAGGGCCTTCATGCCGGAAGTCGCCTTAAACCGGGGGTTGGTCGGATCAATGGCAAACTCGTGGCTTTCGTACAGTCGGGAGAAACGGGGATCAGCAACGTTCACGTTGAAGTCATCTGTAGCAACAGGCTCCTTGTTCTTTCCCTTGCCCTTGCCCTTGCCCTTGCCTTTCTTTTTGGCCTGTTTTTCGGCCTTTTCGATCTCGTTCATGTCGAAGTGCTTGATGTCAGCCTTCTTGTCATCGACCATCAGGAGTTCAAGCTCAGCACGCTGAGCAGCAGAGGCAGCTTCTTCAGCGGCACGCTCCTCTCGCTTCTTGCGCTTCTCCTCCTTGCGACGGGCGGCTGAGGTGGCTCTGCCATCGAAATCTTCGGCGAAGAAGGGATCATTAAAGCCCAGATCTGCCTCTGCGTCTTGTGGCGCCTCGGTAGCAGCGGCTGTTTCATTTTGACTCTCAGCATTCTCGCCCTCGGCAGAGGGATCCTCATTCTTGGCCTTGAGCTTCTCTTTACGGCGCTTTTTGCGCTCGCGCTCCTTTCGCACGTACTTGTCGACCGTGCTCTCTTCAATTTCTGGCTCGTTCTCGAAGATGCTATCTTTGCCGTGACCTCCAGCAAGTCCAGATGTAAACGTGACTTCCATCTCGCCAACGGGGCCAGCGGACTTGGAAGAGCGAGTAGGCTCTGTACTTAGGCCAAGCAATGCTCGCATGCGCTGTCTCTCGGCCTCTCGCTTCGAAAGATTGCTGGTGGTACCCTCGCCAGCATCTACCACTTCCACGCCTCCATCCTCCTCGTCCTCGCTGTCGGAGCTGTCGCTTCCGAGGTATGCTTTCAAGTCGTTCTCGTCGATATCTTTCCGCGAGCCACGGAAAGCCCGAGCCTGGGCCTCCTTGCGCGACTTATCATCCGCATCCCATGTCAACTTGACTTTACTGTGTTGAAGAGCATCTGTCACAAACTCGTTGGGCTTGTAACCGTCGGGAATTCGGGTGCATTCGTCTCGGGGCTTGTCGTCATCGAAATCGGTCTCGTCAGGCACGAAACGAAGGTCGAAGAAGTTGGCGCTAGACAAATACTCCGCACCATCCACAAGATCGTAGACGTGCTTGGCAGCGTCCTTTGAGGAGAATGTGAGGATAGCGTAGTAGTAGCGCAGGCGTTCAAGCTGGTACTTGCGCAGTTTTGTAGAGTTGAACTCCTCTCCAGAATCGCCCTTCAACATAGACTTCTTGATTTGCTCCTCCTCCTCTTCTGAATCAAGCTCCTCATCTTCATCCTCGGCATCATCCTGCTTCGACGATGCAAAGATCTCTTTCGGGGGACCTTCAATCTCCTCCCGTTCCATACGCTCCTTTCCAAACTCACTGGGGTAGACTGCAACTTTCATGACACGGCCTCCGGTAGGAAGGAAGCTAGAAAAGACGGCCATGAGATCTGTAGCACGGATGTTGTCCCAATCAAGGTTGACGACAGCTATCCGGTTTGAGACCTCGCCCAGAGGCACGTCGACCTGCTGCTTATCTGGGAATTCGAGCTCTTCTTCCTCTTCTTCAGCTACCTCATCTTCCTCTTCCTCACTGGAGCTTTCCTCCTCTGACGAAGACTCGGAGAAACCACCGTCACGGGCTGGATCAAAGGAACGACCCTCGACCCGCTTCAACTCCTTTTCTATTTCTTCATCGTCGGCAATGCTGACTTTGTCTTTGTCTTCAGCTTCCTCATCCTCATCCTCATCAATCTGGTAGAACTTCTTGAGCTGCTTCTTGGTATCATCACGAGCGAGCTTGCGGCCGTATCTGTCTACAGCGGCATTGCGGGAGAAGTCCTTGTCGTCGAGCATATGCTGGAAACGCTTGTCGAGCTTGACGTGGGTCTGGCGCTTGCTGGGAAGGCGATAGCGCGGGTCACTCTGAATATTGGCAAAACGGGGATCGGCTGATGGACGCGACAGTCAGTAATCAGGAAACCTCCCACCACGACTGAATGTCAAGCAATTCTCTGTACTCACTGATCACCGGCGCGGCTTCGCCTCTGGCTCCGCCGGCCTTCCTGGACTTTTTCTTGTCCTGACCTGCCATCGTGGTCTCCGGACACCAAAATTTCAGATTCAAAGGGGACCAGAGAGCACAAAGTCGGAATTTAGAGGTCAAAAACCGATCGTGAAATGAATAGAACACGGCGCTTGGCCTCGACCACGGACAAATTTCTTTTTTTCTGCCGACGTTATGAGGCGGTAACATGGCACGTGCCAGCTTCCCAAAAAGGTAATTACCCGCCTACGGAGCTGGGAGCTTCGTCAATGGGCATATTCCGTATGACTATGAGCTGGATGATATATGTGAGAGAAGAGGATAAATTTTTCGTATGTTCATCTTCGGCGTGTATTCGCAGCAAAACCATGCAGATAAATGCGTTATGTACGTGAGAGTATATCAAGCTACGGAATGCACATTAGCACCCAAAGTATCGCTTCTCCATCCAACGAGGCTCGAGGTCCGCCTCAATGCGCCCGACAACAACATTGATCTTGGGGAAGACGGCAGTCAATCGCTTGAGGCCCGTCTCTCCTGCGGCGCAGGTTACGAAAACAATTCTCTCTTCTTGCACGCCGTGGTCAATCAAGACGCGCACAGCCATCAATGCAGCTCCTCCGCTGGACATCTGGACATCGAGAAGCATAACCGTAGAGTGTGCCTCGATCCCTTGTGGTAGCTTCAGGTAGTGCAGCTCCGGTTCGGAGCTGTTCTCGTCCGTCTGGATTAGGACTCGGCCAGTGATGCAATCGGGTATGGTTCGCTTGAGTGCCGTCTCCAAGCACGAACCCCCACGCAGAATAGCAACAGCCGAAACGGTTCCCTCGGGCTTGAGACCCATATATTTGTGTCCTTGGGGTGTCTTTATGTTGGTCGAGGTATATGGCGTCATGTCCAAGGCCCTGGGAAATGTAAGCCTGGAAACAGAACCAACGGGGAGTTGATACCATACTTTTTGATTAAAATAGAGGCCAGTCTATCAAAGTAAAAGACAAAGTCCACCTCTTCAGTTTCGGGGCTCTGCAAGATGGTGTTCATTCCTTGGAACTGAGGTGTCGCGGGTAGGACATGCACATTTTCGGGCAGGTCCACTTTGGCTGCGATCAAACCAAGATTTCGGAGAGCTTCAGTGTGCTTTTCAGATTTTTCTTGGAGCTTACGCTGGACGTGCTTGACCACCATATCTGAATTTGTCAGTAGAGGCAGAGCAAAAGTCGTTAAAGGTATTTACCGATGGCTGTTGTGTTCTCAATGCCACGAGGGATGATAATGTCTAATACAGCCATTAGATTGTGAATCGCAAATGTCAGAAATTCGGAACTGACCAGAGATGCCTCGCTGAGGTTCCACATATTTAGTGCACGACGGCTTAACAAACTTAAACCACTGTTTGATGATACCATCAACGTCTCGGCCTCGCTCACGGACATCGCGAAGAACTTAACATGCGGCGTCAGAAAAGGCAACGTGGACGAAACAATAAGAATCACGCACCTCTGCGGCCTAGGCAGACATCCATATCGGCTTCAACAAAGATCTGGACGGTTCATTAGTGCTATTCAAAGGCTGCAGGCCAGTGGAAGTGTCTTTACCTTGACATCGAGCATTTCATTAATTCTAGGGTCATGAAGTGCAAGGATACCCTCCAAGATCAGTACACGGGGCGAGTATAGCGTAGTCGTCTGGGGTTGACGCTGGTGATCGGCGAACGAGTAAACTGGAATATGGGCTTTCTTCCTTGTAGCCAAGTCCGGTCAGATCAATTACAAGGCACAGCGCGATGATTGGAAAACTACCCTTGCTTCAGATCTTTGAGGGTATTGACCAGAAGATCAAAATCAATGGAATCCGGGCAGTCGAAGTCATATTCATTTGCATGCGCCATACGATGCTCCTCGGGAGTCAGAGTCTTATAGAATGAGTCCTGCCCGCCAACATGTTAGAACCTGACACCATGTCTGGAGGTAATTCGCATCATACCATGACGAGAATGACGACCCAAGGTAGGTTCAACGACTTGACGATCTCCATGGCCACAGAGGTCTTTCCAGACCCGGAACTGCCAGCGATTCCGATAATGCTCAGGTCCTGCCATGGTGGAGAGTACTTGACCTCCGTGGAGAGAGCGTAAAAAGGAGAAATCGACTCCATGTCCACGTTGTTCGTCTCACACCATCGAGGACCAGAGAGAAGGCAGAAGAAGGCAAAGCGGTACTTCGTTTATCGTTTATCGTGTTATCGCATCTCAGACGACCGATTCAGGCTTAGCGCGTGGCCGGTTCGCTTGCGGCTGACATAATCGCTTAAGTCATAAAGCTTTTCTTCCCGGAAGCTTTGCTCTTCTTCCCTCCTCTACTTCAGGGCTTTCCTCTCCTCCACGTCCCTGCCTTTTCCCATGGCTGTTGACTTCCGAGTCGCCCTTCAGTTTTACGGCTAGTGGCTTTTCTACCATGGCTGCTAATCTTGTATGACATTCTCGGCGTGTGCAATTCACCCGTGGTGCTCTTTTTAACTCTGCACAGATGTCGCGCACTTCCTCGACGACCACGCCGACATGGCATCAGTTCGAGCGGAAGGTCGAAGAGGTCAAGCCATCCAAGACGTGAGTTGTCTCTCTTCCACTCTACCTTCTTCACCCCCGCCCCCCTCACGGCGGCTTCACTGGCCGTCTGTGATATGATGCACCTTGAACTCAAGTTGGGAATCTCTCTGAAAAATGCTGAGGAGAACACAATATGACTTGTCTATCTGATCCACATCCAATCATCACATCGATGCCGTTTGAATTGTTGTTTGTGACATCCGCTAATGTCAAGATTCAGTGATGTCAATTACTTGGTCATGGACTACCTTATCACAAATGGCTACCCTGCTGCTGCAAACAAGTTCGCGGCTGAGGCCAACATCCAACTTCGGACAGATCTTGACGCCATACAGGAGCGGGTTGATATTCGGACTGCAATTCACTCAGGAAATATTCAGTCGGCGATTGAGAAGATCAACGAGTTGAACCCTCAGGTAAGAATCAACTTTTTTTTTTCACACCAACCCACCCCTCCCACTCTTGCTTTTATGATTATATTCGTTTCATGCACCACTCCTACATACCCTACGGGGAGTTGCGGAAAAACACTCATCTTCAGTCCTCAGTATGATTAGCAAACATACATTCATCTTGCAGCATCACAAAACTTTTGTCTGAATGACGCTAACGCAATTTGTCAGATTCTGGATGAAGACCCGTCTCTGCACTTCGCACTCCTGCGCTTGCAGCTGGTAGAACTAATCCGCGCTTGCACGTCCAGTCCCGACGGCGACATCAGTCCAGCCCTCGAGTTCGCGACGGCGCAGCTAGCCCCTCGCGCTCCAACCAATCCACAGTTCTTGGAGGACCTAGAGCGGACTCTGGCACTGCTCATTTTCCCTAATGACAACCTTACTCCGTCTCTGGCCGCCCTCTTGGACCCTGGTCTCCGTAAAGAAATTGCGACGCAAGTGAACGAGGCAATCCTGCAAAACCAGGGCGCACGTAAAGAGGCGCGCCTGCGAAACCTCGTTAAGCTGCGCGCGTTTGCAGAGAATAAGGCCCGTGAAGCTAAGAGGGACATTCCCGAGAAGCTGGACATCGGCCTCGTCGGCGATTCTCACAGCGGCAGCCAAAGTAGTAACACTAACGACCCCAACAATGATTCCAGCCATAATGGCACCGACACAGTCATGGCCAACAACGGTGACCTAGACAACATGATCTCGTGAATGTCTTCGTCTCAGGCTTTTGTGCATGCTGTTGTCGGGTGCCGAGTGATTGTGCGCTGACAGCCTTTCCTCCATTTCTCTTCATTTAATAGCAAGGCGCTTCGGGGCACGGTTTGTCTTTTCGGTGTCCGGCGAATGTTTCTGTGGTCCTGGATCAATTCTTTGATACAATACAATTCAATATTTCTGTGGACTAATGCGTCTACTCTGTCCTTAGGGATAATTTACTTTGCCGTAATTGAAGTTCTGCTAGCTCCATCCCAGATGAGTTGCTTACTCGACAAGTACCCACATGCAGGCCGAGTCCTTGTCTACTTCAAGATTCACTTTCCGTCAAAGTGCTCCGGGGCTCATCCCTTCCCCGTGTATCCCTGTAGAAAATGGGGCCTTCACCGTGGAACAAGTCGACATATAGTCAGAGCTCACAAGCACCAGAGAACCTGAAAAACAAAAAAGTATGAGTTGTACTCTATGGCCATGAATGTAACCAACTTCGATTCTATTTATTCAAGCTCACATGACATCGATGCCGGAAATACATCACTGATACCAAATGAGTGCGAATATTTGAGTGCCAGCGGAGCATATCGTTAAGTGTGTTGATCCTGCAGTGCTAAGACTCTAGACTCAGAAATTCGACCACCAGGTAAAAATAAAAATAAAGAGTCAGACTAACATAGGCGTGTGTCAGCAGATCCCGACACGTTGATGACCGCGAAGTCCAAGATAGCGGAAGCCCAACCGGTTAAGCGTGAAAGTTCAATACGTAGAGATACCAAGTCCTCGAGTACTTTATAAAAGATACAAGATTTATGCAAGTCAAATAATGCATGCCTGCAGACAGGAGTAAAAGGAAAGCAGAAAAACAGGTGTACATGCCGGACTCAATCCATGCAAAGACCGAAGAAGTTAGGAACAAATAATGGTGTATGAAAGGCTCTTGAACCAGCAAACAATAAGAACACCAAATGACCTGTGCTCAATCGACATGGTCAAATATTCTAGGTCAAAATTTTACCAAACAGGTTCGTGAGGATAGTCAATGACGCTTAGAAGCTCATCAGATCTGCAAGAATATGTTAGATCAAGTAGAATAATGATGTTAGAGAGAAAGAAAAACTCACCTCTTCCGAAAAGAGCACGTTTGGCCCAATCCATGGCCAGCATACACCGAGTACGGAAGCTAACACTCTCGGCGAAGTAGATACTACGCCAGAGATACATAGCAATAACACCACCGCTGAAGCTCATACCTCCAAAGTCAAAGATAGCAGCGTTGCTGATGTATGCTAAGCTACCAAGGTGCTTGTATTTGAAGGCCTTGTAAACAGCGTCGTCCAGGTCACCGTAGTCGATCTCGTTGGCCTTGAGACCAGGCAGAGCAGCCGCAATCTTGGTCAGCTTACGGCCCAGATACTGACCCTGTTGGTTAGCGCGTTGGGCAGTGGCAGGAAGTGAGGTGAGCTTAGTGTCAATCTGGTGGAGGAGCTCGGACAGTTCACCGTAGTCGAGAGTACCGGAATGATCCTTGTCGTACTGCATAAAGAGGAGATCAAGGCGGCGAAGATGGTTGGAGGCTTGGGGGAAGCGCTTCTTCACACGGTTGGCAACGTCGCGCCATTCAGAAAAGGTCAGGTGCACCTTTTCGGGGTCTTGGCCCTTCTCCCAAGCGATCGTACGGAGGAATTTGATGACATTTGCAGCGATATTATTCTGCACTGTCGAGCAGTCACCGATGGCATAGACATCACCCAGGGGTGCGCCAATTACGCGCAGGTGGGAATCGGTCTCCAATGCGTGCTTGTTGCGTTGTCCTTCCAATTTTTCACAAAGCTTATCGCAGATCTCGGCTCGTGCTAGATGAAGGTCAGTTGAAACCATCGTCTAACGGTAGATGCAGAAGTCTCGTACCAACTCCAGTGGACCAGAGGCAGAATCCTGTAGGAACCTCCTTGACAACCTCTTCACCGTTTTCCACCTGGCTGAAGAGAACGCGGTCCTTCTTCACTTCCTTCACGCGGGCATTTGTCAAAACCTCGATACCATCACGAGTGAAGCGACTCTCGGCGTATTGAGAAAGGGCTTCGTCATAAGTGTTCAAGATGTGAGTCCGGCTCTGAATGATGTGGACGGAGATCTCATTCCGAACAATCTTGGGGAATGAATACAGGAGGTCCTCGTTGAGTAGATCGAACAACTCGGCGGCGAATTCAACACCCGTGGGGCCACCACCGCAGACGACGAATGAGAGCAAGCGTTTACGCTCCTCGTCAGTGGTAGTGGGAAGACAGGCGAGTTCCATGTTATCCAAGACCTTGTTCTTGATCTCTCGAGCGTCGTCAATCGTCTTCAAGAAGTTGCAGTGCTCAAGGCCTTTGACACCATGCGGGTTTGTCACGCAACCTACAAATCAAGCATGTTAGCCTGTCGTCTTCGTACTTGCAAGTGAAGCTTCTATGAAGCTATCGAACCCAACTTACCAACACCCACAACGAGCTTATCATAAGGGAGATAGAAATTCTGCCGAACACCGTCATTGTCCACTTGGGAAACCTCAACGAGCTTCTCCGAGAAGTCAACATCGGTCGCCGAAGCCTTCAAGAAATGGCCATCAACACGCTCAATAATCCGGCGAATAGGCTCAACCAAAGACTTCAGACCTAGTGTACCAACAGTAGCAGAAGGCAACATAGGCGTGAACAAGAAGTAATTGGTCGGCGAAACAACAGTGACATGATAATCACCCGGGTTGAGATTCTTCAGGAGTGCAACACTGCCCCAGCCGGTACCCAGAATGACCAGACGTGGTTTGTCCTTCTGCTCGAGCATCGCCTCCGAGTCATAATCGCTCACAAGGACATCTGCAATGGGCAGATTCTTCGGCCCACCTCGACGCGGGTTCAATGCCAACTCAGAAACAGGGAGGTCTCCTGACGTGCGGAGTTCCCGGTAGGTACTGGCATCGTAGATGAAGAAAGCGACGACAACAATACCGGTACCGATAACGAAAAAGCCACAGGAAGCAAATATCTTATACATAATATTCCAGGCTCTAGAATGACGAGCCGGCGCGGCCTTGGCAGCAGTGGTGATATCGGACTTGAACCGGATCGGACTGGATGCATTGAGAGTAGGGCCGAAGGGTCGCCGTTGCAGGAGTCGTGTCTTGCTATGCAGGGCGCGTGAAATAGGAGACCTTGCTGTCGAAAAGGCCTTTAATTCCAATCTCGTCGACAGCAAAGCAATTGACTGTAGCGCGGGGCCGCCCGGACGACCCCGGAGCAGCGCTGCGCTCATGATGAGTAGACGGGTGGAGGAGAGCTCGAGAGAAGATGAGTGCCAAGAATGACGATTCAGGTCATAGCCCGCCGCTATGCCAGCACAAGAGGATGTATTGAGAAAGTAATTGGAACAACGAGAGTATAGCTCAGCAATGTCTTGGGGAAAGGAAGCTGCGACTCAGGAAACAAATGCGCTGGACGACTACTACGTCATCCGAGGTCACGTGTTGCCAGCGTGGTACCGGGAAGTCGGCACATCCAAGCAAATTTACGTACTTGAGTGGTTCGGTGTAGAAATACCAAAAATCACTAGCTCAGAATGTCTTTCTATTGCATATATACTCATATTATAAGATAATGGAGCTAGAGTACCCGAGCCTAGCTTTAAGCAAATGAATCCACTTCCTTGTCTTGCGCCGCCGCATGCATATCGAAGTTAAGTGAACAATGTATCCCAGGTCCTTTAGAAACATGAAAAAAAAGAACCGAACCCATAAATACCCAAAGAATAAAAATAACGCCTTCATCGGATATGCAGGATAGAGTGAATAAGCAGGAATCAAGAATAGCAAACGGGATGTCTTAAGTCGAATCGTCTTTCCGGCAATCGGCAATCAATCCCAGCTATCCGGTTCGGCACTTAGCTTCTTACCGACGGAGCCTTTCCGACTCTTCGGCCGTTTGTTGAGCCCGGTACCCGAGAAGGAACTCTTGCGTTTCATAGGACGTGATCCACCAAGGTTGGTCATATCATCAAGATCACCAGGTGCGTCGAGATCACCATCCGCGTCGTCGTGGCGGTCCACTCTGAGCTCTTCATCGATTGCCAGCAAAGTGGAGAACTCGCGACACTTGCTCAGCATAGCTTCCTCGCTGTTCAGGGAAGCCATGTTTTTGATAATAGCTTCCCAAAACTTGTCTCCTGTCACACCATGCACCTTGGTCGCAGTCTTGTTCAGCTCTTTGGTGGCAGGCTTACTGTCTTTGTCCTTTGTGTGAGAATGAATAGAGTACAGACGGCGTAGATAGGTCCGTGCTTCCCAGATCATTGACAGGGATGCCGCAGCCGTAGCCAATCGCCGGAGAGTGAGCGGGTCAACTTGCTGATGGGTGCTTGGCGGCAATGGCATTTGCATCTGCATCATTTGCATTTGCAGATCCGGAGGAAGCCCAACCATACCAGCAGGGGTGTCAATCACTGGCGGTCCGATGGGAGTAGGGAACAGATCGGTGTCGATGGCATGAGCGATGACGGTACCGGTAGATGACACAATGCGTTCCATGACAGCAATGGTGGGCACCACTTCAGCAAGCTGTCCATAATCGAAAAAGGCCAGGTTCTGAGAGATGAAGCGAGCCAGCAAAAGGTGTTCGGGAGGATCTCCTTCCACGACGAGTTTCTTAAGATCAAAATTGACCTTGGAACAGAGATTGGATAGGAACTTCTTCTGATAACGGCTGTTACTGATCTTGACGATTTCGAACAACGGAGCCAGCTTCGAGACGTAAGGTCGAGCGGTCGCACCATTCGAGTCGCCCACAACATCACGTTGATAGTAGAAGGCCTCCTGTACCGACCGCATGTACTCTCTCTCAAACATTGATTCGTACTGCTGGTGGAGCTGCTTGTGAGTGTCGAAGGCAATCTTGGAAATTGCTGGCACCGTCGATGTCTCCAAAGACACAAGAACGCCGGCACATTCCTTGGGATGCACCAACCCTTGTCGATTGATACTTGCAATAAGCTCAATGGCAGTAAGCGAATAGGCATCCTGTCGCGACTGTGCCACTTGAACCATGTTCTTGAGGAAGTGTTGGGCGATTAACGCCGCTGCGCCATCATTATCACTAGCTTTCAGTGAACCTCCTAATCTGGTCGATTCTTCCTGTGATTCTGCCTTCGAGATTTGCATGTTCTTTTCAGATTTGCCCTCGTGCATGGCAAAGAAGTCTGAGAATGAACGAAGGACGATGTTATGCAGTGTTGGAGCGTCTTCCTTGAAAACTTGAGAAAAGGTCTTACGGGCAGGTTCGCGTCCAAACTGGGCTGGCCAAGACTGGCAAATGGCTCCCAGGCTTTCAAGAGCCATGACCCTTAAATCCGTAGGCTGATTAGAATATGTGAACGGCAGGATTGAGTCCACCATGAGATCAGCCACGCTCTTGCCGCCCGATGTGGGGAATTGGGCCTTGAAGTGATTGGCATAGCTTTCAAGGTCGCAGTGACGACCAACGCAGCCCGCAATACGAATATAGCTTTTGGCTCGATTCGCGACTTGGGCGTTCGTCTCTGCTGAAAGATCAACGCTCTTGTATTGTAGCAAAGGCTTGAGCACGGAAACTGTCAGTTTGACCAATCTGTCGGTGTTTTTCAACACGCCGTTTATTGTCCACAAACAAGCCATCACTTCGTTGAGCTCTGAACGAGCTAGCTTGGCAACGCTCTTGAAAAGGTCATTCTGTACCTCCTTGAGCAGAGTGTTGTGCGAAGAAGAAATCTCTGGCAAGACGCAGCGGTAGATCACCACGACGGATCGGAAGATAAAAAGATCATCTGCGGTAGCAAGGTTGCCGATGTACGGGTGTAGAGCCTCCAACTGATCTGGTGTGAACAACTTCGCATCCGACCTTGCGAACACGGTGATTGTCTGAAGGAGAGCCTGCTGGAACACCTTGCCAGAAGCATCTGCGTCTTCAACTAGTCTTTGGAACATGATGGAAATCATGGACTTACAGACCTTGAAGTTCATCGACGCAGACTTCGATTTTTCTGAAAGCACAGCCTTGAGGCAAATGCTAAGTGAATCGAGAGCGGTATCGCTGCGTTGAACGAGACCGACAATCAAGCCGACCTGCTCCCCAAGAGCCATCTTCAGCTTTGGTCCATCTGAGGTAGAATCAATAGACTCGTGGAAAGGAACCAGCCAGATTTCTTCAAAAGTCTGACGAGCCGCCGTGGCCACGGTATCGTCATGATCGCCAGTGCGCTGGAGGAAGCTGTCAAGGATAGCCAACTTCAATTCATGCCGATGCGTTTTGTGGTAAAGCTCTTTAAGCAGGCTAATGCAGCGCTTCCGAACACCAGCGGTTTGATCAGCTGCACAGGCGAGAATGCTGCGGCAGCCTTCTTCTTCAAGCTTCGGTCTAAGCGCGATGCATTTCGCAATCAGGGATAAGGCAGAGTCACGGACCATAGGCGACGCATCTGTTGTGCAGCGAAGAATCAGGTGCATGACTGCTGCATCTCGGTCAAGAAGGTTTGGATCTTTCTCCAGCATGTAGATAACACTTTTCAAGCTTCGGCTGCGAACCTTGGCTTGGTCACTGCCGATAGAATTCAATAGAACCTTGAGAATTGTGTCGAGAGCCTTGCCAAAGCTCGAGTTGAGCACTGTAAGGACATACGCAAATCGCCCGTGGACGTTGGATATAGTGTCAAATTGTCTGTGAGTCTCGAGCCAGCGAGAATCGGAGAATGATCTTGAAAGAAGAACCACCAACTCATCGGTCATTTGGTCATGAGTCAAATCTTCCTTGTCATTTGAGTTATAGAATAAGTTGCAGACATTCTTCGCCCAATGGGCCAAGTAGTAGCCACGTGCACTGGCGATTTGTGAGTTGTCGGAGTTTCTGTCTTGGGAGAGATATTCAAGGGCCATGCGATAAGGGCCCCTTGGAGCGATCAAGTCTTGTGGATGCAATGCTCGAGAGGAGAATTCCTCAAACTGCTGCTTGAGCTCCTCTGTGAGATCACTTTCGGAGTCTTCCAAAGCAGGAAGCATGTGCTGGGCAGTCGCAATCAGATCAGAAATGGCAGAGCCCATCCACCCTAGAAGCTCTAGAGCCATGCTCTTTGCAGTGGCCGGACTTTTGTCCTGATCCGCGATTCCAACCATTTGCGATGCCATGATTCGAAGGAGAAGCTCGGCGGCAGGCCAATCAGTGGACCCAAGGACGTTAATTAAGTCTTCAGTGAAAAGGTCAAGAATGTTTCGGTAGGGTTGATCGCCGCTTTTGGTTGATGTCATAGCACGCTGAACTATAAATTTCACGATGTACTGCGCACTGCGGACCGCATTGTCATATAGTCTATTGACCTTGGCCGCCAAGAGCTCCAAGGAATTGTCGAGCTCATCTTCGTCCTCGAGGTCTGTAATTTTCTTACCTTCGCCCTCACCCATCGATTCATCGTCATCACCATCGGCCTGAGCTTGCAGACGACGCTTGGTTTTGGACGAACTTGGTGATTCCAACGCAGTGGTTTGCACCAGTTGGAGCACCAGTGCAGTGAGGAGCTGGATGTTTTTGCCATCTGCAAGTTTGAATTGTCTTGCACTCTGGCGTGTAGATGGAAGTTTCTCCAACGAGCCAAGAATTTCATCCAAGATGTAGGGACGTTGATCAGGATACTTGGAGAAAATTTTGGCGAGGACATCCATGGCCCCTCGTCTTGCCGGCTCAAATTTTTGATATCCAATGGTCGAATCCTTGTCATTGTAGGCATTTTCAACAAAGATAAGCTTGGCAGCAAAGAACTCGACTGCCGTAACTGTACTTTCTGGAATTTCGATTCGAGACAAGAATTCCGAGAAAAGGGCGAGCACCTTCTTGCTTTGATGGATCAGGCTTCCGATGAGTCGTTTTTGATTTGAGTAGAAAGAGAAATACTCGGAGTCTTTGCCTCCAGACCGCGCCTCGACAGCAGGGATGATGCAGTGATCAAAGGCTTGATTTAACACGGTTGGAATGGCTTCAATTAGATCTTCCGGGCAAAGCTCTCTCTCAGTTTGACGACCTGACATGGTCTGAAGAAGAGTTCCAACGGCGAGCAAAGCATTCAGCATATCCTCGATCTTGTCCCCCCACTCTTGCGCTTCAGTTTCACTTGACGAGTCATTCAAACTGAGATCTGGAGCCTGAGCCGCCACTATGGGCTTTTCACAGAGCTTCCGAATCCTGTTGAGGTAATCCGATGGAATGTCCTGCAGTCTGTCGAAACCAGTTACTCTCCGTATACCTCTCTGGATCCGGTTATGGGCATCATTCGAGAGAACCGCTGCGTGCACTTCTAACGATCTCGCGTTCACAAATATAGGGTTCGGTCTGTCGGAAGTTGGAACAAATGTGGAGTCTGGTTCGATCTGATCCTCCGCCTCGAATACCTCGTGAAGTAGATCCTGCAGTTTCAGCAGGGCTTCGTCCGCCTCTGCTTTTTGGTCCTTCAGATGCACGGCTGTCATTGTGTCGTAACCCGGGATATTGAGCTGTGATTTCTTGGGCTGGCTTGGCTTTGTAGGTGTAGATTTGACCGGGATTACCACGGCAATTTGGCTCGAGGAGGGCGACGGTTGATATGAAGTCGAGGTTGATCGATTTGACTGAATTGCCTGCTCGTTCAGGGAAGCTGCGTATTTCGAGACCGATGTCTTCTTAGCTGGCTTTTTCTCCGTCTTCACCTTCGGAGGCGAAGTATTGGGATCTGAGACCGGTCAGTATAAGGTCCAAACAACTTTGAAAACCATGGAATTCCTCACATCTGTATGCAATGTCGGTGGAATCAAGCATCATGCGCGCAAATGCGCCAAGCTGGTTGCGACTTTTTTGAAGGGTATCGGCATCGTTTGGACGTATAGATTGGCCACGGCTAATGATAGGAGGTAACTTGAATTTGCTTGAGGAGAAGCGTCAGTGAAAGCTGAGCACGCGGGGTGATGAAATTCTCACAATTCAGTCAGCTGCTCTCCATCCAGCAATTGTTGTAAGTATTCCCGTGATGTTTCCAAACGACTTGACTCGTCCTGCCCTGACTGAATCTCCGCGTCTAGCTCACTAAGAGTGTTACGACCAGCTTGCAGAACATGATTCATGGAGGTGGTAGTTGATGGTCTGCCAACATCGGGGCGTATGACACAGTCTGAAAATAAAGTTACTGTCAGACACATTTCCACCGTGATTTAGGGCGCTTTCATGGAATGACATACCAAAGCCAAAGACAGGAGCGCTAGACATGGGCGAATACTGCAGCGCCTCATCCACAGACAGCGACCGAGACTGATTCTGAAGAGACATATTGGATCCATAAGCCCGCTGAGGCTGTGAATGACCGTTTACGACGACCTGAACAGCCGGACGCCCATTCTGATCCATGATGGCGGTTACCAGTCGAAGAGGATAGCGTTAGTCAAAGGAAAGACCTGCTTGGAGCAGCGTCATGACACCGTGCGTGAGCATTTATATAATGCTTCACGGTTTTTACTCTCCAGTCGGGCAACGAGCGACAAAAAACCAGGAAGAGCTCATGATGAACATATCGCTAATTCATCACTTTCGCCGGAGCATTACTCTGCCGCGTTTTACCGCCTGCGCGGGTATCGCGGTGGCCCGTGCAGTCGAAAAAAAAGTCACCATCCGCGGTCTACTTTGACATTGACCAGCTCACGGCTTTTTTCTGCTGAATATTCTTAAATTGACTAGCTCTCTGCACTGTCTTCTTCATAATCAAGATGTCTGTCATCGGCTCCTTGATCTTCTGTACCGACTGTGGCAACCTGCTGCGCGAGTCTACCGGAGATGCAAATGCGACTCTACACTGCATGGTCTGCGGAGCCAGGAACAAGGGTTAGTGCTTCAATTGAGGCTTTGCATGACGGCTTCCGGGTTGCGATGAACTAACAACTACCAGATATTGTCCCCGAAACCATTGTCTCGGAATCCAAGCCCGCCGCCTTCCCCTCCGCATTGAGAGCCAAGCGTTCTGCAGTCCAAACCCTGTCCGCCGAGGACCGCAAAACAGAAGCTGTCACGGAAAAGCTTTGCGAGAATTGTGGTCGCACTGAAATGTTCTTCACCACCGTTCAGCTGCGCAGTGCAGACGAAGGAAGTACCGTGTTCTATCGATGTGTTTGCGGTCACAAGTATGGCATCCGACCCTCCATTCCACCAAAATTCGTACTAATCATCGCTGCAGGGAAACCTCGAACAACTGAGCAAATACGGAGGACTTTAAGAAAGAAACGGGTCTATGTTTTGGCTGTATAACAGAGCGGGATAAGAGTATCAAAATAACGACGTCACGACATTTTTCATTTTCCATTCAAAAGATTCATCATGCTGCAGCAACTGCAGGGGCACTTCCATTCGGCACCAGCGCATACTCAACCTGGCCACTCTTCTCAAATTCAGCCATGTCAAGAGCCACGATCACACTATCGCGCACTACCTGCTCGGGGTCATTCAAGAAGCTTTTCAGGGTCTCCTCGACGCCCTCCTCGTCACCCAGACTGCCGAGAGCCTCGGCAGCCTCGTGTCGCACCATACCCTGCTCCTTCAGGTCGCCGAGGCATTCTGTGAGGTAGGGAATAGAAGCTGGGTGGCAGAGCTGTCCGAAGACGAAGGCGACTTCGTGGCGGAACAGAGCCGAGGGGTCCTTGAGACCCTTGGCGAGAGCGTTCACGGCGTCAAATGCTGTGGGGAGGTCGGGTGGCGACGCGAGGTCGCGTAGGCCGAACATGGCACGGTATCTTTGGAAGAGAGGGAGCTTGGTGTCAAGTAGTGTCTTCTCCAAGTCCGGAATGCAGGGCTCACGGGCCTCGAGCGGCATGGGGGGAGCGGGATCAATAGAAGTGAAATCACTGGATTAAAAATACGTTAGCGTTTCTTGATCACAATCCATACATATCTTAACACCGTAAGAGAGCATACCTGGGCTTCAACTTCTCAGCCTTCCTGGCCTCAGAGTTCTCCCAAATGATACGATCGACCGCAATATCGCAAGTCTCACGAACAATTTCCAACTCGTTCTCGTCATCGCGCAGCTTCTTCAGAATAGCCAAACTGTCATCATAACCAAGGGCACCGAGAGCCTCCGCGGCCTCGTGGCGGCACATCGCATCCTCCTCGACATCCTTCACAACCTGCTGCAGATACGAGACAGAGTCATGGTTGCGGGTCTGGCCGAGACAGTAAGCAAGCTCGTGCTTGAGCAAAGCCGATTGCGATGCGAAACCAGCAGCGATCGCCTCAATGGCCGGGAGGGTCTGCTCAGTCGGGGGCTGCAGGCACGCGAGGTGCTTGAGGGAGAAGAGGGCGCGAAAGCGGCGAGCGAGAGGCTCGGATTCAGAGGTGAGAACCTTACGGAGGGTAAAGACTGTCCCGTCGGGGGTCTCAGTCGCGGAGGGTGACATTTTGGGGAGGGGGGGTTGTATATGCAAAAAGTTCTGTGGTGGAGGGTCTGAGGGCGCAATCTTTTTGATCTTATCATCGATTTTTTGAGGTGGGGTGGCGGGGCTGCGCCGATTCGGATGTGGTTGGCCCGCGCCAATTCTGCTTATACTCTCCCAAGGTACTTGCCTGCTCTCTATATCCATTGGTCTCTAACTTATTATCCTTATCTTTTTTAATTCTTCATAAAAGCAAACAGGTCTCGCAAGTCACGAGAGACGGTTCTCAAGAGGATTCTTAATTCAGACTCACCTGTAAATTGAAAATACCCATGACCTCTTAGGTTCGGGTCAACAACACCCTGCCCAATATTCTTCAACAATCTCGCCATTTCCAAGGGGAACCAATGCAGTCTAGTATCTATCCAGCGCAGCTCAGTTCATCTCCTCATCATTATTTAATGGCATCTTCCATCCATACTCCGCCAGCACGACATCTTTGAATCCCTCGGCCTTTGTGAGAACGTCGTTACTGAATCTGATACCTTTGCGCATGGAGGTGATGTCAAGATTATCAGTGAAGAAGCTCAGGTTGATACTAGTCTGTTCCAGAGGGTCTGCGCTGTTCACGGTAACTTCGCCTGGATCGGAGACGGGTCGGACTAAATCGACGACCACTCAGGTACGTTGCTCCTTCTTTGGACCATGGAAGTGCCATTAGAAGACACTACCAAACATGCAGAGAAATTCCCCGCTCGGAGTTATTCCGACCGAGACCATCATGTTGATCAGGGTCAATAAATGGGGTATCCGTAAAGAAGTGCCGATTTAGGGATGGGAGCCCAAAGCTCTGCCCCTCTTGTCTACCTCTTCTCCCTTCTAAAAACCCTGCTCTTTGCATATCCATGCAGTCTCACACCATATCAGCGATGGGAACACTTTCAGAATGAGCCTCCCTAGGTCATGATACTTGACAAGACCTCTGGAGCTGTCGGTCCCTTCACTGGAGCATCTGGGTGAATGCAGTAGCATTGATCGAGTAGTTCTACGGACTTGAGTCAGTTTCTTGCAGATCACAGCCTGATCGAAGCTTAGCACTGGCTTTGGTATGATTCCAACACGGGTCCATTATTCGGAAAGATTTGTGATTTGATTTCACCTGGTCGAATAGTAATTAGTCGCAACCCGATCTGGCGGCGAAGTCCTGAATCATGCTACATGTCTAGAAAACACTAGAATCCCGGGTTCGGTGTTTCCGAGAGCCAGGTCATCATGGGCTGCCTCGTACAATTCCTTGAAATTTTATCTTTTCTTTTGTCCATGGATAGATGACAAGAGTGAATCAGGTGTCCAGCCATCATCTATCAGGAAGGTCGACTGGGAAGCTTGAGTACGGCACAGCATGTTCAGTAAACATTTTTCGATCCCAACTCCGGCTTCCAAGCTCAGATGACTGAGCACTTCCATAATTCGCCTGATGTAATCGATTTTTTGCGGTCCATTGAGGTGGCACTCCAGCATATGGTGGAGAAGAAACGGCCGCAGATTATTAACGGAAGCTTGCCAAAGGCTCCGAGAGTTAGCCAAAGCGTCGTCTAGCATGACCAACCCATGAGAAGAGACTGGAGAGCTCATGGGACCACAAGGTGGAGTGGTTATGGAATCTTGCATCATGAGACAGATGGAGAACAGGCATGTGAGCCTATCGTAGTCCGATGGTGAAAGTTCCGGGCCATGAGCGCAGCTTTCGTTAATGTGAAAAGCTTGGAAGTCACCACGCAAAAGAGAAACGGCATCATAGAGGGATGGGTATGCTGATAGACCTCGGACGTAAAAGCGGGAGGATAATCCCATAAAGGTACGCATGTCTTGAATGAACGATATCAACCAAAGGCCACGTATTTTCTGCATATCCATGGTTGGGTCGAGCAAGAAGGCATTAGAGGACGGCTCGGAGAGCTCGGAGATGTTGTTTGTAGACTCGAACCAGGACGGTTTGGACATGAGAGACACTCTGCACGAGTCAGTATTATCAAGATTGAGAGGCACTTTCGGGCGACCCACAGGTAGACAACAAGCTCCAGACCCCAGTTACCGTGGAGCTCCCCGATCCCACCTTTGGCTTCGATCATGTTTTGGAGACCGGTGCGGTGAATATTCCATTCTTCAGCCGTGCCCCAATATCTCTGTGTATGGTTAAAATTCTGCCACATCAAAGGTATCGATCCACTGCGCCTACGCGTGAAGGTTATTTACCTCAAATGTGAGAAGTCGAATAACAGCCGCGAATGCATCATAGCTGAGAGCTTTCTCTGGAATAGAGACCCACTCATGGAGTATTCTTACTGCCTCAGATTTATATTTCAAGGCGTCAGATGAGTTGGTTGCTCTTTGAGGACTTGTCCCCGCATAGAGATGGGATAGGTGAGCTGCAGAATGGGCCATGATAGCGTTAAAGGATGACGCGTTTGACAGGTCTAGTGGGAACCAAACATCCTTCATTGGGTTGAAAGTCGGGATACCAAGGTCCTCGAACATCATGGTAGCATGAGTTCCTATCCCTACGACCTAACTTAGTTTCATTTCGGGTTCACGAATCGCAAGCCGTCGACGTACAGTGGTGCAGCAGCTTATGATGCTGGGGCGTCAATTCCACCGGAAATTGCTGGAAAGGATCCAGCCTCGAAGTTGACAAAGCATGGCCCATTCCATTCAAGAACTGTGGGGTAATGCCGATCAGCTTGTCCCCGTTGGCATGGTCGAGATCTACTTCGCTGGAAGTAGCTTCTGAATGCTTTGAGGGCGAGCCCTGAGAACCATGGCTTCTGGTTGAACGGTCTCGACTGAATTGATCTCTGGATTTTTGCACTCGGTCTGCAGAAGACGAAGATATCGGACTGGGTAGAAGTCTTGGCTGAATCCTCTTGTGCTTGCCACTATTGTTGCGGCTGTGTCGTTGTCTCCAGTGCTCGCGCATCGCATGGCTTCGGGCATCTGCTTGATTGAACTCGGACACGAAAGCAAACCGGGGAGCGTCGTCTGGGGGCATGCTGCTTCCACAACGAGACCCGCTGGAGCTGTTGCCTGACGACATAGTATAACCCTAAGCGGTTGGACAAAACGCGGAGTGATGTGCGAGAGTCAGAACGAGGATGGCTAATGCTGAGCCACCTCGATCGAAGCGCAGCACTAGTCCACCGTATCAACCATCATCTCCCTCGCTCCATGTATCTCTAAGACAAGAAAAAACCTATCTTGAAGCCACGGCATAGACTCTAGGCCCACGAGTGGAAAGTGGGGCGGGAACGGAGATATGATCGATCCACCGCCCGTCAATGGCTCAATTAGGCAATACTATGAACCAATCATCGCCCGTGATCCTCACCTGCATCGTGTTCCATCATCTGTCCAGTGGTCCAAAGACTGCCACCGCATTGAGCTTCTTACTCAACCCTGGTAGGATCTCGGCTGTATCACCCGTGTGATATGTGTCGATGCCAAGGAAGAACCATCCTCGGTTGTGCATGAGTGTCCGGAGACCTTTTGAGTTCCGCCCTTGTAGCGCATACTTACGATGGACACGGCTACATGGTCAATTGATCTCAAGCTATAGCGAACATGGAGAAGCTGACAATTGATCGACTCGGTCTCGAATCCACTTACCGATATGGCCGGTGCACGCTTACATTCATGACGATGGTAAGCCACCAGGCATGTGTTTCGTTCAACACGCGGTTCTTGGGTTGCTGATAGGCTTCATTGGCAAAACCAGTACAGCTTATCTGGATCAACAAGGCCTCATGCAATGAGCGGACGGCAATGATGTAATGTATGAGACGGAAGAGGCGGATGAAGGACCGTGAACCTAATCAGCAGTATCCGTGAGAAAAATAATAAAAGCATAGCTAGCTCCTGGACGAAACTTGTTCGTGTCTCGAGGTGAAAGCTGTCAATTGACTTCGACGTGATCAAAGGTTGCAATTGTATCAGGACAGAAGCGTTAGAGCCCATCATGTCCGCTGATAAGTACTATACTCTTGCTGAAGGTCTGAAACCACGCAACAAGTACCTCATCGCCAATTGCTGACTTTTGCAAAAGGATGTCCCTTCGCAAGCAACAGCACTGCTGTGCTGATGCGAAACCGACAGGGCACTGGTGGCCTTGGTCTACTTCAGGATACCCAGCTCATTGAGACTTTGGCGCATTTCTCTCGTGAGAGAATCCCGGAGCGGTAAGCGTGACACTACTGAGACGACATTTGGCTGACAATGGGGAAATACTCCAGTGTTGTCCACGCTAAAGCTGTCGGGTAAGTCAGTCGAATGTCTACTCTAAACAAGTGAACTGATGCATGTCCTGTTCTTAAGAGCTTACGGAGTATTTGAAGCGGAGGCCGATTGCTCGGACATAACATCCGCCAGCTTTCTCAACAAGGCTGGCAAGAAGTCCCCGGTCCTTCTTCGCGTCTCCACAGTCGGTCCGGAGTCGGGCTCTGCTGACACATCGCGAGATGTTCATGGCTGGGCAATGAAGATCTATACCGATGAAGGCAATCTTGACTGGGTCTTCAATAACACTGTGAGCAAGCTGCATGCATAATGAAGAGGAGTGCTCATACTTGAAAGCCTGTCTTCTTTATCCGGGACCCTATCAAGTTTCCATCCATGAATCGCTCTCACAAGAGACACCCGCGGTCTCATCTTCCTGATGCGAACATGGTAAGTGGAATTTTGCATCGAACTGGACGCAAATAGCTAACTTACAATTCAGTTTTGGGAGTATGCACACCTAGATTAGGTTTCAAGTAGATTTGCTGTGGCTAACATTGATTAGCTTCCACGTTGGAAACCCCGAAGGAATCCATCAGCTAATGATCCTCTTCAGCGATCGTGGAACACCAAGGTCCGTTCGCTTTCTGAACTCCTATAGTGGACACACATACAAGTTCACCAAAGAGGTAAGACATCATGAATTGACACTGCGTAACCTCAGCTCATTCGCGTCATTAGGATGGTTCGTTCAAGTACATCAAAATTCACATGAAGACGCAACAGGGAGTCAAGAACTTGTCCCGAGAAGAGGCAACGAAGATTGCTGGCGAGGATCCGGATTACATGATTCGCGACATGTTTGAGGCCATCGAGAGACAAGATTACCCTTCATGGGAGGTCTTTGTTCAAGTAATGGACCCATCCGAGGCCGAGACCTACCGGTGGAATATCTTCGATATGACCAAAGTCTGGCCACACAAAGCCTTCCCTCTAAGAAAAATTGGCAAGATGACATTGAACCAAAATGTAAGTTATCCAGTTCTGCTTCGGCCTTGCGGCTCCTGATGAAATATATCAACCAGCCCAACAACTACTTCGCCGACATCGAACAAGCAGCTTTCTCGCCATCAAACATGGTCCCGGGCTTCGCAGCTTCAGCCGACCCCGGTAAGTCAACTATTACGCATACCGCCAACTCCAATCCGCTTACCCTTCCCAGTCCTGCAAGCTCGCTTATTCGCCTACCCCGACGCGGCCCGCTACCGTCTCGGCGTGAACTACCAACAACTCCCCACCAACGCTGCGAAAGCCCCAGTCTACTGCCCATTCCAGCGTGACGGCAAGATGCGTTTCGATGGAAATTATGGCGGAGATCCCAACTACGTTAACTCCTCTCTCCAACCCACCAAGTTCTACCCAGAGGTCAAAGGCGTCAGTCCCCAGTCTCTAGCCCTGCATACGGAACATGAGAAGTGGGTTGGCGAAGTGACTTCTTACACTAGCCATATCACGGATGATGATTTCGTGCAGCCGGCTGGGTTGTGGGACCTTCTTGGGCGTGAGCCAGGACATCAGGAGAGAGTCATTGAGAATCTAGTTGGGAGTGTTCGGGAGGTGAAGTCGCCAAAATTGAGGAATGAGGTTTACGGTTTGTTCTTTCATTTTTTCGCCTAACCTTAATGAATTTACACTGACGGTTCTGCAGCACTGTTTGGTCGTGTGAATCAGAATCTCGGGGCTAGACTTAGGAAGGCGACTGAAGCCGCTATTAATATTTAATTCTTTATGATTCAATGCAATTTCGTGATCTTGTAATATGAAATTTTTTGTACTTGATCAAAATACGACCCCAATTTGCGTGACCAGATTGCTTCGTCACAGGAGTCAAACCCGACGTTTACATGCCCATCTCCACGCAAAGACCCAAAATAGAAAACAACCCCTTCGGAGATCGCCCGTGCGACAAAGCAAACCGTGAACCCCATACAGCTTGCATCACCAACACCTTATCTGGGAATTGATTAGCACGCCTGGACACCAATCATCTAAGTATGGCAGCACTAATAACCCAATAAGAGCACGCCTCATCCCACGAGGCATTTTCCCATGAAAGTGGTTCAGAACTCCACCCGTAGAATCTGCCAATAGACTTTGTATCGCACGGAAAGATCCAAATGTAGGTCGATGACGCGCTGATTGTTCCAACAACCTATTGTGAGAAAAGTCGCCTGGCTGCAACTCCACACTGTTATTTGAAGCTTTATCCGATGATGCAATCCGGTCCACCGTTAGATCGCAGCTGGCCGTTATGGTTGATCTTCACTCCCCGCATTTTCTGTCTGGCCATCAACACACTACCGTTTACTGCTAGTATTTTCTCGAACACCTACCAAGTTTTCTCTTTGAAATCAATAATACAACAGACATCATGTCCGACAGTGAGTTGTCTTAGTGCATTCTTGCTTATCTGCTTTTCCTTACTGATTGTTGCAGAGTCGAATCCTAGTCAAGAGCACGAGGGTTTCTTTGAGAGAATCCTTCATCACCACAAGGGTACCAAGGCTACTGCCCACGGCAAGGATCAGGATGATCAGCATGATAAGATGGATAGCCAGCAACCTCAGGGACAGAAGGAGGAGGATGAGATGGACAAGCTGAAGGACTATCTGCACAAGGATGAGCAGCTTGAGGAGGAAGGCCATGAGTATGGTGACTTGATGTGATTGACGAGATCACTGAATAAGATTGGTTTATGGTTAGGTAATTGAAACATTGAATCTAAATCTGATAATGCTTTGTTGAAAAAGAGTCAAGAGGGAAATGTCTGTGAAATGCACTCCTTCTGCGAGGCCTTTTACGATTCACTCTTCCAGTAGTAGATCTTATGCCGGTATCCAAGTCTAATATCGTACTTGATTTGAGAAAAAGTAAAAAGACTGCAATTATGTACAAAATACACGACAAAGCGCACTCATTTGGTCTTGATGTGCTTGAGCTTTCTAGGCTCGTGCATGAAGTTGTTGGCATAAGCCTTGGGGACGACCCGGCGCACATTAGGCTCCTGGACAAAGTACTCGTAGCCCTGCTTCTGTGCAAAGGCAATGGCGTCCTCCTTCGACTTGAACTTCAGGTTGGTGCCCTGCATGCTATCGGCAGACGATTGCCAACCCATCAGCGGGTTCTCCCAACGGTGACCCTTCTGCAGGATGTCCCAGTCCATGCGCCAGTGATGTCCGTGCCAGTGGCCAGATTGGGTAGCGGCCTTCGTGGGGCGGTAGATGCTGCGCGCATTCAATGTTAGTTTATGGGTCCCAGGTCGGATTCGTGTTTTCAGGTCTTGGCTTACCGGACAGTGCGGGCCTGGAGGTCGGTAGGGGCGCCAGAGAGAACGGCGGCGGGAAGAGAGTCACCAGGCTCGCTGCCGTCCATCACACGCTTGGGAACCGGGGAGAAATTTCTAGATCAATGGTGTTAGCGACAGGTTTGCATTGGTGGCGGAAGGCAAGGTAGCGTACGAGGTGCCGTGATCAATGGTGGCATCATAATCGGGCTGGTGACGGGTCATTGCCTCGGCAGGGCCTTCCTTGCGGATCAAGGAGCTGCTAGAGTAGGTCGAGGTAGGAGCCTCGGACGGGTTGGTCTTGACGGTAGGAGACCCCTTCACGACGTTGGAGGCAAAGCGGGCATTGACGGGAGCGACCAGACGGGTCGCTCGGAGGCCAGCGGCACCTCCAATTCTGAAGAGCGACATGGTGTACGATGCTAGGAGTGGGGTGGGATGGAGATAGTCAAGAGGAAGTGTTAATCGTCGCAGAGTGCAAGTCACGGCCCACCCGAAAATGGTTTAGCGCATCTTGGCTCATCCGACCACCCGCTTCCCGGCCAAAGGTTCTCTTCCTCCTGCATCATTTGTCTATCTCGGTTCACTTGCTTTGCGAATCACCGTGAGTTCTCTCGGATAGGCTCCTTACACTCCTGGAGTTCGGACACATTCACTGCGACACATTTCTGACCCCATCCAGCCAGACAAGATGAGCTACATCGTCCGCCGTGGTCTCTCGACCTTGATCCCTCCCAAGGTACGAACACCCGATTGAACCATCACATGGCTGTCGCGAGCCTCTATTCAAGAAACTAATGTTTTTCACAGATCGCCTCCCCTAACGTGAGTTATCCGGAACACCTCATACCTACCGTTGCTCCCTACACCCTTCCCGGCCCCGTGCCTTCCCGAAGTCTTTTTCGTGCGATCTGAAGACGACATATCACGCCCATCCCACCCAAACCTGTCGCTAACTTTCATATACAGGCCATCGGTGCTGCCCAGGATGCTGCCCGCATGGAGCGCGTTGTGAACTTCTACGCTGGTCTTCCCCGTGGCCCTGCCCCTCAGGCTAAGCCTACCGGTCTCATCGGCCGCTACCAGGCCCGCTACTTCAGCGGCAAGAACGCCTCCGGTGTCCGTAAGTATTTGGAAATTCAATGTTTGGTAAAGTTTGAAGGCTAATTGGACAGCCCTTGTCCACGCCATCGGTGGTATCCTGATCCTCGGCTACAGCATGGAGTACTACTTCCACCTGCGTGAGTATCCTGTCGCCAAACATTTCACCTGATGAAAGATTTACTGACTGTTGGGTTAGGCCACCACAAGAACCACCCTCACTAAATCTTTTCTTTGGATCGATTGATTGGAAGGAGGATTGATGTATATACTGCGTCCTCTGACCCAGAGCAAGGCAGTGTGTAGGAATTAGAGAGAATTTTTGAACCTCATCGTTTCATTATTCTGATTTTCGGTTGTCGTAGCTTTCCTGGCACCTGAGATGTATTCTATAGATCATGTTGTGGCGTGACCCTGTCTCCGCTCCGATGTATCGCTCAGGGACGGCATCTTCATAGCCAAGTAGTAGAATCTAAGACAAGTGACGCTGAACTGAAAAAAGAGCTCTTTTCCATGCTCTTGAATTCCTCACTTGTACGTCCTAAGACCTAGATCTGTGGAAAACATGCTGTGGTAGGTGAAGGTCTCAGCTACGACTGGGACCGCGCTAACCGAAAACAGCCAGCCCTCAGCTTCAAACCCGAGATCGCCTCAACAGAGCCAACCCTCCCATCCATCACCACACCCACCCTTCCGCCTTTCTCGATCCTCTCCTCCCCATCCCGGGACTTCCTGGGCCTGTGGAATATCTCACGCGTCTTCCGAGACCCGTTCTCTACCTCCGCGCACGCTGTCACCATCGAGCTCCTGGGAGTTGGCCGCCCGACTTCCACCTACCTGGTTGTGGAATCCCGATCTTCCAGGGTGCAACCAGTCAAGCGAGCAGTTTTACAGTGGCGATCTCAGGGTTTTGACAGCCGGTACGTTGTTCATCCTGTCTTCTGGTTACAAGGCCAGCTGAAGCGGCCGCCCACTCGGGCTCCGCATCTCCATCCCCTCGGTGTTTTTACAAGCGCGGATCTGACAAATGCCGCCTTTTTTGGTCACTACAGACTCGAATATTGTTATGGCAGAGCAGAGCAGCCGCGATGTGGTAGATCAGACCCTGTCGGGCGGCGAGCCTTCGCCTTCCGACGTTCCTGCGAGCACTAAAGACAAGCAATCTGCCGAAGGGGACGCGGGGGGAGACAAACCATGTCACAACAAAATCCACAGCGCAAATCACATCTGATAATCACACCGAGCCGAGAGACGCATTAGGTTCTTTAGCCGACACGTTGGGTGACAAGGATGGCGGAAGTACTTCGATGGTAGGGTTTTCTTCGTCGCCGCGATATTGGACAACGGGATGACTGAACTGGTTGCAGGACTCTCCAAAGCAAAGCACCAGCCTGGTCGCTTCGAGGGCCCTCGAACTGAATGGAATAGCTTCTGCATCAGACGGCGGGGACGACACGGCTTCACTAGGTGGTTCGGAATCGGACGCTAGCCGTACAGATGGTCGCCATCACACGCGCACTGGGTCAGTCAAGAAGCCGACGTCTTTTAAGCCGGTTTCGTTTGCGAAGTTCTCGGTGCCAAAAGCACCAGGGACCTCCGCACCGCCCAAGGCACCGGAGAAAGGTACTTCTTTGTTCGCTGGTTTTTCATTTTGGCACGTCTCTGACATGTTAACATTAGCACCATCAATTCCTACGACTCCCATGGGTACTCCGCAACCTACTGCGCGGCCACGCTTAGTTCCGAAATCCACGGCTGCGATGCGGGATTCGTTGTCAAAGACGGGTCCAGGCGGCACGAAGCCTGGTGGGTCGGGTCCGGATCCGAACCAAGTCTGGAACAAGAATCGACGTATGTATCTCGTTGCAATGGGCCTTCTACTACTAAACTGACGCTTGGTGGTTGATATAGCCGTTCAGCCGGTACCCCCGAAGCATTTGACGGACGAGGAGCTGAAACAGCAGTACGGAATCCATATGACATCTCGAATTCAAGAAGACACCGGTGGATCTGAGGCGAAATGGGCCGATATTGACGATGATGAGGACGACTGGGCTCCGGAGACAATTGAGTGGACGGACGGTACCAAAGTCACTCTCGGTCAACACAACGAACCACAACCACCTCCTGAAGTATCCGAGCCAGAAGCACGAGAAGCGCCAATCACAGAGCCGACCGCAGTGCGAGACATTTCGAAGATGGCTGCCCCGAAGCCAACTACGTCCGTCGGGCCAAACCCTACTGTACTGAGGCTAGGAGCCAATGCGGAGCGGCAGGCGAAGGCCGCAAGCATTTCGTCTAAAGGAACAAATGACAGGGCGCCATCAGACTCTACGAGCCCGGCACCTCCGAGCAAATCTCCATGGGCTCCGTTACCTCCAGTCGAAAGAGTTTCGCCTGTGAATCATCCTGGCAATATTCCACCCACGCGTCCTCCTGTTCACCATCCTCAACCTCATCGTGACGACGCTCGGTATGCCCCCTTGCCACCGCAAGAGATTGCAACGGACGATTTCAATCGCACTTGGCGAGAAACGGCTCCAAATGCGCCTCGCGAGCTGTACAACTCTCGATCTGGTCGGTACGAACCTGTAGCTGATAATAGAAGGCCTTCGTATCGACAAGATCAAGGCCCTCGGGCTCCCAATGTGTTGCAACGAACTGGCCATGAGGCTCACGGGCCGGCCGAACCTTCTGCGGCATTCCAGACACAACGAACGAGCCATGATGGCGGCATGGGTTGGAACCGTCACCGTGCGGGGTCCAATGTCAGTGGAGGAAGCGGAGGGTTTGATCGCCGAATGTCTTTCGGTCGAGCAGATGGTCCTCCGAGGTATGAAGGCCGACGGGGCTCACAGGTCAATGGCTTGATAGATCCGGCGTTAATGGGCGGACATGCTCATCCTAACGCCCATGCCCACGCCCATGAGTCTCCTTCGCTACAGCATGCTACGCCTAGTTGGGGGCCGCGGCCGCCGACGCAAATGGATCAGGCTCCGCCGGCTCAGCAGCAACCAGCACCGGCAGCTGCGCCGGATGTGCCTCAAGAAGATCCTCTTGTCGTGCAGGAACGAATTATGAAGGAGAAGCGACTTGAGGCTAGACAACGTCGTCTGCAACAAGAAGAGAAGGAGAAGGCAGAGAAGGACGAGCGAATTCGTCAAAAACTTGCAGCTTTGGGTCCGGCGCCCGATAAACAACGCAAGAACAGTACTGAAAAAGCCCAGACGCCCACTGCACCACCTCCAGCTACGATCAGCTCTCCTCCCAAGCCACCCGTTCCTGAGCCCACTGGAGCGCCCAAGCAGTATGGGATGATGAAAGTTCATCATCCTGATAGCGTCAAGAGGCTTGTTGCCGCAAACGAGAGGGATCGCGTAGCTGAGAAACCGCACACTGAGAAGACGTCTCCTCGCACGCGTCGCGCTCCTTCGCCAAATCGCGATGCGAAACATGAACAAGTTCCTCCAGATAGTTTGAGCCAGCAAACGGACGCCAGTCCACAACAAGGCTCGAAGACTGATGAGCACGGCGCCCAGTGGCGTGGAAATATGAACACGGGCTCAACCTACACTCCTTGGTCCACCAATCCCAACTTGGCATCAACATCGCCATCGGTCAAGAATCCGTGGAAACCTCTGATTAGTGACAGAACATTGGGCAACGGGATCTTTGATCAGAGCCTCGGTGGTTTTACTTCTCGTGAAGTTCCTCTGCGGGGCCAGCTGGGTCTCGACCAGAGCATCATGCCTCCTCAGGCACTTTCAGCTCCACCAGAGGCTGCCTCAGTCTCCCCGCTTCCTTCCCCGGAAACCCGGAACGCCTCTTTTGATCCCCTTAGCCCTATCGGTCGTCCCGGTCCAATTGGGCCTCCGAGTTCACAAAACTCCCCATGGCAACCTGAATCTCGTGCCCGGGTGGATTGGGCGCTTGGAATAGCTTCCGCAAAATCACAGCTCAGCGTGAGCACGAAGAGGCTGAGAATTACCGCCAGGAATTTAATGTCAACCGTGAGGCTCGCGCAGCCGGTCCTTCTGTCACTCTCAATGAGACATGGTCTCAAGTGCGGCCCGACAGCGACGCTGGTCAACGCCGTGTCGTCAAGGTCTCGAAGGCGGTTGTTAACAAGAACGCCTCGCCTTCCAACCCCTTGACTGGTCTTGATGCACCGGCCGATGGCCTTCCAGGCTTCTCCGATACACACGCCCGTCCCCCTTGTTAGCATGCCAGCTCGCAGCTCGCGATTCTTCCCTCATGTGACGGAACAAGCCAAACGGCCTGTTGAGAAGGTTGTTGAATACCAACAACGAAGCCCGTCACCTCCACCTCCGGAGGAGATCTTCAGCCACCCTGTCTACTTCGGCGGCTCGGGTCGGCCCTTGGTCCATCTGCCAACCCCCAAGCCCGTAGTCAAATTGCCACCTAAGGGTTTGGCCGCTCAAGCTGCGCAAGTTGCCCCAGCCGCGCCAGCTGCAGCAGCTGCACCGCCTACATTCGCCTCCATGGCAGCAGCACCACCGCGAGCTCCAGTGCCGGCCTCAACTGCGATGTCTTGGCAGGAGAAGATCAACGGGCTCTTCGGCAAGAAGACCCCGGTCGAGAAGAAGAGCGCTTTGGCTGTAGCCTCGGCGACAAAGGAGCCTTTGGACGTCCAATTGCCCGTCGCGGCAGTTCCCGTGTCTTTGCCTAGCACCGAGCAGCCTTACCCTTCGGGAGACGGTGATCTTGCGGTCCGACAAGTGGACGAACAGGACGATATCTTCGAAGACCGTGAGCCCGGCTCTCTTCCAGGTGTCCGTGTCCCCATGATGGCACCCCCAGCGGCATGGCTCGCCGCACCAGCTCCGTCCCAATCACGATTGCGCGCAAAGAATTTGAAAACGATGCAGATCCACAGCGTGGAACCCTTCTGGATTGGTTTCGGTGATAAGGATCACGCCGGTAACATTCGAGCCTCGATCCGGCTGCCTGGTTCACTCATTTCGAAGACGATTAGTCTTCCGAAAAAGGCCGGAGCCCCAAATGCAATTCCGAAGCCGCAGCAGCGCAGCACATCCAACTTCAAGGCTCGGAAGGGGTCTAAGCCCCGCGATGCCGTTACAGCCACCGGGCCTAAGGATGCCGCGAAGAAGCCCTCTGTATCTCAGCAGAGCAGCGCGCCTTCGTCCTCGCCACGGCACAGTCAGTCCCGGACTGCATCTTGGGGTCCACGCCAAGGCTCCCGTTAAGAGGTCTATGTCTATTTTCTTTTGCGATCCCTGGGGCAACAAACTTGGTATCATTGCTCTGCAGGGTCTAGATCTTAATTGATCTAGACTTTCCCTCCCATACTCTCTAATCCCTCACTCTACCCTCCTGTGTCCACCTCCCTTATCTCCAAGCCACAAATTGCGGCAAGCAGACAGGCCAAACCACAGCTCTCGCCCCCTACCTCACAACCACCTCCTCAAAAGGCAACATGCGACATGGTCCCTCTATGTTATGTACTTTTTTCTTCTGCATCTTTCTATGCCCTTAGGCTGCGTGGGCTGCAGGCTTCTGGTTGAAAACAGTGAACACTGGGGACTTTGGAGTTGTTTTCAGGGCACTCTTTTTGGTTCGCCCTCTTGAGGTGATGCTTGTCGTTCAGGATCATTTGTTACCTCGTTCAATTCCTTGTCCTATCACGCCTCGGCCTCAGCCTATCAGTCCCGCTTGCTCGCCGAGTTGGCCCGGGCTTCCCTCTCTGCCTCTACTCCGACCCTTTTTGTATCATGCAGCCTCCCGAATTCATATCAGTGATTTCGAACTTCAATTATCGCTCTGCTGTAGATCATAGAATGTAGAGTTTCTCTCATTTATGTAGCAGCCGATGTCAATGGATGTATATGGTTGTGTCTGGGTTTCCATTGGAACAGCACTCCAGAGATAAGTGGTCTTTACGAAGCTGATCACGAAATATAAATTTCAAGGTATGAGACTTTAAATTCTCAGTGAAAAGACTGCTCGAATTGTTGTACAAGAAGAAAAAAGGTATCAAGTGAAAATCCCAGATCAACCAAAACACCACCATGGTTCCGCAACACCATATAAAACACCAAAGGAAGGCTCGTTTAGTCCCATGCGCCTCATTAGACATCTATCTCAACAATGGCAAATAAGAAGATCAAGTCACAAATTGCCAAAATTAGACTGGAGAACACCAGAGCATTCTCCTTACCAGTTCCAGGTCCGACTGGACGCAGTGAAAACGGGTGGTTTCCACTGAAGAGCGGCGGGGTCGATTTTGCGCGCACCCTTGATTTTCTCTTTTTCAAGACGCTTTTTATGCTCGCCAACGACATAGTCGGTAAGAACGATGACCCAATTTCCTTTCTGTTCGTTTGTCAGCAATCAAGTTCAAAATTGAAAGTGATAAAATGACTTACATGATATCGAAGCATATTGAAGACAACCAGAGTCTCATGAACGTCTTTTTCGGTCATTGACGTAAGAACAGCAAGTTCGTTCTCACTCATCGCCTCGCGACCTGGTTCCATCAACAGCTCGACAAGCGTTTCACGCCAGTACTGGCGGTAACCCATAAGACCCAGATCAGAGAGGGGTTTCTCGGGAGACCCAAGCTTGCCTTCACGCTTGCTAAGCTCATAACTGAAAGACATGAGCAAACGACCAAATCCACGGCGCTGGTACTGCGGCAACGTCAGAATACAAGCTAGATTGTAACCTTCGGCGGAGTCCTTTTCCTTAGAGAAGTAGCCGACGAGGTGGCAGCCTGTCTCGTCACGAGTGCACATGCAGTAAAAGAGGAAGGGGTCGACATCGTAATAGAGGGTTTTGTGATCGAGGAAAAGTTTGCTGAGGAGACATAAATTTCGGCACCAGGTTCGCTGGCGACGACCGTCAACTTCAAAGAAGGAGATGTTGTCGTCACGGTAGATTTCGTTGCCTGGAGGGTGGACCAATGTGCATTTTGCGCGGTGGCGCTCGAAGGCACGCTGGTTGTCGAAGTAGCTCAGGCAGAACTCGTCGATGTAGACCATGTCCACGTCGGAGAATTGATCCGGGTATGGGGAAAAGTACCACGGCTCAACTTCAAATTTGCCCATTTGCAGGCGAGTCAAGTTTCGGACGCGGTGGATTTCGGTTGGGTTTTGCGTCATACTGCCGCTTGTACGAAGGCGCTCAATCTCCTCTTCGCGGGTGATAACTTCGCCTGATGTGGTTTTGACCTCATCTTCTTTGGGCGTCGCCTCTGTACCGGCATCTGCCATTTCGACATCTTCTGAGTCTGCCTTGGGTGTGCCGACGGTCGATACAGCTTCGGATCCGAAGAGGGATGTGTCACCGGGTGTATCAGCAGTACGATTCTCTTTGCCGCCGGCCTTGGATGGTCGCGGCGCCTTGCCAACATTCAAATTCGTGCCGCCCAACGCATCAGGAGTCCCAGACACATCCCGGCTACCAGAGCGAACATTCTTCGGGACTTTACTAGGTGCCTTATTGTTGGCACTAGACTTTTTCTTGTCCGGCTTCTCAGGCGCTGGCCATTCAACCTCTTTAGTGAGGTCAATGCGTGAAGCATTGATCCATTCTAAAATTTCATTAGCATTCTGGTCATGCGAAGAGCATGCTGTAAAATTTACCATCAAGACGCTTGTTGAAGTCGACATAATGCACACTTTTGAGTCAAATGTTAGCTATATGAACGACAATCAAGCTTCGAGGTCCTACATACTAGAAACTGGGACCATCCTTGCGCTGCCGAATTGAAAGTATTTCCGCTTTCCGTAGTTCACCATCCTAAAGTCCGAGTCAGTAATGATATCACGTGATGGCTCAGGCTCTGCGCGACACCGGACCTTCTGCACCATGGCCTTCACACCGATTCTATCACGCCAGTCAGTACATGCGACCGATGAAAGTGGATTCTGAGAGCTCGGGGATAACTAGTGCATGCCCAACTCGCGCTCAAACTCACCTGACAGTATTGAGAGTGGCGAACCCTTTCTCGACGGGGTCGGGAGTCCCCGTCGCCTCGCCGTGGGAATCTCGGACGCCCATCGTGATCGACTATGCGATAACGCGGGCACCCAGGCAAGCTTGATAGATGTAATTCGATGAACTGGATGCGAAGTGCGATGGAAAGAGGTTGGTGGTGAAGGCGGAAGAAGGTGATCTCGCCGTGTTATGTCAGCATCCGGATGCTGCAACCTCAGATCAGAACCTTTATGGATGGCAATGTGTTTCTGCATGTCATTTTGTGATCAACATATCGCAAGTATTCGGTACTACCTTGCGTTTAGTGATCAACTGGATAAAGAAATGGACTGAATGCGCCGTCGGGAGGTTGATGACTACACAGGTGGCGTTGAGACCAAAGTCTCGTATCGAATGTTCAAGATATACATCCTTCATCTGGGTGCTAAATTTTCCTCAGTTGAGATAGCAGCAAAACTTGCAAGTTGCACTTTGACGACATGACTAGGTGATTTCATTACTAATTGGAACCTATTAGAGACTACAACCAAAAATATGATAAGAAGCAGCCCTGAAATATTAACAGCACAACAACTCCAATGCATTCGCATTATCCTCGAAAATGTAAACCTTGGGACCGTCCTAGTAATGGTACAGAAAGAATTCGCAATGGGTCATGACTATGAATTGAAAAAAAAAGCGAGTCCAGATGCTTGACTCAGTGCCAGCCATTGACGATAGCAGTGCCAGCAACCAGCTCGTCCAGCTCGTCTTTCCGGCTCCTATACAAATCTTGCGCTTCACGCTCGCGCCGCATGATAAATGACACATCCTCTCGCAGCTTCTCCAGTCGCCGGGAAATTGCCGCTTCTTCCGAGATCTGGAGAGTGCGGAAAGACTCCAGATCGTCTTGGGCTTTGGGAAGAGTGGCACTGGCTTCCAGAATCTTGGAGCGCAGTGTTTTAGCGCGGTTCTGGTATCCGCCGTAATGCAATGCAAGCTTCTTTTCAAGCTTGTTGCCTTTTTCGGCCGTAGCGAGCAGAGTTGCCTGTATGCTGTCGAATGTTCCGATCATGCGCTGCTCTTCTTGGAAGGCATCCTCTTCATCGGCGTAGATGTCCATGCCGGGAAGAGCCTTAGCATGGGCTGATGACCAGACATCATCAAATTTTTCCTGCCATTCTTCTTGCTGCTGCTGTGCTTCTGATGATGCAATCTCGGCCGCAATGGCAGCTCGGGCTGCGTCCATGAATTCATCACCTACGTGGACCAGCTCAGGAGCCTTTCCTTCGACCTTTGCGCCGGGCACCGGGTGTTGTCGAGAATCGTGGGCGATAAGGATGGCTGCTTCTCTGGCGATGAGACCCTCAATGGGGTCAGTAACATGGGCGGCACGCGCATTCAAGGCATCGAGATCAAGAACAGCAGGCCGAGGAAGACCGCGCTGATAAGCCTGTGACTGGCGCTTGAACTCAGCCTCGGCAGCCTTCTGACGAGCTTCTTCTTCTCTGCGATCACGCTCCGCTGCGTCTTCCGCGCTTAACTCAACGGCCGCAGCGGGCTCGGCAGTCTCAGAAGGAAGCTCTTCAAGTTCCCATTCGGACTCCTTCGGCTTGGGAAGCGCAGAGAGCTTACTGCGGATTGACTGACGCATGAAATTTTCATGCATCTTGATATCCCGAGGTGTATTACCAATAAGCTGGCCACCCTCGCCCTCACGGTTAAGGGCGAAGTGGTCTCTTGGTGTGCGCAGCGGAGTAGCACCGTGCCCAACACGGCCTTGCATGGGAGTTGCACCCATGCCGTTGGTTTGTCGGAACGGTGTGGCCATGGGGTTGGGCGTAACGATCTCTTGCCGCCGAGGAGCAATGCCATCGAAGCCTGTCGATGTGCTTCCCTCGTGGAGGGGAGTATTCTCGCCCCCGAGCAGGGAAGATTGTGTTTCGGTCAAAGCTCGGATATTCTTGATCTCGTTGGCGATGTGATCCTCTTCGGGTGCCGCACGTGGTGTGCGAATGGGTGTTGCTCCAACTATAGCACCGTAGTTTCCAATAAGTCCGCGGGTGGCTTCTTCATCACCAATCATCCGGCTGGCCTTATCTCCTGCCATACCCATTTTAATAATGTCCTCCATCTCACCTTCGCTGACTTGCGGCGCGGGCAAATTCAAGCCTCTGCGTTTGCTGCTTTGCTCTGCTTCCCGGATCTTCTGCATCTGACCTGCTCGTGCAGCAGCAGCGAATGCTTCTGAGTTGCCGCCTTTATCATTCTTGCGCTTCTTTCGCTCCGCGTCATCGTCCTGGTCACCCTTTCGCTTGTTGGCCAGTTGTTGCTTGCGAGGATCAAACATCTCTCGCTGGCGTTCGTTAAGGGTCTGTTCTTCGGTGGTATCATAAAATCCAGGGGCGGCCGGCTTCTCGAATGGAATATCTGCGTTATAATCCATCTGACCAGGCTTCCGCGTAACGACCTTGACGTTGATACCGGCGTGCTTCAGTTCTCGACGCTTTTGCAGCACAGCCAGTCGACGCGATTCCTCCAATTGGCGCTCTCGGGCCTTTCGCTTGGCCTTTTTACCCTGTGTGTTGGCGAGACGCGCACGAGCTTCACTGAGCATCTCCTTCTCATCTTCGTCGAGATCGATCGTATCAGGACGTGCAGGCTTGGATTCGGGATCAGGATCTAACTCTCCCGGGCGCAGGCGGCGAACATCGTCGGCACTGGGCGCGGCCGACTCTCCCCCTTCTGGTCCTCCCAACCCGAGCTCATCATTCTCACGAGCCTCCGCCTCATCCAAGAGCTTCTGATAGCGTTCAAGACATTGTGTAGCAGTGCGTCCAACGATGGGGGCAATGGTGCGCCATTGTGTGGGCATAAGCTTGGCTAGGTGCAACAGCTTCTCATCCTCCTCCCGCGACCACTCAACCTTGCGAATCCCGGGATCTAGCCATTCAATCCATCGCGCTTTGCATTGTTTCGGCGTTTTCCGAGCGAGGAGAGAGGACACTCGAGCCCACTGGTTCAGACCATATTTGGAGACCTGTCATCGAGTCAGTATTTGCACAATCCATTAAAAGGCCGCCGGGGGGGGGGGTGTCTTGTCCGGTAACTTACAGCGGCACGAAGCACCTCATCTTCGATATTGGTCCTAAGCGCTTGTTAGTTGAGCTCGGTTGGAAGATGAACAGTGACGAGAGATCTTACCAGACACCTCCTTTGACGACAGGCATGGCGCGCAATCGGACTTAACGCCCCGTCAAAATAGCAAAAAGTAATATTTGAACCAAAAGCCCACCACCGGGAATGAAATAAATGAAGGTCCCGCGGCAAGAAGGTGACGCGCAACGGGTAGACGTTGAGCTTAGGAGAAAAGCGACTTGCCAAGTCCGACGTGCCTTCACCGCCCGCCTTCGCCGCCCCCGCGTTAGTCAGCGCGTCCAGATTTTTTGGTTTTGGTTTTCGGTTTCTGCAAAAAAAAAAACGATAAGACTGCCAACCATGTCGTCGAAGCTGGATGCCCCCCAGCAATTCAAACAGCCTTCTCGCAAAGGCAAGAAGGCTTGGCGCAAGAATGTTGACGTTACTGAGGTGCAGGAAGGCTTGCGTCTGCTGAAAGACGAAGAAATCAAAGGGTAAGTTCACAATTGATATCTACATCTTGCAATATCGCTGACCTTAGATCAGTGGTGTTGTTGCTGAGAAACCTTCCGAGGAACTGTTCATACTTGACACTGTTGGGTCGGAGGATGTGCGCAAATCTATTTCCAAGAAACACAAGACGCTCAAGGCCGACGAAATTATTGCTCAACGATCTGCGATTCCCGCTATCGACTCCCGCAAGCGTACCAGCTCCATTGTCACTGACGGTGTCATCGAACCTAAGACCAAAAAGCACAAGAAGGACTGGGTCAGCCAAAAGGAATTGCAGCGCTTGAAACAGGCCGCCCGGGATGCGGACATCACCAAGAAGGGCAGCAACGAGATTTATGACCCCTGGGCGGATGAAGCCGACAATTCCGCCCCTGTCGAGGACCCCCGCTTCGACTTCTTGCCTAAGCCGAAGCCCAAGGTTGCCCCTGAGACTTTGAAACACGCTCCCATCTCTCTTGCCGCCAACGGCAAGCCCATCCCCTCCGTGAGCGTGCCCCGCGGTGGAGCTAGCTACAACCCTCAATTCGAAGAATGGGACCGCCTTATCCAGGAGTATGGCCAGGAAGCCGTGGAGACCGAGAAGCAACGTCTTGAGGAGGAATTGAAAGAGGCTGAGAAGCAGCGCCTTATTGAAGCCGCTCAGGGCGACGATGGCGAGGTCAAGTCCGACGATGAGAGTGCCTGGGAGGGCTTCGAAAGCGAATACGAGAAGCCCGAGTGGTTGAACAAGAAGCGACCCGAGAGAAAGTCCAAGACGCAGCGCAACAAAATCAAGCGACGCAAGGAAGCCGAGAGGCAAGCGAAGTGGGAAGAGAAGAAGGCGAATAGAGAGGCACAGCTTGAGAAGGCGCAAGAACTTGCCGAGAGAGCTGATCAAAAGGCTGAAGAGTCCGATGCCGATGACTCGGACGAGGGAGATGAGATGAAGTTGCGACGGAAACCTTTGGGCGGCAAGCTTCCGTGGGTTTTCACTTCTTATAACTATCTGTGTGCTTTAACTAACTTCTATAACAGCGCCCCCCAAAAGCGTCTGGAGCTGGTTCTCCCCGATGAATTGCAGGACTCTCTCCGTCTATTGAAGCCGGAGGGTAACCTCTTGGACGATCGATTCCGCACCATGATCGTCCAGGGCAGACTGGAGGCTCGTAAGCCCGTGAGCCAGGCTAAGAAGGCGAAGAGAAAGATTACAGAGAAATGGATGTCTAAGGACTTCTCTATCCCTGGCCTGTTCTGATTTTGATTTCTACTTGTTATTCACAATGGCGTGCATGGGTTTTTTGGACATGAACATACATCGCGGTCAAAAGCATTCGGACTGTTCCATAATTATCTGGGTCAAATAAGAAGAATTATCCTTTCAGACATTCAATTGGATGACTTGGACCAGTCATTGAACGTATAATTTAAACTAGAACCAATTTTTCTCAATCCAGTATTATCCCTACTCTGATATTGCCACTTTCAGAAGGCGGTGCAGGCCTCCGAGGCGCGGCTCTCCTTTTTTTGCCGTCCAAAAAAGTTCACGGCCAATTCTTCCAGGTATCTTACCACCGAGGATGTCTTAGCATTTGCAGACAATAACTATATCGGAATGGATACGAACGGTCTTTCCAGCAACTGGAAAAAGCTACAGGCGACTCTCAAAAAGACACCCTCGACCTCGACCTCCTCAATAGGGAAGAAACGCAAAGCCTCGGACCGCGACTCTGGACATGGAACATTGAAGAAACAGAAGCCCGGAAAGGAATATACAAAAACACGAGATACAATCACACCATATAAACGAAAGAGAATGTCCGAAGGAGCTGAAATCGCGGCGAACACTGCCGACGCAGACTCGACCAAGCCTGCTTTGCGGAGAAAGTCTAGCGCCGGAGTCTCTGCGCAGACTGAGACTGGATCGCGCAATGGGAAAGTGAATGAGGGCCGTTCAAAGACGTAAGATTTTCTTATTAAGGAGCATTCCTTCGCGTCTTGCTGTACACATCACTAATTTTCCTTTAGCGCCGAGGTTGGAAAATACGTTGCCATGGATTGTGAGATGGTAGGCGTCGGGCCGAACCCGGACAACGACTCGGTTCTTGCGAGGGTCAGTATCGTTAACTTTAACGGTGACCAAGTCTACGATTCATACGTTCGACCTAAGGAAATGGTGACAGACTGGAGAACTCACGTTAGCGGTATTGCCCCCAAGCACATGGTGGAAGCAAGAAGCCTCGAACAAGCTCAGAAAGAAGTTGCTGAAATTCTGGATGGCCGTGTCCTCGTTGGTCATGCCGTGAGCAATGATCTTGATGCTCTACTCCTCGGCCATCCTAAGCGGGACATTAGAGACACTAGCAAACATCCTGAGTACAGGAAGATTGCGGGCGGCGGCTCACCACGACTGAAGGTGCTTGCTGAACACTTTCTCGGCATCAAGATCCAGGAAGGTGCCCATTCAAGTGTGGAAGATGCACGGGCGACAATGGCCCTCTATCGCCGTGAGAAGGATGCCTTCGAGCGTGAGCACCTGAAGAAGTGGCCAATCAGAAATGCCCCTGAACCCAAAGAGAAGGGAGACACTACGAAGAAAAAGAATAAGAAGAAGAAGAAGAAGGGCAAGAAATGATAGTTCAAGAGTGGAGGAATTCATCTGAAGACGAGGCAAAGGACTGTATCTATTGTAGAGAGCTGCTTTGTATACCCCAAATTTGCATTCAATTTAAATAGAACTCACTTTGATACATTGAAACAGTTGTATTGCTTGTAATAGTTGAACGAATGATAGATGATACCGGTCATGCAGTTCAAGTAATTTATGTCCGCCCGCTTCCACTTAACGCGGCAAACGCGACGCGCCGCGACTTCGACCGCCAGAATTCACAACTACCTTGACGTCGGCAAAACGCACATCGCAACGGGAAATTGGGCTTGAAACCAGAGACTTTGGCTCGCTAAAACCTTTCAGATCCTCCTGATATCCTCTATTACTCCATCTCCAAGCCCAGACCCGTGGAAAGACGCTTGCGCAGAATTTCGTCCGACACTGCGATCGTACCCAATGCCAGACATGTACAGCTTCCAGAGCCCAAAGCCGGCTTCACAATCAGAGAATGAACATGTTCCTCAACTCACACCGAACATTCTTCCCTGCCGAATCCACCACGATGGCCCCATCGACTCTACGGACCGATTCTGGACGCCCTCCACTGACGCGAAAGGTAAATTCGCCTTTTTCCTTTACAGACGAATGTCTGGTATGCCATGGATTTGCCAATTAATCTTGTCAAAAGATAAAACACAATCGTCACACTTCCGCGGCCGCAAACTTCGAGGCCGTCGCGTCGCGATCCCAGAGGGATACACAGGAATTGTCGCGACGCCCACAGAGCGTGTCTCCCAACAACCAGTCAAGAACTCATCGGCAGAAGATGACGTAACAGAGCTTGAAGAGCCTGTCAAAATACTCGAGATGCAGGGTACGTTCGACGAGATGATGGTCTGGGGACACGAGGTTCTTCCTGCGGCAGATGACCCCTATGTCAAGGGTATTGAAGAATGGTTGCGGTTTGCTGAGACGGTACGTCAATCTGGTTGTTGGTAGTCGTGACTGTTGCTCGTCTTGTCGATCTGACTGAACTACAGATGCATGGAACCTCTGCGCCTGTGGGTAAGTAGGAGAGGAATTGTTGGTATGTTGCGTGGATGAGATACCCTTTTAAGATATGCCTTGAGCTATGATGGCGTCAACCAAGATTGATTTTCACTTTCACATTAATTTAATTGTTTCAATCTGAAATTGGAGTGATAATTCATAATGAAGTGTGGAACTTCTTGTATAGCTCAACTCGGGGACGGGTCTTATAGTGATGCGTCATCTGCAAATTGACCCTGGGATAGTACTGCACAACCTATGCTTCAACCACAGCCAATTGAATACTGACATCTCGAGCTTTATTTTATTGCACTTTTCAAATCAAGAGATGGTTGCTCAAAAGACGGCTGCTTCATCCCTATACAAGTCTGTGATAAGCTCTGACCGCCTACGAAGATCGATAACGATAGATTTCCCACGCCGCTCGTCTTTGCATTCCTGCTTCTACAGTTGAGAACAAAAGTCTCTACAAGATGGCAGGAGCTGCGACTACCACCAAGGCTGCCACAGAGGCATTAATTGCCAAATTTCAAGTTGATAAGCTGCTGAAGCAAGGTACCTTGAACTCAAACCAAACCCCGCGATCAAACAACTCACAATCACTACAGATCAACATGGCCGGCGAATTACCTTGCTAGGCACAATTGACGGCCAGCAAGGCATCCTCACAGCCGAGCGAACAGCCTTCTCCACAGAATCCCTCTCAGTCATCAAAGCCTTCCACGCAGCAATCTCAAAAGTCAACAACCTTGGGGACAATGACATCTACCGCTGGTACCTCGCATCCTCAAACGGGCCCAGCACAGAAGGATCAGACATCCAACAAGACCTCAAGCTCAATCTCATCTGGCCATGCACGGCGCAACACATTAAGAAATACTCCGATCAGCAGCTCCGCATGGTCACCGAGACGCCGGAGATCTACGCACAGCACGTGCGACCTTTTATACAAGCTAAGCGCGAAGAAGGCCGTCTGAATTGGGTGTTCAACATCCTGGAGGGTCGAACCGAGCAGGAGGATGTCATCATGCGTGATGATGGGCATGGCCCTGAAGATGCGTTCTTGATGCTCCCCGATTTGAATTGGGATCGGAAGACTATGAGCTCGTTGCATCTACTGGCGTTGGTGCATAGACGAGATATTTGGAGCCTAAGGGACTTGAAGAAGGAACATGTGTCTTGGTTAAAGTATCTGAGAGAAAGGGTACTTGAGGCGACAGTATCCATGTATCCTGATTTGGAGCAAGATCACCTCAAGCTCTATGTTCATTGTAAGTTCTTTCGCCCTTGTTCTTGGGGATAAAACTGATCTTCTCTGTGGCAGATCAACCGACTTACTACCATTTCCATATTCATGTCGTTAATGTGATGCTGGAGGCCGGCGCTACCCAGGCAACGGGCAAGGCATTTGGCTTGGAGAATCTCATCTCTCAGCTCGAGACGATGACTGGCGGAGAGGATGCCAGTCTGGCAGATGTGAGCTTGACTTATTACCTCGGCGAGGCAAGTGAACTATGGACGGATATATTTGCGCCGTTGAAGCAGGGGAAGAAGCCAGCAAGCCAGCCAGACAGTTGAGTCAGAATCGAATTTGCGCAGGAAATGGCAAGTATAATCAATTTATGCCAAAGTACCACTGCCATGAACAATACTGGGATACAATGACTCAAGTCAATGCAAGGTTGGCTTGAAAATTCGCGGGCTAGAGTGACTTGTTCGTATGCTATATTTCCACTTGTAATACCGGCGCCTCATCCACCACTACTTATCTCACTGCAGATGGGCTAGAGGGTCTTGTGCTATTTTATTGAAGTAGAAACTGTTTACCTCCCTCGCCGGGCGAGGTCGGTGGTATCGTTGAATCAGCATAGCTAGTTTGCGTGACAAAGGTATCTTTGCTACCAGGATAGACGAATCATTGAATGCAGTTACGTACTCAGTGGCGATGAAGGGAATGGTTTCGGTGGATTCGCTTCTAGTGGAAGGAAGGAATCTAAATCTAGTTTTGTATTGAACTACATAAGTCAATTGGCTAAAGATTTTTTGATACCCCCAAAAAAGGGACTGAAGAACTCATTGCAAATCTCCGGAGCTCACAACATTTTGCCTTTGACTGAGCCTGGAACAATGCATCGACGCTGGGAAGAAGACGACCACGCTCATGTCTTTCAGTCTCCGCTTCGCAATGCCCACGCATCGTCTTGGCAATCTGGAATCCCTGACACTGTCCCAGAACTTAGGCTATGCTAAAAGAGGTGCAGATGAAAAGTTGAAACTACAAGAATTATTATCTCTAAATACATGTCTGGCGCTTTGCCTCGTGACTTTAGCCGTTCAAGATGTACTTCGTGACTTGAGTATCTCTCAATTCGTCAGTACCTGTCAATGACCAATCTACGAGCATATCTGATTCACGCATCCTGAAGTCTGCCCCAGCTGGGTCAGGGTCATGATGTAATTGAAGGTCAGGGATAAACCTTGAAGGCATAGGCAGTTGAACTGGGTAACGGCCAAGGAAAGGCTCTCAAGTGGCATTGTGACCTTGTTCTTACATTTACCATGACAAGTCTCGTTCGTTTTACTCGAACGCACGGATTTGACCAGGAAGAAGATAAGATGTGTGTTCATCGAGGATCGAACTTCATACGATTTTTAAAACTTTCATTTGCCATTCATGTATCTAAAGATACTTGACTAGCTCCAAGATTCCAAACATCATCAAGCATCTTAATTATTATAGCGTGTAAAAGACCATAAGAGCCCCCATCTACCTTGACGTGTATGGGTAGAGAGTCATCGAAACGCCTTTAGTGTAGGCGGGCCGAAGCGGAGCTGGTAGAAGAAGCGCTACCCTGGAAAGGGGTAGAAGAGCTAGCACCGGCGCTGGAGGTAAGGTTGGCCTCCAGAGGACCAATATCCAGAGCGCCGCAAGGGCTGGTAGGCGCAGAAACGCAGCCGCCCAAGTAAGATCCCAAGCTGCCAGTGGAGTTGCCAGTCATGAGGACCTGAGTGGGGCTGTAGGCAGAGACCAGAGAGTCGGTGTTGGACTGGAACATGGTGGAGTTCAGGCGGCTACCGATATAAGTAGCGTGAGCACTGTGCTCAGCAGCGAGACGAGCCAACAGGAAGGCGACCTCGGGCGATGTGGTGTAGCCAGCGGCACCGATGAATGCACCAGAGAGGGTGTACTCGAACTGGTAGGCGTACTGGACAAACGCGGAGATGTTGCTGACAGTAGGATAGGTGTAGGAGCACGATGGCGCACTGAAGCCGGGGGGCCTTGGAGCCGAGCTCGCGAACGGCCTCCTCGGTCAAGTTGTTGAGGCGCTGAATACCCTCCAGGTTCGACAGAACCTTGGAGGCGCTGGTGCTGTTCGAGACCTGGGCAGCAACGGTGGAGTTGAGGGCAGTCGATTTATAGAAGCCGTTCAGGAACCCGGACAGTGCATAGGTGTACTGGAGGACCTGGGTATCGCTAGAGGTAAGAGCACAGGCCGTGGAAGAGCTGCTCGCGGCCGAGGAAGAGCTACTCGCGGCGGAGGAAGAGCTGCTCGCGGCGGAGGTCAAGGCACCCCCGGCGACCAAGAGCCAGGTAATCTGAGAACCGAAACGCATGGTGTATGGAAATTAGGCGGAGGTCGACAATCCAGATTCTAGTGGATGGGAAGTGGTTTGAATCAAAAGAACTTGTTGGATCTAGGCGATGCTAGATTTTATAGCACATGGTTTGCAAACTGGGTTGGTGATGTCTTCATTGCTGCCTGCCTGGCAGTCTATTCATCATACGAAAGATTCTTCATCCCAGGAGACGCATGCAGCGATAGACCCATTTTCCATATCATCCGCTTCGCCTGTAGAGTTCCCGAAACATGTCGACCCTTGGGTTTACTTTGAAGCTTAAATCACTCGAGCGGTCTAGAATGCGCCTTGCAGGCAATTAGCGTAGTATTCCGTGCTAATCGACATGATGCACAATTCATTGGCATAATATATTGCAGATATACATATTTCAACCTGTTTCAATGCTGGAAAATTATTTTATTGTTAAGTATGTAGCTGTTTCAGCATTGTGTTGAGCGTGGCGTTGTGCTATAGTTGCCGACGTCATCGCGAACAATCTGCGTCACGACTTCCCGCGACAGCTCTGAGCTCCTTCCAACCTACCAAAATCTACAGAACCAAGTCGGAATTAACCGATGAAAATTCAATTCATGTTCGTTAGCAACTTCTAGGAACGTCACATACTCGGGGCAAATGACGACTAGACGGGCTGCTGTGAACTATCATGTCCTTGAACATCGCCACCTCAGGTCCTTTCGCAAGAGTTTATTCGACACGTCGGGTTCGCCGGCATGAGTTTAGCATCCGTTTGACTTCTCGTGGTCCAAGCTGCGCTCGTCTTTGAATCTTGATCTCTGACTTCCGCCTACAAACAGGGTCAAACCCCCGATACACCCGAATATAAAGATCAGGGTATATAAAGTGAAAGCCACTTTACCGAGCACATCCGAGGCTACCGCCTGTGGCAAAATCTTCGATAATGTAGCAAATATCATGTTCAAATCGCAGTATCAGTTGCTAGCTAAAGAACCTTGCTCGAGGTACTTACCCAGGAACGTGTTTAGGATTTCGTGCTTAAAGGGTTGACGAACGAGAGCTTGCATAGCTTCCCCCCTGAAACCTCTTTGAGTTGGTATTCATTTGCAAGAATCGTTCGTGATGGTCTTGCCACCGTTCTTCCCACTGGTGTTTGGATAAGGCAAATGTGACAAAGATCATACACCGTTCAATCGGTACGGCAACTACACGGTTATGGGTAACTGGACCCCCTTGGAGGCTATGGTTAGCCAGAATAAATTTGAGCCAAGAAATACTTCAATGACGCCCACTTTTTTTTGCATACGCGTCTTAAGAATAGTGGCCGGTTTCATCTGGGGACTGCGTGGAGATATAAATCGTGTGAGGATCCTGGCGATATTTACCCGCACTGAAGAGGGGAGGGGGGGAACTCACCTGGGCACTCAAAGCTTACAAGGTGGCAAATCAATTTCCTAACTCCTTCGAACCCTCTATTGAACTGAGTCACTACACTTCTCCATGCATGACAGCAGAGGCGTTGGGTCGCTTCATTCATCTAGGACTCTTTCAGCGATGCCTCAGCTATGCATTCCGTTTTGCATTCACACCCCTGCCTACCAGAATCACCCTCTAGTAGCGAGGATGAGTAGATGAGACTGAACACCGGGGAGGCGTCCAGATGAGTAAGTCTATACTCATCTCATCAAGTAAGAAAAGTATTGATAAAGCCAATTTGCTCTCTCTTTTCAACGAGATCGATTGTCTTATGTAATGTGATATTTGACCGTCGTGCCCCAGCTGTTCTTTTGCAATCCCAAGGTATTACATGTCAAAATTATGGAGATGGGAGATGATCTTGGCGTCCATCAAATACGTCGCTTACCCACCCAGTAAATTCGGCTTTTCTTATGGGAAGAAGGTGCTTGGGTGCCAGAAGAGGAGGGGAGCAAAGAATTGCAGTAGAGACCTCCATGACCCTAGCAAATATCTCCATTGGCGCGTTAGATCGACTTAGCGTTCGGAGATCGTCGGACGTCGGCGTCGTCACACAGCGTAACCCTATTCGTACAAGGCTGATATGCCAGGCTTGGCAATATGACAAAAGGACAAGTTAGGCTGGTATAGCCACTATTCAAGTGTGCTGTATTCCTGTTCAGCTTTCTTTGTATGCAACGTGGCCATCGTGCTTCAATGACTAGTGGGGCACGATTTATATCCTCAATGCTATCACATATGATCGATCGATCGCTCACTTTGATTCCGACGCAAGATGTGGCCGAGCTCAGTCGAAGCCTGTCGATCTCTTTGTCTTTAGATAGCTCCTGAGTAAGCGTAGTGGTCCAGTGTAACTCACATTCTCATGGAAATAATGAAAGACAATGTGCCTTCTAATGATGTGCCCATGCTGGGTAAGGGCATTTACAACTCCCAGTCGCAGCTTCAGCGTGAGGCGATGTTGAAAGTCCTACCAATGCTCGAGAAATCTGCCCAGCAACTTAGCCACCAGTCATATCCCACAGACAGACCGCTGAGTATCGTCGACTACGGCGCAGCGCAAGGAAGTAATTCGTGAGTACTTGCACCGTTTGCACGCAACATTTAAAACTAATGCTCCCTCAACTAGCATCGAACTCATGCAAATGATCATTCAGAACCTACCAAACGAAAAGCTCCAGCTTCTCTCCAACGACCGTCCAAACAATGACTTCAACACCCTCTCCACGACAACAGCAGAATGGACCAACTCTCTCATCAATCCTGCTTACATAGGATTGATCCCACGAAGCTTCTACAACCAACTTCTTCCCGCCAACTCCGTCGATCTAGCCTTTTGCCTCACATGTCTCCAACACCTCAACGACATCCCGGCAACGCATGATGAGAACCTTCAGCGGTTCCCGGACGCGGAAGCAAGACATCAAAATCAAGCACACGACGATCTCCTTCTCTTCCTAGAGCATCGAGCTATACAAATGAAGCCTCAAGGCTCGCTCATTCTCTGCTTTTCAAGTACGTCGGCCTCAGGTCATCGGAACCTTAGCGGTATCATCGCATCATGCTATGACGCAGTCAGAGAGATGGCCACAGACGGCCGACTCTCCAGGGAAGTTGTCGCAGCATTCCAAGATCCATTGTACGAGCGTACCATGGACGATGTGCTTGGTTCACTTGGTGAAGTCAGCGAGTCATGGTGCACACGGGAGATCTTTGAAGATTGGGTGTTCCATCCGGCGATTGGAAAAATGGAAACGACGGAGGCGCATGGAGTTGAAGAGCTGGAAGCTAGTCAGAAGTATGCGGATACGGTTGTTGATTGGTTTATGGCTGTTCTTGGAGGGTTCTTTCGCAAAGCGCTGAGAGTTTGGTGAGGGGAAGATGTATGCGGAGGAGATGGCAGATGTGCTTTACGAGACTTTTGTCACGAGGGTCAAGAAATTGTTTCTCCAAAATTATAGAGACGAGGCGGCCTCAATGTCGTTTATATTTGTTTGGTTACAGCGGTCTTAGATTACTTATCTAGCCGTCTTCAGGGTCGTGCTCAACATGCAGGTTAGCACGGGTGGACATTCTTAGTTCCGGACATACCACGCGTCTTTGCCTCTGCCACATATCAGTGCTATTACATGTTCATCGAGTTTTACGGGGTTTTGGGTACTAGCAAGAAGTGAAGTACAAGAAGTGAAGTACTATACAGAGCCAAAGAAGTGAAATTTTCAAGTAAAGCACACCAAAGCCAAGAACATTCAAAAACCAATAATCTAGACATCTTCAGCATCAATCCATCGGGAACCCTCGGCAAATAGAAAATTCATGCCAACCAACTCTACACAATGACCCTCACGAAAATTTAAAAGTCACCCGCAGTGAAGCAGCAAATGTAACATCCCAGGCCAGACCTGTAAACCGGCTTCGTCTACACAAAGTTAGTATTCGTTAACTCCACCATCCAACAAAAAAAAAAAAAAGACTTACCGTAGGCATCTCACACTGCGCCTCCTCCTCACTAGAATAGCACTGACCCAAACAGAAGGCATTTCCCTCATCAGAGCCGTAATTGGAGTTCAGCTGCACAGGTGCAATATTAGAACCCGGCGCCAAAGGAGCAATAGGCGCGATACCGCCCAGACCAGGCGCCTGAGCCTGGGCGGGGTGGAAAGCCGGACGCTGAGGCTGATTGAAGTGGCTCAAAGCCTGCGAAGCGGCGGGGGAAGCCTTGGCCATGGAACTGATCGGGGTTGAAGAGGCCATTGTGACCATTGAGCTCATGGGCAAGTTGTACATGTCCGAGTACGGAGCCTGCGAGGGCATGGCATAAGGCGTTGACATGGCCGAAGCAGACATGGAGAGACTGGCATACATTGAACCCTGAGAGTACATGGGGACGTCGGAGTATATCGGCAGATTAGGATGTGGTGCCAACGGGGCGTTGGACCATGCTACCGGGGCGTGGGACATCGATGCCTGCACCTGTGTTGAGGAGGGCTTGTGCATCATTGACAGGGCCATCTCAGAGGCCATTGAAGAAACCAGAGGCGCCATGTAGGCTGGGATCTCGCGGTTGGCGGCAGGACCGTCGGCTGCTGGGCCGTGATTTGCTGAGGCGTGCTTGTTGAAGAGGTTTGGGTTGTGGATGCCCACTGGGTTTAAGGGGTCCGCGTGCAGTGCCCAGACATGGCCTGCTAACAGAGAGGTTGAAAGGGTAACGACCGCTGTCAGCTGCATCTTGATGGTTTCGGGTGTCGTTGGCAGTTAGTGAGGTTATAAGATAGACCGAGATGTCGCAGTCGGCGGCGATGGGAGGAAGAAGAAAGAGATCGTTTACACTGATCAAATAATATTAGCATGACCATGGCTGGCAAGGGGTCTTGTTTTGGCAGTCGTCGTAGGTGCATATTTGGTTTTGCGCGTGTGGAATGCAGGTTGCAGACTGGCATGCTACGGATGAGAAGAAGATACGCTTGTCTGGGTTCAAGGCTGTCCCAAAAAAATGGTGTCATGAAGTTCATGGTATATGAATATGAATGATTGACTTGTGGAAGACTCATTCATGATATCTGGAATTGTTAATGAGATGAATAGTAAGGATGCAGTCCAGCATTCCACGCGTACTACTCATTGGATGGCTCGGCGTTTCGTCCGTCAGACTTCTTCAGAAATTATCACGTGATGTGTATTTTATTTTGACGGTTTCATTGAAGATTTGTCTCTCGATAGTGCCGAGTTGATGTGCTATAGAATTGACGGGGTGTAACGCATGTCGTGGAATGTTCATGGGGCCGATGCCAAGACTATGGGGCTCGGAAATGGAATCCGCAGCGTTAAAATCTCGAATATACACTTCCGATCTCTTACTCACTTGCAAATGGATTTGTCTAGAAAAATTGCTTAGACCCCCTACACACAATCACCAAGTACTGATACCCTGAATACAAAATAAACCCAAGGTAACTTTGAAGCAAACCACGGCATGAACCTCGTGGCTCGCCACTTCGCACGTCACACGATTATGTGGCGCAGGAACCGACAAGTTTTCGATCGTTGATACAGAAACCAAAGTTTCGTAGCAAAATGAACCTTGCAGAAAGCTGGTGTAATGAAGTAAGTAGTTTCAAAAAATACCATGGCTCTGCTCGTAAAAAGTCGCGCACAGATAGCGGTCGTACTAACTCACAACGCACTACAGAAAAAGCTCGGGACACCCAGCATATACTTGTACGAAAGGGTGGTCGAGGTCCGCCTCTGACCCGTCCTCGAAGCTCGGAGCTCGGAGCTCTAGAGTGCTCGAAACGCACTTGGACAGGCTCATTCTTGCCTCAGCCTGTGGTCATCAACAGGAGCTCAGATGTGGCTGTTTTATTCCCCGTATCATCAGCTTTTGGCCACCCAATCATATCCTGGTTCTTTTTGGTGCCCTGGTTAGTCCCTTCCTTTGAAATAGGTTTGTGATAATAGTCGAATGGTAAGGTCCGGCCATCGCGCAGTGTTGAACCTGCTGACCTAGGCCGGGATCCCCCGAACGATTCATATTCGCAGGGGTACGTTTGTACCTAGGCATTGCAAATGTTGGGCGAGTCGGCGCCGAGAATTCCGTAGTCCGCAGTTGCGGGTTTGCGGCTGAGAGCTGGGTACGGAGTACGAGACCAATGTTTACTCTTCGCCAATTCATAAGTGCCTAGATATTCTAGGGTAAGCCATAATGAGTGAGACCTTCCGACAGAAGCCTGTTTTGAACAATATCTTCACAGAAAGCTGTGATTCTCTGCGCTTCTCCGTTCATCGAGGTTGTTGAAAGATTATCGCCCCTGTTCTCACGGACCAGGTACATAATCCCACAACATTTCAACCAAGTGGCAGGATAATAGGGACCTTGGAAGTAAAGAGCCACAATCATATGATTTCCATTTTCTGATGATGGAATCTCAGAAACACGAAACGTAAACCCGACGCTCGATTTGGACGCCTGCCGTGAGGTGGAGTCTAAGCCCCAATGATTTCGCCAGGAGCACTTTTCCTCCTCATATGTCCAATTGGTGCCGCTGAAAGTTTTCGCAATATGCATTCCCATCTAGCCCTCGCTTTGAGACTGAGGAACAGCTGGCTTTGCCTCTCAAGTGTCCATGTCCCCATGCGTACTCCCTCATGATGATGTCTGGACAGGTCTTGTGCCAAGCAGATTCACCCCTGGGTACGAAGGAAAGCCTGACTTTGCATCAATGGTTGGCAAGTACGCCTCATAGATAAGGCGTGGTCAGCATTCTGCTCGGAGGGAAGTTGCATTGTTCAGAGGCCTGTCACTTCCCAGCCTCAACACCCCCTGGTCCATGACGATGGTCTTGATGGAGGCCATCATCATCGATCATTTTCTGCAGCCAGCCTCGGTCCATTTGTCTGTTACCCTTTTGAAAGGTCTGGCCTGACATGAAATAATTAAACCGACCGTGACGCTGGTCCCATGCTGCCAACACAAGGCTCAACCTCGGTGCACTGAAATCCGAATAACAGCGCAGATTCCCCTTTAAAAGATTCTTAGATCCCTCTCTTTCCCACAGTCTTGCTGTCTCGCAGACCATCGAACATCCTTTGTCGTTTCTCCATTAGAAGGCAAAAATGAGTCGTTGCTCATCGGAGTCAGATGAAGGGACCGAGATGATCAATGCTGGACCACTGTTGCCCAAACGAGACTGACCAGTACGTGTCTTTGGAGTCAGCACTGCAGTATAGTCTCGATGACCAGCACACGTTTATCCTCCTATCATACCCTGGGTCTATCGACAAGATTCGCCTCGAGTCTGAAAAGACTGCGCGACCTAGCGGTTGATTCGACCTTTGGCCATGATTTCGCCACCAATTCCTCTATCGGGAAACTTCAAGGACTCATTCCCAAACAATCTGTGGACGGCCCCAGGATACCCTGGTGATGGATCGAGATGATCGAATTTGGCATCCGCACCGATAAATGCTAAATGAAGCACCTCTCACTGGGCATTAACGCAGCATAGTCAACGCTCCAGCACCCGTTCCACCCATCCATCTCATACCATGGGATCTTCAACAAGATTCATGATCAAGATGACAAGGCCGCCCGAAATGGGTGTCGAGTCAAGTCAGATTGAGGCAAGAAACTAGCACAACTGGCATTATTTCAATACTGCATCACCAAACCGAGGCAAACAACAAATTCGGAAGGAGCCTTACGAGATCATCCATCATCGTCTTTATGGCTTCAATCGATTCGAATCAGTGAATACGGCCGATCGCATACCACCCGGGACGAAAGCGAGACTCTCCGATCTTTCTCGTCACAATCCGAGTGTCGACGACAGGATCCCGCACACCTCTCTTTCGTCGACATCTGAACAGCATAGTCCTTAATAATGTCTCCCAGTTGAACTTGAAGAGTCTCCGTGGTCATATCTCTTCATCTGTCTCTGGAAAGACATGACAAAGATTGGGCAGTCGTTGAGGTATTGCCTGGTAGGAGACTGCATGATCATCTCTCCGACTCATCTTGCATTGTATCCATAATCTCTTGCCGACTGAGCAGGAAAAATGGAAAGCAAACCAAGTTCTTCGCGATCAATACTCGACCGTAATTTTGCGAGATTGGCTGTCATGGGCGATGTCCTCGACACCAGATGGATGCGAGCTGTTTAGAGGCCCAGTACAATGACAAGGATGAAAAAAGTCGATCTCGACAAGCGCTGAGAAAGACAGCTGTACCATATGGCCCTGGTCAGACTTTCATCTCGACGAAGTGGATAAATCAATCCCAAAAGGACCCCGGATGATAACGTCGGTGCCTCCTGTTGATCAGGAAAGAGAGTCGGCTGAGCAGCTGTTCCAGACTTGGCCATAGCACGCTCTATAGTTAAATTCTATGGTCAACTCTTCAGTTCAGTCTGAGAAGATCATCATGAGCTCGTGTCACCTTTGATGACCGGGACCCAGCGCGGACGATCTTCCAATAGCTGCAGCGCGCCATTCTGGATCCGTCTCAACCCTCAGCTTGCAAGTCCAACTTGGGCGCGCCAACTTCGGGGACATGAGCCTCTCGATAGCCGAAGTGACAGCGAAGTCGCCGACGACCTGCTGAATTGCAGACCATGGTTCCGGCTCAATGTCCTCCACCAGGCTCCTTAATATGTGTCCATGACCATGATCCAAGTGATGGCCTCCGTGTTATATGCCGTTGGTCCTTCACGCGTCTGAGCCAGCCACTTGACCGAGACCTGAACAGACACGCATTTACATTGCGGCTATGCGTTGTGCTCGGGCACTAGTATGAAATTTGCACTGTATAGGACGAGCTTCCAGGCTGCAAGCTGAAAGTATCGGTGTGGAAGAGAATGACGTTGGGGGTAGTTACCGTTGGCGGGAGGTTAGGGTGAGTGTTCGAAGGTTGCCAAGTTGGCCTAGGTGTCGACTTCATCGATCGAAAGTGGTAAATCTGGTGGATCCAACGTGACCTTATAAGACGAGTCAAAAGTAACGAGAGAGAAGTGCACTGGTGTGCGTGAAAATCGAGCCGCGTCGGTGAAGGTCAGGGCGAAGGATGGAAGGATGGAAGGATGGAAAGATGAGACGGTGGAAAGCCAATCTCTCGAAACCGGCAAACAATCATGAAAGCCGGTTAATCCATCTATTGAGAGAGATGACGCGAGTCAGTAAGTCGGGCAAGGCTATCCCCAGTACCGGGGTCAATCGTACCTTTGACATCCTTCCAAGGTGACTGTCCATGACAGCCTGTGCTTTCACTGGTGTTTTCCCAACAAGCACTCCTCCGGACTTATCTGAGTTACTCGCGTGACGATCTTGAAAAAGGGTTTGTTGTCTTCGATGCTGCCAAAGAAAGGTCAATCTACCAGCGCCCTCTGTCAAGACGAGATCATGATGTGCTCCTGCGAGTTTGAGAAGATCACGTCAAAATCATCCAACCATCGCTCCACGGTCTGTCCATTGCCGATTGAGTTGATGAATCCCTGAAAGTACGTGTACTGACTCTCCTTTTCGTGTTGTCTCGAGTTATCGCGGGCGAAAGCCAGAGGTCTTGTCGGAGGCTGACGCTGCATGATCTGTTCCTGGAGACATCATTAATGCTAATCATGTTTAGTTGGTCACTATTGATTCATTCGAGGACGAAGCAGTGAAGAAATGCAGCTTTTCATCAACAGCAGCACTTTTGCTGTCTTTTTTCGGTGTAAGGAGAAACCGCGAGGTGGTGACAAGCGAATGTTGCTCTCTCCGACCAACTGCCGGATCTAACACTCTTCATGTCGGCCCAAAAGGGATGTCGGCAACGACCTACAACCATCCCAAGCCGTCTCCAAGACAGCGAAATGACGATGTGTCAAATGAGCAAAACGCGCCACAGCAAGCAGAAAAAGAACGGAATTCCAGAGGCGATTCGAAGATGATACTTCCTTCCAAGACTCGAATAATTACACGCAGATTGGCCGGTACTTTTTTCCGGGTCCGGCACAAGACTACGATTAGTGAATTACTCACAAACAAGAGAGAACGTCTGGTTTCATGGCCACACAGTGCCAACACGGGCAAATGAGCTGGTGAAGGAAGATGAGGATCCGCCACGTCCCGTTGGGACATCATCGCTCAGTCGTGGGCGGACTATCGACTCGAGAAGAACGAACCGGGTTGTTTTTGGATGGGTTTAAATGTTCCCTCATTCCACCAGCCTCTCTTCTTCTCCCGTAAGTCTCTTCTTTCTCTTCTCTCCGATCCTTTCGACGCAGTTTCATTCGTGGTCGACTCCCGAAGCCAGGCTAGCTTGAATACAACACATCTATCTCAATCAACGTATGGCCGACCGCTTTGTCCTTCTCCCACTGTCGTGGTACTTCGCGACTGCATCTCCCATTTGGCTTTTTAAACACATTTGCCCCCTCTAGATTTATTATTTCTTGTCCTTTTGCATCCTTCTCATCCTGTGGTCCGGTAACTGATCGTCTTCGTCATGAAGGCGCTTGCAAGGGTCCATCCCCGAAAGCACACATCGCCCACCATCCAGTCCCGCATAACTCTCGAGCGGGCAGTCCGTCAATATTTGATATCCTGTGATCTCTGTAGCTTTACCACGGCCAGTGGATCACCGCCCAAGGCCTGAGTATGTCGGCACGACTCGACGCCAGCGACTCTGGCAACCAGGGAGGCTCTCCTGGTGGCAACTTCGGACAACAAGCTTCACCACAAGCATCGAGGTATGTGAGCTCGCAATCCCTCTCTAAGTTGTTAGTCGACCATCATCCACCCTTTTTTGAGCACTCTCCCATGATCGCGGCACATCAGAAGGCCTTTTTTTTTTTCCCTCGAACCAGGCTGACCGGTCCGCGCACAGTATCGAAAGAGCAATGCCAGCAGACGACCAAATTGCAGTCCCAGAAGATATAGAAGCTGAATTGAAACATTACAACTTCCTTCTCGAGCAACTGCTAGGCTTGATCTCGAGCGGCGGAGAGGAATCTGTCTCGCGCGTGATTTCTGTTATCCGCTCGGGCGGCTCCCATCGCCAAATTCTCGACATCATCGAACAGCAATCCGAAAGCAAGAGCCCAGCCGGGAAGAACGGGGTTAAATAAGTCGCGCTTCTCACGCCTCCTAGAGTCTATTCTATAAGACTGTTCCGTGTGGCGAAAGGAACGAGAGGTGCCATATCATGTGTCATGAGATCAACGCTGGGGGGGACAAATTAAGATTTCACCCCCAGTACAGATTCAGATGGAAATTCCAGAACGGAGACCGGAATTGGTGGAGGGATCCAGACTCACTGGGAGGGGAACATATTGGAGAAGGGCGCAGTTTGGCCGAAAATAGCGCGAATCTTTTCCGTGACTTCCATCTAGCAATCGTCTGCCGCATGCTCCATGCTCATTTGATCCCATCTTCTTTGTCCCCAAGGGTGCGGCTGTATACAGCGTCATGTGCCCCGTGGCTCGTACGTTTCTGATCCCCGGCCAAATGCTTAATTGGGGCCTGAGCTAAACTCGCCTCTTCAATTCATGGGATTGTTTGATTCATGGCGCTGTCAGCCTCAAAAGAGAAAAATGTATTGGTGAATGGGAGGCGTGATGTGGCGAAGTCGCCCCTGATATCATCATGAACTTTGCTCGGTTCATCCCATGGTGCTTGTGCGTGGCTGCTATAAGTGTTGGACGGGAGATAAGTGCGCCAGTGAGAATGCGGCTTGTGTCACCCTCTATGTGAGTCAGGTTGCGAGACTCTAAGACGCCCAGCTTCATGATCTGGATGGCTTCATTTTGACAGCGAATCAGACGTCAGTATGTTAATTGTTCTAATGAACAATTAAATTGTTCAGTGAGTCAATTCGATGAAATCGAGGGAGATGGTCTCCGCGACCATCTCGTTTTTGGAATCGACCTGTGCTTGCCGCCAGTCTCTGTCCCTGAGCGAGTGGATCAGATAGAAAGGAAGACGCAAAGAACAAGAACAAGGTTAGCACTGTATTTCACGAGGCGTCTTTCTAAGAAGGCAAGTGGACGGCGAGTGAAGTGGCCCGTGGGCTGGTCCGGATTCTATCTCCGTGATGATGGAGCAATGGCATCACGGTCAGTGGAGCACGTCCAGCCCTTCCTTGGTCTTTGGCGACCATCTCGAGTGAGGCTCTGGAATCCTCAGAGCAGATCCTGCTCGGACTGGTCTTCTCCAGAGGGCCCAGATTGCCCAGGTTCAAAAGAAGATGAAGGATCGAGAAGCCCAGAAGGTCTCAAGGCTAGCTAGTTGGCCGAGTCAAGACCTGCAAGCCCTGCAAGCCCTGGCCTTGCAGGCGGAGAAGACACACCGAAGCCCCAAGCCCATCTCTCCATCACCTCCATCCCCTTCATCATGATCTTCGTCTTCTTTGGCATCGGTCCAATCTATCCTCACATGCAACATGAACAAAGAATTAACATCTAGACAAATTCCCTTCTCAAACCCCTCATCACACCCCCTCCCCGTCACCACAATCACTCCAAACACCAAACACCCAGTCCGACCGGACGCGCCCCCAGCCAGCAAGTAACAGTCACCACCAGACGTAACATGTCCCCATCGTCGTGTTTCCAACAAGTCCAGTCCTGCATTGCCAATTCTGCGTGAGCCTTACAGACTCAGACTCAGACCCAGACTCAATCCCGAGCACCGGGTGTTTGGGATCCAGAACATCCTACTCCAGTTCGAGAAATCACGAGGAATATACTCTGTCCGGCTTTCGCATGATTTAACTGCTTTCACTCTCAGGAAACGCAGAGTCCAGGAACGTGGCAGTCTCTGTGTTTCCGCTGTGAAAGAGGGAGCCGTGGCATCTGCAGCGTGAGAGCGAAGCAACCGATCATTCAAGGTTGATTTCTGGGTTATGATTCTCTTTCAGAAACTCAGGCCTCTGGTCTCTTGGCTCCGGTAACCAAGTGGAATTGTGGGTGGCTTGTTGGTGTCGAGTCAAGCACTAGACGCAGCACGAGATCCTATTTACCGCGCAATGGGATGGACATGGAAAAATGAACATTACCACCCCAAATCTAAGAGCGAAAAGCTCAGGCTTAAGTCCTGGATAAGAGCGTCACTTGATTGATACGGCGGATTTTGGACCGTACACCAGCTTAGAACCTACGGGATCTATGAAGTTATACGATATAATCGTCAAGTACCCTATATTGCTTTTTTTTATTATCTTCGTCTTTTGTTGAAATGACAGATTGTTTCAACAGATTGAGACTTCCATTAGTTGAGACAGCTTTCAAGCGAGATATGGGGGATGGGAGATGGAATACTCTGGGAGGGGACAGGGAAGATTGACGAGATTCATTAAATTTAGTTTGCTACTTGAGTACGTTTTAACGGAAGTACCAAGTAAGAAGGTTGTAGGGCACACTGGTTTGCTCAATGCTTATTTCTTCCCGAGGTTGACATTCGTGCGTCTAGCCTTACTTCAGCTATCTAAACGCGCGTGATAATGAGTGATACTCGGATCTGTCCGAACCTCAAAATGCCTTGCTTCTGGCAAGATACAACCAATGATACAACATCCCGTTCCAGGGAATCAAAAGATATACGCTACAAATCCAATTATAAAGACAGACCAACCCAAAATACGCACAGTACTTGAGATGAAATGAAAAAAAAAAAGAAATTCTTAAATTCTTGATGAGTCCCTTATTTTTAAACCACTGAAATGTATCCAACCATAGTCATGTCCAAAGCTTTTTACGGGGTGCAACGGTTAGTGAAGCGGGGGTAGAGCGAGCAATCACGGACAGTGTAGCGACCGCACAGCCAGGCGAGGAAACGCTCCAGACCGAGACCGTAGCCTCCGTGGGGGGAGGTACCGTACCTGTTCAAGTTAGTGTGTGTTTCTTCTTCGCTTTTCGACATGTTCAGTGGACTTACTTGCGCTGGTCAGTGTACCAGTAGTAAGGCTTAGGGTCCATGCCCTCGTGCTTATAGGCAGCCATCAGCTCATCCCAGTCATCCATACGCATACTTCCACCAACGATCTCGCCAACACCAGGCATGAGGACGTCGACACTCTCAGTAACGCGACGATCCTCGGGATCCTTCTTCATGTAGAAGGCCTTGATCTCCGCAGGGAAGTGAGTGAGGAAGATAGGAGTGTTGATGATATCCGTCATCTTGCGCTCCGCGGCCTCGGCGATATCGTCGCCGAACTTGTGGGGCTCGCCCTCCTCGTTAGGAATGTTGTGCTCCACGAGCCAGTCAATGGCATCAGAGTACTTCATGCGGCGGAAGGGACGACTCGGGGGCTTGAAGTCGGGGTTCAGAGTCTTGATGTAGTTGGCGATTTCAGGCTCTGCGAGGGTGTAGTTGATCACACGACAGATCAGCTCCTCAATGTGGTCCAGGAGGTCGTTGAAGGTAATGAAATCGAGCTCAGCTTCGATGTGAGTGTACTCGGACAAGTGGCGACGGGTGAGAGACTTCTCTGCGCGGAAAGAGGGGCAGACACAGTACACGTCGCCCAGGGAGGGGAGACAGGTCTCTCAGGTACAGTTGGGAGGACTGTGTGAGATAGGCGTTCTCGCCATAATAATCAAACGCGAACAAGGTCGATCCGCCCTCGACTGTGGGTGAATGAGTAAGGAAACAATACACATCAGAGTTGTAAAGACATACCTTGGGTCTGAACCATGGCGGGAGGGGTCACCTCCAACATGCGGTGGGACTCGAACGACTTGCGGAAAGCGCGCAGGACGGCGGAGCGCACCTTCATCACAGAGGAGGAAGTCTCACCACGGAGGACCAGGTGGCGGTTGTCGTACAGGGTCTGGGGGTCAGCATCGGGGGCGACACGGGTGGTAATCGCCTCCTTGTCACCGGCAGCGCGGCCAATGATGGTAAAGAAATCGGCGTGCAGCTCACGGCCGTTGGGAGCGTGAGCTCCAGCGGGGACGGCGCGCATCTCACCGTGAATGACCATGGAGGTCTCGAGGGTCAGAGTCATGATATCGTAAGTCTTGACCATATCGCCGGTCAGAATACACTGGAGATAACCATAGCCATCGGCCAGGGTAATGAAGACGACATCCTTCTGGGCACGAGCACGGTGAACACGACCGAGGACGCGAACACGGGTACCTGGCTGGTCGGAGCCGGGGGCGCGCAGCTTGACAATGGCGGGGTCGGTGACATCCAGACGAATGCGCACAGGCTTGGGCAGCGAGGTGTCCTCCTTAATTACGATCTTCTTAGCCTCCTCGAGAACCTTCTGGCGCTTTTCGGCCTCGGCCTTCTCGCGGATAGCCAGCTCCTGCTCCTTGGCGGCCTTCTTCTTGCGCTGCTCGTACAGGTTGGTGGCCTTCTTCATGGCGGACTTGGTGGCGGGCTTCCACTCCAGCTTGGCGGCAGGGTCGACATCATCACCGGCAGCATCTGTCTGTGACTTGCGGGTAAAGTATTGAATACCCTCGGTGGTGGGCGCGTGCTGCACAAAGGCGTGCACAAGAGTCTTGTAGGGAGCGGTCTCGGAACCGGTCGCGGTGGCGTCGTCGACACCGACGTCCTCGTCAATGTAGATAGAAGGTGCCATGTCGGGCAATTGCTCTGCAAGGACTGGATCCAATGGTGCCAATTGATAGTGCTCGGGTTTGGAGTGGTGGGTTCTGTGAAGATCGGCCATTAATTAATAGTGTGTCTCACATGTGAGTCATCTACCAAAATGACTTGGAAGGAAGGGCAAGAATAGTGCATAGGCCCAAGCTATGCTTGGAAGACATTGGAACATACCAGTCCGGAGGCGAATTCTTATCTTGCGGTCAATGGCAAAGCGCCCGTATGAATCGCACAGTCGGTGGAGGGGTAAATTTCCGCTGATAGCAGTTGGCGGGTATTCCCCGCGGATGCCTGAGGCAGCCGCAGCCCATGTCTTCTCGAAATTTTATGTTTAGGCCTCGACCACGCCCGGTACTCAATGGGTACAAGTCTAGACATTGAAACATGCGGACTTCATAAACTGAAGAGTAAAAGCGTATCCTTGGGAATTAGACTAATGTTGAAAGAGGCCATGGATCCATCTTGAGGTATCTTGATATAAAAAACACCCTAGGGAGGAAAGGATATCCCCGATGTTTCGGTGTGAGAACAATCCAGAAAGCGCTCCTAGTCAGCCACCATTTGACCTACCAAGGCTCCCTATTGACATGAAGAAGGTCACGAGACAAGAGGCTCTATAACCCAGTGTTCCTGAACAGTTCGCATACCAGGGACGCCCCGGGCCCGATGATTGGCGGGGCCTGGTCCAGTTCTGCAGGAGGCATGGAACTTTCCAAAAGTCGGGGACTGTTTACCTGGAGAAATCATTGATTCCTAGGCCTAGGTAGGTAGCCCGGACCAAACGTGTAAACATAAATTCCGGGTCCATGTCTGTAATATCTTTAACTAGCTCATAGGTCATACGCGGGTTTGGTCACCCCTTGAACCTCCTTTTCCATGGTAACTGGAACTGGCACTTCGAGGGCGCGATCTTTCCTCTTTTTCTCTCCCCCTTTTACTTCCCTTCATACCTTGCCTGGATTCACTTCCTTACCTTTCATTCTTTTTCTAACCTTTCTCCGCTCGTTTCGCCTTTCTCTTCTAGTCACTCACTGTAAATCTTCCTTCCCCCGTCCCCATCTCCCCCTATTTCCTACTTTCCCTCCCAAAACCCCCTATCTGATTCCGATCTCTCTCCACTTCTTTTTCGTTGCCCCCCCCTATTTTTTTTTTCCTTCAGCCTTGTGCTATTCTCTTGCCATCCCACTTATCGTCCCCTTCCAGCTAATCACATTTGCCAGTGCCTATTCTTTTCTCTTTCGGCCTTGGCCTTTCTTTCCCGTTGGGCCACCCCGTATATACGCATTCTCCATTCCGAAAGTTTTAGCCGGTACCTATCCCTATTCTGTCCCGCGATGCACATTCCAATTGACAATTCCTTCTAGACACGTCGTTCCTTTGACTTGTCGACTTTTCTTCTTCTCCTTCCACGGTTATAGCGACTGGTCTCCCTGAATGGTGTGAATCTGATAAACCCCCCTTTCTCTTCACTGGCCATCTCGAGTCTGGGCTTCTTCCATCCCTTCGCTTTCCTCTCACCTGTCGAGGGAAAAGCTGCTTTGGTCCCTGAAGAGCTTCACCTCGCCATGCAAGCTTCGGATGCTTCAGGCATCCCGAATCATTCTCGTTTTATCCCTAAATACGATACGGGCTTTTCACACGGCTCTTATAATTCGAACAACCCAAACTCCCTGAGAAACCGTCGCGCGAATATCCCTGCTATAAATACTGCCGCCGCCGGCCAGACCGCCGACATGTCTGGTGGGTTCGATATGAACTTTACTCCCCTCCTTCCTTCGCAGTTGCTCGTCGGTAGCCCCTTCCAACCCGGAACACCCTCGGCCTTTCACTCGCCTCAGTTCGCCAGCTTCGGTGGTTTCCCGCAAGCGAACGGAAATGGACACCAGAACAACCAGCACCAGCTGGGTAGCCCGACCCAGGGCATGCACAACTCTGGCATGTACCCTCACATGCTGTCGACGGAAGGATTAGGCGGATCCCAGCTCCTGGGTGGTCCCCAGTCACCCATCAACGGATTGGGTGGCCTGGGTAGCGCAGCCTTGGGTAGCCCTGTGGCCTCGGTTTCACCGGGATTGCTGTCAGGAACCAGTCGCACAGTATACTTAGGAAACATTCCCGCTGAAACAAGCGCGGAGGAAATCCTGAACCATGTGCGCAGCGGTCAGATCGAGTCGGTGCGTCTTCTGCCCGATAAGAACTGCGCCTTCATCTCTTTCCTGGACAGCAGCTCTGCCACTCACTTCCACTCCGATGCCATCTTGAAGAAGCTAGCCATCAAAGGGAATGACATCAAGGTCGGCTGGGGCAAACCCTCCCAGGTCCCTACATCCGTCGCCCTGGCTGTTCAGCAGTCGGGCGCGTCCCGCAATGTTTACCTGGGAAATCTACCTGAGGAGACCCTTGAGGACAACCTGCGCGAAGAGCTGGGTAAATTTGGACCCGTCGACACAGTCAAGATCGTCAAGGAGAAGGCGATCGGCTTCGTGCATTTCTTGTCTATTAGCAATGCCATGAAGGCTGTCACTCAGCTCCCCCAGGAACCGCAGTGGCAAGCTCCTAAGCGCGTCTTTTACGGCAAGGACCGTTGCGCTTATGTCTCGAAGACACAGCAGCAGAATGCGGCGCAGTTCCTAGGCATTGCGCCCGGTTACGCGCATGTGCTGAACTCCGCCGATCGGGACCTTATTTCTAATGCTCTCGCACAACAGTCCGTTGCTGCGGCCGCCGTGGCCACGACTGCTGGTGGTGTGAACAACCTTGGCAACAGGACCATCTATCTCGGAAATATTCACCCTGAGACCACCATTGAGGAAATATGCAACGTCGTGCGTGGAGGACTCTTGCATCACATCCGTTATATTCCTGACAAGCACATTTGCTTCGTCACCTTTATTGACCCTACCTCGGCTGCCTCATTTTACGCGCTGAGCAACCTTCAGGGCCTGATGATCCACAACCGCCGACTGAAGATAGGCTGGGGTAAGCACTCTGGACCCCTGCCTCCCGCCATTGCCCTGGCAGTCAGTGGTGGCGCCTCTCGTAACGTCTACATCGGTAACCTTGATGAGGCTTGGACTGAGGAGCGCCTCCGTCAGGATTTCTCTGAGTACGGTGAGATTGAGTTGGTCAACACTTTGCGTGAGAAGAGCTGTGCCTTTGTCAACTTCACCAACATTGCCAACGCCATCAAAGCGATCGAGGGCATGCGCAACCGCGAGGAATACCGCCGGTTCAAGATCAACTTCGGCAAGGACCGCTGCGGAAACCCGCCACGACAGGCTGGTAACCAGGGTGGAAACCAGCAGAATCGCAACGGCAACGGTTTAGAAGGCCCTCAGTCGCCTTCGCCTGCGCTGAATGGATTCCAGCAGAGCCTCAGCCAGTCCGGTTCCCAGTCGAGCCCTACTCGCCCTGCCCTGTCGCCTGCCCCAGGTTCCACTGGTTCCCAGAATGGCCATCAACACCGCCACCCGTTGCAGAATGTTTCCTCTGCTTCGGGGGCATTGAATGTGGGTGTGAACAACCCGCTGACCATGTACCTCAACCAGATGTCTGCTCAGCAAGCGCAGGATCAGGAGAATCAACTCAATGACCCCATGGCTCTGGCTGGTCTCCAGGCTCAGTCACAGGCCTCGCAGCAGCAATCCATGTATAATGGCACTAGCAACGGCGATCTTTCCAACGGAAACCTTAATGCGCCAATGCACTCACACAAGTCTTCGGTCAACGGCAATGGCTACCTGAGTGTAGGCAACGGCTCCGGTCACGGTCACCACTCCACTGCCAGCACCAGCAGTCTGAGTGTGCCCCGTGCTTCGCACTCTCGCGCCGTTAGTCTGCCTTCATTCTCCCAGGAGCCTTTTGGACCGGTTGCTGGCCAAGGCAGCCACATTCGCACCGGTCCGACACACCAGCCACAGAGCAGCTTTTCTAGCTTCTCGACCGGCCTGGGTGGACTGAACCACTCAGGCTTCGGCTTGGCCATTCAGAACGAAAGTTCTTTGCCTGGCTGGGCCGAAGAGGAGATCGGTGCCAAATAAACACCTCTCCTTGAAAATGCATAACCCGACTCATTACCCTTGGTGAACTTGATGGCATTTTCCCTTCTTTCCCCTTTTTCCTTTTTGACACATAGTTCTTTTTGATGTGACGCCATTTATTCATCCAACTTCGTTTCGTGTATTGGTCTTAATACCTTCTTTTACACCATTCATTTTTGCTATAGTCTGCTTTTCTACTGCCTTTGGTTTTGGCTCCACTTCTTTCGGGACCAAACTTTTTTCCTCCATGACCTCTACCTCCTTTAATCCCCTTCGCTTATCACTTTGTATTGCTAGCTATGAGTTTGTTGCTTCTTTTTCCTCTTTCTTCATTTCGCGGATGGGCAAGGGCATGCCGGGTTGGTCCCCGAACTTTGACGGGCAGCATCCAGATATCTTGAGGTTTGTTTCTGTCTCGTGGATATCGGCCCCTTTACTGCTTTTCCTTCACATTCGAATATTCATGCAGCTGGGTGATTGCATCGGGCGATACGATCCAGTGAAAATACCCATTTTCTTGCTCGCGTCCGCCTCGAGGGATAGGTCGAGACGGATGACTTGGGCTACAGATGTGTAATTAGGAAAGTTCCCAGGGAAGAATGAAATGAGTCGACGAAAGATGATCAGTGAACAAGCCAGTAATCACTAGTGATGTAACAACTCAACTTTGCACTGGATCACTGATCGAGATCTGATATCACGTGCCACCCACGAAACCCAATCTCGACGTAACGAGCGGCCTCTTCCACCACCAAGGATTGTTTCCAACTGCCATCAGCAACTTCCCCAGACGAATTCAAAATGGCCCTCCCACCAGAGCAGATCAACATCAAGCGCCGTCGAGAGGAAGAGCCCGTCGAAACATTGTGTAAGAAATCCCCTTTTTTCACTCTTGTTTTTACCCCATGATCTAGACCCCTCCAACACAAGGTCATCTACATGCTACAGCTCCACTGTATAAAAACCCTGTCTCCATGTTCAAAGGCCTGTTCCTTGACCTGCTCTACCGCACCATGGCCATGGATCCATCTTCGGGCCCATCCAATATACCCCGCGTTTCTCTATTGAATTTTTCATGTCCAGCTCCATTGCATATCTAACACTACGTTCAGACATCCAAGCTGCACTGCACCAGACCAAGCGCCGCTTTACAGACTTTGTCTTTCAGCGAGTCACTGTCAGTGCCAAGAATATTGATGATGCCGCCCCAGCACCATCACACCCAGCCGCGCAGAGACTCCTACGCAGTCCCCGTTCCGTGAGCAGCTTATATGCTCCCAAGCAGCGAGCACCGCAATCTACCTCATCAAGCGGTGTGCCCTTGGTGCGCGCTACCTCTCCCGGCGCAGAGATACGCGATGCTCAACGGAAAGCCGCCGTGCAGAGAGAGGCCGACGAGCAGCGTAAGCGCGCTTTGCAACCAGCTCCTACTGTCCAGTCTGCGCCTGTGTCTCGTGTAGATTCCCCAGTCAAGGGTGGAGAGATCAGAGTCCTGCTCCATCGCATGGCCGGTCGCATTCGGTGCGTCGGTTCCAGATCTCTAGGTCCAGTACCCCTAGCCTGGGCTCTCTTCGCGGCTCGGGTGGTATTCAGAAGCGTCGTGATGGAGAGTCTCCACGAGTGGCTGTTCTTGTTGAGCAGCTCCGACGTAAGCCGCATTCCCGGCAGGCTTCTATGGTTGCGGATCTTGTTGGTCGGGCACCGGCTGATGAAGCCGACGTCGAGGCTCAGGACATGGTAGACACCTCACCTGTCAAGCCCAGAAAGCGACCTGTAGTCAACCAGGCTGAGAAGCGATGGAGAGAAGAGCGACAGAACGCTATCTCGGCTGCGAAGCAGCAGATTTCTGACACCTTTGAAAAGGCCGCGCAGGCGAAGCAGAGTACCTGGGACGAAGAATCTGAGAAGCTCGCCCGTGAATTTGAACAAGTTGCGCTGGAGATGGAGCAGGACATGGAAGTTGACCAGGACGAAGGCCCCGTCGCACCTGTGCAGCCAACTCAATATGCGCCCGTTTCTGCGCCAAAGCCATTGAAATTTCAACCGCGTTTACCGAAGCAGCCTCGTGTAGTTCAGCCACCACCCGAGTCGAAGATTGAGGATGCTTCCGCTCAGGCGGAAGATAACGAGGATGACTATGTTTACGACGTCTACATCCGCGGCCGATCGCGGAATCCGATATGCTTACGAACCCGCTGGCTGAACTCCAGTCTGATCAGCAGATGAAGCAGATTGAGGCAGCCAATCGGGGCATTGGAGTCATTGTCATCACTGCAGAAGACGAGGACGTATGGGAACATTTTATCGAAGATGATGATGAGGCATGGGATAGCGAGGACGCTGATTCCAATGGTGAGTTTCGATTAATCTCGATGCCTTGGCGTTTTCCCTTATCAGGCCGTCATACCCGTGTGAGAACGAGAAATGAGACAGAGAAAAAAAAAAAAGGCAAAATGAAGGAATACATTGCTGACCAGATGACAGCGGAGAATAATCCAGCCAACGACTACCCAGATGAAGAACTTTCGTCTGAAGATGAAAATGACGATCCTACTGCCATTTACGGTAAATATCGCCGCCAAGCCGTGTCTGATGATGAGGAGTTCGATCTCGATTACTCGGATAACGAGGGTGGAGCCCAATTTGGATCTGGATATGGATACCAACGTCGGTATGGCGGCATGGAATCCGACGAGAGCTTCTGATTGGGAACTTCCTGGTGATGTGTGGGGGTGGCTTACCTGGATAGAAATCGCGCAGAATTTGCACGGGACACTTGTCCTTTCTCCTGGTCTCATTGGCCTGGCACTGCTTGCGATTCGGGTATGGGGGTGTGTATCTACGCTGGCAAGGCCGGCGAGGCAGACGGACGCGTCACGATCATTGGGAGAATTTTAGTGTTCCATTTCGGGCGAGACGAATCAGCCCTTTCCGCGGGCTCTCTTACTTCGTTACTTACCCTACGCTGCTGCTGTGGCTGACTCCTTGTTCTTGGGTGGTCTCCATCTGAAGACCTCTGACCCTATGACAGACACCAACACTTCGCATCTTCCGGAACATTGACCAATTTACGATTCCTCTGCGTGCTGATCATCGGTAATCCTCATCGTGATCCAGTGAGAGAGAGCTGAAAGGGCTTTTTTCCGATTAGGCCCCCTTCCCCTCTTTTATGCCATGGAATAGTCCCTTTCATCCTGAAGACTTTAAACTCTTCATTCGGGAGATACTCCGCGATAGACAGCCGTGCCACGTGGGGGGTGATGCGGGGTTGAGGATCGGGCATTGTCGGTGCCGAACAGAAAAGAAATAGAGCCACCTACATTCACATCTCTAACCCTATTTTCAAAAAAAAAAAAGCCCAAAACCAACCTCCAGAATCAAAAATTCCATAGATCGACTGCCCTGGCAACTACCTAAGCCCAAAGAAGAAAGAAGTGAGCCCTGTCGTACTTCTGCACTGCAACCCTGGAACCGACGTAGCTACCCCTGAGAGGATGTTAGTATATACCGCGACGCACAACCAACACAACCACAGTCTCGCAGCCGAAACACCACTAATTCGACTTCGCATCAGGCCACTCCAAACCAACAACTTGCACAGCTCACCATTCGCCCACGCTCGCGCCCCGGTTGACACCAACAATTTACGAATCAGTCATCCCGCATGCCTTGAAAGAGTTTGCTCTGCATGCACCATGCAGCCGATCTGTCCCGTGAGGAGACCCGAGCTCAAGAGTCCTTTTGGCGCCCGTCCAGCAAATTCCCATTGGCACGCGCGTACGGGCGCAGGAATTAATTTCCAGGGTGTGATGCTAGACATGTTGACGGTAAGGCTGTACGGAAAACACCTTCCCTTCAAACCAAAGGGGGAAAATACCTTACCGCTCTTACACAGGCTTGTTTCCCCCTAGGTAATGTTTCTTATCGCAGCACAATACAGACACTATATTCGTCGTCATAGCTATAAGGCACTTGCACAAGTACGATAATCTATCGACCTTCACCGTCCCATCCAATTCCACCCTCACCCAACGTCAACCCATTTTGATTGAAAACATTTTAACCACCGCACCCAGACATGGAATGAATAAATAAACCCCCCCTAAAAGTTCCGTACCGGAAACATTCCGCCTGACTCAGCTGAAGAAAATCAGCCGTATGTGCTCGGAGCAGCCGGGTGGGACGGGGCCGTACCATGGATGCCCATCGCGTCAATGGTTCCCTCGGCATGGGGTTTACCTCCATCACTGAATATAGTGACCCAGTCCGGTCGCAACTCCGAGTCACTCCATGAAACTAGCAGAAACACTAAGTATTAGTTGCGCGAAAGTTGCATGACTTAAGGTCGGAGCACGGAATACCGCGCCGGAACTACCAATTCCCATGTCTCTTTGAAACTGGAAAAAAGTGCGGCTCTGCAAGGCTGTGTGTTTTTCCGCAATCCCTACGTAACTAATCTATGTAGGATTGGGGTAAAATGGAGGGTTCGCGTGTATGGTACTGTCAGAAAACGGATCTCATATGTTTTTGACTATCCTGATGTGGCCACTTTGAATACGATCAATACGATTAATTACGGCCTTGGATATTTCCGATTAGGCCCCGCAATACGTGAATTACGCGCGGCTGTGAGATGTGACAGGTAGACGGGGCTGATGGTGTTGGAGTCCCGGATCTTGTGGATTTTGTGGATTTTGGAGAATAAGCCCCGAGGAGCCGAAACACTTACGCTTCGCCTGCCAATTTACTGTACAATGTAACATAGATTTCATTGAAACTTCACGATGCGAGTCGGTATTTTTAGACTTTTTAGACTTTGGATCTGTAGATCTGGACTTTGCTTTGAATGTCGGATTTTGAGATCATTTGCAGAGGGAACGCGACACCGCCAGACCTAGGCGAAAACGTCATGGGGAAATTAAATTTCGGTGGTCGCCAAAACTGTCCTAGATGCATAGACTGTGCTCTGCCGAGTGAGGTGGATCGAGTCTGTGAATGGTGGGCGAACCATACATTCTCAATGCATTGTCGGCAAAGTCAGAAGTATTCAGGGCGTTTCTCGTTGCCAGCTCTTATGAACTGGAACTCTTCCCTTTTTCTTTTTTTCCTTCCCTTTTTTTTTTAATAAAAGGCTTACTACTACATACCACTGCGGCGACCTGCGGCGACCTGCGGCGACCGCGGTATTACCGCCACTCGCAGAGATAGCGGTGGCATGTCATTCCGTGCAGACACGACAGTCCTATTATAACAGGCTAGCGCAGCTCTCAAAAAAAAGCCGACTGTTGAGAGTACCCAAGCAAAACATTTTCGAAGATAGGCATAGAGTGAGAACAGACCCTTTTTTTATGGGCTGTCAATCGTATTGTGCAGTGTTAGCACAAGGCTACGGTCCCGAGGCCCTGGCGCGCGGTGTGACGGTTGAGGCATTAGTCTGGTTCTGGGACCATTGTCAGTGCCTATATGCTCTGTGATTGGGGGGAGGGGGGGCTTAGAAATCATCAACATTAGTCTAAGAAGGTTGGGGGGGGGGGAGGGGCCGTTGCCTTATGATCATGAGTCGTGCCATTGTAACCCCCCCCTGCGTTGCAACTTGAAGATGTATCTCATTAGACGGGGTCGTGATAAGCCGATGAAACGATGATACGATGGAACACTGGGCGAAGGAGGGAAGGGACTCTAGACGGTGTCTCGGATGACCCTTGTGCTGGTCATTGTGCCATCGGTCCTATAGAAGGGATTCCCTTGACAGCTCACAGGATCATCGGTCTCACGACATCCACAAACATGCGCATAATCGTCACACCGTAAAGGAAAAAGACATTAACGGTCTTCGTGTGACGAATTATGGAAAATGGGACGCGGGTCCCCGTGCCGCAGACAACGACGAAGAGAGCAATTATGATGCGAGTCCTCTCCGATGGTGCCATTGGAATTACCAGCCGGAATTCTTCCCCTAAGGATCCGAGGCTAAACCTGAAGTTCCTCGAGGTCAACTTTGGTCCGGATCAGGGGATCAAAGACACCTGCGGATGTCCACGGTAGAGGCGGCAATGGAACCAGCCTTCCCCTTTGGTGGCAGGATCCCTTGGCGAATTTACTTTGTCCGGCGCAACTGATTCCCTCACTTTCCAGGGACCGAGCGAACCAATACCAGTAGCCCAGCGGAGACCAGAGAGACATTGTGGCGTGGGGAGACAGTGTTACTGGCAGATCATGGTTCATCTGACTCGCACGAAGCGAGATGAGATCAAAGTCCGGTCTGAGCCTTGAAGATAGGACAAACCGCCCATGCAAGGTTGACCCTTTATGACCCTTTCCCCTTTCAAAGCGCACAATCTCCAAGTCGTGGGATATTATCCTGAGACTTGTTGCCTGTGAAGAAATGATGAGGATTATCATTCGTCATGCTCACTGCCGATGATCCAAGCTCCTTCAAACCACGTGCTGGTGCTCGGCCCCTGCAAAAAAAAAAAAAAAAGAAAACGGGGGCTTGACGCGCGGGGCTCCTGTACCTTTGCTGAGGCTTACGGCACGACCACTAGTAGTCGTTCTAGCGTTAGGGACAGGAAATCATTAGCGAGAATGATTATAAAATTAAAGTCTAAAAAGTCAAATACGCGCAACGGTAAAGTAAAAAAAAAAAAACCCCAAATAATGCCGAGGTGTCGCCGGGTATTCACCTTTATACTTTGGCTCTTTACCCAGTGTGGTAAGTAGACGTGGGACCCAATCTCACGAAAAAAAAAAAACCTCGCATTGAACGTTGTCTCTGAAATGGGTTGAAGATGATATAGCAAAAATGGGATCCTTCAACACGAGGTCTGAGCTCCACCAACGCCTGAAGATTATCCCGATCCGCAAAGTGGACACGATACAGAGATAGGAAATAGATACGAGGTAAAGATTACAGGTGACCGAGAACCTCCATGGTTAGGCTATCGCAAGAGGTCTCACCATCTCGAAGCTAAGGTCAATAATGTCTGGGCCTTGTGTTCTCATTCTTGTCATCTCTCTTCCTCTGATTTGCTGCTTCGCTTATCTAGTGGTTTCTCGGAATGGCGGCTCGATCTTTCCAGAAGCGTGTCAAAATTCGGGAGCAGTCATCAGCCATGTCTTCACGTCCGCAACATTTCCCGACGGCTAAAGCTGAAATGAGTAAACGAGCTCATTCCTTTTCCGAAGGTCCATCGGCTTCCACGTAAATTCCGCGCGATGTCAGAACGGAGGTTGGGATCCTTCGCCTTTTCTTCCATTCATTCAACCACCCCCTACTTTCAGAAGGAATGCTATACAAATGAAATATGACTCCATCGACTCGTCATGCGGTAATAGAAGCAACTTGTCAGGCACCCTAGGGGGGCCTTACCAGTTCACGACACCACTTTCTGAATTTGGGCTGCAGGATTCTGGACCACATGGCTTGGCACGAGGACGGCCGCTACGCCGAAGATAGTAATGGGTGCGATAGTGGGGTCCAAATGGTGGAGTGGTGGACTACCACAGTTTGTCGCTTCCGATTTGGCTTCTGCATGATCTTTTCGCCTGACCCGCCCACCTATTACAGTGCTGTGGTTCGAATGCGGCTGAAAAAAAGTGGTGGCTATTGTCCGGCACCGAGAAGTCCACTTTTCGGCCGGACCACGATTAACTGGTGGTCGAATTATGTTCATGACTCGCTTGTTAGATTAATGTATCCATTCCGCGAACGCTGATTTGATGGCTCCTTGTCAGCATTCAACTTTGTCATAGCTGACATAGAACCACTTTGGCTAAACCGTAGGGTAAGCTGTGCATGGTCAGATTGGAGGATTTGCTGTTCGGTTGTTTTTCTAGTGGACGAATAGGTCCGCTGCCCCAGTTTGCGGTCCTTACAGTATGGAATTGAAGAGGATCCTTGGTGATCGTCGATTTAAATCATCCACCATTGCGCAATTGTACGGCTCAGGGTGCGCAAATTTTTTGAATTAATAATGCCTCGAGATCCTATATACCTCCTGTATACCTCCTGTATACCTCCTGTATACAAGTTGTACCATTTGCGCAGAACCGTCGGTATGCCACGCGTACTGCAGATGACAGTTCGGCGCAGTTTGGGGGACCGTGATTTAAGTTTGCAACCAGGATCTATGCAGGGTTGGATCGTGGCGGCAGTGTCTCCAGTCCTTAGCCTTGTTCTTTTTCCGTTTTTGTTTTTGTTTTTGTGTTTTTCTTTTTTTCTTTTTCCGGATTTCCGCGCACTCTCAAAATAAAATGCAATCTGGGTGGAATACCATACCTTACCGTACAAAATGACCGTTAGGCACTCGAAGCCGGCGGATCTAGGACGTAAGACCTCGCACTAGAACTCTTAGGTAGATACCATCGGTCGACTAGTGGACATAGCAAGGAAAGCGAACGTGCGTCGCCCTCATGATAGCTGTGGGGAGGCATGAGCCGAACCGTTCCCCTCAGCTCAGCTCAGTCGACGGTCGCCCCTCTTCATTAGCCTTTGTTGCGCAATGACAACATTCGCAGGGGTCCAACTGCATGTGTGGATTTGATGACGACTCCCACTCACCGAAATCTTCTGGTCTGCGCGGGATCGCCCCGTTTCCAAAACAGAAACAAGAGCCCTGGATGCCTGATTTGAGTCGAGGGGGGGCGCGCAATTGACGTTGTGTTCAGTAAATCGATTTTAAATTGCGTGCGACTACGCACAAGGTAGAGAGAAACATAAGATTAGTAGAGAGAAACATAAGATTAAAAAAAAAAAGAAAAGAAAGAAAGCCGGTGCCGACCTGCAGACGGCGGCTATCGCTAGCGGGTGGCACAGGAAATGGCGTCGCCCAGAGCGGGTTGATTCCCTAGACTCTACGATTAATTCAAATCAACCTCATGCCGACCCTGCATGAGATCGAGTCCAGTTATGAGATGTCATCGGGATCGAGGATCGCAGACGAAGCAAATAGATCGACAAAGAAGTTAAAATCAAGAAGAGAGGTGCAGAATGTGTAGGGGGGTTAGGGGGGGAGAAGGTGGTAAAGGGCGCAAGCGGCCGAGGGGGGGGGAAGTAAAGGCGTGTCGATCCACAGAAGACACATCTGTGCCAGCGTCTGTGCAGCGTGATCCATAGCCCATCATTAAAAAGAACCGGATCCTCAATTCCATGATTGGATCATGACGCTGGAAATTCCTGCCACGTTCCACCCTGGTCGGGGCCGGGACCCCTTACTGATGGCCGTTTGAGGCCAGGATCCGGGATGCAACATGCGCGACATGACTCGTAGCGAAATGTGAGAGTCCCCGGGAGATGCACGGGCTAGAACGAGAGGGGGAAATAATACGATAATATGCTTTGTCTGGAGCGAGGAAGACAATCTTTCGTCAAAAGATGAAAAAGATTCGGCGTGTTCGCAATCACATGACCCGGAGGAACTGCGGCTACGCGACTAACGCCGTCGATTCAGCCTCTCCATTGGACATGACTCCACTGTGTCAAGAGCCGGGGGGTCGCACGCCGGTCTTAGCCCGGGGGCCACGTTGATCTGATCTGCACGGAGCCGGGAAGCTCCAGGCCGTGAACTTGAAAATGAAACAAAGAACGGCCTGCCTAGCGAGAATAGGAGTCGCGAGGAACCTAGGGTCTGCGACAGGCTACTCTACCCTGCTACCCTGCAGCTTGGCTAACCTGTTACTTGGCTACCTAGCGGCCTTACTACCTCGTGTATCTACCTTAGTTGGGAAATAATCGCTGATGGAAGTGTTAGCGAGCACAGGCCCTTTTATGTCATCTCGATGTTTAACGAGGGAACTTGAGTATCTTGATCACGTCAAATCAAGGCCGCTGAAGAAAATCGGCGTGTCAGAAGCCGTTGCAGATGACCGACGATCGCAGTGACATCACGCAATAGAAAAGGGGGTGGTCGATCCAGTGGAGCTTTGACCTGATCTCGACTCTGTGGGGAGACCAATTCGGCTCGAGACTTGACTGTGCACGGAGATGCCGTGCTAGGACTAGGATAGAAATTGGTACATCCCCGCGGTCAACCAGGTCAACCATGGAACCCGATTTCCTCGGTCACCTTTCTCCACCGATTTGCGCCATTTTCCCGGTCAATGCAATGTCCGTCTCATCCTGATCCTTGTGAACACAACGATCGGGGATATTTGATTCTCTGCAAATGCGTTGGCAGACGCACCGAGGGATCCACTTGACTGTGCACAAATTGAGCCCACATTAGTCCCGGTCTCTCATTCGTGAACATGTCCCAGAGCCACGGCTTGCGTTGCAACAGGTGACTAACCATCTTCCAATAGACGCCGCGCTTGTCTGTTGGTTTTTGTGATTCTTGCTTTTTTGCTTCTCGCTTTGCATATCTCTTTCCCTTTATTACTCTTGTATCTTTCGTCTCGAGGTCAAGGTCGTCCAATGTTACCATCTCTATCGACATACTGGGAAATCCCCCTCCTTCCCCCAAGAGGAATTCGAAAAGAGGGTCCCTGAACGCCCTGGGTCAGAGCGTCCCGCATCCACTTTGTCATGCTCACATGAACCTTTTTCTGCTTCTTAATTACTCAGGTGGGCTTCTTGAAACATAAACATTGGGTTAGAACAGAAAGTGCACGCGAGGGTGAATATCGCACTCGTGCCACGGTCGATGCTCAATTATTATTTTAGCCTGTGTTGGGGACTTTTAAAAACAGCCCAAGTTGGTTTTCCTGATAGACCGTGCCACTGCTAGACACCGATGGGTCTCGTAACGATGGCGAATCGAGACTCATGTAATACGCGTCCCCACAATTTCTCAGTGTTGGTAATATTGGTTCCCCCGCGGTAGAGAAATCAATTACATGAAACATACATGACAAATGAAGAAAAGGAAAAAAAAAAGAGATCTACTGAAAGATTGTGCCATTTACGCCCCGTTCCAGATATGGGTGAAATTGCCGCGGATTTCTAAACAAAGAACGTCGTGAAGTGACTGATCACCGAAAGCCACCCATTCTGAAGTCTAAGGATTAGAAATTACCCGATCCAAAGAAACACCCTGTTCCCCTTGGTATGGAACCAAGGATTGCCATACATCGAACTATTTTCTACAAGTAGAACAAAATGGAGATATCAATTTACCCCGTGGCGAACGAGATATTGCCAATTTCAAGATCTGTACCGTTCACCGGTTATTGAGGACGGGGGAGAGCTGGATTTATTTTTATTTTTTATTTTTTATTTATTTTCATTTATCATGACTCGAGTCACTGGACGGTTGCCCCCATCGATGGCCCCCCCCCCTCCCTGAATCCACTCCCCTGTTAGCCCCAAGAAGCCTTGTGTGTATATCCGCGGTACAACTAAACAGGGGATGCCATAGGTGCAGACAACCAGCCCGACCCGTACATTCGGTACACTGCACCCAACAGTGGTGTTAGTCTGCGCCTGCGACTATTTTCGCAATGATTTCCCCATTTTCTCATTTAAGCCCGACTGCTCCATATGATCTTCCGCCATTTTAGATTTATTCTGCGATCTATAATTCCCTTCCTATAACTTGAAGGTGGTCGCGTATACTTGCTTTCCTCCCCTTCCGTCCATCCACCCCTACCTCACACAATCTGACAACCTTCCGCACCCTACGCTCCAGCTTGGCAAAGCTCGAGCTCGAGCTTCAGACAATTCCCTATCTCGTCAGCATCTGGAGAATTTGTTTGTGATCATCTCTTACCCCGTACTTGAAGTACACGGAACAGGTCCACGGGTTTCTACTTTTTTTTTCGGATCCAATATCTATAAAGCAACGCAAGCTATAAAGAAAGCAACAAGAGAAAAAGAAAGAAATAGAGACAAGCTACACAACCAAAGACCCAAGCAACCCCCCCCCGCTCAGAAGAATGGACGCTCATACGGAAACATACACCAAACTCGCCTCATCACGGCAAAGCCGCATGAAAATTGACTCTCTCCTCAACCCACCCACTAACTCTGTGGAACGAGACTATCAGCCCATCTCACCATGCGAGACAACACCCTACCACCAGGGATACCCCTCATCACCAGGCTACTGGCGCTACCAAGGCTACCACGACACAAGTCCCGGCGCCACCTCAACAGCAACCACCCACGCCTCCAGCAACTCCGCCGCAAGCATGCACCACCATCACCACATGTTCCTATCCTATCGACCAAGCGGGTCCGCCCCTTCTAGCCCAGACCCGTACCAGCCGCGTGAGCGCTACGACTCCGTCTCCTCATCCTCGTCGACAAATGCCGATCGCCGGCGTCCCCCGCGCCCAAAGTACGAGGAAGAAGAGATGTACTTTATCTGGTACCATCGCGTCGACCTGTGCCAGGAGTGGAAAGAGGTGCGCGAGAGCTTCAATCGGCAATTCCCCAGTCGGCAGAGACGCGGATTCCAGGGTATACAGTGCAAGTTCTATCGCTTTATCAAGGAGAAGAAGTGTCCTACGTTGCGCGAGCAGAGGAGAATGAGAGATGGAGAGTTCTTGCGTGAAGGTGCCAGTTTGGGAGCTGAGTCTGGCGCGCCCAGGTTTGGCGTCATCGAGTGGGCGAATGTTTGGTATCCGTGGATGAGAGAGGATCGCGAGACGGCCATGCAGATGCAGAGAGAGCATCAGGCGAGGCAGCAGGCTTGATCTTTACTTTTCTTTCTTACATTTATTCTATTCTCCATGGAACCTTGCGTGTTTATATTCCTGTGGGACATGCGGCTTTCCATTTGCTATTTTTGTGTTAGGGAGAGGCCTTTTGTGATTTTTCAAGATACCTCAAATGGAGTTTTTGATGCGTTTGGGTAAGGGAGGGTATTTGATTCCCTTTTTGGGCTAGGCTTTTTTTCAAAATGCCATCTGTTTGGAGGGACTTTCTTATGATATATCTTCTATATACAAGCTATGACAGCAATGTTAGGGATCCCGAGGAAAAAGCCGTTCAATCATCGTAGCTCTAGTATTCCGCACCACAGTACACTCGAATGTTATTCAGAGCTTGTGATACATGACTCAGACGATATATGACAGCCTAATTCACCGATGGATTCGCCACAGAAACCAAATATTGAAGCCTTGCTCAGCCTAAATTCATAGGTCGGGCTCCCCGGGACACGCGCTGAAAAAAAAAAAAGGTAAACACCCACGCACAAGCATTTAGATATCCACCCCATCTCGGCATTCCTCCGTAACTTTATTAACAAGACTCGGAAATTTCTCCCCCAGGACATCATTGCAAGATTCCGTTCCGCCTCGAGTAGTCTCCATCTTCAGACATTCCTCACGGAGCCGATCTCCCTAGCCCGATTGTCCAGATCCACTCAAGTCCCCTCCACACTGAATCCACCCGCCCACTCCGGTGTCTAACGGAGCAGTTTCCCTCTTCCGCGTCAATTTAGGCGAGGACGCATTCATTAGGCGAGTCGTTAGTGACTTTGAGTCGGCATGCCCCGAAATAGAGATCTCGTAAATTTTCATTCTTATCTTAAGTGTTGCTTGTCAGATACTGGCCCGCGAAACCCGCGCGGCTCTTGGAATTTCCCATTTAACGGAATGCAGGTGGGAGGGGATGTGGCCAGCTCGAGGTAATTGAGTTTCTATTTCTACAGAGTAAGCCTAGTCTTGCGGGACCCGATCCGGGGCTTTTCAGACCTCGTCAAATGGCGCCCTTTTTAGCATCGACCCGTGGATGGGCTTGTTTGGGGAGGGTGGAAGGGGGGCAAGATACAATTACATTGTTGACTGCCGCCGTTACATCTTACGTAGCCTCGCGCACGACATGACTCGACTTGCACTAGCTGAGACCGCACCGAGCCGTTCGTAGTGTTAGGTGGTCATTCGACAGGTCTCTCTGTCGTCGCCACGTTCACGCATAGGCGAAGCACGGAGCAACTAGTGGCATTGGACTCGCAGCTCAAGGATCTGGTGAAGTACTGGCATGGACATCGGATAAAATGGGAAAGAGGGTTCTGATCGTGATTGTGATTATTATCTTAGCCTCAACGGGAGAATGGAGTTTGTTGTCGCTAGCCTAGGTGGTTTTTGTTGGACTATATCTTGCAATGTGGTGAAATAGTTATGTTGTCTTCTTTTCTCAGGAGTGGGGGCTAAAAATGACGCCGACGGGGGGGGTTTTTTTTGGATACCTTTCGGAGTCGGGGTTTGGGTCGGGGAGAGGGGCTCGGGTGTTCCACTTTGAGATCATGGGCTTGAACATAAGTTACGACTCTTTTCTGTCGGTCTGCTCGTGTGAGGGTATGAGCTGTTGGAGCCTGTTGGTGTTGCAGTGAGTATTTGAATCTGCTTGCATTGTGCGTTCTGCATTGGCGTTAGCTGATGGCGTAGCTTCGGGGAAAAAAAAGACTTGCGGTCAGTCTACATTGCAATTTGCGGTTGCATCTTGTTATCAAATCGAAACCAACAGAAACTCCGAGCCGGAGTTTGAAAGTACGTTTGAGAGCTAGGGCAACCGCTATCACTTACAGTATCTAACCTATGAGCTAATACAGAAGCAGAGAATCGCCTTCACCCTATTCCACACGGAACTCAATATCTCGGAGGGTCCGGGACCAAGGGGCTAGAAGCACGATCCTTGTCATTAACATCATGGCTTGATGACCAGCCAAGGCGGACTAAGGACGCATCGGGCAAGAGGGGCGCCACCTGCATCGAAGTATGTACCAGGTTTCTCATTTGCGAAGAGACGCCCGGCTTTCCGTCCGCCGGGCAATCGGGTGCGACGACCGATCGATCGCGTCGCGATGAACTGCCCATCGAACTGGGCTTACGGTGGAGATGTCTCTGGTAATGCGAACTATGCTGATGACATCGTATGGGATGTTGATCGGTCTCGGACGTCGATGTAATAGGTGGGGACGGCCGGCGGCAAGGCGAAGAGCACTTGATCAAGATTGAAAGAGTAAAGTGCGAGCGAAGCGCGAGTACTCACGAAGTAAGGGATTCTAAATCGAGATTTGATCAATATTTGAACAAAGTATATCGGTCTGAGAGAGTTTTCGATATCGAACAGCTCGTTAGGACAAAGGTGGGAAAGAATCTGTGACGTGGTTATGTGTAGCCTGGATGACCTGCGCAGATGGACTTTTTATACACCGCTGAAGGGGGGAAACCCACCATTTGAAAAAAAAAAAATACAGATCAACATGGAATGCATGAGGGGCGAGGCTGCGAACATGCTGCGTGTGAATTGAGTACAGCGTAAAGGACGGCCTTGTGGCATTGTGGGCTTGGTAACGGAGGCCTTGCATCATCCTTCATATCACAACGCAGTTTTTTGGGTCTGAGATCGCGCTCGTATGAAATCCTGGAGCCCCTTTGAAAGGCCAATCGCGCCAAATTTGTATATTGTGCCTGAGATATGGATTATCCACGGGAGATTAACCTCACAGGGCCGTATACTCGAGTCCGACAGTCCAGCGAGAGATTTGCCATGCGTGGGGTTCCCTTACGACAACACCACACAATTGCCAAGTATCTAGTGATGAATTTGCCAGAGGCTACCCTGTAATCTTCGACAACCAATTCCACGAGAGTATCTGCAATGGGTACTACGTAGAAATGAAGAAATACCATATTAATTTCATTCGCGCTTTGACATGAACATGCGCATAATCTCGGACTATTCATCGTTTAAACTCCTTGATCGCAAAGTCCAGCGCAAGCATAAGCACCAGCAGAAGAGCTGGCGAGATTACATGGAAAACAGACAGCGGGGGATGATAATCCCATGGACGGTATTCGGAGCCCCAACGAACTCAGCAAGTTATCTAGATTAGTTTCAGGTCTCGCGAGTACCCTGGGCATCTATCGCAAATTTAAGCGCTGAAGAAAGAAGCGCGGGTTGAAGGCTGGTCGGGAGGGGCGATCGCGGCACCGTAGAATCGCGGGGAGGCCCCATTAAAATGGAATCGACCAGCGACTTTGCAACTATATTTGAGAAAATTTGTCAGTGACATTGCATTTCAGCGTTAAGTTTGGCTCGAGAGTGAGGCTTTACGGGTCGGGAAGATACTCGATGACACAGTCACCCCAGCGGGACGAGTTCTCTTCCAGGTTGGCACGGAAATCCGAGGCGTGAGCGAGATTGCGGAAATAGACGTAGATTTTACCAGGCTGTTGACGGATTGTAAGTGGCCTTCCCCTCTTCGAATTCAGATCAAAAAGAGGCTTACTTTTTCGCATTCAATCAGATTGATGTGATCTATTTCGTAACCCTGAAGGATTTCACAAAGAGGAGCGAACAAGTGGTTGGTGATGCCAGTGATGCCAACCAGGCGAGAGACTCCATTCTTGATGTGACGGCGCTGCACTTCCGTGAGAACCTCGGTGTTGTCAGGCTTCTCAATGGAAATGATGTGGTCGCCGCAGACCTTGATGCCAGGAAAGTGTGCATCGTAGTAGCGGCGGCAAGCAAGATCATCACAGAACTCAACAGTCACTTGATCATCGACGACACTCCAAGCGCGCATTATGGCGCCACCAAAGACCAGACAGATAACATCCGAGATGCTGGTTCCCTTGGGCAGATTTCCAAAGACAATTCGGCGTGGAGGCACAGTGATGTTGACCTTCTTGAGCGACTTAACGAGCATCATAAACTCATCAGGGGAACGAACGCCTCGGCGAATTTTGGCTTCAGCATTATCGGCCTCGGGAAAGGTCTCGGCGGGGGAGAAGGGGTAAAGACAGGCGCAGTTGGATTGATACCTGTACCAGGGCTGGCCGAGGACGAGACGCTTTGCTGGTTGTCACCATCGCTCGGAGACTCAGAACTCTGAGTGTCTCAAGTGTCAGTACCTGCATCCGGAGCTACATCGGTGGAGAATTTGTGGGTGAGAACATGAAGAAAAGGAGGGCGCAGGGGAGATCTGAGGGGAAGCAAATTCACGGAAGCAAGTGAAGTGGATGTTTGGGATTTGTGAGGTTGATCAGATGTAGTAGGGAAAATATTAGACATACAGAGATGTCCAGGCAGTCGGCCACAATGCGCTGTTTAGTAGGACAGGGAGCACGACGGAAAGGCGCGATACCAGGAGGAGCATGGATACTATCTTCGAGAGGCCGTCCTCTCTGGGCCAGATAGTCAGCGATGACGGCGTAAGTGGCCCGTTGTGCCTCGAGCAATTCCGCAAAGCGCTCAGGGGTAATTGTAGCCCAGGATTTGTTGGGTCCACCATGACGCTTGGACATAACTTGAAGGAACCTCAAGTCAGGGGGGCAGAAGAGGAGGGAGGAGATGAAGCTGAGGGCAAATCGTGCTTCAGGGAATGTTGGGGCAAAGGAAGTATCGGGCAGGAAGAATGAGAAACTCATTTTGGAGTAATCTGTGTGGCTTGCTGCGAAATGCAGGCAACGAAACTAGATCAAGTGCATGTGTATTTGTCTGAACCTTGAAGTGAACGGTAGAGGTGAGATGAAGAAGTTGAGGAAGGTGAGTGAAGTAGGTGTTGACAAGTCAGCGCAGGGGACTATAGTGCGCGTCCCATTCTGGGAAAACGTCAACAACTTGAACAGGAATCAAAACGATTGACTACTAAAATTCACACTAAAGCCACCTGGCATGTAGCCTGGCACCCAAAGGGTTCAATGCACTAGGGACAATCGAAGTACCATGCAGGCCAGTCATATTAATGGAGCTTTTCTATATACAGCATTAGATCCTCATCAATTTCATTTAGGTCTGATCAAGTAGATGGGACGGGAATATTCTCAAAGCCTTTCTGACCAGGCTGCCGATCCTCAACGATGACCTGAAGACCCCGACGTCCACAAAAGCCGTCATTCCCGGCCACTCGATCGACAGTCTGGAAGGATCCACCTCCATCTTGGCCGGCACCGGGTACCCAGACTGTTTCCTGTACATTTTGTCCGGGGACTTCGGTTCGGCGAGGGTTATACCAGGGCAAACCGACAAGGTGGTTGCCCAGGTTATGCAGGAAGGAGTAAAGCTTCTCAAAACGACGAGTGAATCCCAACCAAGATAATGTACGGCGATCATATGCAACCCGAACGTAAGGGTTCATATAGATTCCTGTGTCTGTGATGTCGTCGACATTGGTTTGTGGTTCTTGAATATCGGCATGTATAAGACAGCATTCAGATGCTTCCCAGAAGAGGTCTTTCCCGGAGCGGAAACGGACCGGCGTAGTTTGAGTTGGCGGTGGAGACTGCAGGTACTTGGCATCAAATGCGACCATACCGCCCCAACAGCTGCGTACACGGACAGCGTCACTCCCGGCGAGAACATCCCGGCGACTTGCCCCGTCACCGGCTGTCGAGAACCAAGGGAAGAAAGGAAGTCCCATGCTATAGCCCTGAAGATCACGGGTGGCGTACGTGTCATAGAATTTGAAGGGGTTGTCGAAGTCGACCGCACACGCAGCCCGGTATTGAGAAACACCATCTTCATTGGCGTGCGTCGAGAAGAGTAGCTGCACTGCGTCGATCGGGTCGAATAGTATATCATTCAAATAGAGCAATTTGTCGTACCTCGTGTCCGGGTTGTCTTCGAGTGGTTTTAATGCCTTGTTCCGGACCTGAGCGAGGTATTCGATGCGCTTGACCCGTTTTTCTCCGCCGGGTATTGTTACCGACGGCACAGTCTTTAAATCCAGATGCTCCTCATATACAATAGCCTTGGGAGCTCCAATCTGCTGTTCCAATTCTCGTAAGGCAGCTTGGCCCTTCTCTCCACTGTCGTTCTCATAGATGCTGACGAAGACGTTTTGATCTCCTAGTAGATCAATCAGCTGTACTAATTGCGTGCCCCATTGACCTCCGGCGAGTTCGCCACCCCGGTCATAGAGACTTGCTGCTATGAAGACTTTCTCGTTACGAGGATTTCCTCGCCCTGCAGAGCTTGTCTCCAACATGGAGCTCCGCAGCGTCGCATAATGCGCTGGGGGGCGGGTGTAGGATGGTCGAAAGATAGATGTCAAGAAGACAAGTGCGAAAACGATGCCGAACACGACATGAAGGTAGCAGCATCGACGACGGAAGATGAAGCGACGGAGACAATTGGAGCCTGACGAGCTCGTAATCAGTGGTCTCGAGTTTGTCTTTAAGCGGCGATAGCCGGAAAGGTTCTGGAAGATTCGTGGCAGCCAGGATCTGCGCGAACGCAATCTTGAGGTGGAAGGGATTTGTGATTCAAAGTCGGCTTCGTCGAGGTCGAAGGTGCCGTCGGAATCGACTGATGAGGACCGCGAGCGAAGCTCGTACTCGTCCGGGTGTAGCAAACGGGAGGACATGGCGGAGGTGGCAGGTTAGAACGGGACTCTTTCAGCCCGACCCCGGTGCAGTCTTGACCTGCGCGATTATTTGGGTGCGCTGAAAAGATGTAGCCATTATCGGGGCTACCAGTTCAGGTCCAATGGTGACCCCTAACTTGGGCGCCTGCTCTGATCTGACATCGTAGATCTTATGTCAGCATACATCACGTGACCTGGTGCGGTCTAGATCGTGAGCCTGTCCAACTTCATTCGAGCGATACATAGATAAGCGAATTAGCATGAATCTCTGTTGAAGACCGGTGAATCCTTTCTGAGCGTCAATGAAACCAAGAAGCTTTCCCTGTTCCTTGACAGGATCAATACACCATTAACGGCAACGAAATCAAGCTTAACAAACCATGAAGACATACGTATTTGAGCATCATGTTGCCAGTGTCTATAGACACCTGCTCTACAAGATGGAAATGGCTGAACCTGCTTGTCAGAGTGTGAGTATCATTAGCCTCTTCACATAGGCACCAATGCTAGGTACCCCACCAGGTTCGAAGAGTCATTCCAAAGTTTCCGGGACTTGGTGACGTAGCCGCATCTTGTACTACTCCCTTCGCTCTGGACCTGCAATTTTTCTCTCTCTCTCTCTCTCTCCTCAGTGATTCATCTTCTGGCAATCCCTCAAAATTATCTTCGCTCACTTACCAGTCCGGAATTTTACAAATTCGCGCTCAAGCGTGACCCTAGACGCATACTAGAGCCACCCGTCAGCCCCCGCTTCCCCTCATCATGTCGCAATTCAACTTCGTCAATTCGAAAGAGAAAGTCCCCGGTGACGGGACTACTCTACCAGTCGAATTCACAATTACAGCCCACCCATCCACCGACATCTGGGCCAAGCCCCCCAACACCCATAGCTTCACAGCGCCAATTCTCTACCAGCGCGTCCCGCTGCAATCCTTCAAGCGGGCGCGCGTGGCCTTCGGCGCCCAGTGGAAATACCTGTACGACCAGGGCGGGCTGATACTTGTCCTGCACAACAAGGATGGCAGCCAGAAGTGGGTGAAGGCCGGTATTGAGCTCACTCACGGCAAGCCCCACCTCAGCGCCGTTGCCAAGGACACATGGTCGGATTGGAGTCTGCTTCCCGTTCCTTCTGGGGGTGGCGCAGCGACGCTGGAGATGGCGCGAGAGGCGGATGATAGTCTATGGATTTACCTAGTGGAGGGTGTGCAGAAGTCGCCTATTCGGGAGGTCACTTGGATCTTCCAAGAGGAGAATGTGGAGGAGTTTTGGGTTGGTCTTTATGCGGCGAGACCGGGTACGGAAGGGGATAAGCTGGAGGTGAACTTTGGACATTTGATGATAGAATTCTGAACGAAATGTCGATGGATCTGTATCTAGGGCAGAATGGGAGGATTTTGAATGAACACTGTTCATACTGAGAACATTGACGCACAGCCACCCAGCCTCAGCCTATGAGAGACATGCTGTCCAGATGATCTGAGGACAAGGCCAGAATGATCACCCGCACTGCGGAGATGCTGATCGTACATGGATCATCTGCAGCCCATGAAAAGGTGCCACATAGAAGTCGAAGAAGGGTCGGGCAAGAAGTCCCACGTGCGTGGCTTGGCGTGGCACCGCACCACGGGTCCTACACTGTACATCCGGAATGGTGATCCCCCATGCTCATCGAGACATTCATGATAGAAAAAAAAATCTAAGGATCTCGTCCGCTTTGGAAGTAACATTCGCTTGAGTCATGTGTTATAGGGTACCTCAGGTTCTCTCACTCTAGCAGAAAAAGTCATTCCCCCTCCGCGCAATCCCGTCACAGTCGATGCCCCACCCACAAAGGACCAGGGAAGAGTGTGCAGCAGTCCCAAACCAACCAAACAACGCCCTCTTTGCCATCTTATCGATCAATCATATCTGATGAAAGAACCGGAACTCGGCCCACGCCTCGTACCATCCTAGACAAAGTAGCCTCCGATAGCCGGGAGTTGACTTCGTCGGATACGCGTCCGTGCCTGACATCTGCTCCACTTTGTCTGTTTCCGTGACTGACTCTGACTCCGACTCCGACCTTCCCCCCTCTCAGCTGAGGAACCTGATTCTTGCACTTGCATTCGCTCAATCCCAAGCTGAACTAGTTCTGGTGCAGTCGGAATGCTAGGCCCCGCTGAGCTTGAATCGTGTCTCGCAACTGGTCTTTGCCTGCACTCACCCCGTCGCTGTGCATAAGTGCGACCGACGATCGGGCAGCTTCCACCGTGGAGTTAAGAGACTCCCCCTCCATATCACCCGCGACTAGTCATAGTGGTGGTTCGAGGTGGCCCCCCTCGGCGGATCTACCCTTCGCTGGTCCGCGATCCTACTTATAACATAGCCATTTTCATGTTCTGATCCATGTTCTGATCCTCGATTACCGCGCTTGCCTCGCCTTCATCCCTCATTTCGCTCCACCCTGTCACTTTTTGTCTATCTTCTCTTTTCTTTCCGCCCGGATCGACCCGCGGATTTGCTATCGTATTGACTTGCTTTTGTTTTGGCTTTTCTTTTTTTTTGATTGTCGCGCCGTCAATTTGACTGGTTCAGCGCGCCACAGGGACCCTCTTCTCACTCGAAGCGGTGCCCAAGCGGTGTTTAGTCAAGCAGGATTTCATTCCCTTTTATGTGCCTCTGCCGCTGGTCACGCTGATGTTGCATGAACCTTTTTTTTCTCGTTGATGATTCCTTTGCCGGTTACTTCCCCTTTCTATCTGGATCGTCGAATCTGGTGTGCTTCGCTATTCATCTGAGTTTCGTTCGATCTTCGTATGGACACTTTATCCAGCCTGCTTCTTGACACCTGCTATCGCGGACATGCCCCTTATCGACCCTCGCACTGGCCCGTCCTACGGTACAATGGAGCAGGACAACAACATGGACGTTGAGAGGGATCAATTATTAGCCGACGGGTTTGACACCGACGGTGACGAAAGCGGTCTCTCGACCCCCGATGAGACACAGGAAGGTGTGCGCAAAATCGAGGCGATAAATTTGACCTGGACATCAAAATCTTTACTTGTCGCCTACGTGAGGTTCGTGTGGCTTGCAGCGTCCCGGTCCTTAATAATCATACCCCACTAACTTTGGTGCAAAGTATATTCCTCATGGCATTCTGCACGTCCCTAGAGGGACAGACAGTCATGTCCTTGTCGGCATATGCCACTAGTGCTTTCAGCAAGCACTCGTTGATATCGACCGTCCTAGTGGTCCAGAATGTAGTCAATGGTAAGCGCCGCCTGTCGGCCTACATCGCCAGACCCAACAGAATGTGCCCCCCGCTAATATACAGCAGCCGTAATCAAACCGCCCATGGCCAAGGTTGCCGATGTCTTTGGCCGATTCGAAGCCTTCTGCCTAAGCATTTTGATCTACGTCCTTGGCTATATACAGATGGCCGCATCTACCAACGTGCAAACCTACGCATCGGCCCAGATATTCTATTCAGCCGGCTCTACGGGTTTGCAGATTCTCCAACAGGTATTCATCGCCGACAGCAGTGACCTTTTGAACCGTGCGTTCTTGACATTGCTGCCCGAGTTCCCGTTCCTGGTCACCGTCTGGATCGGACCAACCATTGCAGATGCGGTGCTCAAAGCATCATCATGGCGATGGGGCTATGGCATGTGGGCGATTATCTTGCCTGCAGCTTTCCTGCCATTGGCCCTGACATTGCTGTTCAACCAGCGCAAGGCCCAAAGATTGAATCTGATCAAGGTGCCTAGGCATCGTCGGAGAAAGACTAGCTTCCTTGGCATTGTCAAGCGGACCTGGTTTGATCTTGATGTTGGAGGTTTAACCTTGCTCTCTGCTGCTGTCACCTTGCTCTTGGTGCCGTTGACCCTGGCGGCCAACGCCAAGAATGGGTGGAAGAACAACAGTATCGTTGCATTGATCGTCGTGGGTGTTCTCTGCTTCTGCGCCTTGCCCTTTTACGAGTCCTCAAAGAAACTGGCACCCAAGCCCCTGCTGTCACTGCATCTCCTCAAACAACGCACTGCTCTCGCAGGTTGTGCTTTGGCATTCTGGTATTTCAGTATATTCAATACCTTCCCCTTTATTTCTATCAGTTACTAACCATCTCCAGTGGCCTTCTACTTCTCCGTTCAACCCTATCTATATTCCTATCTCCAAGTCGTCCAAGGCTACGATGTAGCCACTGCTGGCCGCGTCACCCAGACCTTCGCCTTCACATCCACCATCGCCGCATTTAGCGTCTCCCTACTCATCAAGTATACCCGCCGCTATCGAATCTTCGTGACAATCGGCTGTGTTATCTACATGACCGGTCTTGCTCTGATGCTCCTCTGCCGCGGCGAAGGCGCCTCTCAGTTGCAAGTACTTGGCACTCAGATCATGGTTGGCTGCGGTGGTGGCCTTCTCAATGTTCCTGTTCAGCTAGGCGTCCAGGCATCAGCATCCCACCAGGAAGTCGCAGCTGCCACCGCTATGTTCCTGACATCAATGGAAATGGGCGGAGCTGTTGGGGCAGCCATCTCCGGCGCGGTTTGGACGCACCAGATCCCAAAGAAACTGATGCAGTATCTGCCTGATGAAACGAAGTCTCAAGCTGGTGAGATCTTTGGCAAGCTCACCAAGGCCCTTTCGTATGAACTCGGCTCCCCGACTCGTATTGCTATCAATCGTGCCTACCAGGAGACTATGGATAGGTTACTCATCTTAGCTATCCTTGCGACCCTTCCTCTCATCCCGCTCAGTCTCGCCATGGTGGACTATAAACTCGACAAGGTACCCACATCCCATCTCTACTTCGCCAGAATCAAGACCTAACATTGGAATACCAGATGAACCCAGGAAACCACGAATCCGATTCAGAAGAGCCAATACCCCTCCCTCTGGAATCAGAGCACGACTCTCATACCCACCACAAGCGCACCTAGGAACTTCCATTCCCAGGCCTGCTATGCCATATGAACACGAACATAACGACTGTACGATCCGATCTGATTTGACTTTAATATAAATGCGCTGGCTTTCATATCATGACTCTAGCAAGCTGGCGTTCTGGGGACTTCGGATTCCCCCCATGTTCCCGATTTCAATGCTCGATTTCCGATTTTAGAAAGAAAATAAACTGTTCGATCATATCATATCTGACGGGGTGGCTGAAGTCGCTCTTGATCTTTGCATTTGGCGTTGTAAATAATGCCAGTGGTGCAGAGCCCGTCGGTTGGGCGAGAATGATTCAATTTAACGTAGCCTTCTAGACGGTAATGATATTCGATTTCTCGTGGAGTTTTTTTGGGATGTTTCACCGCTCTAGGGTCAACTGAGTCTTCATGAACAGATGGAGAACTCTCCTTTATGCTAATTTTCATGATGATTCTATGACATAACGGATACAGATGAACTGCCATGTGGTCCTGGATCGACTTTCAATCGAGATCGCGCACTTGTCAGGTCCCGACCCTGGAGTATCAGTCAGAATTGAAAAGGTGACTTTCTATTGAACTACTTGCTTTATTCTCCCAATGCAAGCTTGCCTGATTATGGGTTTCCTCATTATGATGTGAATCCACAGTTATTCCACACTTATCATTGAGACAAGCCGGCTTCTGCTAGCAGTCCCGCACGAGACCAAATCCTGTCTTCGGAGCAGCTTCTACATTGTCTCGACTTGAGGTATCTTGTACTTTCCCATCTACTGTCCACTGGCACCGGGTACACCGTCCATCGGTGGAAGAACCGTCGGGCTGATTCCTTCACACGTGCCATGTTTCATTCGTGGACGTTTAATATATCCGTGCCCGGTCCCACCTGGGCGAGATCGACCATTGTCCAAAGTACCATCTCATCGCACGAACACCACTCCACAATAGCTAGCAATCACGCAATCAAGTCCAGTCCTTTTTCTCCCCCTATATCTCTAGCCAAACACAAATCTACACGACCTGTCCATGCCAGCAAAACCCCCTGGAACCCCTCGACCATCCTAGATATGCCCTCGGTGCCCAGGTGCCTCAGATAAGCCTCTCCAAGGCAGCAGATAGGTAGCCATGCATGTACCTGCATATCGCATGCAGAGCAAGCGCAAGCAAATCTCAGCTGTGGCGGATCTCAGGCTCGGCCCGTGCCAAGACCTGGGGCCCAGTCTAGGCGTGGGACCTTGGAGGTAGGCTGTGAGCTATGGCCCGAAACTCAGAGTAACCTCGGGATGTAGCCTAGTCGGAGCGGTGACAGTCACGCTTCGCTTGTAGGGGATGAACATGAAACCAATCGAGATTAGCTCGGAATTGATCCGCAAGATGAAGGGTGACGGGTCACGGTGTGGCTTGTTTAGAGCTCGGCTTTTAAGGGGGCCGGTGGATATAGGGGTGTAGGAAAGGGGGCAAGCCGTTAGAAGTGAGATGAAGTTGGCAAGTTGCTATGGGGCTGGGTTTGATTACTTGTGCTGGTCGGGCTTGAAGTAAGGAATTATTTCGGTTGTTCGCGGTGAGCTATAGTTGGGCCAATTTAAGGGTACTTGGATACTTTGGAAATCACCGGATAGTTAAGGTTTCGCATTTGGGAGGTTTCTTTTATTCTAGATCGAGGTATGTCTCGATGATAATGTCGACGACTGAACGGTGTGACGTGTGAATACTCCAATTTGGATATCCAACTGTCATCGTCTAAATTGTGGACCACAGCGCTTAGCCGACGCCGTCACATAGAAGTCTTCTTTGATGCCGGGGTTGGATAGAAATTGTGCCCTGGATACATCTGAACGAAAAGAAGAAAAAAAAAAGGGAATACCTATCAGGGAACTAGTCACGAGGAAATCACAACAGGCGAAGATCTAAGAGAGACTAAGAAAGAGAGAGAGAGAGATAAAGAGAAAGAAAACTTAGCCCGTGTATTAGGAGGAAACTAGCAAGCGGCCGTCTAGACTGCATACTCTCTGCGGGTTGCCCCATTCAATCCAGACCACAGCTCTTCCTCCCTTTTTGTTCTCCCACACTTTCTTCTCCCCCCGCTCTCCCCCTTTCTCAACTTCCTTCCATCTCGATTCATCCTCATTTCTGCTATCGCTCAGAATGGTTGTCGCTACTATCAAGTACGCGCCCCTTCCTTGCCGAGCCCCCCCTCTCTAGGTCTAACCATCTTCTAGGTGTGTCGTGGTGGGGGACGGTGCTGTAGGAAAGACCTGTTTGCTCATCTCCTACACAACCAACAAGTTCCCTTCGGAATATGTGCCCACCGTCTTTGACAACTACGCTGTGACTGTGATGTAAGTTCATTCCAAACCCCGCTCACTAAACCTCGAGTTTGAGGAACCTCCGCCCCCCCCCCCCTTCAAAATCCACCGAAAGAAGAAAGCAAGAAAGCCTTTAACTAAACTCCTCTAGGATCGGTGATGAACCCTATACCCTTGGCCTCTTCGATACCGCCGGTCAGGAGGATTACGATCGCCTGCGCCCGTTGTCGTACCCGCAGACTGATGTATTTCTGGTCTGCTTCTCCGTGACCTCACCTGCCTCATTCGAGAACGTCCGCGAGAAATGGTTCCCCGAAGTCCACCACCACTGCCCTGGTGTTCCCTGCTTGATTGTCGGCACCCAGACCGATTTGCGTGACGATCCCAACGTTCGTGAGAAGTTGTCTCGTCAGAAGATGCAGCCCATCCGTAAGGAAGACGGTGACCGCATGGCCAAGGAGCTCGGTGCCGTCAAGTACGTCGAGTGTTCTGCTCTGACGCAGTATAAGCTGAAGGATGTCTTTGATGAGGTATGGCTTGTCCTTTCTTTTTTTTTTGCGCGATTTTTTCAAGGCGCTTGAAGGGTCGCGACTCGTCTATTGTTTCACACCGCTAACTTGTCTCGGCACAGGCCATCGTCGCCGCTCTCGAGCCGGCGCCCAAGAAGAAGAGCAGTCGTTGTCGCTTGCTGTAAACCTTCTTTCTGAATATTCTTACAGGTGGGTTCTTTCTTGCGCGTTGAATTACGGGATTCGCTAGTTGACACAATACACTTGACAGATACGACGGAATGAACCTGTTTTGCTTTATGCTTTTTTTTTAGGGGGGCAAACCGTTTGGTCAGGTCGAATCACTGGGTTACTTGCATGCGGGGAAAAGAGGGGGTTCTTTCTTTGTTATGAGCAAGTGTTGCTACCTGAATCGTTTCGACTACCGCGTTGCCAACGACTCGATCTGCCTCGTGCTCGATTAATTCCCTTGGTCTACGCGATCGCCCAACTTCGACTTTTCCGACTCCTTTGAACCTCCTGCTACTCCGCGCCCCCTTTCTCGTCTCCTTTGGCTTCGCCCGGCTGCGCCCATTTGTCGCCCACCCGACCTGCGATTTCTCGACCATTTGCTCTCCCCCCATACCCCGATCCCCGAATCCTCTCCTTCACAGAAGCCGCGATTTTCGACCCGTCTCCTCCTTTTCTCGTGTCCCCTGAATCCTCGACACCCCGAATTCCGCTCTCCATGTTCCTCGTTCCCGTGTTCTTCACCTTTCTCTCGTCTCTCGGCGTTGGACGTCAGGGCGTCGTGTTTTTGGCTGGCCGATGATTTTCGTCCCTTTATCCCCTTCTCTTCTCTTCCTCGGCCTTGCACCTTCGGAGCTTTCGAGTTTGCTGTACCCGTTCCCTCAGACCCGGCCCTGTTCTTTGCATGCGTGTTATTGCGATCTTCACGGATTTCTTCTTTCGAAGCCTTACTGTTTTTTTCTTGCCGGTCTCTCTCTGCTCATGCAGCTTTATCCGAGAGCAAAATTATTCTGGAACTTAGAATGCTGCAGACAGAGGTCTCCAACCAACTTATATGTTCTAAGATGATTTTTGTGGTCTCTCGTAGACAGGATTCCGATCTGCGGAGTGGAGTAGACCAAGCATTATACCAGATCGCCGAGTGACGAGAGCCTTTGGAATCAATAAATTCTATATCCGAACGCGGCAGTAGCTTGGTGTTGGAAGACCGGCCACGTGAATCAAAGGCAATTCCATGTGTGACATTTCATTCATTCTCTTCTACAATCATGTGTCTCGTATATACTACAATCCATATCCCCGAGCCTCAATCTGTGCAAAACTTTTAGAGCTCATCCTTAGAAATCTTCGCAGAGCCACCCACAACACCCTCCACGACAGTACCAGGGGCCTCATTCAGGCGACCATACCACCCGCCCAGATCCTCATCAACACCCGACTTCACCATGCTAGTAATAATCTCAAATGCAACCTGAGCCGCCGCAAGAGCAGTAGTCTCACCCTTGTTATCATAGGCCGGTGACACCTCCACAATGTCCGCACCAACCAGGTTCAACTTCTCCAAACCACGCAGAATGCGAATAAACTCACGTGTAGTCCAACCACCCGGCTCAGGCGTACCGGTTCCCGGTGCAGTCGACGGGTCCAAAACATCAATATCCACCGAAAGATAAACCGGCTGTTCAGGATCAAGACCAGTGCGCGCAATGATAGTCTCCACAACACCCATGGGACCAAGCTCATCAATATCATCCGCATGGATACGAATAAAGCCCTGCTCCGGACCCGGGTTCGTATAATCCCCCGCATCAACACCAGTCAACCGCGTCCGAAGTCCAGCGTGCGCAGAGGTAGAGTTACAAATTAATCCCTCGCGACTCGCCTTGTGGAAGAAACTCCCATGATTGAACTGCGTCTGCTCACTCTGCCAATACGCAGAATACCGCACGGGATTCCACGTATCAAGATGCGCATCGAAATGCAACACCGTAATCGGCTTCTGATAAATCTGATACAACGCCCTCAGCGCCGGCAACGCAATACTGTGATCTCCACCCAGTGTCACGAGCTTGGGATGTCCGGTCCCGATGGAATCGCCTCCCTTGGGCGCCTTGTTCACCGTCTTGCGGGACCCGAGCTCCAAGAAGGCCTCGTACATTTGCTTCTCCGCGAGTCCGTTGTCGAACGGTGTAATCGGGATATCGCCGCAGTCGGTGATCTTTGCCCAGGACTGGTAAGGGTTTATGCCTGCGCGCGTGTTGTACGATGTGCCGGCCATTTGGCGAGCGGAGGCTGCGCGAATGGCGCGGGGACCGAAGCGGGCACCTGGTCTGTAGGAGACGGCTGTGTCGAAGGGGGCGCCGATCACGGCGATGTCGTAGTTCTCTGAGGGTTCAATGAGACATTTGACGGGCTTGAGGTGGGCGAAGCTGGCGATGCCGGTGAAGGACCACTATAGTATGAATTAGTACTCCTCATTGGAGAGCGCTGGATGAAAGGATTTGGATCCAATTCAATCCAGGTTCGATTGGAAGAACCTACCTCCTGGTCCCACTTCTTCAATAGCTCTTCACGCTCGTTTTCGGGGACGACTTCGGCGTCGCCGTGGTGGGCGCAAGCTGTAGCACTGCTGGCCAGCGCCAGCAGGCTCACAAGAGACTTCCAGGCAGGCATGGCTGGAATCTGTGTAGAGGATACTACAGTAAAGAAAGAGAGAGTCTTTAAGACAGGGAATGGAAATATATAGCAGTATTCTTGAATGTTCTCCGGCGAACTTCCTAATCAGCGCTATCTAATCAGTGCATGTAAAGGGAAAGACGAGCAGATCGGCCCCGCCAAACCTCCGCCCGAGCCATTCCGTGGTCCCAAATCGTGCAGACCTTCCCTTCTTGGACCCTTTTCTTTTCTCCTTGTGAATCGACAACTTGACATGCCATGCGTCGTGTCGTCGTGACGGGTTTAGGTGCAGTCACGCCGCTAGGTGTTGGTGAGTCTGCTAAAACACCCCCTGTTCTTCGTTATTGCCCTTCCATGCCCATTGCCACCATTACGCATCCTCAACGTCAATGCAAGTATCGCGAGCGATCTGCATATTTAGCAAGGCCGACTGGACCCCGGACTTAAGCAGAGGAAGCTCGCAGAAAGGGAAGAAAAAAAAACCTGCGGCGGTGTCCCCACACTGCACCTCCGGATGGGGAAAGTCTTGACAGCCAATGACGGGGCGACTATATCGAGCTTGACTCAAAGTAGAAGGGCCATGAGTAGGCCATTGCATTGCAAGTGATCGAGACTAACTGCTTCTGGTGGCATGCGCAGGTGTTCGGCGGACTTGGAGTCGCTTGTTGGAGGGTCATTGCGGTATAGTCAATGTGAATTCTCGTGATGCCAGATTTAAGGAACAACCTTGTCAGATTGCGGCTGTTGTGCCGAACGGCAGCAGGGACGAAGGTGGATGGATGGCCGGGGAGTGGTTGGGTCGAGGTGTAAGTTTCTTCCTTCAACTTGAAAAGTGATGTTGATGATGTGATCATGGTTGAATTTGTACTGATGGGGAGTCCAGGAGGAGCGCAAAATGGCTTTGTTTGCGCAGTATGCTATGGCTGCTACTGAAGAGGCTCTGAATGACGCTGGGTGGAAACCTGAGCCTTTTGAGCAGAGGGAAGCTACAGTATGATACGTGGCGTTATTGCTGTTGAAAAGTCACTAACTTGTATAGGGCGTATGTCTGGGATTGGGGATTGGCAACTTTGATGAGATCTATAACACTGTCGTCGCTTATGAGAAAGGCGTATGTGATTTGACAGTGGATGTGGCACCAATTTACACTTACTGACCATCTCTGAATAGGGCTACAAAAAAGTGAACCCGCTGTTTGTACCAAAATTACTTATCAACCTGGGCGCTGGACACATCTCAATGAAGTATGGATTCATGGTAAGTTACATCTATCAGGAGGGTCGATCTTGGCTCACTCGTGCAGGGACCAAATCACGCAGCAACAACTGCTTGTACAACCGGCGCCCATTCCATTGGCGATGCTGCTCGCTTCATTGCATGTGGCGATGCTGATGTGATGGTCGCCGGCGGTGCTGAGTCTTGTATCCACCCATTAGCCATTGGTGGCTTCGCTCGAGCCCGTAGTCTCGCCACAGATTTCAACGATAACCCAGAAAAGGCTTCTCGGCCGTTCGACGCTGACCGGCGCGGTTTCGTCGTCGGTGAGGGTGCAGCCGTAATGATACTTGAGGTGAGACCAACATAAATCAGAACTGACCAAGATACTGATGTACGAAACCAGGAATTGGAGCACGCTCGTGCAAGAGGGGCCAATATCTACGCCGAGCTCAAAGGATACGCCTGTTCCAGCGACGCACACCACATGACAGCCCCCAAAGAAAACGGCGAGGGCGCCTACATGGCAATGAAAAAGGCACTGAAACAAGCCCAGCTGCCCCCGTCAGCCGTCGACTATGTCAACGCTCATGCAACCTCCACAATTGTGGGCGATTCTGCTGAAAATACAGCTATCAAGTCCCTTCTCCTGGGACCCAATGGTAAGCGAAAGGCAGCAGAGGTCAATGTGAGCAGCACCAAAGGTGCTATCGGACATCTTCTCGGCGGCGCGGGCGCCGTTGAGGCCGTTTTTAGTGTCCTCGCTATCCAAGACGTGAGTAGCAACACGACAAAAAGGAGATAGTATGTACTAACAGCTTGATAGGGCGTTATGCCGCCCACCATTAATCTGGATCGTTTGGCGGATGGTTTCGATTGTAATTATGCGCCTCATCATGCGCAACAGCGGAAGATCGATGTTGCATTGACGAATAGCTTCGGATTCGGAGGGACCAACAGCTCGCTTTGCTTTGCGAAGCTTGAAAAGTAGAGTGAACCTCCTGTACAACAACATTGCCATATTTTGAGCGTGTACTATATTCGATATCGATGCCTTTTCATACTGGTGTTCTGCTATTCTACCATGTCTACTCAACAGATAAATTCTTTTTCAGTCCAGGATCTCTCTGTCCCTCTGAAATCGACCTACACCTTTTCAATTATGCAAAGTCGGCGTGGCTTGTTGTGTCGCCTGCTCATAGCAAGATGGGCACGTGACTCACACCAAATGCGGAGCCCCAGCCCGACGTCAATCCCGTAGTCCAATGTGTACACGACCCGATCTGATCCACCCTGGCGCGATCAAATATCCTCAAATAGTGCCAGCGAGCAAACCTCCGTCTCAGGGTCCCTCCACGTTGCCCTCACCATGGCGACGAACGGCAACTCCGGTCGAGGTAAGCGCCATCCAATTTCCCTCCAGTGCGACTTGGGAAACCGCACTGGGATGGAATACCGTTGAGTGAGGGTTGTAGAATGAATAAAGAGCTAATTCTCCCATCGCGCGACAGGATCGGGTAGCCTAGTTGATGCATCAGGCTACAAATTCACCGATAAGGATACCAAGCCGGGGAAGATGAAGGTGAAGAAGACGTCCAAGGTCTCGGCGAAGAAGAAGGCAGATGGTATGCTCACTTGAATGGAGTTGATTCACTTGCTCAGGGCTTACTTTCTATCGGCGCAGATGCTAAGGACGGTCCCCTCGATACTTCGCCTAATTCCTCACCTCTGCCCAGGTTAGATGACAAGATCGCGGCCTCGTTTCCTACCGGAAAACCGCACCAGGAGGATCTGCTGGAGACTGTCATCTGCAAGCATTGCAAGCGACCTGTGCTGAAATCCAGCGCGTCGGAACATATCCGTGGCTGTTTGAAGGCGAAACAAGAGAAGGCGCGCAAGAAGAAGGAGGCACGCGACGCAGCCAACCGAGCGAAAGCTGGCGACGACGACGACTTCCGTGAAAAAGTGGATATTGGTGATGAGGTGATGACCGGGCAGAAGAGCGCTAAGAAGAGCGCCGTCAAGGCTACCGAGGATAACAGGAAGGGAAAGAAGCGCAAGGCTGATGAGGACGACAAGGAGCCGAAGAAAAAGAAGAAGAAGGATGAGCCAAAGGCCAAGAATGCGAAGGCTAAGGGTCCTGTTGATGTTGAGAAGCAGTGCGGTGTTACATTGCCCAATGGTGCTCAATGTGCTCGCTCTTTGACTTGCAAGAGCCATTCTATGGGTGCCAAGCGCGCGGTGCCTGGCCGTTCTTTGCCATATGACATGCTGCTCCAACAGTACCAGAAGAAGAATCAGGCTCGTCAGCAGAGTGAGATATCCCCTGGCAACCTTTGTGATGGTCAGACAGCTAACATCTTCTATAGAGGCTGCCATCGATGCCAATGCGCCTTTGCAAGAGGACATTGAAACCAACGGTCCAGTCGACTCTGATGAAGAGCGCGACTCGGTGATGGCTGCCATCGCACGCTCCAGGCCACAGCCTCTAGCCAAACATACCTTGATCAGCTCCAAGACCAAGTATCGATATGTGCGTATCAAGGAACAGATGCTCCACGCCATTGGCGGACGCGGAGGTGGCGGGCTCTTTTCCACAGACGATAGCCAACCCTTATTTGGAGGAAGTATTTTCTCACCCTTCGATCCCAACGTGGATGCGTCCTCATCGCCAATGCTGCCGGGTGCAGAATCAATGGATATCGATGGGTCCAGGAACACCCCAGTGCAGGGGACGCGCAAAACTCCCGTGGCGATGGCTTCTTGAGGTGCTTGCAGCTTGTGACGATTTAATGACTTTTGGGATTTCGGGCGCTTCGCTTTTTCGTCCTTCGTGGTGCGGATGCAAGCCTTTGAGGGCGTAGGTTATGGTGCATTTCCTTTCACTCGTCTCGATCTTCCTTCGTACCTTCGAGGGGCTAGAACAGGCTGGTTCTGTTTTCTTTCAGTGATGATATGATACCCCGGCTGGTGATATATTTCACTCAGTAATTATAAATGGATATTGGTCCTGAAACCATCTTTCAAAAGAAAAAAACCTGTAGCTCAGAGTACAGTCTCATGTATCCTTACGTATACTTTGTCCCTGGTTTTCCAATTATAGGCCTGTACATTCTGTCTCAATCAACCGTGATATCACATGACATCGAGCTAAGGCACCAAGGCTACAAGGCATCCCGGCAACAGGCTGTCTATCCCAGCTCCGCCGATCATTGTTTGAGACTCTTCAGTCATGTCGCAAGCCTCATTGGACTGCTCAGACGAGCTTCCTTCACAATTAAATTATCTTTGAAGCTAAATAGAGATCATAGATCATTGCGTGGGCGTGCGCCCTTCGCCTTCGCCCCCAATTCACAACGACTTCCGAAAGCCCTGCTCCCACCCTAATTCTTCAGCGCCCCTCGAGGCAGTCTCCGGATCGCCAGGACCCATCCGGCAACTTCTGAACACCTATCCGACGACCCTTTCCCAAATCTCACAATGAGCCACGCCGTCCCCGACCTCGACGCGATAGGCATCAAAGCCGATTACGATCTCGCCGACCAGTTCCGTCGTGAAGTAGCTCAGCTCCTCGGTCGCAACAATCTTAATTTCCCCGGCGCGCAACCAGTCAGCTTCTCGTCGAAACACCTCACAGAACTTCAAAGAGAGGATTACTATGTCTGTGAAAAGACGGACGGCATTCGGTGTCTGATGTACTTTGCGCGCGGCGATGATGTCGAGAACCCCGAAATTCACTATCTGATCGATCGGAAGAACGAATATCGCTTTGTACCGGGTCTCCATTTTCCTCTGCCTGACGATGAAACGTTCCAATCATTTCACGTCGACACGCTGGTGGATGGCGAGCTAGTCAACGACACTTACCCAGACGGCACACAGCAGCTCAAATTTCTTGTTTTCGATTGTCTCGTGCTAGACGGACAGAGTCTGATGCACCGCACGCTTGACAAGCGACTCGCCTATTTCAAAGTGAAAGTGTTAGAGCCTTACAGGGCCATGTACCGCAAATTCCCCGAAGAAAAGGCCCACCGACCCTTTGTGGTGGAAGACAAATCCACGCAGTTCAGCTACGGCATCGAGATGATGTTCCGCGAGATTATTCCCAAAGTAAAACAGATCCACGGAAACGACGGTCTGATCTTCACTTGCCGAAGCACACCCTACCGTATCGGCACAGACGAACACATCCTGAAATGGAAGCCACCGTCGGAGAACACAGTCGACTTCCGCATGCGCCTTGAATTCCCCGTCCTAGAGCCCGACACCGAGGATGAGGCGGACGGTATATCTGCCCCATACCCCGACTACGATGCTCTCCCTATCTGTCATCTATTCGTTATGCTCAATGCAGGCGAGTACCGCCATTGGGGCGAGATGTACCTCACCCCAACAGAATGGGAAGATCTCAAAGCTCTACGACTTCCGCTCGACGATTCCATTGTCGAATGCTCCAAAGACGAACAGGGACGCTGGCGCTACCACCGTCTTCGCGACGATAAGATTGATGCAAATCACATTTCCACAGTCGAGAAAGTTCTCGAGAGCATCGAAGACCGCGTTACAGAAGAGGATCTGATCCGTATTGCCCCTGCTATCAAAAACGCATGGAAGAAGCGCGCTTCCATGGGTTCCAGCGAGGGCAAGCAGCGTGCAATGTCATCAATGAATGGAAACGGAGTCAAGCGGAAGTTCGAGGAGTGATGAGAAAATAGTTTCTTCATCTATCTCCTGAATCATACTTCATTTGCAAGGCGTCCGGCGTTGGTTTGTTTGTGGTTTTTGGGGACTCTGAGCATTAGAACATCTCGAGGTGATCAGGTGAATGTGAAGACCGTGTTTATGGCTACTGGACTCGGTCCTTTCTGTTTGAATTGCAATGTATCATCTGCCTCTTGCCCAAGTTACGACCTACTTGGTAGAGTGCCTACAGAACATGTATTATAGTGCAAATAGATGTCTGTTTCGAAAATTGAAAATCTTCGAGCTCTGAGTTCTGTTACATAAGTCTCTTGGTAATCGTTATTTCTGGCTGACTAGATCGACCCGCGATACTTAGGGTTGGGCCGGAAATATACTACAGATTCGTCTCAATAAGCGGCCATGACTGACCACACAAGTAGCATTCAAAGAAATCTAGAGGAACACGCTGGGGAATACAAGGGAAACCCGGGAAAGGACTCTAGTGAGGTGCCCTAAAGGAAATTGAGGAAGAGCTGAAGGATCCAAGTGTAGAGGCACTCGGGAAGGCCATGTCCCTAGAGCCAAATCTATTTCTTCTCTCATTAAATTTCATTCAGAACCCTTGCAACGTGTTCGAGATTCTCAATGATCATAGCTCGCTAACCTCGCGAACCTCATTGTCGAGAGTAAATTGCCAGCCGCGGTCGAATGGGCGTGGATTGTATCACTTGTGATAATTTGGTAGCATGTCTACCAACATGCTCTAGCAAACACTTTCCACCCGAATGACGACCTGATCCTCTCTATCATTCGATCATGAAGATAACATGAACATCAAGCGCTACACTAGGGGTATCGAGTGCGCTGTTTGCCCATTGCAGGATTGCGTATTTATCGTCCATTGTTGACGAGCTGTAAGACGGATAATTCATGAGTTTAAACACCGGAATCATAGAGCTCCCAGAGATCCGATCATCACTACCGACATTAACCTTTAGAATCAGGCGCTTGAGCCCTCCGTGCAGTGAGCAGTAATGAGTACTGTGCGTTTCCTGACAACGACGTCCACGCAGATCAAGTCTTCTCCAGTCCAGAGCGGCGCGGGCGGAGCCTGACACAAAGAATAAAGAATAAAGGGGAGTATTGATTGGGAGTGTATCGCGTTTTCGTGTGTATATAATACCATCAAAGGCCGCAACAGGCATTAATAACAAGGGAGAGTCGATTCTCAGAAAGAACTTACCTACGACTATGCACGATACAGAGATGGCGTGTTTCTAAATACGAGTCGAGAAACCATGTCCGTGTGGCCAGGCAAGAGAGTTTTTCTTGCTTACATTGTACATAGGACTGGAATATGTATACAACTTGCAGCGTTGCGAGTAATTATTCCGTGATGAAACTCAATATGTGGCTCATGAGTACCAACCTTAAGTGGTTGGAAAAACAAAGTAGTCGGGCCTCAATCAAAGTAACATCAGCGGCCTAGAATATCCAAAAGACCCTTCTCTCCTAGATGGAGCTCCTCGTCTAGTTTGAGCCACAGCTTTGACCTAGAATCAGGGTCACGACAATGCCACTGTGGCGACGCCTCCCAAATACGATTGATATACAACCCTCCACCTTTACCATTGTCCGCACCCACACCCTGCTTTTCGGGATTTGGGCCAAATTCTGGACTAGTAGCCGCATAGGTTATAGCCAAGCTACCCTGCTGTGAGCTGATGGCAACATATTGCAAGAGGAACTCCAGAACGGAACGTGGACCAGGTCCAAGTCTACTCTCGAGATTCTTCCAGATACCCGAGGCAACGAAACCGGGATGAAGGCCGTTGATCGTAATGTGGAGGTATTCAGGGTGCTTGAGAAGTCGAGACTGCAGCTCCGTAACCCAGATCTGGAAATAGAGCTTGTTGTTCGCATAGGGGTTGCCTTTCATCTCGGGGCCGCTGTTGAAGTGCTCTAGGTCAAAGTATCCGAGATGGTGTAAGCATGAGGTTGAGCAGATTATGCGAGGCTCGGAGCTGCGAGCTAGTGACGGAAGGAGCCGCAGAGTCAGCAGCACATGAGATAAAAAGTTGACCTAAACAATTAGTTTGGATTCGTGAGTCCAGGTTAAAGATTCAGACGAACCTGATGCACCAGCTGAAACCCATCTTTCGTCATCGTCAAGTTATTATTGGCAGTAGCAGCAAGGCCAGCATTGTTACAAAGAATATCCAAAGTGCGATCAGTTTCCAGCCATCTTCGACAGAAGATCTCGACGCTGTTGAGATCGGCCATGTCAATCTCCCACCATTCGATCGTTGAGGAATGACCATGTGCCTCGGCGATCTCTTTGCATTCCTTGACGGCGGCTGAAGGATGCAGCTCCCATGCAGGCGGCTCTCGACAGGCCAGTATCAGATTCGCACCCCATGCTGCGAAGGATTTGGCTGCTTCAAATCCAACACCATTGTTGGAACCGGATATGATGATCCATTTTCCTCTCATATCGGTGCCGGGAACATGTTGCTCGGTGAGGAAAGTATTGTTCGTTCCCCTCAAGCCCTGCAGAAAATCGTAGAAACGATACAATGGTGACAAAAGCGCGGCCATCGTAATGCTAGATGAGATATCGGAGGTTGAGGAAATGGGATCCCAGAGAAGTCGAGGTTAGAAACAACGCTATGCCTCAAAGGGTCTATCCCCGCTCAAGATCCTGGAATATGTCAGCTTGGAGGTAATAGCGTTGCCTAGGCCAAGGAATCAGGGTATTTCTGCTTGAAAATCGAAAATCTCCAAAGCTCGAATATAGCTGTTATCAGCAGCCACCAAAGTTCTGCCTGAGGTGACTAAAGCTCATGTGGAGAACATCGCGCGACCCCGCAACATTAGCATCGGCTACCTTCAGCTTCCAACTCATACTATCACTTTCCTCCTCTCCTCTAAATCCCGACATCCTCCACAATGACCGACTCACCAGATGTTCCAAATTCCCAAAAGGCCTTTGTGCCTCTCGGTTCGTCCCCTCCTCCTTCAATTCGTCAACATTCAAATTAACAGCCTTTAGAAAATAACCCCGAAGTCATGTCCCACCTAGTCCACCAACTTGGGCTTCCACCGACCTTCGGCTTCACCGATGTATTCTCAATTGACGAACCCGACCTCTTAGCCTTTGTCCCTCGCCCGTCCCACGCCCTCCTTCTCGTCTTCCCCGTAAGCTCCACCTACGAAGCATCCCGCACAAAAGAAGACAGCGCCCTCCCCGAATACTCCGGCACGGGCCCTTCCGAACCCGTTACATGGTTCAAGCAAACCATTCGCAACGCCTGCGGTCTCATCGGTCTTCTCCACGCCGTGGCAAACGGCGAACCCCGGCAACACATCACGCCCGGTTCGGACCTCGATACTCTGCTGCGCGAAGCAGAGAACTTGGCGCCTGTCGCGCGGGCTGACTTACTATATGACAGTCAGGCGCTGGAGAGTGCACATGCCAAGGCGGCGAAGTTGGGGGATACAGCGGCTCCGGAGGCGGAAGATAGTGTTGATTTGCATTTTGTGGCGTTTGTCAAGGCGGGTGGACAGCTTTGGGAGCTTGATGGAAGGCGGAAAGGGCCTTTGGCTAGGGGCGCGCTTGGGGAAGATGAAGATGCGCTAAGTGAGAAGGCACTTGGATTGGGGGTTAGGAGGTTCTTGAGGACGGAGGCAGCTGGGGGAAATCCGGACTTGAGGTTTAGTCTGGTTAGTTTGGGTCCTGTGTTTGATTAGAGATCTGTATTGTTAATCAAGACCAAGAGCTACGGTTCATGGAATCGGTCGATCTTCACTGAAGGAAGCTTGTGCTTCATTGTTCACGTAATCTATGTCTAATTAGTATCTCTCTCTCTCTCTCTCTCTCTCTGTATGGATGCCGAAGAAAGCAAATCATCGCTTTGGCTTGACCTCCGAACCAAAGCTATTTTCCTTTAAAACATTATTTCTTTTCGAGAATCTCCATAGGAGCATTTCCGACTCTTGCTTCGGGAGTCAAATCATCCACGATATGTCTCTTCTCATCTCCATCACTCCCAGTCACAGAATGATCCGGCTCCTCAGGCGAACCACCCTGAGTCCCCAGCGTTAAGAACGGCACCACGAAAAGCGAAAGACCAGCTGCTGCCGACGCATACCAGTAAACGGCCAAATAGGGCCTAATGACCGGAGTCGAGGCCGTCATCTGATTCGCAACAGCACTGTTCACCGAAGTAGCAATACCAAGCCCGAGATTGTTGCAAAGCTTGGACACAGTATTGAAGATACCCCCGGCAATCGACTGCTGCGCAGGAGGTAGCGAAGACATGACATACATATTGGTGACATTGAACTGGATGTCAGCGCCAACGACGACAAGGACGAGAGCTGGGAAGATGTATGCCCAGTAGATGGCGTCTTCTTTCATGAAACTGAGAATCAAGAAGGAGGTTGTGTATGCCAGGGCGCCGATACCAGTCAAGAGCTTGTTGCTGACGCGGTGCAAAACAAGTCCACAAACTACATTGACCAGCACACCACTGACGACCATTGGGAGAAGCCGAACAGTGATATCGAGAGCCGTGAGATGCTTCACCTCTTGCAGATAGAGTGAGAGATAGAAGGTGACGGCAGAGAAGCCCATAAAGCCGAGACAGAATGCTGCCATGAGAAGGGAAAAGTTGCGATCTTTCCATACCCATAGTGGCATCAGAGGGTTTTTGGCGACTGATTGCCAGTACAAAAACCCACACAGAAGGAAAAATCCAACAATGAACAAGGCCAGGACATAACCAGTGCGCCAGCCGTCGGGAGCATCTCCTGCTAATCTACAGGAAATAATCAGTCAACCCATCCACACAAACATCTAGAGGGATAAATAATACTCACGAGAGCGAACTGGAAAAGAAGGCAAACCCAACGATGACCAACGCAGTCCCCAGCAAATCAAAGCTCCTCAGCGCATCCATACTCACCTTTGTCCTCGAAAACCCATCCGCCGGCACAGTCCAAACCGTCAACACCGTAAAGATCGCATAAACCACAGCCAACGCCCAAAAGGACGCCCGCCAGTTATACTCATGCGACGCAACGCCCGAGATAATCATGCCACCCACAAATCCAAGCGGATTCCCAGCACTGAAGCACGCAAAGGCACGATTCTTCCGCTTCGAGGGCCTTTCATACACCGCACCGAGAGTTCCCACCGCCGGCGGAACCACAGCCGCGGCGAAAATGCCCAGAATACCGGAGAAAACATCCATATAGATGGCATTCGTCGCAAAGCCCGCAATCAACAGCGAGATGGTGAATCCAGCCATGCCGATGATGAAGAGACTTTTGCGGCCGAACATATCAGCCAATTTGCCAAAGGTCAAGAGAAAAGCGCCGCTACTCAGACTGTATCGGGTCAATGATTTAGCTTGTTGCGTTTGGGGGGTTCATCGCTGTAAAATGCGAGATTTGTAGAAGAAAAACTTACGAAGCACCTGCATTGATCCATGTAATCTCGGCAGAATTCATCTTCAAATCCTTTCCTATACTCGCCGTCACGCCCACGATACATCCCTGGAAAAAAGACTGCTGTCCAATAGCCATGGTCGCTGTCAGAACGAATAGGTACTCTTGGAAAGTAGAGCTGAAGCATTTGGGACGTGACGCGTGGATAGGTTGCTCGTCTGGCGCGAGGGTGACCTCTAGGCCCTTTTCATCATCGTGGTTGCTCATGGTAAAGGTTTAGTTGGACTGTCATACGTACTGAAAGTACCAAAGCAGTGTAATAGGGGAGGGTCGGAATTGCCGAGGTTTTTACCTTTGATTGCGACGGCGGAACCGGGGGTGGGGGAAATTGGGTCCTAAGGGTGGATTATATATGGGGATTGCTAGTGCTTAGCAGAGACATTTTTTTTTCTTTTTTCTTTTCTATCTGTTCCATGAAAATGATGTATCCGCCTGTTTACGCAACCACGTTTTGCAGATCCTGCAACTTGCATTGCGGACTCACCGCAAGTGCTGAAAAATCGATCTTTGTCAGCGGCGGATGAGTTCCGCAAACGAGCAAGATTAGCTTTGTTGGCTTGGAAATAACAAGCTTCCAAATAAGATGGAAAATGATTTGAGTATGGAGCTAAGATGATCGTTTACTAAGCTGAGATTTACTAGCGTGTCTCGGAGAATGAAGGAAACACAACCGATAAGTTCAGCTGAAGTGGAGTATCATCAAGTAGTAGTCATTGCGGTGAGAGTTGAGATGCTAAACTTGGAAGAAGTGCTGCCAAGATCACATCCGCTAATTCAGGTTCAATCCACGATTAATCAATTTATACGCGGACCATCCAGATATCGAGCAAGGTCATGGTAATCAAAAAGTACACAACTCACCCTTCAACCCAACACTCCGTCGCATTGAATTTGAGCACCTCATTCCCAGCCGCGCACCATCCCGCCGTTAAATTCCTCGCAAAGACCTCAAGTGCAGAATAACCCTGTACCCTTCCACCTTGTGTGAAGAATAGCTGCTCAAATAATTCTTTCAAGTTCGGCTTCCGCGAGTGAAGATCCGGGACTGCGGCGATAACTCGTCTCTGGGGCACACAAGAATTGGGTTCAAGTGAATTATAGGAAGCGATGGGGAGCACCGTCTCTGACATTGTTACTGACACTGGTTCTCGTTGACCGATAACGAGTATCTCATATGGTTTTCTCCAAAGCCCATCGACTGGAGAGACAGGGTCCCCATTCGCGGTGGTTTTGATCCAAATCCATTCCTCGATAATAGTGAAGCCGGTGTTGGTGAGGGAGTCGTAGGCTGTTTGGCGGGATTTTTCGGAATTTGTGGTCCAGATTCCGGCGAGGGCTAGTTGGCTTCGTGGATAGGGATGGAAGGGGTTGATGGGGGGTGTTTGCTCAGGAGTGAATGCGTGAAAGTGGAGAATATCCTGGAGCCGTTGAGTGAGGAGCTCGTATGGGTGTGTATTGTAGTGACCGCTGCGACGAACAGAACGGTTTGGCCATGGTGGGTCGAAGAGGATAAGATTGAAGGACTGGGTCGAGGGAAGGCCTGAGATGGGGAAGCTGGATTTGGGGTGGGCTTCTGATATAGGGATGGTGCAAAGGATGAATTGGGAGTCTGGTGGGATGATGTACTCGAATGGAGCAGGCTCGACTCCACCGTGACAGCCTGCCTGAAGTACGGCTGGGTGGGACGATGGATTGTTTACGATGCCATCCAGTGAGGATAATGACTCAAATGCATTGGTCGATGTCGAAGATAGAATCGTGGGTGGACGAACATGGGAAGCCGTACGGTGCCTCAAGATTACTTTTGGGGAAGATTCCTGAAGTAACGTTTGTGCAGGTTCGTCTACTATTGCCGCACCAAATTCAGCTCTCCGTTTCCTAGGATGGGATGTTTCCTCATCGGAGAAAGATCTTGGACTGCACCAGCGCGCGGTACGATATTCATCCCGGATTTCCTGCAGTGCGCTTAGGAGCAGGGGGTGGATTTCATCATGGAAGAGTCTCTCGCTCCTCGGAACCTGATCGAGCAGCCTGGCGCGCGCGATCTCTGACTTGGGCTCACAGGATCCCCCGTAAGGTGATTCAAGCGGTGGAGCTGAGAGGATGTGTTTTCTGGAAACATTCTTCCCGGGCTTCAGGTCCAATGATGAGGAGCCGACAGTGCCGTTTCCGAGGTTGGGAGTCAACTCCTGAGCTCGGGCAATGGAGGTTGGGATGTCGATTATGAAGATCGTGTTTTGCTCATTCCGATAAAGGATAGAGGGATCCTCCAGGCTGGTCATCACAGCGACAGGAACGATGTGGGGAAGTTCCAGTTAAAGTCCTTACTAAACCGCAACTTGATGTTCCAGGCGGGAAGTCACCAGCTGCGGAGTCAGGAGTCTGTAGTTAGGAATTTACACGAGTGAAACCCTCGAACTTTTTACATTCCAATAAACGGTAAAATAGAAACTATGAGCTTGTCGATTTCATACAGGCATCCTCGGTCAGACACATGGTCATTGGAAATTCTCCAGATACATTTCACGGTCACATCGACATCAACACCAATACCGACACCGACACCCAACTTTTAAAGACACCCTTCTAATCCCATCCCACTCGCAGCGGCGAACCAGCGTCCACAGGAGCGAAGAAAGGGAAAACCTCCGGTCATCAAAAATCCACAAGGTAGCAAGATAACCCGCTGAATCTTCATGATAAGACGGCCAAAAGAAAAAAGACTCGGAAAATGAATTTATACACAGATGGAAGGCAGGAAAAGAGATTAAAAAAGATCATGCGCAAAGATCAGCGCTAGGACGGCATTAGCGTGCTAAGTGCCCAAGAAATTCTCACTGGTGCCCACTCACCCGTCCGCGGCGGCCCCCTTGGCCCGGCACTGGTTGACCCTGAGCGTAGAACTGCGGAGGGTATTGGTACATCTGCGCAGGGTTGACGACCGGGCTGAATTGCTGCGAGGGGTAGTTGGATTGGCCGAGCATCGGGTTGGGGCTCATTGGGCCAGGCCCGGACAGCGGCGAAGCCTGCTGATTTTGCATGGAGCGGAGGTTGTCAATGGACCCTCCGGGATAGCCAAAATTGGCACCGGGGATGCCTCCGTACATGCCTCCTGGGGAGACACCGCGAGCTTGGGCAGCGAGGAAGTTCTGGTACTGCAATTGCTGGGGGGTGAGAGCTAGACCGGGGTCTTGGAAGCCGCCGTTGAGGCCGCCCAATCCATTCAAGGGGTTTCCAAACCCGTTGATCCCGTTGGAGTATAGGTCAAGAGGAGCGTGGTTCTGGTCGGCTGACATGGGGCGCCCATCGGACTGGCCAAGCATATTGGGAACGAATTGGCCGCTGTACTGTCGCTCCAAAGACGGCTGAGATGGGAAGTTCGTGCTTCCGTGGCGAGAAGACTGGCGGTGCTGTGACTTCTCGGGGTGGAGGAGTGGCTGGCTCCATGCTCCCGGCCATGGTGCTCCCGGCCGCTGCCACGCGAAGACAAACCAACTTCGTCCATCAGACGCTTGTAGCCTTGGCTAGGAGAAGCCTTCAGCTTGGTGAGAACCTTTGAGACATTCTTCACGACCTCCGATCGCATGGACTCATCGAAGAACGGAGTGGTCAAGACCTTGAAGATCAGGGTTGCGCCGGAGGTTTGGTCACTCAGAATCTTCTCCAAGACTTCATCGCCGGGGCTAAAGAAGAGAGCCTTGAGAACAATGTCTCGCGCTTCAGCCTCGTTGCGCTGGTTGATGACCTTGAGCACCGTAAGGTAGGCAACCTTGTGGGTGCAGAGGTGCACAAGGTGAGGAACCAGTCTAGGAGCAAGGACAGTACGACGACGAGGGAAAGTACAAGTGTCGAGGAACCAAGTGAGCAGGAGAGCACCGTTGGCGTTGGTGGCCAGCTGCACGCTGTGAAGAGCGATAGCAGCCGCAAGTGCCCGCTGCTGATCCTTAGAGGCGTGGTGGCTTTCCAAGCAAGCCCGCATGGCTCTGGCACCGAACCGTCCCTGGGAGATCTCCCACATGCGGCTCAACATGGTTTCAAAGATGAAGTCATTAAAGGGTGTACCGAACCGAAGGCAGCACTGGAGAACATAGTTACCGTACTGGTCCAGGAACAGAGGGACCACGTAAGGACGAAGGGCATCAACAATCATGTTCATCTGGCTGGGTGTCTTCGCCACGTCGATGATCTTTTGAGCAGCCCAAGTTCCATTCTTGTGGACACCGATCTCGGCAAGGTGGGGTGCAATATGCGTGAGCATCTGTTCCTTAGTAGACTCGGAGCAGAACTCGAACAGCTTCTGGACGACAGTGTTGCCCAAATAATCGGATGAAAGCTCTGCAATCTCAGGGAGCATAGCACCAGCGGTCTCCTCAATCTCTTGAATGGAGCAGGCGCCGTTGTCGATGCGCTTGCGAATATCACGCAGGCGAGGGGCGTCAAACATGCGAGACTGGCTAGGCTCAGGAACGGCAGGAATCTCATCCTCGTAGGCTTCAAAGGCAATAGAGGTTTGGATACTATTGGTAATGTGGCGCAAGTCCTCCTCGGAGGCGCCAAACTCCTTGACAATCTCCAGCATTTCAGGCATCAGATCAATCAAAGAAGCAATTTGAGGCACGACCCCGAGATCTGTCTGTGCTATACCATCATTTACGAGGTTGGACTTAAAGTTGGGGTCGGGAGTAGGAGACGATTGAATGCCATTGGCACCGGGAGTGCCTGTTGCGGAAGTGCCAGGAACCTTGGCATAACCAATTCTGACAGGTCCCGCGCCAGGGAAAATCTCCTTGCCATTGAGAAGCGACTTCGCCTGGACAGCAGCCTCGATGCGCTCGAAGTTGACAAAACCGCAGTTCTTGTGGGTCAACACGCGAGTAGACTCGATCTTACCGTACATGCCAAAGATAGCCTCCAGCGAAGTCACAGTAGTCGACACGGGAATGCTGCCAATCCACAGAGCCCGAGTCGGGCCGTCCTGGTTGTTCTCATCTGCCAAGTCACCCGGTTGACGCAAACCGACCCCGGAAGCACCACCTCCAAGGCCCAGCAGTTGGACAGCCTCCGACAAGTCATCGTATTCGCCATTTTCAGCGATCTGCAAATCAGCAGCACTGAAGCTGTTATCGAGGCGAGAGGGAGTTGCGAGGTAGTTGCGGATGGAGGATCGCTGAGGGGGAGCCTCCAAAATGCCGGCAGTCCGAGCTCGGGGCCGATTGACAGAGGCGTGGCTTGCAAATGCCTGAACTGCAAGATTGTGCTGATGAATCTGAGCCTGCGTGGCGGCAAGCTGAGCAGCTGTAGCAGCTGCAGTGGGTGTGAGGGTACCCGAAGGGATCTGAGAATAACGGCTCTCATACTCGAGATCCTCATCGTCCGCGTATTTCTCCTTCGCATTGACCGAGTACGATCGGAAACGATTGTTGTTCTTCATCATCGCCAGCTCGGCCAGGAGTGGCGGTAGCTGAGCCTGCTGCTGCTGTTGCTGTTGCATCAGCATCTCCATAGAAGTTCGTGCCAAATTTGCCCGTGCCTGGTGGGGGGTCTCCGCAAGGCCCAGGTAGTCCAGCGTCTTCACATCGGAATCGGCGAGACCGTTGCCGGAAAACGAAGATTGGCTAGGCGAGGTAGGGCCTTCGGAAGAACGAATACTGGTTAGAGTTGTGGCTCGCTCGCGCCCCCAGCCCGAAGAGAACAATGATGAGCCGAAAGGGTTGCTGCCAGAACCAAGCAAACTGCTCCTCTGTGGCATCGAGCCAGCTCGAAGACGGGACTGTAGCGTATTCGGGTTGGGCGCACCTGCCGAGGAAGCGATCCTGGTACTCGAATCTGTCGCAGGAATACCTGGGGTCGGAACGGGCTGGTAGACGGCGTTGGTCGGGATGTTTGAGGCATGAACGGCTGCTGGATGTCGTGTTCATTCAGTGTGCCCATTGGAGGGAATCGCGAAGGCACGGTGCCCGCGCGAGCTCGGCGACCCGAACCACCGATCGGACCATTAGTGGTAGGGATCAAATCCGGGAAGCTGTCCTGGTTAGGGGATTCGGGGATATTTTCACGGAGCGGGGTTGAGTGGCCGCTTGTGGGAGGACCCCAGATGCTGGGAGAGATGCCTTCTTGCGCTTGGATTTCACGAGCCCTATCAGACACACTCGATGTCAGACCAGCCCCGATTTCCGAAAGGTGTGAAGCTACTTACCGCTTCGGGTACAAACGTGTCCCCAACTCGTGAGAAGGGGAGCCAGCCCCCAGCCTCGCACCACCAATCGAGCCCGCAGGACCGAATGGTGCTTTCGAGGCTCCGTCACTGGGAGAACTTCGCCCCGTCGATGCGCCGGACATGGGCTGAGTGGTCGGGATGTAGTTGAAGTTCATCTGACCATCAGGGCGCGAAACCGGTAACATTATCGATTATCTCCTTCTGTCTTTTGGGAAGACAGACTCTATTCCCTTCCACTCTAATGATTGATGCAGGTGCCAGAAAAGACTGACAGAGTCAAAAACTCAAAGTGTTGGATTCCTGCTTAGAAGCGGTTGTGCGTCGTAAGCAGCATGTGGTGGAATCGGATCGATGTGCGTGCGCGAATTCCGATGGTTTCGGGGGTGTCGAGATAACGAGATATCACGCCCTGTAGAGATGAGATCCAAGGTCAGTGACTGTTTGAGGCGATGTTTGTCAGGCCTTGCGTTTCCGGGGCGCAGAGCCGGGGGAGGGGTCGCCAAAGCGCTTCCACGGAGTGTTGAATAAAGGGAGGAGAGAAGAGGATGGGATGTATATGGTGCTCTGGTCGACTTTGTCTCCCAGTTTCACAAGACTAACCGAAGAATGTTATGATGGGGAAGATCGTGGTGATTCGCCGTGTGTAGATGTGACGATCACTAGTCGTTGCCCAGAGTGATGGAAACGGGCGGAACAAACCTCAAAAATGGTACGATCGAAGATCAAAAAGGGCTCGAAAATGGAAGATGCATCAAAGGAAGTCCGGACACACAAAGGAGCGTCAAGTGAGGACTAATGTCAGAGGCAAGACCGAAGGGATCGAGGTGGCTGGAAGGCTGATTAGTCGGGAGGCGAACAGGAACCAAAAGATCAAAAGGGTCACCAACCGAGCAGAATAATAATGCAAGAGAATAAGAAATGGGAGGTTACTAAGAGGAGAGGAGACGAAAGGATAAGAGAAGACACGAGGGCAAGAGGACAAAAAGGGAAAGAAGGAGAAAAGGTGTTGGGCGGATGTTCGAGGAGTTGTGGTTGGTGGAGATCCTCTTCAGCTTCACATCCACAATCCAATTGTCGTTTCTTGCTTTATGTTCTGGCGATTCTTGTTACTTGTTCTCTTCTTTCTCTTCCTTCTATGCTTTTTGAGTATCCGGGTTTACAGTCTTTGTGCGGTTCTTCTTCTAGATATGTCCTGCACTACATACAGTGCCTTTGCATCGATGTCACTCACGCCTATATCCTTGGGTCTTCTCAGTCTCGAGTCCCTATTTTCAGGGTTTTCCTGGATCACAAGCTTTGAATGCCCTCATGGATAGCCGCTACAGACCCCATCATTCCTCAAGTCATCGATCCGAGCGATTCCTGTCTGGGAGGAGACGTGTTGGCATGTCTGAGAAACAAGCGTGGAATCGAACCGAAGCCCCGCATTCCCATGCGTCATGTTTTCTCCAGTAGGACTGCACAGCCATGGAATCGAAAGACATCAATTGTGCCCGGGGACCCGTCTGATGCAATTGCGAATGCAAGGGACACCGTCCCTGCTGTTCCGAGACCGCAGCTAACGATTGTATTTGGGGTGCGTGCAAGGGATGGTTCAGGTACGGGCCCATCCTGTCCTAATCTTTGTCCAGTCCGCGTCCCTCTGGACCATGTCTTGGATACCGGGAGATTTGAACCCTCCATTGTCATAAGTGACGTACACTTCCGCGTCTATGAAAAGACGATCATTTTCGTTTCCATCCTTGTGGATCCGGAATATCGGCAATCGGATGGGAGATGTTATGACTTTGGCGCCGGCACGGAAGCCCCGGAGACTGGACAGGGCGCGTAGGCTGCAGAGTTCACCGAGACATGGACTGATGGGACGCCTGTCTTCCGATGGTCAACCGTACTGCACGTAAGAGCAATAGAGTAATATCAAGAGACTAGAACTATCGAACATTGTTTAGTTTCCAAGTCGTTGTTCGTGCCTGAGGCAGACAACGCGCCACGGGACAAGCCACACGAGCCTCATATTAGCGCGATTTGGATTCTTCTTACATGTCCCTTCTTTCGACACTTCCCAGAGTTGACCCGACCTGACACTCTGGCAACACATACTATATCTCGGAGCAGCCGTGATTTTCCAAAGTCCGGCTGCTTGTCTCATGTCCGACCACTAGAAACCCATCGATCCTCACTTCCTCGGACTCTTGAAGACGTGCGACATGGCCGACACTCCAGAAGAGAACCCCTATGCGGGACTTCAGTCTTCCTCAGAGGATGAGGAGGGCCAGGAGACAGAGGCACCCGTGGAGTCCTTGATATCCGGCCGTGCGAAGCGAAGCACCGCTGGTTTACACATGTCCGCTCTCCTCGAAGCCGCTGCAGACGATGACCTTACACTACTATTCGAGGAGGTGGAGGATGACAATGAATTTGCGGAGGATGAGGCAGGAGACGAAGACGATATGGCACTTGACTCGTCCTCGGATGATGATGATGACCAGGGTCCGAACGCGGACAACGACTTTGAAGGCGAGAAACAGCTGCAGAAAGAAGAGCGCAAGAAACGCCGAGCACAGAACGATCTTCGATTCCAAACCCTGCGCAAGCGCGTCAAAATTGACCCGACCGCAGTCTCTGCCGTACCTCCTCCCCGTCCGAAGAAAAAGTCAGAGCGCATCTCTTGGCTCCCTACACCAGAAGATGGCCCTACGCGAACATCCTCACGCAGGCAAACTATGGCCAACAAGGAAGTCACGCATGCGCGTCTCAAGGACAGCCAGGAGAAGCGTATTCGCATTATTGCTACAATGAAGGAGGCTGAGAAGCGCAAGGCCCATCTGAAACCCAAGAAAATGACCCAAGAGGATCATCTTGCGGAGGCAGCGAGGATCGAGCGACTCAACAGCAAGAGTGTGAATCGGTGGGAAGCCGCAGAGAAAAGGAGAGCAGAGGAGCGAAAGGCCAAGATTGAGGCGCTGCAGAACCGCCGCCTTGATGGTCCTGTCATTTCCTACTGGAGCGGAGTGGCTACGTGGACCAACGGCCGTCTCACGCGAGTGGGCAAGGTTGATATTAAAGTGAAGCCGGATAAGCCCAAGTCAGAGAAGGACGATCCTAAGAAGAAGAAGAAGGAGGAGGAGAAGACCGTGGATTCACAGGAGGCTACTCTAGCTACTCCTGCTCCTGGACTGTCGCAACAGTTGCAACAGTTGCCTGTGAGCACGCCAGCTCAATCTGAAGGCCCTCTGGCTCCAACATCAATTGTCCAGCCCACCACTATTCCGCCATCTGATCAGAATAATTCTCAAAATGTCCCGGTCCCGGAGACCGTCGCGACTCCGCTTGCACCTGCACCTCCAGCACCTACCATCATTGAATCCGTCAAGCCAGATGATCAAGCTATTGAAAATGAAGTGGCCGAGCCCACCGAGAAAGCCGGGAGCGAAGGTACCAACAACACCCACGATACGCCGGCAAAGACCCCGACTTCCGCAGCAAATACCTTAGATAAGTATCCAAAACCCGCTGTGGAGATTCCGGCGCCTCCTGTACCGGATGCACCGGTGCCCAATGAAGCTCAAATTCCAAAGTCGACAAAGGACCCTCAGGACGATGTGATGGAGGTTGACCCAAAGCCACCGCATGCCAATGCCGAGATTGATGCCTCGCAGTCAGCACCTGATCAAACAAATCCACCGACCGCCACAAGCGCCGGCACACAAAACGTTTCAGGGGACCCTCAACCTGAGCCCAGTACAACGGAGGAGAGGCAGCAGGTTACACTCCACCCAGCACCTGCACCTGCAACCACCCCATTGGGCCCTCAAGCCCCTCCCGCAATCTCGGCCGATGCAGCTCCGCTGCACACCACGCCACCCGTGATTGATGCAATCCAGGGCCACCAACCCGGATCAGCCCTGCCGACATCTCTCCCATCACATGAACTGAGTGGCTTGCCAGCACAGTCCGAGGCGCCAGATGTGACAGAGGTGGCAGAGGTGCCGCAGCTCCCGCCGGTAATCGAGAAGACGGGCCGCAATCTGACTATCCTCGAGAATTTTGACGACAAGACGGCACATAGCAAAAAGTACAGCATGTACTTCAACGCGAGGAAGCCGCCTCGCCTGACTAGTACGTGATCATGAGGATTGCAAGCGAGTGAGCGAAGACTGACCCATCATAGAAATCTCGTCATCACTGTGTGTCATCACCTCATTACCATCGCGTTATCGTGATCCAGAGACCGCCCTTCCTTACGCCAACTCCTACGCGTATGGACAAATCCGCAAGATGCTGTCCCAGGGATACATCTGGAGCTCGATGCTGGGCTGCTTCGTTGGCGCCGCAGATACCGCAGCGCGCGGCGTACCCGATCGATTCTTGGGTAAGACAACGGTCGAAGAGACCGCGACTAAGCCCACAGTGAAGGATTCGGTGGTCTCGAAGGTCTCGGCAAAGCCAGCTACTAATGAAACAGCGACGGCCGAGTCAATGGAGATGGACCAGACCAGTTAAAACTACCGAGAGTACGTGTACGATATGTCATTCTGAGATACCCAGCTATAAACCAAATTTAAGCCCTGTAAGATCCAAACAGTGTACCCGAATAAGCTCGACATGGGCTCCACCATGGGATCATCGATTTTCTGGACCTATGACCTGCGAAACCCTTCTCAGGGGTGTGCTGGTCGATGATGTCTACCACTCTCGGGGGGATTCCCGAAGTCAAGAAGTCAAGACGCCGAGGGTCGACGGCGGCAGTCGTCCAGGGTTTGGCACGGAGAGCGGCGGGAGTCAGTTCACACAATAGAATACCGAGGAGGGCAAGGCGTCTCCGGACGTGTGTGTACACTCATCCTTTGAAAACTCTGCGAGTTTGTTTCTTATCCCCACCCCAAAGCTCACTAGCAAGTCAGTGTAGGCCATGTTTGTGTTACAATGATTCTATTTTTTTTATGTCCATTGCAGAATTCTTCCATGACTTCACTGCCCCAGAATGATCGACTGTATTGCCGTTCTCCAGTGTTTCTCCAATGGCTGCACGGACCCGAAACACAGCTTACGGAAGATCGACATGGAGCCATGATGGATTCGGTGACATGGGCCAAAGATTCTAGAGCCAGACTAGAGCGTCTCAGGACAAGGGAAACCCTGAACATAGTTTAGTCCATCAGCGTGCCGCGCCCATGACGATCAAGCCGATCAAGTTTGGCCAGAACGAGCCCACGCACGGCCAGATCCGCGCACACTCTACGTGTCAAGGATGTGTCACGGTGGGACAAGAGGGGCGTTTCCACCCCTTTGAATCGAACCAGTTCCACTTTTGATTCAATTTTTAGATGTTTATAATATTTTGAGGATTAATTATGATGAGGGTTTTTTATTTTATTTTATTTTTTTCATTCTTGTGATTGTGTGCGCTCGGCTCAGAGGGATTTATGGCGTCATTTGTGTAATGCTGCCTAGTCCAGTGAAGGGCCCCCCGATCTGGGGATGGCGCGATCAACTTAGATCCGACCGCCTCCGGAGAAGTTTCCCCTGTCACGGAGCACACTAGTGTGTGGTCTTATGCAGGTAAACCTGGAAGTTGGGCAGAACGTATCGTCCGAGCACGTTGCGCTTGGATCTAGAACATCTAGAATCACCTCTAGGACAAGGTACTCGGGCATAGTTCTTCAACAGCCGTCAATGTGCTACAATTCTACATTCAGTGGTGGACAAAGAGAAACGGAGAGGGAGACACAATTAGAGTGGCAAAATGCAACAGCACAACGGAGATAATTATAGAAGAGACTGAAAGGGAATACATTACTGAGTCAGCCAGTCTAGACGTCCCATTGCGTGTACAGTACACCGGATTCACCCACAGCCCACGGCCCGAGGTTACCCATAGTGGGGGAAGGAGACCCGAGGGTCCTCCGATCGTCCCAAAAGAGTCTAGAACTCAGTTATGGTGTGCTCCTCTCGCGCTCTCTCACTCTCTCTCTGACTCTTTTTATTTATACTCCTCAGTTCCCCTCCATTCCTAGATCGACCTTAACCTTTCACACTCACACATCAAATCACCACCATACACACCACGATCATCACACTCCGATCGCTAGAAATTATAGTTTTCTTCCGGTATGTCAGCAGAGAACCGATCCGCCAGGGAAGGCCTTATCTGCCCCCACTCAGGGCGAAGATAGCCGTCCCCGGCCATGGAGTGACACAGGAACTGACCTTATCAGCTTCATTCCGGGTTTCCTGGAGAACATACATATTTTGCCTTCCAGAACTTTTTACGATCCTGCACCCACCCGTCTGTTGTCCTGTTGTCTCTTGACCGCAACATTGCAACATTACATACCTCACAAAATCCCTCGTGCTCCACACCTAGCCCTGTCTCCGAAAGCAAGATAAGATAGCGTGAGGCATTTGAAGCCACGGCTTCACCGCCATCCCATATGACTCAATCTACTTCCCACCGTCGTTCCCCTTCCTCTCATGCCTCGAAGCCGAAGTCTCGTCCTGTCCTACATCGACGTGGTACCTCTGCCGTGAGCTTGTCCATCTCCAAGTTGGGATCCGGTCACAATCACGCTTGCGGTGTGAGCAGGAGCAGGGACGACGACGCCGACTTTGACATGGCCGCCAGTTTTCTTAATTTTTGGTACGTCTCTTATCTCTCAGGGGGGGGGGGCGGCAAAGCAGGGACTTTCCTTGCATACCAGTTACCGTCATGAGCCTAGTCCCCCCGCCCGGTCGATCCTTAAATGGCCGCTAACACCATCAACAGCGCCATGTGCGAAAAACAAATCACCGTCCCATCCAACACCGTCCTCTATTGCAGTGAAAGGTATGTCTTTGGTCTTTTGTTTTGCTTCAAATTATAGAAAAACGTCTTAACACAACCCACAGTTGCCGCCGAAAAGACTCCTGCAAACCACTCTCAGCCTCTATGCCCTCCATGACCAACATGTCCTCCACGCACACTACATCAACACCTCCCACATCCCCCCCTCTCTCCGCTCGAACCATTGTGGCTCCCATGACTCCCACCCGGTTCCCATCCACCTCAATGCCATCCATCAGGATACCCACCGAACCCCACGACTCCAAAACAGATCTTGACCCCACCGAATGGAAGCCCGTATTACTCGCCGGTAACCCGGGCACCGGGACTTCCCTCGCCTCCTCCGATGCCTGGAACTACCTCTCCCGATTCCACGGCGGATCAGAGAACCTCCTCGCTCGCCGCGCCCGAAGCGCCGCTTCCCTACCGGCTCTCGTTGGCGGCGCTCCGTCCATGACGACCACCGTCTCCGAGGCCTCGTCTTACTCCAGCACCGCCTCCGACTACCTCGGCATGTACGAGCAGCGCCCTCTTCCTCCGCGCCACAACCCGTACTTTTCCTCCAGCGCCGTGACCAAAAGTGTGGAATTGGTTGTTCCGCACATCGTGAACACGCCTGATGTCGTCGCTGTCGAGATGTCGGATTCGGGATCTATTTTCCCCGCTAGTTCGGCGGTTTGGGAAGATGCTTGTGAGAAGGCGACTCCTATTACCATTGAGTCTGTGCAGGCACGGGCTCAAGAGCTTGATCGGATTGTCTAGCCGTCTGATCAAGTTGCATATATACTTTCTGTCATCTTATCATCTCTTCATCTTTCATAAAATTTTGTGGCTTTTGGCTTTTACATTGCAATGATGGGCTGAGAATTCAGATTTTTCCTCTACCCTTTTTTGTTTTTGAATGAGATCGGATTTGACTGATGAGACTTGGCAATTAGACATTTCTTTTCATCTGAATGAAATGAGAACATTCCACATGATAATATTCTATCTACGATAGATCTATCTGTATTGGTTTATTGAGATACTTGTCTATTCTTTCATGCAAAGTTGATAAGAACCAGCAGTATACCCATATGCAATGTAGAAAATGACGATGCCAATCTGCTCGCCATGAACATACGTGGACCATAATTTTAAAAGTATGTATCTGTAGAAAATGGTGTATAGATGACGTAGAGTTCGATCCAGACTTGAATCGAACCCCATGCCGTACCATTCGGCGTTTCCAAGGCGGGAAATAGATTCACACATATCAAAATTCCCTGATTGTCCTATCTGCAACACGTGTGATGCATTGACGCCAGACTGCACATGCTCGGTATATGAGGATGGTGGCTGCCGATTGTCATGTGTTCTTGATCACCTGCATGAAGGTATAGCCTTATCTCATCGGTTTATCTCTCATTGGCCTTTGATTGACGTCAAGTTCCATCACAATGCTCTATAATATTTTTTTGGACATAGATCCAGGCCTGTAATTAGAAGGTCTGGCATGGTCTGGGAACAGGAGGCGCAAAACACACATCTTATGAAGATAACATTAGTCCTACTTCAGTACCCATTGCACAGCAGTTTGCGAAAACTTAGACTTGACAATACAATCAACTACATCTCACCCATCATTGAATATTGTAAATAAATGATTCGCTCCCTCTCTCCAAGCAACTGATTGGCACTAGGCTTCAGCCTCGTAAACTGCAATCACACCCACTGCGCCGACTTTTAAGTCGCAGATACCTGCATAAATCATTCATCACAACAAAACAAAACAAATCGGTCTAGCATTTCACATGGAGGTGTAAGAGTGGGTTATCTAAATTCATTCTGGTGTGCCCGCGCACATATTCACTAAATAGGCGGTAGGCATGAGCTGTCTTATTCACAATATTCTGTCTCTGAGCTTATCTTAATTTGGCCTTTTAAGGACCTCGGTCACGCAACAAGGCGCGCTCTGGCGGAGCCTACCCCCATGTATTGATGATGCTTTGACATAGGTCTAGACTCAAGATAATGCCTACACTATAATTGATTTCAACGCAAGGCAGGTCTAGACTATAATTGATTTTCTTGTATATGCCCCAAGAATGGGTTCAGGTTATCTACATTTCTTTTCTTTTCCCATCTGAAGAACTTATGATCACATGATATTCGCTTCTCTCAGTTTGTAGGTAAAAAATGATCAAAATCACGGTGACAACTCATCAAAAAAAAGAAGCGTGCTTCCTAAGCTGATGACTTTAGTGTCAGAGGGTCTTATCTCAGCTCTAGATCCTTCTCAGTGAGAGGAACCTCGAAAGTAACAGCTGTAGTGTACCTCAACCCGTTGAGTGTCAACTTCAACTCTTGAAGATCGGCTCCAAATGACGGATAGTCTTGAGTCTCCTCCGCGAACTTGGGCTGTTTGATCTGGAGATACGCTCTGTCCGACGCTGCAGCCAGAGTTTTTCGTACCGGGTGCTCCTGAGGCAAGAAAGTTGTGGATTTAATGTGGTCAGTTGAAAGCCAATAAGTGTTGGTGTCGGCAGGTTCCCAGTAGCGATTTGTCTCAGAGTAAGGATTGGCGACAACTATGTCCTTGATGTATTGGGCCATTTCATTATCCAACTCCTCGATTTAGTACTTGTCCGCAAGCCTTGCGAGCTCTATGGCAGCCGATATATGATATGCTCTGTCGGGTCAACAATGTCGAACTTGACCAAGCAAAGGTAAAGCCATTGGAAAAGTGCTTCAAGACTTCGTACGGAGATAACATCCTCCATGTCTTCCAGATCTACTGTCTGCTACTGAACCTCCAGAAATTCACCCTCAAACATTGCTGAAAAAGACAGGCGATTCTGCGCAGAGAAGATCCTTGGAGATGGTGTATTCGTTATCGCAATGCTTCATTCGAATTTTGACCTGAGGTCCATGATAGAGGGGAAGGATACTGCAACGTCCAGATCCAGTTACACACTTTCTGTATCCCATGTCCAGTCAGCTGCTTACCTTGTCACGAAGTGCTGGGCACTATCTTCGGTTGCCTCGGTCTTGGTCCCGAAATTCAAGTTGCAAGCCTGATGAGTATTGGATGTGTTAGAGGTGATTTTGGATGGTCGATTCGCTAGATATGGCGTGGCTGCTCTTGTGTGGGCTGAAACAGCAAAGAGTTGGGGATGTGAAGAAGGCAGAAAGAAAGAGAGATGAGGAAGATGAAGATCGTAGGATTCAGTAATCAAATACTCAACGAGTGGGCGATGTAAGGTAAGGCGGGAGACGGTGGGATCCCAACGGCCAACGCTCACTGCAAACAAGAGGAAAGGTTTCAAAGGTAGCGCGCGTATCTATGGACTTGGGTTTTACTTCCGTATTGCAAACGGACCTGATTTCTACCTATATTCAATTTGGTCTGTCCATATCCTGCCTTGTCCCTATACACTGCCACGAAACCTGTATCATTGTCACCTTGACATGCAAGACCCAACCTATCTGGTTTCTTCTCTCTTTCTGCTCCCTGTTCTAATTAACTTGCACTCATCGCCTCAATAGCAGCTGACTCTGGAGAGATTCATTGGAAATGTCACTTGCAGTGGCAAACAAAGAAAGTGCTATTGAAGGCTGGAATGCTGCTGGATCTCTATCTCAACTGGACAGTGCATTCGCGCCCAACATCATTCGACTTTCAAGTAGAAGGCCGGAATCTCGGTATACGAGAGTGGTCGAGAAATGAGAGAAGGTGAGGATGCTTGAAAAGTAAGCCCTGGCAGTTTTCAAGGGCTGATTAATCTGCCCTCCCCTGGCTCTAAACCGCGATACAATCTATCTTTGACCAGATTCATTAATTGTGTCCCAATCGATTAAGGTTTTATGGTCCCGTCAACCGACTCTCCTGGTAAAGGAAAGCCCTGGTATGAGTCTGACGGATAAACATGCGGATAAGAAGCTGAGATCCCGACGCAGCGACGTACGGTAGGGTCAGCCTTAGTGGGGCAGATGGTCCTTTGTATTCTGACCGATAGAGTACTAAGGAGCAAGCCTAATGATCGTTGTAGTGTGGATGGGTTCCTGTAACAATCTAGTCAGATCTCTGCTGTTGTTTTCGATTGCCTAGTCTCTCCTTGCCTGCTGAACACTCAAGTATTCTCATGTAGACATATCGTTATTCTGGGGAAAGAAGTAGTTTCAGGCGGTGTATGTTGTAACGAGCTGCTTTATGAATTGTCGAATTCTCTAAATCAAACTTTACACTCAAGTGCTTTGACTCTTTGTTCGCGATTTGTATTGTAGATAATATCAAGACACACACCCCTGCCATGCTTTGGGAGCACGTGCGCATCAGCCCCTAGACAAGCGATAGATTGGGAAAATGCAAATCATTGACCACGTCTCTTGTCTTGCGAACGGACTATGTACACATGCCACGTGCTCTGGCCCTATCTTGTGTTCACGCGGACAAGAACGTTCACGGTGTAATTGTGGCGAGTCTACCCGCTTGTCGCTTGTCATGTATGCACGGCCGGGGGCAAAACCAGAATCAGGTAGGGCTGCTAGCCTATAAAATAGACTAGCTTCAATTAAGTTCTAAGAGATTTGGCTTTTGTTGACTTGTGGCGCGGGGAACCCGTCGGAGTTCCTTCTGCTTGTGTCTTTCAGATCTTCCCGTACTGACGGCCCGGGTATCTTATCCTTGAGACTACAATCTGACAGACCATGCGCGACCATAAGAAACCCCTTCTAATTGAACAGTTTCAATATTTTCTGTTCTCGGGACTTGCCTCGGGACTTGCCTCGGTTAAGTAATTTGTCGGGTTTTAACCTTATTTGGACTAACGGACGTACGTGTGTTTGCCCCTCCTGAACCCGCCCTCCACCCCCGGGCTCGTGTTATCATGCCTTTAGTTCCTCCTAGCTGAACGCCACTGCATGGCGTGATAAGCTACACCAATGACACTTGCCCAATAGCTTTCGCATGTAGCTTTCACCTTGTCTCGTCTTAGTCTTTGCGTGATATCGGCATGGTGGGAAAGATGCCCCGAGTCTTTTCTTCCTTGGCGTAGCACTCATGACTTGGAGAATAAAACTGATGTACCAGATACCAGACAACTTCCAAGACCTTAGGGGCGAATAATGTAAATGGATTAGATTGCGAGGTGGTATTGCTAGAGCCAAAATGGAAACGCTCTTGTGCTCCGAGGGGACTGGTCGGCTACCTTCACTTCTGGTATTGCCTATCCTAGGGCGAAAACGCAATGGTCGCTTGATACGGCTCAGTTTGAGGCTTGATGGTATCACAGCCAGTCTACCCGATAAGGGCTACTCGAGGCGTGGTACTACAGGACCCTACATGGCAAGCTTATAAGAGGGGGGGGGGCACCTGGCTACACAGCAAGGGCCGCTTGACTCCTGCATTCCCAGTGAACACCCCCGCGGAGACACACGCAACATGTCGGCTATTCGCTCCGACACGCCCGTGGATGGTGTTGTTTCGGTCTCAGGTCACGATGCCTTCGATGAAAAGACCACGATCAATGTGACCACCAAAGATGATCACCAAGTCACAACTACCTCCTTCGGATCTGGAGAGTATGGCGGCGAGGATGATCGTGATAGTGACGACGTGATTATCGTCGATGGTGCTGATGCCTCGAATCACTTGCTTCCCATGCGAGATGATGGTGACCCAGCGTTGACATTTCGAAGTCTGGTCTTGGCCTCGGGTCTCTCCTGCTTCCAGGCGGTCATGTACCAGATTTATATGGTAAGTCACTACGGACTTTCCCTTCATACTTTGACTGACGTATTAATGTTTAGTTCAAACCAACCCTCATCACTATCCAAGGAACTTTCATCGTCCTCATTTCATACTTTATTGGCAGAGCCTGGGCCAAGTTCCTCCCCCGTGGAGATAAATTCGAGGCTCGATGGAGAGCACAGGGTGGCCAAGGCAAGCTTCCCTTATATATTACGATTCTCAAATTCATCAACAATGGGCCATGGACATTGAAGGAACATGCGATTTGCTCCATCACGGCCACTAGTGCTTCGAGCGCCGCCGCAAGCTCAGAGGTGTTCGCAGCACAAGAGCTCTTTTACAACATGTCGCTGACTCCGACAACTGTCATCTTGAGCACCATCTCTATCGGCCTGTTCGGTTACGGAATTTGTGGAATGATGCGTCCTATTGCGGTCTGGCACGTTGATGCCGTCTACTGGAGTACCTTGCCTACCGTGAAAGTTCTCCAAGGACTCCATTGGCAGGACTTGAAGAATTCGAAACCCTTGAGATACTTTTGGTATGCTTTTACCGGCATGGCTCTCTATGAAATCTTCCCTGCCTACATTTTTGTCTGGCTGAACTCTGTCTCCATCCCGGTATGTGATTTTCGCAATCCAGCTAACTACCTTGAACCAATCGACTGATGCATGACGCTGCAGTGTCTGGCTGCCATGAAGGCTACTGGCAATAAGGCTGCTGTCCTTACGAATCTGTTTGGTGGAGCCTCGAATAACGAGGGCCTGGGTCTTTTTAGTTTCTCTTTCGACTGGCAATATGTAAGAGATCAACGCTGTCACTGACCGAGCAAGAGAACTGACCATCCTAGATCACCTCATTCCAAACCGCCCTTCCTCTTACGCTCCAAGCTCACCAAGCCGCTGGCTTCGTTGCTTGCTTTATTGCCATGCTGGGTATTTACTACGGAAACGGTTGGGGCTCGAAGTCGCTCCCCTTCATGTCGACAAAGCTGCTTCTGAATAATGGAACTTCGTATCCAGTCAATGACGTTTTTGTCGGCGGAGTTCTCGATGAAGCAGCTTTGTTCAAGTACGGCTTGCCGAAATTAAGTGGCACCTTTGCGTTTGCTATGTTCATGGCTAATGCTGCCGTACGTATCAAGTCATTCTACATTTCAAATTTTGATCTATATAAGCTGACCATTCCCAAGATCGGTGCTCTTCTTGTGCACTGCTTCCTCTTCTGGGGCAAGGACATCTACAAAGCGTTCAAGAGCGCTAAGGAAGGTCGATATGACGATCGCCACCACGAACACATGGCTAAGCACTACAAAGAAGCGCCTTGGTGGTGGTATGTAGTCGTTCTTGTCGTCAGTTTCGTCTTGGGTCTTATTGTTGTCCTTAAAGAGGACATTTCACTCCCAGCCTGGGCATATGTTGTCTCCTTGGCGGTTGGAATTATCATATCTCCTTTTGTGAGTGGATCCCCTTACCCTTGAAGTTTACAAAGCTGTGCTAATCTGTTGAAGAGTACTATATTGTACTCTCGCTACGGAAATGGCATTGCAACCAATAACCTATCGAAAATGTTGGCGGGCCTTATGATCCCTGGACGCCCAGTTGGCAATATGTACTTTGCTGCTTGGTCGCACAACGTCATCTCTAATGCCGTCAACCTGTCTAACGATCTGAAGATGGGAGAATATCGTCAGTTTTTTTTCCATATATTCTTGTCTCGGACTAACTTATCAATCTAGTCAAAATCCCCCCCGCGGGTCATGTTCCTGACTCAGATCTGGGGCACCATTCTTGGCGGATTCATCAACTACGCTGTGATGATTTCAATCGTCAGAGGAAACAAAGAGGTTCTCGAGTCTTCGAATGGTAGTAACTCTTGGAGTGGTGCCACGCTGCAAGCCTATAACACGAACGCAACCTCTTGGGCGCTGGCTTCCTATCTTTACAAGATGGGCGGCCAGTACTGGATGATACCTATTGGTATTGCCATTGGGGCTGTTTCTGTTATCGTCCATCGCATCTTCTACCATGTAGGACCCCCGATCCGCACTTCTCCTATACAATCACTAACCTCTAGCGATAGTTTGTCCCCAAAATCCGCGGGTTCGACGTTGCCGATATCAACATGCCCCAGTTCATTCAATATGCTGGCTACATCCCTTACAACCAGAGTCAGACCTGTGTCCTCTTTAGCTGGGTCTTCGCCGGTTTCTATGTCCAGTACTACCTCCGCAACTACCGTCCTCGTATCTTCAAGGACTATTCATACTTGGTCACCGGTGCCTTTGATGGCGCGAGTCTGACTGTATTGTTTATTCTCTCCTTTGCGGTATTCGGTGCTGGAGGACCTGCCCACGCCTTCCCTTCGTGGTGGGGTAATAACTCCAATGGGAACTTTGATCTCTGTCCGGTGTCTGATTAGATCTAGCACAGTTTTGAGAAGCTAATTGTGTGTGTACGAGATGCCTGTGATGACTTGTCTCTTGATACATGAATTCAATGTGCTAACGAGAGCTTGACACCCTTGACATGTCCGTAAATTCGTGTACTTGACTCATGAATAAGAATGATAGACCAAGAAGCTTGCCGCCATGACAGACCAATATCATGATGCCTACCTACTCCATCTCTCGTGCTCTTGATACGCCCTCTACAGCCGTGTGGTTTTGCCCTCCAATACGCGCTCCGCATTCAGGACATCTAGCCTGTTCCATCGGCATGCCGCATTCTCCAATAGCAAACTACCGAAATCAATGAATCAGCTTCTGTGACCAATTCAATATGGACATGAGACAATTGAGAGGTTTAACTTTTACTCACCGGATGTCCATTGACACAATTGTACCAGTGCCCAGAGTGAGTCGCGATTCCTCTTGGCCCGCTGACCATAGCTGTCTTGATCGATTGAAGCTCTTCTAGTGTCACGGTCTCGTACTGCGGTCCTTCATAGAGGCAAGTCATCTCTTGTACCTTCTCGTGGAACTCAGGGAAACTGCCCAGTTTGTCGCATAGTTTCAACGCAGCCGCGAGGAAATTGCGAGCGGTTTCAACACGGTCTTCGAGATTCCCAAGGCCCTTGTATCTTTCTTTCAGATGGTCGTTTGGTATTTCTCCTGGATGAGAGCGATGATACCACCCGTCCATCTGAGTGACTTTGGCAAATGTGAGGGTCGCCATGATGACGATGCGAGTGAGGCTAGCCTCACGGGCTTGAATGATCAAATCCCGACAATCCTTCAAGAAAGGTGCCAAGGCTGAAAATAAAGCCTGGTAGGGCTTCATTCATGCCGTTATCCCAGATAATGCGCTTGACTGCATCAGTTCCAAGATATCGCTTAATTTGATTTCTCGGGCCTTGATCCCAATAAATCGCGCCCCGAGGGTGATCTGGTTGTCGGGCTCTCGTGTCGCTATCTTCATCGCATTCATCTGAGCTGAGATAGAGACTATATCGTCCCTTGGTAACTTCTGGTAGATCGTAATAGCATCCATGAGCCTTTTCGTCGGCTGATGCTCAGCCTTCATCGTTTTGTTGAGAGTGAAAGCTTCTCTTTCAAGGCGGTCACAATCCGCATATCGAGTTGTGGCCTTTGATGATGTGCCAAATTCTCTCAAGATGGATGGTGCACTTCTGGTAGAAGTGAGTCTAGCTTCAATGTCATTCAGACGCGATTGGAGACGCTCAAGGTCGGCGTGACCCTTGGTAAGGAACCGCTTGCAAGTCTCATCCATAACAGCACGGTTGATGACGCGGTTGTATCGCTTCGTCACAAACTGGCGGATGGGCAGCTTGCAGTCCGGGCTTGAGGGGACCGTACTAGCAAGCGAAGCAGAAACATCTCGGAGGCCGTCGAATTTTCCATTTTTGTCTCTTGTGTATACTTCATCCAGACCAACCATTCCATCCACTGACTCAATCGTGAAGAAGTGACCATATCCTAGTACGATGATTGGACTTTCGTCGAGATTAATCTCAGAATAGGTTTTCCACTCGAGGAAGTCGACACGAGCATCTCTCTTGTCACCGCACTCTTGACACAGGTTCTGGGGACAATCTTCGCCGCAGAGGCTTGGGCATTGGTGGCCGCATTCCAGGGTTATTCTGCATCGCTCATCGCAAGGAAGTCGGTCACACGGTGCTGCGCATGGCATTGAGCAGGACTCTTGATGAGGGCATGACCAAGCACATCTCTCAATACATGGTGCACATGCGTCTCCGCAGGCTGAGTCGCATTGTGAGTGTGAGCAACGAACCTAATAATATGATTAGAGCTTCTGAGATGGTTCTAAGGTGGTCAATTGGCATTACCTCGCATTTTTCCTCGCATTTACCGCAGCTTTCTCCATCATGGCATTCCTTGGGGCATCTGTGATTGCAGACACCGTGTGGGCGATCACACTTCTTCGTGCATTTGGGATGCTCGAATACTACTTCTCCGCTATGGGATTTCTTCAGACATGTTCCACAAGATCCGCCACATTTATGACTGCAGGTGAGAATGCTCGTGCAAGGCTCAGCACAAAAGAAATTCTCCAATGTGACATCCACGAAGCAGCCAACTTGAACTTTGTGAGCACACTTAGGGACGGTCCTCTCAACTTTGACGTCACACTTAATGGCGTCCAAACTGTGCATCTGATGACAACTGACGGTAGTTTTGATATGACCACAGGGAAGCTTCACGTCATGAATCTTTGTCATACAAAGACCGCAATCTTCACCGCATAGCTTAGAACACTCATGCTCACAAGATGGTCGAATTCTTGAACAAGGCTTGCCACATGCAAAGCCGTCGTGCAAAACCGAGGAATGGCATTTAGCCTGGCATTGATGACCGCATGGCTCAAGTCGACGGGTGCATGGGAGACTACACCCACCTTCGGGACTCTTCCTCTCAAAGTCTCTGGGCTCGGAACAGAAAATAGGCGTTTCTGAGTGACGAGGACAGCATAGTGCCAACTCTGTGCCGAGTGCATTCATACGAGCGAGCTTAGAGTGGACATCAGCCCACATTGGGACATTGAGATATGTCTCAGCATTTCCAATCAAATACATTCCATGCTGGGCCCGGCTGAGGAGCACGTTGATGCGGTTTTCGGTGCGTAGGAAGCCAACTTTGCGTTTCGAATTGCTGCGAACTAGGGAGACAATGATCACCTTTGCCTCTTCACCTTGAAAATTGTCAACGGTAGCAAGACGGAGCGTCTGGAGCAATGTCTTCTTTTCGATTGCCTTTTTGCCGTTTGCCTTGGGGGTCTCGTCATCAAACTTCTCGAGCCCATCCGCTGCCAATGTCTCCAAATCCCGCTCGCTGAGACAAATCTCAAAGTCATTGCCGAGAGAGGCTCGAAGTTTCCGTAGCTGTCCGGTATATGGAGTGATCAGGGCAATGTCTGTGCTTTTGTACTCGCCTTGTCGAACAAGGTGACGTACCAGAGCAGTAGCCATTTCGACCTCCCACTGGTTGCTATGAGATTTCACACGGCTGCCATCATCTCTAGAGTCTTCTCCACATCGATGGTCCAGCCAAAAGAGGTTGTGTCGCATTCCAACAACATTGGGTAGAGCCGTGACGCTTTCGTGATCCTCGAGTTTTGGATACACACTCCTGACAAGCTGCGAGATCTCAGGTCTCATCCTTCTCTGTACATTGAGCTGTGCAACAGATATAGGCTTAAGGCCTGGCTCACCAACAGCACGTCGCTCGAATTGGCTTCTGTCCAGCTGCCAAGCTCTTCCAGTTGAGGTTTCCAGGCTTAGTGAGTGATTCAAAATCTGTGGTCGCAGCTGCCGGTGATCGCCAATCTGGATGAAATGCTCAACACCAGGCATAAGAGCTGAGATGACATGGGCCTCCATGACCTCAGCTGCCTCCTCGCAGATGATCACCTTTGTTCCTATGCGCCGTATTGTCTCGATGTTGCGAGCAAGGCCCGTGGTTGTAACGCCCACAACATCGGCCTGGATCAGGGCTCGACGATTGATCTCTTCATGTACTGCATTGATCGTTTCACGAAGTTTTGCAGCACGATCGAGAGCTTCACAAAGCGAGGCGGTCTCGCTCTTCTGCCATTTCTTGAACCAGCTGATCGCAAGGATCCGGCGCTCTGGCATCGAAAGATTATGGATGTTATGCTCGGCAGTGCGTGTGAGGCCTTCCAATCGCAAATCATCAACTTCACTCCCTTTTTGAGCTTCCTGTGTCTTCATAGACTTGACTCCGAGCCAGCTGAGCAACTTATCATCAGTGACAGTCTCAAATCCCTCTGGTCTGGCTGCTCCAGCTGTCTGTGTATATTAGGCCATTTCCGGCGCACAAAATGCTCCATTGTGGCCCAGGCCACGCCTTTCTGGGACTTATGTAGAGGTTTCATTGAATACCCAGCTTTTTCCATACACTCCTCAAGCTCTCCGTAGCTCTTGCCGAGGGTCTGTGACTCTACCCTTGTCTTTCCGATGTTTTTGCTGACAACGCGAAGGTTCTTGCCTTCAAGCTCAGAGGCCTGACTGCGGCCGCCGATACGCATTATTTTCTCGATACCAATATCAAGAAGGTGTTTCAGAAACTGATCCAAAGCATGATTCGTATAACAGCTGAGGTCCAAGTAAGTAAGGGTACAATCGGGCATGAAAACTACTACTCACATCACAAGGATTGGGCCCAATTTTGCTTTCTTCTTGATCTCGAGGAGAGCTTGAACAAGTTTGACACCGACATAGGATTTTCCAGTTCCCGGTGGGCCTTGTATGAGGGCATACTCTCGTGTAAGAGCAGCAATAAGCCCCTGGCATTGGCCATGATCGAGACCAGTATGGGATTGCAGCTTCAAGATGTCAATGGAGTTGGGAGTACTCGGGTCCAATCCGACCTGATCTGCTCCAAATTTTGTAATCGACTTCAGTGGAAAGAGAAATCCCGGCTTGCGAGCGTATACCGGTGGGGGTATGTTGTTGCTGCCTTCATCCTCTTTCCGGCCTGGCAATACCCATTTCCGGAACGAAAATTCCCCCTCGCGTTGGATTCGTTGAAGATTTTTCAGGATTGGGGTAAATGTGGCAGGGATCAATCCGTGGAAGTCGACAAGTACACCGGTGACCTTCTCGCTGTAAAGCTGACCCAAGGAAATTAGGTCTTGCTCCAAGCATGTCGCAAGCTTGACCGTAATGCTCGGTGGAAATCTATCAGAGACAAGACTACTTTTCTTCTGGTCTCCTCGGTCCTTGGATGCATTCTTTACCGTGACCTCGAAGAAAACAAGCTTCTTCTGAATTCCTTGCGCGCTTAGGAAGCAAGCCAGACCTCCTTCCTCCAGTCGACTGGAGCCTTGCCACCATTTGCATTGCTCGCTCGAGGATCTTTTGCGGAGTTGTGGAGGCGTAAAGAAAGAAATATGTGCTTCAAGCTCATTCTTTGCATTGATAAAGATTTGCTGGATCTGCGCTCCTAGATAAAGGTGTGCCCTGCTATCCTTGCCTGAGACATATGGGTTACGTGCCAGGTCATCCTGCTGTAGCAGGTTTCGAAGGGCATCTTTAGCTGAGCCAAAGATGTCATGGCGCAAAAGCCGGAACATAGAGTCGATGTATCTCTGCAAAGGGGCGGCGAGAAAGTGTGGCTGAAGAAAGTTGGTGGACGGCAGATACTCCGAGTTCTCGCTCATAACCTCTCCGTAAGTCGGAAGAATCTGAACTTGCGAGATTTCTGCGAGGTCGTTGTCGTGCCTACCTCCAGGGATTTGTATATCCATTGGAAAGGTCGACTGGACTGGCCCAGCCTTCTGGGGATCTGCTTCAGGCATTCTGAGTGAGGCAAGACTGCGATTGGCACTGGTGATCAGGCTCTGCATGACTTCTATCTTGCTTTCAAATCCGTCAAGGTCGGCCTTGGAGCATGTTTCAGTCATCTTCTGCGCCATTTCACGGGTGAGCTCAAGCAGCGCCGGCATCTCATCGTGGAATCGAGCTCGTCGAACCCTTGACAGAAGCTGATAAATGGTATTTAACAGCAACTTCATCATGTCCGAAGATATGGGAGCGTCATCTCTGGTATTGTCCCAACTGTTCATCAGCTTCCGACAAACGCTTCTCAAAAATGCAATTGCTCGATCTCCATTTGTACCGCCGAAAGACGTGTACAGAGTGCCAACGAATGAATCAACATACAGACAGTTCAACAGAGAGGGATGAGTGATGACTTTCAGGAATGGCTCATCGTAAGCCGCAACAGATTGAAGCCCCTCTGGATGATCTGCACCGGCAGTTGCGAGAATAAATTCATGCCCATGAAGATCGTCATCCACAAGATCTTTAACGAGAAACTGGTGATTCTCTCTATTCTCGCTCTCAACTATCTCGAGAGCCCCGTTCCAGAATTGAGTGATTTCCTCTTGTTCTGTTCGAGAATATCCGGACCCAGAAATCCCAATTCTGAGCAGCCTCTTCCAATTGAAGTATTGGTTTCGAGCGTCTGGATCGTCTGCTGCGGGTTGGAAGACATAGCGGGTTGAATCAGGTCGGTTGTCGTTAGCCCCGTTAACGTCGTGCGAGAATCTGCAATTTTTACCATAGAAACAATTGCCACGCTGGTAGTGCATACATGGAGTTTTCGGTCGGTTGCGATTTCTGAAGTTGTTCGATCCCTTGTGATTGCTGGAATGGCGCTGAGATCGCCAGTTCCCGCGAGAAGCCATGCCGGGAGCAGATTGAAGTTCTGGACTGATGGTCTAATTCTGATGGACCCTAAAGTACTGTAAAGGTTCCTATAATGAAGGAAGGAGTGGATGGTAATGAGAAAACAGATGGTCATGATGGAGTGAATGATATGGATGGAGTGGATGGTATGGGCCCAAGTGAAAGTTGTTGGTTAATATTTGGAAAAGAAGTAGTTTGGTGGTGGATGTGATTCTTTGAAGATGGGAAAGGCTTTATGAAATAGGCGAGCATACGCCGAGCCGTCTGTCTTGCTTGAAGGCACTTACAGCTGCCTTGTACTTTGAAACGGTGCACAGTATCTATGATTACAGCCTCAATAGAAAAGGCGTCTATCGTTGGTTGGGAGTTTTCATGGTACCTTTGCTCTCTGCGGCAAACAAATCTGCCTCGCGCTATCTCATTACAAGGGTAACTGAAAAGTCGGGATCTTGCAGAGAATATTACAGCCAGACTTTGGAAGCATAGATTGGCGCAATCTCTAGCCAGGGTGGCGGTCATCCAGAAGACACCGTAAGCCTTGGCTCACTCGTGAAGGCTGAAGAGAACAATTTTGTACTTCGGATAGCTACAGATATGGAGATTGTTATGACGCATCCAGTGATGCTCTAGTGAGACCCCACTTTCAAGTACTGTCTGCGCGCTTCAATACCGCCTTTTACAGTATCCGCTAGAAAAGAGGTGATTTCGTCTCCAGCTCCATTGTTGCATCGTAGATAGCAGTTTATGACAGTATATGAAGCTCTAATCACGGGAAGGATTTGATACTGTTGAGCTTTGACATATCCAAGCAATCACCAGAGCCAGGTTTATCTCACAGGTTCAGAGAGCTCTATGTGGCGGTACGTCATGTCGCAGCCACAACCACAGCCACAGCCTATGCGCCTGCATGTGAAACTCGCAGTGATGACTGAAGGCCAAACAAAACAACTGGGATCTTGAGATGATTTTTACCATTGGTGAACAGTGGATAGGCGCAGCATATGCAGCTGCCAACACACATCTGCCGGAAATTGGGGTGAGGCGAACAGGACGAGCAAATGATGGCTACTGTGACCTTCGGTTGTGGATCGGGCCGCCGGCACGGCGCGTAAGCCGCATCGGATAACAGATTTGACTCGGAGCTATTTTACACATTGTATGAGGTTTTTGGGAACCTTTTCTATGCATAGGGGTCCGTCAAATTACATCTCCTTCACGGGAATGGATTATAAGTCCCATTTCCAAAGCAAGGCCCATCGATCTCATACCCACTAACATTCTTCATCGGTATGCCCTCAGCTCCAAACCTCAATACATTACCCCCGTAATGATAAGGGTTCCATCCAATAGCAGGCGGGCCGTTCAGGGGATCTTTCATGAAAGCCAAGATATGATCCTGCATCACTTGACTGGTCTTGGCCTCTGCCTTGGAAGGCCCAACGGTGGCATTCGTCACGTTGTAGTAGTACGTTCTAAAGTTCATCACTAGATCCGATGAATGGTATGCTCCAAGCCATTTGTAGGGATTCTGGTTCGCCCATTGGCCGGCGTATTGGTACCGGTATGTGGTCAGGTTTGCGGCTGCTCGGATGAGACTTGTATTGGCTGTTGGGCAGACCCAGTCTTTCAGGGTTCCTGCGTCCACAGCGGGCTGATAGGGGCCTGCGGAAACGTTTGAAGATGGCCAGGTCACTAAGTTTGCGTTATTGTTGGCCGCGTCGGAAAAGATGGCAGGCCGTGGTGAGATCTTCCCTGCTGCTGCACGAGCTTGGTAGTCGGAGAACAGGTAGACATTGTCAACGATGGGGCCAAATGTCAAGCTCTGGCTTCCACTGTACTGGCCAATGAAATTCTCTATTTGGTTCATTGAAACTTGCTGCATGCATCGCAGTTCTGCGGTCGAGTCATTGGGGAAGTCACAGCCTAGGTTCTTGGCCACGAAGGTGAAGTTCGACTGGGCGAAGTCGGTCGAGGTCATTGATTTGACCGCTGTTCCTGACTGCGAAAAACTACCTTGGACAATAGGGTTGTCCCAGAATGCATAGTTATGGTAGTCAGTGCTGATCGCACCGGCAGATTGTCCCCACATGGTAATGGCTTCGGGGTTTCCCGCCGAAGTTGCCAATGTTTTCGTGTACCCATTCAAGCGCCATACGCTGATCCAAAAGAGCTGGGTTGGGATTTTCGAGACCCGCTGCGTTGGGATAGCCGAAGATGTTGACGCGGTAATTAATTGTCACAACAATGTGCTCCTGCGTGCGGTTTACCCATGGTGCTGGGATTTGGCCCGGCTCATCAATGCCACCGGTGTTGAAGCCGCCACCAGTCATGAAGAATATAACAGGCAATTTTGTGTTGGGTGAGACACCGTACGGAGTCCAGATAGCTAGGCTGAGGCAGTCCTCGGACCCGGTCTGCAGGCTGAAACCCGTAGAATGGTTCTGGTTGCCATTATTGGCCTCGAGGAATGGAGTGAACAGATTGAAGAAAGAAGGTTTGTTCGATACGAATTGCGGACACGGCGGAGGAAAGCGCGTCGAGAAGTAGTGTTTAGTCGACTTCGGCAACCGCTGCGGAGGCATGAAACGCAACTCGCCTACCGGAGGTCGTGCGAATGGAATATTGCGGAATTCCCGGACACCGCTGTAATCGGCATTCTGGAGACCAGTAAAGACTCCGGTTTCGGTCTGCACTGTAAGGGGATTACCGGCGGCTGCCAGGCCGAATATACCAGCCCAGAGAGTGAAAGCCTTCATGGTAGTTTGGAAAATATCAGCGGGGACAATGTAGCATTGGCTATGGGAGACCTCCCCTTTTTATTTTCTGCATGATGGATCCATTTCCCCAGCTTCCGGGCCCAAGCTTCAACGACAGAAGATGTGGAGAAGGAGCTCGGAAGACCCGAGGGTACAGTCTTTATCCACCTACACTCTTTTTAGAGCGATCGACAATGCAGGCACCTGGATTCATTACTTCACATTAAGTCGGATGTTCCAGGGCACACGGCGGTTTGAACGTTGCAAATGAATTAGATCCTCGGTTCTCGGAGAACCCGCTTACGAAATGATCGCCAAACAGTCCAGCAGATGCTTCAAGAGAACTAGCCTCATTTTATTCTTTCTTCGTACATCAAATGAGAAATGAAACTTCAAGACAGTCAATGAGGAAGGATAGAAAACACGCGCAATTGTTTCAATGCACATCTAACGCTTCTTGATGCTGACATCGATGTTGCCAACGACCCATGTGGCAAAGAAGAAAGTCACCAGGCCAGCGAAGATGGTGAGGGGCTTACGCAGGGCATCCATCAGAGTGTGATCGTAGGTCACCTAGATCTGTTTAGCACATTGTTCGGAAACACCTTTTTGAGAGATGAGACTCACCACCAGCTGCGCATCGCGCGCTTCATCAGTCAGGCTGTCAACCTCCAGGGTCAACGTAGTCCGGCCGAGGGTGTCCATATAGGTCTTGAAAGAAGACAGGGTGGCCCGAATCTGGTTCGCACTAGGCAGACCGTTGCTGTGGGAGCCTTCAACAAGTTCGTAGCGAACGTTGTGCGCACCCTCGGGCAGAATCAGGCGAACAACAACGCGCTCGTACTGAATACCCTCCGACATCTTAGGGCCCTGGAGGAAAGGCACCTTTAAAACGTAAGAGTCGGAGCCCTTGATCTGACGCAGGAAGCGACCCAGGTCGTTGTTCCAACCCACTTTGAAGCTGTAGTTCCAGCCACCGAAAATGGGATAGCGAGGCTTCAGCTCCAGATTGGCGCCCGTCTTGCCGTTGCCGGGGCGGTACCTGCTGGTCGAGACGTTACCGATGTCGTCGGTGAAGTAGGGGTCAACGGAGCCGGGCTGCAGGGGGTAGGTAATCTCGCGCACTGCCGAGCTCGGAGCCTTCTGGTAGTTGGAAAAAGTCCACTCGACACGCGAGAATTGGTTAGCCAGCTCCGAGCCATTGTTGCGAAGCCAGTATCGCTCTTCGGTAGCCAGGTTACCACCCCAGTGTGAAACTTCCACATCGCGCTCGAGGAGGTGGGCGGTGATGACGGGGTTGGTGAATTCGTAGCGGACGGTGATCGGGTATTCAGTGCCCGGGGCCACCTTGGCGGTCTCGTAAGGGCCGTAGGTGTAAGTAGCACCCTTACGCTCCGGGTCGATACCGGTCTTCAGATCCGAGGTCTCTGTGTAGTCGGGCACGTTGGTACTGGGGAACTTCAGCTTTGTCTTCTGGGTGACAGTTTGGTATGCCGAAGGGACGTAGGCGGAGAAGCTGTAGGTGAGGAATTGTTTGTCATTCTGCTGGATGACAGCGGGACGAGGGGTCAGAGAGTTCAAAATGGAGTAGGAGATTCCAAGGGTGATCTGGGATTTGGGGGCCAATGGCTTGGGGAAGTGAACGACGAAGTACTGGTTGCCACTGTTGGAATTGAAGAGTTAGCGACGGGTCCGCGCGGTAGGCCGAGCGATTCTCAAATCCATTGGCTCATCCTATTCACACCTACCTGGATGACACAACCTCAGTGGTATCCACCTCGAATCTTCCTGCGTCGGTCGCCTTCTTATCTCGAACTTCAAATCCACCTATGCGGTTAAAGACATTCGAAGGGAAGGGGATATAGTAATCGCTCTGTGGCTGCTTGTCGACATTCTCCACGACAACATTGATAGTCTCGCGAACATAGCTCTTCTCGAGATTGGTGTTCCGAACCAGATTGGTATTTCTGAAGACCTGCGGGGGCTTGAAGTCTGGTGGAAGAGCGAGCTGGGTGGCAGTGTTGAGATTGGATGCGACGGCCAGGCTGGGCAAAAGTAGCCCGAGCACTGAGGCAGTGAAGAGCCTCATTATGACTGAGGGTATCACGCCGGAGAGCAGGGTTCTCCAGTAAAGAAGCAAAAAGCAAATAAGAGAAGTGGAGGTGGTCGGTGATTTTGGATGGATGAAGCTGATGAGGTGTCCCCATGTATACGCAATACGGCGGGCGTAGCGGCCACAAAGTGCACTCCGCTTTCTTATCGCTCCGATAACAGCTTCTCCTCATTTCTCCTCTTTGATCAACATTCCTCGGTGCTTCTGCATCTCCCTCAGTTCATAATGTTCGCTATGAAGGCAACTTTCCGGCCAAACCTCTTGAGGGTAGCACAATTACCCCGTGTTCGCTGTTTGCATGATCTCCATAAACACCCTCAAAGCAAGTTCTTGCAGGTTTCAGAAGAAGTCCGCGATGCTGTCGCAACAGGCAAGCCTGTCGTTGCACTCGAGACGACCATTTATACTCATGGTAAGTGACATAATGGGGTTGAAGCTCATAGCTCAATCAAAATGTGGGAAAACCCAGCTAATTCAGCTTCAGGCTTCCCATATCCCGACAACATTGCTCTGGCGTCGCTATTGGAATCTGTCGTTCGAGTGAACGGCGGTGTTCCTGCGACCATCGGAGTTCTTGGGGAGTTGCAAAAGTCGGTATGAGTGCAGACGAAATTATAGAGCTGGCCTCTACTGCGGAGAACAAGTCCGCATTGAAGGTGTCCCGCCGAGACCTAGGGTATATCTGTGGCATGGTATGAATACGGCAGAAGACTGATCAATCTTCAACTGATGCATCGATAGGGCCTTGCTGGAAAGCGCATCCATGGTGGAACCACCATCTCGGGCACCATGATTCTATCTGAGCTTGCAGGAATTAAGATCTTTGGGACTGGCGGCCTTGGTAAGTCTTATAGAGCAGATGATATGTATAAAATCTAACACTGTCTCCAGGTGGCGTCCACCGTGGAGGAGAGAATTCAATGGACATCTCTGGTATACTATGCATTCTCTACTATTGATTCCCAAGTGCTAATGTCCTTTTTAGCTGATCTTACGGAATTGGGCCGAACCCCGGTGACGGTCATCAGCTCCGGTTGCAAGAGCTTCCTAGATATTCCCAGGACACTTGAGTACCTTGAGACCGAAGGTGTCTGCGTCGGTACCTTTGCAGATGGACGTGAGGGATCCGTCGACTTCCCTGCGTTCTTCACGCGAGACAGTGGCTTCCGCAGCCCGCGTACCATTCAGAACGAGGCTGAGGCTGCTGCGATCGTTTGTAAGCTCTCCCCCTCCTTTCAGGCTCATTAGGTAAACTGACATCCATAGATGCGCAATCTAAACTCCCCGTCATGTCTGGCATCCACTTCGCCAACCCCGTCCCTTTGGAAGCATCAGTGCCTAAGCCCGAGATGGATCGCGTCATTGAAGAGGCTGTCCGTCTCGCCGATGTAGAGGGCTATCATGGTAGCGATAACACTCCGTTTGTTCTAGCTAAGATCAAGGAGCTGAGCGGCGGGAAAAGTGTCATTGCAAACCGAGCTTTAATTGAAAACAACGTTCAGCGCGCTACACGAGTCGCTGTGGAGCTTGCTAAGCTGGAGGAACAAGACCGGGTATCTGCGGCTCGGTGAGTTGGGCTTTCTAGATAAATGAATACATACCTTGCTAAGTTTGGATATATTCTTCCATATAGACACATGCCTGCCATCCCGAACGTTGCCCAGCCAAGCCAAGATAGCGCCAAACCACAACAGGCTTCTAAGCCTGCCCAGTCTGCAGTTCCTCCGCAGGTTGAGAAAGCAGATGTTATGGTTGCTGGCTCCCTCGCAATTGATCTATCTTGCGACTATACTCCATTCCCAAATGAACAGGCCCTAATCACACCAGCACTTCATACCTCTAACCCAGCCGTCATCGGCCAAAGCCTTGGGGGCGTTGGCCACAATGTCGCCCTCGCAGCAAAATACGTCGGCAGTGACGTTCTATTCTGCAGCGTGGTAGCTGACGATCTAAGTGGCCGTGCAGCACTAGCATCGCTTGAAAATGAAGGCCTCAGCACCGCTGGCATTCAAATCCTCCCCTCAACCCCAGGGATACGCACTGCCCAATACGTCGCCATCAATGACGCCAAAAAAGATCTCCTCGTCGCAATGGCCGACATGGGCATCGTCGAGCTTCCTGAACACCAACTCAACTTCGACGGCTTCTGGGAGCCTCTAATGGAACGAACCAAGCCTGCCTGGGTCGTCGTCGACGCTAACTGGCACCCAGAAGTTTTGAAGAAATGGAGCACAATCGCTCGCAAGTACGGCGCTCGTGTCGCATTTGAGCCTGTCTCAACGGCGAAATCCCGCCGTCTCTTCGGGCGCAATGCTACCGATACATGCGCGGCGATTGGTCCGAAGCAAGTAGTCCCCAACCACGCCATTAGCCTCGCCTGTCCGAATCGCCTCGAGCTGACCACAATGTACGCGGCGGCACGTGAGGCAGATCTCTTCGAATCCCAAAGCTGGTGGGCCGTCATCGACGCTATGAATCTATCTCCGACAGGTTCTCGCGAGCGTCTCATTTACATCACATCCGCTGCACTCGTCGACCAGGGAATCCCTCAACAATCAATCCAGCTTCTCCCCTTCATCCCATGTATCATCACGAAACTGGGCGAAGCTGGCGCTCTCTTGACTCAACTCTTACAACCTGGCGATCCCCGTCTTACGGACCCTGATTATGCGCCATATATTCTTGCCCGCACACAGTCTTCCGATGCGCCTTTCGGTGGTGTTTATATGCGGCTTTTCTCTCCTACTGCGAAATTGAATCCCGAAGATGTGGTCAGTGTTAATGGAGCTGGAGATACCCTCCTCGGGGTTATGGTGGCTGGGTTGGCGAAGAAAGGTGATGCTGCGCGTGTTGAGGACATCATATCTGTTGCTCAGGAAGCGAGTCGGAAAACTTTGACTAGTCCTGGGGGGGTGAGTAAGGAATTGGTGAGCCTCAAGGATACAATTGGGCTTTAGATGTTTGTTTGTTTGTGGAGCATCTTGTACTGTCCTGGCCGTTCATCTAGCATATTCTGAGCGAAGAATCGGACATTATGTATATCAACCCAATCATAAACTCTTAATTTCATGTTCAAGCATTTATCTGGATTCTGCGAGCCTCCCCTTTACGGTTTCCTACCGGTCCTGAATTTCGACAATAAAGTCGAGAGTTGCGCCAATTGAAACCACTATGTTGAAATTTGGTCTGGCATGGAAAACCACGTTTGCCATTATCTCTTCCGTCATTTAGCTTTTCAAATATACCTTACGCTTGATCCTCTGATCTAACAATGAGCGACTGCCAGGATCGCCGAGGCGTCATTACATGGCAAGCCCAATTGGCAACAACCGAAGGATACGCATCGCGCAAGAATGGAACATCGTCATTGGACTCCATCTACTCAGTTAAATACCTGCTAGTAGGCATTCGAGCCACAAGGCCACCAATTCGCCAGAGGCAGTCCGTTCCTGTTTCCTCAACGATCGTGTGGCCAAACACTAATCCAAAACAGGCGGATTTGTTCTCAGAATAATAGCAGTGGCTTCTAATTCCGCATCGTTCAAGGTACTCCACGCGAGCTGCCACCACCCATTCTCGCCGGGTGATTTGGCGTAGAAATTCCCGCCGGGTCGGTTTATCAGCACAGTTGAACCGTACAGGGACCAGGCATTTGTTATCGTTCCACTGTCTGCATTCAAGCTAGAAACAGTGTCCATGCTATTGAATATGACCGGGTTGGTAACAGAGTTGCTCTCTTTCAAGCACAGCAGGTTTGTGGTGGAAGTGGTGGATGAGCCGAGTGTTGCGAAGGTACGGGTGGATTGCGTGGCATTGACGTGGGCAATCCAAGTCGTGCGATCATTGCCGGAGTAAGTTACTAGAGAAAAACATGAGCATGTCTAAAGATATTTGGGGGGCATATTCGATATTCAGCTCTTACCATACATAGGGACTTTGTTGGATGCATTGGACAGCGACATGTCACCAATCTGAGCTTGTCCTACACAGTGACTCATTAGAAGATCAAATATCGTGAATAGTGTAGGAGGCGAACCATCTGCATAGAAGATGGGCAGTCCGTTGATGCCATCGCCATAGGCATACAGGCTGAAGGGGTTCCCATTTGCGTGTCGTTCTTCTAGAGGTTGTGCCGAGGAAAAGAGCCCAGTGGCTACCACAAAGACAGGTAGAAAGAAATGCAAAATCATTCTGAGTATTTCTCGAGTCTCAATTGATGCTTCTAGGTTGAAACAATCTCTGAAGGCGCGAATCTCAATGCTAGAAACCGTAAAGGTGGAAGCCGGAAGAACAACGCTGTCGGTCCAGCCTCATTATATTCCATCTTTCACCGGGTGCCTAATATACGATAGAAGGAAGCTACAGCCAATCTATTCAATGAGAAGCCGAGATGCTACGTTATTACTAAAGATCCACCAAGGAACCTCCATGCAAGCTTACATCTTACGTCTTCAGTCACCAAGATTGGAATCTCGACGGTCCTATATCCATGTCAAGGCCCTTGCCGCTACGGCCCTGTGATCACCAGGAAGGCAGTGATAATTCCTCTGTTATCAAAATGGAAGTCAATACGTTTCAAGGATTAATTTACATCGTTCTTTGTGCCTGTGAGCTGGCTTTTCCGTTCAATTTGCATCTTGATGGTTATACAGAACCGCCACGCCACGCGGCAAGGCCCTGTCCCACCCTAATGCAACTCAATCTTACTACACCCAAAGTAGCGGATCGACTTTTTCCCCGTATTACTGGGCAGCTGATAGTTCGTTCAGGGATTATAACCCGAGATCGTGGGCCTTGCCCCGGGGACCTGAAATAATTATCATAGCTACTTAATTGGAGGACCTTGCGGTGTGACCTCACGCTTTTAGTGGCAATAGACACGTATGACTCAAACCAGGCTTCAGTTATAATTACGAGAGAACGCCATATGACCGCTAGAAGTAGTCGTTCATTTTACAACTCACGGGGGCTTGACACCGGTCCACTCATCGTGATGGACGACCCACCAAGGCAAACCCCCGGTTCCCTGCTGAAACCAATAATTAGTCAAGGATGTCTATGCATCTCGCTATGTTATAATAAGCCTCAGTATTCTGACATCAGCTGCAATTCAGCTAATACATCCTAGCAATGGTTCAAGGTACCCTGTCTTGGGAAAGTAAAGGCCATTGGCATTGAAAGGGAGTCGGCTTTACTGATTGAACGAGGTATATAGCTGAGCAATGGGATCGACCTTCGATTTCGTTTAATTCAAATCTCTCTTTGATTTAGAAGAAAAGTCTCTACTTTGATAAAATCTACGTTGAAAATTTTGCTCTTTGGATGATTTTCAAATCATCATGAAGCCTTTTGATCTTGCTCTTCTGGCGCAAGTTTTCAGTTCGGCTGCTATATTCGCCCAGAGCCTCACCGGAATAATTCCTGATGGGGTACTTCCCACTGGAATCCCAGCGGGAATCATTCCAGCCTTTGTGACAAGAACCCAAAAGACATCCGCCGGTCCTTCCATAACCGCTTGCCCTGGCAACGCGCCAAACAACAGAGCTGCTTGGTGCAACTATAGCATCGATACCGACTATGAGAATGACGTTCCTGATACTGGCAAGACCCGCGAGTATTGGTTCGACGTTGACGAGGTCACCATCTCACCCGACGGGTTTGCACGCCCAGTGATGGCTGTGAACGGGACCATCCCCGGGCCGACTCTTTATGCAAATTGGGGTGACTACGTCGTGGTTCATGTCACCAATCATCTTGAACAGGCCCGCAATGGATCTAGCATTCACTGGCACGGCATGAGACAAAATTACACAAACCAGAATGACGGTGTCGTTTCTGTCACACAATGTCCACTTGCCCCTGGTCAGACCATGACATATAGATGGCGAGCTGTTCAATATGGTTCTTCCTGGTACCATTCGCACATCGGCCTGCAAGCTTGGGAAGGTGTGTTTGGCGGTATTGTGATTAACGGACCAGCAACTGCAAACTACGATATCGACAAGGGCTGTCTCTTTTTGAATGACTGGACGCACGCAACAGTCGATGAATTATATGATTTCCAACACCAAAATGGCCCGATCACTCTGGACAATGGCCTGCTCAACGGGACGAATGTTCTCGGAACGGGAGCGAATTCCAGCAAAGGATCGCGGTTCTCTATGAAAGTAGACCAGGGTAACTCGTACCGTCTTCGACTTGTCAATGCAGCTATCGACACCCATTGGAGCTTTATGATCGATAATCACTCCTTAACTGTGATTGCAATGGACCTTGTACCGATCAAGCCCTTTACCACTGACATATTGAGAATTGGAATGGGTTCGTCTCCACCTCTACGTCCTCCTCCTTTTCCTCTTTTCCCTCTGTTGTATTTCCCTTCTTGCAAAGTGATCTAAGTATCTTTTCCAGGCCAACGATACGATATCATCATCCAGGCAAATCAAGCTTCCACGGCCGAGAATTTTTGGATTCGGGCCATACCAGGTTCATCTTGCGCGTCAAATTCTGAGGCAACCAACATCGAAGGCATACTGTATTATGGAAGTGCTCCTCAAACACCCAGCACGGTTGGATACACTTTGACATCTTCTGACTCGGATTGTCTGGATATGCCAATGACAGATCTCGTCCCGCATCTCGCAAAGAATGTGGCGGCACCAGTCTGGAACAAGCCCGAAAATGTGTCACTGAACCACCCTACAGGACCCTTCTTCTGGGAAATGAACAGTACTTCGATGAAGGTTAGCTGGGAAAACCCAACTTTGGGACAAGTACACAAGAACCAGATGAATTTCACAGCTTCAAGTGGAGTGATTGAGCTGCCGTTCAAAGATCAATGGGTGTACCTCCTGATCAAGACTGCACTCGCAGTAACACACCCAATCCATTTCCACGGACACGACTTTTCTATCTTGGCACAGGGAACTGGTTCTTACAATGGATCACTTATGACGAATAATCCCCCTCGGCGAGATACAGCTATGCTGCCTGCGATGGGGTATCTTCTTATCGGCTGGCAAACTAATAACCCAGGTGCATGGTTGATGCATTGTCATATCGGATGGCACATTGAGGAAGGATTCGCGCTACAGTTCATTGAACGCTATGATGAGATTCAACCCTTAATCGATTACAAAGAGCTGCAAAGTATTTGCAACCGATGGGATGCATATGATACAAGTGCCAATATCACGCAAAATGATTCGGGTGTGTAGAAAGTTTACTGAGTTTTTGAATTTATTTCAGTCAAGAAGAAATTGCACCTTGGGCTAGAGCAGGAACATCTGGTCCGTTCTTTGCCCCATCCCCGGTACTATGAACGTTATAAGATCCATTTCCCTCGGGGGGTCAGTAGATGTATGGGGGGTTACTAGCCTTTGATCGGATCACAAGACACCTCGGGAACACACTCCGCAGTGTTCGCTGGAAGGAAAGCGCATTAACATAACTCAAATCCTATGCAAGCGCGCTCGGATATCTATCACATTGTGACGCTTGCTCAACTGCAAGGATCTTATCCCTGCTTGCTTACACTAGCTCATGCAAAAAGCCGTCACAAGTCACGATCATCCCCTTTCCATGATTTGTCGAGAATATTATTCTTCATGAATATGTCAAGCAATGCATTTGCGACCAGAATGAAACAATTGGCAATTCTGGATAGATGAACCCGATTATTGAGACTGATCAGCATGCTCAGGACCACTGAAACAAGCTTGTTCCACCTTCCGAGCCGAGATGGGGCCTTGTCAGGAAAAAACCTTGGTCTATATGTGATCCCGACGATCTTCGTAGATCACCTCGAAAACATGGAATGCACGAATATGTTTCTATGGGCCTGTTGAGTCTCAAGGGGCTGGGCTTTGCTCAAGTTATCCTTCCGAGGTTGTTTCATTCGGGGCATATTCCCTTAGATGTGGTCCGACCGTAGGTCTCAAAAGTGGACCATCGAGTGCTTCTTTTTGGGCATTGAGGTTCACGCAAACATGAGATCCTTGATATCATTGCCTGATTTTGCCTCGGTGCAAGCAGATAATAACTCGAAAGTCGAACGTGCAGCTCCTGGGTGCGTTAAATCGAGGCTTGGTGTTCCTAGCTGTAGGGCGTGTTCCTGTATTTGAAGAACGGGGGATCCAGCATACCAAATCACCCCTGGCCATATTTTCTTATTTTCTTTCCTCTTTTTGCGCTCACAGTTTACTTTATTTGGCCTCGAGATTCCTTTCTTGGGGATGCTGCTTCTCGCCGCTCTCATTTCTCTAGCGCTGCAGGCCGGCGTCGTTTATGGAGATCTTTTGGCTCGAGCTGGCCCTCTCGTCGACGCGACATTCGACTACGTGGTCGTAGGTGGTGGCACAGGCGGGATTGTTGTGGGAACTCGACTCGCGCAGCATGGCTCCAAAGTCGCATTAGTTGAAGGTGGAGGACTCTATGAGCTTGAGTCCCTAGCAGAAGTCCCCACGGCTGATGTACTCCTATGCGGCTCGGATCCAAACACTCAGTCTGCTGCAGATTGGGGATTTGTGACATATGGTCAACCAGGTGCAAATGGGCGTTCTATTCATTATGCTCGTGGGAAGTGTTTGGGCGGATCGTGAGTCCCCGGTCTCAAGGGGCAATCTGTATGTTATGTTGATCGCTAAACGTAATTTAAAGATCTGCTCTGAATTTTATGATCTACCAACGGTAAAGAGCCCTCGACTATTTGTAATTTCACATGCGCTAATCCTGAATGTAGACCAACAGTTGAATCAATGCAGCAGTGGGCTGATACGGTCAACGACAGCAGCTATACCTTTGATAATGTTCTCCCATACTACAAGAAAAGCGTTCAGTTCACACCACCCAACTCGCTAGACCGCGCCGCCAACGCCTCTGCAGCTTACAATGCGAATGTTTTCGAGTCAAGCGGTGGTCCATTGCAGGTGTCTTATGCCAACTATGCTATGCCTTTTTCTTCCTGGATGAAGCTCGGCATGGAGGCAATTGGCATCAACGAATCGAAAGATTTCAACTCGGGCACTTTGATGGGAGCACAGTATTGTTCTTCAACCATTGACCCTTCAAATGAGCTTTGCAGCAGCTCTCAGGCGTCTTTCCTGACCCATATTACCCCGTCCACTTTGACCACCTATAGCTCTACACTGGCGAAGAAAATCGTTTTTGACTCACAAAAGAAAGCCACCGGTGTGCAGGTGAAAGGACTACTTGGGAACACTGTCACTCTTCACGCATCCAATGAGGTTATTATCTCTGCTGGTACTTTCCAGTCACCTCAGCTTCTGATGGTCTCTGGCGTCGGTCCCTCCGATGAACTACAAGAGCTTGGAATTGATGTTGTTGCCGACCTTCCTGGGGTTGGCCAGAACATGTGGGATCATCCATTCTTTGCTCCTACCTACCGTGTGCAGGTCGATACTCTCACCAAGTTTGCTAACAACCTGGTTTATGCTGCTGAAAGCGTTGTTGGTGGACTATTTGCAAAGACAGGTCCGATCACTAACCCAGTCGCGGATTACCTCGCTTGGGAGAAGATCCCGCAGACCCTTCGCTCGCAGTTCTCACAAAGCTCGCTGGAGTCGTTGGCAAAATTTCCCAGTGACTGGCCCGAGCCGAGGTAAGAAATAATTCATCCAATGCAAGAACGACCACTAATGCACAACTTAATAGTACATCTCCGGCGCGGGGTATATTGGCAACGTCTCCAACCTCCTTGAAGACCAGCCGAAGGATGGTTACCAGTACGCCTCGATGCTAGGAGTTTTGATTGCACCGCAATCTCGCGGCAACATCACACTGAAATCTGCCGATACGAATGACCTGCCAATTATCAACCCCAACTGGCTTGACAACACCGCAGATCAAGAAGTTGCCATTGCCATGTTCAAACGCATGCGTGAGGCATTTCAAAGCGATGCTATGGCACCAGTGGTCATTGGCAAGGAGTACTATCCTGGCGAAGCCGTCCAGAGCAACGCAAACATTCTGGAGTTCATCAAGAACAACGTGATGACTTTGTGGCACGCTGCTTGTACTTGCAAGATGGGTAGTTCAGACGATGACATGGCGGTTGTTGACTCTCAGGCCCGCATCTATGGTGTTCAGGGTCTTCGCGTGGTCGATGCCAGCGCATTCCCATTCCTGCCTCCGGGTCATCCCCAATCGACGGTTTGTAAGTCTGCTTCTCTGCATCTTGCTTTGGATTAGTCTCTCACCTGTTGAACAGACATGCTTGCGGAGAAAATCTCAGCTGCCATCATTAAGGGTCTCTGATAGTTGGTTTATCGACGCAGAAGACACTTTGCAATCAATCTCGCCTCACATTGACTTTGTACATCTTTCGGGCACCTTGGCCTATTCTATTACATAGCTTTTTGTACCTTATTCAGTCAGCAATTACTGTCACTTAGGAGCTCAAAAGTACTGGGGAGTCATTATCCACATCAAAAGGCCCGAGTTGTATTCTCTTTCCCACCAGAATTACGCTTGGAAGCCAGCGGTGAACACGGACTGTTCCGGGTTGCAGGCAAATGAGTACGTCTGCGTTGGCGCGGAATCCACCACCACTGGCGTCACAACGCCATACCCCGTTCAAACAGGCATGATTTCTACATGTGACAAGTTGTCCAAATTTGTTGCAGATGATTCATGCGTCGATATCGCAAATGAATACGGCATCTCAACGTCTTCATTCTACGCCTGGAACCTAGCGGTCAAGACCGACTGCTCCGATCTGCAAGCGGGCGAGTATGTTTGCATTGCTGTGGCTCAACTGCGTAGGCGTCGTCTCAACTGTTCCAAGATGACACTGAAAAATATTACTTTCTGTACTTGACAGCTGTTTCATATTCTCATAGTGAATTCACAAATTGGTCACTGTTGGAAGGAAGAAATGGAAGTTATTAGAAAGTAACCGTGTTTCTTTTGATCCAAATATCTATTATTTCAACGTTGAGAAATTCCCAATTCCTTAAGCTCCTGCATACCGACGTGTGGTCGAGTATATTCAGGTTCGAAATTATCATGCAAAGTACCCATTCCCGACTTGGGGAAGTTAAGTAAAGATCACTGTGTTGGAATTTCACCAGAGTCATAGAGAAAATTCGTTACCTCATCTGCGAGAAGAGCGAACCTCCCAGATTGCATCTGATCAATCTCCATGGTGATTCTCACGGCCGGTCCCAGTGATCGATCGCGCTTAGTCCAATTAAGCTCATCCCGCATCCGCTCCAACAGCTCAGACCAGCATCCTTCATCGTTAGGAAACCCAAGGGATCCTAGCTCAACAGAGCGTAGTGAAGATGACGCCAAACTAAGCAGATCAATTAAGTCTGACGTGTTAACGCTAAAATTAGAAAGACCAAAATAATAGAGATTTGGCCATTGCTGGACAGGAAGAATCTCTTTCAAAGGAACAACTGGATCCCCAGCTGAATCGCCACCCTCCAATGCCACTGTTAAATGGATATGAGTCAGTTTTTTCGCCAAGCTAACAGCCTCGGAAAAGCATCCGCTGGTGAAACCTTTATAGTCATAGACCCCGTTGTATCCAACTAAGAAGGATAGGTGAAGGTGACGAAAGCCTGGGCGTTTCATAATGGCTACGAAATAGTTGTACTCTTCACACGGCTGGGCAAAAATCATGCAGTTTATCCCAGTGGCGAGTTGTTTTGAATCGAAGCATAGTTCGGAAATATTATGGTCCTCGATCGTTGATAGAACGCGAAGGGCAATTCTGGCCCCTCTCCACAACTCCTTATACTCTTCTTTTGCCTCTGACCAGAGTAAAGGGTTGACAACCATTCCTTTAGTCGGAGAAACTTTGCCATCCCCGTGGAATGGGATAGTTGAAGCCATATGGAAATGCTCGGATCGTAGGTGTTTGATATAGCGGAGAGAATATGCGGCCATGCGCCGCAGGCGTAACGGTCACTCGTCTCAGCTGTGGGAATCGCTTTAAGCACTAAATGAAGGCTTTTTCATCATCCCGAGATTCCATCATAGCTTGTTGGTCATTGAGAACTTGCGAATAGTACTTCCAGCAGTCCTTTAGGGGCATCTGTGCATCCACCTGCTGCCGGCGAGCCATATGGTCGGGCCTATCCACGTCGCGGGATTTCTGCTGTTTCATATTGCGGATGTTGTTTTTGCATTCCTGCAAGAACCACATAGGACATCCTTCTTCGTCGTTGATTCGCAAGCCACTGCGATCGATGTACGGTTCATAATCCTCCCAGGACACTGGAGCCGAAACAAAACGCGCGTCGTCCCAAATAATTTCGGTGACCTGCTCCCTGAAGTCTGGATGATTCGCTACAGAGCGCAAAACCTTAATATCTAGCGAATTGGCTGAAAGAAACACGCGCGAGAATGACAGTGGCGTCGTCTCGCCTAGTAGTTCGCTTGCCAAGCGCAGGAATTTGAGATCTCGATTTGGCAAAAGTGATGCGCCTAACAATAAAATCTTAGCAGGTAATTGAAGAAGCCCGGCACTTCGTAGTATCAATAGGGGCTGACGTTCAGGGCTTTGTGCCGCCATTGTAAGATCGTATTTTTGGTGGAGAGAGTGAAAATTATAGATGTGTGATGCCCACTACCTCGGCCTTAGCAGTCGTTGTCGCGTCTCGGAGTGCGGCGCGGATTTTCTCCCGTATCTGCGTGGGGTCACCAGCCAGCGCTTAGGTCTCTTCGGAGGCAGAGCGGAGGTCTAGCACCACGGCCGGGAGGCCGAGTCCATTATCTAGGCCTAGCCTATTCAGCAATGCTAGGCACCTACGCATTAACTATCCTTGACATTTGAAATATCCAACATTGAACATAACTTTACTGTAGTGGCAATTGATTCTATATAAAGAATTTGAAGTTCCCATTCTATTCATCTGACAGACTGTATTGATGAAGCCATGCAAAATACCTATATATTCGGGGTTTAAGCTTGACTGCTGAAGTAACTGCTGTTCCTCCTGATGCACGGCCTCACTCTCAGAATCTGTTTTTTCGTCATCGCTATCCTCCTCAGACCCTCCCCCAGATTCTTCCTCAGATCCTTCTTCAAAGTCCTCTTCCTCGAAATCGGTTTTCCTCCGAATCTGTTTCCTCTTCTGTCTCGGTTTCAGATTCCGTCTCCTCCTCCTCTTCTTCAAGCCACTGATCCAAAGTCTTTTTACCCTTCCCGGCGCCAGGCGCTGCCGAGCCATTATGGCGTTGGGGGCGGCACAGCAGCTTGGTGCTCCCGAAGTGCTCTATCCAGTTTCTCACCAGCAGTCATTGATCTTGGAGCAGTTGTTGCTTCGGGCTTTGTTTCCTCGACACGGAGACTGGAGTTAGGCTCCTGTCCTAGTTCTACCCACTCTGGTAGCTTGGTGTAGCCTTTAAAGCCATGGAAGCCAGCATCTTGGCCTACAATGAGGGTTGCTGTTCCGAGAAGAAGGTGCTTGCGTTTTTTAGATGGGCTGGGTGCATGCGGAACAGGCGTGGGGGCCAGACGGAGCAAGTTGGCGAGGGGTAAAATGCAAATCATAGCCTTTTCATCAATGTTAATGTTTCTTGTTTTGTCAGGCTCGGTGATGTTTGCCTGTGTGCCAATGAAACACTTTTACAAATTGGCAAAAGTGCATAGATCTCCATCGAACACTGGTAAATTATCACTGGGTAGGAGGAGTCTATCACTTGGAAACACCCTTCAAACAAAGCATCTCACATCAACTTGCATTCAGGTACGGGAAGGAACCACACCTTGAACGCCTGAGCACGAATTGTAGTTCACCAGCTACGATTCCTACGTCCCGTGATGATGATTATTGCGATGCAGGCCCACACTAGTCGTCCTTTATATCATGTCGTTCGCCGGTTGGTATACGTCGTGTCATGCCTTCCGCAACCGCAGTCTCAGAATTGGTCGCCAGATGAGGCTAGGGGCATGCGGTATTTTCGCTTTTGGCCTATGTCACTACGCTAGGCTCTTGAATATCCATTGATGGGACGTGGAGAAACCGGAGAGACTATCAATGACGACAACGGAACGCAGGGGCGGTGCAATGTAAAATCGGATGGCCCGATCGAAGAGAAGGCATCCAGAATACTCAGGGTAAACCGGTCATTCATAGATAGGGAGGATATCAGCGACGAAAAGGCGCACTGGCAAAAGAAAATCTAGACAATTTCGCAGCATGATGCACTGCACTCAGTTCAGAGGAAAGTAACAGGATCGGTGCGAAATGGCTACGATGCCGCTGTGGCCTAGATCACCCCAGGGGCTCTGTTCAAGACAAGAGGTATTGCAAGCTCGGCGTCGGATCGAGCGGCATCTCTGGTAAAATGGAAGGGGCGCTGCGTCAGGCTGAAAGCCTAGGCGCAATCGTCGGTAGGGGCGAGATGAAGAGCAAGGGGGTGGCGAGGAGTGCAAGATAGAGGAGTTGAAGCGAAGGTAAGGGAGGGAAAAGAGGTCGAAAGGGCAGGGCGAGCGTTTTATGCCGGAGCAAAGAAGGCGGAGCTTACAGAACGACGTATTGGAACGCTAAACTGAAAGAGGCAAAACTAACCGCATCTAGTAATTCACAGGTCCGCCATTTACAACACATATCGGAACTCCTTATTATCAATCTCTGTTTGATCCAACATCCCATTTTCAATTCCATCCTGTTCACTTTCCTGCCTCCCAAGAGCCTCGCGATCCCGTCGCTTATTTTCAAGGTACATATATGCATAAAGAATAAGGATAGCAGTTAACTTGACCGAATACCCAGCAAGTATCCTAAAGAAAATATCAGCAATGTTACCGCAACCTAGAATTGGGCAACAATATAAGCACTATGATACCCTGGCGCCTCACTTTCCTTGAAAGTCTGCGGCCCAATAATATTTCCAACACAATACCCAGTAAATAACAAGGCACCCGTGACCTGCTTCTTAGTATATCCGGCAACATTTCGAGCTGACCATAGTTAAACTCATACTAAAGCCCAAGCCCTGGAAATAGCACAACCAAAGCGCGACAAGGCGTCCCCATTTGTTCGAATCCGGAAGACCGACTAATAATCCCGAAACGATGATGCAAACCGTATTGGCGACAACCAAGCACGCGAATCGCGAATGGAATTTGTCGTGGTAGCGACAAAGCCTCCAAATATCAGAGTCAAGAAATTGACTGCTCCGCCAGGGATCTGGAGGTATTGTGTTCCAAGGGTATCGAATCCGAAAGTACCGACGACGATAGAGGTAAACTACATCTCCGTCAGTGTCAGATTCCAATGGGCGATGAATAAAAGTAAAATCTCACACTCGTCAACGCCAACTGTGGCACCTGTGGCCCCACGGCCATAACGAATAGGAGCCAGGTCTTTGGATCCTGAGCAGCCTGCCACACCTGATACCACTTGAATTGATGGCTTTTCACACCCTGGCGATTAACCGCAACGCGATCAACGGCAATGACTCGTTGTCGCTCAGTAAGAAACTTGGCCGTTGAGGGAAGATCCGGTAGAAGCCATAGCGCAAAGATACCAGTGACGATTGATAAGGCGCCGAAGATGAGGAACACGTACATCCATCTAGGGAGGCCACTCTTGATGTGTCCGACAGCGTAGCCGATTAGTCTGTCAGATTAGTAGATGTAACTAGAACTAGTCTCCGGATTGAGAGGCTTACCCGCCAAACATGGTCGCGATGCCATTCGTGCAGTAGTATGCTTCCAGGCGTAGGGGCTGCTCTTTCGAGGTATACCGCATGCTCATTAGGAGTACAAAGCCGGGGTTGACGACTGCTTCAACTAGACCGAGGAGGAAGCGGTTTATGGCTATTCCGGCGAACTTGTGACATGCTGGGGTTGTCATCAGGAGACCACCCCATACTTATCCTATTAGATCATATGAGACTCTTGAGGAGGGTGCGAGATCGTACTGATTGTTGTCCATGCTAGGAATTTGCCGACGGGGGGTTTTTGAAAGGCCAATCCGGCCGGCCATTGTGCGATCAGGTAGCCGAAGTAGAAGATAGAACCTGGAGATGTACGTGTTAGTGATCCCTACGCCTGCTGGAAATGCAGGAAGCCATACTGAGCCATTATTAATCCTGTCCGGTGATGTGGGTCCCCGTTTTGAGGCCATAGACGGACGCGAAATTGATACTATTCTTGTCCAGATACTGCGTGGATTAGCAAAGCAATTGGGAAACAAACAGCTCAGTATACTTGAATCATATATATCATGAATAACAGCGGAACTAACTGGCGGTCAATCTTTCTCAAGGTCTTCTTCGCCTCTTCGGGCGTGTACTCGATATCCTGATGCTGGTGATAGAACGCATAATTATCATCTCGACCCGACGAAGCCGAGGAGAAAATAGTAGGTGAAGCCGTAGCTTCAACCTCTTTTCTCAAGATCTGGCATCTTGTCTATCCACTCCAGTATCTCAGGTCATCAAACTCCGTTCAGGCACTGGGAGGACGGGTCTCTTTAATTCGGTCGACTCGAACTGGTTGGAAACATATCTGCACGCCATGGGCCCCACAAAAACATGCCAGGGGAGCTAGAAGAATCAGGTCAAGTCTTGCGTGGAAGAAGTGCATGACTAGGTGTTTTGGAGGCTTTCTGGACGCGATGTTTCGGCGGTAAGTTAGGAGTGTGGAGGCGATGCAGGGATCGTAGTCGAATATTTCCTGAATTGACTTAATCTACGAGTCGTTTTAGGCTATTCTGTTCATCTTAGGGTCGGTTCATAGGGGCAGGTGGGAGAATTGCAGGATGAGAGGTCGTCGGAAGCTAGAGATGATCACGACATCGATGCGGCGATTGCGTGTTGGAGAAGGTCTAAACCTCAATTTTGCTTCACGTCGGATGTGTTCCGAGGCGCTTAGTTGTCTCAACGAGTGATATCCTATCTTTCATTCCAAGAATTTAGCTTATTTTGATTGGTGATAGGAGTAAAGTATTCGTAGCGCATAATAGGTAGTTGCAAGTGAAGAACTCTTTAGCTGCATTTGATTGCGGTCTTGGCTACAAGTCCATCATCTTTCCCACCTAACTGGGTCAATTTTGTGCATTGGCCCACGGAGCGAACTTTTGTGCGCTCCAGATATAATAAAAATCAAGGATCAATTACTAGGAGATCATCCAGCTCGAATTCTACCTCCCTCCCTTGGGCCTCTAGCTCCAAGTATCCGGGCGCACTCTGCTCGATGATGCGGACCCACAGGTCCCGAGATCCATAGCCCTGGTAGAGGAATTTGTTGGCCCGTCGGGTTGATTCTAAGAGCTCGAGGATTGGAAGGTCCATATCCAAGCTATATTGATCGTTAGGGGAGGGAGAAAGCGAACTAGAATTTCTGGGGGAAGAGAGAGAACGTACGGTTCATTGTACTGCGGCGGACCCCCGATGCCCGACTCGGCGATACTTACCCAGCATCTGCTCGAAAGACATAGTTTGGCCCATGTTCCACGGTCGACGGAGAGTGGAGACGCGGATGCAGCCGTTGGAGCCAAACTCGGCCAGGGTGAGGCGTCCCGTGGTCAGCCCAGGAGTATCAATCACGAACCAGGTGAGGCCCGGTCCGTCGGCGAACACTACCGTGCCATCCCGGGTCATAGAGAGGGCGTGAAAATCGGCCGTGTGGAGGTACAGTGCGGGGAGTACCTCACTAAGCGTGGTGGGCGTGGTAGGCGCAGCGGCCGGGGAGCTAGAGCCAAGCAACTCCGGAATGTGGCAGTTGGGGGCGTCGCCTGCCCCATGTAGGTCGAAGGGGTGCGGCCCAGTCCATTCGTCTTGATGGACGTACAGCAGTATTAGGAACTTGACGAGATAGATATAGTTACGGTAATGGGTCTGCCGGTCCACAGATGGCAGACATAAGAAGCGTTTGTTGGGTCTTGGGGTGAGCTGCGAGAGTACTATGGGCGGGTAGTCGAGAGCTGAGATATGGTCTGCGGCACGACCACAGTAAGACTATACTGCTAGTTTATGTTTTAATATTGTGATTCATCTTTGAGCTGAGGAGAGGCGAGAGAGAGAGGCCGGGAGGCGGAAGGGAAAAAAAAGTAAAAACCCATCAAAATGAGGGACGATACGGACCTCGCGAAACTCCTGGCTGGCAGTGGCCCATTTCTCGATTAGGGCTCGCCGGTGACGCAGCCCATCTTCGGGGGTTGACGTGGGTTGGGATTCTTCCTGTAGAACAGTAATATGAACCGTCAATGCAACCCTGTCATCCATCATAAGAGGGTGCGATTCCCCAGATTCTACCATACCCGTACGAATAGCAACCACCCTTTGGCCTCTTCCGCGAGCTCTTCCAGGTCCAAATCAGTCGGATGTAGGCGTATCTCGGGAATGTTCGTCAGCCAAGACACTTGTGATATCGGCTGTGACATTTCTTTATTGTTTTTGAGTTTGTATTTTTTGTGGGAGTTAATTGCAAGACTTCAAAAGGCAAGCAGAGGGAGCAGAGAAGAAGGAAGGGGCGGGAGCATCCTGCTGATCTACCAATTTTAGATTAAAAACATAAAAAAAAAGGGGGTAGGGGGGGGGGCCGCAACCTTTTGAAAGATATGAACGAATCTAGTACGAAGTACTATAGTGATATAGCAAAAGTTGTGAGAGTACCTACGGCCCTATTGACCGCCTAGTATAGAGTTTGCCGCCTACTGAATTGCATAGCAAGAAAACACGCTAAGATGCGTGCAACGCGATGAGGGTAAGATTATAGTTAAATACCCTACCCGTAATGTATCGGCTCATTATATGGTTGAGGTGAATATCATGGAGCTTAGGCGAAGGTTTCGCAACCGGCAGAGTCTTGTGTGTTTAGGTCGTATGGGAACGACCGTTTAAGCCATGCGTCAACAACAGGACGAAAGGTGGATGACCACCAGTTCTGGTTGGGTGCAGAAGAAGGGGCGTAACTGGGCAGTGGGCGATCAAGCGACGACTCGCTGCCCAAAGTTACGGCTATTAAGGAGGTCATTTCTGCCACCAGAGGCTGTCATTTTCGGCGTCGAATGCCAAGATGCCTGTATTCTAAACGTGAAATTTCTTTTTGATTTCGTTGACTATCGACCCGCACAGTCTAAAGAAGGGTCCTCATTTCCTCCATGTTACGGATACCAACCAGGTTACCGGCCTTGACGCGCTTCAGAGTCAAAGCAGCAATCAAAGCGGCACCAACACCAGAACCATCCTCAGCGGCCATGATCTCAACCTTGTCCTTCTCGTTTGGAGCCCAGTCGAGCATCTCGCGCAGAGCCTGGGCACCACGAGCCTTGAAGTGAGGGTACTTGGTGAAGACGGAGCCGTCGGCACCAACGTGGCAGGAGTCGATCTTCTTCTTAGTGCAGATGGCTGCGACGCCGCAGGAAGAGAGACGAGCGGCACGGGTGCCGATCAGCTCGGCCAGACGACGGATCATCTCCAGCTCAGGCCGGGTGGGACGGATACCGAGTTCGCTATGGAATTTGTCAAAGGTCTCGGACAGATTCTCGTAGGGATCCTCCTCAATGGCAGCGAGGAAGGAGGCGTCCAGTAGATAGGGCTTGTTCAGCTTCTCGGTGTTCTGGCCGTTGAAGATCGTGCCAGGGTGGCACTCGAGGAGGTCCTTGAGAGCCAGACGGAAGATCTCACCCAGGTACAGACCGGCGGTCATCTTCTCAAAGGCCTGCTGGCCGGGGCGGGGCGAGTCCCGGTCAATGATCTCGTCAAACTTGGTGAGGGGCAGGACCACGCGCTCGTTGTCGAAGGCTCCGTATTCGCAGTTGATAGCGATAGGCATGTCCGGGGGAAGGTTCAGGTGAGCGATCTTGGGCACGGAGCCAACGTTTTCCATGTATGCGGCGTTGACACCGGTGCCGAAAATACAGCCGATCTTCATTTCAGGATCGGTGTAAGCAGAGGCTATAAGGGTACCGGTGGTGTCATTGATGAGAGCTGCAACTTTAATGGGGAGGCCCTGTGCAAATTGAGTTAGTATTTAGGTAATTCAATCAGAAAAGTCCCTGGAGCATTACATACCCGCTTCTTCAGAATGGCCTCCAGAGGAGGAACAACATCCTCACCCTCGACACCGTCAATGTCGAAGCCCTTGGTCCAGCGCTGTAGAACACCGTGGTCGATGTAATCCTGAGTGGCGGGGTAGGAGAAGGTGAAACCGAGGGGCAGCCTGGACAAGTTCTCGTTCTCGTGGTGGAATTCGACGAACTGCTGCAAGCAGTCGGCGATGTACTCCCACAACTCCTCGGCGGTACCGGTACGAAGCTCTTCCGGCATCTTGTATTTCAGACTGGGTGATATCAAAGCCGCCCTTCTTGTCGGTGAGGGTGATCTCGCAAACACGCAGGTTGGTGCCACCCATGTCGAGGGCCAGATAGGTTCCCTGCTCTTCACCGTCGGGGAAGCCCATAACCCAGGTCACGTTCATGGGCTGGAGGCTATGTTAGTTCATGGGTGGGATGTATTCAGATGCGCGCTATCTCACAATGTTGCCGCCCTCGACCGTCAGACCTATGTTGTTGTTAGCTCCTTGAAACGATACCAGCGGAGGCGCGGGGTTCCGGACATACCCTTTTCAAGCTCACTCACGAAGTGCTTCACAATCTTCTTGAGTTGAGCAGCGTCGACGGTGAAGATATCCTCGAATCTCTTAATGTGCTCCAGAAGATTTTGCGGCAGCTCTTGCATCGACCCTAGAAACGATTAACGAGTGGAGGCTAATTGGAATTGAACTTAGCTCACCCTTGCGGGACGGCGGCTGCTTAGGACCAACTCCGACCATGGTGTATGTGATTCGATGAAGATGTACGAAGTTGTTGAGTAAAGATGAGAATCAAGAGGAGGGGAAATGACGATATGAGGGAAACGTGGGGCAACGATCGCCTTGCTTGATTTGGCTGCGGTGGACAACTTGAACAACTTCGCAACTTGACCAAGTTGACACCGGATTTCGCCCCTGCTGTTGGCTCCTGGGCTTCCGACAAATCAGGTTCCTTACTTTACTCGCTCTGCTACAGCTTACCCCATCTTTCAAACGGTCAATATGTCATTCACGCGGTCCATCCGCCCCATTCCTATTCCCCCTACTTGGAGCAGAGCGGGGCGGTGTGAACTCAGGTCCAACGACCTAACGGGATTTGCGCGCCAAGTGTGGAAATACATGCGTCAGTCCAGAATCAACGGTGTCATGCGACGCCAACTTCTCGCGCACGCGCTTCTCGTATGCAGTCGATAAGCCCAGAGTTCGCTCAACTTCCTCGGTGAGCCGATCCACCTCATCCTGAAGCCGCTCATCCCGAGTTGGAGCAGGGGCATCCTTGGCTTCACGCGACTTCGGATCCGGATTGGTCTCTTCCCAGAGAGCCTCCAATTCTTCAGCCCAGCCCACGGCTCTAGCAAACTTCCTTACACCTGTATCAATATCACCGAGTAGAAGAACATCATCCGGTCGTGATCCCAAACCCCCAACGCGATCCATATTAATCAGCACGCGGGGCGTTCCCTGTTTACACATTTGGGGGAGACTGGCAAATGGCTGGACAGAGAGACTAGTCCCCATCACAATGCAAAGGTCCGCCTCTTCCGGGAGAAAGCGGTTCTGGAAGAAACTCTCAGGGAGTGCTTCACCAAAGAAGACAATGTCCGGCTTAACCAGGCCGCCGCACTCCTTGCAGTGCGGCACCTCGCCTTTCTCAACAATTTCATGCATCTCAATGTCGGGATAAGGCGCCTTGCAGTCAATGCACCGCTGTGTCGCGAAGCTGCCATGCGCTTCTATGATTTTCTCACCAGGGAGACCCGCCTGGCGCTCAAGACAATCGATATTCTGAGTAAAGTGCTTCAAAAGCAGACCCTTGTCATGCAGTAATCTAATGAAGGTGTGGGCGACAGTTGGGCGATAGCGTCCAGGGTAGAGTTCACGCGCCAAGGCGTAGAATGGCTTCGGGTTCTGTCTGAAGAAACTAATGTCGAATACATCTTCAGGTTCTTCCAAGTCCAGCATAGCCAGGTTGGCGTAGAGTCCCGTCTCTGGTGACCGGAAATCCGGGATACCTGCCGAAGTGCTGATTCCCGCTCCTACCTGTCTCAAGTTAGCTTCTCTGTATAAGGCGGGATTGGGAACTTCACATACCATAATCACAATTTTTTGAACATTGTGTTCCTTGATGTATTTGGCGATGGCGTCGATATTGCGAGCTTCTAACTTCGAAGAGTGAGTGGAGTCGCTCACCATGGCTGATTCTTCGTTTCCCATGATGCGATGCTGGCGCCCAAGACGCCGAGGCTGATGCCGCGGTTTATGGCGTCGTCCGACTGTGAAGGTTCTATGTTGACCCGGTCCGACACTGTAGATTGCTGACGTCCAAAATGACTGAAGATTGAGAGAGACGTAGAGAAGTAGAAGTGGCGGAGCGAATGACGTTGCCCACAATCAGAGGTACACCGGCCCTTATATCGCTATATCGATCAAAGACTCCACTATGAAGCTTCAATCAAAGCCACATTCATGCAGAATGAACGTTCTTTGCAGATTTAAATTACCACCTTGTCTGCTATCAAACCCTCAGCTCCCAATTGAGTTAAAAAAGAAGCCCCGCCCATTCACCGCCCGCGGGGACTACAACTAGCGTATTTGGCATCAACAACTCACTCTCTGCATACTCCAGCATGGCCCTGTCCCAGGCCACGGCCAATGGCCATGTATCGTCTCCGCTGCCGGATCAATCGACTTCTGTCGAAATTTCCTCACGAACCGACATCTTCAACGCCAGCTCCGTCGCCGAGATCAAGGCTGCCTTGTCCCGCCTCCACAATCAAGAAGCGGCCGTAACTGCCCGCCTCGATGCCCTGGTGACCTCGCAGAAGGATCTTTCCCGCGAACTTGGCCGATTCGATCTCTTGCGTGCCAATATCGGTACACAGACTAGCACCACACGATCGATCAGCCATGGAATGCTCTCCGAGGCCGCTGGGACCGCTGAGCGGATCTCCAGCGCAGTGCGCAGACTCGACCTTGAACAGGCTCGGGTCAAGGCTACACTGGAGGTGGTGGAGCAAGTGGCTGAGCTCAAGGCGTGCGCATTGGGTGTTGCGGGGTCAATGGGTGCTTCCCAGGACTGGGAGACCGCGGCCAGCTACTTGCATCGCGCTGCGCAAGTTCCCCCGTCTGTGGTCAATGGAGCTTTCGCAGCTGAAATGGTGCCGACGGCCGAGGTCCCTGACCCGCCTAGTGTCACGTTGGACAATGCGGCCGAATCGCTGTGTGGACTGTTCCTGCGCGAATTTGATAAGGCCGTCAAGGAAAACGACGGGGCTAAGATTACTCGCTTTTTCAAGCTGTTCCCTCTCATTGGGCGGTCTGAAGTCGGTTTGGATGTCTACGGTCGCTATGTTTGCCAGGGTGTAGCAGCCCGGGCTCGTGGAAACCTGAATGCTAGTACTGGAGCTCACAAAGATGGGTTCTTCTACGCTAATGCATTGACAAAGCTATTTGAACATATCGCACAGATCATTGATGGTCACGGCGGGCTTGTTGAAAGACACTACGGTCCAAGGAAGATGGGACGGGTCATTGAACGACTTCAGGTCGAGGCCGATGTGCAGGGTGGCATCATTCTAGACACCTGGAGTGATGAGAGGCATGTCGATCGCAAATTGATGGACATCAAGTCATATGCCTTTACGTTCTTGGTGCAGAGTTTCCTCCCTGCTCAGCGAACGGGCCCGGCTCGTACACAGTCTCCAGCTCCTGGTGCCAATGCAGCCACCGAGGATGAAGGTGTGGACATGAAGGAAATTGACGGAATCCTGAACGAAATGGCCATCATGCTTGGTCGGTGGTCACTATACTGCCGGTTCTTGGCAGATACATGCAATGTAAGTATACTTCTTTGCTTCCATTCAATGGTCAATACTTACAAGCATACAGGCTCCTACAAATGAGGAAATCGAAGATGATGACAGCAGATACATTCTGCCTAGTTTCTTGCAAGAGGCACCTCTGACACAGAAGATCAACGACCGTCTGATATCTCCTTTCAACGCCATGACGACCTTCTTCTTCCGCCGATCAGTAGAAAAGGCCTTCCAACTGGACGAGTCTCCTGCAGGCCTGAACCTGAACCTCCACACACCACTACGGGCCGACCCACCGTACATGACCTCCGCCGTCGACGACATAATGTACATCGTCAACAAAGTGATCCAACAATCCCTCGCCACCTCCCAAGTATCAGTGGTAACCAACGTCGTCCCAACCCTCTCCCGCGTCCTCGGCTCCGACTTCATAGGCATGACCCAACGCAAAATGCGCGACGAATGCTACCCCCGCGCGGCCGTCCAAGGCGGCCAACCCCCAGAACAAACAATCTGCTCCTTCCTCGTCCAAATCAACAACCTCGAAATTGGAGTCGACTACATCCGCCGCATTGTGCAAAACAATACCGGCGCAAAACAAACTCTCACTCCAGACTCCACCCCCGATGTCACAGACCACCTCCTCGCTCTCTTCCCAGCTCCCGCGTCCGCTCTCCGCGTCGCACGAACCCTGCACTCTTTGGGCTCCTCGTTCGAGTCCAAAGTCTCCGACCTCCTCACAGACGGAATCCAAGTCATCTTTAACAACGTAATCAAACATCGACTCCGTCCCATTCTCGCAGACGCCTTCCGTGATATCGAATACATGCCCGAAGACCCAGACGAAGAATACACAGATGAAAACAACAAAGAACTCGTCCGTCCCCGCTTCAGCACAGGCTGGACAGAGCTTCTCCTCCCTTTATCACGGATCCTCACACATCAAGCATTCGACCGTCTCTTGACCGTGACAATAGCGTATTTCGTGCGTCTTCTCGAGAAGAGAATCTGGTCTTACCAAGGCCGAATTAACCCCCTTGGAGCGGCGAGGCTGGAAAGAGATATCGCTGGTCTGGTTGGTGCGGCTGTGGATGTTGGATCTGGATCCGGTGCCCCGGGAAGATATCGGCATCGGGAGACCTTTGCCAGGTGTGTGCAGATGACTTTGATCATGAGTATGGATGAGGACGAGTGGGATGAGATTATTCGAGGTGGAGAGGCGGCTGAGGTTGTTGATAAGTTGAGTAGAGAGGAGAGGGTGAGGGTGAGGGCTTGTGTTAGGAGGGGGTGAAGGGTTTGATTTGATTCGGGTGGATTGCATAGTCCTTGGCAGGGCTCTGTCGTTTCTTCTGCATTGCATACATTCAAATCATCTTCACATATAATCTTGATTGCATCTTCACGGAATTTGGTGTGCTTTTGATTCAGCTTATCGGTAGCGAGAACCGTGGTCCTGATGTTATTTACAAGCCAGTAAACTTTTTGAGAAAGGTATACAGTATTGACAAACTATATAGACATCGATTGAAATTAGTGTTAGGCAGAGAAGCTTAGAGCTTACCATCTACAAGTCAGACACGAGATTTTTTTTGAAAGAATTCTAATCAGAATTTGTCTATTCCGCATAACAATAATGGGTATGCTTAGCCGCTGCCAAAGCTCCACGCAAGTAAAAGACATTGTATACACCCGACCCAGATAAAAAAACGCCAGTCCAGTTCCAGTCCAGTTCATAAAAAAACAGATATGCTTTTCCCGTCCTAGTCATGACAGATCAATGGGAAGCGAGATGGTCGAAAGTTCGAAGATGTGTAGGGGGTGCGAAGGTATACATGAATATGAAAGGAAAGCCCCAGGCTTTCGGGGAAAAAAAAAAGAAAAAGAAAAAAAATAGATCACGCTCAAGGGATATCGAACAATGCGAATGGAAAAGAAAAAAGGAAGAAGAAAAAGAGGCTGGAATGCTGAGGTCATGAAATGATCAAAGGAACAAGAAACATTGTGACAATGTTTAATCCACCTTCTCGCTGATAACGGGCTGGTTCATGATGGGTGCATGAGTGTCCGTATGAGCGGGCTGGCGCTCCGCGACTTGACGGGGCGCGGTCGTGATTTTATGTTCCTGCATGCCCATGTCGCCTTCACTTCCTCCACGAGAACTCTCTCCGTTTGGAGGGTGGCCCTCAAGCATGATACCAGTCGGTGGGTTGCCGCCGCACATCATCTCAGAGTGCTCACCGATGCCGTAGCGCTGCTCGGCGGGGATGTGGTGGCCATCTTCGAGCTGGTCGTGCTTCTGCGGGGTCCAGGCGAGGTAGTCACGGCGGACTTCGACATAGTCATAGGCGAACTCGCCGAGCTGGTCGTCGTCCATACCGAGGAGTTCAGCTTCTTCAGAGGCACGCAGGTTCAGGCCAGGGATGGCGTTGATGCCGTAGGCGATGATCGTGGACATGACGAAAGCGTACGCGGCGGTTGCGACGATGTAGGCAATTTGGACGTAAAGTTGTTTATATTTGTGGATCACCCAGCCACCGACATGGTTGCCGGTGTTGACACCGTCGAGGCCGACAATGGCGTCGTCGCCGAAGAAGGCGTTAAAGATAAGGCCAACGATGCCGGCGATACCGTGCTCGGCGAGCACATCCATTGAGTCGTCGATACGGATCCAGTACTTGATTTTGGTGGAGTAGTTACAGACGATACCGGTGACAACACCGAGGATCACGCTGGCCCATGGAGAGATGAAACCGGAGGCTGGAGTGGCTGCGACGAGGCCGGAGATGGTACCGGAGCACCAACCGACCATGGACCACTTGCGGGCGAGGCGCCAATCGAGGAGGACCCAAGTAATGGCGCCAAAGGCGGCGGTCAAGTTGGTGTTCCAAGAAGCCATGGTAGCGCGGAGGTTGGCGCCAAAGGCAGAACCGCCGTTGAAGCCCAGCCAGCCGAACCAGAGGAAGACGGTACCGAGAAGGATGAGGGAGACATTATGAGGGCGGAAGTTGAGCATCATGCGTTCCTGTCGGCGGCCGAGGACCATCGAGTAAGCAAGGGCAGTGAAACCGGAGCCGATCTCGACGGGACCACCACCGGCGTAATCCATGACACCGTATTTGTTAGCCCATCCGTTGACGTTCCAGGCCCAGCAGGCCAGAGGGCAGTAAACGATAGTGGCCCAGATGAAAATGAAGACCATGGCGGGAAGAAGGCGACCACGCTCTGCGACAGCTCCCATCACGATAGCCGCAGTCACGCCGCAGAATTGCATCTAAAAGCTATAGTTAGATCGACGTGCAATGGAAATGAAGACAACTTGAATAGTACCTGATAGAAAGCATAGAGAAGACCGGGAATCAGAGGCGAACCCGGGCTAGGATCAGCCAAAGTCTTCATTAAACCAAAGTTACGCAAATTTCCGATATATCCGTTGGTCGCAGTCGGAGAGAAAGCCAACGAGTATCCCCAAAAGTACCATTGGAAGGTAATGACTGAGAACGAAGCCATGCACGCCCAGATCATACTCAGGGCGGACTTTCGGCGAGCGAGACCGGAATACAGGAAACCGAGACCGGGAACCATGACCATGACCATGGCCGAGGCCACGATGATATAGGCCTGGTCACCCGATTGGAACCATTTGTTCAAGTTTTCGGTGCCTGTTTAGGAGATTGATGAGTACAACATGCACCAATGCAGTTAAAACTAGGGCGAGAGCGCACGTACGGGAATCACCGCCCAGATCCGGGTTAGTCGAGAGAGAATAATCAGACGGAGCACCGATCCAGTTGTAGGACGCGTAGTCTGGGGCGTAGTCTTGTTTCCCGTTGAAAGTCGACATGATGGAAGTCGAGGAGCTCCTACGGGCTCGCGTGTGCTGATTGGAATGGAATGCAGGAGTGTAGGCGTGGTCGGAGTCGAGTTCGAAGATCGAGAGATGCTCAAGGGCGAAAAGGAACCTCCAACTGTGGCAGGAAGAGAGTTGGAGAGAACAGGATCGTGTGGAGAATGGAGAAGGGAAAGTCGCCACGGGGGGAGGTCGACTATAAAAAAGAAAGCGCAGGGCGTGGAGTTCCAGAGATAAGTCGGATCGACGGTCTCCACTTTCGAGGCCTGAAATCGGACCTGGACACAAAGGCAGAGTAATCTCGAGGCGCGATAACCAGGAGCCAAGAGAAGGAATGGAATTGAGCAGCTAGACAGTTTCGAGGCCGGCAGATAAAACCAGGGGAGGCGCGATTAAGTGGTAAAATGGGAGGTGTGTCGAGTGTTCTGTAGTGGACCTGAGGGGAGGAAAAAAGATTATGACAATAGCAATGGGATAATCGGTGTCAGCTCCCGATAAAAGAAAAAAAAATAACCTGGGAATTCCGTGGCTATAAACCCTAATGCCTATGGTTAATTCAACGATATACAGAGTCTCAAGTGGTCGGTCAACAATGGTATTGCATTTTCTTTGCTAGATTCAAGAAAAGATCAGTGCTTGAACAGAATCATCATCATCATCATCATCATAATCATGAAATCCATGTTCACATCCCGGCCCCGATGGCCGCATAGGTGGCGAGACAGGCAGCCCTGTTTGGCCTTGGCCCATGGGTCTCCCAACCCGGGAATCCTGTCCTGGCTCGAAACCGCCTTGAAACTCCGACCAGTTCGTTTTCCGGTGACGGCCACTCCGGGGAAATGATGGAGACTTTTGGAGACCTGGAGACAATGGAGCCGCGACTCCATTGCTCTGCAGGCGCGCAGGCATAGGTCTATATATACTGGCTTTCTGTTCCACGTTTGTGAGTCTCTATCTTATCACGGACTTCCTCTTTGTCTCCAGAGCCTCGCACTCCCAGGAAATGCAAGGCACACGTTTGGCGATAACCAAAGACGAGGTTCACAATCCAAGGCTGGCAATTGGACGAGTGAGGCAGTCTTATCGGGCCTGTGATTGGCCGCAGATAAACATTGCCACCGCAGGAGAGTGACATTCAGTTACTTGAATTGATTAGCACAGAACTAAGCTCGCCAAGTTCCCGGGTGGGTACTCGGACCATTCCGCATCGGGTTAGCTTCCTGCGGATTCGATCCTTTTCTTCATTGGCGATAGATAAGCCCGGATTCGCCGGGTTCTCCCGGCTCGGGATGTTCAGGGTTCCTGCATGTCCTGCCGAACTCGGGGCCTACTTCGGGCTCGGGGAGTCCGACTTGATCGCGGTCGTTTCTGATGTTCGGATACATAGTAAGTGAATCAATCATTCTGAATGAAGGAAGATCCTATCGCTGCATGGCTAGAAGGTGAGTGCATCGCTTCGACGTTCTCGCGGCCACTCGGAGCAGAGTAATAGTCATCGATCTGCTCCCATGGGGCCGGGTCTTGCTTTGGCCGTGAATAGGCCTGGGCTTTATCGCAGCCTCACTCTGGGCACTGTGGCTGAGCATTGGAAGACCGACTACGAGTGTACGTCGAGAATCCTCTCGAGATGGAATGTTTTTCCGGCCACGGCCCATGGTTTGTGTTTCACTTGGGTTCACGAGGCTCTTGCTGCTGGAAGACATCACCGGTGCGACCTGCATGACTGTATAGTTTTTTTGTTCAATATCAAACGATACAGTCAATTCTACAGACACATAAGAAATAGTAAATATTCTTCTAGATAATCGCATGATGCTTTTCCATGTGTCCCCAGTGTACTACGATATTCAAGAAAGGAGTGCTTCTTATACTAACGCCCATCTGAACCTCCAGTGTGGGTAAACTAAAGGGGTGGCCTTAGATAGGCTGCTTCTAGAGCTTCGGCACTACTGTAGCCCCTAAAGCTAGCCTCCATGGTCGGATCGAAAATCATCTAGAACCTTGCCCCGATCGAATTATCAAGTGGGGATCAATCAGCCAACATGTCGTACATCAGGGGGTTCCCTGTCAAGCTATATGTGGACACGCCAGATTTCTTCAGGCTTAATTTTCTCAATTCGTCCTCGTCATCGGATCCGCATTCTTTAAATTGACCTGCACACTCCGAGATTGAGGTTGCCTGGTGGTGGAGCTTGGCTCCTGAATGTCATGCGAGTGACTTGATGCTATTGCGCTCTTCTGCCTGGGCCCATGCATATTTTTCTAAGTTCCTGGGTATTATGTATGATGCCCGCTCGGCAGTTCTAATCCCATATCAAGTCTTGACTTACACGTCGTGTACCAAGTGCAGGATTCCATTCGTTGTTTAACTGTTCAAAGTTGGTCCGTGCAACCGTGCTCTGCACTTACCCGCAACGCAAGAGGTCCATGTAAGCTGTATGGGATAGTGCAATGACTGGTTTGCATATCAGGTATATGACCAACCAGTGACGTTCTGAACTTTCCTTCCTTGTAGGGATTGACTATGCAACAGTTGAACAACACAAAGTTATAAGTCGATCTAAAAACAGATGTTAAAATATATTTGGTGGCCACGCCCACTAACCTTATGATCTGTTCCCAGTCGTGTATCATGTATCGATCGAGACAGGAACCGATTATCAAGAAGACTCCATATTGAAGATTCTGGACTTAAAAAGGGCCATCCTTTTCAGAACCACGTTTCCCACCCGAAAACACCATCCTAATCCGTCCTTTCGCATCTTGGCAATACCAAAGCCAAGCCCACCTGATGGCCCCACTCAGGATGCAAATTTTCAGTCAGATTTTCAACAACAAGGCCGGCTGGCCCAATGGCAAGGCGCTTGACTACGAATCAAGAGATTGCAGGTTCGACCCCTGCGTCGGTCAATTTTTTGGTGTTTTTGAGTAGCTCATTTTGAGGAGCTATCTCTGCCCGGGGTGGATTGGAAGGTTGAAAGTTGAATTTTATTTTTGTTAAAGTGGAACGGGATGGTGGACAGTGGGACAAAGGTTGAGTAGCCAAGTCGTTACATGAAGCGATAGAGCACAAAACAAAGAGCCGAACTGAATTCTTTATCGTCAAAGGGTTTGTGTTGACTGAAGAACAGATGCAGATTCATTCCGCAGCACCTTGATATAGCGTGTGCGGCGACAGTCTAGGCTTTAGTCTCCTCCTGTACCGAAAACCAGAATAAACAGTTGCACCGGCGTAAAATATCTATTATATATAGGGGATATCAATCCGATCACATAGGTTACAATCAGATCCACACGAGCAGTCCAAGAAAAGCATATCAGACATTAACACTGTACCCAGCTCCCAGACCACGTTGGCGACGAAGCGCATTCAGATACTTGCGACCCTCATCAACCCAGAAGACAGAGCTAGCAAGTAGGAACAGCTTCAAAAGCGAGCTTAAGCTCAACGGCTCAGTCTGGAAGACGCGCTGGAGGAAAGGTAGGTAGATGACACAGGCTTGGCCGGCCAAGGAGCCAAGGACACAGTAGTTGAACATCTTGTTTCCGAAGAGCGAGATTTCACCGCGCAGGATGGACTTGCCCTCGCTGCGGCACGTTAGCGCGTTGAACATGTCGAAGAGGACGAAGCAGGTGAATGTCATTGTTGTGTCATGGGCTGTGACGACGCGGGTTCGTTTGCCCAGAGGTGTACCGTCGTCCATTTCGCCCATCTCGTGGATATACACTGCTAGTGTACCGAGCATGATGACCAGAGCCGAGGTGAGGACTCGTTGCACGAGAGGTCTTGTGAGGACGCGGGCGGTCTTGGGACGGGGCGGGCGGTTCATGATGGAGGGGTCGACGGGTTCGACGCCCAGAGATTGGGCAGGTGGGCCGTCCATGAGAATGTCTGGAATGGGTTAGAAGGAAATTAATAGTTATACAGAATGTTGGAACTCACTGATCCACAGAATCTGCATGGCATTCAGCGGATTCTCGAAGCCCAGGGTGGTGCTGACCAGTACAAGACTGAGCGCAGCCACACTGGTACTCAGTTGGAATGTGACGAAGTTCTGGATGTTGTAGAAGATTCCCTTGCCCTGCTCGATTGCGCGCAGAATAGTCGAAAAGTCGTCATCAGTCAGAATCATGTCTGCTGCCTCCTTGGCAACATCGGTACCCAGCTTGCCCATGGAGATGCCAATATCGGCCTTCTTGAGGGCTGGTGCATCATTGACACCGTCACCAGTCATAGCCACAACATCTCCACGAGCCTGGAGGGCCTTGACAATCTTCATCTTATGGTCCGGACTCGTGCGAGCAAAGATCGACGTGGTTGAAATGGCCTGGGACAGCTCGGCAGTACTCATGTGATCGAGTTCTCTACCGCTAATAACGGAGCGTGAACCTGGCGCCTCGCTGACGGGCATACCAAGCTTCTTGGCGATAGCTACGGCGGTTGTCTCAGCATCACCCGTGATCATAATGACACGGACTCCACCAGACATCAAACGTCGAATAGACTTGTGGACGTCCCTGCGAGGGGGATCGTTCATGCCCACCAGTCCGGCGAAAACCAATCCATTATAACGATCGTCATCATTGGAAGGGCTGCTGGAGCTGGAAGTAGGAGTTCCAGAACGACTGCCAAATCCTCGCATGCCTCTAGACGAGTCTCGGACTGCACCGCTAGCAAAGGCGAGCACTCGGAGACCCTCCCTTGCCATTTTCTCGGCAGCTTCCCGGATCATCTGCCGTCTGGGCTCGTCCAAGATTACCTCACGACCATCCTTGGTCAAATAAGTGTCAGAGCGAGCGAGAACCTGTTCAAGAGCGCCCTTGATATATGCCACATTAGAATCACCAGGGCTACCACTACCAATGATGACACCCATCCATTTCCGCTCAGAGCTAAAGGGAGTCTCAGAAACACGACCACTAATGCGTTCGCGGACATCATCCTCGCCCAAAGTATCAAGGAGGTCCAAGATGGCAACATCGGTGGGCTGGCCCACCCAACGGCTCTTCACAGCAGTGGAGTTTCGGTCAACGGTCGAGGAGAGAATTGCAGCGGAGGAGGCAGTCGCTGGTGAGTTGGCGTGCGTGCGGGAGAGTCGAGAATTGTTTGCAATATTTCCAACGCGGAGGATAGTCCGAGCTGCAGGGCCAGGTGAGAGTACGCCAGTCATATCCCGGTGAACCTCAAAAGGCTCGGTGCTGTCAAAATGCCACATCTTGGTGATCGTCATATGGTTGAGCGTGAGTGTTCCAGTCTTGTCACTGCAAACAACATTGACGGAGCCAAGTGTTTCGACACTGGGGAGTCTGCGCATGATTGCCCCTCTCTTGGCCATAGTGAGCACACCAAGAGCGAGAGTGACGGTCACAATGATAGGCAATCCTTCTGGGATAGCTGCAACAGCAAGAGAAACGCTAATTGTAAACATTTCTAGGACTTTACGGCCTTGCAGGAGACCAATAAACATGATCAAACCAATGACACCGAATGAGACCCAACTCAATTCTTGGCCCAGGCGATCCATGGACAGCTGCAACGGAGTCCGGGACTCTCGATTTCCTGCAGTGAAGCGGAAATAGCTCCAAATTCTGTCTTGGCACCAGTTGAGATCACAATACCCTGACCATAGCCTGAACGAACCAGAGTTCCCATAAAAGCAATGTTGTGTTGTTCATTCAGCCGAATATCGGCACCAACGGCGCCAGTAGCTGGAGCATCATAGAACGGAGATCGAGGAGGGGTGGTACCTCTCAGAGCATGGACTTTCCCGCCATGACTGCGAAGGGCAGCAGAAAACTTGACCACCGGTTCGTTCTCACCAGTCAGGTTCGATTCGTCAATTGAAAGATCCGTGGCAGAAGTGATCCGAATGTCGGCAGGGATACGGTCACCTGTAGCGAAGAGAACCATGTCACCAGGGACAAGGTCAGCTGCAGGAACAGTTGTGGACGCCTTCATCGCAGATGAAGGTGTGCCCGGGCTCTTGCTCCTGAGATCTGCCAACTCCTCCCCAAGCCCCGCCAGAGGAGCGTTTTCTGCACCGGCATTTGGACCGGGATGATGGCGAATGAGGTGGGCGTAACGGGACGAGACGACTCAGCGCCTCGAGCGACTTCTCCGACCGGTATTCCTGAACAAAGCCAACCGACACCACAATTGTGACCGCAAGTGTAATGCTCAGGGCGTCGTCAAGGTTACCCATCAAAAAGGAGATTCCAGCCGATGCGAGAAGGAGTAAAATGAGGGTCTCCTTGAATTGCTTGAGAAATCGCAGCCAAAGGGGTTCCGGCTCCTCGTGGGGAAGTTCGTTGGGGCCATCGCGTGCAAGGCGAATCTCGGCCTGAGCAGGCGTTAAACCATGCTGCAAGGAAGTTTGTAGACGCTCGGCGGTTTCATGAGGCTCGAGCCATGAGTATGTAGAGGTCGATGTCTGGAGCAAGAGAGCCAGGGTGTTAGTGGTGTTCTTCCAATGGCGAGACTGGCTCAGGAGGAAACCAAGGCATTGGGATAAATTAGAGATTCTGATATGTCCACACTTACCGAAGAAGGTGCATCCAGTCGCGCACCTAGAGGATTAGCGGACAATGGACGCGAAGACTCGGTGTGTGCATTGTGCAGAGGTAGCGCAGGAGTCGTCGACCTTGACATCTCTCATGCTTTGACGAAAAGAAGGAAAACGAGAACAAAGAAAGGAGCGCGTCGTATCTAGCGTAGAGCACTTTGCATCCCGGGTCGTGACTGAGCGGGCAGATGTTTCTTTTTAAGATGCGATCTGGCAGCAGCTTCAAAACGGGGGGCTAGACTGGCGGACAGAACCAAGTGGGAGCCGCGGTCGGAGGATCGACGAAATGTAATCCTACCACCAAAGGAAAAAAAAAATTCAGAAGGAGCAGATGATCCTGACTTCAAGCAGTACAAGGCACATCAAAATTGACATGAGATAATCGGTCTACTGCGACTGAGCGCAGCCAAGTCCCATGATGATGCTTTACCCAAAGGGGCTAGTTTCAGCGTGCTCGGGATAATATTTAATCCGAATCTGCCGCATCAAGACTTGTGCAATGCATGAGTCAGCGCATTCCTCGTTTCCCAGCCTCCTGGATTACATGAGCAGGCATCACTGAGGAGTCCACCTGACTGCCTGATTCCCACCCGACGCGCATCCCCTTCTTTCTGAGACTATCTCGCGCATCCAGGACGTGACTCCAACGCGACGTGGTGGTTAGTTTTGGTTTTTTTTTGTTTAACAATTCTGGTCGCAAATTTGCCATCTTGATCGCCTATTCCTATACGACGTGTACAGCACCTCCCTCAAGCCTTTGTTTTCACGTTAGCGCGTCAACCTCTCTGTCAACTTGCACCCCGCGCCAGGCGGGTTGCCCTTCTCCTACATCTAGCACTTTGATTTCTCGGAAGGATCACTTCGATTACGCGCTATGTTCTACTCCGAGACTCTTTCTCTCCAAAACCGGGCCGCTGGCCCGCGTCTGGTTGTCGGCCAACATCGAGCGCAAGCTTTCCAAATCGCACATTCTCCAGTCCGACATTGAAAGCAGCGTCAGCGCCATTGTCGATCAAGGCCAGGCGCCTATGGCTTTGCGACTTAGTGGTCAGCTTTTGCTGGGTGTCGTGCGCATTTACAGCCGCAAGGCGCGTTACCTTTTGGACGATTGCAATGAAGCTCTTATGAAAATTAAAATGGTATGAACCTGATTTTTTATATTGGTGTCTCACGTCACCTAACCTCACAACAGGCCTTCCGTCTTACAAACAACAATGACTTGACGAGCACAGTCGTCGCGCCGGGTGGCATCACACTTCCCGACTTGCTGACTGAAACCGATCTATTTACCAACCTTGATACGTCGCTACTTTTCCCACAGAACCTGAACATGGATTCGAGCGGAAAGCGACCAGGTCACATGGACTTTGGCAGCCAGATCCTGCCTGATAGCACTCTCCGCCGTTCAGTCTCCCAGGAACCCGCGCGCCTCGAGGATGCTAGTCTGATCGAAATTGACCTGGGTGAGGATGAGAACCCCCTGGGTATGGATACCACCATGGAAATTGGTCGAGATGCTCCTCCGGCTCGCCCCATGGAAGATGATCTGTTTAGTGATTCCGGCAAGCTCATCGACGATCATGACATCCCTATCGATATTGGTGAAGATGATTTGCCGCTGGACCGTATGGATATCGACAACTTGAATGACCCTCTCGTCGATGGCCCTGTGGATTTTGGTGGTGATGACGATCTTGGTGGTATGACTCCTCGTGCTGAAGATCACCGCTTTGCGCGCGACTCGGAGAGCCCTCTTTCGGACGCCGGATCTGTCCAGATGACCCAACTCGAGGAAGAATTTAACCGTGATGTCTCTGCTACCCCTGAAGCTCAAGCCCAGCAACGCCAGACATCCAAGCGTCAAAAGTTGATCGAATTAGATCGCCGGCCAGCCATGTCCAACACCGAGGTCAAGGCCCTGCAGGCCGATCGTTCGGAGATTCTGAAGCCCACCTCCTTCCTGCCCCGCGACCCCGTTCTTTTGACTTTGATGACCCGCCAGCAGAACGGCGAGTTTGTTTCAAGCATCTTCGGCGAAGAGCGTGGTCGTGGCTGGGCCCCTGAGCTTCGTGGTCTCCTTTCTCTGGACTCCGTGAAGAGATCTGGTGAGCTGAAGCGCAAGCGTGACAGCGGAATTTCCGACATGGATGTAGCTGCTGCTGAGATGCCTGCATTGGAATTCGGTGAGGATGATGCCATTGTCCCCGTTGATGAGGGCATCGGCCTCGAGACCACCCTGAACCAGCACTCGGAGATTGAATTCCCTGGAGATGATGGTGTCCAGGATATGCACTTTAGCGATGCAGGCGATATTCAGCCCCTCGAGGACTTGGATGATACCATTCGTCCCGTTGACAACGAGGCTGTCTCTTTGGGTACCAAACACGCCGTCCACGTCCTACGTGAGCAGCTCGGCGACTCGGAACAGAAGAAGGGTGTGCTCTTCCAGGACCTTCTCCCGGAGAAGCGCGCCACCAAAGCCGACGCGACTAAGATGTTCTTCGAGGTTCTGGTGCTGGCCACTAAGGACGCCGTCAAAGTAGAGCAGACAACCAAGTCAATTGGTGCTCCCCTCAAGATCAAGGGCAAGCAGGCCCTCTGGGGCTCATGGGCCGAGGAAAATGTCGCCGGTGCTGCCAGCCAGCTGACCCAGGTTTTGTAAATGGGACACCTGTCCAAAAATACGGGATATACTGGCGCACCTTCCATTCATGTACAGCTGAGTTTGGGATGGTCTATGGGTTTCTGGAAGATCCAGTAATTGAGGTAGCATCATTTAGATGACTATTTGGAGTTCTTGGACTGGTCTGGAGAAACGGGGCGATTGCTTTGCAGGATTATTTACACCGGAGTGTGATTGTTTAACGGTTGACCGTGGTGCTATGACTAGATAATTGATCATTCCAACAAGAAACAGCTGAAAAACTGATCCACATTTGTCCCGTAAATTTCCAAATAAGTCAATGCATGTGGAGGCCTTCAAGCGGAGCATGCCATGTGCGAGATGACAGGTCTTGGCTGCACATGCAAGGACTTGTTACTTAGTCCACACACATCTAGCTACTCGCAAGTAGTCCAATTGATGCCTGGCAAAGAATCAAACTGGGCTCTATTGTTCAATGTGTACGTATAGCTTGGCCAAGCACCCGGCGAACCGGATACTCATTTCCGATGATAGCACCGTCACACTAGAGCCAAGCATATTGCTTTCGCTGAAGTATACCCGCAAAATGCCTAAAGCAATAATAAAAAATAGATTTAAAGGTAATAATTCACCGTTGTAACAAAACCCCAATTAGACCGAAGAATATTCAGCAAGGACAATTTGCCCAAACTAGAATTAGCTCCGGGGATGATATCATCTGCTATTGGGCCGAAGAAAACTAGCCCAGAACAAGATTAGATCTCGCGCGGTGACATTAATCAGCTCGGCGCTCTTACAGTCCGATTTACCCATTCAGGAGAAAGCACAAAAGGACCCTTCTCCATCCTCTGAGTGTTTTAGTTCCTCGCTATTTCCGACATTGAAATTGAACGCATGGCCTAAAACACCCCTCTCAACAATGTCGCGGCCAATCTCGCCACCCCGCATTCGCACCGAGCACGAACCCGGAACCGAAACGCACATTGAAAAGACACGCGAAAGTGAAAGTCCGCGCCGCTCGACGGATGGCAATAGCTCTAATGATGGATTGGAAGACGAGAATAAGCAATATGAAGAGGATGGAACTTTTGCGCCGATTGCGTGCCCTACGACGCACGAGGAGCGCGGGACGCTACAAAAGATGAGGTCCAATGCGTCGCGGTCGTTGGAGCGGAGTTGGTCGTTGAATGATGGGGTCAGTATTGGCGGGGAGAAATTTGAGGAGAGCGCTGAGGATGGAGGGGATAATGGGTTTGTTGTTGGGTGGGAGGAAGGGGATGTGATGTATCCGAGGAATATGAGTAAGGCGCGGAAGTGGTTGATTGTCATCATTGTATCGATGGGGTCACTTTGTGTGTGAGTACACTCTTTTTATTTATTTTTTTGTTCTTTTCTTTCGAGGCTTGGGTCGGTGCTGACTTGGATAGGACCTGTACGTCATCGATGTACACCACGACGTATACTCAGTTGATGAAAGAGTTTGGGTGCTCACAGGAGGTCACGACTTTGGGATTGTCCTTTTTTATCTGGGGCCTTGGTTAGTATCTGCGGATCTGGTGTTTGGGGTCATTATTAACGATGCTCTAGGAGTGGGTCCGCTTTTCCTGAGTCCTTTATCTGAGGTATTGTCAATTTCTTGAGAACAAAGGATAGAAGATTGACGCTGAACAGTTCTATGGCCGGAGAAACATCTATATCGTCTCATTCTCTCTGTTTCTGATATGGCTCATTCCCTGCGCGGTTGCAAAGAACATCCAGACTATGATCGTTTGTCGTTTCTTCAATGGATTGTCAGGAAGTGCTTTCCTCAGTGTTGCTGGTGGCACTGTGGGCGATCTGTTTGATCGACATGAGCTCGCTTTCCCCATGATGCTTTATACGGCAAGTCCGTTTGTTGGACCTGAACTTGGACCTCTGTGAGTTCTCTGTGCCTTGGGTATCTCTTCACGGAGCTGATTGAGCGTTATAGTATCGGTGGATTTATCAACACGTTCACAACATGGTATGTGCTCTCACGCTTGCTCTGATGGTCAAATGTTAACAGAACAAGGCGGTGGACATTCTATGTCCTTCTCATTTGGACTGGCGTTCTGCTCGTCTCGATCGTGCTTCTCGTTCCGGAGACCTACCATCCCGTGTATGTATTATTCTAAATGAGATCGGGTCTAATTTTCGCATGTACTGACTAAATTAGGCTATTGAGGCGGAAAGCGCAAAAGCTCCGCAAGGAAACCGGAGATGACCGATGGATCGCCCCCATCGAAAAGATGAATCGATCAGTAGCGCAGACCGTTCTGCGATCTATGTACCGCCCAATTCAACTCTTGGTCCTGGAGCCTATGTGCCTGAACTTGTGTATCTTTTCAGCCATCCTACTGGGTATTCTCTACCTCTTTTTCGGAGCCTTTCAATTGGTTTTTGAAAGCGTATACGGCTTTTCATTATGGCAACGAGGCCTCTGTTTTCTGGGTCTCTTTGTCGGCATGGTTCTCGCGATCATCTCGGATCCCTTTTGGCGGCGAAATTATGCGCGTCTGGAGCAAAATTACCAGAAGGCCACTAATAATCTCGATGAGTTTCAGCCGGAGTGGCGTCTGCCTCCAGGTTAGTTTCGGACTCGTTTTGAGAAGCGCGTGGAATCTGATTTATCTCCCATAGCCATCCTGGGCGGACCCTTGGTCACCATTGGGCTGTTCATCTTCGCTTGGACAATTTACCCTGACGTGCACTGGATCGCTCCCATCATTGGTAGTGCTGTGTTTGGCGCAGGGTAAGTACACCTGACCTACTTCAGTCGTCTCTTGAAGGATCTGATACTAATGGGACCGTGTCACTACCAGGACTATCCTGGTCTACTCTGGGATCTTCACCTTTCTCGTCGATGCCTATCCTACCTTCGCAGCCAGCGCTCTAGCAGCGAACAGCTTCACCCGGTCAGCATTTGGAGGCATATTTCCCCTGTTTGGGATTCAAAGTAAGTTTGTCTTGAGCTATTTTCATCTCAGCATGTATCGAGGGTCTGTGCTCTGTCTGCATGGAGAGGTTCCCGTTGCAGATTGCATCGTGTCTCCAGCCGTTTTGCATCTGCAGAGACAATGGCGCGGGAGCACTGATTCTATTGCAAAGTTGTGTCAGGAACGTAACTAACGGTCACGCAGTGTACAATAACCTGGGCTACCATTGGGCGACTTCGCTGCTGGCTTTCCTGACCCTGGCAATGGCCCCTTTCCCGTAAGTTGATTTGATATCTCCTGATTTCTCCATCTGTGAACGTCGCGCTATGGCCTCGAATTTCCGTTTTCACTGCCTGGCAAACCTCGCAGAAGCTCAAAGCTCAGGTTTTATTCATGTGGAATCAAGTCGCAGCTTTCACATGACATCTTTCTGAATGATACTGACATTTGACACTGTTTTTCTAGGTACATTTTCTTCAAATACGGAGCTCGTATTCGCAAGAAAAGTCGTTTTGCGACCCAGCAGATGTGATGATCCCAGAATCCCAAACATGCATAGTCTATGGACTACCAAATCGTCGTTCGCACACGACTTGATACCTTACATATTCTAATATGAGAACTTGACTGCTCGGTTTCAAAGCAGCTGCAGTGCTAATGATAGTACCAATATAAACTCAATGTTCTAAATTCGCTATAGATGCGAGAACTCTTTTACTTTGCGAGCGGCCAGCTGGTATTCTGTGATCTGGTGACTCTGAGCTCTTGAAGCTCAATGACGCTCGGCCCGTCCCCAGGATGATGGCTCTACGCCAGCTGTTGTCCTACAGCTGCAATTACAATGCAGATGGCAATGGGAGTCATAGAGTCATATAGATCCAGGAATGGAGTCGAAGGTTGTATACAAGCTTCATCAGGTACCCATTGCCACCATTCCCAATTTGTACACCGGTCATCCCCAAACTATAGTTTGATCCTCCTACAAAAGCCGGATGGCCCACCGACCCCGGCATTTGGCGTCATTAGCCCAGAACCCAAGTCTCCGACACGACCAGGCCAGTTGCGAAGCATACGAGCATCATGTGGTCTTGCACTTCAGATGGCCTCACCCTCACAGCTGAGTACTTCAAGGCGTTCAGGCAGGCACCTCCTTTCCCTCTTACCGAGGCACGCTTGAACGCCGTAGCCTCGGGAAGATTCGGGATATCGGAGGCAGCTTCGGGAACCAAAGACACCCTCAGATCTGGCACGCGGGGGGGACCCCGCAGGTGGCGGCCATCCAAACTATGAGATTCATACAAAGAGCGCAAGACATTACAATGAATATAGTGCAGGATCTTCTTTTTCCACACGTGCGCAACTGCCCGCGGGGATGTGCGATCTGCCGGCGCAGCGTTGCGGCCCAATCAAGGCAGCTTAATGGTGGGTACACGACGGTAACGGTAACAACGCGCTAGAAGTTACGGGTATTCGTTAGAGATTACGGTCTACTGCCGCGCTCCAGGTGCCGGTCTGAAATGCATGTGCACAAGGTGATGATATATCCTCGACCAGAGCTCGCAAGAGCAGGGATTCTGATCTCTTCAGCCGAGCAAATGAAAATATGATTTGGAAAGCACTTCCTCTCCCCTATTGTTGGAATTAGGTAAAAGAATTGGGGGGACACGTAAAAAAATGGCGCATTCGAAGTATATCCAGCCCTGTGGTGGAGGAGTCAGAACGTGCGATATCCACTACTAGTAATTTAAAATCCCAAACAAGAAAAAACAAAGAGTAGAAAGAATTCAACACAGCCCCTCCCTGGTGCACGCGAGTCCCCGGTTCTTGTCCAAATCATTGAATCGGCCCGGTTGAAGTCTTGCCTATATGCTGAGACCTCAGTCACGGGAACATTCCGATCCAGAGTCATCACTTCAATAACCTTCTCCCCCGCGCATTTCCTTGGAAACCGATCTTCCTCAACTTCGACAGCTTCATCTCCTCGGCTGTCCGACTTGGTCTGAGGCTCTCGTCTCTCCCCTCACCAACATTTCGATTTCTGCCTTCCCCGCAGCCGACCAGGTCCGCCGCCTCTACACTCCGAATTCAGCTGCGCCCGAGGACCGTTGCGGCATTTACCTCTGTCGCCGGTCGCGTTACTCTCGCTTCCTACCAGTCTCGAAAACACACCTTCAATGCCTCAGATCCCCGACGAATCGCCTTACCTCGAATCAATTGTGCCTCGTTACACTCGTGACTCGACCGCACGTCTTTCTTCCGTTCCCCCGCTGTAGTCGCGGACGCGCGACTGAACGACCAAACGACTCGGGAGCTTCTGAGCTTTCTTCTATTGCTTCTACAGGTGGAAAAAGAAGGTTGATAAGCCCCGGGTTCTACTTGCGACCGGAATTCTCTTGGTCCGTGTCAGAATCGCGCCAACACGTGGATCCTTTCCGCCGAGATCGAAAGCGTGCGCGGATGGTCCCAGCGCTACTACCTTGGACTTTGAGATCTCTAAATAAGCGAAGGCGGCCTTCGAGCCCTTCAAACCATTGGATTGTAGAGACGTGTCAAGTTTGGACGCGCTCGTGAATTTTTCCGTCTGGCGAATACATGCCGAAATGAATCCAGTGAAGCTGAGCGGCTCCCCGGTGCCCGACCGAAGTGGCGGGGACCGTGATTCCGCCGACATCACCGAACACTCTGAGGCCATGGACTCCGGCAAAGATCAGCCGAATGGTAACCAGGCTGAAAATGGCCGTAAAGCTGCCAACGCCAAGGATCCATCGCGGCCGCGGCGGAAGAAGGCCCGACGAGCATGCTTTGCCTGTCAACGAGCTCATTTGACTTGCGGTATGGCACTCCGATCGACATAGCATTCTGCGCCAAGTCGAGTGAACCAAACTAACTTGCATATGATTTTTTAGGCGACGAGCGGCCGTGTCAGCGCTGTATTAAGCGTGGTCTGCAGGACGCATGCCATGATGGTGTTCGCAAGAAGGCCAAGTATCTTCACGATGCCCCGGACGGTGCACTGATGCCCGGTGTGGGTAGCAACAACAACAACAACAACAACAACAACAACAACAACAACAGCAACAGCAACAGCAACAGCAACACTTTTTACAGCAATACCCTTCGCAATAACTTGCCTGGATCTCGAAATGGTAGTGCAAGTACTCCGCAGCAACAAGGACCCAATGCGAACAGTTTCTACCCCACGCCCCAGCCACAACCTCAGCCGCAGCCAGGATCCTACAGCCTGTACCAGGAATCGCCAATGAGCCAGAGCCCTTTCACCACTCAGTCTCCTGTCTCGCCTACATTTAATCTAAAGAACATCGCCAATGGGCGAAATCCCAGCCTATCGTCTACCGTAAACCAGCAGCCCACGCCGAGCACTGCTCTTTCCGGGGAGACCGGCCAACCGCAGAACCCATTCGCTGGACCTTTCTTCGACCCTAGTGACCCCGCTCTCTTTAACTTTGATCTATCAAGCATGAACTTTGAGAATCGCTATGGTGCTCTCGAGTTCGGCATGCTCGGTCACATGGCTACTGGAGCCGGCGATTCACCCGACTCGGCAACGCATCGAGGGTCGATCGGCCGCAGTGGGTCTGCGCAGTTCTCCACGCCAGCTGCCGGGTTTGGCGAAAGTCCGGGGAACCAGCCCTTCATGTTTGGCGATCCCTTACTCAATGAGTGGCCGACCGGACAGACCTCGGGCCCGCATGTGAATGTCGGAGGCGTATATGCACAAAATAGCATGCTGCCGGGACACATGAAAGCAGATGCCCCCCATGCATTTGCAATCGAGAGCGGTCCTGCAAACTTCACCAGCCCCGGCTCAGCGGCCAGTCCGCATGTGACGAATGCAGGCTTCGATGAGGCCGGGTTCAACGCAGCTGCAGCCAAGGCAAATACCCTTGCGCCTAATGGCACGCGTCCGGTGATTACCACGCCAAGCTTAAAGCAGCAGACGCTACAAGCTCCCAAACGACGTCATCGCGACCCCTCAACGATCTACGAGAGTGTGAAGGAGCCATATGCGTACACCAGTCGCTTCCACAATCTTACCGCTTTTATCCAGCGCCGGTTCACACCACAGAAAACCGTCCGCATTGCGAAGGCGCTGGCGTCTATTCGGCCGTCATTCATCGCAACAACCAAGACATTGAATCGAGATGATCTGATTTTTATGGAAAAATGCTTTCAACGAACACTATTTGAATATGAAGACTTCATCAATGCTTGCGGTACACCGACGATCGTATGTCGACGCACCGGAGAAATTGCCGCGGTTGGCAAAGAGTTCAGCATTCTCACCGGATGGAAGAAGGATGTTCTCTTGGGCAAAGAGCCGAACATGAACGTCAACACAGGTGCATCAGCAACTTCGGGCACAACCTCAAGAGGCAGCTTCACCCCGCGCAGCTCAACGCTAGAAAGTTCTAGTGGGCGCCCACAGCCTGTGTTTTTAGCTGAGCTTCTAGACGATGACAGCGTTGTCGAGTTCTACGAGGACTTTGCACGGCTAGCGTTCGGAGACTCACGCGGCAGTGTCATGACACGGTGCAAGCTGTTAAAATACAAGACCAAAGAAGACATGGAGGTTGCGCAGTCTGATGAGGGCAAGTGGAACAACCACCTCCGCAAGGGCGGAATTGCCGGCGAAGCTGGCATGAATCAGCTGGGCTTTAAAGATGGCAAGGTCGAATGCGCGTACTGCTGGACAGTCAAGCGCGATGTATTTGATATCCCGATGCTTATCGTGATGAATGTGAGTCTTTCTAGTCGCTACTGATGCGACAATTCACTAATCCGCTTTTAGTTCCTCCCGTGCATTTGATCTGCTACTCCGTCTTCTTTTGGGTCTCATGTCCTTTGTTTATGTTTTGTCCATTTCTCTTCATACCCCAGGCTCTAGTCTGACCCTTTTCGTTTCTCGCCGAATCTTGTTCTGGTTTATACTGTTTCCCTGTTTCCTGTTCCTGGGACTGTATGATTCCCCGACCTTTGATCTGGTGCTGTTCTTGTCCGTACATATTGCCGGTGTTAATAGCTTCGGTCTTGACCGGGGCGTCGATGATATTTCCTGCTTTTGCGGCGCTCAAGAGGGACAAAAATGATATCTATGGGCTGGGACTGTTTTCTTTCTACCTTTTTTTTTTTTTGAGAGAGCTAATGCCATTGATAGTGTGGCTGTGATTCGGTTTTTTAGAAGTTGTTCCATTTACCCTAAGGATCTTGTAGTTGGTGTGGAGCGGCATTCTGCATACAGATCCATACCGAGCGTTATCGACCTTGTATTAGAAAAGTGAATGCTAAATCGTGGAAACCCGCGCTTTGCAATTGGTGCCCTGTGTTCTAGATGCCTCAGGTGTGATTGCTTATCGATAGCCCCGCCATTGCTCATCGCTTCCGAAGTCCGAGCCATTGTCGCATCCAACATCGTTTACACTGTATATAGAGCAGCTGCTTACCCTCTCTGGTCGAGACCGAAATCACAGAGCCTGATAGCTGGCTACTTCTCTCTGCGCTTCTTCGACGGCTCACTGCCCGCAAACCTCGCCAAAGGTCTCCCGCACATTCGTGACGTCTCATCTCGACCTTTTGCGCCTCCCACTCCAGTCCTTCTCCGACACATAAAAAATCATAATGCGTCCTGACAAGCCCCGCGACCCTGTTGCCGGTCCCGATGCTGGACCCGAAGCTCCGTTCCCCGTGCGCTTATCCGGGCCCGTCATCAAAGGCTTTGGGCGAGGGAGTAAAGAGGTAGGCGCTCAACCCCACTCCCCTGAAGCTCCTATGTGCGATACATAATGCTGACTTGTATACGCAGCTCGGTATTCCCACAGCAAACATCCCGGCCGATGATCTTTCCGAAAAGTACCCAAACCTGGAGACAGGCGTATACTACGGCGTGGTAGCGCTAGACCCTAAGAGCTACGAGAACCAGAACGACTCGAACGAGAAAGGATCCCCTACGCTCCTTCCAGCCGTGCTGAGTATTGGATACAACCCGTTTTATAAGAATACCTTGCGATCGGTGGTACGTTATACCGGATCTCACTTCCTTCAAACTCGATACACTTGATCCAAAAACTTTGGCAAGGTACTCGAATTCCGTCTCGAATTCCGTCTGACTTTTCCAGGAAATCCACATCATGCCCCCCCTGACATCTCCCTCCCCGACAGCCGTGGCGCAGCCGAAATTCAACCGTCTGCCTGATTTCTACGGAACCAAGCTCAATCTGCTCATGCTGGGCTACATCCGGCCTGAATACGACTACGTGTCCATGGATGCGCTGATCGAGGATATCCGGATAGACTGCGAAGTCGCGCGACAGAGTCTTTTGCGCGAGGCATATCAGCGGTACCTGGTCGATGACGGCAAAGCGACAGAGCAAGTCAGCGCGGACCGGAAGTGGTTGGCTACATTCTAGCCAAAGCAAGGCATAGATAATAAAACATTGATAGAAGCGTTGAATCGAAGGCATTCTAGACACTTGATAAATATTTGTGCATTTCCAAGACTAGTCGAAGTGACCTGAACATGTCCCTGGAACCATACTTGTCGCATCCGACTCGTCGACGTCACTCCAAGGAACCCCCTAAGCATTGGCACCTTGGGCAGTACAATTCATTCCCCTTTTCGCATGACACAGAAATCATACCACCGGAAGTCCCGGCAATGGAATAAATACATATACCCCATTCCACTCCCAGTCAAGCGATTCAAACCCAGAACCACACAATGGTCAACATCATCTCCCGCCTCACCCGGCGCGCGACCAGCTCCGGCAGCGCCGCCACAGACACCGGCGCAAAAGCACCACATGCTCAAACTCAACACGGTCACACCTTGAATCGAACAGTGAGCGCCAGCTCGGCTAAACGACTACGTCATGCGCCTGCAGATGAAGCAGTGGCGAGACATCTGCTCTTGATATCAGATACGGCTGATTTCGACCCACATATCATGCATCGGTTCCAAGCGGAAGGGTTTGACGTCAGATCTATAGGGTTTGTGGGTAGTGGGGATTCAGAGCGTGATCGGAAGGCCCTTGAGAATGCTGTTCATGAGAAAGAGGATGAATTGGAAGAGGGAGAGAGATACGCTATTGTCGGTATGCCTATTCTTTTACTTCCCAGTTACTTCCTAGTTACTTCCCAGTTACTTTCCAGCGAGTGACGATGCAGGCGGGAAGAGAGAAAGACTAATAAGTGCTTTAGCATACAATCGCCCCGCATACTATCTCCTCGGCTCTCACCACCTGACATCAAGCAATGCAAATCCATTCCCGCGGCTCTGTGCTTTAATCGCATATTACCCTCTCACATCCACTGACCAATGGACACGGGACTACCATGGCGGTGAAGCTGCTGGCCCGGCATGCTGTATGACGGATTCGATCTTCGAGCCTGGTCCGAGTACTACGTACCTGCCTATTCAAATCCATCTACCGGGTCACGAAGCAAAGCCTACATTCTGGCCCTGGATTGGGCTTGATTCGAGTGAGGGTGATACGACTTTTAAGAAAAGACATAGGTGCTATGTGTATGCGTATCCGGGAGCTAAGGCGGGATTTGCGGAGCGGGATGCTCAGGGGAGAATTGATGATGGGGTTAATGCGCAGTTGGCCTGGAGTCGGGTTATTGGTTGTTTGAGGAGGGCGTTTGGGATTGGAAGTAAGTGGCCGGTGGTGGACATTGAAACTGTTTGGGAAGAATACTGGGCGAGGGTTATGGTTGGTCTCGAGGATGGGAAGGAGAGTAAGGGTCATGGTGAGGGGCCGTTGGAGTTGATGGTTATGAAGGGGCAGGCTCATGAGGGGAACATGAGGGGGCGAATGGATATGCATGAGGGAGAAGGGCCTGCTCTATTGTGTGTTCCGTCGAACGCTGGTGGTAAGTTTCTTTTTCGTGCAAGGTGAGGAGATGGGTCTAATTTTGTTGTAGGGTCTAATCCGAAGACTTTGGAATCCTTCTTTGTGCAGACTTTCATTCCGAATGGGCCCGCGAGCCAGCACATCCGGCTTTTGTCAAGGACCGTGGGCGCGGATCAGATTGTTGATGAGATATCGTTCTCTTTCAGACATACCGCGGAAGTTCCGTGGCTTTTACCTGGCGTGGCACCGACAAATCGTGATATTCAGACTGTCATTGTCGTGGTGGCTTGTTTCTGTGCGGATAAGATTGTCAAGCAAAATCTGTACTGGGATCAAGCTGATGTGCTTGTACAAGCTGGATTGCTGGATCCACAACTTGTGCCGAAGACCAATGTGGTTGGGTAGAGTGGTCTTTGGCTTTGACTGTTGAATGCATTAGAAATGGAGGTTACGATCATGAATATTTTGTCTTGTTGCAGACTGAAACTTCTTGGCTTCACGGGTGTGTTTTGTTTGCCTGGGCTTGGGGCATGTGTAGCAATGACTGCAATAACTTTGTGAACAAGAAACTCAAGGGCTCTTAGACTTAGAACGAGTGCGGACCACGACTCATCAAGGCTGCAAAAATAAGAGAGAAAAAAGCATAGCCCACTCGCACTACTACTCCAAAACACCAAAAAATTGACCGACGCAGGGGTCGAACCTGCAATCTCTTGATTCGTAGTCAAGCGCCTTGCCATTGGGCCAGCCGGCCTTGCTGTGGATTGGACACCTTTTCTGCGCATATGAGCGGATCAAAATCTGTTCGTCGTTCGGCATGGATGTTATTTGAATTAAGTGAATCGAGGAATAAGGTATCTAAGTAGTAGTGGGCTACTTTGTCTAGAAAATTTGATTTGAGAGCTGATACAACAAACCATACGTGATTGAGAACGCTCGTCCATCACACTTTCTCCCTACGAGCCGCGACATATATTCACATATAAGCGGGCAAATTGTTCGGTCGCTAAATCATGAGATCGGAATATTAGAAAACGACGTGTCTCTTTGCGGGACGGCAAGTGAAGAATGGAGGACAAATACTTAGCAACGGAATACATATGCATGTTTTGAGTGCCATAATGACAGCATTGCACGGATAAACACGCCAGGATTGGACCCTGGCGATGCTCGCGTCATAGACTTTGAAAAACAAAGCATTGCTTCACCTTGACTAGTGATATCGGACGAACATCGTTTTACTGAAAACCAGTGGCCAGCCCCGAATCAGGCTTCTTTCATCTATCGCGACAGACTTGCTGGCTGACATTCCGAAAGAAAACTAACAAGATGACATCAACCAGCCAACACTTTGATTACGAAAAGACCACCGACAACGCCAATCGTGGGTTCATTGCAAAGCTAGATCCTTGTATAATCAAAGATCACAATGGCCGTATTGTCTGGGATAACGACGCGTACGAATTCTTAGCCACGTCTTGTCCGGACACAGCCAATCCAAGATTATGGCGACAAGCTCAACTAGTTGCCTTACAAGGTCTTTTCAAAGTCACCGACGGTATATACCAGATTCGCGGTCTGGATCTATCAAATATGACAATCATCGAAGGTGATCGCGGGGTTGTGGTAGTGGATCCTCTTACGTCCGCTGAATGTGCAGAAGCAGCTCTCAACCTGTACTACGAGCATTCCGGCAAGAAACCCGTTTCGGGAATGATCTATACACACTCCCATGCTGATCACTTTGGAGGCGCGAAAGGGGTATTTGCTGAAACTGAAGCCAGTTTTGCGCCAATTCTAGCGCCTGATGGATTTCTTGAGCACGCTGTCGCCGAGAACATCTATGCGGGCAATGCGATGGCTCGAAGAGCTGCGTTCATGTACGGTGATCAGTTACGAAAAGAACCTTCTGGTCAGATTAGCTGTGGATTGGGGGCCACTGTATCCCGAGGAACAGTGACTCTAGTTGCCCCCACTGTTGATATCACACACACTGGCCAGGTGGAAGTGATTGACGGAATAGCTTTTGTGTTCCAAGTTACCCCCGGGACCGAGGCACCAGCGGAGATGAACTTTTTCCTTCCTCAGTATCGAGCGCTATGCGTTGCGGAGAATGCAACGCAATGCCTCCACAATATTGCTACTCTTCGTGGGGCTGCTGTCCGAGATGCCCTTGCATGGTCTTCGTACCTGGATGAGACTATTGTCCTTTACGGCGAGAAATCGGATGTCGTCTTTGCTTCTCATCATTGGCCTACGTGGGGCCAGATTAATATCATCGAATATCTCACGCTGCAGAGAGATCTCTACGCATTTCTGCATGATCAGACATTGCGTCGAATGAATGATGGGTTGACTGGCATTGAAATCGCCGAAGAGATGCAGCTGCCCGTTCGGCTTCAAAATACATGGCATGCTCAAGGGTTCTATGGGTCAGTCAGTCATAATGTCAAGGCAATTTATCAGCGTTATATGACATGGTTCGATGGCAACCCAGCTCACTTATGGGAACATCCACCCACGGAATCCGCTAAACGCTACGTCGATTGTATGGGTGGTATCGACGAAGTGATGGAAAAGGCAAGGTGTTTTACCGAGAGAGGAGATCTACGCTTTGCTGCCACGCTTCTCAACCACGCCGTCTTTGCCGAGCCCGGAAACAAAAATGCCAAAGAATTGCTAGCCTCAACCTATGAGAAGCTCGGACATGGATGTGAGAATGGCCCGTGGCGGAACTTTTACATATCTGGAGCGACCGAGCTGCGAGGGTATGTACCAGAAGGAAATGTATTGTCTGGTCAAACAGGGATGGCCGAGGCTTTATCACTTCAACAACTCTTTGCTTCGGTCGCTGTCCGACTAGATGGCATCCGGGCACAAGAAGAAAATTTCATCATTGATCTCTACGTGTCAGATCGAGGAGAGCACTGCCGTTTAATGATGAGTAATGGTGCTTTGATTCACAGGACTGGACAACGTGTTTGTGAAGTTGCTTCATCGGAAACAGCGGATTTCTCATGCTCACTCACCTATCTTCAGTTGGTGCAGAGTTTGGCTGCCGTAAATGTCGGGGCTTTCAAGGATGAGCAGAGGGGAGCGTTCTTATCTGGACAGGCTAATTTCTCTTTTGGTCACTCCAAACCCGTCGTTCAATATTGTTACTCCATAATGTGAGAACGTGAGAGCAGCCCTGTATAGCCCTATAGCCTTCAAACTTCGGAGGACAAGCTGAGACTCGTTCTCTGATGAGCAGAAAGATAATCTCTTATGCGCAATCTATGAATTCATGCAACCTCGGAACTGTAGACCTACAAACGTCCCGACTTCACTCATCGGTAAAAGATAGTTTCTCAATTATTTCTGATCTGGGTTGCTCTGAGAACGCCGATGCAATACCTAATTTTCACCGATACCCTCTTATATGGCCTACAAGCTATTGATTTTACTTCAAAAATCGTATTACACCTTGATCGGTCCGTCAATCCTGGCCGCCGAGTCGAAATGAGCTCGACGGGTTGGTCGCAAGATGGTAAGATATCTATGCTAAGAGAGTCTGGGACTAATCTGAAAGACTTCCCACAGAGTAGATGAATTTCAAGAAGGAAATTCTTATCAGTGTTACTGTAATTTTTGTCTGAAACAGGGTGAGAGAAGTTCTTTGGTTTGTCAATGAGGGAGCGACTTAAGTGTTCTCCTTCAATGCGTCATTGATATTAGTTCACAAAGAGTAGCTTTATATAATCAAGTCAGTCTGGCCGAGTGGTTAAGGCGTTGCACTCGAATTAATTCGACCAAGTTGATCACAATCTGGTAATGCAATGGGTTCGCCCGCAGAGGTTCGAATCCTCTGGCTGACGGAATCACATCTTTTTGGCCCATTTTTTTTCTTGGGCGAGTCACGTGGCGATGAATCAAACTGTGCATTATAGCTTATCAAAGTGGATCTTCACTATTTCCGGAGTGGTTATCGCCTTTGTGTATCTACAAGAGGAAACATAGTAACGATCAGATTCTGTGTTTTCTTATAGTATCACCTCATCGGAATGGGGAGATACAAGACTCTGCCACTGTGATAAAGTGGGTGGTCGGTACCTACATCTGGCCTCTGACAGGTTATCTGCTCGGCCCGTGTGAGGGGTTTCGGTCGACTAGCTCGAGCTATATTGTTGGCTGGGAACCCTTTGAACAAGTTTTCTGTGTAGTCATACTTTCAATTGCTCTTTCGCTTTTCATAGACTCTCAATATGGGCAATACGCTATCCGCATACACCGAAATCCCCTATGTGATAGATCTTGGGCCTCAGGGTAAAATCAAAGGAATCCAGTACGACAACAATGCTCGAAGATATGCAGGCGTCCCTTATGCTCAACCCCCAGTAGGTGCAAATAGCTGGAAAAAACCCATACCCCTCTCCAGCACCCACAGCTACACTCAACTAGACGGAACTCCTTTTGACGCAACTTTCTTCCGCCCTGTTTGCCCACAAGCGACATTCTCCCGAGGCGCGGAGAAGGATGCAGGCCCGAAAACCTACAGTGAAGACTGTCTTCTTCTCAATATCTGGATGCCAGTTGAAGAACAAGGGTTGAACAAGAAATGGCCTGTCGTGCTCTGGCTTCATGGAGGGTGGTTCCAGCTCGGCGACCCTCTCCAAGAAGTCGGCATGAATCCCACCGAGTGAATCTCGACCGGAAAGCTCAATGCGATAGTGATTGGCGTTGGATATCGCCTCAATGTGTTCGGATTTCTGGCCGGTCAAGCCCTGCTCGAAGATAGCAATGGAGAAAGTGCTGCAATTTCGGATTGTGGGATCAGCGTTTGGCGATGGAATGGGTGTATGAGAATATCACTGCTTTCAATGGCGATGTGAATAATATCACTCTTGGTGGCCGCAGTGCTGGTGCTTAGGCTACTCATGCACAGGCGCTGTATGAGTTCCGGCGCGAAAAGCAAATATTCCACAGATTTATACCTCTACTCGAACGCGATACCGGCGCAGCCAAAAGCTTTGAAGGATGTGAATCCCCAGTTTGATGAGTTGTGTCAATTTTTCAAGGTTGATCAGTCTCTATCGGGCCCAGAAAAGGTTGATAAGCTGCGCGAAGTGAATTCCCGGGATCTTGTGGACGCCCTGAAAGAACTCAAGAATCACACGTTCCGCCCTGTGATAGATCAGTCGTTTCTTCTCAGTGGCTTCACGGAGTATCATCATAGTGGAAAATTTGCGGCGCAGTTCAAGAAGCGTCGGCTGCGGATTCTTATTGGCGAGGTTCTGAATGAATAAACGCTTTATGCTACGTATAATAACCCTGAGCCGAATCTCGAGTCGCTGCGGCAACAGGTATCTAATTACTATGCTCCCGAGACTGTGAGTCGGATTCTACAAGAATATGAGCTACCATCGAGCAAGAATCCAAAGTGGAACACGCTTTTCGGGAAAATCATCTCAGATGGCCAGGTCCGAGCTCCCTCTCGATGGCTGATCAATTGTCTTAACAAACATGGTGTTTCTCTACGTGATATTTGGCGCTACCTTATAGCCTATCGGCTTTCTTTCATCACGGAAAAGGTGGCCCCTCGATCCTTTGGCGTTGCCCATGCCATAGACAAGCCGTTCTGGAAGTGAGCAGACAAAGTCCCTTTCTTCGATGTATTTCGCTAATTGTATGATAGTTTTTCCATCCTGCATAGTCTAACACCTACTGAGAGGAAACCGATGGAAGATTGGATCGCACTCTTCGTCGCATTCGTCAATGATGACCAGACATATGTGTTTCATACGAACGCGATAGATGAAAGGAAGGTCGTGACACCAGGGGAAAGTATTGAGATACAAAAGGATGGGAGATGGGAGACTCTGGTGAAATTAGGTGAGGTCTTCGCAGACGATATTTAGAACAAGGATGGAAATCTGAACACCTTATTTCTCAAGGCTACACTACCAGGCTCTGAACAGGGGAGCGAACTTATCATTGTAGGCTTCGCGATCTGGTTGCAAGCTTCAAGCGTGCAAGGCTACGGCGATTTGCCCGTGGATGATCTACGCAAGGTCATGGATCTAGAGGCACTTTACCCTGGAAACGAACCCGAACAGCGCTACCTATGCCAGGTCATGGCTTCCTTGCACCGACGCCGCATCGAGATAATCAAGGAGAAAGCCACCGCAGTACCACCTGCAGTTATGGTTCTAGACATGTGTGCCGTGGATCCAAGCTACCAGCGGAAAGGAATTGCTAGAGCACTAGTACAGTGGGGTCTCGATGAAGCTCGCCGGCGTGATAATCTGGAGGCTATCACTGAAGCCTCCAGCATGGGAAGACATGTCTATGAGAAGATGGGATTCCAGGCGGAAGGGCCTGATATCGAATACTTCGTGGATGATGATTTCGAATGTCGCAAGGGACCGCCCAACGTTTTTATGCGTACCCACGGCAACCTTGAATGAGATTTCTACTGGAGATGACGTTGATTCTTCGTCCGACTGCCATGGGCGCCACATAGAAGAGGTATTCAGGATCAGACCGCGAACTAGTCTCTAGGCTGGATATCTTGGTAACAGCTTTTGCTGTCGATCAAGCCAAAATTCCTATCCAATTCGATCTCTTTATCTTTGCTCTCCCACTCACAGCCCCGTTATGATTCATGCACACATGTCTCCTTATATCCATACATGTGACACCCTGCAATTTTTTGTTTCATCGCTCTGTCTATTTAGGCACTTGGGTTTGTCAAGTAACAATGCGTGACCACGAAGTGGCGGCCAGTATTATCCCAATTTTCGCTAAACGGCATTCATGAGTAATAATAGTCCCGTAGCATCCCCACAGGAAATAGTTGAACACAACAGTTGGAAAAGCTGAAGCCGGACTTGGGTGACCGCCTTTCACATTAGGCTTGGTGTCTAAGTCTGGCAGTATCCATATTCATACCTTAGCATACACTTTACTGTACTTCTGGTCTTACCTTCTTCCACGCCCTATTCCCTGATTGCCCCCTATTAGCCTTAGTATATCTCCCTAACATATTCCCTAGATCTCTAGCAGATATTTGTATTTCCCTCGGTACCACATCTCGCAAAGATCATCTTTAATAAATACAGTCTCCATTTTTGTTCCCTACTGCTATGGATGTCCTCACTCCGCCTGAATGCCCTCCTCTCACCCCAAGCGAGTACCCTCGTATTCCAACTCGAACGCCGCTTGCGACCCTTGAGAGAATACGTAAAATTTTCATCAGTGGCGACATCAAAAAATTTCGAGATGATCTTGATGCAATAAGTTCTACGGAGGGCAATTTCGACATATGCGACTTCCATGCGATCATGGTCGAGGCCATCACACGGGACGATGCGCAGTTCACCAAAGAGCTTCTTGACCGTGGACTGCCCCCTGATACTTTATATGTTTCGCAAGCAGTACGAGTAAAGGCAAAACATGCTTTGGGCGTTTTCATCTCCAGTGGGTGGGATATAAATCAACCAATGAGCGAGTTAAAACCTCCAGTACTTGGGTATGACTTGCGCTCAATTTTTGACTTATCAAATTCCTACCTAAAATTGAAACCAATCTATGCATAACCAGGTGCAGCGATGCCATTGCAGATGAAGAGATGGCAGCTTGGCTCCTAGATCACGGAGCTGATCCCAATCGGCGATGTCTCATTGATCTCACTCCACCCTCTCTTGCTGTCGAAAGCGCCCCAATTTCAGTCATTTCCCTCATGTTCAGCCGTGGCGGAGACGTTGGAAAAGGCCGGCTCCTCCATCACGCAATCGAGCGGCAATCAGATACCATCGAGGTCCTCAAGATTCTTATCGAGAAAGGTGCATCTCTGGATTCAACCGCATACGAGGATCATCCCTCTTGGGCACTGTTCCACTTCATGGGTCTTGGAACAGCTCTACACAAAGCAGCCGAGCTCGGTAAAGTGGATGTCGTCAGCTACCTGGTCAGTGAAGGTGCCAGTCAGTGCGTCAAAGATGCGAATGGTCGAACAGCAACCGATTGTGCACGGATGTTGAATCAGTGGCAAGTCGTCGAGATTTTGGACAAGGAGAAGTAATTTTTCTCATCTGTTAGTGGTCCTAGGACAGTCGCGGTCAATGAACGCTATACATTTCTGCAACTACGTAAGATTATGTTGTGTTCCGCGGTGTATTAGCGCGCAATAGCTTGAACATGAGATGATATTGAATCCAAATTTGGGCAATATTCATCTAGTGTATCGTTTTGCTAAAGCCCGCGTAAGCGCCGTTGCGTGTAGTATTCCACTGTGTGTTGTCGAGTATGGCCGCTTTGGTTACGCCGAGAAGTCCTTGATCTTGATGATTGATCAGGGGAGGATGGTATAATTTAGCTGTGATTCCGTTTTCGCCCTGCCCTTGAGTGCTGTTTGATTTAAGTCAAGAGTCGTCAAAAGAGACATTCTATGGTTCAGAAATGCCTATTTCTGGGCTATACTTGAAACTAGTTCGATTTACCGGCCTTTTCTATTCCAAAGTGATCCCATTACTAATAATAAAAGCTTCACCTGAAACAACCTTTTACTTGGTAGAAAAGCAGGAGCGAGAGGGACAAGAATAGTCAAGTTCAGCTATGGAAAACTGAGTAGCGAGCAGCGCGAAGCAAGGCAGTGGAAAGTGGTAGGGTCATCATTGACCACGAACAATATCCTTAATTGAATGTTTTCCATATCTTGACGTACATTATTCTTAGCTAATCTCTACGCGACGTAGAGCCGGCAATACCCCCGTCAAAGCTACGCCCCATTATCTGTATGACGTGAAGCCCCTCATTACGCATCAATGGCTTACACACATCGTAGAAGGCATCGAATGCCAATCAACACCTACAAAACCCTCAGGAACTTACGAATTTCGGACACCATCATGGTCAACTCTCCTTGACTCCGCTATGTTCTTCGTTTGGACGCCATTAACCAGCGTGAGAATATAGGAAAACAAATGAAATTGAATAGTAGGCTCAATTTTAAGGCAAGCTTAAGCACATTATCCAAATTCAGGATATGAATGATAGTATAGCTTAAGATTGACGAAACTCAATTCTTCCTATGACATCATAATCTCCAAACTCGAGTAATACTCTAGACGCACTCGGATTGCAAGCTAACTAGGGTGATATTGGCCTCAAAGCACTGCTTCTCGGTATCAACGCTGACAGTATCATGAAGAGTTGTGTCGTCACAGCCAGAGGCAGTGTAAATATTCAGTACGGCTGAGGTGTCACCCGAGCAGGAGCCAGACTCAATATAGGCACTGAAGGACTTGATGGGAAAATCCTCGACGTTGATGCAGGCACCGACGTAGGCGTTGGCGGCATCGATGCTAGGGCTGGTGCAGTTGGTGTAAAAGTAGCCGGCATAACCGATCGTGGGGTTCGCAAGGGCAGCAACCACCATGGTGGAGAAGATGGCGATGGTCTGGACTCTGCTCAGTAACCGAGCAAAAAGAGAAATTGTCGATGATAGTGAGTCATAGTGGCTTGATGCTTACCTGGGTCAACATTTTCAAGGGGAATTGTATGCTTGTCTTTGCGACATTCCGGAAGGGAGAGTGTGCCTTTTGTATGATCTTTGGACGTGAGCTCACGGTCACCGATGCGAACAAAAATATAATTCCTCAAAAGTCAAGTCTCGCTTATTATTTAGAGGCATCAGATACTGCAAAAACTGCGCATTATCCTAAACGGGTAACAGATGAGGTGCCCTGCAGCGCCGAAGGCCTCGCTTCGGCAGACTTACGCAATTCGAAAAGTTATGGGTCAGTAGCCCAGAATACTCTGCTTTAGTCAGTCAGGAGAGGGATGGTGTCTAGGTGATTGACACCACACCTCGACCAAACCTCATTCAATTCGGTCTACATAAGCCAATTCGTGGATGAATAATTTCCCTCCATATACTTCCAAGTTTTTGTCTCCAAAATGAAATTTGCAGGATACTTTGATTGTGAGTGAAATGGCAATGGGTAGGGCTACTCGGTTGTTCCGGCATCTAGTGCTCTGACATGGTATCGGGCACGTCTTGGCAAGCAGCTAAAAACTACACCAAAAGGTCAGCGTCGCTAAGTTTGGGATGAACTAATCATGTAAGATGGGGCAGCCGGTTCAATGATGACCTCCAGAAGTCCCAGTGATTACCTCGAATATTCATAGTGCTCGAGGATTACTAAGAAGGCTGAAGTGACATATCAGAGAATATAGGGACGCTCAACAGAATGAAATTTCAAGATTGACATTTGGGTATGACTGTGCCTGTCGCCGTGATCTTCATTGGCGCTAGCCTGAAGCCCGCCCCGTCCTTGTCGGCAAGTTCACGGAAAGAGAGTTGCCTAGTCTCGACCACCTTGACATAATTTTTGCTAAACCGTCTCGAGTGAACAAGTCTCCACCACCAATACCTATTATTCGCTGTTTGCTCGTTTAGTTTCACTGTACTAGCAACGCCCTATCTCCAGTAGCGGTTGCTTTGCTTCGGGTTAGACAGGTCAGAGCGAAAGATGATTGGAAAGTATTATAATCGAATATATTGTGGCCAGTACACATACCGCCGAGGCAGCAAAGTACCACTTTGAGAAGTTCACTTCAGAGTCCTACTCACTAAATTGCGCCTATTCTCAACTGCCAGGTACTGAACATATGACCACTTGTGGAGATCAGGGATTTACATCCGCTCAGCCCCACTTCAGCCACATACAGTGGTTGGTTGTGTGACCTACAGCGAAGTTTCCGCTGCTGTATGTATACTCTTGCTCAACCAATATTCTTGAATTTTCCAGGGCTAGCGAATGTATTCGCAGCCTTGACCCCTCTTTTCTGCATCTAAATATACTGCACGCCGCCAAAGCGCCGGCGTGTACCTTCGAATAAAGCCTCCCGCACCTCACGCTATGCCCCCTCTTGTCCAAATATATCGCGCTCACCCAATCTAGACACCCAATCAAGATTATGCTTCTAGGTTGCGGCCCGTTCCTATGCTTCTGAAGATAGATCAATTCTCAGCGTCAATGTCAATGTAGTGAGGTGAAGCAAATATCGAATCTCCCGACCGTTGAAGGGATCGCGTGGTTTTCTAGATCAAGAGATCACGATCATGCTAGCCAATCGACAGCTTCTTGAGCCTTGAAAAACTCTTGGAGATTGTTTCTTGTTGCTTGTGTGCTGTTAATCTCTCCAAGTTTATGTTTCCCCCATGGAGAGGCTACTTTAACGTTGTGCAGTGTTCCACCAAACCCGGTTTGATTCTGTATTTGCAATCATTTGCTGGTATGCTCAGGTATACATTCGTCCAAAATAAGTGCAAAGGGTCCAGAGACCCCTAAATCCGCTCTTTCATCGGCTTGCATAGAGATTGAAGGACGTCCACCCCGATCGATATCTGACAACGGTAGCTCCGTCAAAAGTGCTTCTCCCGAATGCCTTCCTTTGTATCGTCAATTTCGAATTTTGACCTCGTAAAGACTTCAATTGGGCGAAGGGTACTTCCAGAAAGTGCGTCGCAGACGCTGAGCCGGTCAAACATACATCTCACTGGTAAATGGATGATAAGAGCCCAAGTCCACGTAGTAAGCAACCTGAAAGTGTGACTGCAGACAGTTATGACTCACGAGAGGTGTTTATACCACAACTCGAGAATTCCCTTGTGATCACAGGTGTCAGGCCGGTCTTCAACACCTGGGGATTCCCGGCTACGCGTGAGCTACGATACAGGGCAAAAGCTTATTATATAACCTTGACGAGAAGACTTGAGAAAATGAAGTTCTCAGACACGCCATTTACACATATATTTACAGATAAAAGGTGGCTAGTCTCAATATAGTGTGCCCCCTCAACAGTCGCGTAAAAGTCCAGTTCAATTCAAAATCGATCAAAACCGGGAGAGCTTCATGTGACGGTTCACATCCTTGTAAAGCAGGTAGCGGAACTTGCCAGGGCCGCCCGCGTAACAGGCCTGCGGGCAGAAGGCACGCAGCCACATGAAATCGCCCGCTTCCACTTCGACCCAGTCCTGGTTAAGTCGGTAGACGGCTTTACCCTCCAGAACGTAGAGACCGTGCTCCATAACGTGCGTCTCGGCAAAGGGAATCACACCGCCAGGCTCAAATGTCACGATGGTGACGTGCATGTCGTGACGAAGATCGGTTGGATCGACGAAACGGGTGGTTGCCCAGGCTCCATTGGTATCCGGCATCACAGTCGGCGCAATTTCTTTTTCATTGAGGAAGATGGGTTCGGGCATATCGAGTCCGTCGACCGCTTCGTAGGCCTTGCGGATCCAGTGGAAGCGGGCCGTCGCCGCGCTGTTGTTACGGAGGGTCCATCCGCTCTTCGGCGGGAGAATGCATACCCGCCCTCGGTGAGCGTGTGCGTTTTGCCGTCCAGGGTAATTGAGACCTCGCCTTCCACCACAAACACGACGCCCTCGGCGGTGTCATCGAGCTCCGCACGGTCACTGCCGCCCCCGGCCTGCACTTCCATAATGTATTGCGAGAACGTCTCGGCGAACCCAGACAATGGACGGGCAATCACCCACAACCGGGTCTTCTCCCAATACGGGAGGAAGCTCACGACGATATCTCGCATGGTTCCGCGTGTGATTATAGAATAGGATAATTCTTAATTAGCTTATTGTAAGCCTATCTGGACCCAGTAGCGCATACCTTCAGTGAACATGGCGCGGTCTGTGAGCAGTTGGGTCTGAGGGGGCAGACCTCCCTGTGGAGAAAAGTACTTAGAGGCCATTTTGAAAGGGAAACAAATGATTAAAGAGAGCCGAGAGAGAGGTGAGGAGAAACGATATAATATATAGGATTGTCGACGTGGGGGGGCATTTATCGGAGCCCGCCGACGTGGACTTCCCCGGTACCGCGCTTGGCACTAGATGGCGGGGCATAGAACTCAAAGGGGGCACAATTTTCGAGTATTCACCGCCTTCCACTCCGCCTTTACACGCTGTACCAGGTGGTCTCACTGTGGCTTATCATGCCCGTCAAGACAAGCTATGTGTGAGCTAAAAATTTGTAGATTTTTGTAATGAAACAATTTATACTCGTTGATCATTCATACTGAATACTTCTTGACTAAGTATATATTTTATTCTTATCAGTCCTCGTGCTATAGCACTTCTACCGTCAACTCGTTTCTATAACTTCTCTCAGAGATATCCTCAGAGAACAATTTGCTACCCGAGCCATAAGAGACATGATTGATACTTCTAGTTGATCCCACATCATATTGAATTGAAAGTTATTGCACATCGATAGATCCAATAATGTGTTAGTTGCAACCGCCCCCCTTTCCCAAAACCCAGAACCCCACCACACGGATTCAATAAAGCCAAACACCATCTTGTTCCAACTTCCCCTCAGTCTCGATCTTCTTCATGCATGCCTTAACTCTATTGACAACATGTTCACCGTAACCAGGTCCTAAAGGTGGGCGGGGTATATTCATGTCCATCTTTAGCCAAGGTATGGAACTGAGACCCTGGCACGCCTGGCGCATCTCCTCGAATTCCTCGTCGCCGTATAAAGCCCCGGCAAAGACAGCCACAGGCGGCCTGGAATAGTCCATGGTGCCACGGTTGGGCTGCCCAGCAATACTAGGGGTCTGTTCTTGCAGCAAAAGAGGTATTTCGACTGCCCCAGAGGCGCTGCTGGTGACGTTATGTATAACTGGGGATGATGTTAGTGTTTAGATAGGTGCTGGCTGGATTTTTCCCCCTTACTTTCATACTCAGGTAAGTAGAGAGGCTTGACAGCGTTGAAAATTTGCGGGTTGGAGCTGCCACAGACAATAACTGGCAAAGGCGACATGATGGGTGGTTGAGATGAGTTGGTGATTGCAAGAGCTGTACTGAAGAGTCGATATTTTCTAGAGACTTGCCAGCATATTTATAGTCTTGAGCGGGCTGTCTACTAGGATGGTCATGGCTGCATCTGCCATTGGCCAGACGAATCGATTTCCCAAAGGGGCCAAAGCTGAACTTTGCTGACGCGATGGAGCTGACCCCTCACGAGTCTGGATTCGAGCACAGGACTCTCGCTAGAGCCACCTGAAGTTTGTCCCAAAGCCAATGCCGAACACCGGTAAATATAGCCGGAACTGCTTTCCATGTCGACAGCGACGTATCAAGGTATGAAGGTCCTAGGATATTTAAACGTATCAGGCCCACTCATCAATTAATTTCTAGCGTGATCTCGCACGAGTTTCTTGTGGTCAATGTCTACGAATAGAAAGACGATGTATAGGCTATCGAGAGGAGGTTAGCATGCGCTTTCGTATTGCCGATATCTTGTCGTTTCAACCAAGTAAAAGGCATGGCGAGCGGAAACTGCGTTACCACAATCCGCCAATGGTCAAAGCCGATTCTACCCAGTCTGGCTTCACCTCCTCTGTCCAAATGATATATGAGGGCCGCCCCCCCCCCCCGGTACGGAGTCACCATGTGATTCCTTTGGTCCTAGAGAAGTTCCCAGCTGGGCTTGCCGATACCAGCATAGACAGCAGCATGTTCGCTACGATCCCACGCATCATATCCAGCATGCAAGAAGGGTCTCAAGTATATGCAGTCTGTGATGCCATCGCATGTGCATACTTAGCTAGTACAACGGGGTCAACAACTGCACTTCGAAACAGAACTCAGGCGTACGGGACAGCTCTCAGGGCCGTCAATGCAGCTCTAGACGATCCTGTTCAATACAGAAATGACAGCACCTTATTGGCGATTTGGATGTTTGTGGTGTATGAGGTAAGAATTTTTTATTGATAGCGAAGTATGGACCAACAGGACTGACTGACCCAACGTTCCTATCGAATCCTCATCTCACATCGGTTGTGGGATCAGAAGAGGGAGATCGTCACTGTCAAGGCATGGCCTCTTTGATACGCATCCGGGATTTGGAGCAGTTATCAAGGCATGATGCGCGTAATTTAACTCTATATGTCTGTTGCTGCACTGTAAGACTCTTGGATCCGAGGTTTATAGTTAGTGTCTCTGATGAAACATAGCAAGCCAAAGCACTCATCGCCGGCCGCGAGTCTCCTGCCGAGATGCTGGGCTGGATCCACGCGCTCTGCCAATATTTGAACCCATCCGAGTTTATCATGATTCAAGCATGTATATTTGCCTACCACTGCACCCGCCTTTGCAGTCGAATTCGAAAGGTGTTGGGCGAAAGTTCGGAGTTGGTGTTGGCTTCTTACTCGTCTATCTTGCAATATATGGACGAGGTAGAAAGGTTGTGGAGCTCTTCATACGATTCCGCTCAACCCTCGACATCGTCTATTGGAGTGCATGCATGCCAAGGGAATTTTCAAATGCATCTCTCGGCCAATGTTCTGAGCTTTCTACTTCGCGCTTGCCAGGCAGGTTGTTCACCACAGCAGCACATTCAATCCACTGAGATACAGGAGCATTGTATTTCCGTTTTTCGTGCAACGGCTACGAGGATCTTACACGCGCAGTGCAAATCACAAGATATCGGTCATTTGCCTCGTAATAACTTCAGGCCCGGATGGCCAGACGCAGTCATGGTTTACGGTTCCTTTACGAACCATCGCCTCATCTCCAATCTCATTAGACTGGCATAGAAAAGCTGCGAATAGTGTTCTTGCGATGATCAAGGAGCGACTTGGTTTCCAAATTGTGATATAAACACATAACTACAACATCCTCCTATCTTATGTCATTTTCATGACTTTGAATTGTAGTAGGCGTGAGTTCATCGCTATCTTCAAATTTAATGCTTCTGATCTATAGAAACCTCCCGGGGCCTTCAACGTAGGAGGCAAGTAAAAGAGGATGCTTCTGAAACCTAATTATTAAGTTCGGTCTCGTCCCCGGCACATCGTTAACTACCACATAGTGGAGACTTACGGCAGACCCCTTTTCAAGCTTTCCAAATCTACCATTACAGACCCTTACGTTAACCCACAAATACAAAGAATTTAAAATCCCAAGCTACTTTGCAAAGAAGTAATGGCTTTCGCTGCCTTGTATCGCATTTACGCCGGGTTCATCAACCTGCCGCAGGCCAAGAAGAAGGATGACGCAATCCGCTTCGGAGTCCTCGGAGCATCAAACATCGCGTGAGCAAAACACGACTTAATTGCTCAAATCGATCTGACAAATCTGGGTAGTCCAGTTTCACTGATCAAGCCAGCTCAAGCGCACTCAGAAGTCATTGTTGCCGCTGTCGCAGCTAGAGATCGCAGTCGCGCAGAGGCGTATGCCAGGAAGCATGGTATTCCTATTGTGCATGCCACTTACGAAGGTATCGCACTCAGTATCTGAATTGCAGAGCTAGTGCCTAATGTATAGTCAGATTTGCTCAACGACCCAACTATTGATGCCGTCTACATCGCTCTGCCCAACAGCCTACACTTCGAGTGGGCCTTGCGGGCTCTCAATGCCCGCAAACATGTCCTATTAGAGAAGCCCTCGTGTTCAAATGCCGAAGAAGCGAAAAAGCTCTTCAACCATCCACTGCTCAAAGGGCCCAATGCCCCTGTCCTTTTGGAGGCATTCCACTACCGCTTCCATCCAGCGTGGCAAACGTTCCTATCCTTCGTGCACGATGATTCTCTGGCAGGACCCGTGAAGCATGTGTCTTCGCAGCAGTACCTACCCAAGGGGGTATTCTCCAAGGATGATATTCGCTGGCGCTATGATCTTTCCGGCGGTGCTTTGATGGACTTTGGAACTTATAATTTGAATTGTCTGCGCCAGGTCCTACGCGAAGAACCGACAGAGGTCTTGGAGGCACAAGGCAGAGTCGATTTGCCATTTGAGAATCAGCCTGTTGAACAGGCAATGACAGCTACATACAAAACAGCAAGTGGCGCGACGGGACACCTTGTCGCTGATCTCTCTACATCGACGTCTTGGATGAAGGCACTACCGGGCTTCGGCTGGCCGAAATGTCAAGTCGAATTGGGGGAGCGAAAGATCGGAGATGATGAGAATCGCACCGTCCAGCGCAAAGTTACGATCTGGAATCATCTATTTCCAAGCCTTTACCATAGGATCGATGTGGAAAATACACATAGGATCTATCGAGATGATGGAGTGCTTTTGAAGACCTGGAAAGAATCTGAATTCCTAAAGGCGTATACCTGGGCGCCCGAGGATGGGAGAGGAGTGACTGGTCAACCTTGGTGGACCACTTATCTTTATCAGCTCAATGAGTTTGTGAACAAGGTGAAAGGGCGTGATGGATCAGGAGTTTGGGTGGATGGCGAGGATAGTATTAAGCAGATGGCCGCAATTGATCTGACGTATTTGAAGGCTGGAATGAAAGTGCGGCCGACGAGTACATTTGAGCTGTGAGTTGCCGATCAGTCTTGATAATTTCTATGGGGGCGTTGAATGTCTTTATTGGGAGGTCCCAAGTGATTGCTTAAACTGCAGCATCCAAATATCAGGATTATGCTATGTAGATTGTATGATATTCTTCATTCGCGTCATTCAAAGCTTAGACGAGTGCCTTATTCAACAGATGTTGGTTGACAGGAGTCATGGCCTTGCCATTCTGCAGGAATGATATGATGTTCTCCAAACCCAGACGCTCAAACCCAATATGCAAATCCAAAGAAATACCGGCATTGTGCGTCAGGATTTCCGCCATCTTCATCTTACCCCAGCTCTTTATTAACGTGCGGCTCGTTCTAGTTCACGTCCAGACCGAAGACCAGCTGCAGAAAGCTGACCCCGCTTGAGCGCGTCGATCAGAACAGACTCATCGAGCAACTTTCCACGAGCAATATTCATCAGCCTGAAGCCCATTCTCATCTTTGCTATCAAGGATGCGTTCAAAAGAGGGTCTCGCCGCTGAAAGGTGTGGCGACCACGACACAGCCGGACACTGTTAAGAGTGTATCCATGCTCTTGTGGTATGTGGCGTCCGAGACGGACTCTAGCTCTCGTGGCATCTGGACGACATCGTGGTAGATCATCTTCATAATCAAGGCAAGATAGATCTTCTCAGCTGTGCAGCGACCGATCTGGCCAAAACCAATGACACCGAGTGCATGGTCCCTGGGGTTGAGTGAGATAGGCGCAAGGTTCTTGTTGGCGTCAACGAATTGATTTGGATCCAGCGAGCGAGCGGCTTGTAAAGGCCGAGAGAAAGCAACGGAATGAGGAGATGATCATCCAGAGAGCGGTGTCGACGACAGACTCGGTGCAGCATTGCAATAGACCACACCTATCACTCAACTTAAGGAAAACGCTCTGGAAGACCATGTGAAGCGCAATAAATATCACAAATCTCACCTTCCTTCGCCAAAAGCGGCAGTGTCGATCTAGCATAAAGTCAGTATAGAGTAGCGTAAATTCATGGACACCCCGGGTTAGCCTACCCAGTCGAATGCAGCTCCTGCACTCGCGAACACTTTGCACGAAACCGGCAACAGAGAGATCGATTCCTCGTCCCAATTACCCATTCTCCCCTCCAGTATTCCAGAATGGTCGATACACAGCAAGGAAGTCGCCGAACGTGCGCTCCTTCAGAGCTCGGATGAACTCCGGACGAGACGAGCTGTATTACCTCTTCATCTCGAAATACTCGTTGAACGTGGCATACAACATACAATTCATGATTCCATCTGATATCGTCCTCTAGGTAAAGCACGACCGACTTGCCCATTCTGAGGATTCTTCAGTGATTGTTAATTAAAATCGGGCGTGAGGTCAAGTCACGGCAATGGCATACATGGCGTGCTCTACCCGTTATGCACAACTCTCGACTCACTTGTATCCCTTCCCTCCGGCTATTTCTGACTATTACACAGTGTCGTGGCCTCTACGCTGCAATTGCATCTTGCAGACGACAATTGGACGGACGCGGCTATGAGTTCCGAAGTTGGTCTATCCTTGCAAGTCAGGAGCATCGCCGACACCGCTCGTCATTCTGCGACTACTAAAGCTGGGGAAAATGAAGGGTGCGATTGGGAACGATGGACGTGTGATTCATCGTCAGTAGAATCATCTGGCTTTTGTAGTGCAAGCAGTCAGAAGTAAATTTCCAACTAGATCTCCATAGATCCACTATGCATTGAGATACTATCTCTTCTCGTATGAGTGTTTTCCATCCTACCACCAATTGTTCGCGTAAATGCTCGTTGCCCTCTACTCTGCGACCCGACCGCGAACAACCTATACAGAAGGGGTTTTTTTCCTCTTCTGGCACTGTGGCTGGTGGAGCAGTCTTCTTCGACGATTCCCTTCAAGTTCGGACAGGTAGTCCTGATAGCTTCATGCGTTCTTTTCAGATCTCAAGGGCCTTGAAGCTCTGATGAGAGGGCACCTCTATAATTCCGGGGAGGAACTATTCACCCGGGCTGTGCCATTAGGGGGGGGGGGGGGAGCATCACAGGGCTGAGCTACGAAAACTACCGCGAGATTGGAAAATAGGATGTCTATAGAGTAACTCAGAGAGCATCATGGTAAAACCGCACAAAGATAAACACGAGCGCTCTCGGGAATCTAGACGCCAAGAACAGTGCCGAACACAAAGGAAAGATCCCAGAAAACATCAAGTCGGAATCGTGTTTAGACATTCGATGGAGAAAGGTTGTACTATTCAGATAAGTGGAAGTCGAGGGCAAAGGAAAGTGGAAAAGTCCGTCCAAACTTTGGATACCTCGAGCCGAACTAGACAAAAGAAAACAAATAGTCCACTGAGACTTTGGAAGCAAGAAAAACCCAAACCCAGCAGGGCAAAAAGGACCCATGCACGCAAAAAATCACACATACTCCACGGCCGCACTGGCTCAGGGGAAAAAAAAAGGAAAAGAAAAAACAAGACGCCTTGACCGCATAATGAACTCCGAATCACCTGTCCCAGTCCGATATGATATCCTGAATAAACCACGTTGGTGGAAAAGAAAAGCGGTGAAAAATTTGGGGGGGAAAAAGAAGGAATTGTCCGTATCGAGGTCTTGGACGCGCTTCTAACCACGAGTAGAGCGCCTCCTTAGCCCAAACTCCTCTTCTTGAAGCTCTCGGATTAGACGAAGACTTTCCGCATCCGTATTCTCTTCATCGATGAGACCCTTCATATGCTTGCTTGTTTGATTGGGAGATAATGAGGATGCCATGTGGCGTTCAAAACGCTTCTCAACCATTGGTGAGCTTTTCTTCGTATGAGATGACGAAGGGCGTGAGGAAGGCTTTTTGGTAGATGGCAAAAGTGGACCAGGAGTAGTGCGGCGCATGGTGGTGGGTGCCGGCCGTGGGGCTGGTTTAGAAGGTCGTGATAATGTGGCCTCCGGCTCAAATCGCTCGGCAAGTCGGGGCTGACGCGAAGAGTGGCGAGAGCTGGAGTTGGGTGTGTGGAGCGTCGGTGCTTCACTTTCGACAGAGGTCAGTGCCTCGCCATCTTGTGTAACATCCATTTCGTCGACCAGCGACGTAGGTGGGGAAACCAAGGACGTGGTCGGCTTTGACGAAACAGACATCGCATTGGGGTCTTTCGCATCGACCGATTCGGCATGATAAGCAGGCGGTGATGCATAGGTGAGGCCAAGGGACGTCTCCTCCTGGCGAGGCTCTTCTTGAACCTGGCTAGAAGGGCCAAAAGCGACAGGATCGTGACTATAAGCCGCTACAGCGGCAACTTGCATCACCGATGCCTTGTCATCGTTGCTAAAGAATGCTTGGTGCGCAGTGGGAGACGTACTCTCCTGCTTGGTTTTCTTGCTGGAAGAAGGCGCACCATCTTCCTCATTCGGCCGCGGTCGTTTGGCGGAAGCAGTGCCTCGAGGTTTCGAGCGCTCTTGAGCCTTCACGGGGTCAATTCTGCCATATTCGTCATGTATGCAACGGCGCTATTTGTAAGTTAGTGATTATAATCATTGTGGACAGGGTGGAACTACAAACTTTGCTCTTTCGACAGTCATCACACGCTTTACTTCGTCCTTTTTTGCCGCCGGCTCCGTCAGGGCTGAGATCGCCAAGGCGATTGGCAGCCGCTGTAGGGGTTCCCATGACTGCCGATTGAAACATGCCCGATCCCTCGAATTGATCCGAGCCACCGGCAACAACGTTGCTTTGGAAACCGGCCTGGGAAGCAATCGCTGCCAGAGAGTTGAGCGCGGAAACGGCGTCCTGGGCCAAAGAGGAAGGTGTGCTCACACCTGATGCCGATCCAAAGCCGTTAACTGTCATCTGTCGGCCCAGAATCATATCGTTCGGCTCGTCCTTGTGGCGGCATCGAATACGTCGACGGCGACATGCATCACAAGCAACACGCTTTGGTCCAAGTCCGGACCCACGCTGAACAGGTCGCGGCTTGGGTGCAGAAATCTCTTGCGTAGCAATGTCTGGAAGAAACCCGACTGGTCCTGGAGTTTCACTTTCGGATGGCTCGTAAATGACGCTGCTGATCGGGGGCAAAGGCGTTGCAATGAAATCCTCCGAAGGTCGTTGGACTGCTTGTCTTTCGGCATAGGTACGCTGACTGTCCACGTTGCGTTCGGACCGGCGACTGGGCCTCCCGGCAGCTTTCTTCTCGTTGAGCGATACTTTGGGGTTGCTTTCAATGACGCCGGGGTAAGTCCACTGAGGCGCTTTCTCATTCCCGCGCTTCCATGCCACCCAAATACCAAACTTTCTGATCATCTCAATTGGATCCGCAATGGACTTTGGTATCGAACGTCTGACCGCGTTCCGCGCATCAACCGTCACACCGTCGACAAGATAGGAGCCTGCAATCAGAGCTGTCCGCAAAAGATACTTTGCCAACTCCGGCAAGCCTTCAAGCTCGGCCTGAGAATAGAACCGGGCATTAAAGTACGGAGAGCCCACAGGCTCCTGGTTGGTGCGATCCCCAAACTCATAGTAGATAGGGTAGTGTCGATGGAATCGGTAGTTGTCGTCTTGAGCAAAAGCCTCCAGCACATTTGGGGGAATGGGGTCATCCTCCAAGTACCTCAAGGCGGTATACCACTGGATCTTCTGGAAGAATGGATATCTGAACTTCCTGGGAACTTTGGTCTCCTTCTCAATGTTGAGCACTTTGATCTGCATGCCATAGTTCATTCTTGTCAGGAAATTGCCGCCAATCACCAAGCTGTTCTCTGGAGTCCACACAGCATGAATCCACCCTGAAGGAATCAACATGGTGTCTCCTTCTGAAAGATCCACGCGATAGCACTCCTTGGTCTGGTTGCCGAGGAATATAGAGTCTTGGGCTGGAGAGTTGCACCATTCCTCATACTTCTTCAAGTGCTTGTCTTTCGGAGGGATGAAGAAGAAAGTCTTCTTGCCCTTGAGGATGTGGTAGTACACTGAGGAGCCGCCAAAATCAATGTGAAAATCGGTGTAGCAATCAGCGACCGACATCAAGCAATAAAATTGTACCTTTGGGAAATCGCCAATAGCCTTGAGCTCCTCGGGCCACACAGCGTCTTGCAGATCCAAGTCACGGACAACTTTGGGCCGCTTGATGAGCCTGCCCAACTTACTTTGAGACACTTCAAGACTGATGACGTTCCGGACGACCTTGTTGGGTTCGTTGCTTTCATAATAATCTGCCCACTTCTGCATGTTCCACCTCTTGTCCTCGCCTTGTTGTGATTTGACGTCGATTACTTCCACTTTCTCTTCCGGGCCATACAGCTCAGCTACGGCCCGGACGGTGAGTCCCTGCGGGATGACCATGTCCAGCTGGTCCTGACCACAGTCGACTGTTTCCCGGAGATCTGTTTCTTGTTCTGAAACATGGTCGAGTAAGTCATCAAACATTTCTTGTGATGAAGCCTCTTTCACAAGATCTTCAAAATCCACATCAACCTCAGGAACTGGTTCACGGTTGTTCCAGCAAGCAGGAATCACAACCGGCTCTGTCCATCCATTGCCACGCTCAAAGTATTCGGCCGTGACTAACTCTGGTTTCATTCGAGGAAAGTTCTCTGGAGTGAATTGGATTCTGCCTTGGCGAATGGGTTCCAAATAGTGGTGTTCTAAAGAATCTGTAGCCGCCTTGACAAGACCTTGGTTGAGACCGGCATAGTCAATTGCCGTACGGGCGCGTGAGGACTTCCGCACAAATGTAGTCTGGCCATGGAGTGGCCGACAGTCGCGGCAGATGAATTTGTCGACAGTGCGGATCTCTCGGTCGTTTTTGAACCCGGCACAAACGATATGAAACCAGCGCTTGCATCCATCGCAACCAATCCACGTGTCTTCGTCCTGCTCCTCAGTTTCGACAGGGATCCTCACAAGATGGCATGCGGCGCAGCTTGCCTGGTTCGAATCACTTTCTTGCTCTTCGACTTTCGGAGTAGAATCAAGTGACTTCTGGAACACATGGGATTGAGCAGCGGCAGGTCGATGGTCCTCGTATTCAGCACAGCGAGGTCTTTCCGTTGATGAAGTCCAGAGGCTATTCTCAATTTCGTCCTCCCATACAATGGGAGGTAATGTTCCCGCGCTGGTTGTTGGGCGTATACCGTTGATCACAGGGCGTGAAAGAAAAGTCGACCCATCCGATTGGGATCTCATGCGCGACGGACCATGGTCATCTGGGTGATGAGCAGATTTCACATCATCCGATCCACCATAGCTTCCACTGGCGAAGCCCACGCGATTATGCCGCATTCCATCACTTCCATAGTGGTAGTGAGTTTCGTCAATGCTGACTCGCTTGGTGTGGCCGGGTTGAAAATTCGCAGGTCGGGCAAAATTGAGCAAAAGCTCTGCGTCGGTTGTCATACTCTCCAGGATATTCGGGTGGGTTGCGTTCGAGAGTGCGTCCTGAGACCGTTGCGGCGACGGGATCCGCTCCGAACGAGAGCGTTTTGCGGCCCGTTCGTGGTTGACAATCCCGAGGGGGAATAAGGGCTTGTTTAATCGGGATGAAGGAGATGGTGGGAGACTGGGAAGTGGTGCAAAGGTAGGGCTGGTTGCAAGGGCGATCGTCGCGAGGGTATCAATGGTCGAGCTCGACCGGCCGTGACCCGACCGATAATGCGAATTCCCATCGGTAGTCACACTCTGACTGGGATTAAATGGGGCCTGGTCGCGATCAAGGCTGGTAGCCCGACCGACGACGCGCTCAATCCTTGATGCTCGAAATTCTGCGGTGGACGGTGTGATGGGCTCGACAGCGCGTCGCGGAGGGGACGGCGTGCGGTACTGCGGCGGGCGCTCACCCAGTGGGGACAGAAAAGACGCCGCGCTCATCATTTTCGCACACTCAGGCTGTGCCGAGCCGATGAGAATGTTGTAGGAGGGGTCAGAGGCGCGAAGTTTTGCGATTGCGGCAGGTGGGTGCAAAGCGGGGATCATGGACCACACGGACTAGCGAGAGGCCGTCGCGGAGGAGAGGAGAGTCATTCCTGGCACAGACATGCGCACAAGAGGCCGCGAGATGCACCGAGATATTCGATGGCCGATTCGGGGAGGGCGTGGGCGAAGGAAACGAGTCGCGGAGTCTAGTTGAGGGGGGGTCTGGAGTTCAGCGGCGGGAGGACAAAGGCGCCGAGGAGTCGCCGCGCAGCCCGTAGACTGCAAGAGAGTCGGATCGAGTGCTATCCAGTCAGCAGGCGTAGAATCCCGCGAACTGGATGACGAGCGGAGGTTGTGCGAATGGATGGAGCGCTCCGTGAAAGGAGGGGAATGATGAGCGCAAGGTGTAGGCGAAGTGAGAGAGTGGGAAGTCAAGTAGGTCAGGTATGTACGCGGGACCGCTGCGGCCGACGAAGTGCTTCTGCACCTTGAGTCTTTTTTTAAAATCAATGCCAGTTCTCAGAGGGTGAGAAACCGGTCCGCGATCGATTGTGTTCGGTGGGAAAAAGTGAAGGGCGAAAGACAGCCTCTAATGCCCCGAAGCTCTAGTTGCGACGAGAGCGTCGCCGCCGAGCTGTGTCATGAATACAGTCAGATACTGTATGTAATGGCATCAATGGTGGTATCACGTGGGATTTTCTGTTAGGTACGGTAAATCTTAGGTCATCTTGCACGCATCTGGAATACGCTAAACCGCATTGGGTGCCAAGGCGACCTCGTGCTTTCTGCGTGTGTTCGCTCTTCTCTCCTCTTGCTCGTACGACCACTGCCCTCGATACCCCGGGTATCTCGCGATCCATTTAAACACTCATATCCCCTCCATACCGAACCACTTTGTTCTAAGAATGAGCCGGAAGCTCGCCCCCGAAGCAAATCGGTATGTGCGCAATTCTTGTGCCCCTCCGGCTTCGGTGTCCAACACCTGTTCGCCGCAGAACGAAGCCTCTCATACGTGTTCAATTTGCGATCTTGACCGTACCTGGATGCTAACTCTCACTCTTTGTTAGGATTCTCTTCGTCAAGAACCTTAAGTATGTTCATCCGAGTCGCCAGTCACCCCGCCGCCCATGCTCGTCGCGTGCCCTTGCATTTGACACATGCAAGCCCAATGAAGGATCGCTAATTTTTCCCCGCCAGCTACAACGTAACAGCAGATCAACTGTTTGACCTTTTCGGGAAATTTGGGCCCATCCGGCAAGCCACCTGTGCCCCCTCTGATCCTCACCGCTGTGCCGCTGACAATTGGTTTTCTTGGTCGATAGGCAAATTCGCCAGGGTATCGCCAATAACTCGAAGGGTACTGCATTTGTGGTCTACGAGGACGTACACGACGCAAAGCAGGCATGCGATAAGCTCAATGGCTTCAACTTCCAGAACAGATACTTGGTTGGTACGTACGACGGACATATGCAGTTCACTGGCGAGGATGGAAGCTAACGAAGTCCGCACAGTCTTGTACCACCAGCCCGAGAAGATGCTCCGTTCGAAAGAAGACCTCGCCGAGAGACAAGAAAATCTGGAACGACTTAAACAGCAGCATGGGATAGAGTAATGTGTGACGACCTTCGACTCTTTTGATGCCCTCTGCTAGCATTTAGCTGCGCATGGTGTTGCAACGGCTCTCCAATTCTATCATTAAGGTTGGTTGAGGGGTTTCCGGCGTTTTTATTCCCTGGGTTTTCTTTTCACGATTCATATCAACGGTGCTTTTGAGGTATGAGAATGTAGGGTTGAATGGGTTTATTCCCTGGCATCAATTTGGGGCCTCCCCGCACGATGAACACGTTTCGGCAGGAGATATTTTTCTTCGATGTTTATTCTATTCAATCCCATCGTTCATCTTACGTGACGATCAATCACAATTCCCTGCTTTGCTCAACGAACACCAACGATTCGACTTCCAGTATCTAGTTGTCAGACTTAGCCTCGCGAGAGTGGTCTTTAACCGTATGAAAAATTGACGATTCAAGCTCAGGACAAATTATCGTTGAGCGGTAAGGCCGAGTGCGTCATTACCCTAAGAGTACCCACCTCGCTGCAGAGAAATGGGGTCTTGTGCTTGGCGAACCGCTCTATACTATCAATTTCACGTAGATAGGAATCAAACCCCCATACCGTTCTCTGATTACCGACGAGCTAGTACCCCAGTCACAAAGATGATCTGGTCGATGTGAGAACCAGATACATTATAAAGCTGCGTGCGTAAGCTGGCCAATCGATCATCTTCTGTGGGGAACAGCTTCCATACGGAGAAACAATAGACTAAACTCCGCCGCATAAGCTGTCGAGCCAACCCTTCATAGACTACGGGCAAAATATCAGGATTGTTCCTCATGAGAAGCCCATGGCCCCCCCGTCAAATTAGAACACAATTACTTTATTAGCTAGCCCGTTCACCTGTATCAAAACTGAAGGAGAAGGCCGGCAAGGCAAGAAGCCTAATTGAGGCACCTGCAAAATAGCGCGACGAAGTTCCGCAAGTCTTGTGTATAAACGGGAGCTTGGAATCCGAGACCTTGATGTTCGCTGGTTTGGAATGCTAAAGGATTTGTCGATCAAAAACTTTGCAGTCTGCATACCGCGAGTTGAGTGTTCCGAGTCCCGTGTTGAGATGTGGGGTTTTCATACAGCGAGAATCAGACGGTTTCACGGTCTCAAAACCTCCGAGCCTACTGTGATCTCGGAAAAATGAGTGCCCTTCTTAACAATCGTGTCGGAAAACTTGTGGTCATGGTCATTGATCGAAGGTTCATAACAGTCCAGATTGCTCAGGTGCTGGAGGGTGATAGACTTGCCAAGCTTCAGAATCTAGCGAGTGACTTTAAAGTTCATGTTCTTACAAGACCACATCGATATAATACGTGATTTGAATGTGACACAGGGACTAGTTGGGGAATGATGACCCTGGAAATCTGGGTGACTAGTGTGGAGTAATCTGCCCCGAGCCCCACCGGTACCGCCTCAGCAAGGCAGCTCAACGTGACGTCCTATCTACGACCAACTCCTCCCACCTCAGTGTTATTCTAGGCTGAGTTCTCTGCAGAATACAGAACACCACTGCCTCCTAGCATGCTACACGAGTGACGCACGAACCCCCGCGATCGATAAGCTGCCGGCCCTTCGTTACTTCTGAGCCCGTTATCCTAGCACGGGTCGCATCTCATCACCAGGATCTTCTGCGGTCGATCAGCCACCTGCAAGACAACAGTGACTGACAATCCATCTGCAATGTCGCTGGTTGCGATCGCAACGAGCTCTTTTACCGCAGCTGCATCTTCGCCGTCGCCATCTTCATCGCCTTTACACATGCTGTACTACCATGAAGCGTCTGCAGCAGGACAGGACCCAGGCGGTGATGGAAATGGTGAATGCAAGCTTCTAGGGCCATTTTCTCTCCTCGTCCAGTCTGCCTGGGGGCCCTGGCACTATCCTCTTTAGTCTACAAGCGATGGAGAGAACGGCCCCAGCGGCCGATAAAGGTCTGGGCCTTTGACGTTTCGAAGCAGGTCTTTGGGTCGGTTTTGCTTCACATGGCAAATCTTCTCATGTCTATGTTCTCGGCCGGTCAGCTCGAAATTAAGACGACATACCGACCGAACCCTTGCTCGTTCTACTTGCTGAATCTGGGAATCGATGTAAGATGCTGCCTGCCCGTCATGGAGATGCATGATCGCTAACAATTATATAAGACTACTCTCGGAATTCCAATTCTTATCATCATTCTACGCGTTCTTAACTTTCTCGCTTCCTACACTATTCTTGCGAATCCTCCCGAGTCGATTGAATCTGGAAACTATGGCCAACCACCGCGCGCTACATGGTGGCTCAAACAATCCATCATCTACTTCATGGGACTGTTCAGTATGAAGTTCTGTGTCTTTTTCCTCATTCAGCTGTTGCCTTTCATCATCAAGATTGGCGACTGGGCTTTGCGATGGACAGAAGGCAATACTGCCCTGCAGATCGCCTTTGTCATGCTTCTGTTCCCACTGATCATGAACGCTATCCAATATTATATCATCGACGGCTTTATCAAGAAGCCACTCTCTTATGACCTTTACACCTCGGGAGACACCGATGACGATCCCGATGATATTCACCGCCGAGAAGCGCTTCTGGCTGGCCTGGATGAGGCTTACTCCTCTACGGACTCGGGTGACGAAGAATCAGCGCCCGGGAAAGACATATCGTCGCAACCCAAAGATGTTGCAAATGCTCTTCATGGGTCTGAAGAGCTACTCACTGAGGACCATTCCCCGGTGCCACCCTATGAACCTCCTTCCTCCGGCAGCAGCCGTAGCGAGCAAGGCGGGAAACGGAATGCTGAAGCGTGAACATATAATAATGAAATGAACGAATCTTGGCTAGCGGCGTTCTGGAATCTCTGACTACTATTATCGATGGATTTTCTTGATGAAACGATTGTTATCTCATGAATAAACGTGTACATGAATCCTCCACTTTCAAATATTGACTTAATTGTCTTCTTTGAACCTGGAATTTGCTCATCAATATATCCCCACTCAAACTCTAAGACAAATCACAAGGCAAAACCTTAGAATCCTTTCTCATCTGTAGCACCATTAAATCAGACTCCAATTAATTTCGCTGATTTCCAAACAGATTTGTAAACTAGGTGTCGCTTTGGAGTTACCCACTTCACCACTGTCAGCCTCAGGCACCAACGGTAAGACCGCCGAACACACCGCCGAAATTTGCCGGCATTGCAAAAATCAAAGAGAAAAATATTCGATCCCGCCGCCGATCGCAAGCTCTGCTCAATTGTCATCTACGGAGCAGTCATAATGGCTCCAGCCGAGTTGAAGCAAAAGACCAAGCGGACGACCGCTCGGTCTCCCTTCGAAAGCGCCGCCATGAACCAGCATCTCGACGAGGACATTGAGATGGGCGACGAGACGAGCTCCGACGAAGAGAGTATTCCCGAGGCCGATGAGTCGGAGAAGAAGCTGGAGCGCATGCTTTTTGGTGATGATGCGGGCTTCATGGGTGCGCTGAAGAGTCAACAGGAGCGCGCTGATGCTATGCAGCTTACGCTGTTCAGTGATGAAGAGAGCGAGAGTGCTGATGAGGGTGCTGCGGATGAGGAGGGCGATCTGGATAACATGGCTGATGCGGATGTATGTGAAATGACTTACGCCTGAAAGCTTCGCCGTTGACTGACTGATACTGAACTTGCTTTTCTATAGCTCTTCTTCCTGGACTCTGGCGATGCCCCCGCCCCGAATGAGATCACAGCTATGGAGACTCCCTCCGACGAGGATTCTGAGGGTGAAATCCCTGCCGTATGGCATGACAGTGATGATGAGAGAATTGCCGTGTCATTAGCAGGCAAAGCCAGATTGCGCAAGCTGCGCGTGACTGAGTCTGAAGATGTCATCAATGGCACGGAATACGTTCGGCGACTGCGCAGACAATACCAGCGTCTGCACCCGACTCCCGAATGGGCCAACCCAGAACTCGCGGCTAAACGCCGCAAGATCAACGCCGATGACTCCGATGTCGACAGTGATCAGGAAATGGAATCCGACGAGGAGGAGGAGCAATTGTCCATGCAGCCTCTCGCCAAACTCCTTCAGAACTCGACCAACCTGACCCGCATTGAAGATAATGCTCGCTCAGGCGGAAAACGAAAGCTGAGACAGGAGGTGCTTGATATTCAACGATTGAAGGACGTCGGCAAGGCGCAACCGGTAAGATCTTCCAAGACTCGAAATGCGAAATGCGACACGCAACAAAGACCTAACGTGTATCTAGTCTTCCGTCGACTCGCTCACTTTCCACCCTCACTACCCACTCTTGCTTTCCTCTGGTCCCGCATCAACCCTCTTCCTCCACCATATCTCCCCATCCGCACCAGCCCCGAACCCGCTCCTGACCTCCCTGCATATCAAACGCACGCCGATTCACACCTCCGCATTCGCCCCGCCAAGTGGTAACAAGATATTCGCCTCCGGCCGTCGCCGCTACTTCCACATCTGGGACCTGGACACCGGTAAGGTCGACAAGGTCAACGGTACCGCAGACCGCAAAGATGAACAAAAATCCATGGAGCGCTTCAAGCTCTCGCCCTGCGGTCGCTACGTCGGTCTGGTCGGCAGCTCCCGCAAGGGTGGCGGTGTCATCAACGTCTTGGACTCCGGCACTGCACAGTGGATCGCGCAGGTCCGCGTCGATGGCCGTGGTGGTGTTGCTGACTTTGCTTGGTGGTCCGATGGTGAGGGTATGACTGTTGCCAGCAAGAATGGTGAGGTCTCTGAGTGGGATGGCAAGCAGCGTCGTGTGATTGCTCGCTGGCTTGATGCCGGTGCCGTTGGCACTACTGTTCTTAGTCTTGGTGGTCGCTCTGGCCGCACTCAGCTTGGTGGTGATCGCTGGGTCGCTATTGGGTCGTCGAGTGGTATTACCAACGTCTACGATCGCCGTGACTGGGCTACTGCTTATGCGAATGCTTCTGCCGCGGAGAAGGAGGGTACCCAAGCTGGTGTCCCCCGTAACCCGGAGCCGGTCCGCGTCTTGGACCAGCTTACTACCCCCATTAGCCACTTGGTCTTTGCGCCTGACGGCCAGATGCTGGTTATGGCCAGTCGCTGGAAGCGTGATGCTCTGCGTCTTGGTATGTTGATTCCTAGCTTCCCTTGTGTCTCTCCTCGTTATTCTTTCTTTTTTTTTTAACATCTTCTCTAGTTCATCTCCCATCCTGCACCGTCTACCGCAACTGGCCTACCTCCAACACGCCCTTGGGTCGTATCTCATCTGTTGCCATCTCGCCCAACTCCGAGCAGTTGGCCGTGGGCAACGAGCAAGGTCGTGTTCGACTCTGGGAGATCAGAGGATAGATTTTAGGTGGACGCATAGTTTGGCAAACATCATAAGTACTGTTTTTTCCAATGGTGTAGCTGGCGTAATTGATTAGCATGGTTCCTCCCAAGTCTGAGAAGCCCTCCAATATGACATGATTATACTTCTGTCAAGAGGATCGCTCCGTGTTCAATATACAATATACAATATACAATATATATATATGTGTGTATATATACGGAGCAGAACGGTCACAAAACAGTGCTTCTATTGCGGTGTATTTGTTTTAGTTTCATCAACGTCTAGATTTCAAAATCAAATGAGCACACCAGATCATACGCCAAACTCGAATGAAAGAGCGCCAGGTGTCGAGTTGGAATCATTATATCGTGCCATCCGGCTCAGCAATGGGAAACGCTCGAATGGAAGACAGAGGCTGTGTCTGGCTTCTTGTCAAAATGCAACAAGGTCAAGGGGGTATATAATCAAATCAAAGCAAATGGTATACGCAACGCCTCCATGGAGACAAAGACTTCACTCGCCAACCCCGACTGAGTCCCATCGTGGGCTTCGCACATCTTCTCCAATCCAGTCTTTGATGACGCAGGTTGATGGGTCTGGCCCTTGGCACACTTTGACTCGGTTAAGATGCTTGAATTTAGGGCCCAGGGGTCCGTTCACATAGTGGTATTGCCCGGCAAATCGCCATTGGCGTGAATCGCCTAGTGGATAGAACTTGTCGCCCCAGTGGCCGCGGAAGTGGAACCAGTTTGTTGGTGACGTGGGGCTGTGCGTGGATGCGCGTAGGGTATCATTGTCAAAGTCGTAAGTATATGCATGAGAGTTGAGCATGGGGTCCCATAGCGGGCCTTTGTCGGTCACATCGTGGAGGAGTCCCCACGGCAAGACGTACTCGTGCACACCGGCAGTGGCATACATGGCATGACTGCCCTCAGCAGAGTAAATGACCGGCTTCTCAAAGCGTCAGCAATTGGTATAGAGAGGGTTTTTGTGGGTAATTGACTCACCCGCTTTCCGATCTTTTCCACAGCTTCATATCGATAGGCCTCGCCAGCGGTGTGGGCACTGAAGAAGAGGGCCTTCGGCTCCCCGTTGTGGAATCGCATCATGCAATGCTCCCAATCCCCAACATGGTTGCCGAAACGGACCGAGGCCACGGTGTTCCCCAAATTGAAGCTGTAGAAAAAGAACCAGAAGGCATCCACGACGCCATTGCCTTTATCCATCACAAGTAGGATCGCAGGCGCATCACTGCGGCCACCCGCTCCTTCGGTGGGCGAATCTTGGATGGGTTCCTGGATCGGTTTACCGCCATAACGTTTGCGCAGTTCCTGTCTTAGCAATCGATGGGCCTGGAATGATCCCTTGTCTATACCATCATCTTCTAAGTGTCTTAAATCGACCCATTCGGCGCGATCTTCTTCAGTGTCACCGGGAATCTTGCCATCCACTCGACCGTCCCAATCGGCCCACGCCTCCTTCGTCTCTTCGTCAGACTCGGGAATATTCCTCTCACCCTCGAGCCACGGAGGCCGGGTCTGCACGTCGTCGTTGCTGGTCAAGAACACACGACGTCCGGTTTCCCATTGGTTGAGCACCTGAAGATTGTCTAACGTGGGATGATCCCATTGGGCCTGAATTGGAGTGTAATTGAGCATGGGCGTAGTGTGATACAGATGCTCGGCGATGTCTCCGGGCCAAAATTGTTCTCCGGAATACAGATGGACGAGTGGGGCATGGTCGAAGACATAGGCGGGGACCTGCCGCCGAGCCCACTCCTCGGCATCCCACTCGGATTGATTACTCGTTCCGCTAAACCAGTAGGATCGCCACGGTTCCGACTCAGTATCGTTCGACTCGTGCCATTTCTCGGGATTGCGCTGTCCAAAGTGCTCCCCGGCCGTTTGGAGGTGTGCGGCGCCACAGACGCCCAGCCAGCGACAGCTCTTCCGGTCGAACCAGGACCGCGAGGTCGCGATCCAGCTCCGCTCGTCTTTGTCCTCCTCGTACCAGACAAAGGATCGCGGGTCGACAGCTCGGGCAATGCTGTTGATCGAGACGTAAATGATTAGAGCCGACAGAGCAACAATGGTGACCTTGGCCTTGCGACCCATCTGCTGAAGCGAAACGGCATAGACTGCCCGTGCCTGAGCGACAGAAGCACGGACTGAAAGGGCAGTCTGCTAAACTCCGGACGAGGCCGGATAGTCAATGTGGTGTGTTGGCAAGACTATTCGGACATGCCGGATGGTTTGGAGGGGATGGAAAGCTCTATGGGGTGGAGGAGAGAGTGGAAATATAGAAGCCTAACCGTTGGAAACGAGACCTATATGATTGATTTCTCATCCGTGACTGGATTTACCGGAGTTTCCGATTTCAGTAAAGTGTGTTTTTTGTGAGCAGAAGTAAAAATTGGAATGAAAAAAAGAAAAAAAGTCAAAAAAGTCGAAAAAGTCGAAAAAGGACGGTTCTCGAACAAGTCAGCGAAAGCGACCGGGAACGTGCGGAAATGCATGGCGATAGTCAGGCCGGATGCGATCGCCCATAGGCCCCTCCCATGGCCCTTCTGCGTGGACCTATGCAGAACGGAAGACTCGGATACCTTACGAACACATGATGCCTTGTTTCTCTAGCTCGACTCTAGTCTGCGTATAGTGTGGTTTGGGTAAGGCTGATCTGATCGCCCTGGGGGGGCGCCAAGGGTCCTATTCAGGGCTGGTTGACCTCATTAACAGGGATGAACCGGAAGTGGACCTTGAGGGCTCATGCCTTGCACCGTGACTTACGGAATGGAATGCAGACCATATTGAATGTCAATATAAAAAGAAATAAATAGAACACAAAAAAAAACATCCTCAGGCACCCAAGGCCCAGAAAACAAGCAAATGACCCTGCTTGGCGAATTCGACTTGCCGCAAACAGAAAACCCCTCACTTAGTGACTCGGTGCTGAGTCATCCGTCTATCTTATCGCCAAAACGTTGATGTGATGATTCGACATTCCGTGCAAAAGCATGAATCGCCGCATGGATCCGGACGAGTGGGAGTACGAATACCATGACACGGAAACGGAGGTGAGATCTATCTCCTCATAACCTATGATGCGGCGACTGACCGGCCCCAGACCTTCTATCTGAACTTGGACCTCAGCTCTCACCATGGCCCCATCCGCCCTCCACGACGGCGTCAGGGTGACCCCTCCAACGAGCCCGCCAATGCTGCAGACGACGCACCTGATGCGAATTCAGGTGCCGATACCCTCTACCCCCTCGAGAGTGCTGAATCCGAGACTGTGGGCGCCGAGCGAATCCAGATTCTCGGTCTCCACACGTGCAACCCTATCGTCTCCTATCACAACCAAATCTTCAGCTGTTCCTGGGCCGATCAAATCGGTACTGAGCTAGTGTTCGCTCACCCGGACTCAGACCCGGACCCTGATCATACGCCTCTGTACCACGGCCCGTCCTTTGACCTCCTCGCTGCCAACTCTGTGAAGATCCTCGGTCGCAAAGCGAACATCACCTCGAGCTCGGGGCTTGGATTGGTTCAGCAGGGCATCTCGGGAATTTCAGATTCAGCGCCGGAAACTCCATCCTCCTCTCAGACCGTTGCTTCCACCAGCGTGCCCAGGCGTGTCGTGCCACAAACGTATCAGGCACAGTTCCTTCAGCAGCTGCAGAACATCAAAACCGCCAATGGCGAACGTGATACCGTCCGCACTACCATGAGTAACCGACGCAACGTGAATCTCGCAGAGCGTTTGAGTGGATGGGCTCGCACTGAGGAACAAGTCGCTGAGGTCAACAGACTACGCGCGCTAGCCTACGAAGGAGACCCAGAAGCCCTCGCAACTTTGGAACAGTTGATCCGTGAACATGTTCATCCAGATGAGTAAATTGCCCGACATAGTTAGAATATATGGGCCACACAAGCTTCCTCGGAACTTGGAACCGGTTACGGTGCCGATCTACCTGATTCATCTAAGTGCCCCGGGCGCGGGTATTCGGTCCATCGCGACAAGGGCGCTATGATTTCATATCTCATTTGCCCGACTTGTCACGTGGAAGAGCAAGAGGCTTCGCTTACTTACCTTCGGTGCAGTCCCTGCATACAAGCGCCGCTTGTTTGCGATCATTACAATAGGTGTACGGCCACTTGATGGGATATTCGTTGATGTCGTCGACATGGAGAGACAGCTTCCCCTTCCGGTGGAACGCCGAGGATTCCTCCTTCCCCGAGCTCCCGGCCAAAGGGGCCCCACATCACTGCCTGCTCTCTATATCGGGCGCAAAAGAACCTAGTGCACATGCTAACAGGATCATGAAAACTCATTTCTGTCCCGGTGTGTGATGATAACGTCATCCCTCCTCTATGATGTGATCGTTGCATCGTTCTTATCCTTTAGAGTCGGCTCAGCCGCCCGCCTGTGCAACTGATCTCCCAAACCTGTGCCGCCGAGCCTTCCTTGTTGAAGACTTCTGGCAGCTTCTGTCACCTTTGTTTCTCGACGTGTGACGTCGCGATCGGCGGGTCTTCCTCGCATACGATGTACTGTATAGTGGGCTGTTGGCAGGGGTTGAGAGGCCCCTTGCGTTGAAATCGGGATCGTGTACACTGTATGTACATATGGCGTGCGTCCTTGTTTTGTACCGAGGCTTTCGCCATCATTTCGGTCCCTGCATGTAGCTCGTACTTTTGCCACGAAGGTGCTAAATATGCTGTTACATCAGGTTACCAAAACATCGGGATGCCATTGAACAATCACTTTTGTGCTCCCAACAGCCTGAATGATCATAGACATTACAAATGGGTTTACTCGAAGTCATCGGTACGAATACCTTGAAAAAGAAACAATGAGGTCTGTCAAGAGCTGTTAGATGCATTACCCGGAATTCATCAAGAGTTCAAGATAGTGGAGCCCCCTTTTATCATCTTCCCGGTCCGGCAAGATTTTCCAAGCTTTTCTTACTAGTAGAATTGGAGTGATGCACAATTATTTTATTCTAGCCGGGGCACTAATTATCCTTGACCCGATATTCCCGAGACCTTTTTATGTATCCATTCCCAATTCATCGCGCCCTTGGAAAAGACAGACAAAGAAAGAAAATAAGAATCCTATGAAAATGCCTTGCCTCCAGCAAGACCCATATCCAAACGCCGCCATTTAATCGCTATGACAGGGCTGATGAAACTAAGAAGCAGCCCGAAAATGAGTGGTGTATCGCTCGCAAGTGGGAAAACACATCGAAGAGGCGTGAAGGTAACAGGTGAGAAGTTATGAACCAATGCGCTCATTTACTCCAAACTCATGCCAGGAATTTTGGAGTGTTTCTTGCCATTGGGCTTGCCATTACTGTCGATGGCAAAGGAGACGGGAGAAGGTGGTGGAGCTGGTGGGAGCTCGTTGATGAAGTTATGATGCAGCTTGGCTGGCTTGGGGCAGGTCGCTGTCATGATTGCGCGGCTAATATCCTCTGAGTAGGCGGCGAATGTGTCGGAAATTGTAGGAGCCGTGGGGAGGTGGACGACTGGTTTGGTGGAGATGGAGGCCATGGTGGGAAGTTGGTTGTGGTGGTTGGGGGTTATGGCCCTTTTCTTTTTATGTTTGATGCTTCGGTTGCCGGGTGTATTGATACCTCGGCTGGATGGAGAACTTGTGGAGTCGAGCTGCCGAGATCTATGGGTTGCTTGTCAGTCTCTATGTTTTCTGCTGTTTGAGGAGAATGGCATATGGTATAGTTATTCCGGAAAAGCCCGATCTGGCGAGGCCGGATTGGAGGGTCGGAGACGGGGGCGAGATATGATGTAAAGGGATCGAATGGGGAGAACTCACATTGAATCGAGTCTTTCCGATGCTCCGGGTGATGTAATAGGGAAGAAAGTAAGAGTGTGCAACAATGCAGTGAGCAAAAAAATTGACCAGGTTCAGAGACGTTTGAAGGATGGATCAAGAAAAGCACGGAGATGCGGTGAGATCAGAGATAGCAGTTGGGCGAGGAAGTGACGGGTAAGACGTAGATTTGTAGCCTAGGGTAGTGTTGTTTGGAAGCCAAGGGGTAATACGAAGTGATCAAAGGAGATAGATTGCACCTTCTGGATCTCCGGCTAGTTATACTCCTGGCACCTCCTTTACCCAAAAAAAAAATAAAAGGGTGGAGATACATGCCTAGGGGCGGAATCACCAGTACCGGGTACAAAGTACAACACACACACACACACACACACACACAAAAGAAACGAGATTGGAGACGCCAAGCCTCGATCGCCTCATTCTCGACTCAGAGCATCGAATCACACAGGGATATGTAGACATTCCCGGAACGGTGGGAATCCCCCGGGGAAGTTGACGCGTAGTGTGGGGAAGGCGAGTTGCACACAGGGGCAAAATTTAATGCAATGGATCAGCTCTTCTCCGCGAGTGGGCATGAGTGAGTGGTCATGATGTGCAACACTAGCTCTCAAAGGGGAGCTTCCGGGGAAGCCGGACATTGATCCCGCTACAATTCAGATCGGATGGGCCTAGTTCTACAGTAGTTTTCTGGCGCTTCCATGATGGGGTAAAAAGGCCTGGGATCCACGGGGAATCGCCGAAGCTCCCGAAGGTGATCAGGCACGAGGATCGTTCCAAGGACCAGTGTGTCGGGCTACAAGGCGTGAACAGAGAACAATGCCCTCCTCTACCATACCTCGAATTCAAAGGTCCAAGACACCCACCCAGGTACTGGGTACTCGGTGTCGGATACTTCCTGAACCCGGAGACGGGAACAATGAAACGGGGTGGAGTGTAAGGGGTCAACAAAAACAGATCCCACTATCGTGACTCCTGCAGGAATGGCGGTGGACGCGGTGAACGCCCGATTCATAATTGAGCCGGCCTGGTCAATCGGGAGTGACTCCGGTTGAGCATCCCACGATCTTCAGGAGGTGTCTCCATCCAAGCCCTGGAACCCCATAAATGCAGATTTCTCCACCCGCCTGCGATGGTTCCCCGGATTCAAGGGGTCTCACATAGCCACTATTCCTGGCTATCAACTATCGACTATTGACTATTGACAGTTGACGGTTTCCCCCTGCGCTGGTTTTCTGGGGATACAGGAGCATACCAGATGGGATAAACACTCCGCCCCCTCCCCACACCCCGGGGCCCCGGATTTTGTGCATTGTTCGGAAATCTCCCTAGATCGAGACTCGACCGAGACCTGACTGATATCCACCATGTTCGCCAATGATACACGGTTGTGTGCGATAGATAAGACGGAGCGATTCACCGCCACGAAGAAGGCTGTGTGATGCGACGATGTGTTAGCTGTCTGCAGTCGTCTGACAGATGACCGATCAGGAACCCTCCATTGGCTCTGGCGTGTCGGGACAGCAGCCGTACCATAGGGGGCTAGCTGCGTCAATTCACGGACATTCCAGGCCAGTTCGAACCATGGACCTTCGTGCCTTAGGCATAGGACAGGGCAAGGGCTGGGGTACGCAGGGGAGATGTCTCTCCAGGTATCCAGCTTGCGGAGACGATGCTCGAATTGAAGAGGAATGTCTGGAGACACGAGGATCAGGACCGTGCGAGGCATGGTCGAAAACCATACGAGTTTGCTGTCACGTCTTACTCACTGGCTCAGGTGGTATTTGCGATGAGAACCTGGGTAGATGTACTTCCAAGAGTTGTCTGTGCCAACTCAGGCCAGTCGTCAGCCGACCAATTCCTGGATTTGGTCCGAGGGTGGCCCCTTGATGTCATCCCCTGATCCATTGCATAATCAGGAGGAGGCCGAAGCATCGTCACGAAGTCCATTTTCTGGACTCGGTGGAATATGGATATGGAACCCTGGAACATGGGATATGGAACTTGAACCATGGACATGAAAGTCCGCTTCGTCTGGGGTATCCGTCCTGGGTAGTGCCTCAGGCAGATCGGAAGAACAGATTTTTCCTTTCCCTCCCCAAGAAGATAAGCCTATTACCTCATCAACGAATTTCGGAATCTTCTTCCAATGGCAGTGGCGCCGAGGGGCCGATATCACGTAAAGCCCCGTCGGTCCTTGGGGTGTTGCAGACTCTGTCGGTCCCAACGAGGCCATGGGGCTCGCCATGATTCGTTGGCAGATAGAACGTGCGAGATAGCTGGATCGCATCAGCGCCGACTAGCCTTCTTTTACCCCGCAACTCACGACGATCCAGGTACCAGAGCCCCTCCGGTTGGAGACGTGGCCGGCCCGGTCATATTCTCTGCGTAATAGCCTTGGTTATGTACTTCCCAGGGCGAAAATCCCCCGGACTTTGAGGATCGATAGACGATAAGACTGCAATTGAGCAATTGAGGCATTTACGGTGATTGGAACCCCGTCCAGGCGTCATGACACATCGCTTTCGATCACCTCATGTTGAGTAATATGGGGAAGCAACTGTCGGAGTCGACTAGTACGAGTTTCACAGCAGTTGACGTGCTCAGGTGACCTTTGTTAATGCCTTCTTTTATATCCACTTTCCCTTTTTTCGTTGTTCGGTATTTTTAGATGTGGAATACTATTCACGAATTGAGTCACCTGAGCGGCATTTTCGACCTCATTGAACCCCTATGAGGCGATACGCGACGTCCGGCGTAGTAGAATTCTCGTCTCAGCCACACCCCGGGGAAGCCAGTGAGGCAATTATTTCTCTATTTTCGGCCCGCATGACGCAGCGGGATTTTTTTTCAGTCGGCTTTGCCCTCGGAAGGAGGGGCATTGGCTACCAATCAGCGCGCCATTGACCGCCGACTCTTAGTCACGTTCTGATGGAGGGGGGAACGAGAGGAGGAATGAGCGTTAGCCCGGTGGAGTCTTCCATGCGGATCAAGGGCTTCGAGACCGCGGTCACGATGGAGTCGTGGAGTGACCGCACGCCTAGCATCGGTTATGACTGGACACGGCGCCGTGCTGTGTCAGAGAAACTCGCTGGTTTGGCTTCCTGGTCTTGCCATCCTGTTTTGGTGTTTTCTCAGTATTTAAGAAACCTGGGATTCCCCGGACTTTTCAGAACGAACACAAAGTACCCTATCTAAACTACGATCGACGGTAGATGGCGTCGGTGAGTACTCCTTGCATCTTATCATCGTACAAAGCGTTCAACATCTTCAAACCCCCTCGATGACTTAAGCGATAAGCATTGTTGCTTATCTGTCCACGTGCCACCAACTGACCGCGGTTCCCTCGCAGACTTCTTCTTCTTCTTTTCTTCGTGTTTAGAGTCTCCAAAGACAAATCATGTCGTCTCCCGCGCCTATTACTCCTCCGTCGGAGACCGCCAATGGCGCCCCACTGCCCTCCCGGCCGCAACCCAAGATGTTCAGCAGCCAGGATGGGAGCTCTGGCACAGGCACTCCGATCGGTTTCCAGCGTTACCCCCACAACAAGCACCTGGACCATGTCGTCGGGCAGGCCCTGCGACAGCCCTCGCCTCAGCCGACCCATCTGGGTATTCCCGGCACCCCAGGCCACAGCCCTCATCGAATTTTGTCCGAGGAGGACCCCGGCTACATCGCCGCCACCTTCGAGGGCAAGCAGAAGCAGATGGAGCAGGGTTTGTCAAACCCGCCAATTCACAAGATCAATGCATTCAGCTAATTAACGACAGTGATGGATCAATTGGAGGAGAAGGGTTTCTTCCCCAGTGACTTCGTCGTCTCCGAGACGACGTGGTTCTACAACATGCTTGGCATTGACGACACCTACTTCCAGACCGAGACCGTGGATGCCATTGTTACCCAGATCCTGTCTCTCTATGCCGCCAAGGTCGCCGCTTATGCACGTGATGACAAGCAGCTGGAGATTCGCTTGGACAAGGAGGCAGAAGATCATGCGGTCTACATTGATACCAGCCGGCCCGGTGTGTCCACCGTGGACGGTCCCCGCTACGAGCAGCGCATTGATGAGAAGTACATCAACACCTCCAAGGGTCCCAACAGCTACCGTGTGGAGACCTTCCGCTCCCCTACCACCCTCCCTGGTGACAATGGACAGCAGCTGCGCTGCTACTTCGTGTATAAGTGCCAGTTCGCCAACCCCACTCCTTCTCCCGATGAAACCAACATCGATATCATCGGTGAGAAGCGTTTCTTGCAAAAGGCAACCCCCAACACCAAGGCCATCTACCAGGAGATCATCTCCACGGCCGTCGGCCGTCATGGCCCGGTCATTGAGATGTTCGAGATCGAGGGCAGCCGGGAGAAGCGCCTGGTGATTGCCTACCGTCAGGGCTCCGCCATGGGTCTCTTCAGTGCTCTATCTGATCTGTACCACTACTACCGCTTGACCAGCTCGCGCAAGTACCTTGAGAATTTCTCCAACGGCATCACCGTCATTTCTCTCTACCTTCGCCCCTCGGACAACGCCGAGATCTCAGCCAAGTACCCCCCAATTGAGGCTGCCATCCACCAGATCATGAAAGAGGCTTCGCTCCTTTACTGTATCCCCCAGAACCGCTTCCAGGGACACTTTGCCACCGGCCGCCTCAGTCTTCAGGAGACTATTTACGCTCACTGCGCTTGGGTTTTCGTGCAGCAGTTCTTGAACCGTCTGGGTTCCGAGTACACCTCTCTGTCCGCCCTCCTGGACACCAACAACAGTGTCCACGCGGAGTTGCTTTCCAAGATCAAGAAGCGTCTGCGTACGGAAACATTTACCGCTGACTACATCTTTGAGATCATCAACAACTATCCGGAGCTCATTCACAAGCTCTATCTGGACTTCGCCAACACTCACTATGTACAGATTCAGGGCGGTCCCACTGGTGATGACTTCCTGCCCACGCTCAGTTATCTACGTCTCCAGGTTGATGAGGTGCTGGACGACAAGAAGCTGAAGGCCCTCATTCGCGGTACAGCTGTCAATGAGCATGACGAGATGGTCATGAACTCTTTCCGCATCTTCAACAACTCCATCCTCAAGACCAACTTCTTCACCCCTACCAAGGTGGCCTTGAGCTTCCGCTTGAAGCCGGACTTCTTGCCTGAGCACGAGTACCCCCAGCCTCTGTACGGCATGTTCCTGGTGATCAGCTCCGAGTTCCGTGGCTTCCACTTGCGCTTCCGTGACATTGCTCGCGGTGGCATTCGTATCGTCAAGAGTCGTAACAAGGAAGCTTACGGCATCAATGCTCGGTCCATGTTCGACGAGAACTACAACTTGGCCAACACCCAGCAGCGCAAGAACAAGGATATTCCTGAGGGCGGTGCCAAGGGTGTTATCCTCTTGGACGTGAACCACCAGGACAAGGCGCGGGTCGCCTTCGAGAAGTACATTGATAGTATCATGGATCTGCTGTTGCCCCCCGTTAGCCCTGGTATTAAGGATCCCATCGTGGATCTGCACGGTCAGGATGAGATCCTCTTCATGGGACCTGACGAGAACACCGCTGAACTGGTTGACTGGGCTACTGAGCATGCTCGCGCCCGTGGCGCTCCCTGGTGGAAGTCCTTCTTCACCGGCAAGAGCCCCAAGCTTGGCGGTATCCCCCACGACACCTACGGCATGACCACTCTTTCTGTCCGCCAGTACGTGCTCGGTATCTACCGTAAGCTGAACATCGACCCCTCCACCATGCTCAAGCTGCAGACCGGTGGTCCCGACGGCGACCTCGGATCCAACGAGATTCTGCTTTCCAACGAGAAGTACTGTGCCATCGTCGACGGTGCCGGTGTCCTCGTTGACCCGAAGGGTTTGAACCACGAAGAGCTGCTCCGCCTCGCCAAGAAGCGCGTGATGATCTCCGAGTTCGACATGTCGAAGCTGTCTCCGGAGGGTTACCGTGTCCTGGTTGACGAGAAGAACGTCAGACTGCCCAGTGGTGAGCTTGTTTCCAACGGCATGGTCTTCCGTAACACCTTCCACCTCCGTCACCACGAGAAGTTCGACGTCTTCGTGCCCTGTGGTGGTCGTCCCGAGTCTATTGATCTGTCCACCGTTGGCAAGCTCATTCAGGACAACAAGTGCGTTGTTCCGTATATTGTTGAGGGTGCCAACTTGTTCATCACCCAAGATGCCAAGCTGCGTCTTGAGAAGGCTGGCTGCATTCTGTTCAAGGATGCCTCCGCTAACAAGGGTGGTGTGACCTCATCTTCCCTAGAGGTCTTGGCTTCCCTGTCCTTCAACGACTCCGAATTTGTCCAGAACATGTGTGTGGCTGAGGATGGCACCGTCCCCGAATTCTACCAGGCCTACGTCAAGCAGGTGCAGGAGATCATCAAGGAGAACGCCACTCTCGAATTTGAGGCCATCTGGCGCGAGCACGAGCAAACTGGTGTCCTGCGCAGTGTTCTGAGTGACCGTCTCAGCGTCGCCATCACCAAGCTCGACGAGGAACTTCAGCAGACTGAGCTTTGGCACAACATCGCCCTCCGCCGCTCCGTCTTGAGCGATGCTCTGCCCAGCCTTCTCTTGGACAAGATCGGCCTCGATAACATTTTGGAACGGGTATGTTACAATGACTTATTTTTTTTCCTCTTATGTGATGAATATACTAACTCTTTTTCAAGGTGCCCGAAAGCTACCTCCGTGCTATTTTCGGTAGCTACCTGGCTAGCCGTTTCGTTTACGAGTTCGGCAACAACCCTAGCCAGTTCTCCTTCTTCGACTTGTATGTGCCCCTCCGCATCCCTCCGATGATACATCACTAACCACCCTCCAGTATGACCAAGCGCCTCTCTAAACTCCAGTAGAGTGCGGGTACCTGCTCTTTCGTTGCTTTTCCCTTCTCATTGCCGGATTCCCTGAAGTAGCCTTGCCGTCACAACTGGCAGGGCCCCAACATGATATACTTAATACGGGAACAAAACCGTTCCTCCTGACGAATATATGGCTTAGAAAAGTTGTTGAACTTCCAATTGCATTGGCACTCTGCCCCAATTGAAAGGGGGCCATTGAAAACATGATTCATAATGTAGATCAGATCATCAGTATCTCCGAGCTCACGTATCAGATCCGAGCTCACGTATCAGACACGATAGAAACATCAAATCACCCGAACACGATACTCGTGCCGTACAAATTCGGCCATGATCAATACGATGATCACAGCCAGTACCAAATCCACTCCTTCCGCAATCTCAACTTCCCACTTCGGCGTCGACCCGGACAAGTTATAGTCCATCACCTTATCGCGCCGGATCTGCATAATCCTCCTCTCCCCCATCGTCACGATCGCAGATCGAGAGGTCTGCTGGACCACGCTCAGCTCCACGTTCGGATTGATGCCCCCTTCCGACCACCGCCTCTGATGTGATAGTGGCGCCGGCGCCGGTTCTCTCGGCGGTTCGATTGCGTCGAGCAGATCTCGCAACGAATGACTCGATCGACTCGATCGCCGAACCGAGTCGTAGGTCGGCGGCTCAAAATTGTGTCGTCTTGCCTTGGTGGCCGAACTGTCCGAACTATCACTCTCTCCTCCACTTCCATTTCCACTCCCATTTCCACTTCCCGAGTGATGCCTACTAGCCTCCGCCAACACTTCACTGTACGGTGGCGGCGTATACGGCGGCGGGGCCTCACTCTCCATATCCTCCTCGTTCCGTACGTTCCGACTCCGTGTCAAAACGCCATCCAACCTCCCAACAAGTGCATTCGTAAATCGTATTCCCATCTTCGTCCCAATCGCCCATCGCATATCTATATTGAGAAGCTCGTCGCCGACCCCGCCGGCCCGTTTCACCGACCACTGGCCCTTCCACCAGATCCGGCGTAACTTCGAGTATCGGTCGTCGAGACGCATCGCGGATCTCGCGCTGGAACGAGTTACTCCAGAACTTGCCAGTCACGGTATATAGCAGGGGGTTGCGCCGGGGGCTGCCGACCGGTTCATCTTTACGTAGTTGCGTCACGGTGAAGTCACGCCCGGAGAGGGTATTATCGCGCGTGATCCATAGGGTTGTGGGGGTGTTGGTGAGGCGGTCCGGCGCGGGTGAGAGGAGGTGAGTGCGGCAGAGGGCGATGGGATGGTCGGGGGGATTGAAGGTTGATGGGCTGGACGGACATTGCATTTGCTTATAGGATTTATGGGGAGAAAATGATTGTTCCAAGGTTTACTGTTATAGGTGCGGAGAACAATGGGAAGATGCGGGGTTGGACCGGGGGAAGCCTTGGCGGTCATCGCAACTGGATCGTTTTAATCGCGCTTAGGCTACAATGATAGAGGATAAGGCAAGGTACGATCAACAGTTGTGGCGGAGTTCTCTTGGCAGAGTACAGTAGAATGGTTATCGTCTCGATCGCCTTGTTATACCTATCTTTCTCCTCAACTCGAAGTCACAGCCGCGGTCCAGGTCCTTGTCACCGCCACGTGGGATATATATATATCCGAAAGTACGTGGCGCGATAACCTATTTATAAATATTCAGTTGTTTCAGATCTCTGAGGCATCAGGTTCACAGCCACAGCGAGCTAGAAGCCTCGCCATCGCTCTAGAAGCCTCGATCTGGACATGTATAATAGGACCCGTTGGACCACCCATGTTCAATGGTTCAAATTATGTATCGACACTGGGAACATCCGGCCCTAGCCCCCCTTAACGAGGTGATCCGCTCGTTCATATCCAGCATTTCCAGCCAGTAAATCTCCATCGTCACTGACGTTTCCCCATATAATGGTTTTTCCATTTTTTTTCTCTGTTTCCATCCATGGGAATTGGCCGATGGCTTTGTGGTGTGCCATGTGGGTCAAATCCAGAACCAAGTTCCGAGGAAATTGCCAATAGATTGAAGACACAGCGGAAATGGACGGCTCTCTAGTGAAACCCTAGCGTGCATTAGTCGCTGTCCCCGAAGGTTGTCCATTTTATGAACAAGTCATGAATCGTAATGATCGCAATGATTGCAATGATCAGGTCATATCTGCATCTTCTATAGGGGTTTCTGACGCAAGTTCCATGGGTCGAACCAGGAACTGCAACGCACTGAACTGGGGCATGTCCAGTGAACGTCGAAAGTATTCTCTTCCGAGCCTTAGATTTTTTTTTTTTCCCCTCTCCTCTATTTAGGTCCCATCAAAGACCAAACGCCACGCCTAACGCGTTCCGATCCAGTCATGACTTCAACCCACATTAGCGACGTGGGTCTGATGGAGAAGAGTCCGGCCTTTCTAGAAACAAAACCCCTTGGTGTCCCCTTCCCCCCCCTGGCTTCTGTTCTTCTTCCCCAGGATGAAGTTCAGCCGTCTGTGGGGTCCGTCTTCTCCGGCTACATAGATGTCCGAGAAAGAAAGGTCTCCTGGTCTCTCCTCGGAGAGTTCCGCAGGACAGGTGAAGATCAACCGGGAAAATACCGACAATACTGCCGTGAATTCTGAAACTCAAGAGACTTCGGTCCGAGAGGAAACGACCGCAAACCCAATTGCTCCTTCTATCCCCAGTCGATGGAGGACTGTCAGCCAACGCATTCGACAAAGAACCGCCACGATAGCCGATAGTTTGGGTCGTCCTCATGAAAGACAAGCAGAGGGCGTCGAGGCCTCTTGGTCACCGGAATACTATGGAGCAACAGACGATATCAAAAGTTTCGAGGCTCGCCAGGCCAACGGCGAAGAAGCTCGCCTGCAAGGCTTCGATCACAACTCGCAGGCCCAGGACCTGGTGAGGCAGCTGGGTCTGCCGCATATCGCCAGCAACCGTCGTGCGAGGGAGGAGGTGCGCTCTGGCACAACGACTGGCATGACGACTCCCGGCGAGAGTGAAGCCTCCACTCCCGTGAACGGAGGTCTCCTTTCGCAGTTACTCCGAGTGTATGCCAATCAGGTTGGTGCGGCGAGCAGGATCAGCGTGGCTTCCAGTACAACAGACACCGACCCTGAAATCGAGACGGTTCCTGCAACCAACTACGGAACGGAATCGGGAACGGGAACGGGGACGACCACGCCCAGTGGAACGAATGCCCTCAATGGCAAGAAGGAGAAAGTCAAATGGTACAAGAATGGAGTGGACAACGACAGCAAGGCCAGCATTCCTATGCTGAAGAAGCTGCCCCAGCCAACGAAGCATAAAAGAAAGGAGTCAGGTCATCACTATACTTCATCTTTGATTCAGGCCTCGATGGATATGGGCCGAGTTGGGGTGCCCGGGGCACAGGGACCGGGTACTATGAATTACAAGGAACGCAAGAAGCAAAGGCGCAAGAGTGCCAAGGACGTCAAGCTCAAGGTGCACATTGCCGCGATCCTGGCTCGCCAACAATACATCATGCAACTTTGTCGTGCCTTGATGAAGTATGGGCCCCGACTCACCGTCTCGAGGAGTACATGATGATGACCTCCAACGTGCTGGATGTCAATGCCCAGTTCATGTACATCCCCGGTTGCATGTTCATGTCCTTTGACGATCCCTTGACTCGCACCGCCGAGGTGAAGATCATTCGGGTCGTCCAGGGGCTGGACTTGTCGCGTCTCGCGGAGACTCACAATGTCTACAAGAATGTGGTCCATGACGTACTGAGTCTCGAGGATGCCACCAACGACCTGGATCAGATTATGCAGCGCAAACCACGCTACAATCGTTGGTTGTTAGTCCTGTTGACTGGCCTTGCCAGTGTCGCTGTTGGTCCCTACTCCTTTTCCGCTCGCCCTATCGACCTTCCTATTATCTTCCTTTTGGGATCTTTGGTCGGATTCATGCAACATATTCTTGCCCCGTCATCAGCCACGTATTCCAACGTGCTGGAAGTATCAGCAGCCATCTTGACCTCATTCCTAGCCCGTGCATTTGGAAGCATCATGCATAATGGCGAGAACGTCTTCTGTTATGCGGCGCTGACAGAATCGTCCATCGCTATGATTTTGCCCGGTTTTTCGGTCCTCAGCAGTAGTCTAGAATTGCAATCCCACCAGATGAACGCCGGGTCTATCCGCATGGTCTTCACGATCATCTACTCTCTCTTCCTCGGCTATGGCGTTACAGTCGGCACCACGATCTACGGCGTCATCGACAAGAACGCGACCACGCAATCAACATGCCCTAACGCCGTCGCAGATTGGGGCAACGAATATATTCAGCATTTCCCCTGGGTCGCGCTCTTCTGTTTCTTCGCCGCCCTCATCAACCAGGCAAAGCTGAAGCAGGTCCCCGTGACTGTGATCTTGGGAGTCTGTGGCTACGTGACCAACTACTTCAGCTCCAAGAAACTCGGCTCCGGCCAGGTCTCTAACACCGTCGGCGCTTTTACCATTGGTCTCCTCGCCAATTTGTACAGTCGTTTGTGGCACGGTCATGCTGCTGCCGCCATCATACCGGGTATCTTCACCCTGGTGCCGTCGGGTCTTGCATCTAGTGGCTCCATCCTCCAGGGTCTGGAGTATGCCGAGGCCGTGGTGTCTGGCAATGCGACGGCTATCAGCAATGCCAACTCGGGCAATTCCCTGACTGCACTGGGTTATGGAATGATCCAGACGGCTATCGGTATCTCGGTTGGCCTATTTGTTTCCGCATTGATTGTCTATCCGCATGGAAAGAAGCGGAGTGGTATTTTCAGTTTATAAGCTTTTCGACGCTTTTCGCGATTGCGCATATTGGACGATGAACATTGCACATAGGGGACGGCGAACCGGATGTTTCTTTCTTTTTTTTTCCCCTTTTCACTGTTTATCTTTCAGCGTCTTTGGATTTTGGAACTTGCATAGCGTGGATATCCATTGTCGAGGTTTTGTCACTTATCAACATCCACTCATGTCCTGATTATCTTGCATGCAAGATGATACTTCTAAGTCGATATGTCATAGTTTCTAATCTACCATTCACTATTCACTATTTTACAATGTCAAAACAGCCCCCACAAACGCAATCCACGCCGGCAAATCCGCCACCACCATGCGCACCCGATGAACGCTCAACCACTGTTCCATCTCATGCGTCGACTCGTTCTCCCCGTCGTCTCAACAATGCGCTGCACTGGGCCCGCAACAAATGGCACGAACATCAGGTGTCCAATCGCACCGGCCATCCCCGCCCAGTAGAATATAGGCGCCTGTAATTCCTGTCGCCGTTGATTCAGCAGAAGCGTTGCAGCAGCTGCGGAGATCGTGCTCAAGTTCAGCGTGATGACGGTCCACACCGCGCGTCCGAACACTTTATTGTACCAGGTGGGCAGGATTGTTTCGGATTGCTGGCGGATCCGGGGTTGGAGGAAAGCGGAGTTGGTGATGAGCTCCAGCAGGGCGTGCGCGAGTGTCGCAGTGCTGGTTGCGAGGGGCGCCGCGTGGAGGAGGTGAATTGGATTGAAGATGAGTCCTGATGCCATGGTGATTTGGTGATTTGGCGATTCGGTGATTTGGTGATTTGGTGATTTGGCGATTCGGTGATTTGGTGATTTGGTGATTTGGTGATTTGGTGATTTGGTGATTTGGTGATTTGGTGATTTGGTGATTTGGTGATTTGGTGATTTGGTGATTTGGTGATTTGGTGATTTGGTGATTTGGTGATTTGGTGATTTGGTGATTTGGTGATTTGGTGATTTGGTGATTTGGTGATTTGGTGATTTGGTGATTTGGTGATTTGGTGATTTGGTGATTTGGTGATTTGGTGATTTGGTGATTTGGTGATTTGGTGATTTGGTGATTTGGTGATTTGGTGATTTAATAATTTGGTGAACTTGGGGTGGTTGACAACGTATGATGGAAGCGGGGGAAAATTCGGGGCTTATGTATCTGATCTTGGGACTAAATAGATGCCAACAGCCCACGTCGGAATTCCGTGGGGACCGTGATCGAGTAGGATTCAAGTAATGTACAACGATAGTTTAATCTACACCCAGATTTCATTCGAAATGCCATCGAACTTGAGGCCCTCTTCATGCTCGCTGCGCTCCATCGTGGCCAGATGCGCCCACAACTCAGGGTACTTTTGCCCAGCCCACTCCTCTACTTGGTCCTTCCAATACTGATATGGAATGGCGTTGTAGAAGAGTCCAATCCTAGTCAAGTTAGCGATGGGCCAAAACCCATGGATCGGAACATCACTCACGTTGTGCTCGTGGGGGGAACCCCGATCTCCGCCTGCATCGATTCGATCGCAGTGGTGGCCACGTCGAATTCGCACTGCGCGGCCACTGCTTCAATATACCCGGTGTAGAGCCGGCGATCTACCTCAATTCCCACCTTTTTGACTTTCTGCAGCATCTTCAGGGCCTCCTGTGCACCGTTGTGGTGCTTCTCGCACACCTTGAAAAATATCCCGATGGTCTTGTTTGACGGCCCTTCGTCGGATGCAAGGATCTGGCGAAAGATCTCCATGCTCTTCTCGGGCATCTCGCAGGCCGCATATGCTAGCATCAATCCGTTCTGGATCCGGGTTGTAAGGTTGACCTCCAGGTCGAGCTTCAACATGTTGTGCACGAGCTCCAGATTGGTCTTGTCACTGTTCCGGGCAATACCCTGGAAGCATCGAGCGTAGGTATCCGGCTTGGGACGGCGTCTGGGGTCTTCGGCCTGACGCATGTGCCCGAATACCAGAACGGCAAGATCACTGCGTTTGCGCGCGAAGAAACTGGACATGATCTCCGTCCGGACATCAACCCCAGTCTGGGGGAACGCGAGTTTGAAAAGCTCGTACACATCCCACACATCTTCGTCCTTCTGGCTTAAATCGAGAATAAAGTCCGTGATGGCGTTCCTGACAAGACTCTTTCCTTCGTCATCGTAGGTGCCCAAGCGGGGACGAAGCAATTCGGATATGGCTTCCCAGTCATAACGATAAAGTAGCATGCGTGTCAAGGCGGCCACGGTGGTAGGGTCCAGCCGCACGTTTTCCTGAAAGAGGGGATCAAGAAGAGAAGAAATTCGACCGAACAGAGCATCCTTTTGCTCTGACAGACACAGCATGGCGATTAATTTATTGCAAAGGGGCAGGTTTTCAGTGGGCAGGAGGCTAAGATCAATTTGCTGCTCAAGCATCTCCAGAGTCTGTTCAACAGCACCGGCCTGGATATACGACTCCAACTGCAATAGATGGGTTTCTTGGTCTGGCACCAGGCCCCACTGTTCCGCCAGTCGAACAAAGCCAGGAGCAAGTTCATGGTTCCGCGAGGCATTGGCATACTGTATGAGACTGTTCACGTCTGCAATGGTGATAGCACCCTGAATCTGATGATCAATCGCAATCCACGCCTTGACTTTCTCGGCAAGCGAAGACGCATTGTTGCCATGTGCTGCCTCCCAAAGCAAGGTGATGCCTACAGTCTCAGGCACCGGTCCCTGAGGAAGTGAGTTGAAGATTGGCTCAGCCCACTTGGTCTCGGAGTTCAAAATCGCATGTTTGATGATGACCCTCTTCGTAGAAATGGAAGGCTCAATTATGTCGGCCATCTTGTTGGGCGTCGAGGGATCCAAGGCACCTGTGATGGGACACTCGTAGGCCGTCTGGACAGCTTTGAACTGACCCTTTTCAATGAGGAGATTAATGAGCTCCTCATGAGAGGCTTGATCAAATCTCATGTCGTATTTCTCAAATTCTCGAGTGATATTCCTCAATTGGCGATTGTCATCCGCCATAGCGAAGCCCTTCATAACGGTCAACCATGGAGACGGCTTAGCACCCCTAAATCGACCACCGAAATTGAGGATGACAAGTCGAGCCTCTGCGGGACAGCCATTGCTTGCCAGGAGGTTGATATAGGCCAGAAGAGCAGGCCGACTGACTGAGTCGACACCGAATCCATGATCGGCACGAAGCTCTGCATAGACATAGCGAGCAATCTTCAGGATAGTTGCGCGCGCCTCAGGGAGACACTCTGCCTCTTGGAGCACAAATAGCATTTTCTCAAGGCTCTCGACCGAGAAGACATCCTGGAATTCCCGGTCATTCAACTCCCCCTGTTGCGCCTTCAGATGTCTCCAAGTTATAGACAGAAGCCGAGCCTGGAATCCGTTGATGACTCCAGGATTCTCCACCCGCGTAGCAAAGAAAAGTTGGAAAGCTTTTGTGAGCGTATGGCTTGGCGGAGCTCTGCTTTTGTCCTCAAGGGATCGCTTGAGATCGGTCATGGGCTGTAGACCCTTTTCCGAAGACAAGGTCGCTGGCTGCCCATCTCCCGCATCTGCAGTGCTTGGGTTGAAGTTAAAAGCAAAGAGAGTTCGTCGCGATAGATTCTGGAGGACAGGAACCCAAGGTCGTACTCGTGCTGGGGAAATGGTATGCAGCAATTGATTTTGACGACATCTCGAGAAATGCAGCGGTTCGTTATTGATGATGGCGCGAAAAACTCTTCTCGTGAGATGAGACTGCATGCTGGGCGATGAAAGCCGCCGCTATCAGGGATAGAATTAAAGAGGTCGTGGAGCTTCATGCTTTCGAAAGTTTCGTGACGCGGAGTAGGCGGTCCAAGTCTTGGCACTGGCGAAAAAAGATCCGCTTCGATCCTGGTCTCCTCCACATCACCACGACACCGCGATCTTCATCTATCGCAATGTCTGTGAACCTATTCTCATCTCCGCTGCTGCGCAGCGTCGCGAATGTCATGCCATCAGCTTGTCGCTGGAGCTCGACGGCGGCCATGAGCGCTTTCACGTCCCAACGAGCCACATCTTCACAGAGTACGTGGAAAGTCCGGCCTTTGACACCCTAGAACTTTGGCTCTAGTCAAATTTTTCTTTTACCTGAACCTATAGCTGAAAGTTTGAACTAGCCTCAAAAGTCCAGCACCGACGCCGATTACCGAACCGCTTGCGATTCCTCGAGGACCAGAAGGCGCAAGGAGAGAGCCGAGCGCTAGAGAAGTTCCAGACTCGAGAGTGGAAGGCTGGTGATATCTACGCTCCTCACGATCTTAGCCCGGCCGAGATGAAGAAATGGGGCAAGCGCAAGAGTCCCTCGACGGATGCTTTCGATGCCTTGAATCTGAATCCATTGCACCTTTACAGAGTACGTTAATCCGATACACAATGTCCATATTAAGAGGGATGAGAAGCGCATCATCAATCAAAAAAGAGAAATTAACTCGTAATTGGAGATCAATTGCTGACATTGATTCCCTCCGCAGAACTTCTCCGTCATGTCTGAGTACGTGTCTGCTCTGGGCCGCATCCGACACCGAGACCAGACTGGTCTGCGACCTGTGAACCAGCGAAAGATCGCCAAGGCCATCCGCAGAGCCATGGGCCTCGGCCTCATGCCATCTGTCCACCGACACCCCGAGATCCTGGCCACGGAACTCCGCTCTAAGCTCGAGGGCGGCAATTTCTAAGAATGAATCATTTCACTCATTACAGACCGTTGAAATTGGCCATGGCGTTCCTGTATAGACCACTGAGCCCGATTTGAGGGACTCAGTTCCATGTATTATTACTCAGCGCAAATCTAGCTTATCTTTCATCGACAAAGTCGTCCCCTAGGGCTTCACTCTGCTATATATCGTTCTTCAAAAACATTGTGATCCTTTTTGTACTTCTCAGATATGTGGTTAGAAGTGTACGTTCCGTATGTGATGCCTGGAGCTATATTGCTAGGCTGAAGCGCAGCCCCGCCTAAACAACTCCCTTCCCTCCTCATCCCTCTCTCTTTCTCACATCTCACCTTGAACACACTTACACCCATGTCAATCACAAACGGTATGGCTCATTTACTTGAAACCGTTTTCTCAATTGATCTAATTTACCCCGCGCAGAGTCCATCTGGGCTGCAAGCCCCTCCACCACCCGCGGTCAACCCACGCAGCTTTCGTCCGATGCTAAAGGCGAGCGACTTGCCTACGCGGTACGATCCCCCCATTGAATACATCACATATAACCATTGCTAAGTCGAGTCATCGTAGTCAAACAAATCTATCTTCCTGCGCTCGATCGACGACCCCGCGACCGCCAGACAGTACACCGAGCACAAATCCCAAACAACCGTCGCTCGGTTCTCCCCATCCGGATTCTATGTCGCCAGTGGTGACGCCACCGGTACTGTGAGAGTGTGGGATTGCGTTGGAGAGGGTATAACCAAGGGAGAATACAGCATTGTCAATGGCCGCATCAACGACCTGGCCTGGGATGGCGATTCGCAGCGCATTATTGCCGTTGGCGATGGAAAGCAACGATTTGGACACTGCATTACCTGGGATAGCGGAAACACTGTCGGAGAGATCTATGGTCACACGCAACAGATCAACTCGGTGTCCATCAGGCAACAGCGACCTCTTCGCGCGGCCACGGCCGGTGACGACAAGAAGCTGGTCTTCTACCACGGAGCGCCTTTCAAGTTCAACATGGGAGTTCCGGATAAGCATACCAATTACATCTATGGAGTTGGTTTCAGTCCGGATGGCTCAAATCTGGTCAGTGTAGGTGGAGACCGCAAGATCTGGCTCTACGATGGCAAGACGGGAGAGACCAAAGGTCAGATTGGCGAAGGACAGCACAATGGCAGTATTTTCGGTGTTTCTTGGTCGAAAGACTCCAAGAAATTTGTGACCGCCAGCGCTGACCGAACTGTTAAGATCTGGGATGTGGAAGCTGGCAAGTCAACACAGAGCTGGACTCTGGGCGAAGACGGTGCTATGGCTGTCCGTGACCAGCAAGTTGGTGTCGTTTGGCCTCCGGGCAGAAGCGACAACCTTCTGATCAGTTTGTCTCTTAGTGGCGACCTGAACTATCTGGTTGAGGGCACCCCTAAGCCCCGGCAGGTTATCCAGGGTCACCAGAAGAGCATCACGTCTTTGAACCGGTCTGCCCTGGAGGATAAGGAGACACTGTGGACCGGAAGCTTCGAGGGCCGTGTCTGCACCTGGGACGTTACTTCTGGTACCGCTGGTGAGATTGAAGGAGAGGGCCATCCCGGTTACGTTGCTGGCCTGGCCCCGACATCGGAGGGTGCAGGAAGAATCTACAGTGTCGGCTGGGACGACACTATTCGCTCGATCGATGCCTCAGCCAAGACTTACACTGGCAGCTCATCCAAACTTACTGGTCAACCTAAAGGTGCTGCCGCGGCTGACTCGACTGTGCTGGTCGCGGCGGCCGAGGCCGTTGAAATTTTCCAGGACGGCAAGAAGACCGGAGAGTACAAGACTAACTTCCCGGTGACGAATGTTGCGGCCCACGGAGCGATGGCTGCTGTTGGTGGCGAGGACGGATCCGTCCAGATTTGCAGCATCTCCAGCTCGAGCCTCTCATCCAAAACCGACATCAAGGCCTCTCGTAACCCAGTTTCTACGCTTGCTTTCTCACCGGATGCTTCCCTTTTGGCGGTTGGTGATCAGAAGGGACGCGTCCTGGTCTTCAAGGTTGCTGACGGCAGTCTGCTCACGGATCGATGGACTGCTCACACAGCGCGCATCACATCACTCGCCTGGAACAACGAGGGCACCCACGTGGTGAGTGGATCGCTGGATACCAACATCTTCATCTGGAACTTGGCGAAGCCTGGCGATTGGCTGGAGCTCAAGAACGCCCACAAAGAGGGCGTGAACGGCGTGGCGTGGATCGCCGGAGGCTTCAAGATCGCATCGGCAGGCGCTGACGCCGCTGTGAAGGTGTGGAAAGTGGAAGGTCTCAAATAGATGGCTTGTACGATTGGATGTACCTGAAAGGCAAGCAGAATAGATGAATTTAAGGAGTTGAAAATATACAAAGATAGAGTAAACAGAATGGGTGGGAAAGGCGGAGCAGGGATGTGGCCGCAAAAAGTGTCTGTGCCAGCACCCACACAGCATGTTTCTGCACCCTTGCCTAAGTTCCAATTAAGACAGATGAAGTGAAGGCGACAAGCACTATGGGGTTTTCATGAGTGGCTACCTCAAACTGGACGTGAGTCGATACCGAAAATGTCGCCGTCGGAAGCTCCGAGTAGCTCCCGGCGCTTCTTGCGCCCAAAGGTTTGTACGGCCCAAGCTCCCACGATAGCAAGCACTCCGGCTGACGACGCTATAGCTCCGACAAGCAACATTTGTTCTCCCACAAACCGGTCAACGTCTGAAAGGCCTGGTGAGCTTGCGGAACACCACACAAACAACCGCGGCCTCCGATGACGACAATGACCGCGAGGAACGACGCGGGCTGCTTACCGGCGAGATCGAGCCACGACGTGGGGGTTTGACATGGCTATGGACGCAATCACGAAACCTTTGGATGTCGACGCATCAATTCCTTGTATCAGAGCCGGGTATTGGGATCTTGAAGTGCGGGTTGGCATATCTTCTAGGCTCGCTTGCGACTTTTATTCCTGCCATCTCCACTTTCCTTGGGCATCAAGATGGAAAGCACATGGTGGCTACGGTCACCGTGTATTTCCACCCCGCGAGATCCCAGGGAAGTATGTTTCGCGCCTTGATCTGCGCGCTACTCGCATTCTGTTATTCTTCCTTCCTTTCCATCACGAGTATGCTGCTTGAGAACTTGTTCCAGGATACTCTGAACATGTCTATAGCTGGCCACGCCTTAGTACTCATTGTATTTTGCGGTGGTGGACTGGGTTTTGTGGGCTGGACCAAGCAGCGACTCGGTGATCCCCTTGTCAACGTCGCCTGTTCGCTCACGGCGCTTTCAACGATTACTATCTTGACCAAAGAAGGTTCTGTTCAGAGCGGCGACCTCTCTTTGAGCAAGATTTTTCAGGTCTTGAAGATGGTCATCATGGGTGTGTTGATCGCTTTGCTCGTGTCCTTTTCGATCTTCCCCATTTCCGCGCGGAAGAAACTGCGTGCAAACTTGGTCACGACCACAGATACATTGGCTATTATGCTAGCCATTATAACAGAGAGCTTCCTGAGCGGGTCTGAGGAGGAACTCTTATCATCGGAATTCATTGAAGCTGAGACCAAACACCGAATGGCATACAGCCAACTTGACAAGCTGGTCAAAGAGGCCAAGCTGGAGCATTACGCCGCCGGCTCTGAACGAGAGTATCGTTTGGAGAAGAAACTTGTTCGCTGGGTGCAGGACATCACGCACAATATGGGAGGCCTACGCAGTGCGGCCTCTTTACAGTTCAGTCTTATTCGAGAAACAATTGCTCGCGAGTCTGGCTCCTCGGATGGGGCAGAGACTAATCAAATCGAATATTTTGCAAGTCTCGAGCGTTCCTGGTCGTATCATGATGGATCCTTTTTGGAACCAATCGATGAACGGCCCGAGGAAGGCCTGTCTCCAGAAGGCAGTTCCACTCGAGTGCCGGATGGCGATCCAGACCCAACCGATAACACATCTGTCCTTCCCGCTGACGTCTTCACGATATTTATCTCTCATCTGGGTCCGTCTATGGTATTTAGCACCCCAAGCTTTTTGTTTTGAGAAACTGTAGAAACTGACAGTCAACAGCGGTCCTTGGCCTTTACGTTGAAGGAGATATTCAGAGAGATCCCATTTGGTCCTGCTCCAGATTACAAGGTATCAATTGACGGTCGACTGAGAACGAGCCTTGATCGTGCTCTTGAGCTTTACCGTGAGTCGCGGGCAAAGACCCTCAAGTCTCTTTACCAGCAGACCGAAGCAATGAAATTTAAGGACCAGGAAGCCGAAGCAGATCTTGAAGAGGTTTCTGCTAGCTGTGGCCATTTCAGTTTTTCGCTCATGGAGGTTGGAGAGCAGCTTCACGAGCTACTGTGCATTCTCGATGAGCTGCAGCTCGAGACCGAGGAACGACCTGGCGGTCGATCCTACACTTGGTTGAAATTCTGGCAAAATAACAAAAAAGAAGTTGTTCAATCTGGTATGTAATCTAAGTCCTCGAGCTACTCCAAATTACACCCGACTGACTTCTCAAGATTCTCTCTTTGTCGCCTCTGCGAACGGCCGGCAACGACGTTCGTCAGGCCCATTCAGCTTCGACGACAGGGTATCCGCTGCTGTTCGGGGTCGTCTGCACCTAACGTCAGATGCTAGCGTAAAACAAAGACTCGGCTATCGACTTTGGAAATCTCTAAAGGTTTTCCGCCGGGACGACACCAGGTACGCGATCAAGGTTGGAGCAGGAGCTGCGCTGTACGCCCTGCCTGCTTTTCTGCCTTCCACTCGCCCTTTTTATCAGCATTGGAGAGGTGAATGGGGACTGCTGTCGTACATGCTGGTCTGCTCAATGACGATTGGGGCTTCAAATACTACGGGCTATGCTCGGTTTCTCGGTACGTGTCTCGGGGCCCTTTGTGCAATTTCAGCCTGGTATGTCACCCGCGGGAATGTCTTCGGCCTTGCGTTCTTGGGTTGGTTGATGGCTACCTGGACAGCATGGATTACCATTGTCAAGGGCAATGGGCCCATGGGCCGTTTTATCATGCTCACGTACAACCTGTCCGTACTTTATGCCTACTCACTCGCTCAAAAGGAAGCGGATGGTGACCTGGATGAAGGTGGTCAGGATCCGATAATCTCGGAAATCGCACTTCATAGAGTCGTTGCGGTGCTCTCGGGCTGTGTCTGGGGTATCATTATCACACGCCTGATCTGGCCCATCAGCGCACGAGAAAGACTCAAGGATGGCCTGAGTATCCTCTGGCTTCGAATGGGCCTCGTGTGGAAGCGTGATCCGTTGTCTTCCATGGCAAAGACCGGCCGATCCGTCGTGTGCATGAGTGCTCGAGAGAAGCTCGAACTCGAGCGGTATCTCACCCGTCTGGAGTCGCTTCTGGCCGCTGCAAGCTCCGAGTTCGAATTGCGGATGGCATTTCCGAAGGATGCGTATGCTACCATCATTCAGCGCACGCGAGACATGGTGAATGCGTTCCATGCGATGAATCTGGAGCTCATGAAGAGCGAAACCGCCACCGAGGGTGAAATTGCCCTCCTTCGTTACACTGCTGCAGAACGAGGACAGCTTTCTGCTCGTATCAGCCATCTGCTGACCGGTCAGTGATGGCTTTTCCCTGTTTTGTTCGTAATCCATACTCATACAGTCACAGTAATGGCGTCGTCCATGAAACTTGAATATCCATTGAGCGATGTGCTCCCCAGCATAGATCACGCTCGCGACAGACTTTTAGCTCGCATTTATCGCTACCGCCAAGATCATGAGGCATCGCTTTTAACGACGGACGAAGACAGCGCGCTACTGTATGCATATAGTGAGTCTATCTCTTCCCTTGGAGAATGCCTAAGCTGACGAGAGATTAGTCTTGGTGACTGGCCAGTTGTCGAAGGAGATCAACGAAATGATCGCAGAAATTGGGCAGTTATTCGGAGTCCTCAGTGAAGATGTAGTTCACCTAGTATAGTAAATATCCTAAGTCCTCCTGAGGATAAAATGAATGCAACTATAGAGGGTTTGATATCGATCATAAAACCCAGGAATCCCGATGCGGCTGTTGCTTCCCCGCCTACGGAAGTCCAGCCTCTCTCCCTTCCACATCTCTTTCATCATCACTCCATCACCCCATCAGCTTCACCTCTCTCGATCGAATTCTACATTCTCTTGATGTGTAGTTCCTCTCATCTGCCGCCCTTCGGCCACGCCTCGCGCTCCTAGTCCAGCCATGCAGATCGATCCGGCCGCCCTGAGTCGGACTGACTCGGCCTCAAATCCGGCGAAGGGTGCGGCGCCTAATGCCTCGGCGACACAAAAGTCTTCCAGAGCTCTGATCTCGGTTCCGCGACTCGATCTGGAGCATGCCTATACCGATTTGAAGGCCGCCATCGGAGACAAGTGGGCTGAGTACAAGGAGGCTACAGCCTTTTTCTTACTAGGTATGTGTCGCTGCGCATGCGATCTCCTGCCATTTCGTGTATTTCCCGGCTCTAATAACGGCCGATCGCGACGAATTGACTTCCGAGCTGACTTCCTGACCTCCTGCCGATTCTAGGACACTACAATCAGAACGAGTACGCGTCGCGAGTCGACCACGTAATATGCGCCGATCCTAAAACCGAACATCTCCATAATAACTTTGTCTGTGCGATTATTGGAAATCTCACTCGCGACCTTCCCGATCATGGCGTCGCAACCTGGGTCTCGGCGAACGACAAGCCTTCGACGGTGTCGAAGCCGATTTCGGGCGATGCTGCGGAGCAGAGACTGAAAACGGAGGTGATGCAGCTGCCTCCGAGGGACCGTAGACGAATCAAGGGGATCCCAGAGGTATGTAATGGCCATTGTGGTTTTGAATAATGAACAAAGATACTTATGCTCGGCAGCGCGATCCCAACGACGCGGCATCCACCGAACTGGAGGAATACCACCTTGCTAAACAGATCAAGCTTCCAAGCCAGGTCCCCGCGAGTGCAGGTGGATTAAATAAGACCAGTAAGATACCGTCACCTTTGAGGCGCACACTCGGACAGCGATACTCTATCGCGCGCCTCCGCTCAACCCCAAGGACCATCTAACCTCGAATTTTTACAGACTGGGAATTGGAAATTCGAAAACGATATGCGCAGCCCCTCGCTGCAGAGACGGGCGAGTTCCCTGATGCCGAGTCTATTCATGCTCGCATGGTGCCTATGTGTTACGAAGAATCTTTACCTAGTGGCGCCGGTCTGCCGTGCGCCGAGTTTATGGCAATTGCAACGGAAACATTTGTGAAGGAGGTATTGTCCTCAGTGTTCTCTCGCACCAGATCCAATGGTCCGTCAGGCACGATCAATGGAATGATGATGCGGAAATACCGAGAACAACTTGAACGAGAAGAGCTTGCATACACCCGTGGTGAGATTGCAAAGGATACCGCAACTGGTTTGCTCCCTGTCGAGGCCAGAGAGGCCAGAATTCGAAGACCACTTGGAGTCAGGGATCTACGACTCACCCTGGAGCTCAGTGGCAGTGTCCTTGGTCATATGCCCTTGATCATAGATCAAATCGCGGGTGGATACTTTGAAGATGAACTTGAAACGGAAAAGCAAGATCGCCTGGAGAACAGCGTTGGCGAACCGCGTGAAATCAAGACCGCTGAAGATGAAATGGACCTGGACGAGATCGATGATTCTCTATCAGATTGGGAAGGAGGCGGGGCTGCTGATCGTGAACAGTTAGGTTCTCTACTCGATGAGTGCCTGTCGATGGCTGCGTGAACTTTGATACCCCCTTTTTTGTTCCCGTTTGATACTGTCAAACTGCATTCTCATTTCCTACTTGGTTTCCTGATTTCTCGGTCTCGGGTGGGAGGATCACGGCGTCTGGGATTCCGGCTTTTCATGCATATGGTTCTGGAGTTCATTTTTTTTTCGGAAGGTTTGCTATGGCGGCCGTGTCTCGAATACTTTCAAGATTCTTTACTTATTTCGGAGCTTTGTCGAGCCCTACAATGTACAGTATCTACTCACAGACAAGGTGCAACAAGGTAAATGTTTTGCAAGCCGAAAAAGCAGAACCGATGGCTATGATCTCTACCGGGCGAGGAGAGGTCAAGCTTGTTCGATACCCATGAATTTGACTTTTTTATCTCAGACTTTCCTCTCTTAGTTCTTAAATACTGAAGTGAATTATTGGAAAGCTATGGCCCTGGTCTGGTGGAAAGACATTGAATTGATCATATCCAGATAACGCCTCTTCATGGTAGTAGATCGTGATATCTTAGTTAATAATATTTGCAACGAGCTTCAAGATCTCCTCCGTGGACTTGTGCGCGTTGGCCGGGTCCTTAGCCACAGACTGCCAGACCTCGCCGTGCCTGGGCTCCATTGAAATGCACTTGGTAATAACGTCGGATCGTTTTTCCTGGACAAGAGTGTTAGCAAACGCCTCATAATTGCGATTGAACAAGTGACGAACCTCTGTTCCGTGCTGCAAAAGGAACTTGTAGTACCAAGCCCAGCCATCCCCGTAATCGCTGTCCGAGACGATCGCCTTTTCGAACCAGGTCATTGCCTTCTCTAGTCGACGCTCGCCCCAGAAGATGCGTGCCACCGTGATAAATAAAATCGGATCGTTGTCCACCTTCTTAATCGCCTCCAAGCTACGAGCCTTGCGCTGAGCCCGCGGCTCGAGGTGCCAGATACTCTCGCTCCAGAGCAACCCGGATGCAGGAGCCTCCTGCAAAGCCCGCGCCATCAATACCTTGGCCTGAGCGATGTTGTTTGCGCGACGTTCCACACGCACACTTTCTGTCCAGAGTTCAGCGCTCTTGGGGACCGCAAGACGAGCTCGGTCAAGAACGGAGCGTGCACGAACGACGGCACCTGCCTTCTCTTCCAATCGAGATGCCAACAGCCAAAGCGGGACGGACTTGGGGCAAGCTCTGGTGCCGGTTCCGTAAGCCTCGCGGGCCTGTGGGAACTTATTTTGAGCCTCGTAAATTTGGCCCTTCATCATCCAGAGCTTGTCTGCCTTGGGATACAGCTGGAGACCCTGGTTGACGAGATCCAATGCGTCGTCGACATTGCCCAACTGCCGCTCAAAAGCAACACTCTTGACCCACACGCGATCCGTGCCGGCTTCACGACGAGCAGTAGCCAGTAGTTCTCGTGCCTGGTCGGTCTGTTGGGCATCTGCCTCGAGCTTGACGGCAGCAAGCCAGATATCTTCGTTGTTAGGGTTCTGGTTGAAGGCACGGCCGAGGACTCGTCGGGCATCGTCGATTTCACCAGACTGCCATTTCTCCTTTGCGAGTTGCAACCAAAGCTCCTCGCTCTGAGGGCATGCTTCAACGGCTTTCTCAAGAACTTGCCAGAGAGCTTCCTTGTCGCCATGGTTTCGCTCCAGGTCGGCTGCAGCAAGCCAAATGGATCGGCGATTGACAAAGACTCGTAGGCATATGCATAGATGGCGCGAGCAGTCTCGTATTTGCCCCGGGCAATGCTAGACTTTGCATCTTCCATCCAAATGTCTTTCCGGTCATCGTCTTCATCCAGACCCCATCCTAACGTCTCTCGAATGATACCGCCACAGGTGAGGATGGCGCCTTCTTCCTCGCATCGCTGAGCCTCTTCAATCCATTCCTCCCGCTTCAACATAGCGTTCTCTCTGGCGAGGGACTGGACGGCACGCTTCATAACATTGACCTTCTCAAAGGTACCCATCTGTTCTTGAAGACGAGCAGCAGCAATCCAAATTTCATGACTGGTGGGAACGGCCTTGCGTGCGGCGTTCAAGACCTTTTGAGCATTTTCGGGTGTCTCAAGTCGAGCAAGAGCCAACCATAACTCCACAGACAAAGGAATCATCTCCACAGCCTTTGCCAGCAAAAGGCGTGCATCAGCGGGGTCTTCTTCCAAATTGACAGCTTCTTTCCAGATTTGAACTGATTGAGGAATGTGCAGAATAGCTTGCCTAAGCACGTTCTTCTTGGCCCGTGAATCTGTTTCCAATTTCATGGCCTCGATCCAGAGTCCCGTAGAGCGATCGTTATTCTTGATAGCATTCGCCGCAATAACCTTTGCGTTGTGGCCTTCGTTCAGACGGATATTCTCCATCCATGCATCTTCGCTCTTCGGGCAAAGCTCGCATCCTTTAGCGATGATATTTCTGGCTGCAACAATTCGGCCTGCAAGCTCCTCAAGACGCGCAAGAGCAATCCACCCGGGGGCATGTTTGGGGTTTGTTTTGGTGACGGATTCCAGCAAGACTCGAACTCGCTTGATATCGCCCACCTCGACCTCTCCGGCCTTGGCTTCCGATTTGGTCAGACTAGTGAGATAACCCTTGGGATCGATACTGGTGGCACTCCCCGAGACCTCTGCGGTTGATCCGAGCGCAGCCTGGTCTAATCTGACTTTCAGCACCTTGTCACGCGCAGCACCGATATCTGCAAAGTTTGTCATAGTGCCATCTGCATCTCCATCGGCCGCACCACCGTCGTCGGCAACGGTTGTGTCGAACTGTGCTGAGTCCCGGGCACCTGCAATGACACTGTCCGGCACGGCGTAGAACCTCTGACGACTGTTCTGTTTCTCTCGTCTGTTCTTGCCCGTCAAGTCACCAACTTCGGGAAGGTTGGCCCAGTCGTCCTCGGACACCGCTGCGAGGGAGCGCTTCAAATCGGCAAATTGCTGTTGAATCTTTGGATTTTTTCGTTCGTAGTCTTCGCGTTCTTGTTGCTCTCGGGCTTCCCTGTAGGTGGCGAAGGATTCACGTCGGTATTCTGTCCAAACAACCGGGGCTTGGCCCGATGAACAAGAAATCTCCTGGAAAAGGATTGCGCAAAGAGAAAAGTACTAACCTTCGAAGTTTCCGGCGTCTGTCCATCTTTTCGTCTACCTCTTGGTAGATGCGATCCGCCTCATCGTCCTCCTGGTCGAATTGCCCGTAGGCAAACAGACCGGTCTCATTGTCGGGATCCTGGAAACGTTCATCGTCCTCTTCTTCCTTTTCTTCTTTTCCTCCCTTCTCACGCGACTTATCTCCGTAAGCAGTGGGCGCAGCAGCTCCGAGCGCGGCAGCTCGTTTCGTTAACGCAGCCTGGATCTGTTCAGGTGTCGGGCCTTCGCGCGCAGGTCCCAGGTCAGAGCGCGTGGTGAAACCTGTCGCACCACGGCCCAGACCAGCGACATAGTTCTCCGGTGCCTGCTGGCTAAGAAAATCCTTGCGTCCGGACGCCATGATGGGGCATCTCGTTGTATGAGTTTGGGAGAGTGAATGGGCGGACCTCGTAGAAAAGTAGATCCGAGTCCGACAATCTTATCGCGGAAAAAAAAGTTGCCCACAGTGACGCCGGCGTTTACCTTTGCTTTGCTATCAGAGACATCTGTCGCAAAGCGTCGTTTGACCGATTGCAATATGCCAAAAGTGAAGCCTCAGAAGCGCAACAGCGCGCACTCAGATGCCATGGCAAAAACCAAAGCTGCCCACAGCATCTTCAAGATGAACACAGACATCGGCCAGCACGTCTTGAAAAACCCCGGTATCGCCGAGCAGTGCGTACTCTTTTCGCCAAAAATCAAATGAACATCGAACCACAGCTGACCGTCATGAAGAATTGTCCTCAAGGCCGACCTCAAGCAGAGTGATGTGGTTCTCGAAATTGGTCCCGGTACTGGAAACTTGACAGCGAAGATTCTGGAGAAGGCCAAGAAAACTATAGCGGTGGAATTGGATCCTCGAATGGCTGCTGAAGTCACCAAGCGTTTCCAAGGCACTCCAGCCCAAAAGCGCCTGGAAGTTATCCTCGGGGATGTTATGAAGACCGAGCTTCCATACTTCGATGTTTGCATTAGCAACACGCCCTATCAAGTATGTGCCACCAGTCTCATCTACGGTATACACTTTCCTAACTCTTTTTAGATCTCCTCACCTCTCACTTTCAAGCTCCTGGCTACTCTGCCCGCACCTAGGACTTGTATTCTCATGTATGTTTCTCGACTCTTATGAATTCGTAGTGTACTAACATGCAATTACCTATAGGTTCCAGCGTGAATTCGCTTTGCGTTTATTCGCCAAACCAGGTGATAAGCTATACAGTCGTTTGTCCGTCAACGCCCAGATGTGGGCGAAGATTGATCACATCATGAAGGTCGGCAAGAACAACTTCAAGCCCCCGCCCCTGGTCGAGTCGAGCGTTATCCGTATGGTCCCGAAGGTCCCGAGGCCGCAAATCAATTATGAGGAGTGGGATGGTCTTTTGCGCATTGCGTTCGTGCGTAAGAACAAGACCCTGCGCGCCAGCTTCATCGGAACTCCCACCATCATGAACATTCTCGAATCGAACTACCGCACTTGGTGTGCCCAAAACGATATTCCCGTTGAGGACGGCCCGATCGGAGATGCCGATGGCGATGCGATGGATATGGGTCAGGAAGAAGCTGCCGAGGAGGTCGCTGATGAGCTCATGGATATGGATGATGATGACGTCCCCGATTTCTTCAAGGAAGAGACGAATAGCCATCTTCAGCAGGCACTCTTGAGTAAGCCCTCGCGCAAGAAGCGCGGAAAGGTGGCAGAGTTGGTGCGAGAGAAAGTGCGCTCGGTTCTCGAGGATGAGACTGGCCTTGCCGATAGACGTGCGAGGATGTGCGACGAGAACGATTTCTTGAAGTTGCTCTGGGCTTTCAACCAAAAGGGAATCCATTTCAGCTGATCGAGCCTATGGCTCTTCCGGGGGCGCCAACGATTAACTAGAGATTGGAGTCCGGATTTGAATGATGAATTATGATTACTATCAATAAAAGATACCATTTTCAGGCGGTTCACCGGCAGCGCGGAGGTGCGCAGCGGAGTCCTGGAATAGGCTCTGCCAGATAAACGCTTCACTCAGCAAGAGCTCGATATCTTTCTCAGTCCAGTCCTTCGTGGGCAATGCTTGGAGGAACATCATGATTTCCTGTGTACAAGTCAATTTTGATATCTGCATCATTTTAAGGTGCGGGAAACACATACCTGGAAATCCATCTTCAGGAGCTGATCCGTCCATTTGACCAAGAATGCAGCACAGACGTACAGATGAAAGCGTGAGAAGCCCTGCTCCTCGGCCTGAAATTTTTGTTAGTGTCAATTCAAGGTAAAGCCTGCAGCTAGGGACATACCATGTACGTATCCCACATGCGTATTGTGTTCTTGATATTCATTTCCCGCATGAGCAAACAATTCATCCATCGGAAGCTAAATTGCATGAACTCCACGCCCTCTTGCTCGAGATGTTTGGCTAGAGCAGAGTCAATGCGTACAGTCAAATCTCGCAGTGCTCGAACCTGCCGGTGAATGCCAGGCTGAGCATAGATGTAGTTATCTTGAATGCCATCAAGAAGCTTCGTTATACACCAGAAAGTATCGGCTTCCACTGCATCCAGTACGCTCCGGGGAAGCTGGCCTGGGTCCATACCTTCTTCAACATTCAGATTGGTGATGTAGACGCCCAGGAAAACTTGGAAGAAAGGTGTTACCAAATCGTTGATGCCTTGCACATAACCACTGGCAGGGTGTCGGATGGCCCACACATACAAGATGCGCTCAAGAGAACGCTGTGTAGCTTCATAGCCGTAGAGTGGAAGATGAGGACTTGTTCGAGGGACATCTATGCTGATCTGGTGCCATACTGCTTCGTCCAGACCTCGTCCACGGCCTGTGCTCGAAGAAGGAGGATTTGCCGCTGCCGCTCCGCTGCCTCGTTCGAAGGCCTGCCGTACTCCGTCAAGATACTCCTTGCGCTTTCTCTCAAGTGTCGATATACGTCGCTCACTATTGGTGGGTAGATAGCCAAGTAGAAGCTGCCAGGTCATCGGTCGAACCTCTTCTGGAATACCAGACCATGCAAGGTCTCGCAGTTCAGTGATAGATACCGTGCTTGCCTGCAAAATACGCTTGAATTTGTTAATTCGTGATATACGGCTCGAATGCATATCCCTTTCCTTAGGTGTAGCATTAGTCGGCGGCGCAGTGTGGTTGATCAAATTCAAAGCATTTGCAGGATCTAGGCACACTGTTAGCATGTCCGCGGCCCGGTTCGTTCGATAGCATCGGATACCTACCTTGCAGAATATCTTTGTACTGGGGCCGAAGGATCTTTCCTTCCCCCTTTCGTGCTGTAGGGTACATGGGAGCGCCGCGTTCCTCGGCAATATCTGAGCTATTCGCTCGTTGTCTGTTGTTGGCCGCAAGGCTGAACCCTAGAGAGGAAGGATTTCCTCCTATCGAGCCGCTGGAATTAATACTTCCGGCCTTTATAGGGCCTGATCTCTTCCTCCTCATACTGGCAAGACTTGGAAGTCCAAATTCATCTTCGTCGTCGTCGTAAACAATCTCATCGTCATCGTCATCATCATCGTCTTCGTGGGTTGGGTCACGACTCCACTCGTCCACGCCTTGATTCATGATCCCTAAGTACGGCTTTTCACGAGGGGGGAGATGCGACCACATTTCCAGACCGATGAGTTATTTGCGATGCGGGGTATGGGCATTGCTCGAGGACGACCGGGGTGGAGTTCTAGGGCGTGGGCCGGATGACGCACTTCTTCTCGACAAAACACCTATTAGTATAAATCAACCAGAAGGGAATTGGCCCAGCCCGCTGTTTGATGGGATAGCGTACTGTAGAATATTGGCGTGGGAGTATGAAGCGCCCACCACGGTGTTCTGGCTGTAGCCCTTGGACTGAGACTGAGACTGATTCAGGGATACCTTTCGTCCGGCCCAAAATGGAGATTCTGCGCGTCTTTCGTGGTTGTCAGTTGCAATGCATGGTGCATAGGTAGGGCATATCTTGCACTTACTCGGAATTGTCTAGCACCGTACCTGGATTAGCTATAAACTGCAAGGAAGCTGCGAAGTGGTTATACTGACCGACCTGGACCATTTCCTGGGTCAAAGGTTAGCTCAGATATCACTAAAATATGCCCCCGTAGTCTGCAAGAAGCTTACTTGCTGCCCCTTTTTGTTCGTCATGGTGGACTGACCCTCACAAGTGTCGAGTGCGGGGCGGCCTTGCAGTGATGCGGTGTTCGCTCCTCCGGGGCCCTATAGCAATGGGGACACCTCGAACTCAGTCATGCATGTCGCCGTAGTACTTAAAAGCGAATCACAATCCCGAGGAACTGTGCCGATGGAGGGGATGTTGAATATACTTCAATCGTCGGTTTAATGCAGAAGCTCGGTGATCTGACCCGTGCGTATGTAAGCCACAGGTCCTCCTCCGCTTTTCTCCCTTCATTTCTTCCCTCGCCCACGAACGTTCCGACCCTCGAGCTTCTGCATCTTTCAGATCTCGGTCCTGAGTAATTACTTCCCATTTCCATCTCATCCGTGTAACGAATTGCTCAGCATCATGGCTGAGTCGGGGGAACTTGAAGAGGATCTCTTCGCTGATCTGTACGTCCCTTGCTCAATTCTGCTCGAACGATAGTCTAGGCTAACAACTACGATCGCATAGCTATGACGCCGACGAATCTACCAATCGCGCAACTTCTGCGGTAGAGGCCGCAAAGCCTGTCGACTCCGCGGCTTCAGCAATCCCTGCACAGCCCACCGCGGATGCGCCCATCCAAAGCTACGAGGACTCGCACGACAATTCATACCCATCGCAAGCTCCTCCCCAGATGAGTTATGGCATGGGTTATCAGAACGGGCATGGTCAAGATGATGCCTCCTCCACTCCCGCAGCAGCTCCCGCAGACAACGACAATCATGGAACAGGAATCAAGGAAGACGGGTAAGTGCGATATGCCCTTGTATTTTACGTTTATTTGTGTTTGCCGATTTTCGGTGTCTACCTTGTCAGGCTTTACTGGTCAGGGCTGTCAGCTGCTATTCACGGCGACATGGATGGTGGTGGTTAGACTGGGGATTCCAGTATCCTCTGCGATTGTATATCTACGCGACACTACAACAGAATCTTGGCCACTGGCTCAAATACGCAACACGAGTTATGGGGAAGCGAATAAGCAACCAGGCGCTCGATATGATACACTCAAGGGATCCTTACGACCTTGTCAGCAATTTGCCAGAACCCTCTCGGAGCTACCGTCCAGTCCTCGGGCTGGTGACAAGCGGCTCCCGCTGCGAAGAAGATCAGAAACAGAAGAGTTCGGCAGATGTCATGGCGGAACCTTTGGCTAAGGGCAGTTGGTCGCGTCGGCCACAAACGAGTGTGACAGGAGATCAGAACCTGTTGCGAGCCACGATATATAGTACAGCGGATACTATATAGCTTCTTGTCGATATACGTTGATAGAGCAGAGCAAGAAGTAGCAACGCTGTCTGGGAGGTTATCAAGCCATCGCTATCTAGCTTGGGACCCTGTTAGACAGGGGTTCTCCCCGTTGCGGGGACAGAGACAGTCAGACAGTGACAATTCACTTATTTCGCCTGAACTTCTTGCTGCATCCTCTATCGCGCCTGCGTCATCCGAAAATGAAGCCCGCAACGTGAATTATGGTCGGCTCTCAGACCAAAGCTCATGTAAACCAAATGAGCTGTTGCTGGACTTGGACAAGGAGACGCTATGTTGTCACAGTACACCACCGCCATACCATATCTCGCCCTTCAAGAGCATGGGCTCCGGACAGTTCAGCATCTAGCTGTATTCGTGAATCGCAGCTTAGCGCCACCAGCTTCATAGCCAGAACACCCACGTTTTGCCCTCACCATCATGTTCCAACCTTGTTCTTTCTTGTTTTTATGCGGTCCTTGCCATCTTATTTGGCGTTATATGGACTTTGTTTGAGGCTAATCTCGTTGGATAGGAAAATGTTTATCGGTGGCTTGAATTGGGAGACAACAGATCGTATGTACACGGACCATTGGAGACACTTGGCCTTAGGTCTAACAGATGCATAGAATCTCTACGGGACTATTTTTCTCAATTCGGCGATGTTCAAGAGTGCACTGTCATGCGCGACAGCGCCACTGGCCGTTCGCGTGGTTTTGGTTTCCTGACTTTCCGGGACCCCAAGACCGTGAACACAGTGATGGTGAAGGAGCACTACCTGGATGGCAAGATTGTAAGTTGCGCGAGGGTGAGAAAAGAAGTCGAATCATCAGCTGACTAAAATACTAAGATCGATCCTAAACGTGCCATTCCTCGCGATGAACAGGAGAAGACTAGCAAGATCTTTGTCGGCGGTGTCAGCCAAGAGGCGACTGAACAGGACTTCAAGCAGTTCTTCATGCAGTTCGGCCGCGTCATCGATGCGACCCTCATGATTGACAAGGATACTGGACGTCCCCGGGGATTCGGCTTCGTGACTTTCGACAGCGAAGCCGCCGTCGAGAATGCCCTCTCTCGGCCACTTGAGATCTTGGGCAAACCTATCGAGGTGAAGAAGGCCCAGCCTCGCGGCAACCTGCGAGATGAGGATCGAGGAGGCCGCCGTGGTGGTGGCCGGGATAACTTCCGTGACATGAACCATGCAGACAACGCCCAACAGCAGGGAGGTCAGCAAGGCATGGCTGGCGGCATGACTCCTCAAATGATGGCCCAGTACTGGCAGCGCATGCAGCAATACTTCGCCATGATGCAGCAACAGATGGCCGTCGCCGCAGCCTCGGGTCAAGGTGGCATGAACCCCGCCATGATGCAGGGCGGTATGAACCCTGCTATGATGCAGCAAATGCAACAGATGCAGCAAATGCAGATGAAGCAGCAGCAAATGGGCGCCGGCAACCAGCAACAGGACGGCATGAGCCCAAACCCCCAGAGCCCCGGCTCCCAGCAGAACATGCAGAACATGCAGAACATGATGACCCCGGCTATGATGCAGCAGATGCAAAATCCTGCTCAAGGAGGTAACAGCGGCGGTGCTAGTCCTGGTCCTGGAGCCAACTACAACCGCCAGTCTGCCAGTGCTGCCGGTGCCAATGCCCCCGGCGGGCCTGGCTACAATGCCCAGGAACAGATCGCTTTCGAGCAGCAGAAGTATGAGCAGCAACAGGTTCGCCGTGCCGCTATGGACAACCGTGGTTTCTCGCCCTACCAGCAGGGGGGGGCCTACATCATGGGAGGGCATGTATGACGAAGTTCCGCAGCCTAATATTCCTACTGGACCCCAAGGTATGACTCGCGGCGGAAGCATGGGACATGGTATGTGATCCGATATGCCATGATCGCAGATGTAAGCTAACTTTCGAAATAGAATCGGGATCAACGCCCCAGCCCAGCGCCGCTCCAGCCAACGCGCCCACAGGCCCCCGTAATGCCGGCAAGCCTGGAGCAAACTATCGTGGTGGCCGTGGCGGTGGACAACACCGTGGTTTCCATCCCTACTCTCGTTAGACGGTGGAGTGGGAGAAATTTTTTCTTTTCTTCTCTCCTTCTGCCTGTGGATGGTCCCTTTTTATTTGAAGAAAAAAATTCCAACCCGTCGATGGTTCCTGCGTTTGTTTGGTCACTTCTCATCATGGACAGGCGAGACTTATGGGTTCGGCTTTTAGGGGTTTAAGGGAATTGATCGACCGTTGGCAGACAGAAAGAACGTGTTAGTTATCGTCAATTCTGTTCCCCTTCAGTTCTTCAATGACAATTTCATTAAAAGAGCATTTACGTGCACAGCAGGTCAAGGTCTGTCTAGTCTCTATAACTAGCGAGCCCTCTTTCCTACCAGACAATTTGAATAGTCAACAAGGTGTGACAACTTGATGATATACTAGGGAATCAGAATACAGAATAATTTGCTTCGAAGCCAAGATCTATCACTTGTAAAAAATCACGTCTTTTCAGGAAATCTCAAACAAGGCAGAAGTCGCTAAGAAAAAAAGAAGGTCGGTGTGTAGGGGGCAGAATGAGTAGGAAAGGCTGAGTGTAGAGATACAGAGAGAGAGAGAAGGGGGGGGAGGGGTTATATAACCAATTTCAAAAAGGCATTCAAGTCCGCCATTCAGATACGCTAAACAAAATTGAGACAGAAGAATGTAGCCGGCAATAGCACCGGTGTCCCGTGGGGAATATAGGGAAGAATGTAAATTGTAAAGGGCAACGTCGTGAAATTGATGACGCTCTAATACGCCATGCCGTAGCCCGGCTTGGTCGGTTGACGGCCCTCAAGTGGCGGGCTGTGGCGACCATCATGTCCAGAGTGATGGCTCAAGCTGCCGATTGAGTCGGATCGGTGAGGCATATCCCGATATGGTTCGTATGGACCGGTGAAGTTGAACTTGCTCATCTCGGTAAAGTCTCTCTTTTGCGGGTGCTCGATCAGGAGAGACTCGCGAGCATCCAAGGGGGTGAGATCATCAAGGTCTCGGTTGTTCTTTTCGGCTTCCCTCTTGCGCTTGGCGTGAGGGTTCTCACGGACGCAGGTGATGATGGCGTTGACCGCAATGAGAATTGCAAGCACGCCGGTCAAAGTGGACTGGACCACGATGAGGACGATGCCAGTCACGGTCTTGGTGGTTTGCGAGAGTCCAAGTTCCTCCACAAAGACCAGAATGCAGACGATGGAAAGGACTCGCACGATTTGAATGGTGATGTTGATTCCCATAGATGATTTCCGGGCGTAGGGGCGGTTCCAAGCAAGAAGACAGAGCAGAAGTATCTCAACAATTAGCTGACCGATAGTTTGCGCCATGCCGTGGCCTTCAGCACCAGCAATGATACAACCCTTGGCCAGAGCATATACGATGATGGGCACGAACAGCCACCAGAAGTCTTTCTTGTAGGAGTCATAAAACAGACTATACTTACGCCAGGTGTCCTTGTTGTCAAAGAGAGAAGTGGTATCACCCTCGGCCTTCTTATACTTGCGGGCCATATAGAAGATGCGCCATCCAAAGAAGGCCAAGACGCCCGTGAAGACAACCAGAGTGACGGCCGCCAACAGCTTGGCTGCCCATGAATCACCGTTCTTTAGCTGGTAGATACAATACAGCACCCAGATACTGTACAGAACGAGAATCATGTTGGTAATGGTCCGAGCCATGATACCCCAGTAGTCGTTTCGGAAGTTTGTCAACTTCTTGGGGAAGTTGCCGTATAATGCCCACGCCTCTAATATAATCTTCAGGAGAAGAATGCCGACAACCACGACGGCGACGACAATTGCGAAGACCAAGAGAACGGTCATGAAGACATTGGCGGAAGGGATCATAACCTCGTCCATGACCGTCTTGGCTTTCGACTCAAAATCACTGGATGAGGTGCTGTTCGAATCGGAGCGGGACAGAAGGTTGATTGAACGGCGCATCAATTCCACACTTCGCTTGGTCGAGCTGCTATTTGACGATGAGCGACTCAAGCTGGTCAGGTAAGCATAACTATCATGGGTCAGATTGCCACCGGTAGCTTCCCGGAAGGAATCGATCGATTCCTGCATGTTTTTCCAGGAGACCAAGCCAGTGCTCCAGACGAAGTTCTTGCAGAAACTCCTATAGACGGTAGGGTAGCTGACACTCAACATGCCATTGGTAGCCATGCTATGGAACCAGCCCATCACATCACCAAAGCCCGGGCTAGAAGGGCTAGCGCCGGGATGCCCAGCCGCACCGAGTGCGGAAATGCCACTCAGAGCCAGAGCACCGGCCGCGATGCCAGCCGAGGCCCAGCTGACAGCTTTGAGGCTGGTGGACCTTCCATTAGATAGCTCGGACTCGACACATGCCACGTCCTCTTCGGTGCTGGTGGACTTCAGGGTCAGCGTGGCCTGTCCATCCAGATCCGGGATAGCGAATGCGATTGAAGGAATCTCCGAGGCGTATGTAGCAGGTACCGTCATACTTCCTTGGGCGGAAAAGGAGCCCGAGGGGACTAATGCGCGTCAGGTCAGCTGGATGGATGGACAGCACGAAGCGTCGCAGGGCACACTTACCTGGGCACAACTTAGCCACATGGATCTCGCTACCACATGGGTTGAAAGTCTTCGTGTAGATTGTATTGCCATAAGCGGTCACCTTCAAGGTGGCGATGACATTCTGTTCCTTTGAGTTGGTACCAGCCAAATCGAAGACCACTTCTTGAGTTGAACGAGTGTAGGTGACATCTAGATCGGTGACGGTGATGGCGGAGTCGGTCATGCACAAATCGAAGCCGTCGGTGCTCAGGGTGTCGCCCGCTAGCACCTGGGGCATGAATACCAGGCCCAGGAGGGCTCCGATGAACTTTCGCATTTTCAGCCGGGCACTAATTGCGATGAATTGGGCGGAGGAACATTAACGGCGGATGGAACGGGGCGTTTTGAGCCGAAGAGAAAGACAGGGAGTAAAAAATCAACGCGTGAGCTCACAGGATCAACCTGTGGGGAGAAAAGGAGAAACTTGAGAGCTAATGTCGCGAATGCTAAGGAGAGTGGTATAAAGCAAAGAATGAGACGGACAACAGTAACGAGTGAGAGATGGAACGGGTCGCAGAGGGCCAGAGTCCTAGGAGTCCCCAAAAATCGAATTGCGGTTCGAGTTCGAGTTCCAATCCCAGTTCCCAGTCGCAATGTCCCGAGAAAGTCTCGACCGATGGATCCTTACCCCTGAGTATGGATTGGCCCCAGCTCGTTTCAGAAGTCTAGACTCGTCGCAGTTCCACTTTTGACGGAAAGCGACCATCGTATTGTGGCTATTCTGATGTCGGAGACCGAAGCTGATCCCTCCTAGCCATGTGAGCGCCGCCAGCTGTGTGCCCGTTTCCTCATGGTATACACACCCATGTCCCATACAAGTGGAACCACGGAGTCCAGAGAGGCCCCAGTACGCCCCCGAATCAGCCCTAACACCCTAAGACGCCCCTCGGCGGCCCGGCCACCGTGATCCATGGTTGAATTGGCTGAAAGCAGTGCTGGGTCCAGCCACCGTCTGCCCACTTGGGCGGGCCACTACGTGTCCCCCATGCCTTGCAGAATGTTCCTGGACTCCAGGAGAAGACTTTGCCGGAGACATTCCATCTGGGCATGGAACATCGCCACATACCGTCGATCGCATCGTTCCAGATTATAGTGGATCGACACTGATCTCGGACACACGCTTCACCTGGAATGACCTGGCGATTGAGCTTGTCGATGTTCCCCCAGCGCTGTCTTCAGTGCGGGATAGTGGATTCTGATCGTGCCGCGCGCCATTAAACTGAGACAGGCCAGGCGCGAGGGACAATTTGTTGGGTCACTCATGATCTTATTACCTCTGTCTCGCTATAGGCTGATCCGTGCCACAATGGGGCCTTCCTGTCACGTCCAAATCACGTCCAAATCACATAGCCCTCAGAGGTGGCGGTGTCATCACCCGGCTCCAAAAATACATCTGCCCCCATGAGAGTCGTACGCGAGCATGGGTCGTCTAACACCGATGTGGCGTCTGTTCTGTGCAAAGGGCATGGTGATGCGATCAGCTATGGGTAGTTAGCTATGATACATTTCGACCGTCTACCGACTACCGATTGTGGAAAAAATATATCACACAGGTGCCACCCACGAGACACTGCTTTATCGGACGTAGCACTCCACCTCCACTTCAAATCCTAGAATGTCTTATCAAGTTGGAGGGTACAATATTTCTCATAATCGGTCATAACTACTCCGCAGACGCGACATCGCGCACTATTTCTGCCCGGGTTTGCTCTGCATCTCCCGCATCGCGGCTCTCGCACTGCGACTGCCGCCCAATTTGGGTCCTTTGGGTACCTCGGTATTCTCTGTCTTGGTGGTACGGGTCTTGGGCATTCGGCGGCGGGCCTCGATGGCATCCATGAAGTCTCGTCGAAACTGCTCCGCAATTCGGTCGTCGGCGGCCTGGCCATCATGCGGGACTTCATCGTCTGGTTCGTCGTAGACATCCACTAAAGATCCAGCTTAGCGTCGCTGGGGAAGGGTCGGGAGGATGATACATACGTTTGCTTTCACGCAATACCTCCTCTACCAGTCGGTCTCGTTCGATGTCGGCGCTGGTCCGTCTTTTGCCCTTTCGCGACGCATTCTCACTCGGACCGAGGCGATCGCTCTGTGAAGCAGCTTCTCCACGAGGTAACGAGTCTTCATTCCCAACCAATTGTCGAGTGGCGGCTTCCGTACGTGCAATGTTCTGTAGTTTGGTCTCATGGCCGAGATCGATCTCGTGGAGTCGGCCGAGCGATGCTGGCTCGCGCTCAAGCTGCCCAGCTACGGTCTGGCCACCGGTGGGTTCTCGCGAGGGTCTATCAAGACTCGTGTTCTCCAGATGTGGGCTACGTCGGTAACGCTTAGCCATCTCGGAATCTATGTAGGCCATCCTTATCTTGTTAGTCGGCATCTCCCCCAAGCCCGCGCATCGAAGAGATCTCTCGTACATGTGTCTGTCCACATCCACCGTCTGGCCACTATTCCCGGTAAATCGATCCCTCATATCTTGACCTGTCTCTTTGTCCATATCTTTCGCAGAGCCCGGCGCTGTCCGCCGGCTGTCATCCTGGCCCATTCGCGAGGCGGCGGAGAATCCTATGCCACCTTTCCGAGTAGTACAAGGCCGTCGAAGGCGAATGACGCCCGCAGGCGCTGTATGATTGTCGTCGTCTCAGAGCAGGTTGAGCTCCATCATTTTCATTGCCATCGGCGATCAGGTCCCCGGCCGTAGTATTGGAGCTGTCACCAGGGCGCCGCCGTATAAACTTACGCCGTTTCGCAGGGCGAAAAAGAGACTCTGGAGCGAGATCAGGATCCATATCAATGGTGTGTCGGGTGCATTGACAGTTGAGAGGAAGAAAGAAGAATTGGAGGATCCAAGGTGAGGTCATTTGCCAAGATCCAATCAATCTCCGCCCAAAGCTGTTCCCGCACCGAAAAGACCGCCTTCCCCTTCTTCATTCGCCCTCTCAAGGTCTTGACTGGCATTGTCGAATACCTCGCGCAATCACTTCTTGCCTTTGCCGTCGACATGAATTCATCTAATCCGCCCCAGGCTGGCGAGTACGGTGGAGGTACGTGCTGCGCGATGCGACGCCCTTGTCTCTCTCTTTCTCTCTTGATTCCCTCAATTCCTTTCAAGCGAGGAAACGCGCGATGCCGGAATGAATGAACACTAATCCCTGATATCTGCGCGCTTAGATGAGGTCTCTGCCATTGTTCTCGATCCCGGCTATTCCACCACTCGCGCTGGCTTTGCTGGGGAAGACGCCCCCAAGTCCTTGATCCCGACGCACTACGGCAAATACAGTGCCGACGGACAAGAAAAGCTCGTCTTCGGCGACGACATTTTCGTGACTCCGCGTCCCGGCCTGTCTATCTACAACCCGATCGGCAAGGATGGCATTGTTGAAGATTGGGACATGGCCGAGAAGGTGTGGGAATATTCATTCACGTCACGATTGACTGGCGCAAAGGCCAGCAACCCCCTTCACAATGGCTTGAATGACATCTCTAATGATGAGCTCCCCACGGATATGGAGGTGGAGTCAGACGAGAAGCCCCTGGCCGACAGTCCGTTGTTGATGACCGAGCCTGGCTGGAACCCTGTCAGGGCTCGCGAGAAGACCATCGAGATTGCGATGGAGTCCTGGGGCACACCCGCCTTTTATCTGGCACGAAGTGGTGTGCTTGCGGCGTAAGTCTCGCGACCGATCTGATTTTTACAGCATGCATCTTGCCTAACACGTTCCCTGTTCAGATTTGCCTCTGGAAAAGCCTCCGCCCTGGTGATTGATATTGGCGCTTCGAACATCTCTATCACACCAGTTCACGACGGCATGATCCTCAAGCGAGGCGTCCAGCACTCTCCCCTAGGAGGCGACTATGTCTCATCCCAGATCCGCGCACTGTTCAAAAAGAACTCCCCGCAACCCATTACTATCACGCCGCATTACTTGATCTCCTCAAAGACTGCTGTTGAAGCTGGCCAGCCACCCCAGGCCAAGTACAAGACCTTTCCCGCAGACAAAGCACCGGACGCTACCTACCGCGCTCTTCTCGAGGAGCGGACATTGTCTGAATTCAAGGAGTGCGTGGTTCAGGTTTGGCCTGGGCCGAACAAGCTCTCTGCCACTGGCCCTACCGGTGTCTCCAATGAGGAGATGGCTCGCAGTTCTCCCGGCCGTCCATTTGAGTTCCCCGACGGATACAATCAGCTCTTTGGCGCGGATCGCTTCCGGGTCGTCGAATCCTTGTTCGATGCGAAGGCCGCCATTCCTGACCCAGACTCATCTTTCCCTGCCCCAACGCAGACTCAAACCCTCCCAGAGCTGATCAAGGCGTCCTTGAGTGGTGTCGATGTTGATATCCGGCCTCATCTTCTGGGCAATGTTGTTGTGACTGGAGCGTCTAGCTTGCTCTACGGCTTCACTGATCGCTTGAACCACGAATTGATGCAGCTCTTCCCCGGACCGCGCGTGCGTATCTCCGCTCCCGGAAACACCGCTGAGCGACGATTCGGTTCTTGGATCGGAGGAAGCATCCTGGCCAGTCTTGGCACCTTCCACCAGATGTGGATCTCCAAAAAGGAATATGATGAACATGGTGCAAACATCGTGGAGAAGCGCTGCAAATGATCCCGGAGTAATTTCGAATTTGTTCGGCCATGGGCTCATGTGTTATGAAAAGGTCCGGCTTTGTTGGTTTGTGTATGGGCGTTTACTGCTTTGGCGCTTCGCCGGGGCTTGCAATGTGTATTAGGCTCGGCCATAAAGGTCTGAAGACTCAATGCTAGGTTTTCATTTCCGATTGATTTGCACAGCCAAAGAGCTACGTTGGAAGACTTTTGGTTAGAACAAAGGTCAACATGAATATGATCTTCGCCGAGGCGAAATTAGACTCTTTCACAAGTGTTTCAGGAAATTTGTCATTTGTCTTCGGGATCAGCTCAAAAATTGCTGTCACTACCAGATAGCGCTCTGCCTTTGAGCTATCTGCCGGCAAAGGAGAAGGAAATTTCGTGTAAAAGATGGTTCTGCTGCATCTGAATGCGCGCCCAAGGGGAATTGATTTCTTGCAATACAGATGCGGGGTATATAACGAGCCAACGCGAGATTCCAACTGAGCAGTAGACCTAACATTCAGACTCTGCCCGTCTATAGGTAATTTCTGTTTTGTGGTCCCGATGCGTCCTGCTTTCGTCCCCACACTTTGTGCGCTGAGCAAGGATCTGTTGAGAAATAAATGTGCAGACCGTCCAAGTCATCACGCTTATGCGCAATCAACTGTTCGAGGTCTATATTCAATAGCCACCTGTTGGTTCGTCAGCCATACCTATTCCAATGGAGAGCCTAGTGATATGCAACTAACCGATGAAATTGATGCTGGTGTCGGTGGCAAAGCCGGTAGCGCTGTAATCATCGAACCGGTCTCGGCGCTCATATCGGAAGCCTCCTCGCTCTCCTGAGCAAAGATCAATTCTTCATCCAGGACCAGCTGTACAGAAAGCACGTGAATTCGAGGCGAAGGCTTGGGCTTTTGTTTGAATGAGTATGTATTCAAAAAGTCCGGTTCCTGCACCCAGGACAACTGTCTGCCTAATCCAGCGGCAGAATGACCCGATTTGCTGGGCTGGGCTCGTAAACCCTCAGACGATTTGGCCCGGAATATACTGCTGGGCCACTCCTTGGTCTTGATGAGTGTTTGGCCATAGCAGTCTGCCTTGGTGGTAATGTTTTCCCATGCTTCAACCACGCGGTCCGTCTTCAAGAAGTGGGATATTTGGTCCTTCATTGTTTCACTGCCATTTGGAAAGTGGGGAGCTTGTCGTCGCGAACGATGGGGTGATCTTGCCATTGATTGCTGGGTCTGCAGACGGTCATTTGCCCATATGACCTTTAATTGTCCGATAGATGCACTGCGGGATTTGAGTGTCCGAGCTGGAGCTGTGAATGGACGATTTTGAGGGATCTCCGTCTTCTCACTGGCCGATCGTCTAGTGAGGAAGGGCTTGGAGAGTCGTTTCGTAAGTCTTCCTGGTGTTCGAGGCATCGTGGCATCCGAGTCTATAGAATTACGTCCTGCTACCAAGGCGCTGCATGATTTCGCTCGGTTGATGACCTTTGGGAGGACACTTTCTCTTTTAGTGGCCTTGGCATCGTTGAGGTTCCTGTCGCGTTTTGCTGTTGGCATTTTGACTGTCTGAGAAGCCGGTCGAGAAGCTGGTCGAGGGGTCTGGGGTTGCAAAAAAGGATCACCTGGTAAGGGCTTTTCATATCCTGTACGCGCACCTGGAGTGCCTGACCTCCTCACAAGAAGCCTTTGTGAAATCGACAAGGTTCGAGTCGGGCCTTTGCTGGTCGTCTTGATCATGGATTGCACATCCTTCCGGCTAGCCACCCCAACGCGCCGCTGCATCTCAGTGACTGCAAAGGCCAATTTACCAAGTGCCTTGGACAGTGCTTCCCCGCGCCGACGAAGTTTGGCTATCGCGTTGAACCAACCCTCAATATTGTCTCTCATGGTTTGATAGAAAGGGCTGAGATGACCCGTTTCAAAACAGCCTTCATTTGCCTGCTGGCGCATGTAGTACCATAAGGCTGCCATGGCCTCCTTGCCCTTGTGAAGATCTTTGAGCGAATCCGTAATGGTTAGTGTAAATCGATCGACGGCGTGTTCGATCTGATCATTGTAGGACACGAGGGATAATCGAAAATTCCGGTCTTGCAACATTTCATCAAACACGTCGAGATTGGCGAGAGGGAGACTCAGGTATTGTATCCTAGTGCGTACATCCAGATGAATAATCATGAAATCCTCCGTGGTTCTTTGCAGGAAGCCATCCAGCTCGTCGACATGGCCTTGAAGAATCTTCATCACGTCGAGATCGGATTTCGCGAGCCGCTTGACCAGAAGGTGGACACCATATACCATCTGGGAAACCAGCTTCCAGAATGGATGGTATCTACATCTGAGTCAACCCCACATGCTTCAACGAAGCCGAAATACCATTCTCTTCTTACCTTTCTTCGGCTCTCTGGCGCCATTTTCGTCCACATAGTCGTTCATATTCATCGTTTTCTAGCAGATCACGCCGACGTGTCTGCGCATCGATTTCGACGGCCCATAGCTCTGCGAGGTTCTTGTTTGCTTCCAAAATCGACTCTTCGAAGGGACCCTGGAGCTGGGTGATTGGATGGCTAGGGTATGACGCTTGCGGTGTATCCACAGCCGTTGAACAGGCCAGCTGTTGTTCGGGTTCAACTCTACCAGCAGTAGGTGTGTTGTTCATACCCATTGCCGCCAGTGATTCTTTACCATGAAGCTGCCAGGGACCCAACTGATCGCGCGTCATTTGAGCTCCGCAGGGTTGCAGGGTTCCCTTTAACCCCTCTTCAAGTATACATTCGTGGTATTGGGCAGTCGCTGAATTGGTTTAGTCGCGGTGGATGACATGCCAATCAAAGCGTATGCCAGCATCCATCGGGACGCAGTCTGGTATTAAACCGCGTTCGTGACCAGCCTTGTGCGGCGACTATGTGACGAGGGGGTTCCGCGAATGGCTGGGAGATTGGCGGACTTGAATCAGCACGCAAGGACGTATATTACGGGGGGAGGATGTTAGAGGGGGGTATAGCAGAGACACGAACGTTAAACCGGAAACCGAAACCGAAACCTCAGTGGCGGGGCGAAAGGGATTGAATATATAGAAAAAAAAGAAGAAAAAAAAGTTGAGACTCGCGGGGACCACGAGTGTTCGAATAATAAGTTCGAGTCGATAGCAGAAATTACAGGGTTTAGATATCAATAAGGAAATAAGAGAATAGAAGATGGGATTCGATAAAACGGGGCCGAAATGAGCGGTCGGCGCAGATGCCTCGAAAGAATTTCGTGTTCCGATTGATGGTGGAACCTTTCACCAGGGGCAGTTTGACACCGGCCTCTCCCATGGATACCCCTTATGGCATATCCACTATGCTCGACAAAGAAACAGAACGACGATCGGAGATCCTGCGAAGAGTGCGCCTTTTGACGATCCCCATTTGTTTCCCCACAGACCGCGCTGGCGTGGTCTAGCCCTGCTGCTTCACTGAATCTCCGTCTGCTCTTCATCGGCGAAAATGGGATCCCAAAAATTTGTCGGCAAGGATAAGTCCAAGAAATCTCCAAATAATGTGTCAATATCTGCAAATCCGTTCATCGAGGTATCTAGCACGCCTATCGCTGCTGGGGGGCTCTCCATCGGCACTTCGGGGCCCGATCCCATAGGTGCCATGACCGAATCGGTTTCGGTTCCTCCATGAGCTGGACCATCATTCCCATTCCCATTCCCATTCCCATTCGAGGTTTCAGTGGCTATCGGAACGGTCAGAGCCGCGCCGGTTGTAGGTTGCGAGACTGAGGGTGCTGATGCTGGGTGCCGCTGATGCTCATAGTCAATCTGTTGCAATGCTTTCCTTCCCAGACGAGCCATTGCCTCCGCAGAATACCACTGTGGACTAAGATTCTCCAGCAGTGAACAGCATGCTTCCAGGCTAGCCTTGGCTCGGTCGAAATGAGTGACTAGCTTGCTGGACCGGAGCTGTCGATAGGAGACACCCATGGACAACGTAATTGCGTAGGGTACAATTGGAAAAGGTGGTAATTTGCCTCTACATTCTGATGCGACAATAAAATGAATACGAATGGCTGCGAGACCCTGTCGTATAGACGAGACTCTACTGCTATCAAGGCCCTCGGTCAGTTTGTATCGACAGGACAAAATTGCCACGCAATGATAATAGAGCTCCAGGATACCTGTCATGACAATTAGCTCTCATTCGGTTGAAACTTGACAGGATCTTAAGAACAATCGTACCCAGAGTCGCATAGTCTAAATCTCCTTGAGCGTTCTCTCCCACGATATCTTCAAAGGCAGGAAATCCCTCTTCCCATCCGCTCGTGGTACCCGCAGACGGTCTATAAAAGGATATGACGGTTGCAAGAAGGTCGGAGATGGCCAGCCATACCCCGAATGCGCCGTGGTTCTGGGGTTGGGTATTGGGTTTCGCAACTCCAATATCGCGATCGGCCAGGAGCACCGGACGCCCGCCAATGCTTGCATGCATTTTGTCCAACGTCCACATACACCAGAAAAGTTCGGCAAGGGGGTCCACAGATGTTCGGTCCGGCCGGTCTAAATGTAAACCTATCGTTTGGGCCTGGTGGATGGCCTGGCACAGGTGAAGCGAAGCCGCCTCCGCTCCTTCATATCCTTCACAGTGTAGAGACATCAATGCCAGTATACGGATGCGAGTCAAGCGATCCGTCTCCAGTTCTGCATCCATGGCTGCGACAAGTCCTTTGTAAACCTCGCTACAGAATTGACGTGGGGTTTGTAGTAGCCCACCCTCCGCGAGGTGTAAATGAGAACAAGCAGCAGCGTCTTTGGCAGCGACAAGGCAGATGGCTCTCTCGAGAAAAATCGAGGTCAAGCCTTCCGCCTGGTCATGTAGGAAAGCATCCCTTTCGATGAGGGGAATGATATGATTAAACCTTGAGAAATAGATAGCCGTTAATGGATCGCGTGTCACGAGTGGAAGGGGGCCACACGCTTGCAATGCAGACCCGTAACGTTGATGCAGAACCGATGCTATCGAGTCACCGTCAAGCGTTGATTGGGGCAGGCCATTAGGTACAGGCTCCGAGCCAGAGGTCTGGCGCTTGTTTCTCGCGCTGCCAGCATTCTCTGGGGTTTGCGAGCTGATCCAAAGCCCAATGCGGTCGCGAAGAGGATTACCAGTAGACTCATCTAGTCTTTCTCGAATAACAGCTTCGGGGTTCAGATCACCAACAAATCTTTCCGTGCTAGGAAATGATGGCAAGGCCGCATCCGCAGACGCAGTTCTCATCCGGCCCGGAGCGTGGGAATGAGAAGACCGGTGACGTGAAGTATCGACAGTGAAGGTGCTCGAGACACCGCCCCTGGAGTTGCGGGAAAAGTGATCATTCACAATGTCCGGATTGGCAGTCAGATGTCGACATCGTTTCTAACATCTCCTTAGCAGTGACCACGAGATCTGTTTTGCGTTCGAATACCTTTCTCCGCTGGCAGGCGGGACAGGCTCGCAGAGCTCGAGTTCTACTCCGCGACTGAGGAGTGTCGGCAAGCCAAGTGAGCTCCATGGGATCGAAGACGCGTACTTGGTCCACATCGTACCTTCGAACGGTACGACCGGAGGCGTGAGGAAGCTTGCGGTGGTTTTATCGATAAGTGGCGGGCGGACCACCAACCGCCCCGAACCAGCGATCCGCCTCTTTCTCAATCCATGACACTGGATATTCCCCCGGCCTTTCGATGCATCGGATGTCTGGCTGATTTGGATTGTGAGCAATAATGCGTTGCATAATTTATTTCCTACAATCGCCTAAAATGATCGTTCTATTTGCCCCAGGACATTGCACCTTTCGTCATGTATCTAAGCTGATGTCTTGAAGCACCGAATCGGAGATAACCGTTGAGTCTCGTAGAAAATCCAAGATTTTAATACACCACAAGCCCCCTGTGCCTATCGGAGCTGGCAAATGGCCGAGAGAAAATTGAGCAAGTAAAATGCGGAAGAGTGCCGCAAGTCATGCAAAATCAATGCCTTGTTTAAGCCTCTACCTCCGCAAGAGCTTCGAGAACGTCCGCGTCATCGAATTCGTCTTCCACGGGAAATTGTTTGGTTTCTTCTTTATCCGGACAAGAAGCCGGAGCATTTCTTGTTGATAACGCATTTTTGGCCAATACAGACGAGTTTTCCTTATTTGAGGACGGGGAAATGGAGTGCTTGGTCGGTACGAGACTCCAGTCAATGATTTCGTCGTCCCCATATCGTGACGCCAGCCAGTCGTTGCATTTCCTGAAATGACCGTTGTCAAACTGGAATCCAATGTTAGCAGCGTGTGGCATATGACACAGGTTGTGTCCACGAGCAGCAACAGGTAGTAACTTACAAATCCTCGATGGGCACTCAGTGGACTAGGATGCACTGATTGCAGTACACAGTGCTTCTGTCGGTTGACTTTTGCCACTCGCATTCCAGCGGGTTTGCCCCATGCCAGGAAGACCACTCCGTTTGTGCGCACTCGAGCAACCAGATCAATTGCCTTCTGGGTAAATTTCTCCCATCCCTTATTGGAGTGGCTATTTGCCTGATGGGCACGAACCGTGAGACAGGTATTGAGCAGCAGGACACCCCGGTCGGCCCAAGGAGTGAGTAGTCCAGCATCATTGGGCGGGATTTGAAAATCCGGGTAATTTTTCTTAATTCCTCTGTAGATGTTCACTAGAGATGGCGGAGCTCGAGTTGGAGGTCGCACAGAGAACGCTAAGCCGTGAGCTTGATTGTCATTGTGGTATGGATCCTGGCCGACGATGACAACTTTGACACTGTGCAAAGGCGTGTGTCGGGACCTTGATATGTTAGCACAAGACAAGGGATGATGGGCTCGGACTCGAGATACCAGGAATAGATATCCTCCTCTGGAGGAAAAACCTTGGCATTGGAATCTTTCTCCTTCTTGAGAAAGCGCTTGAGATTCAGGAAATCTGTGCTTAGAATCTCATCTTTTAGATGAGCAAGCCAACTCTCGTCCAAAGTATCAATCTCTAACTGCAGCAGGTCCTTTTGCTCCGCTGTGAGAGACGTAACCCATTTGTCCTTGTTGAAAGAAGTCGATTGATGCAGTACCGGAGCCGAAGCTAATTCCTGTGTGGTAGGGTGGGCTTTCGACTTGGGGGGGGCCAAAAAAGGACGTGATACTAGCGCTTTTGGGCTTTTTGCTGTCTGCCGATGAGGCTGAGAGGTGGTCCGCGTTTCGTTTCAATGCCGGGCTAACCATGGCGAAGGAAAGGTTCGTTGTTACCGAAAAGCGATCACTGTCATTCAACAAAAAGTGTGAGGAAAGTCAATGCAGCAGGAAACGAGGAGTCTGAAGATACGTCGTCGACGTCGATCTACGCGTTCCGCGACAACGCGTCGTAGATTAGATAAGGCGAATCCGACTCCACAATAAAGCACGGATCCATCACATTCAGATTCCTCTCCTACGTGTGCCACTTCCCCGACTCTACACAGGGCTTATGGAATAGGCATGCTTGTTACTCAAAGGTCCATTTCAAACTGGTAATACAAATGACTAGGCACAATTATCCAGGCGAGGAAAGTTTACAGCTCGTCGTGAGCCTCGTCGGAAGGAGCAGGAGTTTCAGCGACCTTGGAGGCCGAGACAGTGACATCAGCGCCCTCCTCGGGTTTCTTGGCACCATCAGCCAGGCCGTCGATCTCGTATTTGCCGTTCTCCTTAATGAACTGGACAAGGTCCTCGACAGTGCGCGAGCCGGCGTACTCGACAGGCTCGTCCTTTTTGCCGGCGGGGAAGAGCTTGATGGTGGGGAAACCAGTGATGGAATCGGGAACATCGTTGGCGGTGGCATCAATCTTAGCAACCACGACCTTGTCCGCGACATCACTGTACAGAGCGGCGAGCTCATCGTACTTAGGAGCAAGACTGGATAGAGAAAACCATTAGCACACGTATCACATGAAGGGCGAAATGAAGCTTACGCCTTGCAGTGTCCGCACCAGGGAGCATAGAACTCGACGAGGACATCCTTCTCGTTGTCAATGACAACCTCCTGGTAGTTGCGGCCCACAACCACGGTGACAGAGCCTTCCTGAGACTCCGGGATAGGCTCGGACTTGATGCTTGGCTCAACCTTGCCGTCCAAGACGTTCTGAATGAATTTGCCGACCTCTTTGGCGTCAAGCTTCTTGGACTGATCATAGGGGAACTTGGAGTTCTTAGTGGTCTCCTGGATAGCGAAGGCTGGGAATTTCTCGGGTTCAAGGTTCAGGTTGCTGGCGTGGGCGCCGAAGAGCTTGGCATCAAGGGTGACGACGTTGATGGCTCCACGGTGCTTCTCGGCGATGGGGCGGAATTCTTCGGCGAACTTCTCACGCTCCTCAGCGGTCTCAGCGAAGATGTACGCCAATGGAATACCAGCCTGTCGAAATTGGGATGCATATTAGTCAAACCATACGTCGAAGACTTCTCTATAACTTACCGCCATGTACTTAGAATAGGTCTCAGGGCCCAGTTCGCCAACCAGAGGAGTGCTAGCGGTCTTGACCCATTTGAGGATGGCCTCCTCCTCAAGCTTACCGTCGTAGACGGCCTTCTTCTCATCGAAGTCCTTGTAAAGGACAACAGAAGGCTGCTTCACGCCCTCCGATTTGGCGAGAGAAACGTCATTTGAGGCACCGAACAGGTAAGTGTCTCTTTGGGCCTCAGCAAGCGCGGTGAAGCTTTTGTTAGCGGTCTTGTCATCGGAGGCCACATAGCCGACGATGACGATTTTATCCATGGTCTTGAAATCCTCCAGATTCTCCTCAGTCACGCTAGAAACGGCGGGCATCGATTGCTTGGTCATGTAAGAGACAATCCTATGTAAAACAAAATCATGCCCGTCAGCAGGTGGTCACGAACGCGTCGCAATGAGCCAGAGAAGCTTACGATTCAGTTTGGCGGGCGCCTCCATATGGCTTGTGCGATTCGGCGCCACGGAAGACCTTCAAAGTCGGGTATCCATCAACCTCGTAACTCCGGCAGAGGTCCTCCTCGACGGTGCAGTCCACTTTAACCAAGGGAATGTTCTTGCTCTTCAACTCCGTCGCGGCCTCCTCGTATTTGGGCGCCAAACCCTTACAGTGACCACACCATGGGGCGTAGAACTCAGCGAGAACGAGCGGGTGCTCTTTGACGAAATCGTCAAAGGTATCCTTGGTCAAGGTAATGACATTGGAGTCGGCAGCGTCAGCAGGTTCGGCAGCGGAGACAGCTGCGACAGCTCCGAGGAGGCTCAAAACCAGAGGTGTAAATGACCGCATGGTGGTGGGTGTAATGAAGAGTATGAGGAAGGTATGAAAAGTGGAGGGGGACGAATTATTAAAAGGCCCCACGAGAGTTAAGGACAGTTTGTTCTTTGGGGGCCGAGTGGAGCGGGAGCTGCAATGCAGGGAAACGCAAGGGATGTTCCTTAGGCCCGCCCTGTGTCCAGGTACCCGCCCTTCCAGCCCTTTTGATATGTGCACGCAGGTACCAGCTACACGCTACACGCTACACGCTACACGTTACTGCACGAGTTGCACTTTAGAGGGGATCGCTTCTGCTCCTAGCCCTGTTACACCGGAATCCCAGGCTTACGGCTATCATAGCCTGCATTGCTTCCTAGGATTGGTAATCTCGGTACGTGTGCCACCAGCTTGCTTCTACTTCTGCAACCTCCTCTACTATAGATTCAAATATGATCGTCAAAATTAGCGACCCGAATTGCATGCGCGCTTGTCCTTGGCTATCAATAAATAATATTCAATACAAAGCTGCGGAAGTCACGCTCAACTGATCCTCCGGCCGCGTAGAAATAGCTCCATACCCAGGGGCTTCGGAAACTTGATCTAACTCAGCCCCCAGCGCCAGAGCATCCCGTTTGCCACGGTCCACGTCGACCAACAGCATGAGAGGCAATGGGAGGAATATCAAAATGGCAAGGAACAGAAATGCGGGTCGGATCCCGCCGTATCGATCCGTAATGGCGCCAACAATCGCGGGGCCGAACACGCTCGATCCTTTATCGGTGATCGCGTAGAGAGCATAGAAGGCCGCTTCGTATCCCGGTGGGATCAACTCCGCAAAGAAGCTTCGGCAATACGACGATAGCCCGCCCATGACAAGCCCATACACAGCTCCGAGCGGGTACATCTCCCATGGTTGTTGGAGACCAATACCCAAACGCTGCACGGATGGAAGATAACCTAGAATCCCGTACAGGGGAATCAGCTCGAACAAAACGATACACGCAATGATAGTTTGCGAGGCCCGAAGATGAAGCAGGCTTGATAAGTAGCTCCAGGAGAAAGCGCCAAATACCCCCGCAATCATCACAACCACGTTGATCAGTCCAAGGGCTGCGGGCTTCATGTTTAACTCAGTCTTAGCAAACAAGACGGCGGTGCCGCTGACAGTGGCAATGCCGTCACTTAGTAGAAACCAGGCCGCTAAAAAGATTAAGATATCCTTGAGGCGACGTGCGCGCATCGCAGTCTTTCCAAGTGACATCCAGGCATAGATCATGTATGCGATCCAGGAGTGAAGCGGTTTTCCGTCTGGGCCCAGAAGTGGAGGCCCAGGCCGAGCTCGCAGCCAGATGGCAGCAGGTATGGTAAAGATGAACCACCACAATCCAATCAGAAATAAAACAAGCCGCAAAGAGAATGTTGTTTGTTTGATAGTCATCACCACGAGAATAGCGATGATTTGGAGGGACACTGCTCCAACATAGCCAATACCGATTCCGAATGAAGAGATCCTTGTGGAGAGACTAAGCTGTAGTGAGGTCACAGCTGTGGCCTCTGCCTCGCTGGTCTCCCTGTTGGCACCAAGCAAAGGCGAAGAGTCATCGGGACTCAGTTGGGCTTCGAGACCCAAGGGAGGAGATAAGTCCCCGTTTGATGTATTGGCAGCCTCTCGTGGTCGATGTCCCTCGAGAATTGAGGGATGATGGCGCACAAGAACCGGCAGAAACGAGTTGAGAAGGACAAAAGACGCACCGAAGCAGGTATTCGCCACAATAGCAAGGAACCCTCCGAGGAGATAGACTTGAGGCACAACCACAAGGAACAACATGGTAGCCACCGAACCGACAAAAGCAAACAGAATTAGGAGCTTCTTGCGATAGTTGCCATGATCGGCGGCACCGGACATGGATATGATCAGAATCGCCTGGACCAGAACGCTCAGTGAAAAGGTATACAACGCAAAGCTTGCCGTATTAATCTCCGAACCGAGGAAGTAGATGATACACTGGCGTACGCCAGACCCCTGGGCACCATATTCGGCGGCATGGGACAGTTGCGTGGGGGGGATTCCAAGATGGAGTACACGGAGTGGTCTTATCTGACAAAAGAACACCGCGATCCCTTGCCATCTGCTCCAAAGTAATCGGGAGGAAAGAGCCTAATCAGTGTCAGTGGGAACTCCAGAACTCGAGGTGTGTACATACCCATGGCACATACGGTGAAGACCTCGGCCGCCCAGCCGTAGCAGTACCAGCCAGCCAGCTCTCGTTGGCTTGTCGGGCGAGGATCATCCCCGGAAATTGAGGGATTTGGCCATCGGCCTCATGTTGAGACATGGCTATACTTCCTGAGCTCGACCTAGCCAGGTACGTCGACAAGGGTACAGCTAGATAGCTCGATAGCTCGGTAGCTCGGAAGTCGTGGTGAGGTCATCTGTGGTCTAACATTCCTCGTAATCACCTTGTTTCGTACGGTACGAGACAAGGTGGCAGTCAACGCAAAATAACCAATACGGCTCTTTAACGATATTACTAATAACTAGGCATCAAGGCATCAAGGCACCAAGGAGGCAGGCGGTGCGTGCGCATTGCGCGCTTTCACAATTCCATCTTGGGCCTCGCCCTTCACCGTTCCTGATAAAATCTTCCTCTGTGTTCGATCTCCGATCTTCTCTGTACCTTGAGCTGGCTTGCCGTCGTCCTCGCGACACCTGTGTGAGCCTTTTAACCCACATCCACCCACGTCCACCTCAGATCGTCCCATCGTCCCGCTAAAGCCAGGCGCAACGACATCCGGCCTGCCGTGCCCGAAGCTTTTCACTTGTCCTAGCTTTCCTCGATTGCTCCTGCACTTGATCGCCTTGTCGACACTTCGATTCGGGCTCTCCGCATTTGCCTGGCTCCTTTGATTATGATCGCGACCATTGTTTTGCACGGCCAGTGATACGCATGGCACTGGGCTGAGAACATCTAAATTTCGCCTGGGCTTTACTTCCAGCTTCCCTTCCTATCATCCGCTCCAGCTGAGTCGAGCTCGGTACAGCGACTGAACTAGGCTGTGTGTTCTGTGCTGTGCAGAGGGTCCAGGAGGGGAAGGCTAAATTGGTACCGACACGCGCTGACACGCGCCGACGAGCCGAGTGGATTAGACATGCCCGGCGTCGTCATGGAAAAAGTCAACGCCGAGGGACCTATGCGAAGGTCGGATGTAATCGAGGCTACGAATGGCGCACCTGGGTCATTTGGGAACATCGATAAATCCGGACAATTCTCTGCATCCATGAACGGGCCGGTCCATGTGAATGGAGCAGGAAAAGGAGCAGATGACTTGACTCAGCATACCAAAGTAGCATCTCAAACGACAGGAGATATGGTACCAGCACCCTTCGAACTGCCACACATCACTCAAGGATTCTTTCCCTTTGGAACACTCATCAATCGAGCTGTACAACAGTGCTGGAATGATCTTTCCGATTTGATCACCGAGTTAGCTGCTATCCAAGTTTCCTCTGAAGGCTCCAATGCCCCAATGACAAATGGGAAACCGACGGGTAATCAGTCTTCAGAGAATGTTCATAAGAAATTACGGATCCTAGACTTTGCGCATACTAAGAGAGCAGAGTTTATCAAGCTTCTTGTTCTTTCCCAGTGGAGCCGACAGGCTGCAGAGGTTAGCAGGCTCATTGATATCCAAGGTTTCATCCGCACACGACACCAAGCGTACGAAAACGCAGTTCAATACGTTGGAGAGGTGAAGCGTGACCTCGTTCGGGCTCAGGTCGCCAACCCGGATTTGAAGACAGCTCTAGAGGTTCTTTCAAAGGGCACAGTAGCATCTCTGCCAGATGTAAGTCTGAGCGTACTTCGAGGACCATTCCTGTTCGGTCTTCTCACGCGTCTGTTTATCGGCATATATCTGACAGTATCTCGTCCAGTTCGGCTACAAGCCCCCCAAATCATTAACTGCACGCGCAACGCTGAAATCATTGCGTAAAATTAACCGCATTATCAGCATTCGGCTCGCATTGCATGACCAAGCACCTTGTCCATTGCGGAATTATCGTGTCCATGATGGCCGAGTGACATTCACCGTCCCTGGGGAATTCGAGCTTGATCTGTCAGTGGCAGAAGAGGCAATGACTTCACAGTTTTTCTTCGTGGACATACGCTTTCTTTTTTCCCCGTCATCTCCCATTCCGAAAGGTCGTATCTTCAACGAGCTCGATGCCAAGGTGAACGACCTTCTTCGCACCGAAGGCCTGATGGGATGCTACAATTTTTTACATGGGCTAGTCCTGACCAACAAGGTAAATACACTCTTCAGACAAGCCAGGGACCTTGCACGGGGCTTATGGTCTGAGGCTCTGCGTATTGAGCTGTTGCATCGAACCTTGGTCGTTCAATATTGGCCACTGCCGGCAGGGCCGAAAAGCTGGGTGGAAATCGGTGTTCGAAGAGGCCCAACCCGAAGCTATTCCCAGGATTTGGGCGACCACGCATCACGTCTTGGCCTTCGCTGGATGCGAGACGGGCAACAAGTGAATAGCGATGCTGTTCATTTTGATACAGAGAAGCTGTCCATGGAACGTATTTTGCGAAGTGTTATCGCATTGCACGCATCGCATCTCCTCGCAACTGCCTATACCACACTGAAAAAGTACAAACTTTTCTCTAACAGTACGCTGTCTTTGCGTGCGCAACTTTCTTCGACAGAACCAGGGGATTGCTATCTCGACATTCAATTAACATTCTCCCGGCATCTTCGGGCTTCTGTCGAACCCCTGTCAGGCATAATCACGTTATCAGGTACATCAAGCGCATTAGAGCGCCATGAGGGTGAGCGAGCCCCCAATAAATCGGCAATTGAGGAGTTGCTCGCTCGCGTCACACGTCTCAGATGCCTTACTGCGGTGGACGAAATTGAGTCTGGCATAAAGGCCCTTGGCCTTGAGAGTGTCAACCAAAGAGGCTTGGGGCTCGATGTCCGGCGGCTGTTCCCTTCTAATGTATTGCGCTCCGCGTTCTTCACTCATCCACATTGGGATCGTCGCTGGGTCGCTGCTGTGACAAGCAGCATGGATAGCGATAACTGGTGGTTGCTTCGACTACACCCGGTGGATGCCACTCGTAGTGGGACGCCCTTCGCTGTTCATGATCTTAACACCGGTTTCCCGCCAGCTCATGCAATTAGCAGAACGTTAATGGCTCAGCAAGGGCGATTCGACTACGCTGCCTGTGCAGAGCTTACTTATGGCTTGACAGGGATGCTGGCAATTTATGCCAATGCACGGTGCCTGGCAGACTTGCCTAATGCCTACTTCTATCCGCCACTGGAGCAATTGCAGTTGGGGAGTGACCTACAAGTGCCGGATCTCTACTTGCAGTATAAGACGTCCACGATCCCTTCCGCATTTCGGATACCTTTGCCGTCAGGGCTTGAAAAAGAATCCTATCTGCAGGATACTGTCCGTCTCTCATTCCATGGAATTGATCGTGAAAGTCAGTCAGTAGTCCTCATGGCTTATGGGACTTTACGATTCCGTATCAAATGCCTTATTCCACTTGTTTCACAGATGGATTCTTCCTTACTTCTGCAAGACAAAGGTAGCGGGTTTGCGCTTCGGTTGCTCGTACCAGCGGGCCACTCCGTGGTCCTTATCCTGTTTGAGCGCCTGCAGCGACTTGAATGTGTTCTATCCATCCTTCAATCTCTTATTCAGAAGCATATGGAGCCTCGGTCATTGTCGCTTAACGAGGTCGCGTTCTCCTATGGACCCAACAAGAAGTTCTCCTGTCGATTCGGCATCCATGTCTCGGGGCCTTCTTTATCAACCCAGATCGATGTTCCTCAGGCCCTGTCGAATCTCGATCCCCTTTTCCAGCTGCGCTTGCAGGTCAATTTCGACTACCCTAGCCCTCACCGTCGCATTTCGGAGTCCCTTACAGTGGCCTTGAACCATCGCTTTGCTGAATCCGGTGTCAACTCTATCCTCGGCTTTATGTCAGATACATTCCCGCTTCTGCACTGCCTCGATCAAATTACCCTCAAGCCGGCGCAGACACAGTCCTCACTGGTGCATGTCACAGTGAGGACGCCCGTTTCCTATCAAATCCACTATCCTCGCTTAAAATTTCGTTTCCGACTGTCTGCTCGCCCGCGGAATGGCCGCTCAGTATGGGTTTTAGAGGATGCCAATGCTACTGATCTGCTTGATCGCAGTCAAATCGTCGCAGCGGTACGAGAGAAGGTTTACAACTCCAAAGGCGATGGCTGGCAGGGTATTGGAGACGGTGCTATGTCTAGCATCGACGAAGTGGGAGGTCTCCTTTCCAGGCTCCACGAGTGCATGTGTGCTGTTTATCCAGTGCGCAACAAGCAGGACGATGAAGGGAAACCGGAGCAGCCTGCTACAAGTCCGCCGCGTCCCCAGGGAGTTCCTCAGCCTCCCAAACTAGCCACGGCCTCGCCGCAGAAAGGCGGAATGGGCAAGGCTGACGTCATCACGATCGATTAGCACTGTTTATCGCCGTGCTTGCGATCTCCGAAGGATCCGAAGGAGCTCTTCAGCCGTCTCCAGGGTTGCGTGATTCTTCGAAGGGGAGACTACGGTCTTCTCTTCGAGACTGTATTCTGTATTCGTAGACTCTCAATGTGACGCCTATTTCATGCGTTCTTGCTCAAGTCGTGTAGTAAAACACAGTTTGCTCTTTTCTGTCTGTACATTATTGGCGTAGCATCATTGCTTAATTTTGAATGTTCTGTCCATTGAAGGAAGAATGGCTGCAAGAGCAGCGAGACACATGCCAAGAACAATTCACTATGTAGTTTGCTCTAATATCGTTCTTCCTTGACCTTTCCTCGGTTCCGCAACAAATCATATTCAACCCACCTCACAGTCGGTGTCCCGCCTTCGGGTAGCAGTCTACCAGGGTTCATAACATGACAGCCCTCATAGGTCATGCAAAATGGTGCAGCCTCGGAGTCAGCTAGGACGAGGGCCGTGGGCAATGGGTAGAGTTGCACGGAGGAAGCGTGATCCCATAGGACAGGCCGTAGCTGAACGGGAAACGGAGAAATTGTTCCTTGATCCAGAATGGTCTTCACTAATTTGCGAGCCATCGAAGCTGTTGTCAGTTCGCTGTCAGCCTTGGTACCATTGCCCTGATCCGGCTTGGACGCAATAGAGACCGCATCGTTCGTCGAGCCATCTAATGCCTCGTGCATGGTGATATCGGCTTCAGCATCGTCGGGCTTAGTATTGATCGCAGTTCTTCGGAGTCGGCTCGAGATATCATCGCGGAAAATGACAATGTCATGCACTGGTCCAAACCACGAAAGGCGTGCTGGGTTGGATGTCCAAAGAGCTTCACCGACTGGTTCCATTGTCTGGGATCTTCCGAGCTCCGAGTTTGCATTTGCAAACACACGTCTAATTCGAGAGGTGAATAGCTCGGGGATAGGCTGTCGCGGAATTGCTGAAGCAGCCCCGGCCGAAAATGCAGATGCCCAAGGGTCGTTATCGCCTGGAACGAAGACGAAGGTCGAGTGTTGCAGTAGCGCAGGGAAGTCGGCCAGGACCACAGCGAGGGAATCAAAGTATTCCTTGTACTCGATACTCCCAGCCCGTCCACCTCCATTGATAACTGCTTCCTGTGAGAAGTTGCCCATCAAGACAAAGCTCTGAGGACGGTCGGGGAGGGCCAGGTCATTGTAGCTGCTGAATACCTTTCGGAGGGCGTCGAGCGTTCTCATGTTATCGAGATTTACCTCACTCATCACTGCGATCTTTATTCGGGCCGCGGTCTTCAGGGCCTCTTGTTCGCCTCGCAGACATTTCTCTTCAATTTTCCTCATGCGTGCACCCTGGGCTCGTTCGCTGCCAATACCCAAAAAATCAACCCAGCCAAAACCACCGCTAGAGCTGAGCTCGCTGCTGCCCTGACGGTTGCTCGTTCCCATGGAGATATCTCTGCGCTCACATGGAGGGCCACATATCGATACTCCAACAAAATGACCCCCAATGGTTCCACCTACCCCTGAGTTCCCTCCCAAAACAGATCCCTTGACCATCTCTTCTTCCTCGTAAATCCCATCAACGAGCACTATCATGCCTGGTGAGAACCATGCACCGTCCTTGGGGATCATGCGAGCATGACTCAAGTCCAATGACACACTTCCAGTCAGATCCACGAGTGACAAATCTCCCGTAGGGGAAATAGACAGTAGTCCAAGCAGGAGATGTGACGTTCCACTTCGGCCCAGTAGGTTCGCAATCGGGGTCAACTTGTATGACTGCTGAGTCGCAAGGTTTGATGATGAGCGCTGCAGTGAAGGGACGCCTGCAAAAGCTAAAGAGCTTTGAAATGATTCATTGCGAAGCAGTCGCTGATACACTAAGCTGTAGCGATCCCTGAAAAGTGCAGTCTTGTGGGAAGCAGGCGGAAACAACGTAGGTTTGGACTTGGTGGCTTCGAAGTATTTCTTGTCGATGTTGTATGTTAGGCGAGGTAAATCGAAGGCCTCAATTACCTTGAGCCAATGACGCGAATGAAGAGCAAGCTGAGATTCATTTTCCCTGACGTCTTCCAATCTCGTGAAAACTCCCTGTGAGTGATCGTTGCTTATTTCAAGTCGCCCTGCATCCACGCCGGTGGTCGATTTCACAGACCCGTCTTGATTGACCTTCCCAGCAACCACTCTCCCGCCACTCATACTGCCCTCGAGTGTCTGTAAAATCGCTTTCAATGACGCTCCTTTCCCCTCTTCCACGATAACACCGCCCCCGGCTCTCTTCCAGATCTTAGCCACTTCATCTAGAACTTTTTCCGCCAGGCCTTCTTCCCTCCAACCTGATCCGCAATGCTTGCCCACAAACACCGCTAGTGTCTGTAGTGCCGGTGACGAAATAGTGAGGTTGTGCTTGCGAGTGAAGGTCCGGAAGGCCACAGGTCGAAGAGTAGAAGGAGGGAGTAGAATGGGTAGGATCGAGGTCTTCGTGGGAGGTGCATGACCTTTTGGCATTCGAAAGGGGCGCGCTGGTGTTCCAAATGCAGGCGACGAGGAGGGAATTGGGTCTGCAGCACCAATTTTGAAGCGATCTGTATGTCGCGGGTGGATGCTGGATCCATGATGGCGTGTAGTCCGCGTGTCTCTGTGGTCTTCTTCTCTTCAAAAAAGATTCAAGGGCAGCGTAGGGCTAATTGAAGTAAATGATAGAGAGCTGGTCGCGAAGGGTGGTTGTAGGGGGAAAGGGACTAGACCAAATCCAAATGAGTGTCAAAATTGAAGGTCAACGTAAGACGCGTGGCACGGAACGCGACCGCGACTTATCGTTTATCGGCTGGTTGCTCACTTTACGCCCTTGCTGCTTTTCTCCTTCTCAACTCTCTCGTCATGGCTGAAGCTACCTCACATACCTCGGGTGCGCAAGACAAGCGCGCCCAGTTGGACGATCTCATTGCTCGCGCGGCGGCCAAAGATGCGACGAAAGATTACAATTCCGCTTCGGAGCTCTATTCTCAGGCCACCGAATTACAGGCAGAGCTCAACGGTGAGCTGTCGCCAGAGAACGCCGACCTTCTTTACGCCTACGGCAAGTCTTTATTCAATGTTGCCGTGAGCAAGAGTGATGTCCTGGGAACTAAGGTGGCCGACCCGCAGCCACAGACCGTGCCTTCAGTACATGCGACATCTGCCGGTTCGACTAGTGCTGGTGAGAACCGGGTCAAAGATACCATCTCGAATGCTATGACAAAGAACGTCTCCTCTGGGAAAGAGGTGGTCACACCTTCCGAATCCGCCCCGACCAAGCCCTTCTTTCAGTTTACTGGCGATGAGAATTTCGTCGATTCCGATTCAGATGATGAGGATAACGGCGAGGCCGACGGCGAAGAGGAAGAAGATGACTTTGCAAATGCCTTTGAGGTTCTGGATTTGGCGCGTATTCTCTTTGTTAAGAAGCTGGATGCTGCGGATGAGCGCAGTACCGCGAAAGGCAAATCAACCGAGCTACCGGCGAACGTGAGACATATCAAAGAACGACTTGCCGACACGTATGACCTCCAAGCCGAGATCTCTCTGGAAGCCGAGAGATTCTCCGACGCAGTGACTGATTTGCGGACCTCTCTCGACCTTCGAAACTCCTTGTTCCCATTTGAGGACCCCTCGGTCGCCGAATGCCATTTCAAACTGTCTCTTGCATTGGAATTTGCATCCGTCTCACAGCAGGGAGATGACGATGACGAAAAAACAAAGACAATGGACGAAGACATGCGAAAGGAGGCGGCGACTCAGATGGAGCGTGCTATTCAGAGCTGCAAGGTTCGAATGGCTCAAGAAGAGAACAAGCTGGAAGCCAGTCAGGATCTGGATGAGGACAAGGTGACTGTCGCAAAGCGAAAGATTGCGAATGTCCAGGAGATCATTGCTGACATGGAGCAACGAGTAAGCATCTCTAGCTTGGACCTTTGGGCACTTGGCCCCTGAGCTAACACACTATGCAGTTAATTGATCTTCGACGATCACCCGCATCGCTCGAGCAACACAACCAGCCAGACGAAGCCATGCTGAAGGGCATCCTCGGTCAGATTGTCGGTCATTCGCCAACCGATCAGAAGGCACGCTTGGATGCAGCCAGCAAAGGAGCAACAGACCTCTCGTCCTGGTCCGGCGAAAGCATAAAAAGTCAGCTCAGCAAGAAGCGTCTGCGGTCAAACGCCCCGCCGAGGATGAATCGCCGGAGGGAGAGACAAAACGTGCGCGGGTGGACAATGAGTGATACCTCAGCCATCTCATTGACTATTTTCCCCAACGTCACTGGAGCATTTCGTGAAACTGGACCTGTTCTTACACATTTCAAGAATACTACCATACCACTTGACCATTATCAGTTATAAACTGCCATCCACGGCTGTTGAGCGATCAGACTAGGTTAATTGGCCCACGATTGTAGCTTGGTAGGTCGACTTGGAGACTTCTGTTTGGCACCTAGTTCCCCTTCTTCCTGGGTTTGGGAGAGAAAAGTTTGTAAGTATCTTGCGCTGAAACACAAAGTGTAGATTTTGTATATTTCGCACCAAGTCGCGGAATTATCACAGGGTATCTTGTCACTAGACAGAAAAGAAATGAAGTGCCTCCATGTCCTGAGATATATCATGCCAATCCAAACATCGCAGGTCGCCTCTCCATCTTGCGACTTCTGCGGCGACTGGCCAGCCCTGGACTCCAAATGCCCGCGAAGAGGTCCTCGCACTCGTCTTCATCCTGGCTGTCAAACTCAGGTTCCGCAGAGCCTGAATTGATCTCGATGGACGGGTCTTCTTCTTTGGTAGGAAACACGACGCCTGGGGTTTCCCAACAGGAAGATGCTGTAATTTTCTTGGTCTCCAGGATGAATTTCCCCACCTTGTATCGCTGCGATTCCTCCTCGGCCGCGACATACTTCCAGCCTAGTACACCTCCGCAGAAAGCACAAGTGACATCGCTGACAGTATGAGCTCCTGTCACCAGCTGGCGTGGCACGGGGTGTTGTAAAATGGTATTAGGAAGGGTAGTTGTAGGAGATGAAGACGCGCAGACCGACACCGCACTGGCAACCGGATCCGCAGAGACGAGATATGCACGACCGTGACGGCCCGTGAATCCTTTGCTGATGATCTGCGATGTTAAGCAGAGATGTGAGGCACATTCAGCGCAGCGAAGGTAAGAGACATGACCGTCCAGGTATTTATCTGTGGGGCGTGGGGAGCTCGAGCGGGGAAAACGGTCATCCCGTTTGGGAAATGAGGGAAGGAGGAAACGAGGGAAAGGAAAGGCGTGCTTGGCTTTGTTCTTGGTCATAATTTCCGCAGTAGAAGTCTGTAGCTAGAATAGCCAGAGAAGCTAGGGTGACCAGAGAGTCCGGGAAGCGAGAGATAGATGTGAATCCAAAGTCCCGTGCTACGCGCTGAGATCTGAGGTCATCCGGGCTTATCTTATCAATCGCGATACATTTGGATTTCGGAAAGCTCCAGTGTTCCACTTTGTATTGTTGAACTATGAACTAAGAATAAGAGATATCAAGCATAGGAGAAAAGACGGTCATGGATTTTGGCGGTTCAAGATCAGTAGACGGCTGCTGACACCAAAACAGGGCACATTGCATACGGCTCAAGAAGCCTGACCAGGAAAGAAGGAACAAAAGAACAAATGCATCATGTCCTCGGACTCTAATCGGGGTCTAGCCTGCAGAGAAGGAGGACACAAGACTAGGCTTCGGCGACTAGAAAGAGCCATTTCGTGCTGAGCCAAGGGCCTGAAGCACCACCGGCTGCCCATGGTTCCAGGGTGGTAAGATTAAAGCCACACCATCCGAGGCTCCGGACGAGCTCCATTTCATCTGTGTGCTGTGAACGCTTGACACAGGCCACAACCTGAGAGCAGTCGAAGGCATCGATTCCTGCCAGTTCGAAAAGAGCGATCAACCTGCAAGAAGCGTGAATCAGTCATTGTTCGACGCTTGAAGAGATGTGCTGTTGCAAACAAGCATGGAGATTTTCATACCCAGATTTGAGGCCATGTCCCAGGGCACCGTCCTCGAAGAATACGAATAAAGTCCGCTCTCCGTGCGTGTCGGTCACAAACCCGCGATAAATAGCGTCGCCGTTATAATCCCACACTTCTATCCATTGCTGGATGTGATCGTGTCCAGGTACGGTGTGATTTGGCTGGATATTTTGAAACGTACCCAATCCCAGTGACTCCTGTCTCGCGTCAACCCCCTCACCAAGGAATGTCGTGAACAGTTTGTCACAGAAGAGTCTCTCACACTCTTCCGGAATGGTGTGCGTCGCCTCCCCGTTGTACTCGGGCCAGTTGGCCCCAGACCAGCTTCGCTCAGCGCTGGGAGCGGGACGCTCGAGGGGAGGGCTTAAGATGGATGATTTAGACCCCGAGGGGACCTCAGGGATACCACTGTGCTCCTGAAAAACACGTCTGAGTATTGATGACTGTGACTAGGGCTCAGGTAAGACTTACCGGCACCCAGAGTAGTGCAGTAGTGGAAACCGTGAACCTTGGAAGTGGTTGATTCGACCGAGTAGCAGCTGGCCAGTACCGTGGAGTCATGATCCAGAAAGCAGTTCATGTGATTGGAATTACTACTGTGGTTTTTCATGTACTTCGCCATACTGAACTTGATCTCGATGATTCGGATTCGACAGAGTTGGAAAGTCTGAGAAGCTTTAAGTGGTGCACAGGGGAAGAGTGGACACAAGATGCGGTGACTGATGCGTTAGGCAACCCGAAATCTGGGGGGGGGGGTTATTTTCTGGTTGCGGGTCACCTGACACAAAGGCCCGTGGGTCTCACCAAACGTATAATTTATAAAGAGTAAAATGGAAATTGATTATCATGGAGGACCAATCATCTTGAATAGGGTATCTCAGTGGTCTCAAAACTAGATATCCAACGGCATTGGAGATCAAAAATTAATTTGCTTGGTAGCACTCGCCTAGAAATACACACCACGGTTGTGAAAATTGTAGTCCTCCCGGAGTTCTGTCAAAACACTGGAGCGAGATCCATGTGCAAGTAGCGCATAAGATATAAAAAGAAAGGATGCAGACAGAAAAGGACATAGCCCGCTTCATAAAATCGAAAAAGCTCCCTATGCACACCCAAGGCCCTAACGCCAGATCCTAGATAGGACCGTTGATGCATTATAATTCTCGGTAGTCACTTGGCCGCACCCTTCGATTCCGGGCTTGATGGCGTTGTGGGTTGACGGGTTGACGGAAATATGGTGAATCCTCCTCACGAGAATAGGGGCCCCCGAATGCAGTCCGCTGTTGGTTTGAAAAGTTGTTCATACCCGGGCCCTGGAAACCGGGATTTTGCATCTGTCCAGCCATCTGGGCCATGGGAAACATCGACATGGACGGATCCCCGTTAAACATGTTGGAGAATCCGTTGCCTTGGTCGCCATACATGCCGGCCTGAAGCGGATTGAAAGGCATGTTCATCGGATTCCATCCCGGGCCCATCGGATTGGGGAAGCCGTTGGCCATAGCCATGGGGTTCATGAATCCCATGGAGTCGTTACCAAACCCGGATTCTGAAAAAGGAGGTATCATGCCAAATCCCCCAAAAGGAATTTGAGGATTGAATGGCATACCAGCACCAGTCGGACCCTCATGAGCAGTGATTTCAGTACCCGGGGCACCAGAGTCGTCCTCTCCTTTTTGCTTTTTTGTCACATTGCTGGTGCTATCGCCATCCACTTCGAGGACTGGGTCGTCTTCAGCTGGCCGCTTTTTTGATTCAGCGGACGTGTCTGCATTGACCATTTCCTGACGGGGCGGAGATCGCTCCTGAGAATTGACCTTGAACTCATCGTGGTCAAGGTTTCCGTTAGCTGATATGCCATCCTGGCCTGGGGGGCTGCTTTTCTTTGTCCTTTTTCGCCTCTGCCTTGTCTGCCTCATATGTCTTGATTTTAGAAACCGCCTCCTCATCGGGTGTAAGGTTATCGAGCAGAACTCCCTCTGTAGAACATCCGGGGCAGACGAAATCACTTTCAATCAAAGCATTCGAAATACAATCATTGCAATATGTCCTCTGGCAACATGGTGTCTTTGTTGGCTCTAAGAACATTCTCTTGTCAATTGGGCATTCCAAACCCCGAGCCTGTAGTTCTTTGCTTTCCTCCGCGGCGGCTGCTTCCGCGGCGGCAGCAGCAGACGCCTTCGCCTTCTCTTGATACAGTTCCCAGGCCGCCTTATCCGGCTTCGCGATGACAAAATCACCATCTGCATTGACCATTACCCCTGTATTCCTTGCGTCATCACTAGAGCCGTCGGGGGCCAGAGACTCTGGCTTTTCAACCTTGGTTTGCAGAGACCGGGGGATACCAGTGGACCGTTTGACCCTATATTTGCCGTCGAACTTTGGGTCATTGTTTGTGGGGCATGCCTGAATCCAGTGACCTTTCTCTCTGCAGCGGTAACACAGATAACCAGGAGGCGGGGGGGTGATCAGGAACATTGACCTGCTTTCCTCTGCCACGACCGAATGGCACGGGAGTTGCACTGTGAACCGTTAGTATGTATCCATGGGCCACGATGTTCGGCGTGATACTTACTTGGCCATCTCCTGCTGTTGCTCTTGCCATTGACTGGCTTGAAGATTGAAGAGCGCATTAATCTTTTCTTCCTCAGTTTGTGCATTATTGAGTTCGAGGACGTTGTTGTTGACACTGCCAGTTCCGGGGAGCGCTCGAGTGATTAATGGCTCGGTGCGGGAAGCGTTGCGGGCATTGACGGGCATTTTACCGGAGACATAGCGGGCAGCGCCGCCTTTTCCGGGACGAACTGCTGGTAATCGGCGAGCTATGACGGAGGTAGACCGGGGTATGATGGTGGTGTCATCGTCGTACTCTGCAGATGGTCAGATTGAGTGCCGGATAGGGAGCTGTGTAACCTACCTTCTTTAGTGTCTTCATTGTAAATGGACAACTCGAAGTCAGATCCATCACCCAATCTACTCTGGCTGATGATCTCTCGCTTGAGTTCAAAGACAGATATACCGGTGCCGTCAAAAGTCACCCGAGATGGCTCTTTCTGGGACTTGAATTTGAAATGAACGGACGATGACATTGTATTGAATGCAAGTGTGTGCAACCTGGCGGCTTTGAGTTCAGACCACAAACTTATGGGGTGGGCACCACAATCACAGATGTACAGATGGGAGACAGGGGGATATAAGAGAGCTGGGGGGAGGTATGCGAAGACAAAGAGTATTAAGTGTGAAAGACTGCGTGGTTGATGATCACTCAAAATCTATCGAGGACGCAAGAGATAGATTGGGAATGATTCTTTCTCTTGCTGAATGGTGAGTAATATCACTGCATACAGATGGGAAGAGCAAGATGATGAATACAACTGTCGTAGAGAAAAATGTCGCTTCGCAAGAAAAAGACAGGCGTTTGAACAAAAGCCCAATCCTTTGATCTGTTTGATCTGCAGGGCCACCTTCCTCACCTGAAATCAGACCTACGGCGGGTTTCACGTCGCAAATTCCCAGATATCGATCCAAGCGGCTTTTATAATGTCAAGGATCTCTGAACCCGATCAAAGCCTTTGGATATTGGTCCTCGCCAATCGAAAAGAGAATGGAGAATGGAGACTGGGGTGTCGAGGGTGTCGAGGGTGTCGAGGGTGTTGGGGGTGTCGGGGATGTCGGAGAGGGGAGATGCAAAGAAGAAGGGAAGTGGCTAGTGGCAACGAAAGAAAAGTCAGATGACACCGCGCTTCACACCGCCCGGATTATGTCATCTAACCGGAAATGGGAAGTGCTCACACAATAAGACAACCAGCTTGCAGCATCTGATCATTTATGGTTCTATGTTTTGAATTCTGAAGTCTATGTCACATTCGAAGAAAACACATCATCCGAACTCAGGGAATGTTAGATATCGGTTTCGAATTGGCGCACCAAAAACCCCTCCGCTTGTAGATGAACTTTGACCTGGCTCACTGTGTATTCCCCACGGTGAAACTAGATCCATGTTAGCTGGGTCCTTCTCTGGCAGTTTCACGGTGGTTTGAGTGGATGGGTACACGTACCATGCCTGCGCCCAATGCAGCATCTGTAGTGGTCTTGCTGAATACTTCTGCAAAATGTTCCGGCACGCCAGCTCCACTGGACGCAATGACGGGAATCTTGACGGAAGCCTTGACATCCTTGATCAATTCCAAGTCAAATCCACTGTTGCTACCGTCCTTATCAATACAGTTCAACAGAATCTCTCCGGCGCCCATGGCCTCAACAGCCTGCACCAATTGTCGGACATCCATGTCCCGGGTTTCCCGACCACCCTTAACAGTGCATTGATACCAGCAGTAGCATTGGCCTGCGGCATTTGGATACGCAGTCTTGAAGGTGTGGTGGTCTGTGTCCTCAGGTCGATCCACGTAGACCCGCTTGGGGTCCACACTCACCACCACGGCCTGCTTTCCGTACGCATTGGAAATGGTCTCAATTGGCGTGCGACCATTCAGTGTCTTACCTGCCTGGTAGTACTCTTCAGCAGCAAAAACGGCATCTGATCCGATGCTGACCTTGTCAGCGCCAGACTTGAAATACATCGTTGCAACGTCAAGTGCGGGGACTTGAGTGCCATCGGTGTCGACGGTGTCTCTGATGCCCCCGCCAATGGTCAACGGCACGAAAACGGTTTCCGATGCTCTCCGCAGGATCTCAAGCATAGGAGTATCCGCCAGAGGGCAGTTCCGGAAGGAAGTGATATTCAGGAAGGTAATTTCATCCGCTCCTTGCTCGTAGTATCTCTTAGCCATATCGACCGGTTTTCCCAGGTTTCGCACCTGACCACTCGCATCCACACCACTCTTCTCTCGCACGTCATACTGATCCCCCTTGGTCACGACGAGGTCGCCGTTATCATTAGTGCGGACATCAAGACAGGCAATGACTCGGCGGGTCAGCCCGTCTTTTTTGCCGGCAATCGAATCCAGCGACACAGATTGGAATTGATCGCCGTGCAGGAAGGCGCGAATCGCCCGGAGACCTGCCACACCACTCTTTTCAGGATGAAATTGTGTACCAAAGATATTTCCTCGGCTGACTGCACCGATAAATTCCTCGTCACCATAGGTGGCAGTGGCGACGGACCACCCGTCCTTCTCAAGAACCCCCGGGTTATATGGGGCCGCATAGGAGTGGACATAGTAGTATTTGCTGGTTGGCATAAGTCCGTAGAAGCTTTGCTTCGTGGATGCAAGTTCTGTGTTCATCGCCGAGTTCCATCCGATGTGCGGCACGCTCTTGTTCTTGTCATCGAATTGCTGAATGCGCATGGGGATCAACCCCAGTCCTGGAACGTTGGCATCCTCCTCTGATCCTTGGAAAAGGGCTTGCAGTCCAACACAAATACCCATGAAAGGTTTGCCCGTCTCGATGTGCTGTCGAATTGGGCCCAAGAAGCCGCCTTTTTCGAGTTGGGAGAGACAATGACCAAAGTGACCGACGCCGGGAAGAATCAGTTTCTATAATCAGTCGGATCAGTACCCATCATTCAAGAGCGACCTTCAGCGATCTCAATCATCCAATGAACGTACATCTGCATTCTTCACATCTTCCGGGGTCTTGACCCATTCCACTTCGTAGCCAACCTGATTGATCGCATTGACCAAAGAGCGAATGTTCCCCGCAACATAGTCCAGGAGGTGCACGGTGGGCATGTTGATATCTCTGGCAGTCAGATCGTCTCCAGCGGAATTGCGAAAGGGTTGTCCAGCCTGGCGGGAATTTGGAGTCATCGCGAACCCCTCTTAAAATTCACCCCCGCTGAGTCATAGCCGCTGTTTCTGCCTGCAGAATTCGTTGCGGGGCACAGATTACGGCGTTTACCGGACTACACGGTCACACTATGTTATCGACTTTTTTGTATCACATTTTTGCAAATTTGACGATAAGAATATTCAATAATTCACCTGAGGCCCTTGTATAGATCCCAATGATGTTGTTTCAGAGATTTTTTTTCAACTGACAGCTGAATATTGCATCATGGACCCTGGATCTAAATAGGAGGGGATGGATACCTTGCTGCATTGTAAAAAAGTAAAGTTGTGAAAATGCCTGAACCAGTCTATCAATCTATGCCAACTATCACCTGAAATGGGTGATACTTGTCAGTCAGACTATCAAGAGGGAAGAGAGAAGGAGAGAGCGAGAGAGAGCAGCGAGATAGTAGCCGTGCAGCTTTCAAGCCACTCATAGAAGAGACCGTGTCAGGCAGCGGCTCTTCATACAGGATCCTACAAATATATCAACCCATTCGATGGCTGTTAACAAGTGCGGTTAGCATGGCTCTCGGGAGCAGAGAAAGTCGTCAATGGAGATTTACCGGGCTGAACTGTCGTAAGCGAACACCTGCAGCCTCAAGAATGGCCGCGCTCTAAGAGACAGCGTCAATGGGGAGCCTGGCAAAAGGAGATAGTAGAAACATACGTCCTTATCCATGTTGTAGCCCTGCGAGTAAACTACCTCGGAGATTCCAACCTGGGTGATCTTAACGGTACAGGTCAAGCAGGGGCAGCTGGAACCACGCCAAGACAGTCAGTGTTTTTGTTGGTTTTGCTTTTGGTTGTCTTCTTGGGCAAACAAACTTACGTATCGCAATACAGAATTGCACCCTCGCGAATGCGCTCCCTCCAGCTTCCAATAAAGCATTTTCCTCGGCATGGAGACAAAGGCAGGTAGAAAGACCGACGCCGCCGCCGTCGCCGCGGTTGCAACGCGGGCCTGCGAAAGAAAATCAGTAAGGGATCAAGGGAGTCTGGAACGTGTCTTCGTACATCCGCCTTCGTTGCAGTTCGTCAAGTGTCGAGGAGTCCCGTTGTAGCCCGTACTGATGACTCGACGTTCTCGTACAAGCACACATCCCACTCTTCGTTTCATACAGTTGCTTCTCTGTGCGGCGAGAGATGCTAATTGCATGAAGTACTGATCCCAGTTTGGTCGCAGTCGCTGTTCATCTGCCAAGTTCAGTTCCTCGAGAGATTGGTGGAGCTCGTCCAAGGAGGAGGAAGAGTTGAACAGGCGCATATGGGCCTTGTCGGTCAAGTAGACGCGCCCAATATCCTTTTCATACAGATGGCGGTCATTCCATAGCACGAACTTTTCTAGATCGGGCGGGTCCAGTTGTCTTCGCCAGCATCTACACGCCAGGATGAGTTAGATTATTTTGGATGATATGGGTGACGAACCGGTCGGAGAATCTTTTCCAACGGAGGCTTACAGGGGCATCCACGCTCACGAGAAGGAAAAATGGGCGCAGGAGGAAACGGTCGAGCGTGTCGCCGTTTGCAATATCGGTCGTCACCCAACGTTCTTGCCATCGTTTCGTCGCGAATTCTAGGAGGGCGTCGGGGGAGTCGAACACGAATTCTGCTGGCGTACCCGCGCTCACTTCCGAGGCCTGTAGTCTGAGGTCATCGTCTGCATCATCGGTGATCTGGTGAGAGGGTTTGCTCGATAGTTGGAGAACTCGAAAGCCCTGCTGAATCAGATAGTCGGCGATTGCATGTTTGCCGGCGCAAATGCCTGGAGAAAGAAACGGTCAGTGCCCTCCACAGGCCATACTAGAACATGAGAAGGATCTTCTGACCTCCGCATAGACCGATCAGCATTGTGACGCCGGAAAAAGAAGGGAAAACTTCCACGAGGCCACGGTCACACGCATAGGGCAGCGAGATCAGCTTTCCCGCGTTGCGCCCCCCCATCTCCGATTGATAAATCAATGGTTCGCGCCCGATTACATCACACCCCACTTCTCTTCTTTACACACTCCTCAAGATGCAGTACACACCTTTTGCGTCTGATATCGAACTGCCTTTTTACACGGCTCTGGCCTCGCACAAAATCAATCATGATAAATTAGATGACTCTGCCCGTTCCGTCCTGGGTCTGTACGAGATCCGCTCCTCGGATGCTGCGAATGCCTCATGTCGAATGCAAATTCACGGAAATGCTCTCACCAGTGGCGAGTAAGGCCACCGAATCTTTCCCGCCATAACCTGAGCTGACCCAATTGTGCAGAGCAGCGGCAAATTATTACCGCGCCGAAGGCATAATCAAGAATGTCAACACTATCGAGGACTACCGCAGCATGGACAAGTCACAGATGATTACCCAGGCCGGAAAAACAGTAAGAAGCAAGTGATCTAGTTGAGTTGGCTGATCCTCACCTAACCGGATGCGCCCAATAGATTTGGGATGCGATCAACGACGGCACGATCTACTCCTGTCCTTCCTTGCTGGCATCTTTCGTCATCCTTTCCTTCGCGGATCTGAAGACATACAAATTCTACTACTGGTTCGGGTTTCCCGCCATTCATTCTGACCCAGGGTGGGTGTCTGTAGACTCGGCTGGCACTCCGCTTGACTCACGACAAAGCGAGAATTCCGACTCGCCCCCGGGCGAATATCTATCCTCTCTTGAAAGCACGGCCCTCGTGGACGCTGTGCAAACATGGAGCTATGGCGTGGATTCTCGCCAACGAGGCTTTTTCCTAGCCCGCAAACAACCAAACCCCCGGGGCGAGTCTGCACATGCCACATGGCAGGTAGCTTCACTGGCGGAATACGAAAACGGCTTCTTTACAGCTACCGCACTCGAGCACCGCTATATTTGCTTTGCAGACCCCTCCAACTACGAGAATACACCAGGTTGGATGTTGCGGAATTTACTGGTCGTAGCTAAACAGCGCTGGGGTCTTGACCGGGTTCAAATCCTACGGTATCGCGAAGTTCAATCGAAGCGTGATCAGGGTCGTAGCATCGTGATTCGCCTACAATCGAAATCAGATCCTACATCTGAAGCGGCGAAAGCACTCCAAACTCCAGGCCCGTTACCAAAGATCACTGGCTGGGAGCGCAATCCGGCAGGCAAGCTGTCAGGGAGAATTGTCAATCTAGCTGAGTACATGGACCCTACAAGGTATCGCCCCTGAGAGCAAGCAACCGCAATCTGTTGGAGCTGATTTTTTATCTATAGGCTGGCGGATCAATCCGTCGACCTGAACCTCAAGCTCATGAAATGGCGGATCAGTCCAACGCTGGATTTGGAGAAAATCAAGCATACCAAATGTCTCTTGCTTGGAGCTGGTACTTTGGGAAGCTATGTTGCCCGGAACCTGTTGGTATGTACAATATGTTCAGCTCCGAACCATACGCCGCCAACAATCGGTGCTAATTGTCAACATAGGGCTGGGGTGTGAAGAAAATCACGTTTGTCGACAAAGGGACCGTGTCCTTTTCCAATCCCGTTCGGCAGCCCCTCTTCCAATTTGCTGACTGTTTGCATGGCGGAGCACCAAAAGCGCATCGTGCAGCTCAAGCCTTGACTGAAATTTATCCTGGCGTGGAAACAGCAGGCCATCAGCTCTCGGTTCCTATGGCAGGCCACCCTTCTTTGGACGAGGATGCGACACGAGCCGATTTTGAAGCCCTACAAGCTTTAATTCAGGAACACGATGCAATATTTCTCTTGATGGATACACGAGAATCGCGTTGGTTACCCACCGTCATGGGTAAAGCGGCCGGGAAGATTGTGATGAATGCAGCTTTGGGGTTCGATTCTTATGTCGTCATGCGCCACGGCCTTGCAGAGACTGGATCTAACGCTGCAGATCTCGGATGTTACTTCTGTAATGATGTCGTAGCACCGGCTAATGTAAGGTCTTATTTCGAGAACTGTGTGCGGAGAGCTAACATCCGCAGTCTGTCAAAGATCAAACCCTCGACCAGCAGTGTACAGTCACCCGTCCCGGGGTAGCCGCCATAGCCTCCGCACTTCTGGTAGAATTATTCGTTTCAATTTTGCAGCACCCACAGGGCGCTGGCGCCCCAGCTGCATTGAAAGGATGCGATGAGCGCGGAGATCATCCCCTGGGGCTTGTGCCTCATCAGATCCGAGGATTTCTTGCCACTTTTGAGAATATTCAAGTCACCGGCAGGAGTTATACGTGCTGTAGTGCGTGCTCGGAAAAAGTGACCTCGGCGTATAAAGATCAAGGCTGGGAATTCGTACGGAGAGCCCTTAATGAAAGCGGATACGTGGAGGAATTGAGCGGACTCAAAGAGGTACGTAGACACTCTGTATGAGCAGACTCTCAGACCTAACATCACGCCAGGTTCACGAGAAAGCCGAGGCCGCATTAGCTGACGTGGAGTGGGACGAGGCCTCGGAGACTGAAGAGAGCGAAATGCTCTAGGGTCTAAATTGGCCGATTGCGAACGGTTGTGGCACTGGAGATATCTGGTTTCATGGGCGGCGGTCAAGGCCAACAAAGAATGACTCTTTCGATTCCTAGAATTTCCTATTAGTTAGCGAAACCTTAGGTCAATAAAGTGGGCAAGACCATACACTGCGAGATGATTCGGGTTTCAGTCGGTGGACTTTCTGGAACAAATTCCTGAGCTGTTGCTCCAAGTCTTTATCCTCTGCTCCCTGATAGAATTTACAAACGAAATGGCCCCCGACCTTGAGAACATCCGAACTAAAGCGTAAAGCAGCGTTGCAAAGATCCTGTCCGCCAGTCAGCAATACATCCTGCGCAGAAAGGTCGAAATTTGCCCGAGCCCTTACCATGCTTCCCGCATGATCTCTGAAATTGTTCCCACTGGTATTCATCATCCTGCGATAAGGATCACTTAGACTTCGTTTCCAGAATCCAGATGTTTGGTGCCAGGGTTCGCACATATCACTGAGGACCACATCCACCGTTCTTCCACCTTGGCGTCTGTCCGTTTGTGCTGCTTCCGAGATCATCTCGGGCTCTAGCAAACTACCACTGGCATTGTCGAGTACCCCCGATTGTCGAGGCCTGCCTCTATCTGGATTGCGCAGAAAATTCTGGATATAAGCCTGGATCTCGGGAGCTAGAAAATTGCCCTGTATGGTCGAAACTCCTTTCGGTGGCTGGGCTGGGATGATATCGACACCGAGGACTCGTCCGTTCGGCTGAGTTCGCTCCACAGCGACCTGGAGGAGTCAGTTCAAGGTCACCTGCATCGGGGGCTACAAGACTACCTGTGACCATGAGCCCGGCGCATAGCCCTTGTGAAGTTCAAGCATCAGCTAAAGGGCATCATTGCTCGGCAGGGGAACCAGTGCACATACCAGGTCGACGACGGTTTGGCCGCCCTTGAATAGGCGATACTTTTCGTCGATCTACATCCATTATGTTATGTCAGAGAATGCAAGCAATAGAGAGGTAGGATGAGATACCTGCATCAGCTTGAACGCAGCTCGGCTTTTCAGACCTTGAACGGCAGCTTCCCTCGTGAACTGGTCTTTATGCTGACGAGCCTGCCATCGCTTCGAAGATGACCAGCGGATTTGGCCAACCGACCCGAGGGCAGGTGTTCCCCGGGATCGAAAAGAGAAGAACGACGCAAACATGAAGTGCGAAGGGGCAAGTCGTAACGAGAATGTCGCGAGCTCGACGAACGGAAGGATTTCTGCCGGCGAAAAAAAGAGTCCGTGCTCCATCGATCTAGCTCCACTACTATTCAATTGCTTGCTACGCGAAGCCAGTCCAGACGGTGTATTTGAATTGGTTACATTCGAAATTATTATAGTCGTTTGCGATCGCGCTTAAGGGGTGAGAATCCTCCAAAGCCAAGAGCGCGGGATCCACGGTCACCAGCTGCGGTACTGGAGACGGCGGTCGCGAGCACTGAAGTTCGGCCTGCTCCTAAGCCGACCTTGCGTCCCGGCTTTCTGCTCTCCAGCATATCCTCTTCCTCCTCCTCCTCCTCAAACAGGTTTCGATCTCGCTGAGCCCCGAGCTTGCGCTTCTTTGGCTTCGCCTGTCCCTGTCCGATGAATGGCTCAATGGCGTCATCGGACATATCAGCATGTTCTGTACCAGGTTTCTTAGATTCAATCGTCGGTCTCGTAGCGACAGGCTTTCCGTCGCGCGCCTTGATCTTGGTTTTTCCTGCTCTAGCTTTGGGAGAAAGGACCTGTGTGGGGCCAGGTCTGTCATTCAGAACAGCGTCAATGCCATTTAGCTCTCTGATAGCCTGGGCTTTGCGGAATGAAGCATTCGATTCGTCCAAAGTAACGTCCATTGGATCTTCTTCTGCTTCCGAGCTACTCGATGAATCTTTCGGGCCACCGGTCCGGCTCAAAAAGGGCGTAATGGAAAACGCCGACTTGTCGCCGGGCAATGCAGATTGCTTTTGGCTCTTTTCCTTCACTCGGACGGCCCCGGGCGTCGCAATTGTCACGCCACTATGGTGTTCCGTAGTTGGGCCAGAACGCTGGAGAGGAACAACCCGTGATCTCGGCTCGGTTCCAGCGCCCTCGTTGTTCGTGCCATCTATTCTTCTTTGCTGCAATTCCTGCTGAGTTTCTTGTAGCTTATCCTTGGCTGATCGTAGCTGCTTCTTCAGCGTCTCAACCTTCTTCTCAAGCACTGACCGCTGGCTTTCCGATCCTGCATTTTGCTGTTGCTTTTGACGCAATTCTTTGGTGAGTTCGCTCTGCAGATCATCGATTCGAGCCGAAAGCCTATCAATCTCAGCTGCCTGCTGAGCGCTTTTCGCTCGTGTACGTTCGTGAGCATTTTTCTCATCTTGGAGGTGAACCTGCAAAGACTTCAATTGCCGCTCCATCTCGTGCTTCTCCGCAACTAGCGCTTGATTGAAGGTATTCTGCGATTTGAGCCGTTTGATCTCGGACTCGAGATGAGAAATGTCTCGGGACAGATGGAGCTTTTCGGTAAGGAGGGTACTGTAGCCGGTCGAAGTATCATTCAAGGTGGAGAGTTCGCCCTGTGACAGTTTAGATCTTGATCTCCAGCAATATGGACTACGCTGGAGGAGGACTCACCTTCAGCCTCTCGACTTCATTTGATGAGCTTTGCACGCGAATGTCCAGGCGATCGATTTCCTGGTAAGCTTCGTCCAGTTGAAGGCGCGCCTCGGATTCCGCCTGGGTAGATACAAGTAGTTGCTCATGAGCTCGATCGAGCCGTGACCGCAGCGTTTCACTCTCGAATTGAAGTAGTAGCTGTTCCATGCGCCGAACGCGATCTTTTTCAGCATCTAGAAGACGTAAAGAGTCCGCAAGAGACTTTTCGTATTCCTTCTCAAGGAGGACGGTTTTGATAGACATCTCACACCAAGTAGTCAGTCAGATTGCCGTAGCAAGCAGATGGTAGCAAACATACATCCAGCAACGCTGCCTCAGTAGCTACCGCCATGTTGACTTTGGGGCAATTGACCGAATCCTGATTGAATCACAGAAACCCCAAACAACGAAGTCGGGGAAACGCGTCAGGGCGGGGCCGACCTTACGTAAGGGGACACCTTTTCATTCCTATCGGTTTGAGGTACGATCCGAACTCTCAAGCTCTGCAACTACAAGCTTTTGGAATGCCAAAATGAAGCCCTGGGCCACCCTCTTCATATTTATTTCGGTCATTTCCGGCGTGCTCGCCGCGAAATCGTCAGACACATTTGAAAAGTTCCAAACCATTTCCCGTTCCGGGCCCGTCGATTTGGACAGTGCCTCCTTCAAGGAGCTGTCCACAACGCCCCGAGATTACTTTGCGGCCGTTATTTTGACTGCAAAGGACGCTCGCTATGGCTGCATTATGTGCCGAGACTTCGTCCCCGAATGGGATCTGATCTCTCGGAGCTGGAATAAAGGTAACAAGCTCGACGGCTTAAAAGTCATCTTCGGGACTCTGGACTTCGACCACGGGAAAGATGTCTTCCAGAAGGTGCGTCTCAATTCGATGTTCTACCGGCTCGTCATGATGGCTGAGTCAACTCCTACAATAGCTTCTGCTTCAAACGGCCCCCGTCCTTCTTGTGTTCCCTCCTACCGTGGGTCCCTTCGCCAAGGTGGATGCAGAGCCCGCGAGATTTGATTTCACAGGGTGAGTGGGCGCTTACTCTATCGATGCTGGGGCCAATCACTTATTTGTCCAATTTCTCCTAGTCCAATTGCCGCTGATCAGATCTACTCGTGGATTGGCCGTCAGCTCCCGGATGGCCCCATGCCTCCATTGATTCGACCGGTCAACTATATGCGCATTGTTTCTGCGATCACCATTCTGATGGGTGCTGTCACCCTCTTCGCGGTGCTGTCACCCTATATTCTGCCAATTGTTCAGAACCGGAACCTGTGGGCTGCAGTCAGCCTGATCGCCATTCTCCTCTTCACTAGTGGTCAGATGTTCAACCACATTCGCAAAGTACCGTATGTTGCGGGTGATGGTCACGGTGGTATCAGCTACTTTGCTGGCGGGTTCCAGAACCAATTTGGTATGGAGACCCAAATTATTGCTGCGATCTGTAAGTGAAAGCCCTGACTTGGAAGAACGCCGTCGCGTGTCCTGATTCTTACATAATTTTACGCTATAGACGCCGTCCTATCGTTTGCCACAATCGCACTTGCAGTGAAGGTTCCGCGCATGGAGGATGCCAAGGCACAGCAACTGGCGGTGCTGATTTGGGGGGGCCGTTCTTTTTGGGACGTACAGCTTCCTTCTCAGTGTTTTTAAGACTAAGAACGGTGGCTACCCGTTCTACCTTCCCCCATTCTAGGTTTCATCTGACCGTTGAGGGCTTCATTTATGCTAGCATATCGCAGTTCCTGCTACAAAAGATCAATTCACGAATTTTCAATGCATTGGAGCCCTCGGCGCGGGAACAGACGGCGGTATGTCGATCAAGCGGGTTTACCTATCTCTTATTTCATGTCGCTGGCGACAGCCCTTAGCCAATGATAGTCTTGTAGATCAAACAAAGTGTACGTTGCGAAAATACTCCGCCTCTCGTCCGCACGCAGGTATCATCATCCACGGAAGAGCACTATCCAGGCAACCTGCTGTGTACAGTGTTGCACCGTGACAGGAGTAGGCGGTCAGTGCGTGGCACTAGCACGCATCTGCCTAAATTCCTCGCCGGTCACTTTCATCATCCCGCATGTCTTTTGGACCAGGTGGAAATTGGAGGAGTCTCCCCTTCTTTTCCAGAACCTCGGTCCGTGCAAGTTTGCCGTGTGAATCCATAATGCCGCCCAAAGGAGCCCGAGTCGGCGATGTCGTGGCATCATCCGCCACTGGCATGACATTTTTGATTCTGATTCAATTGGCCTCTAGAGTCTTCACTTTTGCTTCGAATCAGCTCATCTTGCGCTCCCTTTCGCCAATAGTGCTTGGTATCGCTGCCCAGCTTGAACTCTATCAGGTGTCGATCTTGTATTTCTCCAGAGAGAGCATTCGTCTGGCGATTCAAAGACAGCCTCTGCCACAGGCATACACCTCCGAGCGGCAGGAATCAAAGCGGCTTAAGTCTGCCTCACGAGACGGACAATTAGAGGCATCTCAATCGGTTGTGAACATGTCCTATTTGAGCCTGCTTCTGGGAGTTCCGTCGGCTATCTTCTTCACTTTGCTCTACGAGCGCCTGGCACCGAGACAAGCACAATGGATTCCCTTCTTCAAAGAGAGTGTTATTGTGACGGGAATAGCTTCATTTTTGGAGCTCAGTATTGAGCCATGTTTTGCAGTCGTTCAGCAGCACATGTGGTATGACAAACGCGCAGCCGTGGAGATGCCTGCGGCCTTTCTCAAGAGTCTCACCACCTGTTCCGCTTTCATATATGCAACAAGAATAGGCAAAGATGCCGGTGCTTTGCCTTTTGCATTGGGCTATATGGCTTACTCAATTGCTCTCATATTTGGCTACTCGGTTTCTTTGCTGTGGGCTGCGGATGAAAGGCGGTTCTCTTTGCTCCCCGTGCGTATACGATCCAGGTAAAGTGGATCCCTCGGGTCTATCCCATATGATCTAGTCTGACACTGCGAAGCAATGTATCAGATTATTTTCTGAGTCGATTTTCTCATCGCCTCACTTCAATCGCCGCCAGTGTTTCTCTGCAATCACTGGTGAAACATCTTCTGACGCAGGGTGATTCCATGATGCTTGCAGCCTTGTCTAGCTTGGAGGACCAGGGTATCTACTCACTAGCATCCAACTACGGGGGTCTTGTTGCCCGTGTCATTTTTCAGCCGCTCGAGGAAAGTAGCCGAAACCTGTTTTCCACCCTACTCAGCCCCAATAATAGCGGGAAGCGAGATAAGCAGCATGTTCGCCTTGCTAAAGACCATATGGTTGACCTCCTGCGTGCTTATCAGCTGTTGGCTGTCTTGATCTTTCCGCTCGGTCCTGTCATGGTGCCGCAGGTGCTACGGATTCTAGGGGGACGTCAATGGACCTCCTCCCATGTCGGTGATCTGCTGTCACTGTATTGCTATTATATCCCGTTTCTGGCCTTCAACGGAATTACTGAAGCTTTCGTGTCATCTGCAGCCAACCCACGGGAGATACGGAAACAGACGGCTTGGATGGGCGTTTTCTCGGCATGTTACGCCTTAGCAGCCTATTTATTCCTAGAACTAGGGTCCATGGGTGCCTATGGCCTTGTTTTGGCCAACATCGTGAACATGATCGTCCGTACTCTGTGGAGCTACAATTTCATCCACGCGTATCTACGTCGACACGGGAACGATCTTCTTCTTGGCGATGTGAGCATCCAACCAACCAGTTACGTTTTCGGGGCTGTCGCTACAGCGACACTTGCCTCCCGAGTTTTGTCGGTATCAAGTTTGGGTATCATCTCCGCGGTTTCATTGAGTGGCGCCTATTGTCTTCTGATGTGAGTCAAATGTCGAATATGAACCCAACGAACCTCCAAACCGGTACCCAATAAACTGACAATTTAAACAAGACTCTATGTGGAACGACAGTACATTATGGGACATTTTGTGAAACTGCGCGAGCTTGTATCGTCTCGTGGCAAAGGCCTCAAAGCACAGTAACTTCATCATCAGCAATCAATCATCGAATGTAATCTTTGTGGCCTTTTTGTCCGTGTCGACGTCCTTGAAGAACGCGCCATAGGCGTCGTGCTGCTTCTTCTTAACGGTAGTGCCAAATTTCAACAAATCTTCTGGCACATTCTGCTTAGCAGCCTTGAGGACATTAATCAATCTACCGCAGGTTAGCATGTCGTGAATGTCTTGAGTGCAAGGTTTTTTCGATGAGTCACTTACCCGCCGGACAATGCCTTATCTTGTTCCGTGAAAAAGGTGATGGCATGGCCCGTAGCCCCAGCTCGGCCAGTTCTCCCAATGCGGTGCACGTAGTCCTCCACAGTAAGGGGGAAGGTGACATTGATCACCAACATCACAGCTGGGATGTCCAGACCACGGGCTGCTACATCGGTAGCAACCAGAATGGTTGCCGCGCCGCTTTTGAAAGCTTCAAGGTTGCGGAATCGATCAGTTTGGTTCAGGTCACCGTGAATGCCAGCAACCTTGAACCCCTTCATCTTGATGAGCCTTTCCACACGGATCGCCTCTTTTTTGTATAGGCAGAATACCAAAACCTTCTCGGGATTGTTGGTACCTCTCTGAGACCGATTCAGCAGTTGGATGAGTCTTCCCTCCTTTTCCCGCCCGTCCATGACTTCAACCTCTTGCTTAATTCTCGTATTCGCACGAGGGTCTGCAGACGGGTCCCCGCCAATGGTGACAGTCACTGGATAATTCATGAAACCCGCAGCCAGGTCCCGGACAGAGCGAGGCCAAGTGGCCGTGAACATGACAGTCTGTCTCTTGGAGACTGGCATAGGTCGGATGATTTCTTTGATATCTTGCTCGAATCCTTTATCCAACATACGATCAGCCTCATCAAGAACGAGGTACTTCACTTTCGAGAGGTTGACGGACTCGTCGTTCATGAGATCCTTGAGGCGACCAGGAGTGGCGACCACGATGACGGCTTTTTTGAGCGCTTCACGCTGTTCGTCCTTCCTCACACCACCATAGACACAAGTCACGCCGGCTTTCACCACGTCCGCAAACTTGACGAGCTGGTCATAAATTTGCATAGCGAGTTCACGGGTGGGTGAAATGATGACGGTAGCCGGGTGGGAAGATTTCTTGTTCCGCTTGGAGACCATCAGCTTCTTGAGGCACGGTAAACCGAAGGCCAAAGTTTTGCCGCTTCCGGTCTCTGCAATGCCAATCACATCACGACCGGCGAAAAGGAGAGGCCAAGTTGCTGCTTGGATCGGTGTCGGTGCAGGAAACTCCTTCAATGGCGCATACAAATTGTCGTCACAGGGGGGGCAGATAGTCGAAGGAAATAAGTGGGCGGAACTTCGCACCCTCGGGCGAAGGATCGGTGACCTTGATGACTTTCTCGTCCAGAAACTGATCAATCTGGGATTGAAGGAGGGCACTCAGGGCACTACTCTGGGAGTAAGGTGCCTGATCCTCCGAGGTGCTAATCTCCTTGTCTGAGGTCTTCTCTTTGGCGGATCCTGAGTGTTTGTCGGATTTCGACTTTTTCTTTGCCCGCAGCTCAGTTGGCTCGGCGTTGTGGCTTCTTTTACCCATGGCAAAAGAGTTCAATACCAGTTGACCAGGGAAAATGAGAGACCGGGCAACAATGGTGAGATTGCTGCAATTGAAGAAATCGTCCGGGGTGAGCGCCGATCGCCAAAAAAAAAAAGGGAAAATAAAATGAATTGCCAATATTCACCGCGCCGCCTAGAGTTGACCCACATCACTTAGACATACAGTGACACAGCAAAAGTATCGACACCCCCTATAGCCCCACCTACCACACCGCCTCCTAATGTGTTCACCGCCTATAGAACACGCTAGATCTAGTGTCTACACCAAGAGCGCGTTAACCGCGTTCTTGCCTTATATCTGCCCTAATTCCCCCTTTTTTTCGCATTAAATCATGGCACTACGATCAGAATCCACCCCTGCCCTGCGTGAGCGTATATATGAGCTTTCGTAGACTGCTAGTTAGGGATATAAGCGTATATATAAGCACTATCCTTAGGTCTCCCTTTTAGGTATTCGCTATAATATTAAAAAGGACCGCGAACGCCTAAACAGTGTCTCTAAGCCTCGCCCTAGCCGCCCACGAAAGCTTAATAATAATAACCGGTCGCGTCTTCTTACTACAATTAAGGATAATCTAAAGATTAAGCGAGTCGATCTGCTAGCTGAGATTTTAAATAAGGCTTATCTGTCTCTTTATAAAGATTTATGCTATGTTCTAACTAAGTATAGGTTAAATAACTTAATTCGATAGCTACTAAACGCTAAGAATATAGGAAAGTGGCGATATTCCTAGCGCCCTTATTTAAAGGATAAATATATTACGATATATCTTTGGTAGGTAATATAATATTAATACTTTATACTTACGGATTAGGCTTATATCTATTAGTCTAATAAATATACCGTTAAATAAGGTATTAAAATAACCTATAAATAGACCTTCTGCCGCGTAAAAGATTAGCCTAAAGAAGATTAATACTAAGGGCTTCTATCTAAGGGAAAGTAGGTTAAATAGATATTTGAGGGCGCCTTTTCTGGTAGTATATATCGGACTAATCTTATTCTAGTATTCGGTGACCTAAATACGCCTCGCGAAGGTATTAAACGCTTTATTATTTATAATCTTTATATACGAATCCTACCTACTTTAATAAATTATAAAGGCGGTATTTTTTAGTATAATAATACGCCTATATATATCGCGGTAGTCGTCCGCGAATGCCTCGCTAATATAGGCATTTAGGTAATAGAATAGCCTCTATATTCGCCTAATTTAAATCTTATTAAGAACCTCTGGGCTTTGCTTGAGAAGAAGATATATAAATTGCGGCCAGACCTAATCTATATTAGGAATAATTATGAGTTATTGGAATATAGACCAATGCTACATAGAAAGATCTATCCTTATATTCAACATATAAGACCAGATTGTATTGATCACGTGACCAGATTTTTCTTCTATCAAAATGATGTTTTGACCACTTCTGATTCTGGTCCGCGGCCCTCCCCCGAACGATAGGCGGGACCATTTTCCTTTAGGGGTAAATGGTCCGCCTTCAGGCATGAATGGTCCGTTCCTTCGGGGATGCTTTCGGGCATGCCTTGCCCGCGGACTTCGACCATGGTCTTCGGACCCCGGTGAACAAACTTCGACCCTCGGTCCCCTTAAGGATAGGCGGACCACTTTCCCTTAGGGGTAAAATGGTCCACCTTTAGGCATGCATAGCCTGATCCTGCGGGGGTGCTTTGGGGGTGGCTTAGACCGTCGATCCTTGACATCATTCTTTTCGCTTCTCTTCGATTCCCTTCTTTGCCACCTTCATTATGTTGTTGCCTAGTGTTTGTACGTCATTTGTATGTTATTCTAGACGTCATTTCTAGGCTATCCTAGCCTATAAATACGTCCTTCTTGTCTAGCAGATAGAATCAAGTCAGTTCTACTTTCCTGAAGTCAGTTCTACTTTCCTCAAGTCATTTTCCACTTTCTAAAGTCATCTCTACCTTCTTCCTTTGATCCTCAGGACTGTGGTTCTGCCTTCGTTTAGGCTATATCTGCTTATAGTCTATCCTACGACCTTTGACCTTCTACCTTTGTCTGGCACCGACTGACCTAGTCAGACTAAGGTTGATCCCACGGACTTAAGGGGCCACGATCTGCTTCGTGGTAGCTTTACCCTTATATCCCAACATGAGTTATATACTATTTTAGTAAAGACAGCCTAGATCGTATAGGGTGAGCTTAAGCTACGTCACCTAGAATATCTATCAGAGACTATGCCGCACCGGGTAGAGGCAATTATAGAAAGCTAAGGCTAGTATACACTATATTAAGGAAATTAAATGAGGTTTTGAAGCGGCAGAATATTATATAATCAATACGGTGTGGGTCAGGGGGTGTCGCTACTTTTGCTGTCACTGTATGCGTACCGATCAGTATGTCCTCTCAATACACAGATTTCTACGATACAGTCAAACATCGAACAAAGGAGAATACGAAGTAAATTAAGTGATCAGGTACTAAAATCAGGAAATAAATCTATATATTTATCCACATAGATGGGGATTCAAAACTAAGAAACGATCTATGTCCCCGAAAGGGGTTTGCCTGGCCGACCAGACGGAACCTTGGAGGTAGTACTTTGATACGCTCTGAAAAGACTGACTCTCAAAGTCTGACGTTCACTCATATCACAACTACTTTTGAAATATCGTGAATAAAGAAAAACATTGCGATTCAGATAATAATCATAGCCGACCGGAATACAGAAAACGGATCAAGAGAACCCAATATCGCATTTGAGGAACCTCAAGACTTCAGCTCTGCTAATAATCTATTCCAGAGAGTAGGAGCTGATGATATTGGCAAGGCGCGATGCTTCTTCGGAGTAATTAACAGCTTTTGAGGATGAAACTTGATATCGAACACTATAACACAATCAGTTTAGGCACAGAGTCCTTGTAAGGAACAATGGACTTGGAATGGCTTACCGTTGCTGATCACCAAAGGTATCGATTTTCGCACGGCACCGAAAGCTCCAGGTCCGGCAGTTGGCCTCCTGGAAGACTTCACCAAATGCAGTCGGGTCGTCTTCTCGGAGTTGCATGAGATTGTCAGCAGAAGTTCCCATGATCAACCGTCCAGTATCGTCGAAGCAACTAAGCCAGAGTTGGCCAGTATGATCGCTCACACTGATCGGCATGATGTAGCGGTATTCCGGTTTAGGGTGAGTCTTGTCACACATCTCGCATCTCCACTGACCGGGGTCCAGCTCAGTCACCTTCTTGTTGCAACCTTCAGATAGACAAGCAGGATAGCACCAGGTAGAATCCTGTCTGATGTAGACTACGGTTGCTTTCAGCGAGAAGTAGTCGACCTGTTCAGACATGCCAAGCTGTTCCTCACGAACCTGTGCAATGGTCTTGAATTGATCCGGCTTCATGTTGGAATTGGTTGCGTTCGATACAGATGCATGAGATGTAAAAACCTCTGTTCTCCCCTGTGCGTCATACCAACCCTTGAGTCGGTGGGCTTCTCCAATATTGGGGTCTACGGTCATCGAGCCGGAGCTCAGCAAGCTCAGACTTCGCCCGCCGAAGTCGGAAACCTTGACACCTTTGAAAGCAACCACAGACTCCGGAGCGACATTGAAATTGACCGCGGAAGCCCCCCAAATAGTCAAGCGGACTGAGAATCCCGTGTTATCAACCAGGCCGAGCTCGCGCTTGTCATAAGGCTTGCCAGTTCCCTTGGACACGATCTGAGATGTTTCGGCCACTTCCTTGAGAATACCAATCACGTCGGTAGTTGTGTCTTTCTCCACCGATTGCAGGTCCCCGATGGTAGTGAAGTTAAAGCGAATTTGAGGAACATCATGCTGGTCCTCCGCCTAGATTTGATGCGTGAGTCCATGATTCTCACAGGCTTTCGGAGACAGCACTTACCTTCTCAACCAGAGTGTCCCGTTCAAATGTAAGTTCATAATCATTGTTCAAGTTGGTGAACTGCTTTTTCGCAATCTGGACACGACAAGGGCTTGAGATGTAATAGACACTGCCTTCCTGGAAGAGGTCATAGAGCATGTCACACTGATCATTGAAGCCAGTAGCACGAATTTCACCACTGTCATCAAGCAAATTGACACTGAATAGCTTTCCCTCTCCGTTCTTGTTGTGCCAGGTTTTGATGCTCGACTTACTTGTGCAGCGGGCCTTGATGGTCCATTTGTTTGAGTAGGGAGAGATGGCTTCAATAGGATAGATGGTGGCATGGGCGGAGGCGGAAGGCCCTCGCATCGGCTGTGCTCGGTTGGGTTGCTGTGCCGGTGCATTCGAGGGCTTGGATCCATAGAATCCATTGCTGGATATCGTGGTGGGTTGGGTCTTCTCTTCCTCCTCGGCTTTGATTTCCAGAGGTTTGGGTTCTCCAATTTTTTCTACCTCACCAAGCTCTCTCAGAACCTCCAGATCCAAAATAATCAAGATTCTATAACAAGTCAGTACATGAAAAGGCCGACTAATTGGGTCTTTGCTTTGGGTTACCCACTTCTTGCCCTTCACAGCATTCGCTTGAAATGACTTGAGACGAACAAAACAACCCTTTCGCAGTGAGCCATCAGTCACCACATGATTGGCTTCTATGGGACATATTAACGATGTGCAAAAGTTCTCTGTAGCTGGCCTAGCATACGGGTGGCAAGCATAGTCTGGACGTAGTTTGCAATATCACTGAAGACGGCGCGGTAGCGTTCTGGATGGCCTGGCTGGGGTGGCAGCGGCTTGACCTGAACACACTGAACGATGGGCTCACGAACTTGGTCCTTGGTCTCATCGAATATGGCACTGAAGTTGGCGTCAAATGTCAGTCGTTGCTCAGCCGAAGTAAAGATGACTGTTGTGGTCTCGGGGCTAGGGCGTAGTACTTACCTGAGAGCACCCACAGTGACCTGAGACGCTGCATCTGAAGCCATTTTGAGTACTTCGGGTGATAATGAACGACAGTATTAAAGCTTGAGACGGGAGAAAGGTGGAAAGAGAGCGCCGAGATCTGCGACGCGTGAGCCAGGAAATAGCGCGTAAAGTGGTGGAGTCACGTGCGTGACACACCTCAGGCAAGGAGATGCGACGTACCCCACGTCATTAGGTAATCCATAGCCCCACGCAGACAGCTTCTTCCTTGTCCCGCCTGTTTTTTTTGCTATGTTCAGCTCGCCTCCTCGCCGTTCCTCCTGCTCGGTTCGCATTGACAGGCTTCCATATCTCGTCGGACGACCCGCAATATGATTTCTTGTGTCCATTCGGGTGCTTCAGGTTGGTGAGAGCGTTACAAACCTTCAAATGAACTGACTTGTTAACGATACTGATTAGAGCTTAGCCCACCGGGGCCCTCTCAAGCTGTTTATCGGGAGGATTGCACACAGTGCTTTGATTCGATTGTTTGTTCTTTTGGGCTCTGTCTTCCGGACCTGGCTAATCACAGTATTCACAGGATAATGACTCGGGTCTGAATGTGTGCCTCCATTGCTTTAATGGTGGCTGTACTGGGGATAGGGACCATGGTTTGCTCCACTACAAGCGCTCTGGGCATCCGCTGGCTCTCAATATTCGAAGGACTCCGAAGAAAATTCAGGTGAGTCTGGACCACGCAAAAACCACGCCTTCACTGATTTCATCACAGCGTGACGAGCCCCCGCCGAAGATTTCGAAGCTCGCGATCACTGCTGAAACAGACGAGGATCGATATGAAATTGTGACATCGGTTACATGCTATCCGTGTGCTCAGCAAGATGTGGACAAAACGAGCGGCAACTTACCCTCAGTGATTGAGGGCATCATGAATGCAATGACATTTTCCAAAAGGGAAGAGGTCAAAGCATGGGAACAAGAATTTGTTCCCTGTGAGCACACTTTATGTATGATTCAGCAGGAGATTGAGGATGCAGACAGCAAAGGTACTGGCACCCTATAAGCGATAATTCTGACATTGTACTGATGGGAATTCGCAGACTCCAGCCAATGCTCGGCTTGTGAATTGAAAGAGAATCTGTGGATCTGTCTGGAATGTGGAAATATTGGCTGCGGAAGAAGCCAATTTGGTGGCAGTCCGGGGAATTCACACGCTCTTGCTCATGCAGACTCAGCATCCCACGGTGTTGCTGTTAAACTTGGTTCCATCACAGCGGAGGGCTCGGCGGATGTATATTGCTACAAGTGCAACGAGGAGCGAACTGACCCAGAGCTTGCCAATCACCTCGCACACTGGGGTATCTATTTGGCTGGGCGTGAAAAGACAGAGAAAAGCTTGATGGAGATGCAGGTAGAACACAACATGCAGTGGGAATTTTCCATGACCACTGAGGATGGTCGTGAACTATCACCAGTCTTTGGCCCGGTTTCACCGGACTGACCAATCTTGGAAACAGCTGTTATCTATCCAGTACTATGCAATGCATCTTCTCGACGCCCGGTTTTGCAGAGCGTTACTACCATCCTACCAAGGAGCCACCGCTGTGCCAGACCCCAGCACAAGACCTGGAAACTCAACTGAGGAAGCTTGCAGATGGCATTCTGTCCGGCCGATACTCTCAGCCAGTTTCACGTGTTTTTGCCGTCCCGGATACCCCAGATGTTCCCCATCAAAAGGGCCTGCCACCGACGATGTTCAAATATCTCATCGGACAGGGTCACGAGGAATTTGCAACAATGAGACAGCAGGATGCATTCGAATTCCTCCTGCATGTTTTTAAATCCGTCAGCCTTTCGAAACATGAGGGAAGCATGTTCAACCCTGTCCAACATTTTCGATTCGAAGTTGAACAACGTCTACAATGCTTGAGCTGCAGAAAAGTCCGCTACAAGGTAGATGAGCAGGACAATATCTCAATTGCAGTCCCCGCCCGCCGTGTGTCGAGCGAGTCTGGACGTTTTGAATCGGTGACTTTGTCAGAGTGTCTGGATATTTTCACGGCACAGGAGATCGTCGAGCTGATTTGCCCTGCTTGTGATAGTCGTGATGGATTTTCTAAGCGCTCTTCTTTCAAAACCCTACCGTGCGAACTGGCCATAAATGCCCGTCGCTTTGAGCTGGTAAATTGGGTTCCTACCAAACTTGATATTCCAGTGCTTCTCGATGATAAGCCAATTGACTTTGGAGCCTATTTGGCTACAGAGCGTGATCCGAATGAGGAACTTCTTCCAGAAGTCAGCGACAGTGTTAGTTTCGTGCCTAACCCTGGTGCCCTCGATCAGTTGATGAGTATGGGGTTTCCGTCCGCGAGATGCGAGAAGGCTCTTCACGCAACAGGTAACTCTGATTCAGAGGCCGCAATGAATTGGTTGTTTGCTCATATGGATGATCCGCACATCGATGACCCTCTAGTCTTGGGTCAAAATACAGGTGGATCTAAGGATGTTGAGGATGAAGGAAAAATAATGCAGCTTGGGGAGATGGGCATCGAGGCCGCTCGAGCCCGACAGGCTTTAGCTGCGACTGACGGCGATGTAAATCGCGCTCTGGACTGGGTCTTTAGCCACCCTGAGGAGGAAGTTGAGGATATTCAGACGGACAGTAATACCCACCGTGTTCCATCTGGCTATGACAGCAAGCCAGCCTTTTATCAGTTGCGATCTATCGTCTGTCATAAAGGTACCTCTGTTCATGCTGGGTGAGTTTATGTCACTGATTAATTCCTTTTCCGTTCGCAACTAACTTTTTCGAGTCATTATGTGGCTTTTGTTCGCAAGGCACTGCCGGGTCAAGACAGCCTTTCATGGGTCATGTTCAATGACGAAAAGGTCGTGAGGTATGACGATATCGAGGAAATGAAGAAGACTGCCTACGTGTACTTCCTCACAAGGGTATAGACCCACTGGCTCTTTGGGGGGGTAGGCGAGCCTCTTAGAATTGTCCTCTTACTATTCCAAAACAACTACTTCTATCATCACGTTTAATTTATCACCATACACCACCCTAGTGGCCCACGAAGGCTACAGCCTGCCCAAAGAGCTAACCTAAGGTGGCCTCGACACTTCATTCTCTCCTTCCTAGCCTGTTCTTGAACCTCTTTTTGGTCTATTCTCAAAGTTGACGGGGGAAAGATTGGCAGCTACACGGAAGATAATTCATTACAGTTCTCGTTCATGTAGGTCTTGTAGGGTCGTTCCTACTCCTGCAATTTCTTGCCCGCAATTCCTAGGTCTTCCAAATCCAGCCCGCCTCGCTCAAGGACATTAGATTTCATATCAATTACATTCATGTATACTATTATGAGATAATAGAATCGCGATGCAATGCATTTTTACGCTTCCATATATAATTTATCCTGAGGGATGAAGGCTGATGGCCAAACTGAAATTGAATATTTTGGGCTTCAAAAGCTGCTTTAGACAACTCTGATTCTTACTTATTTATCTTGATTAGTTTATGTCTATCTCCTAAGGACTCTGCTTTACATCATGAATTGGTCAAGAACATCTCCGAAAGGCCAAGTAATAATATAGGAGGAGTTTTAATTGTTACGCGTCGCTAAATGGTGACTGTGAGCTGGTCCAGTATCTGGTAAACTTACCCAGTCGTGCCTTCCAGCAGTACTCGCAACAATACCTTCACCTAGTCGTGTAGGCTTTACACGGGCTCGGGTCTATAAAGTAGTCTTGCAAAGGTGTCCAAGTCAAAGAGGGCACTAATGAGGGCGGATAACTAAGGAGCTGGCCTGATTCAATCGTAGGATGGGTTGTCAATAAGTCAAATAGTGAAGGTACTATCGGTTCCAAGTAACAATGTAGGATTGATAGCGAAGAACTAAATACATAGTGGTGGATTAGCATCCTAATATATCCAGTCTTTAAAGAGTTTAGTAGACGCGTAGATGTTAGCTTAGTAGAAACTGCCACACTGTGGGCTGTCACGGGCTAATGCCCGGTATAGGTCACATAAACCACGTGACCCTGGTATGTTAATACAATGACCGCACGTAGAAGACGTCTCTCCTTCAAGCTTTTTGTACACAGTTCGTAGCCTAGTTAGATTAAATTTAAGTCTTACTTTAGCCCTTTATATATAAAAGGTTCTGATTAATAATTATTAAACTAACGAACTAATAATGAAGTATAACCGTTTACTCTATAAAATAATACCCCTAATAAGATATAGTATTAGAAATTAATAAGCCTATTATTATAGGTATAGACGCTACTATAGTAGATAGTATAGACCTAAGCTATATCGAATAAAGAATAAGAGTAATATAATTAATAAAATATTACTTAGGAGGAATAAATCTAATATCTTAAAGTAATATTAGATTAATAGGTCCTACTTACTATAATAATAACTATAAAAGAATAAGCGATATTGTTATAAATTACTACTAAAGTAATAATAAAATACCTATAAAATAAATAGTTCTATTAACTAAAAACATAACTATTAGACACTATTCTATTTAATAATAAAATAAATGATTAGCTAACTTAGTATATAATAATTAAAAATAAACTAAATATTAATAGATAAGCTATTAGTTTATCTTAGGACCAATTTATATATATATATTCTTTAGGCTAAAGAAATTCGCCTAAAAAAATAATAAAATATTTATAAAACTATACTAAAATATTATTAGTGTGATAATAGGGCCTTCTTATTGGGGGGAAAAGGTTACGTTACCTAACTTTTTTTGCTATACGGACCTATATTAGTCCGCACGGCTACTATATATTTATTCTTTTATATGCTTACTAAATAGAATATACTTTCTTATCTTTTAGAATATTATTTAGTAATATATTTTTACTTAGCTAAACCTTTTATAGTTAGCTAAGAATAAAAGTATTACTATTAGGTATATTTTTATTTCTATAAATAATCCTCTCTTAAGCGACTAATTAAGATCGCTTACATATAATATTAAAAGAAATCTAAAAAGTTCTCTTTAATTATTTTAGTTATTATTTATAAGAATATAAAAATATATACTTATAAAATAATAATATAAGAAAGTTATATATTAAAAGGATTAGTACTAAAATAATCTATTAACTAAGACTATAAATAAAAAGATTAATTAAAGATATTTAGATTTAATACTTATTATATTTATATATATTAATAAAGGTAAGGAAATAAAATAAAGATATATTCTTTTTAGCTCTAAAAAAAGATCTATCTTAAGAGAGAAAATAAAACCTAAGGAAAATTAATATTCTTAATAAAAAATATCTTTAAATATTAATATTCTTAACTATTTATAACTAATTCTAATTAATTATATTCAATTATACCTTTTAAGACTTATAATCTATATATCTAATAACTCTAAATACTAAGTATGTACTTTATTCGCTATTAGCGAATAATATATAAATATTTTATTAAGCTTAGATAATTATCTTAAAAGAAAGCTTACTTATTTAGGTAATATTTATTAAATAGGCCGCGAATATTTTAGCTAAGAATACTTATTTTCGTAAGGCCGAACTTTAATATATAAAAAATAAATATATATATATTTAGAAAGATTCGCTCTAATAATTAGTAAATATACTTAAATAGATATAAATTAGATTAGCTAATACCTTAGATATTTCTAAAGTTAGCTATCTAATATTATCTTAAGTTAACAGCGCTTAGAAAGCTATCTAAAAGATAGTCTTAAAGAATATATACCTTATTAAGGTTTATTAAGATATAATTAAGTCTAATATTATATAAAAGTACTTATATAACTATAAATATTACTTTCGCGAAGTTACTACTTTTATAGATATAAAGCTAGATAAAAGCTCTAAGATTATTTATATTAGCGGATAATTACTTAACTATATTACTAAAATGTAGTATATATATATAAAATAAGTTATAGAAATATATAGCGATAAAATTATTATTTAATAAGCTTATAAGGACTAAATTAATCGCGAATTTTTAGAGTATCTTAGACCTAAAAAATATTAGGACAAGTTTATAAACTTAAAATAAGGATAAATATTATTTTATAAATATATAATTAACCTATAATAAGCTATATAAGAGGCTTTAATATAAGCGCCTATTGTAAAGGAATACTGAGGACTAGCGGTGAAGGTTTACCCCGCAGTGGAATAAGCAAGTCTCGGACCTAATTCGTACTTAAATCGAGAGGGTTTCCAATTAATCTAGACTTAGCAAGAATTAGTCTTACTTCTATAATATAATACCTAGTCTAGATATCCTTCCTTACCTAACCGATAGGCTTTCTATCCTAAATATATAGATCCTTTATAATTCAGATTCTTCTTTTATCGGTTACCTAAGGAATTATATTTGTTAACGACTGTGTCCTTCGCTCCTATATCGCTACTAAAGGCGATAATACGCCTATATCGCACGAGGCTACTACTACGTCTTAGCGTAGAGACACTATTAATTCGACCCTAGGACTAAACTAATCTAAGTCAATTTCTCCTAACCCGCTATAATACGAACTACTTCTAAGGGACCTACGCGGATATTAAGTGACCTATAGAGAACTCCGAAACGATAGCTAAACTATCGAAGAAAAAATTAAATACCTTAATAAGAAAATCCGCCTTCTTAAATTTAGGAGCTTAAAGGGGACCGAACTATATTAGTTAAGATAAGGACTTAGCTATAAAATAAAGACAAATTAACCGCGAGTAATAATAAAAAGGGTATTAAAATTAAAGATATCCCTTCTTTTTTAAAGGACTTTAACCTTCGGAAATATTAAGAGTGGATTCTTAACCTTAAATACTAATTCGAAGCTAACCTAAAATAATATTTTATAGACTAAGAAAAGGTATTCGCTAGTATAGTAATAATAAAATATAACTATCGCTAAAGATAGCTATAATATATAGGTATAAAGCCTATAAAGAAATAATAAGAGTTTAAGAGCTTATAGATAACTTTTAAAGACTAAATAATTACCCTCCTATATAATATAGTTACCTTATAGGCTAATATAAGTATTAGCCTTAGCTAAGTACGCTAAAGGCTATAAGATAATCCGGATTAATTCTATATCTATCTAAATAGCCTAAAATAATATTTTAAATAAAAAAGTAAAAAAGATAATATAATATTCTATTACTCTAAGCTTAACTTAGCCCTTCGCTATTATATAAATAAATATCTCCCTAAAGAATAATTATTAAAGATATATAATATTATAGTAAGTAAAGCGAGATATTTCTGGAATCTACTCTAAATAGCTAAGAAATATTATTAATTCGCTAATAAAACCTAAGAGTATTAATATTTACTAAGACACTTTATATAATCTAAATATATATATAACTAAAGAAAGGATAACGCCTCCTAAAGATATAAGAAATAATAACCCTTAAAGACCTAGCTAAGTTCCTTACGCTTCTAGGAAAGCTATAGCTATTATAACTTAAATAATATATATAGATTAACTATAAACTAAGACTAAAACCTACTACGCTTAGGATTAGGACCCTAATATTACCGATATTATAAATTTAGCTATATTACCTATTGGAATATAGACCAATGCTACATAGAAAGATCTATCCTTATATTCAACATATAAGATCAGCATTGCATTAATCACGTGAACAGATTTTTTCTTTTATCAAAATGATATTTTGACCACTTCTGATTCTGGTCCGCGGCCCTCTCCCGAATGATAGGCAGGACCATTTTCCTTCAGAGGTAAATGGTCCGCCTTTAGATATGAATGGTCCGTTCCTTCGGAGGTGCCTTCGGGCATATCTTGCCCGCGGACTTCGACTATGGTCTTCGAACCTCGGTAAACAGACTTCGACCCTCAGTCCCCTTAAGGATAGGCGGACCACTTTCCCTTAAGGATAAAATGGTCTACCTTTGGGTATGCATA